CGCGTGGCTCTGGACCTCTGGCGGATGCGGGGTATAGCGCGAGAGGGGGGGTCTCTCCACGTGTGCCTGGTCGCTTGGGCTTTTTTGTTGTCCAAAATGTCGACCAGCATATTAGACTCTTCATTTTGGTTTGTCGGCTATCTACTTTGACCGTGCTTATCCGTGAGATTCTTGCATATCCAATAGTCTTTAGGGGAATTTCGGGTATTTACATATTTGTAAATTGCCTCACAGCTGTGTTTAGTGACAACATTGAAACCTGCCTCACGTAGCGCCCTAACATCCTTGCTGGACAAGCTACCATTTTAAGTCATTTTTCAAGTAAATTCTTCTTTCTAATTTGCTTATCCCGCTTCATTGGTTTTTTGAAACAAAGCTGAAACAAATAAAAGGCCGAAAACACCAGGCTAGTATTTATTTGAAATTATGAAAAGGTCAACTGGCCGAAGCTCAGTCATCGCCGTAAAGGTACCTGCTAGGGATCATACATATAGCTGATTGGTCAGTCCAGTCGGGATTTTATCATCGTACATATACTTGTTTCCTTATTAGCACAAGTGCAGGAACAATTATCGTCAATTCTTTCACATGTTCCCAAAACATGCATGTACATATCTTGAACGTTGTCAAAATCTCATTCGAGGCCTGTTCAAATGCTTCGTTCGGGCGTTCGATTGATCAACAATGAATCTTCCTTGGAAGGTTCAAACATTTGAATGTTGTTAAATGATCGGAGAATAAAAAGTCTGGTTGAAGGATGTAATATTTAGCACCCGTGCACCTGGTAACATTGCACATGTGCACCTATTCAATGTTCAAATGTTAGTTACATCAACATACTGGTTTGAATAGTGTGCAACTCAAGGGTAACTAGCACTAAGATTTTCAACTTGAGCACTGTTCTAGTGCACGTGCATACCAGTTGACCTTGGTACATATATGTATAGTTCTGGCCTCCAGCGGGGTCTTAATGTTGGAAGGTTTCAAGCCCTGGAGCCCAGATGCCCAGGTCGGCATTTGAATCATTATATACTGGTATTATGTACATATGCAAGCATGAAGGCCTTCCTCGGGAAAATAAAATTTTCCAGCCATTCCAAACATTGAATATTCCCGCCGTGGAGGTGTATGCTACAGGGAGTAGTGTGTGTACATTATATATTCTATCTGACCTCGGCCCGTTCAAATGTTGAGTGGGGCGAGAATCCCGCACGTCTAAGATTAAGGGATATACATATGGACGCATTGTGTTTTAAGACTAATTGCAGGGGGAACTTTTATTGAGAAAAATCATAATGTCTATGTATAGTTGCATACAAGGAACCTCCCGTTCAAGTGCTCTCGATACTTCAACCACCGAGGTGATCAACATCTGAAGAGTATGTCTCCCATAATGACGTCATATTTCTCTACGAATTTATTCTCATACGTTAAGGCAAGTTGAAGTGAGAGGCGGAAAACTAGATCAAAACTGGAGAGGTTTGATCCAGATATCCCGAAAAAACTCCATCAGCACCACACGCTTAATTTTGCATGGAGATGGGCTACAGTTCTTTGGACTGTGTACTCTATATAGTATACTATACTTCTTGGTGGATCACGTGACAGGAAACGCGAACCGTGTAACGTGTTCATGGCAAAAAGTAAAGCCGCGCGCTCGAAATCATCTTGATCCCAGCAGGAGAACCTTCAAGTCGCGCCTAAACAAACATCAGTGAATCTTCATTCTTGGAAGTCTTTTTGAAGCGCGTCGATACTCCCTCCGACGCAGTAAATCCTTTCACAAACTCGGATGAGCGATCCTTCTCGATCTTGAAGGTGTGAGAAGTAGCTGTGCTTTCCTTTTGGTAAAGATGCCTCTACTGTACTCCTCGGTACCTTGTCGAGAAATAGAGCTTCTGGTGACCCACTTCCCTCCTCCTCTCTCTTTTGACCATCTTTGACAGGGTAATACGATCTCTCATCGAAGTCTTCTCTCCAACCCACAACGTACCCATCTCATTTCTTCGGCCTCGCTGGTTTTGAGCCAGGCCAGCATAGAGCAAACTTTGAACAGGGTGATTTCTTCCAGTAGCGCGTGCGGGAGATTCATGAGCAACTCATTCTTGGGTCCATTTGCCCAGTTTGCATAGTATTTGCGCTAGGTACTGTGGGTGCGGTGGGTCATCTTCTCCCATGCCAAAACTTGAGGGAGATGAAGTCTTGAAGTCCGTGTATCAGCATCCCACAAAGCTCGTAGCGTAGTTTAAATTTTTCAAGATCCCCGGGTTGCACCTCTTCCCGAGATGCGCACTGAGATGCGCACTGAGATGCGTGCTGAGTTGCATGCTTCAGATCACCAACAATGGGGGACTTTGTTTGTAGGAATTCTCGACCTGGGTGGTGGAGGCGCAGTATCGTAGCAGAGTTGATCAACTTGATAACCCGCGCAAATGTGAGGTCCTGTGTAAGAAGAATGCCAAGAAACATTGAAGTTCGCAGCATCTCGATTGAGAGCATATTTGAACACGATTTTGGTCTTCTCTTCACCTCATTTTCCTGGACTCGGGCTTGCTTTGATCTGCCCGAGAGCCAGATGGGTAAAGCCATTCAGCAGATCCCATGCCACAAGACAGGCGATATACCTGCTTCTTGAATGGTAATTGAGGGTCTGGAGTTTAATATGAACGAGGTCATTCAAATTGCGATTTGTGATCCGCAAGAGAAGCCACTGCTTGATTGCCTGGCAAGATATAGGTAATGAAGCAACCATTGCAACTCACAGACCTGACATTCAAGCAGCGATTACTTCACTAGTACATAGGACATCTTTTTATATCAATACATGTGTATAGCATCTTTCAATGGTATGCGACCCCCGACAGCTTTGCAGCATGAGCAGATATGGATGTACTAATTCAGCTGGCCGTTGAAACGACAAAGAATGAAGACCGAGCAAAGTGCTGGGTGTTGGGTGTTAGTTTACGACTAATTACCTATATGTCTGTCATATATCATGTACCTTTAAAAGTGAACGGCCAGTTTTATCTTCAGAACTTCTCAAAACTCTCCCCGTTCGATCGGTTAGAGTGCAGGTGGAAAAAAGGGGAGCACATACCACACTGTCATAGCAACAGTTCAACAACAAATAACCGCAGATACGGACTCATTCTGACACGCAAACCGGGCAAGTGTGTTGTCTCAGGCGACAAAGGGCATTGATGAATGCTTTAAAGCACCCTTTCCTGATATGAAAATCTATTCAGTCCTCAGACTTGCCTGGTTTGAAGGCTTCCCTTCTCGTCAATCAATTGTAGTCCGCTACTTTCCATTACTTCTTATGGAGCTCTAAGTCTGTATGCCAAATGGAAATGCTGATTATCTGTAGTCTGGGCTTTATGACCAAAAGAACAGACCCAAGAGTATGAGTGGGAGGTAGTCAGATCCTGCAGGTATACTTTTCTGTAACCTTGAAGGATTCCAAGATGAATAATCAGAGAGTTCCTTTGAATCGAGTTGCTCTTAAATCACAACCATTCAGTTAAAACGACGGTTAATGGCAGTGTTTTGCAACCTTGGACTGACGATCAGACCCGGGTTCGTGGACCGGGCCGTGAAAGCCCCCACAAGTTACAACTCACTGTATGTGCAAAGGAAACCTTGATACCCACCCGTGACCCAAGCCGCAGTGCTCCGCAAGATTCCTCAAGAGAGAATAGAACCGTGCTAAGTGATTGCTGGTACATAGATGCCCGATGAAAAATCGCCAGGTGAGCAGATTATCTAGAGACGTACGCCCGTTCGCACCTGCACGCCATCGAAGCTAGTTCTAGATCGGGAAATTCTCATCGCCAAATGTAAGCAACAGTTGAATTGAGCACATTACCTCGACATGTAGAATGATAAATTGCTAGTACAAAAATAGTCTGAGGCTAGAACAAAAGATTTGTGGTCGGGAATCAAGGAAATCAAAGGGAAGTCAACAAGGGACCATCACGATTCACCAACATAGACTTATGACGTCACATGATGGTTACACAATGTAGATCTCTTATGCGCTAAGAACCGCAGTAGGTAACCTCCACTACAGAACTGCAGTATCTATACTCTGTACCCACTCACACAACCGTCACCCCGGGAAGAAGTAATCCAAATATTTGAAGTTTTGGAAATATGCTACCGGTTCCAACGTTGTACTGCTGACACCTTACAGATCCTCTATGAACACCGTGCACTCGAAAGACAGGAGGGTACCTTGAGTGACATCATTTCTCTTTCGGGAAAGATCAAAGTTCTTCTAACGGGGATCTTCTGACCAATGGGCATATCTATAAGGCTGAAGATTCTCAGTCTGGACCTGGGCAAAATCCAGTTATCGTGCACCCACAACTCAAGCTCCCTTCTTTCGCTTATCTTTCCTTCTTTCAGGGTGAATAGAGTTGATACTGAAATCAAGGCAAACATTTGTACTATGAGCGGTGTGTATCCCTATACAGCGAGGTCTGACCAACGGGATGATCAAGTGTCATATGCAAGTCTAAAGTTACCAAACTGAGACCCTTGCAGGTAGATAGTCGATCCAAAGAAGTATATGCTATAGATGATCTGATCTGGAACAAAATGCAAGAAAAGGTCTGGCTCCCGAGAGATGGAGATCGCCACCATCTGGCAGCCTAATACATCTTAGACAGTGTGTAGAGAGTGGCAATAGTAAGTAATCTTTCATGGTCGAGAAAAAATTGCTAACAGAAAATTAGAGGCCCCAGAGACTAAGACTGAAGCATTCAATTTGGCTGGACAAACATGTTAAGTAGAAATCTTTGCCCAATGCAGGTATAGCCCACGAAAAACAAATCTTGCAACCAAGATAAACGCATCTGATGGGTTTAGGACACGATCATGTTTACATTTGGGGTGAGGTGCATGACCTGGACGAGTGTGACCCGTGGCGGGTCTACAGTAGCCAGCCACATCTAGGGAACCACACCCTCGGGAACGATCTCCATATCCAATCATAGTAACTATCGATAGAACCACTCACTCAACGCTGCCCACCATCTAACGCCCAAAAACTCTATTCCTGACGCAATTGCAACGTGCTCAAGGCCCACTGCTGAAGATCCATACAGACTCCATACCAATGCTCGAAGGGCAAGCCACATGAACGCCAGCCGCAGGAAAAAAGAATGCACTGCAGCTGCATTGTATGAGCCCCACGCAAACCTTTCAGTGAGACTACAATTGATCCGTGCAGCCCGGTATCTCCTATACATTCCGACGGAGAAGTTCTTTTCAGAAAATTCGTCCATGAAGGTTCTGTCCGTGCTCCGCTTCCATGGGAGTACGGATGGAGAGGGGGATTTCTCCGAAAAAGAAGAAATACGGGCACTGTTTATCAAACTTTGAAACAGCTTAGGGTCGGATGTCCATAAGCGTTGAGAGATAGGATCACAGATCTGCGGTTCACTTTCCATCTCAGCCGCAAACCCCGACACAGCACACGTGTACTTCAAAATATTTGTGTAGAACTTGGGAGTCAGAGGTTGGATCGTCAGAGTTGGCCGTGGAGCCGAAGTTGGTGTCTTGATTGGGGAATCCATGGAAATTGGAGGGATCTGCATGGATTTGGCAGGTATGTAGATCACCGTCAAGGGAAATGAACATTCGTCAATCAGCTGGGAGAGGTAAAGCCGGAAGAAGGGTTCCAAGGTTCTGCAAAGTGAAGCATTAGAGAAAACGCAATATAGATGCGTGGGAGTGGAGCTTACTTTTCCGTGTCTGATGCCTTGCGTGGAATGTTGGTTGGCTTCACATCCGGTTTGTTCAGATATGGCAAATTTCCTCTGAAGCGAATCCGGAGTGCTTCCACCACAATACGGCCAATGGAGAGTGGGACGGTAAATGACCAACTTAGAAGAAAAACCACTACTTCCCAAAAAGATGCCAAAAGAGGGTCAAGGGGTGGGGCGCATGAAAAGAGGCGACTGGAGATTTTGGGTTTGCCAGTGGTGCTCATGAGGGTCATGTTGGAGTGTAAGGGACCCCCCTTGGCAGGTGATGGGTCAAGGGGATCAACGAATCGGAGAGAAAACCACCCTTCAACTTTCTCAAATGGTGAGGCAAAAATATCCTTGTCCCAGCTGCCCTTGTAGTATTTAGCGCCAGGCGCGGATGACATGAACCGAACAGGCTGAGTGCCTTCCAGCCCTCTTCCTGATACAGTGCTGATTGTTTCGGAAATTTTGGGTTTTTCAAAAACAGAAGATTCTTCTGGATAAAGTCGAGTAAAGGCGTTCTTTTTTTCGCCATATGAGTTGTTGATCTCCATGATAATGCCACACAGCTCTTTTGAGGGGGAGTAGAGATACCAGTAGGAAATTGGACTTTTCGTCCACCAGAGAAATCTGGGGATTCCCACAATATAGGCATATGGAAATTGACTTGGATCCTCGCCCTAATGATGATTAACACTTTTGAGCTCACCCTGGTAATTCGGTTTTTAGAGAATTTACCTGTTCTTCCAGAAAGTTCTCAAGCTTTTTGGCTAGACCCATATGACCCTCTCCTCCATGAAGATATAGATTTGTATCAACTCTGAACCAGAGTAATTTTTTGAATACCCAGGAGATTATCGCTGAGGAATTCTGTTGCGTACCATCACTATCGATGGATAAAACGGTTCCAACACGACCACGCAACCCAACAGGAATACCAACAAGAAAGTAGTTGATCCAGTAAGTATACTTCTCTGGAAACATGCGAGAGTGGGTAAGACGGGATGGGAAAAGGAGTGGTCTTCCCAAGAGAGTCTTTTCGATCTCAGGATTTTCTTGGGATTGTAAGATCAACTTTCGCTGAAAACATGCAACCGTCGATACCCAAGCTAGTAAGCTTATGCCGATACTCCCAAAAGAAATGGGGATTAAGATTCCAAGCGTCTTAATCCAGCCAAACCTTTCTGATACCTCGACAAAAACAGGAAACAGTGTAAAGAGTGCATCCTTAGTAGATGTACCCGGGTGGTATCGGAATGAATGAAGAACAGTCCCAACACCAATCACGCCTAGAAAAATAGGCACAATGGATTGGAAATAATCACCGGATAAGATATCGGTGTGGAACATGGCTTCGAGTATAATTCTCTGGAAAGATCCGACAATTTGGGACTGAGGGGTGACTCTTTAATATGGTTGGTTTCGGTTAGCATGAAAGCTCACCGTTCTTTCTGATAATACTTCAAATAGTCAATCACAAGGACGTATACATGTGAAAGATGCCTCTTGCTGGATTTGGAAGATCTATCATGCCGCAAAATCCCAAGGTGGCTAGTTTGAGAGATGAGTAGATGGGCTGCCATTATCACTTCCAAGGTTAATTCACCATGGGGGCTTTATTAAACCGTACTGGGCAAGATCGTCGTTGACGACACCATCTTCTTCCACCCATGAAACTCTTTTTATTGACATCGGAACTTCCCTTTTTAGGCTAGAGACATGAATCGCCAATCGCCAGCTTAGAGGATGAATCTGTGCTACCTCAAGATGCATATACGATGTGCCGAAGCCTTCCCTCGCAGCTGACAGATGTTTAGGCTTGGAATAAATTGTTTGACAGGCATGTGAATTTTGGCCAAGAATGACTATAAGTTAAGCCAGAAAAAGGGCTCAGGCTCTCGCTTTCAAAAAAAAAAAAAAAACAACAACAACAATCTGTCAAGTCTCTTCATCATTCTAAAGTTTGACATCATGATTTGCTCTGGGAAAAGACCTTTCACCAGAGTGGTGATAATTGGAGGCGGCTTTTCCGGTTTGACCATGGCATGTCAGCTTCAAACCAAGCTCAACTGCGATGACTATGTTATCTACGACAGGGAATCAGCCCCTGGCGGTGCCTGGTGGGCAAACAAATGTCAGTACATGCTCCGTCATCTCACCATGCCCACAGAGTTTCAACGTTGGTTGGTGATATACTAATCTAATAACAGACCCAGGATGTGCTGTCGATATTCCTGCTGCATTTTATAGTCTTTCCTTTGCCCCCAATCCGGAGTTCTCCAAGGCCTTCCCCCCACAATCTGAAATTTTGCAATATTTCAACGGCGTTGCAGAGAGGTACGGTGTTTCCCGGCATATCGTCCCAAATACGGAATGGGAAGGGGCTTCTTGGCAGGAGCTCACCAACACCTGGTTGGTAAAGATGAAGGACATCCCTACCGGTGAGACCTTCTATCAAGAATGTCAGATTCTCGTGTCTGCTGTTGGGGGCTTGGTCAATCCGAATACGTTAAATGTTCCCGGTATCGACATATTCGAAGGTGATATTGTTCACACTGCAAGATGGAAGTCGGAGACTTCCTTACGTCAGAAGAATGTTGTTGTTGTGGGTAATGGATGTAAGCTTACAGTATAGTAATCTTCACACCACAACCTTCACTAACCTGCTTTTTAAGGCTCGGCAGCACAATTGGTCCCAGCCATTGCTGATGAAGCCAAGAGTATATCTCAATTTATTCGGGTAATTGCTACCTCTACATGACATTCCGAAAGATCCACTAATGAGACTTATAGACCCCTCAACACTACCTGGAAAACGACAATATGCATGTCAATGAGACTTGGAGGCGAATTTTCCGCCATGTACCCGGTGCTCTGTGGATACTTCGAATCATTGTCTTCCTTTACCTCGAAAGCACATCCGTCCGGTTTGGCATGGACCAGAACGGTGTTAAGGCTAGAAATCAATCTCTCAAGAGCAGCGAGGCATACATCAAACAAACTGCACCAGGTGAGTTTCTGGATTCAGACCCACGAGTCCCCAAATTGAAGCAAGACTCACTCTTTGATTCAAGAGAAATACTGGCCCCTCTTGATTCCAACATATGAACTTGGATGCAAGGTAAGAAATCAATAACAAAATGATATTATCATGTAGCATATACTGACACGCCACATCAACAGCGACGGGTATTTGACAATTCCAAATATATCGGTCATCTTCAAAGAAGCAATATTCACCTTACGGATGACCCAATTGTTGCTCTTCGATCTAATTCAATTCTGACAAAGTCTGGCCAAGAGTATCCCGCAGATGTCATTGTAAGAAAGGAAATTGCCCTCTTGAAAAAAAAAAAGGGAATATCAAAGCAAACTAACTGTTTCTGTCGAAAAGCTCCTCGCCACCGGATTTTCTTTAACACAGTACGACGTGGAAATCGAAGGTCGCAACGGCCGTACTCGAAATGACCACTGGAACGAGTATGGATACAAAGAGGCATACAAATCAATTGCGATGTCTGGGTTTCCCAACTTCTTCTATGTTTTGGGTCCGAATTCCGGCAAAGGTCATACTTCTACCATTTACTCTATTGAGAAGTAGGTTGAACCGTCTTCGCTTCGTCTATTTTACCAAGGCTTACTGGGTTTGTGCATAGTTATGTCGACTTGATAGCTCAAGTGATCACGCCTGTCATCAAGGATTATTCCACATTTGTGGAGGTCAAGGCGGATCGAGAGAAACTTTACAACGAAAGACTGCACGGATCTCTCGCCAAGACAATCTTCAACAATTCATGTGGCAGCGTAAGTCGCTGGATAATGTTCTTAATCAACGAGAATATCCTTTGACCTCCATAAATAACTAAATATCTTTTTTAGTACTTCATTGATCAGAAGACCAAAAAGAACTGGTTTATTTATCCGTGGAGCTCCTTTGACATGTGGTATTCAACACACTGGGGCAGCAAAGATGACTGGGTATATGATGTAAGACGCCAAAAGTACCATCAGGTTCGCTTAAAGTTGCTAATATATAAACTCTGCCAGATTCGGGACAACAAGAACCATTCGATGACCCGCTCCTATTTGATGTCGCTCATTTGCACACTCGGCTTGATCATGTTCGGCTTTAGCATGATGATGAGTCAGATGCCCCGAGTGACTGTCAGATTTGGCATTTATACTTAGGGCGGGGTTGGTACCTGGCAGGTAAACCGTATGCCACTTGGCGCTGGCGCAGTCGTGAGGATTGATTTTACTCCTGCGAGCCCCTTGGGTGCTTCTAGAGCTGGATTTTCTTTCGTGTCCTACGTGCGGACTTCGTATAAACAAGATTGTCATCGCATGGGCTCATTAGAGCATATTTAATAAACTGATCTCCAAAATCGGATGCATAATATTTTATAAGGCTCTACTTCTGAATAAGGCAATCAAGATGTAAGAATGCGAATGATTTGATTTAAGTAATAACAGCAGTATAATTAAGCAAACGAAACAGGCTGTAAGCTCATCAATGTTTGAACTTTCAACATTCAAGCCCTGGAGGTTGATTTAAATCACATGCATTTTTAAGGAAAAAATTCCAAAGGAGCAACGTTGAAATCTGGTACACGAAAATCCGTCAAGCCAAAACAAGAGAAAACATATGCTGCATCGACAGGAGGACAAGCTTAAAGGAGTCGTTCCACTGTCCATGATTCCGTTCCATCGAATACCTTTTCCCTATCCTCGAAGAATGGTTTAAACACCGTCTGAATGATATCTGTGGGGTGGAATCCGTCGATATATTCTCCAGTCAATGGATCCATGATCCTTCCAGAGACCAGAGGCATTCCAACCATGATGTTGAATTTTTCCGGCAGGGTCTTAGCGAAAAGCCGGCTCACAGTTTGAGAGGCAGCTTTCACAGTAGAAAGAGAGGAAAAGATTGGCTGTGGATCCTTATCGAGTGCACCACCGGTGACTAACAGAAGTGGCCTTTCTCCCTTTTGAATATTGTCGAGTCGGGCATTCTTCGTGAACCACTGCCCTGCAACTAGCGTGCCGACTGCCGCGACTCGAAAATCGGCCTCCAATTCCTCCGGGGTTAGATTGGTGATATCGGATTCGCTGACATGGGCGGCATTGTAGTTCAAGACGTCCAACTTGGATTGGAATTGATCAGCACACCAGTCGAGGGCAGCCTTCAGACTGGTTGGGTCGCCAGCGTCGGCGGCGCGATAGATGACTTTGGATTCTTTGTTTGTTTGGGCATTTTTGACCTCGTCTGCAATAGTGGAGAGGTTTTTCTCGGAACGAGAAATGAGCGCAATGTTCCACCCCAAACTTGCGAGCCATAGTGCCAGAGATCGGGACATGGACGAGCCGACGCCCACAATGGCGATGGTGCGGTTTTTGCTGACGGTCATTTCAATGCTTGCTTGAGGTGGTCTTTGAAATTGGATTGAGCAGGCTTTGGATGTTGTGTTACTTGTGTAAATAGAAAAGTCGCGGCATGCCACAAGACAATTTATATACGTTCGCGGGATTAGAATTCGGGATTCGAATTAACTTTGGCCGGCGACTTTATCTGATTTGTCAACGGTTTGCGAGTGGGCTGAATAATTCGAACAATTGTCAGCTTTCACGTCACGACTCACCACATATGGGAAAGTACTTCGTTACCCACTGGTTTCAATGTTTTTTTTTGTTGCAGTCGATCACTAAACAGGATATTGCCAGTGCTCTTCTACATTTTCATTGCATCTCAGCTTGCATCTGGCACAAAATTGACACAAAAGGGCGTGGAAAGACTTGTGCGACTCAGCCCACGCGTTCATGCATGTGTGTTCCCTCGTATTCCACCATGATTCATTGATTACTGAGCCGGCCTTTGAAATTCACTCGGCGACTGTTTTTTGGGTCGCTGACATGCCTGAGGCTGACTTCGTATTGACCCGCGGGCCGCGGGCCGAAGCCGCCTTCTGTCATACAAGTAACAAATGTGTGGGCCACATTGACCTAGAACTAACAAGCTTGATAAGCTTGATCACATCTGTCTCGCTGGTTGTGGCTTGAGTGAGTCGTTGTTCGAAAGAGAGAAAGAAGAGAGTCCGAGTTCTCCGAGAAATTAGAATAGACCAAATGGAAGAACGCTAGGCCCGAACAGGAGAAAGAAAATCAACCCAACTGTGCGGAACTGACGGTCACGCAGTGACGCATGAAATAATAACGAAATGACTACTAGTATCGATTCTAAACAATTATCCAGGTTTTCAATTTTCATTTAATGATCTTGGAAATTTGGAGACCTCATATTGACAGTCGACGCTTCGATATTATCTTTGAAATAAAATTGCTCCTTACTACCAAAGCCAATACCCCGACCTAAGGTACAGGAAAGAAAGAAACTTAGTAAATAACAACCTCATCCTTATCAGCTCCATCATCTTTCCACTTTGTTAAAATATTCTTTGTGCCCTGTGCGGCCATCTTAGCATATCCCTCCCCAGGTGGTGGCGCGCCAGGAGCAGGTGCTTTGGCATCGTCACCAACAACCCAAAGCACAGGCTCCCGATTCACTCCTTCGCAAGCGACCCGGATAGCCTCGACATCTGCTTGAGCATATCCTCGACCAAAAACGACTGCGCGGGCGGGCTTGCTGTAGTTTCCCGAGCCTACATCGTTGTTGTCGGGGGATTGGGGATCTCGCCCGGCGAGAACGTGAGGGATCTCGGCTTGAGCCGCCTCATTGGTCATGATGAAGTGGATGACTGTTTGACTTTGGTGAGTTTTTTTTTTTTTTCTTTTTTGAAAATTGCTTGAGCTTAGTTCCACGTCAAATGCATATTACCTTCGAATTCGGGTAACAAGGCCTCTGCGATGGGCTTTCCGATCACCGTGGACCGGCCACATACGATCACAGGCATGTGATTTGGGAGACTAGACATGATTGGATGATCAATATGGGAAGAATCGGGAATCAGAATATGATTGGTGAGTAGTATTCAAATGTTGACTGAGATGACCTGTCAATCGCGGGGAAGTTAGCCTCTTTTATAAGGCGGCTTCAATTTGGCCCCCATTCGTAGACCCCGCTAGGAACGATCGCACTGTGCGTCCTGTGATGGAGCAGTCTACATAGTTGGAGAGAGGGGGATTATATTGATACTTTGACAGGTGTCATGGAATTTAATTTAATGTTAGCTCAAAGACCGATCCTGCACAGTTATAGCCTAGCGCCATTGTATTTGAAATTCCAATTGGTTCGAATCGACTTACTCTATTTGGATGAGCATCAATTGATCTCTAGTCTAAGCACTCGAGAGTCACCGACAACATTCAAAGCATGAGGTAAAGCTTCCCATATTAAGATCGGTTGTCGACCGTCAGCGAAAATCAGCACAATCTTGATAATCGCCATCTATACTTTGATGAATCCACGAAGGGAAAACTCCGTTCAAAGAGGGTTGCAGCCTTCGAAATATTTTGCCTTGGGAATAGACAGACTATCTAGATCAATCAGGATCTATTGGACATTTGGAGTCAACCGAAGATGAAGATTCCAAGGTTCGATGAAAAGTTTTGCCAGCCTTACACTCTTTCTACGTCATTAACTCCAGGGCTCATTTCCAGTATATAGTAGCTTACACTTCACGCCGGATGAGTATCAAAATTCGAAAAATGTACTCCCCGGGGTACCTTTGGCATATCAAGTATTTTAACAAAAAAAGGCCAGAGAAACCAGGATGCAATCATCCCGGACGTCCCTCACAAAACAAGCTAAAAAGCTCCGTTTCTGGGATAGTGTCATCTCCTGGCTCGACCGTTACCTCTCCTGGCCACTCCCTCCCAACCCCAGCCTCGAGCTCACCATCCCGACAACAGTCAGCAAAACCCCCGGCTCAATCCAACTCTACATCTTCACCGCGCCAGACCAAGCACCAACCTCTATATCCTCCCAACCTCACGGCCTCAACGCACCTCCCCGCCCAGTCCTGATCAACTTCCATGGCGGCGGTTTCTCCATTGGCCACGCAATCGACGACGCAAGATGGGCGCATTCTGTCCTAAAAGCACATCCTGACAGTATATTCGTCAGCGTAAACTACAGACTCGCCCCGGAACACCCATTCCCCATTGCAATCGAGGACGGAGTCGATGCTATCCTGTGGCTATGGGACCATGCCGAGAACTACAATCTCGATCGAAAGCGGTTTGTGCTGTGCGGCGCAAGTGCGGGTGGAAATCTCTCATTCACGGTCCCATTGCGTCTCCACGAAGAACTTGAGGTCCGTGGCCGGCTAGATACGAAGAGCGAAATCAAGCTTGCGGGATCGGTGGCGTTTTACCCTACCGTGGATTGGACACGGTCTCGATCGGAGCGCGATGCTACGAACCCCATTGCGGCGGAGAGATCTATGATTCCGCCGAAAATATTCACGTTCTTCGATGAGTCGTATCTACTTAAAGAGAACTTGCCTAAGTTGGACGACGGGAAGAGTGTTGATATGGGGCATCCGTATTTATCGCCTGGGGTGGCGCCAACAAATTTGGTTCTTGAGGCTTTCCCGCCTTCTGTGGCAATTTATACATGTGGTTGGGATCAATTGCTTGTCGAGGGGAATACATTGAGGGAGAGAATTTGTCGCTTTGTGGATGAGGGAAGAATGAAGCATGTTGGCGGGTTTGTTGTTGAGGAGGCCATTCATGGGTTTGATAAACGGCCGACGTTTTGTTTGAAAAATGAGGCGAGGGATAGGATGTATTCAAATGCAAATGAGGAGCTAGGGATCATGTGGAGTTGTACTTGTGAGGAAGATGAGGATTCTGAGGCTGAAAATGGAGGAAGCGAAGTATGACATGGCATGAAATACTAGGTAGTGACATGCAGATAAAGTGAAATCGTATATAGCGCTCCTTTTCCTCAACCCATGTGGTCACCTTGTTATGCACAATCAACGCATGTTAACATAGATGTTTATTCATGTCTTGGTATTTTGTCCCCGAATTTTGCCCAATATTCAAGTGCTACAAGTGCTATGTAGTGTTTCTCACTCTCGTCGTTGCCTAGTCTAGGCCCCTCCCTGTATATTGCCCCCACTTTCTACCTGACTCCTGTATCTTATCCCGCCAATCAGCCACCAAATAGTAAGGAATCCATACACAAGATACGTACTCCTCTGTTGGCTTAAACCGGGGAGCTATCCGGAGTCCGACGATCCTAACATATGCATGCAGATCACATTGATCACTTATGTATTCTCATCACCTTTGAAAGCTTAGGCCAAATCGATGCCCTCGTCTTCAAATATTCTATCATCAAAGCCCTTCACTACAAAAATTGCCAGAGACCATCGGGAGAGATTCCGGGACTTACATAGAGAGAAACCCGATCAATGAAGCTTGGCTGAGACAACCTTATTCCATTCTCTCCAGATTCGATGTCGAAAGTAGCAGGGCACTTTTACCGTACCATAGACTGGTGGCTAACACTAGGGTCCGAAACGGGCGGTACGGTGCTTCTCACTGCGCAATGATTGGCTTAATACTGCTTTCGAATCCCTTTACGAGTAAAGACTTGCAAATCCTTTGATTAAGTACAAAAAATCGCAACGTGGCTTTATGGATTATGCATTTATAGTACTCTCACGCAACACAGCAAGCCTACGCCATATGCAGATAACATCCCAAAAAATATCTCCCTCTTCTCTCAATCTTTCAACTCTCCTAGTTCCACGACCACGGAATTTCGTAAATCTTTCTTTATCTTCTTCCACTTTGCACTTGCGCATCATGGTACTACATAACAAGCCAGGCTTTCAAGTAAGCCGTGTTCCCGCGACGGAGGAAGGGGCTCGAACAATCTGGGATATCGAAATGGCCGCGCAAAACGACAGCAACGAAAAGAATAAAAGCTCAATTGGAGACTTGCTCTGGCCAGCCCATCTCAAGCCTAAAAAGGTCAAGACCGAGACCGAGGCCCCTTCCCGAGCATCAGATGGACAAGATGACGATATCCGCCGGATGGTTCCGATGCTTGCAGATCCCAAGAATACTTACCTGCTAATAACGGAAGAGACCACCAACAAGGCTGTGGCTTTTTCGTGGTGGGCTCACGCCAAGGGCCAGACAGTAGCCCAGTGGGCAGAGGGATATAAGAACCGGTACCGACCGCCGACCATGAATGGTGCCTTGATGGATGCTACGGGAGGAGTACGTTATTTGAAGCGGGCGGGTGTGCTTGGGGAGAAGGAATTCATGCGTTAGTTATATCTCATCTCCCTTTATTACGTGTTAATATCACGGCTAACGATATTCAACTTGTTAGATCTGAAAGAATTGTATGTTCTTCCAAGCCATCAGCGTCAGGGGCTTGGGGGTTTGATGGTGGCATTTGGTGTCGATGAGGCAGATGAGCGTGGCCTGCCTGCTTACACGGAGGCTAGCCCAGAAGGCTTGGGACTATATCTCAAGCATGGGTTTAAAGAGGTTGATCGAGTGACAGTCGACTTGGAGCAGTGGGGTGGCCCAAAGGGCGATTTTAATACCTATGGGCTTTTGTATCGTGAGGCGGGTTCGGTTCACTGATAGATGAATGTAGCTCTGAGATAGCTTATTCATCTCTATTCTTATATCGATCATACTGTTGTTCAGCTGGTGTAACTTACTTCTTTTAGTAGATAATGTATATCACATATAAGAAAATGACATGTCACAGTGATGCAAAGAATGAATTAAGGTTGTTACAGCTTGTACCTCTACCAAACATTAATATTCAAATGATCATACAACTCCATGTCCCAGTACATGGATGCTTCCCACGCTTATCATATACAAAGCGGGGCCTAAGGTTGCAAGGCGGGGTAAACAGTAGCACAAAGTGGATTATGATTATTTTCCTTCTGCCCCTCGCTGACATTTTCCCTAACGATCACTCGCCTATTTCCGAATTTCCCTCCTACCTTGGTAGTCAGACCAAACCTCTTTCAGGTACGATATTCGCATTCCAGTCGCGTTTGCTTTACTTTGTTTGGCCTTGCAGGCAGATTTCCCGTCCCGCGTCTATAGTAGGAACTGAATTTCCGAATGCTGACCTCGGCTGGTCCATAGATCAGCAAAGATCCCTTCTTCAACAATATGTCTGGACACGCTAGCTGCCCCAAGTGCTCTGCCACCATGGCTGGTGGCTCCAAGACCTGTGGATCTTGTGGCGCGGTTCGTTGACCCTTTGGGTTCGGGTTGTAGATTCATTGCTGACTGCTCATGGTTCCCAGACTTGCCCCGTTTAAGCTACCACACACCCTCTACAGTATTGGGTTTGGTGGAGACGGTGTTATGGGCACACAGAGAGAACCGACATGCGTTACGAGATAGTATGATGTAAAACCAGTGAGAGGCTGGGTTCCGTTACGAATTGCCTTTCCTAGCAGAATGAGACCACGTTCTAAACCGATCAAAATGCAATTTCCCAGGTAGATTATCTCTTTTGAGATGATGTGTAGAACAGACATATTAAGAAACCGAAATGAAATTTGTATGTACTCAAAAGACGGGGCATCTAGACATTTCCCCTTCGCCCTTCAAAAAAAGGAGTTACAAGTTGATCATGAACACAATCCAAGGATATAAACGCAGAAACCGTCAAACTGATCAACGCAGGAGCCGGCCAGAAATCAGATTTGAACCAACCAACCCCCACGTTTCCTTCATTCTCTGCCGGTTAGAGAATATAATTATTCAGACCAGCATACAAACCCGGCCATGTATGGCCAAGCCCGTACCCACGAAGCTCAACTTATCGAATCTGGAAGGCTGCAGACCAGATTTATGCGGTCTTGCGCCACTGGGACCAGATACCGATCAGGGAAGTAATGGTACCGGTGATACCGACAATACCATCATCCAAGTTGAGGACGCCGATCGCAGACAACGGGGCTGCAAGATCGCACACGTCGGAGAATAGTTGTATGCGGGCAGCAGAGCGCTCCCTGCATTAAATGTTAGCACACATATCCTTCTTTTGGTAGGGAAAAAAAATCTCCCCAAAGCAACAGCAACAGAATACGTACTTCTCAATCTTCTTGGCCTCCACAACACCCTCACCCTCCTTACGGTCAACAGTCTTCTCCTTCTCCTGCAACTTGAAAAGAGTGTAAACGCCCGCAAGAGCACTGCACAGCAAACCAGCCGCCCAAGCGCGGTACGCACTCTCCTGCAGTCGCTTAACAGACTCAAGCTTGCGGAATCCGATGGCATCAACAACGGTGACCATGTCGAGGGACAAGTATCCAGCATAACCGAGCTGGCGACCAACGCTCAGGTAGCGAAGGACGGGGTCAATGGGACCCTTGTTATCGAGAGCTACGGAGGCAGCCTTGAGGTGCTCGGCAAACTTGCCGATACGCATGATCTTGCGCGTTGTGCCGAACTGCTTCTTGACGGCATTGTAAGGGTCGATTGCGGATTGAGGCTTGTTGGTGCGGTACAGGTACCAGGCGTAGAAGCGGGAGAAGTATTGGAGGGTACGGAGGAGCTTATCGCGACCGACTGGGAAGCAAGAAAAACAGATGGGTTAGCTGAGGTTGTCTTTGGATCAGGATGCGGATGAAGATGTTTTGTTGGGGATGCAGTTGAGCATGTTCGCCAGTCCGTCCGCCCCCAACGGGTGGAGGATTCTCGGGGAGTGATCGTGAAGTGAAGTGCAGTACACTGTACTCGATCTGACTTTCCTTTCGGGCTGGCTAGAACCCTGCCCATGGGGTATTTGGAAGTGTGTATCGTACGTACCGGTTGTCGCAACGAAGCGCAGCCAGTGCGCCAAGGCTGGGTGGTAAACGAGAGCGTCGGCAACCATATTTGCTGATTTCAATTAACTATCACACGAGGATGGGATTCGGGGGTAAGTTCTGGATTCGGAGACCGGCTTCGAAGGGTAGATGAAAAGGAAGTCGCAGGCGGACAGACGAAGGGAAAGGGTTGATGTATGTCGGGTGGTGAAAGGGAGGACCGGTAATTGACCGGCGTTTGGAGCCGCGCATGGGCTACCTCGGCTGGAGAAAGTGTGGAGTGAGAGTCCCTTCCCGATCTGACGTCTTCCATCTACCGCAATGGATTTCATGTGAAATGCTTAATCTGCTCCTCATTTTGCTTCTTTACTAATTCTCTCTCGTTCTTTTGTTCCATTTGTTTAGCTGAAATTTCATATCTATTCTTTACGCTGTATGAGGTTTCTAAACCCCCGTCGCCTACACGGAGAATGTGATGCGTACAAGTTCGTATGTAGAATGATCGCTGTTTATCTTCCGATCGGTTTTCGTCACGGCGCCAGGTCCATGAACTTGCAAGGTTCATTTAATCAAAGTCGCCAAGTAAAATGAACTCGTGGCTATTTTAACAGGTTGAAGATATCAAGGTGGGACTGGAAGCTAAAGTCTTTCAATTGTGGTGAACCCGCTGGTCACATATTAAGCGGATTATATAAGAAAGCCATACAAGAATGTTTCGGAAATGCACCGCCGAAGCAGATCACCCGCAGATCAGCCCGGAAAATGCCCACCATAAAAAAATATCAATACACATATCGCAGGGGAGTTTTCATTCAAATTCCGTCGCAAGGGGGTCATGGGGTGGGGTTGGGTCGTCGCACTCGGTTACTGGGCCGTTCATGTCGCGTAGGGAAATGGTAGCAAAAGAAGCCATGGGCAATTAATGAGAAGAGAGGGTCGGCGCATTGTGTCCGGTACACGGGGTTGGCAAGGGCATTGGCGAGGGCATTGGCGCGTGCGGGGAATCTGGGCCTTTGGGACCGTATTTAGTTACCCATGGTTGATGTGTCGTAGCCTTGTTCGGCCAAATACTCGCGGAACCTTTCATCCTCATGGGTGATGGTGTCCTATTGGGGGGTTAGAAGGTGAAGATAAGCATACCACACAATGGGAAGCGTACCTGATTGATCTGGGGGAGAAGGAACCATGCCAGGAAAGCACTGAAGATGCAGAGGGAGCTGGAAATGAAAAAAGGATCCTGGCCAGCGCGAGTCGGGTTTGGGGCGTTGTTTTTGGCAATGGGAAGGACGTAAGTACCCACGAATGCGCCAATCTTACCGATGGCTGCGGCATACGAGTAGTACTGTCCGCGAATGGCGGTGGCGCTGGTTTTAGCTGCAACAAGGCCAATGTTATCGCCAGGGCCAAATTCACCTAGGGCCAAGAAAACACTAATATATGGTTAGTGGGGACGAGAATAAATAGCGATTACGTGGGACTCACCCGTAAACCACGATAAAGGCACCAATGTACTCCTTAGTAGCAAGCCATTGGTAGCACCCAGACATGATGAATCCAACTACACCTTGGAGACCAACTCCGATAGCCAGTGTTTGACGAGGGCCAAGCCAATCACTACAAAATGCCCCGAGAGCGGAACCAGGAATGTAGAAGAGATAGATCAGCGTGGTATAGCCAAAGGTCTTCCAAAGTGGTGCGGTATCGGGGAGGATAAGTGACAGCCATTTGGAGGAGTACAGGCCGAAGGAGTAGGACGAAAAGTCGTAGATGAACCAGATCAAAGAGACGATAAACTAACACATTGTTAGCAAAACATATTGGGACAATCGGGTTTCTGTAGCCCCTACCAAGCGCCTCCAGTAGAACTTGAAGATCAGTGATAAAGGGAACTTGTGCATGCGCTGGCGGTTGAATTCCTCCGGCTCGTTCATCTTGTATCGAAGATAGACCAGACTCAAGGGAGGGATGATACCCAAGCCCAAACTAATACGCCAGGATGCCCGCAAATGATCACTACCGCAGATCAAGCAGACAATCATGGGTACAATGGCCGAGACCACGAAGCCAAAGTCGATCTGGAAGTTGGTGAACATGATGAACCACCGGTTGCGATGTCCTTCCTTGAGCTCGCCAGTGTTCTCTGCACAAGCGACTGAACCAGCAGGATATTCCCCACCAATGCCAACTCCAATGAAAAAACGATAAGCCGTTAGTGCTGCGAATAACCCGTACGTGCTATCATGGTAGCCATAGGAACCCGCGCAGAGAGCCGCGAAAACGAATAGGATGATTGTCGAAATCATCAGGGACCACTTGCGCGACCAGTGATCGCTTGTGTAGCCAAAGATGAGCATACCAACCACGGTACCAACAAAGGCGATTGATGAGACATTCTTACTGGCCGTGGAGTTGTTGTAGACATCCGCATAGATGGTACTGAGTATCGTGTTGACTTGGCCAATGACCTAGTATAAAAGCTGTCAGGAACTGCGAAATGTTTGTTTTTTCGACCATAACGCCCAATGTCACATTGCATGTGAGAACATTTGTCAGGTCTTAGTAGAATACTTACGCCATTAAGATAACCATCGGAGAACAGACCGGCACCACATGCGATGGTAGGCCAACTGCGCTCCCAACGACCCTTGGTCTTATCTTCGAGAGGCGACAGAGCATGTGCTTCCTCCAGCGGGCCGGGATCCTTCTCCGGGTATGTCTGGGGCTCAATTTCCTTGGAGCTCATGTTTGCGGATTGCCGTCAAGGCGATGCCTGTATAAGTTCAGCTTCGAATTCCCGAGGCACGTGAGGTCATGAGAGGACTATCTCACCTGTTTTCAAGCCAAAGGCGTCGTGATGCAAGGAGAAGCTATGGGATCCAGTCGAGGGGTTGTTGAGATGAAACCGAGAAAAACAAGAGATGGAAAGAGAAGAAATAGGACGAGTGCGAGCAACGAAGAAACTTGAAAGATTAGAAAATTTTAGGGGAAAGAAAAAAATTTAATAAAATAATAAACACGCTAAGAAAGTGAATCATCTTGGCCTTAGCCGATAAGCCCAGCTTCGGGGCCTTGTATCTCGACATGTTTACCTTAGGGCGGGATGCGGGATAGTGGGGGCCCTTTCCACCACTGTACATGCGCTAAGCATCAACCTTCCAAGCCGGGAGCCATGGAAAACCAATGAAAAGCGTTTGTTATATCACCTGCGCTCAGACCCACGTATACCCTCGGTCTGTTCCGTTGGTGGCTACGACGAATACCGTGTTCAACCGCACCGAAAAGCTTGTGCAAAAGGATCTGATTATCGGGAATACGCAAGCTCCAGAGGATCTTCATGTGGACAGGAATCACCATGACAAGGGTCTTGGAGAACTTCGCCTCCTGTCCTATGAAGGCACGCACGTGCGGATCCTGCTGTGTGTAACGTGTTGCCGGCTACAATGTACTAGTAGGTTGTACCGGGGCCGAACATCCACTTTTTTGCTTCGGTTGAAGCTGGGAAAAGGCAAAACCCCCAAAGGATATTTACGACTTTTAGAACTCGGCCTTTACCGAGAAAAAATGGCTTCAAGTGTTGCAAAATAAAAATTTAAAAAAAAAATTTAAAAGAGAAGAAAAGAAAAGCACCTGCACGGACAGTGCCACTCAGCTGACAGGGGACAAAATTGGTGTAGAGGAGTTCATAGGAGACAAAATGACTAGTGGAAAGGGCACACGACCTCACATGAAAACGTGTTGCAGCAACCGCGCGTGGAATGTGGACCCCAAAAATTAAAGGAAGCTTGTCATGAACTAGATCGATCGAGTTATATGCACGAACAAATTCCAGAGAAAAGAAAAGTTGATCATCAAGGTCATTTTTGTACAGGGATTGGTTGACTTACCCGATTAGGAAAGAACCAAAGAAAAGCAAGTTCTTGCCTGAGGCTCCAAGGGGTGTTCGGCCCCGGAGAAACTTTCCGCCAGCTGAGCTTGGGTCCAGCTAGTTACGTGATGTATCGCTTCCCTTCCAAGTGTCCCATCTCATCAAGACACTCTGCATCTCACCACCCCCCGATTTTCCATTCCCCCGTACCATTCATCAGTCCTGATCCGCCATCATGGGGTCTGATCCACAGTACATCAAGTACCCCGATCTCCTTCTCGCCCAAGATGTCTTCAACCTCTCCAACCCTGCATGCGCCTCATCCACCCGTAAGTCCTCGTTGAAGAAGCTGCAAGATGCCATCTCCGAGCGCAAGATGGCCCCCTTCTACCGCCATCTGGCTCACCCTACCGAGGGTATCTTGAACAACGCTGGCGAGGGTACCATTCAACATTCTCATGCCGGAACCACCAAGCCTCTCATCACCTCCAACATGCTCGCCTCACGAAAGTCGCCCCAGAACATCGATTTCCCGTGGGACGAAAAACTCTACCAGTCCCTAGTTGACGATAATAAGAAGGAGCTGGAGACTATTCAGAAGGAGGAAGATGACGCTGAGGAGGCTGCGGGTGAGACTGAGGTACAGGCTGCTCGGGGTAAACGAGCGGAATTCTGGGCCCGGGTTGGTGATAAGGTAAGGAAATATTACAATTCCTTTGCTTTTAAGGGGGAATTAATATCTAACCCCAATTTCTTTACAGGATAAAGCCGTCGAATCGTACGACGCCCTTCTTGATAAGATTGGTTTCCTGGGAACTAAGATCGACTTGGTTTTGGCCATGATCCGCATCGGTCTGTTCTTTGGTGATGCCTTGTTTGTGAAGAAGACAATTGAACGCGCAGAAACCCTGGTCGAGAGTGGTGGTGACTGGGACCGAAGGAATCGACTCAAGGCATACAAGGGTTTGCACCTGCTTACCATCCGTTCCTACAGCTTAGCCGCCCCTCTTCTCCTTGATAGTCTGTCAACATTCACAAGCTATGAACTTTGCAGCTATTCTGCCCTCGTCATCTACTCCGTCCTTGCAGGATCCTTGTCCCTCAAGCGGGTAGACTTCAAGGCCAAGGTGGTGGATGCACCGGAGATCAAGGCCATCCTGGGTGCTGGAGAGGACCAATTGGCTGCTCTCTCTGGTGAGCTTTCAGCTGGCCCCGGTGCTCAAGATGAAGATATGAAGGATGCGACAGTATCACGGTCGACTCCCACTACTGGTGCGACCACTGCCGTCAACTTGTCCACATTCGGAGCTGGCGCCAGCGACCGGGCAGAGAATGAGCTTCCGGTTGATTTCTCTCCCCTGGCGAACCTGGTGAACAGCCTGTATAATGGCAACTACCGCAATTTCTTTGTGGCTCTTGCCGGTGTCGAGGATCAATTCCTGACCCAGGACCACTACTTGCATGAACACCGAGCATGGTTTGTCCGGGAAATGCGACTACGTGCCTACCAGCAGCTCCTTCAGAGCTACCGGGTGGTAGGTCTGAACACCATGGCCAACGACTTTGGTGTGACCGTGGATTATCTTGACCGGTATGTATCTCTTTCTCCCCGCGTTCATATAAATATAAGCAAGGTCGCTAATCGAAGACATAGTGATCTGGCCAAGTTCATTTCCAGCAACCGCATTGCTTGCACTATCGACCGTGTCAATGGGATCATTGAGACCAATCGACCGGATGACAAGAACAAGCAATATGCGGACGTGGTGAAGCACGGTGATGCTTTGATCACCAAGCTCCAAAAGTATGGACAAGCTGTCCGTCTTCGTGGTAGTGAGCGCAGTTAAATGGAGGAAAGGGAAATTTATTTTTGATACGAACCAGAGAAATGATGGTCCATATCGTCACGGACCGAGATACCTTCTAGCATTGTAAACCTGTTTCTAGAATAGCCAGTCCACAGCTAGATCTTATGCTATCTATGACTCTTTTAATAATCGTTGCCGTTTCTATAAGGTGGAGAGTGTTTATCTTCTTTCCCAACACCCCCGCACCGGGCGGCTCCGGAGGTGACGATGGGGCTATTCACGGAGTCCACTGGGGCCGGGCAAGCCTTTCCGAGGGAAGATCGACCTAGCGCCATTGCCAAAGCCCGGGTTTATACCTGCGCTTAGAGCGTGATGGATCATGCACCGTACTTTCTTAACCTCGTAAATACGCCGCGTGCACCTTACTCGGGACCTCACCCGGGCTTTCACTGCATTCCCAGATGATTTGCCCACTGTTTGCCTACTACTGCTTAGTTATGTCTCAATTATGAGTCAATTATCTCTCAATAATTAAACTCCACACTTGTTATCTTTGGGTTCACCGAATGTGGGGGAGTCCTGTGCTGACTCACACACCGCCCAATCGGTCCCTGGATTCCTTTTTTCTTCATGCGCTGTAACCGTTCTTGTTCTTTCCTCCCATTTTAAGAGGTTAACGAGGTTCGGACCGAACAGGTGACTGTCTATCATTATGTGGCAACTTAAGCTCGCCTCTAGAATACGGGCGTCTCCGCCGCGGGCGCTGACGACACGGCTGAATGGTCTCCTACTTCGCCCGATCACACTTGGAGCTGCGGGGAGGTTCTCCGCTTGGTCAGGTACGTGGGATGATGCGTTCCAGGTTGCACCATATATAGTTCGGACAGCCTTCCGCGGAGAGAGGGGGTCTGTCCCACCCTATATAGCCCCATCGCCTGTCATTCTTCTTTTCTCCACTTCACTTGAACACTGTCAATACTATTCTACAAAGATCGTCTCTTTTGTTGACATACCACTAACGTATCTGGGTTGATCCTCAGACTCCACTATGACTCAAACCACCCAAACCAGTGTCGCATATACTACCAAGCGGACCCTGTCCACTCACTCGAACAAATGCCTCAACCTCGACAACATTAACCAGCATGTACGCGCAGCCAAGTACGCCGTGCGGGGTGAGCTGGCCGTCAAGGCTGAAACCTACCGTCAGCGCCTGTCAGACGGAGACAAGTCGCTACCCTTTGAAAGCGTCATTTTTGCAAACATCGGTAACCCACAGCAACTCGATCAGAAGCCCATCACTTTCTTCCGTCAAGTCCTCAGTCTCGTTGAGAACCCTCTGCTATTGGAGAACCCGGAGGCACTCAAGACCTCATTCGGATACAAACAGGATGTGATTGACCGGGCCAAGGCTCTCTTGGCGAACGTGCAGAGTGTGGGTGCCTACAGCCACAGCCAAGGCGCTCCGGGAATCCGAGATAGCGTGGCCAAGTTCATTGAGGAACGCGATGGATTCCCTGCGAACCCGCAGGACCTATTCTTGACTGGTGGTGCCTCGTCTGGTGTGAGCACACTGATGAGTGTTATCTGCAATGACCCGAATGCCGGTGTACTTGTACCTATTCCTCAATATCCACTTTATACCGCCACACTGGCGCTGCTGAATGCGCACTGTGTGCCTTACTACTTGGAAGAACAAAAGGCGTGGGGTACCAATGTCAGCGCAATTAAGCAGTCCATTGAGGAGGCCCGTGCCAAAAATATTAACGTGCGCTCCGTCGCTGTGATTAATCCCGGTAACCCTACCGGTGCTTCGCTGAGCTCCGACGACATCAAGGGTGTTCTCGATATCGCTGCTGAGGAGCATCTTGTTGTTATTGCCGACGAAGTGTACCAGACCAACGTCTTCACTGGTGAATTCGTCTCGTTTAAGAAGTGCCTGCGCCAGCTGCAGCAAGAGAGGCCTGGCAAGTACGACGATGTGGAGCTGGTTTCCTTGCACAGTACCTCTAAGGGCATGGTTGGCGAGTGTGGTCACCGTGGTGGTTACTTTGAGCTGGTCGGCTTTGACCCGTTAGTCCAGGAACAGATCTACAAGCTCGTCAGTATTGGTTTATGCCCACCGGTCGTTGCTCAGTGCCTGCTTGAAACTATGGTCAATCCTCCTCGTGAGGGTGAGCCCAGTTTCGAGCTGTACCAGAAGGAGTTCAACGGAATCCGGGATGGTCTACACAAGCGTGCACTTGCGTTGTATGATGCTTTCCAGCGCATGGAGGGCGTTGAGTGCCAGGAGCCCCAGGTAGGGATCACCAATTCCCATAATCCCCAATGACCGTTTATGCTAATTATGAATCCCAGGGTGCTATGTACCTCTTCCCCACCATCCATCTTCCTGCTAAGGCTGTTGACGCTGCCAAGGCTGAAGGCCGTACCGCTGATGAGTTCTACTGCCTGGCCATGCTCGACGCTACCGGCGTTTGCGTGGTCCCTGGTTCCGGCTTTGGTCAGAAGGAGAACACTCTTCACTTCCGTACAACATTCCTTGCCCCAGGCACTGATTGGGTCGAGCGCATCGTCAAGTTCCACTCGGAGTTTATCGAAAAGTACAGCTAAGAACGACATATTAAATAAAAAGAGTTTTAAGATGGAAGCACTGGAAGCAGTTGGAAGCAATTCTCTGGTCTGCTTCTGACGAATGTCTGACGTGCACTTCCACCGTCTCACCACGCCCCATACATTGTTCATACTGGCTTCTACATACGCGTCAACTGCGATTGTATGGGGTTTTCATTTTATACCATATAGAACGATTTTACTTTTGCGTTTCTGGAATCAAGTGATAATTTAGGTAGGCATCGCTCATGGATATAGGCCATGAATATAAACACCTTCAATCCCGTCAGATCTCTAATTACTTCCAAGGCAGCTTAGCTACTACACATAGATTCAAAGTTACTCCACATAAGCTAATCAGAGGGCATCGACCCATCGCGCTAAAGGTATCCACTATGTGCACTAGGCTTCCAATCCAGCCTGGGACTATAAAAGCCACCACCGGACTAAACTTCACCTCAGAAACCCCCAAAATCCCCGCACCAATCGCCATGGCTACCTTGTTATCTTATATCACAAACCTTCTCACCCCTACACCCCCACAACCAACTTACAAAATCGCGATTCTCGGCTATGAAGGCGCAGGCAAACAATCTCTCCTCCGCGGCCTCACAGACAAGGGAGCCCCAATAATAACGCACCGCAACACATCCTGCCGATATCCCGACAGCGTCAAAGTTCACATCGGCCACAACGCAGCCCTAAATATCACAATAATCGCCAGCGACATCGGGTACAGCGAGCCACCTAATTGGAAAGTCTTCCGCCGAAACTTTTATAAAGATGCCGATGCAGCGATCTGGGTAGTCAATTCTCGGTCCAGAAGCGATTTCTTCGAGTCGCCTGATTGGATTGCGGAGGAGATGACGACTAAGGAAAGGAGGAGGGTGGAGGAGCTTATTTCGAAACGGAGACGAGAAGGGAAGGACGTTGCGGAGGAGCAGGAGCGAGTTGCGAGGATGTCGGCTTTGAAGTTTGACGAGATACCCTGGCTTGTTTTAGTTAATCAACAGGATGCGGGAGATAGTTGCTCGTCAGAGGAGATATTGAAGGCTATGGAGCTTGAGAGTGTTGGCATGAAAGAGTTTAGAGTCTTTGAAGGATCGGTTTTGAAGTGGGAGGGAATTGATGAGGGTGTTGAATGGTTAGTTGGACGATTACGAGATCCTTTGAGGACTTAGGGAAGGAACTTGTTGGTAAAGAAAGCTCCAAGTTCCGTATGATGATCTGGTACTACACCACTTGAAGCGTAGTTTATTCTCCAGTCCTTGCGCCATCTGAAAATAAAATACAACATTCCAACGTGGGCGATATCTACTGTAGTATCCAATGCTCATATTGATCAACGGAAAGAAAACAAACCCCCTACATGCCCCCGCGGCATTAAAACTCAAGTCAGTGTGCAACAGATGCCGAATTATCCGAGAGTCATACAAGTTCGATCGGAATGATAATCTCCACACAGGCAATGTGTACGTACGTCTATCCCTTGCGTCGACCACGAATCGTCGTCGCAATTGCAATGTTTAACATTTCACGTCATCAGCGCATCAAGAGACGATGAATTGAATACGATGTAAATGACATTCAATAATGAAATCAAGTCTAGATATTATCTTACTGGAGACAAGTGCACGTCAGCTTACCACCCCCCAAACCCCCAACCAAAACAACCCAGATCCCAGATCCCAGATCCCAGCCATCACCATCTCAACCCGTCAGACTACAAGACACACAGCCAGCAAGGAGACCCCCCTGCACGCGACGCGGACCGTGCAGAGCTAAGCATTAGCCAAGCCCATGCACCCAAGGCTTGTATCGCGAGCAAGACACCATGTAAGGTTCGAAAAGGTGCCGGTGGCATGTGTGGCATGTGTGGCATGGACTAGCGGGCTGTACCATGTACGATCCGGAAAAGGCTTGGTATGCGAATGCAAGTAGCTGACGGGGATCATCTCCCTTTCTCGTATATACGTGTAACTTTGGCCGTAATTCATGATCTGTATGAGAAAATGCGTTACGTGTGCCGGGATTTCCGGTTGGAATGGGGATTTTGGTTGGAATGGCTTCAAGTTGTAGATGTACATGTAGATCTAGGTCTTATGTTACCGGAAAGAAGAACAAGATACATACTATGTTTTTAGTACTGAACATTACGTGGTGTTTTTTAAAAAATTTCAAATTTCATCGATTCAAATGTTCTTCTTTTCTTGTAGCAAATATACCAGTTGGTTTACTTTGTATTTTACTTGATCATGATGAGAGAGGTCAGTATAGTGAGTTCAGCTACCAAGCGCAGTCTACATTAACCCTGGGAAAATGTACACCGCTACTTGCCGATCGATTCACTCACACAGCGGCTGAATACGTTGAAGTTTTCCACCTTGTCCACTCTAACATCGTAACTGAGCAAAAGCTACGTAACGGAGGACTCTTTGACCTGCTAAACTTCCGAAAGAAGGGTTGAAGATCTGGTCACAGGGGTGACCAGGGAAACAAGTAAGCAAGTAACAAGTCATCCTGGAAGTGGGGTCCCACACACACACCTGACCCTGATCGCCTGTAGGTGATGGCAAGCTGCAGTCCGAGATCGAGCATAGACTTTCTCAGATGCAGATTGGGCGTAAAACCTGCTTTTTGCCGATCCGAGACAGGTCGGTTCGTGGGGAGAAGGAGGCAACACACCGCTAGAATTTTTTTTTGATTTTTGTGAAACCTTTTACCTACTCGATTCTTTTTATCTAATGCAGTCGTCTTGAATCGGGAATCTCGGCCGAATGTCCAACTTGTAGAGCTGGCTTGTACGGGGTATCGTAGGGGAGGCTGTTGAACTCTTCAAGAAAGTACACGAGTTTTCGGTGTGGGATTTGGTTTGAGTGCATGGCAGATGATCAGCTGTCCCAATAGATATCGCTTCTTTGAGCGCTAAGCATCTGAAGTGGATACTATTACGATTTTGTTTTTCAATGTCTTTTTTTTACAATACCAACGGGTAGGATCGCCATGTCAGATGTGGTATTCAGATATGGCCTAGAAAGTCATTGTACACGTAAAGGACTGGTCTATACAGCGAGTCAGTGCGAGTCCATGTACGGTGACCATGTACAGGCACATGGTATCCCTCGAAAAAAAAAAAATCACAAAACCCCTCTAGATTCAATGCTATCATGAAGAGCTCTAGAAACTGGCTAGTTAAAACAAGGCAAAGGCATTTATCATCATCTCTCATCAAGGTCATAAAGACGGTGTAGAGGTGGTGGTAAGGTGCCGCAGGTAGCGGAGACCCCAGGAAGTAAGATAAGAAGCAAAAAAGAGGTTCATCCTACAGATGACCAGGCTATTGAGCCCAGGACTGGCGGAAGTAGTCGTCATCCATGGGAGGGGTCGAATCATCGTTGAAGAGGTTGGCCGGCCAGGAGGGAACCGCATCTTGCGAGGGAGCCATGGAGTACATGTCCTGCGCTGGGATTGACTTGGGCTCCATTGCCATGCTGGCTTGAAGCTGGTGTTCTAGCGCAGCGGTGGATTCATTGGTGGACTTGAGGAAATCGTCAATGTTGATCGACTCAAGGTCATTGGATGACAAGAGTCGCGCCTGAGGTAGTCCAACCAGTGACGAGGCAGAGCTTATACGGAGATGGTCCATATCTGACGCTTCGCTTACGCTGTGGAGGTCGTGTACGTCGTTACCAGTATGTCCAAGGGCAGGAAGCGGTCCAAACTCGTCGACTTCGGAGATATCGCCCGAGGAGGATGGCGGGGGAAGACCCGAGGGGTACGAATTGTAATCGTAACTGGCGTATGACGGAGCCTGGGTGCTAGTAGTCGCAGGGACATCGGAATACAGTGGGAAACTTGACCAGTCAACCGATGGCGCGCCAGTACCGGCAGATCCCAATGGAAACTCGGAATCAGGAGAAGTGAAGTACTGGTCTTGGTACTGTTCTTGATACTGGTCTTGATACTGATCTTGGAATGCCATACACGTGATCGGGGAATTGGACGAGGTATTCGGGAACGATGCGAATGACGAGACGTCGAGAGGCGGGGGAACACTGGTGATGATTTGCTCCAGGGGGAATTTGTCCAAGGTGGCTGGGGCAGACGTAGGATTGGCGGAACCGTCTATCGGATTCTCCATGGCGGCAGTGGAAGGGGTGAAATTGTCGAGGAATGAATGATCGAGAGAAGCTGCGGTGGGAACCTCTTCTGAACCAGTCACAGGGCAACTGTGGGGGGATCCTTCATGTGATGTCTGCTGCGATTGAGACACAGGCTCCATTGACAAGCAAAGCGGTTCTTGAACAAAGGCGGATTGAGTCAATGGAAGATGGTCCACCGACCTACGAGGCATGTCGGATGGATGGTGAATCGTATGTGATCGTGGGATTGTGTACGGCAATCCACACTTGTGGGCCATGTCATTATGCTTATGGGCGGGTTTGTGGTGGCCATCACGGAAGATCGTCAGCCCGGTCAACGTTGACTCGGACTTGGTCGAAGTAAGCATGGGCTTCCGTGGGGGTTCAAGCGGGATGGACGACAGAGACATAGGCAGGCCTGCCTCTGGTACGGGGTCAAGATGAGATTCCTTTTTCAGCGCACAAGTACAGCGCTGGCCATGGCAGCAGCCACAACGATGGGAGTCCTCTGTAATTCACAATCAGAAAAGGGGAAGGTGGAAAAACCAGCACCATTGCTCACTCAGATCTCGCTTGTCACCATGGCATTCCGAATCGGACTTCTTTTTCTTATCGCCACCACACTGGCAACTGACGTGCGTTGTTCGAGACTTGCGTAGGCCGCGACAGTGGGTACATTGAGAGACTGGGCGGCCTTTTTTGTTGATATGGGTCAAAGGGCGGTCTAGTATCCTTTAGTGTTAGGCCAACGTCGTCGTTGTTGTTGTTTTGGAACAACCATGTATAATAGATGAACCTTGAAGGGATAAAGGAATTCTCTTGACATACCACTGTGGTGACAATTGCTAACGCGATGACCTCGGACGCAAGCTTCACACGCCCACTTCTCACCTTCAATAATCATGGTGGGTGGTTACTGCGAGGTACACATGCGATGAACGCGGGATTCGTTGTCGGAGGTAATAAATTTTAAAATAAGGGTCTGGGGAGGGAAAAAGGGTGCGGTCTGTTTTCCAAGTAGAACCGCCAAAGTGCCGTCAAGGCAAAAAGCTATTCAGCCGCTTCGTCGAGAAGGCCGAATTGTACCAAACGAACAAGAGGGTATCTCAGGCAAGTAAATCTCCCAATGCTTTTAGATCACAGAACGCCGATCCAGCAGGATACAAGGTATACTGAGGGTCGTACTGAGAAGGGAGTGGGCAAGGGGAGCCGAATCAAAGAAAATCAAATGGGTATATCGGTGTTTTTTTGGAGGTAGAGAGGAGAGTTGAGGAACCAAAGGGGGACCAAGCCTACGCACCGTTTGGCGCCGGCCGTGAGACAGGACACCAAGTACCGGTAGTGGCGGCCAAGAAAAAAGCGTTCGATATAGAGAGTTGGAGAACACCCTATGCGGAGGAAGAGGGAAAGGAAAGGAAAGAGGGAGGCGAGGGTTAATAACGGTACTGGGGGGGAAAAGTTGGGATTTTAGCTGCGTGGGAGGACTCTATGCTCGACCGGAGTTTAATACAAGGCACCGTTGCTTTACTGACCCGTGACACGGATTTCCCTTACATTAGATCTGCTTTTAGCCTGCATTTACCACGACCATACCACTTCCATACGTCCACTTTGATCCATTTGGTACCGTCACTTTGCCTTTTTGACCTTGGGACCTGAGTTTACCATACCGATACCATTCCACCATCTCGGTAAAGTACATTTTCTACTTTGATCGCATTCTCGGAAATCGGAAATTCGTGGGTAAAGATGTTTCGTTTGGAAAAAAAAAAAAAAAAAGCCCTGCAGGTGAACATTCATCCCTGTCTGGTTTTATTATTGAATTATTTTTTCCATGCGAACCAAATCTTTGACTACCAAACCCCCTTTTTTTTTTCAATGTTCGAGGGTGTCTCCACAAGTCCAACGACGTGGCGGTTCCACCTAGGAACCCGGGATTCTACGAAAGTAGTAGTAGGTACGGGGGTTAGGGTTTGTGTTTAATTCTTTCTACCGTAAAACTTGTCTTTTTTGGACTTGAACCCTATGCGGAACCAAAGAAGAATAACATCAGAAGTCACGTTGAAACCGAGCCCAGTGAAACCAGTGAAACTCCCATTGAAACCCCATATAGAAGTAGAAAATACCTGCATTCCACACATGTATAGCGTGGCCTCCCAGAGCTGACCTTGCCGCAAATATTTATTTCTTGATTCGCTCAGTTCGCCGTTTCGCCGAAATTCCCACGAGGCAACAATTTCAGATATGTCGCAAGAAGCATGTTCGCTGCAATGTAGATCATGAGCCATGTATGTGCGGGAAAATCTGAAATTGATGGGGGAGAGCTGATGGGGAGCTGATGGGGGAGCTGATGCGGCGAAATCCAATCGAGCACGGCCTTTCAACTACGAACTTGACCCCCACCAAAGGATGGATCTCGCTAGTGAAAATCTGGGGCCGCACATCCCAAGCCTTTGATGGCCCTCTTTCGCCTTACTTTGTTCTTTGTCTATTTTCCCTGTTTCTTCTGATGTGCCCTGCCCCAAACCCTACTTTACGGTCTTCAGGGTTTGATGCCAGGAAAGAAAAAAAAAAAATTTAAAAAAAGGATTTGGAACGGCGCTAAATCCCACGGATTCAGGTACCAATTTCAGCTTCAAAGTTTCCACGATCCCTGCAAGACTAGTATGTCTTTGTAGAATTCCCTGATGATAGTATTTTTCGCAGAAGAGAAAAAGAGAAAAAGGGCACTCTCTCAAGGAAACTTGAAGCAACGAGAAGGCTAGGGGTTTCCGAAACTGTATGCAACGGCGGTCATCTCCTGTTATGGTTGGTCGAGGCGTAAAAAGAAAAGAAAAAATAGGAAAAATAGGCAATGTCCACGAAAGCTTTCACTCCGTACAGCACCAGTACCATACTGCATGTCATAGCGGTGTTGATGCGGGTCCCCCATGGCGTCACTGTGCCTGTTTCGAGCGGCCTGCAGAGGGTTTTGGCGGCCAGCGGGTGGGCCCTGATCTGCGCATGCAACAACAGGCGATGACGGCCAATGGTTGTCCTTGAAGTGGGCTCCGTTTTAGACATTTCAAGGTTCCTGGTATCGTAAACATTTATCCTTTGATCCAATCGTGTGCCGTTTCGGGTGAAATCTAAATTAAGGCACGAAATACGATCGGGATGAACCTGACCAAATGCGTTAGCATTGTCCGGGAAGGTTCACAAGGCTCATCTTTCAAGTAGTGTAGTATTATGTTTCATGGTAAAGGTAAGCGACCGATGTTTTTTCCTTGATGGTTTTTTTTATGTTCAAGTCGCTTATGAATTTCGACTTGTTGAATAGCCAGAGTCTTTTCAATGTTGTTGAATTTGGCTTCAATGTTGACTCTCGAGGATGTTTGAATCACCTGATGTTGCAATATGTGCTACTATTATATCCCAGATGCTGATACACACGATTACTCACATATGGTATGTAGTAGCTAGTTACGGAATTAGCTCTGGTAATAATACGATCATAATATCATGTTCAATTAATACATATACACATCAGTCACTACATATACAAGGCGTTCACCATTCGAAGTAATCATATCATACTACTACCTACTAGCACTTGAGCACTATAACACATTGGACTTCCGCAGTTATTCAAAATAAGCATGTGGAATATTTGAAAGATTGTACATATATGTACTTCTCTTACATTCAAAGATTTTCTTATTCAATGTTCCATACATACATATATACATATATTTAGGAGTTTAATAGAAACTACATTCAATACTAATGTCTCGTAATATAAGTTCATAATAGATTTATGTTCATCTATTCAATATGTACAATACACAAATTTCAACATCAATCAAAATGTTGTATTTATCCAGTTCAACAGAATGCTTGTAATAGATTTACAATACATGTCAACTGGTAGATTTCCATCACACGATACTAAATGTATGAACCATACTCATTTTATAAGATTCCAAGTTTCAAGGTATATCTGGCCATATCAATTAATATACAAATTTAAAGCCCCGTAGAAATGATATTCCTGTGATGAGACACTAAATGTCAATCCTCAAGAATCCAAATAGATCATGTAGGGCATAACGATGGCATCAGCATTGAATTGATGACAGTACCCGCTGGTACTGCTGGTACTGCTGGTACTGCTGGTACTGCTGGTACTACGCACACCAAGAGAAAAAGGTTTCTGGGTCCGGGTCAACGGCTCCGATGGGAAAAGGTGTTAATCCGTTCCATCACGCAGAAACGAAAGGCCGTCCTCCGTAAGATCATCCGAGGAATATGTAGAAGTCAAGATATAGAATTAATTAACATGCCAGACGCGCAAAGCCTTGTACTTTGATTGCAATCATGTCAGCGCTTGAAATGGACGCCGAGCCATCTACCTTCAAACCCCGGCCGAATTTAGTTCGTAGAAAGGGAAAAAAAAAACCTAGTCCCCGAGTCCCTCGTGTCTTCCTTCCTTCAACCATCTACCTCCGGAAGCCCGCTTCCCACCAAAACCATCCTTTCCCTTCTTTTTTCGTGCTGAATTATTGCGATGAACCCTCGCGATCAGTCTGAAATGACTCCGGGCAATTCTTATCCCTCTCCGAACGGGGCGCAGATGGCCCAGGGAGCCATGCCATATTACACCAACCGCCAATTGACCACGGACGAACTCCTCTCCGCCGAGCTTTCCCGCGATGCTTCTGGACCTGGAATGGGCGATGGATCAAATAATGGTGTGCATCACAACCAGGGCATGGTTCTCGGGTCCTCGAATGCCGGCGATCTGGGTCGCACCTCGTCCGATGATCAACACCAGCATCAACACATGCTGCAATTCACTCCCAGCCAGCAAGTAGGCGTTGATCCGAACCATGATTTGAGCTATGGTGAACAAAGTGCGCGTAAGCGTTCGAAAATTTCACGAGCCTGTGACGAGTGTCGACGCAAGAAGGTATGTCGAAACCGAAACATTCGGATTTAATATGTAACGTTCAGTAGCTGACTTGTCAATTCTTCGGGGGAAAAAATAGGTGCGATGCGATGCTAGCTCAGAAACTGGTCTTGAGACTTGTTCAAATTGTCGTCGATTGGGTGTTGTCTGTCAATTCAGTCGCGTGCCGATGAAACGCGGGCCTAGTAAAGGGTAGGTCAACCCGACGCGTCGCCGCACATGAATTCAAGTGTTAATGGATGACTCTAGGTACATCAAGGAACTCGCAGAGCGACTGCACACCCTTGAAAATCAGATGCAGCCCGGAATGGTTCAGTCCGATGTTTCCTATCAGTCCATGAACGAGGTTTCTCTGCCTAGGTCATACCAGGACTTCGCCTCACCCCTCGATTCCGCCAATCGCAAGAGAACCTACTCTGTCTTCGAGGGTCTTCCAAGTTCATCCTTTGCACAACCTTCGTTTAACGCACGTGGATCACACAATGCCTTTGACGCCGCTGATTCCACCACCGATCCCTTCAGCACAGCGGTCGCTAGTGGCAGCGCATCGAAACAAACAATGCCGTTCTGGAACCCAACAGGCCATGAGCAAGACCTGCCAAGTGACCTTGAAATTACGGATCTGCACAAACACCAAGGCGACGACAACATCTCTCCCGTTCATCTCGACGAGGGCGCTCTTGATGCGTATGTTTCATACAAAAGAATTATGCCAACCACCCAAGGATTTTGAAACTAACATTCTGTAGGTACTACAAAACCATTCACACCCTTTGCCCTATTCTGCCCCACGCCAGGGAGCGGGCTTTGGAACTCCTCCATCAGGGCGATCGACAGGCACAGGAAACTTTCTGCCACGCGCTCTACAGTGTTACTCGCACTGATCTGTCTCGCGTTGCCGGTACCTTCGAGCGAGTTAACTCATTTGACAACGCGCAAGAAATTCTCTTGTCCCACACACGACAACCGTCATTGATCGATCAGTCCAACCCAAGCAACCTTATTTGGTTGCAAACCCTTATTTTGATGATCATCGATTGTGATCAGCGTGGTCCCGATAACTTCCTTGGCAAAGACGCCCTTCCAAAGCATACCTTGGTTCAAGTAGCCAACAATTTCGGCCATACTTTAGCGAAGAACCAGGGCCAATTGAGGATCGAGCGACCTTCAGACCCTGATGTTGATTCAGAGGCTAACTTGACTCGGCGCAACTGGGTGTCTTTGATTATCTTGACCCGCTTTTATTGCATCAGTGCCGCTGAAGTGAATTTTATCGACTCATATCCGCTCGACGAACAGTTGATCGGTGGCCGTGAGGATGGGCGAATTCTTGGCCCTATCGTCACTGGTATTGCTTGTAAGTTTTGATAACCTCCATAACACCGATAAAATTATGCTGACAAACAATCCCCAGCATTAACTGAACGCCTGGTTGAGATGATCGAGCTGGCCACTACCAAGGAAAATGTCTGTCAGGTCTCTCGCGGCCCTTACGCGAATTGGGGTAAGAGATTGATTTTTGATCATGAAAATCTTGCAGAGGAAGATCTCTTCAAGGTCCAAGACCTTCCTGAAAACACTGCCACTCGTATGCTCCTTGAAAGCATACACACTCAGCTTTACTGGACTGTCAATCTCCTGCTGAAACGCCATCTGTTTTTTTACAGCCCCCAGGAAGTTGTTCGTTGCGCCGAGGAGCTCACCAATGAGCTCTACAGGGCTACCTTGCAATCCCGGCTCCCTACGCCATTTGACATGCACAGTCTAGCCATCGCCTCTATGACCTTGCTTGAGGCTACTGTTCTCCCCGAAGTCTCAGACAAGTGTTGGGAATCGCTGAACAAAGTCGAAGAGATCTTAAACCAGCGGGAAAACCTCACAAATGAGATGGGCGAGTTTAAGAACATCCTGGGTACTCCAGGCTGGGATGCCAAAATCCGTGTTTTCCTTGAATGGCGTCGTGCCAAATTCCAAGCGAGTCAACTTCAGGAATCCGTTGCCAAGGCGGCCTCTGGCCTGCCACCACCTGTCATGGGCCCGAATGAACAGCGTTCTTTGCAGCATTTGGCTGACTTGGCAGTCGGCGCGGAAGGCTCCGTTGGCCAAGGCACATCTGGTACACCACCCCCAGGCCTCGGTGAGCAGGACGAGCCATCTCCGAGCATTGCGCCACGGCTAGCTCAGTCGCACGTTAATGCTGGCTATCAGACGGTTGACTTCACCATGCTTACGAAGGAGGGTTACCTGAATGTGTTCTCGGGTTTGATTTACTCCAGAGGCCCTCGCTAAGCAGCCTTCTGTTTTAGCTATTTCTACTCTTTGATATACTTTGAACTCTGGTCATGGTGCGCCCTGAGCTTGTGGGTTTGGCTTGCTTTGGAGCTAGGGTACTTTGACTTAGACTCGGAGTTTGGGTTGAATTGAACCATGGGCTTTAGCTTGCTTTGTGCTCTACTAGTAGCTTGAGGTTGCCGAATTCCTTGATTGTACTTAATGTCTGAACCGGAAAACACGTCTTCCCTCTGCTATCAATAATTTCATCTGATTTGATTGTCAACTGTTATCCCTGTCTGTTATCTCTTTTGATCAGCTACTAGTAATTTTGAGTCGGCAAGAACCAGTTGACCAACGTATGTGATCAGTTGATATTGTCAATCCAGGTTGGAACTCTAGTGATAGCTCTCTAATCAATGTTTGCCTTAACAATCATTCGCATTCCTCCATATGTTGCCCTTGGCTCCTCAGTAATCAGATCGACCTACCTAACCCGAATACCAGTAGGTGCCTCCTAGATCATGAAAATCCGCACATGGCAACAAGTACGCGAGTCCCCGACCTGTCAGAAAAGTCACCGCCCATGTATCCAATCCGCCCCGCTCCAATTGAGGCCGTTGCCACCGGCGTCCCGTCTACTTGGTGGCCAGAGCCCTGGTGCTCACGGCCTCACCTGTACCAGCTTTGACCTGACATAACCCCAAGAACGCGCGGATCATCCGTAGCGGGGAGACGAATTGGCAAGTTCCGAATATTCGATCCCTTCAGCCCAGTGATTCAGCACGAAACACCTTCCAGGACGGTGGTAAACCAGACGCCAGTTCAAGTCCGGAATCCAGCGACAAATAAACCCCGACTCCGTGCGATGCAGAACATGGGGGAAGTTTCCAAGCACAATACACCTACCGCCGCGGTGTATGAAACACCAGAGGTCCCCCCACATTGTAAAGCAAGCACTGCGATGATGACCCGTAGGGTAATACACAGTCTCTTCAGCCACAAGGATGGCGATTGGTCGTGGCCCATACGTCAGTATTGGAGAGATTTCATGTGCTGCATAAACAATACAGACATTTGCATGAGCTGTCAAGTCTTCCAAAAGAGACCGGAACTGCTCTTGAAATCTCACAGGCTCAGTATGGATCACGCTGATAATCACGACCCACGGCAAGGGGCGTTCTGCTGCTTCACCTCTTGTTGATGGAAAGATTGTGGGCATGATTGTTTCCTGAGGGAGAGAAAAGAATTTAGGCGCTGAGCTCAATTCAACCTTGAGCCTCTCTACCCGGGAAAAATTCTGCTTCCAGCAACCGTGGATAATTTGAAGCTTCAGAGGGCGAGCTAATCAGAGGTAGAAGGATTCACTGCTGCCCAGAATCTCAGATGTTTAAGTATCAAAGTTGGCCAGGACCTGAGAACTCGACAGGGCTAAGTACTTAGTACCTACTACCTAGCAAGTATTAAATAAAAATGCTTGGAATGTCGAAATTCACTACAAATATCCATTCACTGTTCCAAAATTCAATGTTGTTTGAGCCCTGGGCAAGGTCCACGAGTTGGACCGACGAGTGATTGCAACAAAATGTTGGAACTGAAATTGAACGTCGGAACCAATTGATCAAAGTATTCAAAATATTCCATGTAATGAAACATTCAAATTATTGATGTTTTTAATTGAAACAAAAAAGGACACCTTAGCCAATAATTATAGCCTCAGCTACTCCATAAATGGAAGGAAGACCGATAACCCTCTGCAAACCTTGAAATGAGCAAAAATCATCAAAAATAATTCAAAACGGAGCCATAAAACCGTACAAGATACCTTCAAGTACTCGATGCCAACTTTTCAGTGGTCTCAATCATCATACGTAACTCCTCTAGCCAATGATCCTCTACTTTCTGACCCCAAACGCAAACCGCTGCCATGTCATTTCGATATCCTGACAAAGAGCCATGAATGTATCGTCCTCAATAAGCTCACACATCCAGTTCTCCAGGAACGTGATTCTCTCAGGTTCCGGTGCTCTGAGGTAAGCCAGCAACTGATCCTCGGAGACATTTGTCGCTTTTGGTTGCGCAATACCGCTTCTACGACCCACGACTCCGACTGGGTGCCCGACTTCCATAGGTGCAACATTCCCGCTTTCGAGTTCACAATTTCCCTGATATTCCACACGACCCAGGCTAGTATGGGCCTCCGGTTGAGATGTTTGGGACTGTGGAAAGAGATGGTCCATTTGGAGGGTATCAGGGAGGAGCTGCGATGGAACCAAGGGCTGGGAATGAAATTGGGACTTCGAATCGGAGACCTGAGAGCCATTTGGTGCAGAGAAGGTATCGTGAGCAGCCTGTATACAACTTTGCTCGTCAATGGAGGTATCAACTGGTGGCTTGCTTATGGATGAGAGCGGTGAATCCAAAGACAGGTTGACATCTTCTTTTCGAGGCCTTTTTTGACTGGACTTTAAAAAGGGAAGATCCCTTTTTGGGGGTAGCATTTGATCGAGCTGGTCACCATGAAAAGCTGGCGATGTTGCAGGGCGGCTCTTGGGTTGCTCGGGTGGTTGGTCTTTCGGTGGAGCCCGTTGGTTTGGTGGCCAGGCTGCTGTGGACTCAAATGGAAATTGATTAAAAGACCCAGCTTGGCCAACCACATTGTATACAGGACTGGATGCCGAAGACGGGGGGTTGGGGGCTAAAGAAGTGGCCAATGTTAGAGCTGAGATCTTGGGGTTTTCGAGAGGGACATATTTACTTGTTATTCCACTGGGTATATATCCTGGCATCGGGAAGAAAGGAATTGTGCCGTCATTGTCTGAGGTTATGGAAGTGCTTGCATCCTTTGATGCAAATGTCGGTGCTTGAAACGATGCCCAAGAGGAGGAGGAAGGGAGTTTTCGTGGTTGTAACATCGATGTACTTCCCTCAGTCAGTGGACAGTTGATGTCGCTGAGCAGAGCAAGGGCCGTGAAGTAATCCGGGATTCGGGAAAATTTGATCTGGAATCTGCGAATCTAATCATTTATCAGAATCATTCCGATGGTGTCCAAAGATGGCCCATTATGTATAGAGACCTACATGCATACTGCTTTGAGGATATTTCACTGCAAGACAGGGCGACTTGACCACAACTGCGAACGCAGGCTTCGTCTGCAAAATATTCTCATTGTGGCTGTGATTCGTTGACATACGAGCAAAGTGTGCCAGGTCTAGTTGCTCCTGATTGGCATTGGAATTCAAAATCAGTTGGATGCAGTAAATATTTGGGGTAGATCGTGGAGACTCTCATACCAGAATGCCATCATTTCTAGCCACCCTCAAGACGAGTCTTGGTGGGACAGAGAATTCTCCAGGAACCTGCTCTAGTATGCATGTAAGATCTCCATCGCTGTTAACGTGGGTCCATGATAATGGAGCACTATGGTTGATGGTTGTGGTTGTGTGAGAAAACTTCGTGAGCGGGAGACGGGTCGTCTGGGACTGGAGGGGAATAATGGGTGGCATTGAATTAATTGGATTTCGATATCAAATAAAATCAGGTATATGGAAGCTTTATAGAAGCTTGAAGTTGTTCAACGAGATGAAAGGAGGCATGTTTGAGATGAAAAAAGAAGTTCAAATTGGTTTGTAAGAATTCAAACGTTCCATCACTCACCTCCTAATAGTCTTGTACATTGACCGAGTCTGTAACTTCAATGCACCTATATGTTTCTTTGTTTTGATACACCAGTTTACTTCATGAGTCCTTATTGTGGTTGTATTTCAATCCGTTAATTTGCGAAAAGTGGCCTAGTACACAGTGAATAAGGGCCTGAAGGCCACAGTGAACAGTGAACAGTGAACTGTTGGTTATATAGTCCGCTGAGATGCCTAAGGCAAGGTAGTAGACCTAAAGGAGACTAGTGTTTCTTAGCTGACAAAGTCCCGGAAGAACTAACTACACAGCCTCGGAGAAACTCTACGCCGGAGCAACAAAATTCCGGAAGAACTCCTCTACTCCGGAATAACTATATACCGGAGACGCGCTCCACCAGAGGGCGCGGACTTTTGGCTGATCAACCCGGGTTGATCGTAAGTCTAGCTGCTTCTCGCTGCCCTCCACCACAACAGCCAAGTCATTGTTGCTCATCCACTCTTTGGCACTGGTCGCTCAATTCTCCAAAACGTGCGCCAATTTCTCATACCTCTGGAGCTGATCTGGTTATCATCAGACGTGCTCGCTGCTGCATCCTTGTTGCGCATCTTTCCTTTCCTCTGGACGCGCACTTGTGGCTTCGCCTGACAATAAGCCCTTGCCTGTGAAACTTTCAGCGATCCATTCCTATCGAGATAAAGGAATTGTTTGGCGGCTTTTCTCATTCAGCGCCTAGTTCCACAGAAACCAGCCGGAGGCCCTACCTACGTCTTTAGATAATCGAATCACTCTGTACTGCAGCTCCGACGGCTTGTGTTCAAATTGAAGCGCGAGATTTTCAAAGTTTGACATTGAAAGAACGGAGAAAAGGCACAGCCACGGTTGGCCGAAAAGCAGCATACCCAGCTGGATCTGATTTGCAAGGGAGGGATCGAGGTAGCGCAGTCACCAAATCCTGCACCCATCCAAAGCAGCTGTGAATTGAACTAGCAGTTAGTTGAGATCGCCAAAATGTCGGCATCTACACCTCAAAGGACATCCTTACGGCGTAAGAGCCCCTCCATTTCCCCACCCCCACAATGGCAGTTCTAACAATGATACAGAGGGCCTGCGCCAGGCACCTAAAATCAACCAACCATTTATCCCAGACACAACCCCATCGCGTCAAAAACATCACAATCATGCCTTCACATCGCCGCAACCCCAAATGTCCCCTCACGTGAACCTGAACCCCGCCGCCAACCCCAATAGCGCCCAATTTGCGGTCGATAGCTGGGAAGGGAGAAGTCAAACACAACTTCCTATGTCTACCCGGGAAGTCCTCACGCCGGGAAATCGACCTGCAATCTTTGCCAATCTCACCGAACGCCCGAAGAAGATTCAGAAGCAGGCGGATTTCTATGACCCATATTTTCCATTGAGGTTCCTCGAAGTCCCCCGAAGTAAGTTTCTCTCTCCAAACGCCCGAATACACGACTATGAGACTAATGAGTTATAATAGCGGATCACATCTACAAGCGAGCTCACTACGGCCTCCAGTCTGACATCCCAGACGAGGTCGATTTCGCTTTATATCATCTGGTTCAGATTTCGAACCAAAGATGCGACAAGTTCAAGTTTGAGGGATTCCCATTGCTTGCCGAAACTCTCATGCAAAAGGCTTTGGAAATTACCTATCTATGCACTGGAGTTCGCTGGGAGTTTGAATATGATTCCCGTTTCCTCACTGACCGTGTCAATGTTCTGAACTCTTTGCACGGAACACGAGATGTCATCGACAAAATCAAAAAAATCCCTGTTAATCTCCCGACTGACACCCTTGAAACACCCGAGTTCACTCACCTTCTTCGAAATATCTCAGAAGCTACCTTGGTGCTGAGAAATATGGTCTTGTTGCGAGAGAACGCGTTCTATGTTTCGCGCTATGCAAGTGGCCTCCTGAGGGATTTCTTGGTTGTTCTCCTCAATGTTCCGAATCAACCGCGTTTGAATGAGATCAAAAATGATGCACTTGATATTGCCGAAGAAGTGACCAAGTTCATGAGGACTGACCCCCAGGACCCCCTTTGGAACTCTCTTGTGGAATGTCTACACTCCTCGGATCGTGCCCACATTTTACGGGCGCTATGGGCGTTGACCCATTTCTCTACCGAGTTGGAAGATGCCGATAGCAACCGTGCGATGGAAAGCCTTCCTAAGGCAACCCTCCAACAGTTGTACTACCATACACTTTTGGACCTCGACAAGAATATTCTGAGCGGTGCACTTGATTTCTGGTACCAATATACTCTTGGACGGGAGAATATTGAGACCCTAATGGATGTTATCAACTTCCCTAGCGTCTTCGTTCCACGCATGGTCGCACTTCTTACATACGAGGGACGACCAAGCAAGAAAGAAACGGTTTTGCAGGAAGAAAAGGTTGCCCCACCGCCATCTGAGATCCCGCGTGTGCCACCTGAGCTCCTAGAGAAGTTGATGGAATCGTCAGAGCCAGAACGCAGCTCGCAGTGGCTTCGCTGCTGCTTTGTTGAGGATGCAGAATGTGAGATTACTCAAATTGCCCTGTGGCAAGCCTACCAGAGCCGATTTGCAGACTCTCGAGTGCCAGGTGGAGGTGTTCTCCCTGCCGCCGAGTTCATTAAAAACGTCAGCAATACTTTCACGAATGCTCAAGCACAAGTGATCAATGGCCCTGGAGGCACAACCAAGTTTATCATCAAGGGAATTCGGCCTCTGGAAACTGCTCACACCGTCGAAGGTTTCCCCTACGTCTATTGCAAGTGGGCAGACCACTCGAAGCCATCCAAGATATGCCAGCGTGCCTTCGGCTCGCCTACGGATCTCCGTGGCCATGTCTTCGCGGACCATATGAATCTTGAGGCCGATGAGAAGCCAGGCCAGTTCAAATTGGAGACAGCGGAGACTCCTATCCACACCTGCCAGTGGGATAAATGCACTCGGTTCCGGGCTTCAGCACCCAATGCCAACACTGCCATGGTGGCTGGCCATGTTTCTTCTCACCTGCCAGAGGATCGACCTGCTGATGCGCTACCCCCGAGCACGAAACGCCTCGTTTTACAAGAACGAATTGTCCGCAAGTGGTACTACATGGACACCCCAATCAACGAAAAGAGCGAACCCTGTGGCGTGGCATACAAGGCTGCGCTAGTGCTGCGCAATATTGCCAAGAATCTCCCCAACCGCGTTGCTCCGAGATATGGCGGCGTGTCTTGGAAGAAGGCCTGTTTTGTCAGCCAGCGCCCAAAGATCGTGGAAGTGTGGGATCGAAACCGTGCTCTACGGAAGGAGTTGACAGAGCTGATCATGATCATGGAAAAGGAGGATGATTACTGATCCCCGTGGATGCGAATTTCTAACCCTTGCTTTTTGTGTACTTGTGAGCATCGACTTCTTTGTATCAGTAATACCCTGTCCGTCTTGCACCTGATCCTTACCAAGAATAGTGCTGCAACTTTTATTTTTCATTTTGGGCTCGGTGTTCTGACTCTTGATCTTGATTGGTTTTATGTCTTCAACGACGGTGTATGTATTGATATCATGGAGACGGAGTAAAGAGACATCTAGTACCTCTACTCCTCTTAAGTAGGGGTCTGAGAATTTTAGTTTCTAATTTTTTTTTTTTTTTAATTTCCCATGATTGTTAGGGACACACTGTATGGAGGGCCTCTAGGTGCATCAGGCCATGATTCAAATGTTGGGCCCAAGTATAGTACTAAGCTCTCAATCTGACTTGAATCATCTCCCCTTCGCATCCTGCGCGAACTCCCCCAAAACCCTCATTGCATCATCTGCCCGCCCAGCGGGGACGTAGATATGATCATGGAAAAACCCACTCACAACATTGGTACTGATTTGATGATCCTTGAGCCGATCAGTGATCGCCGCAATTAGTCCAACTGCCTCCAGGCTTGAATGGATCGTCAGCGAGATCTTGCGGCACGGGAAGACTGTCTCCATGAAGCCGTGGGACGCCGCTAGAGCTTCTGTGGTGACGATTGTGGTGCCTTCAGCTTCTTGAGCGATGAGTTGCGGGTTCAATGTAGATAGTGGAAGTGACGAGAGAGCTTCTTTTGTGGTGACAAAGACGTACGTCTCTGGGTCCAGAACTGGTTGCATAGTGGAGAGGAGCGTGGAGAGATTTTTTTCGCCGGACATTGTGGATGGGTTACGAAACTGAAGTGTATATAGTTTTTGGCTTGGCTTGATTTCAAGCTTTAAATAGTCTCTGATGTCAAGATGGACTGTGAAATGAGGGAAAAACAATGCTGAAATGATTCGGAGGATTTATAAGGGTTATAGAAAGATCTGTTGGTTATGTAGTGGAGTTGATGTCATGTCACCCACAGGGCGTATTATGTGGCGGCCGATAAGGGCCTCACGAGTCACGACACATCCCAATTTCAATTTCAACTTCTAACTTCACCGTCCTGTTTCCCGTATTGTATTTATGAATTTGGAATTACTCGTAATTTCAATGTTACTTTCTGCCGGTCGGAAACTTGAAATTGGACTAGTATTCAAATGTTAGGTTGACCCACAACTACTATAAAGGGCCAAGGTTAGGCTCATGTGTTACGTGTATATGAATCAAAAATAGCACATATCTTCAAATGACAAAAATGCAGTAATTATATAGAGGACTAAGCAACCTGAAGCAAAGAGATAAGTAATAACATAGAAACAATTAGGAAATTGTTGTCTCGAGATCACTGGACAATAAAAACCACAGAATCAGTAATCTCCAGTAGCCGTGCCGACGGTAGAAACATGCTGTCCATGGAATCCGAATCCAACCGCTCCTTTCATGTTAGCTCGACCAAGCTCAGTCAAGTTCCGAGCGTCAAGACAAAGCAGGTAGCTATGTTCTTGGAAGCCATCCAAAACCACACTAAGAAGCACGCCGTCATCTTCATCGACACCGGTCGGGTTGGCGACGAAGATCGGCTCTCCGGGTGAGTGGCCATGGTGCGCCCACAGACTAACCTCCTGAGTCTCACTGTCAAACTTGACGATACCATCTGTCATGGTCGACTCTCCCCGGAAAGTCACTGCATATGAATACCGATGCTTCTTCGTAACGAAACTGGGGTTCATTGTCGGCAATTCAGGCGAGAAAGCTTTGCCCGAAGACCATTCTAGGGAAGCCTTGAGAATCTCACTGCTAGGATCTGATGGAAGTGCAGGAAGGCGGAATTGAGCGAATGAGGTACGCATCTCATCGCTTCTGTTCTTGGCGAAATCCTTTGCAGTAGCGAGCGACGATTTCATATTCTTGTAAAGAACAAGATCAAGAAAGTTCGAGGTATCAATGCGAACAAGATCAGCAACTATATCGATTTTGGTTGGGTCTTCTTTGGATTGTTCCTGAAACGCGTTGATTGTGTGGAAACAAAAGAATGCCGGACTCTCATATGTGGCCATCAGGCCTCGTTCGTGCTTGCGGTCAACTACATACCATGTCGCCGGCTGAGAAGGATCGGTGGGCATGATTGTATCCTTGAAAGATCCGGTTTTGATATGTTGTATATTGATATGCGAGTTCCAGACACATAAGAGGACATAGTCCTCCGTGATACTCAGAGAGTGGATATAAGCTGGCGTGCCTGGGAAGGTAGCCAAGATAGACGTCTTGCCAGTTGCAGCAGAAACGTGGAAGATGCGATAGATAGAGATTGGACCCAGGGTGAGGTTGTAATTGAACACATCACCCGTCACTGGATCAGAGCGGGGATGCGAAGCAGACATAGGGCCGACCAATTCAGGATGAAGGTCTGTCTGCGTGGCAAGACCAATTGGCTCAAGGGTTTCCGGGTCCAGTTTTTTATAGGCGTGGGAATCGGTTTTTGCGTACAGGGTCCGAACCCCCTTCGAGTCGGACCAACGCTCCGCCGATTCATTATCAGACTGGAGGTCAAGGCCTGGCATGTTGACAGAGAGTGTCACGCCGATATTTCTCTCAGACGGGTGGCTGGGGAGCACATATTCCGTTTGCATTTTGTTGAAGACTTCCTTGCAAGGGTCACGTTTGTCACCGAATCCCACCATGTATCCTTCTTTTCGAACCTTTTCGATTAAAGCATCGGTGGAGAAGCGGGAGTTGTACAGGACTCGGATTGGAGTAGACGAAGCGTCAACATCATCTGAGGCGATGATTTGGAACCGGTGTGTTTGGCTGAAGCCGTCAAACCAGTGTGCCAGCTTGAATAGTTGGCCATCTTCAGTCTCGACTTGACTTTTGCCTGGACCAGTACGGTACAGTGTACCTGCGGTATAGGCAGGAATATGTCCAGTCACTGAGAGCTCGATTGGGGTGCGTTCCTCGTACTCGGGGTCAAACTATAAGATTGTTAGCGTGATTCAAAGGACCATAACAAAAAGGATTATCCTTACTCCCTTCTCGTTTGGCCAGTTGTTCCAATGATCTTCGGTGGGCTTCGAGCCATTCGCATGGGCTGGAATTGTGTCCGTGATGGAGGAAGGCATATTGGAAGAAGGTGGTTTGGATGAAGGTGCCAAGATATATTGAAGTAGAGTGTGTGTGGACACTGGAGGTTATAGAATAGACGGGGAGGAAATGGGAGAAAGGTTTATATATGTGAAATTGAGAAGTTAGTATTTCCAATGTAGTATTGAAAAGAGCCAGATATTCGTAGCCATTCAAATGGCTTGAGTATATGCTAATCATCAGCATAGATCACGGGTGGGGGAATCGCGACGGGAGCGGTGTCAAACACGAATCACATCTCACTCATCTTCATCCCCGGACACGGACACGGACTTTTATGACACACGGACACGGACTACGCGGTTGATCCGGATTTCCGTGTCTTAATGGAAACTACATAAAATACTATCCTCGGATCCACATTCGTCATCTGGCACGTTACAAGTCTTCAGGTCTTGGCCGATTGAAAAGCCGGGGAATTCTCTCGGCCCGCCGGGATTCACCCGCTTTCTGGGGCCCTTGGTGATTTCTAAATTTGAATTGCATGCTCGTCAGGGATCAAACCGGCTGACTTGGAAATCCGAGTGGACGATTTATGTCTCAGTCCTGACTAAAAGGAGCTAGGCGGGTTCCGGATGGAAGACTCACTCCAACACGCCGAGGCTGCTGGGGCCAAGGAGTGGAAGTGTGATCAGTGTCCTGCTATATTTGGGCGACTAGATCATCTCAAGAGACATATTGCGACTCGTAAGTTTGCACTGTGTTTAAACTGTAATGTTTGGTCGTTGCTAAATATGTATTGTATTAGACAAGACTGAGAGGAGTCATGCATGCCCTTTTTGTGCTGCTATATTCGGTCGAGGGTACGTACGCATTTCTTTTCTTTGGTGAAGCAGTATCATGCCTGGAGATTTAGATGATAAAATCACTTGAGCCTGGACACTAACTAGCACTTTGAAGAGATGTTCTGCGGAGGCATTGGAAATCATGCAAGACCCGTATACAGAACGGGCAGGAGATCCCCGAGATTCAGCGAGGTGGGAAACACAAGCGGGCTTGTGATAGCTGTGCAAAGATCAGAAAAGCTTGTAATGGAGAGAATCCATGTGCAGAGTGTTCACATCGTGCCCGACCATGTACCTATCAACGACTCGACCAAGATGACGACGCCAACGCATCTCCACGTCTGAATACACAGCGAGAGGCTTTGCCCCACGAGCAAAATTTGGGGATTATAAAAGGGCCCAACCAGCAGTCACTATGGAATATGGGGCTTCAGAATTATTTCCCAAACACAGAAACGGGTAAAAGGGTCTATGATCACAGGAAGAGATTTGGATTATAAACACCAAGCTCTCAAGGCCGCCAGCAACATTGAAGGAGCTGGAAAGTGTGATGCACTGGAATTCTAGATATGAGGGAATAATCTGATTTATACCCTGCTACATATACCATTATATGCAGCACTTGAGGGCTATCAAATTTGTTTATTATGTATAGAGAGAGAGGATTCAATCTGCCATTGTTAGGCTTTTTGACAGCAAAATATGACACCATTCATATGCAAGTAGTAGGGCCCGGCGACATCGAATTTAGGTAGGCGCTTTCTCAAGTCCCTCACATGTGCAAACTTCAAAGCTTTTAAAGTAGCGATACAGCCCCATGAAAGAAATAACCCAGTCTTCTTGCTGTGTGTTATATAAAAGGTTTTTTTTTTTTTTTTTAATTTTATTGGAATGGAGATGATTCCTTCTATTAAAGTGGAGATGTGTGTCGCAATACAATCATTGCTCTGTAATCATCGTGGCAGGAACATGGAGTCCACACTATCATACACGTCCCCGATGAAGTTGTTATAGCTAGCCCAGGCCACGTCACAGCCCTGGGTCGCACTGGAACTCAAATCCATTGCATCCCAAACACTGGGCCATGTTTCAAATTCGGATTCAAATCCCATATTTGTTGGCAATGCCATGGACGTATTAATTTGCTGGTTAGGAGCCATGGCCCCCATAACTTCCAATGAGAAATCAGCCAATGGATGGGTGCTCATAGATTGACCAGGATCAGCAGCAATGCCTCCACTTAAAGACACTTGGTTGATAGCATCATTGAGTCCCGGGCCACCTAGTAGCTCATGTTTTCGGGTTATTGCTTGGTTCATCAATTTTTCCAAAGGTCGCCACAGCATTCCGTGCTGTGAATCTGCAATGATATAACTTGTTCGTTGGTACATTTGATCCACCACGGGCCAATATTTAGACATAGTCTCCGGGTCTTTGCAGACGCACAACTCTGCAAGTGCTACTGCGAGGCCATGCCACGGGACCCACATTGATCCGAACCATGACCATTGCGACATGACTGGGTTGGAGTAGACTTCTGATGACATCTGGAGATTCTCAGCAGCCAGTTTGAGAAGTACATCACCCTGGACGAAGGGTGGCGTGAAGTTTGTGCTTCGTTGCAACGGGCGGAGACAGCCAAGTTGTAGCCATCCGTGAATTGAACTTGTAGTGCGTTTTGCGTATAGATGAAAGGTATGGAGATCTGGGCGACATCCCATCAAGAGAGTGGAAGCTGTATGCTGGAAGTCGGATAAGATTTGTTGGCGGACACTCATTGACTTTACCGAAGCTTCCATGAAATCGGCAAATGCAACGGATCGACAAACAGACTGGGCTGCTGTGATAATTAATGGGAGTGTCAAATCGGTGAAGGTCCCCTCCGGCGGTTCTTGAACCGGTCCCTCCATGTCGAACCAGATATCTTCGTCATTTATGTTTGATGGAGGAAGTGCTTCTAGCCAAGCAGCTTGCATCATTGGCTCAGATGCCCTGTCTAATGAAGCTGCGATATCAAGCATCCCGATACTCTGCCAACAACGCCGACGAATTTCTTGCTCGAATGGGCTGACCCGAAATGGTGGATCGGTCATGTGAAGACACTGTGCTTGAGCTACTCGAAGAGCCATGCTCAACATTGTCCACACTCGTCGGCTTTGGTCTTGACAACGAGCCGCGAGCTAGATACGGTTAGCTTTATTATCAACTACTTTTAGATTCGTTGGGGTTGATGTGCCGACGAAGAACTCACCAGTGAGATCACAAAAGCTTGCAATACAGTCAAATCATTGGTGGTCACAAAATCCGCCTTGACCAATGCGGCTTCTGTTTCCTTTTGAAGGTCGGCAAATGCACTTTGCTTATCTATACCAAAAAGCAGCTGGCACTGAGAATCGTCGATGGTGCAAACAGCGGCAGAAAAAACGGCGAATGCCAACGTGGCGGGGGCTTGATGATCAGGCTCATAGTCAAGATAAGATAGGTCGTCATGAAGAAATGCTCGTAATGAAGGTCGATGTAGGACTTTGAATAACGGGTCCACATTTCGAAGATAAATTTCACACAAAGTGCGACGGGTCTGTGGTGAGATGTTGATCCCTCTTAATGATTGGGGTGAATTCGAGACACTCTCCGAGCCCTCGGAGTTAACAAAGGCAGAACCAAAGCCAGTCGGACTTTTGAATTCAAGTTGGTCGTTTTCAACGCGGCTATCAAGCACCGTCCGCAACTCTTGCGTCTGTCAATGAAGAATATCAGATTTAGAGTTCACTACGTATTGCAAAAATGGATAATGCGCTCATGAATCATTCGTCCGTACCTGGTGCATGATATCCTCCCAAAATGAGCTGCCTAAGTAAGATGTTGATGGACGAGGTCGATGAGGCAGATTCGTCATTGTGGATGGTTGAAAGTCACCCAGCTGGGCAGCCTGGACATTTTGATGACTCCAGGTTTCCGCATCGGGGACGACGTCCGGGTCAAGGTTATGTTCCGGTGTAGGTGTATTGGAAAATGGGGCATCGTGAAGCTCCGGCTGAGGCAAAGATGGAGCATCCCGCTCTGTGGCTACCCGCCGCAAAAGTTGCTCGAGCTTTGCGACTCGATCCGCGAGTTCCTTGTCCGAGCCAGCAGCTCGCTCGGGTGCCTTGCGTGTGCGACCTCGCGGTAGACGGGCTCGCTCTACAGGAACACATCTAAAACCCAGTCGCTGACAGCTGGTGCATGGGCTCAGCTTGTCGCATTTCACTTTTCGTTGGCGACATGCTTCACAGCTCAAGCGGACCCTCGGCGCAGAAGACCGAGATTGAGCTGTTTTTTCAACATTGGCCGCGGGGTCGCGGCCTTCCATGACGCATCCACAACGATCAAGAGACGCGATTAAGAAAAACAATATAAAAAAAGATAGGAAAATATTGAAATCAATTTCTTATTGTAAAAAAATCGCACAGAATCGATTCGCGTAAACTGTGCGGAAAGTTCAAGCTGTCAAAATCTGGGGCTTAAGAAGTGAAGAAGGTCCGGGGTTTCTTTTGGAAGTTGTTAACGCTGATTGGTGAATTCCGATCCACAATCAGATCTTTCTTAACGCACCAAATCGGGTTGCGGGTCTTTTTTTTATCTATGAAGAATCATTAGTACATGGAATATCAATAAATGTCCTAATATGAATATACTATCATCTGTGTTCGAAGAAATATCAAGCAGTATACTAAGCGCTGCAGAAATTTACACAATGAAAAAAAAAACAGTAAGAAAGCATTAAAAGATGAGGACTCATACATAATAATCCATTATCTTTCCTTAACTAACTACTGCCAAGAACCCAGTAGTCACATTTCAATCATCCATTCCGAATGTTGGAAGGTGCTTCAATTGATAATTATACGTACATATCTAGCAGGTAAGGTATGTATATCATCAATGTACAATACGGAGCTGAAATCAATGTCTGTTTTGCTATGTATAGGTATAACCAAGTCTTCAAAAGGCTCGTATACATACATTGAATCCATGCTCTTGACTATAAATAACCCTGGAATCATTGCAGCACATTAAATGGATCAAGTACAATCGCGAGATAACATCATCTTTAACCAAGAATCTTTAAACCTCCCTTGGTCTTTCCAGACTTCTTCACACCATCATGCTTGACCTTGGTTGTCGAATGCCCGCCTCGGGCACCGCCTCCGCCCTTCTTGTGGTTCTTATTATTTGAAACTGGCTTCACCTCGGTGACAGCTCGGCGCAAAAGAACAGGGTGTGAGCCAATATACTTGCCCTGCATTTCACGGGCAGCCTTGAAGTAGTCATCACCATCACTGAAGCTCACAAACCCGTATCCTTTGCTCTTCTGTGTACGCTTCTCTCGAATGACACGAGCCTTCTGCACGGATGTGTATCGAGCAAAGGCCTTCAATAAAGATTCATCGGTGACTTCGCCAGCCAGATTACCGACGAACAATCGGAAATGGGCAGGATCCCATTCCAACAGCGTCGAATCAGTCCACTCCTGGCCACCACCGGCTCGAGCAACAGTCTTTTGAGATTCGGTTTGTGGGAGAGGAGTGCCGGCACCGGCCATACCAGTAGTTGGGGTTCCGGTACTTCTGCTGGGAGCAGCGGACTGGGCTCCTTGCATGTGAGCAGGGGTGGCCGAGTCATCCTGCTTAGCATAGGCGCTTTGCCACTGTGCGATCTGAGCTTCGGTCTCTGCATCTACGCCATCACGACCCGCGGGTGGCCCGCCACCATAGGATTGGCCCGGTGTCGAGCCGAAGGGGTTCTGAATGTGCGGGACGGTAGGGCCGTATGTACTTTCGTTGTAGGAGGCACTACCGCCGCCGCCGCCGTAGTATGAAGGGCCGCTCTGGTAAGATTGCGGCTGTTGTTGATGGTGTTGTTGTTGTTGATAATAATTTGAATAGTTGGTCGTCGGTGGGCCATACCCGGCGGACGAAACAGGTGGGGCTGAGATCGTCGGATTGTTGGCGCGGTATGGCTGTGGCTGACTAGAGGCTACGGAGCGCGGCTGGAAACCCGTGAAGGCCGGGCGCGTGTTCCCACCGTAGCCCGGGGCGGGTGGCTGGGCAGCATTGCTGGACGGAGGTGGTCGAGGAGGAAGAGACGAAGGCGCTTTATTGAGACCTGGAGGAGGCGGAAAGGACATGATGAATGGAGGGTCCGACAGGAGAAACGGTTGAGCTGTCTGTAAAATAGCAGCCGCAACGTACCTTCAGGGCAGTCTAATTCCACCAGACGTTCACACCTGAGGACTCGAAGCCTGTTCGAGAGAAAAGACAAAAAGCAAGATATGAGCGACAGTCAAGTTGGCGTTGAACGTCGGTCAAATAGAAGTTGAGGAGCAATGTTAAAGTTGAAATGATGAAGAGGTTGACGGGACTTTTTTTTCGATATGGAGCGATAAAGATTGCGATTGCGACCGCAAAATGGAAAAGACTTAGCAGCTGCACCTTTGGTCTTTAATCGCACCCGGAGTAACAAGCTTATGTTGAGGATCGACGGGTTGATGGCCTGAGGCAGAGAGCCGTTGTGACTGAGTAGAAGATGGGAGTCACATGACCTATGTAGGTCACCTGACAGTACTTAGTCATCTGATGAGGTCACCCCCAAATCGCCCAAAATGACCCCCACCCTAGACCGGATTAGGACTAGATCTTGGCCAACTTGACCGGATTCGAAGTGGATTTTCACGGCAAGTGAAAAGCAGTTTCTCCGTCAATTTATCCTGAACAGTTCACCGATGGGGAATTACCATGGGAACTTAGGTACCTGGTATTGTGATCCTTACCAATGCGTCTACAAATGACACTGTTCCCCCTGACCAAATGTGGTAGGAGATTGTATATACAACCTAGTCCCTGTAGCCACTTATGGTAGCATAATGGTACCTCTACATGTGAAGAATACCCCTCCATCTGACTGTAATCTGCCCCGCGCTCGGGTTTGATATGTACAGGAAGCATCATATATGCAGGCCCCCAAAAATCCCACGTATCTCGCTACAAGTGGATAAGCTTGCAAATACGAATGATCTAGATGTCGGGTCGGATATTGAATTTCAAACATTTCCCATAATATGGCCCCGAAGTCAAGGTCAGAACCCGAGTGGGATGACCACCGGGCGACTGTGCTCCTGTACCAAATACTTGGCGCGACACCGGCGGCAGTAACCAGAAAATAGCAGAAAATAGCTCAAGGACCCGTTATATGGTACATTTATTACTGTATTCTAAGTATTCGTAGTACATGCATCCCCGCCGGCGGATGTATCCCACCACGATGACGGAAGAGTTGCTCCGTCAGCCGGGTTACTTCTTCTCACTCCTTCCCCCTCCCCCAACCTTTCTTCCCTTCTTCAACTCTCTTCAGTTGTAGATACCCTCACTCCCAGCCATCCTCTCTTTCTTCAATTCGCATTCACTATGGCTGAGAAGGCTGCGTAAGTTCCTCTCTCTACTTCCTTTCCCCCTCTTTCCCCCCCCATCAGACAAGAGTTCCCCCTCAAAAGAAAAAAAAAGCCCCCTTCTCCAGATTCGGGACGCCCCCAACGGGTCCCCGCCAGTTTCTGGTCCGGTCCAATTCTGTCATACACAGCTCTGTGCTTGCAGAGCTACCTGAGGGTCATATGGAGTCGGCAATGTTCTTTCTCAATCCCCCGTATGATGCTGGCCATCAAGCTTCATGCATGTTGGCGCGTCATAGGAACCTCGCGGATCTACATCCCTCGGAATCGCATGGGCTATCCTCCCTTTCCATGATTTTATTTGCTTTTAGCAGGCTATTGACAAGAGAATTCGGTCGCTGACTATAGTGCCCGTCTCGCCGGCATCAATGTCGGCGCTCCGGCGCATCCTGTTTCTAGTCCCACCGCTGATTTCGGCCTCATCGGTCTGGCCGTCATGGGCCAGAACCTGATCCTGAACGCTGCCGACCACGGTTTCACCGTCTGCGCCTTCAACCGCACAACCTCCAAGGTCGACCGCTTCCTTGAGAACGAAGCCAAGGGTAAGCTTCCCTGTCCCGCTACACCAGGCCAAAAAAAAAAAAACATTGTCAACGGCGCGAAATGCTGACTGCTAGCTCTCAGGCAAGTCCATCATTGGCGCCCACTCCATCCAGGAGTTCATTGCTCAGCTCAAGCGCCCCCGCCGTATCATGCTCCTCGTTATGGCCGGCAAGCCCGTCGATGACTTCATCGAGTCCCTCCTGCCCTTCCTCGAGGAGGGTGATATCATCATTGACGGTGGTAACTCTCACTACCCCGACAGCAACCGCCGCACCCGCTACCTCGCCGAGAAGGGCATCAGCTTTGTCGGCAGCGGTGTTTCCGGTGGTGAGGAGGGTGCCCGCTACGGTCCCTCTCTCATGCCCGGTGGTAACGAGGCCGCCTGGCCCCACATCAAGGATATCTTCCAGAGCATCGCCGCTAAAAGCGACGGTGAGGCCTGCTGCGACTGGGTTGGTGACGAAGGTGCCGGTCACTACGTCAAGATGGTTCACAACGGTATTGAGTACGGTGACATGCAGCTGATTTGCGAGGTTGGTCCTTTCACTATGTTTTTCTATCCTCTCGATTTTTGCAAGAAAGCGACGTACTGACAGCTGTTTAAAAAGGCCTACGATATCCTGAAGCGTGGTCTCGGTCTCTCCTGCAAGGAGATTGGTGACATCTTCGCCAAGTGGAACACTGGTGTTCTGGACTCCTTCCTTATTGAGATCACCCGTGATGTTCTCTACTACAACGACAACGACGGAACTCCCCTCGTTGAGAAGATCCTCGACAAGGCCGGCCAGAAGGGTACCGGCAAGTGGACCGCCATTAACGCTCTTGACCTTGGTATGCCCGTCACCTTGATCGGCGAGGCTGTCTTCTCTCGTTGCCTCAGTGCCCTCAAGGATGAGCGCACCCGTGCTGCCACCATCCTCAGCGGCCCCACTCCCAAGTTCGAGGGTGACAAGGCTGCCTTCATCGATGACCTCGAGCAGGCTCTGTACGCCTCCAAGATTATCTCTTACGCCCAGGGCTTCATGCTCATCCAGAACGTAAGTTTTGATCTGTTTATCGCTTCTATTTTATCGCGAATTCAAGACTAATTTATATCATACAGGCCGCCAAGGAGTACGGCTGGAAGCTGAACAAGCCTTCCATCGCCCTCATGTGGCGTGGTGGTTGCATTATCCGCTCCGTCTTCCTCAAGGACATCACCAACGCTTACCGCAACAACCCTGACCTCGAGAACTTGCTGTTCGATGACTTCTTCACCAAGGCCATCAACACCGCCCAGAGCGGCTGGCGCAACGTTGTCAGCAAGTCTGCTGTCTGGGGTATCCCTCTGCCCGCCTTCTCCACTGCTCTCAGCTTCTACGACGGCTACCGCACCAAGGACTTGCCCGCCAACCTGCTGCAGGCCCAGCGTGACTACTTCGGTGCCCACACCTTCCGTATCAAGCCTGAGCACGCTAGCGAGACCTTCCCCGAGGGCAAGGACATCCACGTCAACTGGACCGGCCGCGGTGGTGATGTCTCTGCCTCGACTTACGTTGCGTAAGTTCGAAGATATAAGGATTAAAAACTGGGTTTTATGTATTTAGATGCCACCACGAATGGAACGTAACGAACTTGTTTCAATGAATGCGGTTTAATACCAAAGAAATAATCAAAAAAATGATTAATGTGTCTCGAGTGTCCTTGTCTATCCACACGTAGCCTACTACTACATAGTAGTAAAGTCCCCCAAGGTTGAAGATCCTCTAATTAGGTAGTAGGTAGCTTCCTCTTCCAGATGCCAAGCTCCGGCTCTTCAATATTGTGTTGGGAGTACATAATGCTCTTTCCCTAGGACTTTTGGCAAGTTTCCAACAATTGAACAAATGTTTGAACATTTGAAGTTGAACACCAGTCTGTACTCTCCAGTGCTTCAGATGACCAACTACAATGTATGTACTACTAATGTTCACGATGAACATTTCAATCCCCCCAATTTGCGCCTTGATAACAGGTCCCCAAAGTAATTATATACATAAATATCTGAACTGAGTACTATCATGCCCATATTGTAACATTAAATTACAAGCTCAAGGGGTTTTCAAAGTGCTGCCTTGGTGCCTTAAATAGTTCCATTCGAGCTAAACCAGATCGGGTATCGAGCAACGTCGACCTTGTCGCCATCTTATCGCATTCTCCCCTCCTTCCTCCACCAATTTCCCGGGGTGTTGAGGCTGTCTTCCCTTTCTTCCTTCCTTTCACCCCTCCTCTTCCCCTCTTCTTCCCTCCGCAGCAGGATATTGGGGCAACTATTTCATCCGAATCCCATCAAGACCTGTCCCTAAATCAACAGGGCTCGTTAAATTCACCACTGCCTACACAGGAACAAAGGGCCCGCTAGCTCCCAAGCTCCCAAAAGCCAAGACACGGGCATCAATTGAGACATCTCTGTGTCAAATGTACCGAAATTGATACAATTCGACATCAAGCGCTCATCGGACGAATTTATTCAACGAGCCCTCTCAAACAACCACTTGTGCGCAAGTGGACGAGTCAGTCACACCGCCCGCCCACGTCACACGCTGCATGGCGGAGAATAAGCGCCAGAACTCGAGTGCGAAGGCCTCCAGTCCTGGAACAACAGCCAACATGGTCCCGCACGAAGCTGCCTTGAGCGGTGCGATCGGTGCTCGGTGAGTGACAACAAACAACACATCAGCCTATATCTATCCCTCGAACCAACTACACTGGCTGCATTGATCCGAGCGCGTTCGCCAAAACCTACCAATACCGAGATAGTGTGCGCTAATATCATGGCTTTCCCTCCCAAATAGCGTCCGCATAACTACCGCTGCGCCAACAACCTCCACTTTCGAGGGAACCCTCTTCACTGTGTGCCCTATCACCAATCTCGTCGCTGTTAATACATCCTCCGCCGCCTCTTCCGGATCCTCTGACCACAAGCAAGCGCAGAGCGGTGATTACCGTGTCATTCCTGTTTCTCGCATCCAGTCTTTCCAACTTCTTTCTCTCCCAACAAATTCCTCGGACTCGCCTTCCTTCACAGATGCATTGCCCACCATCCAGGCCCTTGATACCCGTGCGCTGAAGACGCGCGAAATCAAGGCCGTTAGCGAGATCCTGGAACGGGAAGCCCGCCGCGGAAAGGGCGTCACCCGTGAGGCGCAGGATATATTTGATGCATTTAGTCGAACCATGCCTGCACGGTGGGATGGTCCGAATATCATTGTTGCCGATGCAGTCACAATCGCACCCCCGTACCGAGTTGATGAGTGTCGCCCGCTTGTCGAGGGTGACACAGCTGCTCTCGCTCGTGTGCGCAAAGTGGTGAGTACTAGCTTTGATTTTTGTTTTCTCTACAGCGTCTCATCTATTTCTCTTCCGTCTTTTTCTTCCTGTCCAAATTTACTAATATCTGATTTCACTTTGTTAAGCTCGAGATGGAACGCAAGAAGATAGAGCTGCGCAATGCTAGCGCCACCATTGGTTCGACTAGCACTTTCTCCCGCAATTCGGGCGACCAGCGCAAAGGTGGATAAACTTTCTATAACATTCATATTAAAGGAAGGTATTCGAAATGGTCGGTTGCCCTTATCGGGTATTAGAGTCTCGGCGATATGGTGAAATATGTTTTATCTGGATAACCATCGAGCTTTTACAAGTAACATGGCCAGGTATAATGTGTGATGCCAAGTTTGATGCACGCCTTCATGGAAAATACCCCTCTTAAGTGATGAAATAAGGTCGAGTATGTGATAGACCCGGCTTTCGCGGCAAACGAATCGATGAAGCTGCATTCTCGATGGCTTATGTACCTAAATATCAGTAGACAAGCCTGTTTGCGACTTCACAATCACCTGCAGTGATCACTGAACCACATGGCTTTCAAATGTTGTCTGATAGACTACCTCGCATCTCCCACCATAGAGCTTGGTTTTCTCAGATTTATGCTAGCTCCAATAATGAACAAGCCCAATTTTGCTTTGACAGGATTTATTCGAACCAAGATTCCAGCATTTAAGTAGTCCTGTATTCAAAAAAATCTCGAATCTTGCAGATAGTAATCAGTCAACTGGTTTGAATGGTTCTGAATGATCCTAAACATGTGGCGATACTCAAGTGCTACTGGTATTTACTATATATTCTCTATTTGACGGTACTCAAGCTCAAACAACATTTGAATGTCTATGGGTACATAACTATACGATGATAAATCATATACATGAGTAGATAAAATGCCAAATATCAATGTCCAAGTCGAAACAAAATGGATAAATCCATCTATGAATAGCGCTCAAACGAAACCCCGCATAGAAACAACAAAACAATCAAGAGGAACCCACTTCGCGCCGTTTCTTATTCATTCTCCACACTTCTTCCCGGAACCACTTCGCAGACTGTCCCCACAAAACCCTCAAGCCCGGATACCGTTGTCACTCCAGAAGCGTTGGCGTTAGAGCCAGGGCCGGAACCCAACGCTGCATTTGAAGACGCTCCCATCGACACACCCGGCATAACGAGGACCTGCGAACCAAGCTCAATCCACTCGACAGATGTGACAAGCGCAAATGTGATTCGTACATCTTCTTTGAATGCATCTGTCTTTCCTCCGGGCGAGGTGTGTGTAATCCCAGAGACAACCTTCCTAATATCAGTGGCGGATTGACGACGCCGCACGGTTTCAGAGGAGTTAGTGCTATCGGTGCTCATACCACCGTTCTCTCCACTGCCAGGGGGTTGGGCATCACCATCGAAGCTGAAGAACTCCAGCTCATCGGGCGATTGTGGCTCAGAAGGAGGCTCTTCACCTGGCCCTTCAAGTTCCATGCAAATCACGCGAACGGTCGTGCGAATGTTCGCTATGTAAGCTGTAGAATTACCACCCAGGAGCAGAGGAGGTGAATTCAGAGCAGAGAATTCGGATGCCGGGAACGTGGCTATGAAGCCTGTGTAGAAAGGCAATGACACTATAGATGAGAGCGGAGTGGTGGCGGCGGCGGTGGTGAAGGAGGAAGAAGGAAGCAAAAGTGGCGAGGTCTGGTGCAGATCCATCAGAACCATGCCCTTGCGGATGCGGCTAAGACGTGGAAGTCTATCTTGATCTGGGGATGTGAGAAGTTCGATACCAATAGTGCCGACTTGATCTTTCATTAGGCGGCGGACGGAGAGGCGAAGATCGCGGACGCTAACGACGCGTACGCGCTGCCATTTTACTTGCGCTGACGATGCATCTTTCCCTAGAAAAGAGCCTTGAGGAAAAGAGGCAGGAGACTCGCTTGAAGGACCCGGCCCGCTGCTACGAGAAAGCATACTCAATGGTACATTTTCATTGCAGCTGTCTGTGGAGGTGTCGACTAGAAGGGGTCCGATAGCCATCTCATCGCCGACGGATATGCTGCCATGGCGAACCAGGCCACACAATACCATTCCACGTTTCTCTCCGTTGCTTTTTTCACTGGCCATCGAGTATACCTTTGAAGGTGGAATGGCGAAGACCTCATCAACATCGAAAACATTGGCGCTGGATTGATTAGACACTGGTTTCCTACTACACCTTTGCAGTGCTCTTTGGCGTGGTACCAATGGGATAGGCAAATGTCGGAGAAGCGCGTGCAGTTTGCCAATCCCCGTACCATCAACAGCACTAGAGAGGATAATAGGCACAGTATGAGTCCAGTTCCCGTTTATTGTTTCGATCAGGTCTTGTATTACTTTGCTTTCCGATGCGCTGATTTGCTGAAGATCAGGTATCTTGTCTGCCGTTGGGGATGCAGGAAGCATCGCAGGCTTCCGATTTGCTGTTTTCAGGACAGACAAGACTCTGGCAAGATTTTCTCGGAGGCCAGTTCGGGACGCAATGTCTAACTTTGTGATGACAATCAAGAAGGGAACTTCCAACTTCAGAAATAGAGCCAAGTAGGCTAGACAAATATCCATTTCAGTGGCACTCTCGTTGCCGGCCTCAGTATCTGCTGTCTCGTCGCCGCAGTTGGCCGGAATACAAAGCATCACATAATGCGGGGCCCAGCTGACAAGACCCCTTAGTGTTGACTTCACATACCGAACTGAGCCTGGAAGATCGGATATAAACGCTAGGCGGCCGCAGCGCGAAGTAGCATGAATATCATCCCACGCCGCAACGTTACCGGAAGCATAGTTGACTACGCTTGTGGGTACATCGTCAGCATAGCCAATTAACTCCTGGGCAACAGAGCTAGTGATTCCGGACGAAATCTCGTGCCGATGTTTGAGGAGGCTAAGTCGGCTCTTTCCTCTCCCATTGTCAAGTTGCGATGAGGTTAAAGCTCCAAGCAAAGAGGATTTACCTACAGTGCTCGGGCCTGCGATGGATATTCTGATCTGCTCCGTTTGGGAATAGTCCTCTTCCGAGACAGAGCTCGCTGCCGGATCAGAATCAACACCGTCATTGCCATTGCCATTGCGACTTGATTGAGGAGACATTTTGTAGAAGTCAAGGTCTGGAGATACCAAAGCTTCCGCTACCCAAAGCTTGTGCGGCAAATCCTTCTTCCATTCGCATTTCCCGACAATGACTCGGCGCAAAATTTCAACTTTACATCCAAGACTAGCTGCCATAGCCTGGAGATTAGTCACACTTTCATCAAGTTCATCTTGCGTTAAGCCTACGAAGGTGCCATCGTCGGCAACTCCAATCTCGTAAAGTGCACCCTGGCTCTCTTCCAGGCCGGGAAGAAGGCGAGCCGGCTTGGGCGGTACACCCAATTGTGGGGTCGTATGTGGAAGCACGGGAACCACCAAGTTCGCCGTTGTGGATGAATGGAATGGTGATGATTGCTGTAATCGCCATAAAAGTTGCGTCGTCAACCCCTGAAGCCTTTGTTGCCGACTTTGAGACGACTTGGCTTGCATGGGCTTCGGGCGTGTCGCTGCTGTATCTTCAGAAGGCGATGCAGAATTTGAAGGCGGTCCATAATTTGAAGGCAATGCTGTGCTACTACGAGAATGATATGACCCTGCGACAACATTCCCGGTGGACATGGAAAGATAGCTCCGCCGTGGACGGAGCAGTAGATGCAACTTGTACTCAGTGGGGCCCTCCTGGGGCTCTGGCTCCAACTTGGTGATGCCATAATCTGCAAGAAAATCAGGATCCGCGGAACTCAATGCTGAGCTGGACTTGGTTCGGATGGCTAGTCCTTGGCTACCAGATACGTTGACTTGAGGTGTTGAAGCTCCCGAAGTCGACCATGGGGACGAAACCCGAGGTGGGTCGGGATCGTACGTGAAGATAGATGCCATTGCTGCGGGCCCGCAACCAGAAAACGGTCAACAAGCTTACAGCTTACCACGGTAATGAAGGTGATGGAGTTGAACAAAAGTGACACGTTAGCAAGGAACACGCAGTAACAGATGGCATTCTTTCGCGGAACATGAGGGAGAAATCAATGATGATCCGATGAATGACCAACATCAATGATCGGGCTTGAGTCACCCGTATTAATGCCTGAGGCATCACATGACTCCCCAGGGCCCACACGGACAGATTTAGTAGATTTAGAACTATGGGAATGAGCCTTGTGTTTGCCCAAGAGATTAATCACCAAGAAGAAGAAAGAAGAAAAAAAAAAAAAATGAAAAAGCTGGCATGAAAGATTTATTCAAAAAAGGATATCAAAGTATCAAAACAACCAAGAATTGAACTAAATAATGTCACGTTGTTATATCATCCTACTCCGCTGATGGTTCGCCGCCCGATGCTTTACATTTGCCTTGTGCAACATGGATATTTCTTGCAGTTGTTCGTGTGAATACTGCTCCACATATATGACACTCGGCTTTGGCAACCACTCCAGACTTTTCACGTTGGTGTCGTAAAAGGTTGCTGAAAGTCGAGAACTCACGACCATTACATCCGTGATCCCAGCATTGCGGTCGGGGCCTTGAACTTACAACACGGACTTGGCGTTCATTGTCGGATCCCTGGACTGATTCGGAGGGAGAAAAAACAGAATCTGTCACCATTGAAGATGCTTGCGAGCCCATAGGGGAGTGGTGAGATGAACTATTTCCCCTCATTAATACATCTAGTCAGTTTAAAACGGGATTGAGTTGTTCAACTCACGGGATTGAGGGTGCTTCGGGGAGATAATAAGCAGGTTGGTTAATCATATAAGGAGGGGGTCTATCAATTGATAGTGCTGCATTAACGACTGATGCTTCTTGTTCCTCGTTCCTCGGCCCTCGACTTCCAAGTATATGGAATAAAACTTACGAGTTCATGAGAGGCTGTTCGGAAACGCCAGCGGCTGAGTGAGGAGGAAAAGGACGAGCTATCGAAGGACTACGGGTGATGATTAGTTGAATGATTTTGAGAACAAGACACGTCTTCCCATGATCTGGATTTTTCGCCCATACCTGCGGGAATGATTTTGTCGAGCACTACCAGGTGGCCCAGGGAGGTATGAAGGTGAGGCATGCGACTCATGGTAGCCACTAATCGGCCCGGTGGTATGGCTGCCGTAGGCAGGAGAAAAGCATGATGAAGGATATGACTGTGACGGGGGAAATTGCTGATACATATTTCCCGATGAAGGCTGCAACGGTTGATATGGGCGGTTGGGCCAGCCGTAGTCTATAGTATATTAGCATTTGATTTAACAACCAAAATCAATGACTTTCTTACGCTGAGAGTTTGGCTGCATTGGGCCAGCGAAGTATGCTTCTGATGCTACTGACATAGGGTCTGTTGTTATCCCAAGGCCGCTGGTATAGGAATTTGATCAGTATATTCTTTCCTTTGATCCTTTTCTTTGTTTGCTTTGTTGCCAATCTTGGGATGTTAGGGAACGGGAAGTCAAGACTCACCGTGGATGCTCCGTAGGCAATCGATCTTCGTAATTTTCTTGTTTAATAGATAATTGGATACCTTGCTCGGAGAATTGTTCAGAGTGGGAAGGGTTTGAGTAAGAGGATTCTGAATGTGGATGTTCAGAATAGGAAGGATCTTGATCATGTAATGATTGAGGGAGAGGAGTAGAGTGCAAGGCAATAGTGGAGTCTTGTGGAGGTGAGAAGTAAGGAGCCGATGAAGATAAAGAGGCTGTTTTCAGAGCCGGCACTGGACTAGTAATCAATGACCAAGAGGAAGTCGAGTTGTCAAATATGCCTTGCTGGAACGCCGGCGGCTGCACAGGCTCAATAGAAGTGGACAAAAGACCAAATCGCTGCTGCAAGGCTGGGTCCTTAGATAGGTCAAAACTACTGCCCTCACTGGAGTGATCCTGTAAGTTTGACTGTGAATGCTCGGAGGACATTGGGGCTTTTCGGCCTAGGTCATGGACCTAGCGCAAAACTACAATTGGACAAGGAGGGGACCAGAAAAGAGCCAGCAAAACATAGGGGGGGTGAATTTGGGAAAGAGGGGCGACAATCTTCGAGAACGAAAAAAAAATGAAGACAATAGGAAATAAAACAATCACATACTGTATAATATAGTTTTGTAGCCTTGTGGATTTGGATGCTTGTAGCGAAGTCAAGGGAATTTTTTTTGGATCCTGGCTTCACGGGTCTAGTAACTCGGAGTGAGCGACGGGCGCAATAGCAAGATATTCAGATTTGGAGAAAAAAATTGCAAATCCGATGGCGAGAAACGAAAGAAACGAAAATCCGAAGAAATTTCAACAAGAAAAAAACTTTAGACCGTATGGCAAGGAAGTTGTTACAAGAGAAAACAAAGTCCCCGCAATCATAAATCGCCCAGTTGGGTACAGACTAGTCCTGACTCCTCTAGGAGGGAAGGCAGACCCGTAGGCTTCTAGAACTTCTTTGCCAATAGGTGTTCGTAGCCACGAGTTGGGTGGAAATCTTGTCCCTGAAACGCACTTGGGGCAATTTCCTTCCGGGTCGCGAGTTTTCGGGGAAATAGGGCCTGTAATCTTTGCCTATCTGATGTTTGTGAATGAGTAAGGAGACGTGAGATCCTATGATCTTCAAGCTGTGGATCCAAGCATCCTGTCATCCTATCGCATGCTCGAACAGAAAGAATAGACCTGGTTTTCGACCCCCACAGGTGACACCGGAAGTTCCGTTATTAGGCCAAAGGCTATAGTGAAAAAACTAGCCCGGGGGTATTGGTCCATGGGGCCAAGGGGTATAATGATCCTTGAGCGGCATAAGAGAGCTTCTCCCAGCAAAATAAAAGTGGGTTTTTTAGCCCCATTTTGCTGAATGGGGCGTCTCGAGTCGATTTGGGGGCCATGACGCTGGCCTGTTAGGTGGCTTGCTAAAAGATCCAGAAAAGTTAGTCGCTTTCGACGCAGGCCGCCATTCGCGGTGACTCCAAAATTACAAAAAAGCAATATGCTGTCCCGAATGTGGTCGCTTCTGTCCTACTAATTGCAGATTTGGCCCCCACGAACGCGCCGTTAGGAAAGCAGGATCCGATCACCAAGAATGTACCCTGAACTGGCCGAAGAATCAGATCTGATGTCGGGAATAGGAGTGTTGGGTCTAGTATATGCAGGTTTCCAGAATTGGCTGGATTCTTGGAACCATCAATCCGAATTCAGTAGATTGGCCACAGGTAAACCGCTAATGGGAGGACGGTACGGTCACATTCAACCTTTCTCGTATAATGGGTACGCGGCCTCGAACCAGAATAATACAAATGGAGGTCTAGTGGCTGGGTTCGCAATTGTATTCTTTTAGGATATGGCGTCAAAGTTGAGCCACAGATGCAGGATCCCAGCATCCCGGAGGGCCATGTGGTTTGCTGCGTCCACCCGTAAGTAACGCCAAAGTGGATCCCCTGTACAAGCAACCAACAGCGTGGTAGCGAGCCTAGGGCCGAAAAAAAAAGCCATTGTGAGAAGGGGTCAAAAGGGCCGGGGGTAGGGGCGCACGATTACACTTAGCGCCTGCGGAATTTGTCATGGCACGACCCGGGGGAGTGGCGCCTCCGGGAGTGCTCCCGGGCCAACTCGAGATCGACCGGCTCTCTCCACATTCAGGGCTTGGGATCCGCAAGTCTGGTTAGATCCTGGCAAAGACTCCGGAGCGATGGGTCTTGGTTTTGATCTTGTACTCTCTTCCGCTTTCTTTGCATTGCATATCCCAAATACCCCCGTGTACGGTGTGCATGAGTATGGTTCACCGTTTTTCTAATGTCTCTTAGTTGGTGTGTGAGACCAGAATGACTTGGTCCGAGCTCGGCACTTCGGGGCAAGAAATTTGCACGGACTCGGTATCGCCGAGCATTGTAGGTTGGGGTTTTGTCTAAAATCACAAAACTAATCGATTGAGCGGGATGGTCTGCAAGCCTCCTTATTCAGGGCCAACGTGAGACGTATAATGAACGACTACGTATTTCGATCTTCCCGACTGTATTTCCAAGAGAGTTTAGGCTGTGGCTCCGCCGAACTCACAAAAGTGGAGATGAGATTTTGACATCAATCAATCAACCATGCAAGCTTACGGCGTCCACGCACATCCACAAAAAGGCGGTGCAGCTTGCCCAACACAAAACAATGTCATTCAATTTGGTCACACAAGTCGGGTGGCTGGAAAAGATAAATGGTCACTGTGGCGTTCATCGCCAAGATCGAGAACAGGTGGAGAACCGGATAAATCCGATTGCTAACGCTCAAGACAGGCAGGGTCGGGAATCAACGATTTGCCTCTACACATGGAGACTTTTGCAGGACTTGGTAATATGTAATGTGGCAGATCCATGCCTTTCAAGCTCCACTTTACCGAAAGGGCCCCATGGAAGGGTCCCCCGAAAGAAGTGATACTGAGATACTGGCCGGTCTGGACAAATATTAGGTTCTTCATGAGGCTGAAACTGAAATCTCTAGAGTTGAAGCTCAGAGTTTCGAGAGGAATCAAGTCGGGAAGATAGAATCTTTAATGAGGTACAATCTAAACACAAGGTAATTCAAAGGTCGAGAGAGATTCAAGACAAAGAAAACAGATCCGAGGCACGTGACATAGCTCTTGCTCAGTCACGTGGTTCTGGCCGAGACTGCACCACTGTAATCCGACCGCATCGACAGCCCGCGTTGGTTAGTATTCACAGTCAATTCTCCACCAAATCCCTACAAAACTACTGGAACGCAAATCATACATCTTGATCCCACTATTGCGTCTCCAAAATATCCACAATGAAGCTCGTCCGGTACGTCAATCCCGATGGCAGCGCGGTCAGCCTAGCTGCCACGCGCATTCCATCCCGAAATATCTTTCTGGAGCTGAGCGCTGACACGTCATCTAGGTTTTTGATGAAATGCGCCAATGAGACGGTGACTGTTGAGCTCAAGAATGGTGAGTTTCAGTGTTATCAATTCAAGACAACCTTACGCGTCTGAATGACCACCCACGTCTTCTCCCAACCCCAGACCGCCATAGCTTCTAACACGGATTCAACTCCACCTAGGCACAATTCTCCACGGCACAATTACTGCGGTCTCCCCGCAAATGAATACCTCTCTCCGAACTGTGAAGATGACCCCCAAGGGTCGTGATCCCATCTCACTTGACACTATCAACATCCGTGGCTCCACAATCCGTTACTACATCCTCCCCGACAGCTTGCCGCTCGACACTTTGCTCGTTGATGATGCTCCCAAGCCCAAGAACAAGGCTCGCAAGGAAGCCGCCGACCGTGGTCGGGGTGGCCGTGGAGGTCCCCGCGGCGGTGGCGGCAGGGGTCGTGGTGGTCCTCGTGGCGGTGGTGGCCGTGGACGTGGGCGTGGCTTCTAAATGTTTTCCTTCTCTCTAAAGAGTACAAACTGGCGTTTGTTTCTGCCTTTCAACTATTTCCCTTTTTTCAACTTTTGCATGATCATGGGATGTCATCTTGTTACTAGTACCCCCGAGACTTCTTTCTAAATTCTGGAGGGTGAAAGAAAAAGCAATATCTTTTTTTTTTATTTTCCAAACTTTGACTTGTTGCGTTTACTGGTACGATTCTTTGGATTTGATAGATTCATCACGGTATACTTTGGAAGTCTGGTCACGAGATTAGGTATCCTTGATCATATTTCAGCCGTGAGAAATAACAGCCAGGATGCCAGCATCGGAGGATCATCCTTAGCTCTATGCTTGGTGGAGTCAAGCTACGGGCCGCAATCCATTCAAGCATCCATAAAGGCTACACAAAATATTCCCACACGGGCCACCCTCGAGGTATTTGCGAGCTCTCGTTCTTCTGTTACTGTTATTTTTTGGCCAAGGAGGCAAATACAAAGGAAAGGGAAAGAAGTTCCACCTTGATCACCTCAGCTTTCGAAATTAATGGTGCCTTAGCATTTATCACCTGACTATAACCCCTGCTGCATCACACGTGATAGGCATGCAGTAGCTTGTGGTCAGGCATGCAAGTGTGCCCTAATTTCACTTCATCTAATTCTTCGCGTTTATTAAAAGAGAGCCAGTTTAGTTTACTCGTGTATGTGTTTATTTCACAATATTTACGATACAGGAAGCTCGCCATAACACTGATATTGCTATCATCTATGTTACATGAGCTTGAAAGAGTTCACAGGTTTTTCCTAGTACGTATACCAGTTACTAGTGGGTACATAGTAAGCATTTGCGTAAGACTGAGGTACAAGGTCATTTTATCATGCATCCCAGCTCCAGAAATAGCTACCGATTGGTCTTCGAAGCTCAACGGACTGAATACTGATTGACACGCAGTCATTCCAACCAAGGCGCTAATTTAGGGCCACTTGCCCAGCCTCGTTGACATGTTTGAACATTTTGACACTCTTCAGCAAATTAGAAGGGTATATTGTTCCAACACTTACCAACAAGCAAGATCTTTCCTGTTTTAATCCCTTGTTCAGTTCTTTGAGTCTTTGCCAATCTATTCAACATAGGTAAGCCCTGGAGGCAAGCTTGCAAAACGAGGAACAAAGCACTAGGTACCCACGCATATGCCTCCATGTGCACTGCTACTCATCAAAATTCCCGTGATCGTCGGCAGCCATATTGTCCTAAATCCGCGAGCGAGGTCCGAGCATTGGATTGGAGTTAACTACCTGCAGGCCCTTAGTCTTCCCGGGGCCGTTTATACCAGTACACATACAAAGACTCAAAATTTCCATAATTCCGGCCTGTCCCTTTCTATACGGGTCAAATTTTGGGCTGCTCGGTTGTTCCTTGACCGATTGGGTCTGTGGTGCTGACATTAGGTACATATGTACTAGATACATGTAGTGCATTGCTCGGATAGTGGACGGTGTACCCGAAAAGGTTCGTCAGTCGTATTCGATCAATCCGATCGAACGATATGTAGATGCGATGGGATTTTTGGAAGTCTTCTCCAAACTGATTAATTTTAGCCGCTTTCATCACATGTTTCTGTAATTTTTGTTCGAAAATCACGTCGGAATAAATACATACAGAATCACTATGTTCCAATCTAGTAATCAGTGCGCCTTTGCAAACTCGCACCCCCACTTGGACCCGATCTAGTGTCAAAGGGCGAGATGATCTCGATTGACGTACTTCCAGGGGCTTCCAAAGTTTGCGTGTCAGCTGGTACTTACGCGGCGGAGGGACCCCGGGGCCAAAAAAACAACAAAAACAAAACTGGGGCCTCTGTGGAAAAGTGGCCACCCGAGTATACGATAAAAAGCTGTTGCCCTTAGAAAAATCCCTACTTTAACCAACATTTGAACATTGAAAGTAGTATACCTAGGTTTTTACTTGATTTCTCGGGGTTCGAGATAATCAGCAAGACTAATATATCGTTTCCGAACTGTCGGTAGTATAGTTAGGTTAAGTAGCAGTTTAGCTCAACTCTCCTTAAACCCGATGCGCATTACCCGAAGCGGAGAGTACAGCAACTTTCTAGTAAAGGCTTGGTAAACTTTGGATCTAGCTTTTAAGTCCAATATTTGAATACGAGACGTTAGAAATTACAATATTTGAACGATTTACTTTTGAACTGTTTGGATTTTCTGACACGAATAAAGAAATTTGAAAACACTCATTACCACAGCCGACCTATCATCGTAAGGGTCTAGCAGCAATTTTATGGGGCTAGAAGTAGGATTAGGCCCCTGGTTCGGCGAGCCTCCGACGGTATCCCAATGCCAATCTTATGTACTACTTTCTGTGGATAACAGATGCCAAAATACAATATTAATTTAAAAAATTATGCCGTGTCAGATCCGCACATCTAAGTCCCCGTTTTTCCGTCCTAATCGGGTCAACGAACAAAGGCATCTAATTCGTCATCTAGTGCAAATGCCAAAGTTTTGAGCAACATTTGAAGCTTTTGGATCAATAAGGCTTTCGGGCTTGAGCCTTTCCAGCAGCATATCAGTGGAGACCGTCGGCCGGTGGGCTCGTTAGTCCGAAATATGTCCACGCATCATACAATCTGGGCAGTATCGCCAAGAATGCTCAAGAACCAGCCAACCTTGGAAGGGCACTAAATAGTGTACTGTGGCTCGCTTAGCGTGAAGTAAATGTTACCTTTGTTCAAAATGCTATCATAGTCTCTGTCCAACCATTGCCCTTCGAGGCCTATTTTGGGAAATTAGGCCGGTTCAAGCGGTAAAAATCTACTTTGGTGCAGCTTGTATGACAGCTTGTCGTCCTATCATTCCTACCATTCTTATTCATAAGCTTGCATGTTGATCTTTCAAATAATTTACTGATAATAGATTCTCGAAGTGCCTGGCGCTCTGCTTACACCAATTAGCCAAACCAATGGCTTTGGTCCGTGCTTCTCTGCAAAGCCCAAGTGACAAATCTTCCAATGAGATTAAATATCTCATAGATTTACTAATAACAGAATATTTTGAGTCAATGATTCTTTTCCCGGGCCAATGCTTCATTTCACATAGGCCATCCCATTCATTGAAATGCTGAGGTCAAGTCCCGGCCATTGAATGTTCCCCGGAATATGAATATACGTGCAAACGACAGTCTTGTCATCAAGCCTTTCCAAGTTGCCGAGACAGATCCCCGAGGCTCCGGGGTAATGTAGCGTTCGTGTCCAAGTCCATGGGCCATCAGCCACACTATTAGTACAATTCACTACAGTCCGATACCGTCCGAACTACGGGGTTAATCTAAAAATTGGGGGGAAAAAGAAATATTTGAAAACGATTTAATTTAAAATTCGTAATTTGTGAATTCTGCATTTACAGAACGAAAAGAACAAAATTCTTCACCGCAAGTTCCAATCGACATTACTACATTAGTTGGTACAAATCCTCCCCTCATCGCCGAAGCACTACTTTGCATAGTGCTTACCAGTAAACGCCGATCCCGGCAGAGAAACCTACAACTTACCCCGTACAAATCTCAAAAAAAGTAAATATTCGCGCCACCTGCAGCATCTACTACTAATATTAGGGCAATATCTCAAGAGTTCGTTTCAGATCTTTATTGTTGTCGTTCCCAATGTCCTAATTAGGCTCAAATGGCGATGGGACATCTAGTACGTTTCAAGGTTGTATGGCCATATGCATACTATGACGGTAGGAGTATGCGTCCAAAAAACACCCCTGTCCAACCCCCTCCTCCAAAAACCGAGCACATGCACAATTATGGATTTTCCTGAAATCACTAGCATATCCACGTGGCCCCCTAGAAGGCCCCCAAAGCCGGGAGTACCACGTTGTGTCCCTGTTTCATCTAGCGGCACAGCGGCAATGACTAGATATGCCACTAAAAATGCATGCCGAGGGTTGGTTTCGGGTTTGCTTGGGGCCGCCCTCTCGTGAGGCTTTACGAATTTACTAGTTTGGGGGCCGGCGCCACGGTCTACAGGACCGTGTGTATGCGTTGGATGAATGCGTACTATGATACCTTGCAGGTTGCAGCTGCACAGTCCCAAGGCTGACGTTTTCTTCCGGATGGTCCCGTGGGCAATCAACGTCACTGGAGAGCTGCGTGGCTTGGTACTTTTCGCGAAGTATCTGGGGGGAGTTCTAGAAACACTAGAAACGCTAAGTCTGACACTGCCGTTTGCCGAGTTTTTTTTTAATGTGTTGGAATTGGATTATTCGGTTAAGGTAAATTTCTAACTTACGGCCTTGGATATGGCATGGAGGAATTCGCCTAGACATAGACATGATTCAAGCTGTCCGTTCCTCATTGCCTTATGTCCTATCAATGGATGCAAATGTAAAAAATGTGGGTTTCTTTTTTCATAACTCTTGACTCTGGGAGCATCTCACATGGAACTTGCCTCTCTCCATATGCGAACAATGACTAACTTCTCCCAGCCAGCTTGCATGCCACTTGATCCCACACTTTCAGCGCACCACCCACCCCATTCGCGAATGCGCGTCATAACCTCGTCCGGTCGGTTCTGCTTGCACAGTAGCACATAAGCCACTCCCCGAGCCGAAAGAGTGCCAGGAATGGCGTCTAATAAACGGTTTGTCGTCTCCATTCCATCCACGCCCCCCGCATACGTCAGCGAAAGGAAGTATGAGTCGCTCTCAAACCTAGCCGACCGAGACATGGCCTGGGCCACGGCTGGATCATTCTCAGACGCAGTGGGTAACCTTGGGAGGTCTTCACTGGGCACATAAGGTGGGTTGAAAAGAAGAACGTCCACGCTGCCAGGGCGTAAAGACGTGCACAGGTCGGCGGTCAAAGAAGAGATGTGAAGAGAGTGTAGGTTCGAGTTCATTGCGGGGGTTTCTGGTTTTTGTTGAATGGACTGGATGGCTGTGGATACTGTCTCCCGAGTAGCGAGGCAGGCATTGCGATTCACGTCGGTTCCCAGTGTGAGGATGTCTTGACGCCCGAAGATTGTTTGGGAGTGCGCTGCTACAAATCCTAGCACGACGCCGGATCCTGTACCAGCTTCCACGACCAAGGGCGCGGCATTGGTGCTATGGGATGAGGGGCTGCTGGTTTTTCGAAACCTCTCAGATAACCATTTTGATTCTGACGCTGATGATAGGGTGTCCAAGAAGAGATATGAATCTTCAGATGGTTCGTAGATAGTGTCAAAGGAGACGTGCGAAGTGTCGGGTGTAGGAAGCATCTTGTGGGTCTTTTGATGAAATCGTTCCAAGGTTTTGCAAATTGGAATCTTTACAACTCAAGGCTCAAGATTGGATCGCTCTTTTAAAGATGAGACTTCAATATGCAGTATTTTCTTGTTGAGTTCCGGCTTGGACTGATCTCTTGATATATAGCTGCAGAGACTTCCGACAACCCAAACTAAGTGATTGCCCTGTCGTCGAAATAGACAAGAAAGCACCCGATGGGCATGTAATTTTCCAAAAAAGCTACCACCAAGTAAATTCACAAGGCGATTGGGGGGTGGATTCAAAAAAGGCGAAACTCGAAATTCCGATGGGTTTCCTCCCCCTCGCCGCCTTCCGCTTCCCCCATAGAAAAAAAGAGCCCAATCTTCCCCAGAAAATTATGTCATTCGAACCTCCATAACTCCAACTCCAACATCTACACCATGCGTATCGCCCAACGTCTCCTTATGGCCACGCCGGCCTCGATCGGCTCCAAATCCAGCCTCAGCGAAGCGCTCGCACTCCTCCCGCCCCTCCAGCTCTACCGCCGCATCTTGCGCGTCCACCGCAAACTTGACCCGGAGATGCGCGTGCTCGGCGACTCATACGTGAAGAAAGAGTTCCGGGCGCATAAGACTGCCGAGAATCCGTTGCACATTGTATGTTCTTTATTTCCGCTTTGATGTCTTTTGTTGGTCTGGGGCTTTCCTCCCCGAGGAAGGGGAACGAGGGATCGGGATCGGGATCGAGTTGTAGATGGTGAAATGGGCAATTGGACCGGAACTGACCGCGCGATTACCTTGCAGATTGGATTCTTGACTGAGTGGCAGCTTTACGCGCAGAAGATGGAGGGTGACAAGTGGGCTGGAGAGAAGCTGGATAAGTCCAAGCTGGACAAGATGAGTGGTATGGCCGTTTCTTGGATGAGTTCTAATGTGGGGTCCATGTTTGCTGACTTGCGTCGTCTTTAGATCAACAACTTGGCCAGCTCTTTGAGCTCATGCAGGCCATTCGTAACCAGGAGCTCGAGGGTGAGGGTGAAGGTGAGGGCGAGGGTGAAAAACAATGAGTGAGAGGCTTTATCTGAGCTTTTGATTCTGTGGTGGGATTCGCCGGGAGATGCTGGCATCTCTCGATGCTTGCATGGTCCTGTGTATAGTATATACTTTGAAATTTAAGCGCATTGTACAAGACAAAAGCATCTTTGCTCAGACAAATTTTTGAATATCTTCTTTGCGGTTATATACGATGTCTTGATCAGACCAATTGTATTCTTGACACACCCGTGGACCCATTATCAGCCACAGCTTTCTCACGGGCTGTTTCCATGAACAACTTGGGAATAGAATGATCTACTTCATTCTAAACTCCCAACCTTGGAATTCCTCCAATTCCAATTACTCCAAACCCCAATCAATGTGGGGTTCAACGCCCTTGGAACGACAAGATGACTCAGCTATCCGATAACGCTCCAACTTAAACCGAGGCAGGAGTATACATACATGTTTCTCTCATATTTTCAATCTTGAAGGTGGAAGCTCAATTACTACCTACCTGCCCAGCCTTGGACCCCGTGGACGCCCTCTAGAATCTGTGCCCACCAAGCATTCAATTTGAAACTCTCAAGTTGAAATCATTTTAAATTTCCCAAAATGCCTGCCCTACTAGAAGACCCCTCATCCCACAACCCCCCACCCCAGGCACACATCCAAGCAGCAAGCACACTACTCCCCCGTCACACAACCCTCCCCAAATCTGCGTCCGCAGCTATCACCTTGTACCCGATCAGCAATGGCCCTTCCAGCATCCCCCAGGACTTAATCAAGTACCTGCATGCTGAGTTCAGCGCAGAAATTGAGCGCGGCACCACCTACCCCATGGAGCAGGCGTTGGGGCTCCAGCAGTTCGCAGAGTACTGGTTTGGTACCTTTGCGGTTGTGGCTATTCTTGACGATGAGGATTCTGCTGCCAATCCTGCTGGTGGGTTAAGGGAGGGGCGGGATTGGGAGAAGGCTTGTTTGGGAACTTTTTATATCAAGCCCAATTATCCTGGTATGTTCACTGATGATATTTGAATCTTGGAGCACCTATTCGAGTGAAGATATTCGATTGTAGAATTGAAAGCCAATCCACTGCCCAGATGGACATATGGGCTTGTGTATCCACTTACATATCAATTCAATCTTCCAGTGTTGATTGCATCCACATGCATTTATACAGACAATGATTTGCTGACTGTTTTGATTATAGGCCGATGCTCTCATATCTGTAACGCTGGCTTCATCACAACCAACCTAGCTCGTGGTAAGGGTGTAGGCCACGCCATGGGTGAGACCTATTTGGAATTTGCGCCGAAATTGGTACGTACTAAAAGTCTCAATACCTCCTTCCAAGATTACTGGGGAATGAATCCCTCATATACATCTCGACCTGGGCATTCTATCTACGAATACCCATGCTAATAACGCCATGCAGGGATACAAGTACTCAGTCTTCAACCTCGTCTTCGCGAATAACCCGGCTTCCATTCGCATTTGGGAGAAATTAGGCTTCAATGTTATTGGGCGAGTGCCCAAGGCGGGGCGATTGGAAAACAGCGAGGAGTTGGTTGATGCCTTGATTTTTGGACGGGAATTGGGTAATTAGAGATAGAGGGATTGATATCCGTGCATACATGGGGTAATGTTTTGTGTGTACTACGTCTCTTATTGGGCCGATTCGTAGATGGATCTTTTCAGGTAAAGTTAACTGTTTCAGAATGTGAAAAATCATGATCGAAATAGCCATATTGGAGCATTGAAATGTAGCATGCGGATTGATGCAAATGATGGATCAATGCCCAGGTGGATGGGATCTAGTAGGTAGTATGTTGTTTAGCCAAATTCGGCAGCCCGTGCAGTACCTAGCAAAGTCTAATATAAGTCCCATTTCCGTGCAAAGAAAACAAAAATAAGCGTAAAACTACAACGGGTCCATATGTTCAGATTGATGGATGTAAGAGGAAGAAATGGAACTGTAACAAAAATTGAAACCCAACGCTCAGACCATACCATGCAACAGGGGGATATCACGCAAAACCTAATCTTCAGTATCATGTTCAGCTCTTCATGCCCAAAAAGACAGTGGCTGCACAGTCCAAGTGAGCTGCAAGTGCAATACTAAAGTGTAGGTAACAAGCCAAAAGATAGACAAGTCTGGAAAAAGGGAGGAGGATAGAGGGGAAATTCGGTATAATGGAAGTGATGGGAGGAAAAGGGTGATATGATGGCGAGGAGGATATATGGAGAAGTTAAGAGGGGGTTGATATCATCATGGTCTCCAGCGCGGCCGAGACTCCAACTTCTGCTGTCCAGGCGTCTTATCATTCCGCTTTGGTAGCGGGAGCAAGCTGGTTCTTCGGTTGTTGGTAGAATGACCCAGTGAAGTGCCAGGACGCGTGGGTTTTGTAGGGCTTTCATTATTGTCTTGGTTGTGTGAGACACTGCGACTGAATGATGTACCCATGCCAGCAAAACTTTGACGACTTCGAGGAGTATTCACTATGCCTGCAGTTGCAACTGGGGGCATATTGGATGACCGGCGAAGACGGCTATATGGAGGTGGATCAAGCAAGGAAGATCGCAAGGGTGTAGGAGAGGACATGTTGCGGACGGGGCTCCGAGACGAGGATGCGAATCGAGTGGACAGGCGACTCATAGATCGACCAGCACTGGGTGCCGGTGAGGCAGACGTATCACGGTCGCGCCGGAACTGAAGCGTCGAGCCAGGTCTAGGCGATCGTACTGGAGCGGACACGTTACGATATCCACTAGGGGTGATGGCGGGATGGGGTGGGTGAGCGTGATCAACATTCAGGTCATTTGTGTTGGTGCTATTGGTCCATCGTGGTCGATTTGGTATTGGGGAAGGCTGGGGAACACGAGACATCCGTCTTCCAGATGGTGTAGGCGTTACGGCATAATGTGTCTTCCCTGGTGGTGGAGACGTGAGTCCCGAAGGCTTGGGAATTGAAGATTTCCGACCAGTCACCGGTTGTGGCACGCCGGAGAACCGTCGCACGTTCGGCATGGCTGAACGAGCTGCAGAGCTACCGACGGAGCTTTCGCGGCGACTGGAGCTCAGAGGTGTCACATTGCCTTTATACATGCTGCTGCCACTAAGAACCACTGAGGACGCAGGTGAACTTCCAGGCGTATCAACCGCACTGCCGGTGGCTGGGCTATCTATTGTAACGATGCTTGAGATGGAATCTCGCAATTGCTGACCCTTCAAAATTTGGACATCTTCAAGTGACATATCCATCACTTTCAGGCTGGCCTTCAAGGCATTTGTACGCGACGTCATGTCAGACAGTAATCGCAAAATTTCACCGTTGACTGTCAGGCGATCATTCACTCCCTTCTGAATGATTGAAATAACGCGCTCAATAGCGGGCACATAATGCATCTTCTTCGCCTCATAGTTCTCAATTCGTTTTGTCAGCGTTGACGGGTTATTGACCTGTGCATTTGTCTCCAGGCCTTCCTGCAGCTTGGAAATGCTGCGCTCGACAGAGTCAAACATTTTTTGAGCTTGGCTGCCGGCATTGCGGAACACAATGATCCACTTATCTTCACCCAGTTCTTTGCGCAAGGCTTCAGCATCTTGTTCTAGCACCTTATAGGTCTTTTCCAATCGGGTTCGTCGGTCGTCAAGTTCCTCGCATGCACTTGGGAAGACTGCATCGGCGCGAGATTGAAACATGGAGAGTCTCATCGGTAAGAAGTCCAAAGATGCTCGAAGAGGCTGCATACGCGCGAATAAAGCCATCAGATTGGAATGACTTGAATCATCCTGCGGTGTTTTGATAACAGGGGTGCCAGAGGCAGCAGCCAGAAGTGGTCCAATGCTTAGGCGGTTAACCGCAGGCGAGCGGCCCTTGATGGGAGATTCCTCCACAATGGTTTCAAGCTCGTTAATATCAAGTCCTCCGGCTGACTCGCCCGTATCCAAAAGAGCCTGGTGTCTTTTCTCTTCCATTTCAAATATCATGCCGCTGAGATTATCAATCTCCATACCGACGTCGCCTAGAACAATAGACCAAAGCTCCTCCCACTCCATGGCCAATTCCACTTGCTCCTTCACGCCTCTGAGCTTGGTCTTAATTTGGGCCCAATTCTGGAGGATGCTCTCCATCTGCCTGACAATCGTTTTTAGGCTGGCAGAATCAACATTGCCAATGTCTGCTCGAAGCTGTACGTTTTCGATCGCCATTACATAGACATTCACCAAGGATTCGAATCGGGTTATTGCCTTGTCCACTCCCTCCAGCCCCTCGCGGCCACCGGCCGCTGCCCACTCGACGTCATCCTCCGAATCCAGGCCACTGAGCACATCTGACGCTTTTCTGATCCATATTTGAATCTGCTCTGCAGCACCATTCAAGGCGCGAACAGCGGCAAGGGCGGTCGCAATGTTTCCGATACTTGTCTGAAGAGCTCCTGGCTGAGGAAGAGGAATGGAAGTAAGTTGGGAAAGCTGGTTACTGAAAGAGGCGCGGGAGAAAGAATAGATGGATTCGGCGCGGTTCAAATCCCTGGGGTCGAAGGACTGTCTGTGTGAAGAGGAGGAAGAGAGGGCGTATGTAGGGGAAGAAGGGGTATCGTCTTTCGGTGGTGGTTCGGGAGCGGATTCAGCCTGCTCTTCACTGCGCTTGGTATCGTCGACATACTTCTCAAAGTCGGTCCGATTATCCTGTTCCTTTTCTTCGGGGAGGGGCGGTAGCTCAGAGTCAGCACGCAACGGTGCGGGGGCCGGCTCCGCCACAGACATGGGTGTCGGCGGGGCGCTGGTCTCTGCGTCTGGGGCAGTCACCGGAGGATGAGCAACGACCAGAACGGGCGGCTCCAGGCCGTCAACAAGCGCGTCGGTCAAATCTAATCCTTGCTCTCGCGCCTCGGAGAGCTCCTGCAGGAAGTCCTGGCTAGGTATTTCAAGTGTATTCGACGCGCTCCGCTTTGTTGACTGTGATGTTGCTGATCCCGGAGATACAAAGGCCACACCATTCCAAGTCTGGCCTTTCCTCTCAACCCTGATGGAGAGGTCCTTGTGAAGACTATCCAACTGGTTCAGGTGTTCTTCGGGGATCCGACCGATAGCGGTTGGGCTCTTGGGTGCGCTAGTCACTTTACTGCCGCCGTCGAGCAGCTTCACCCGGGCCGCAAGAGCGGGTGACAGGCGACGGAATATGGATTGCTTGCCAGGATTTTTCTCCGCACTGGGTGGATCGGGCGTGGGTTCGTCTTCGTGATTGCTGCTTCCGATGCTCCACAGGGACGACTTGGACTTCAAGCGGCGGAGAGGGGAGGGCCCGTGTTCATTGGGGGAGCCTTCCGCGGGGGGAGGAGATGCGGACTGAACGGACACGGGGTACGTTGCGATGTCAGTCGCGGAGGAAGGTCGATCGTCGGCAGTAGCATGCATGGGTACAAGCCCGGGGGGCGGATTAATTCCAAAGGAAATTAAAAGGGAAACAGGCGGCTCAAGGGCAGGGGTGGACAGTGGAATGTTTCGTCTCGTTCGGTAATCGGGATCAGAAGCCAATTTTAGGAGAGAAAAGCCCCCTTCTTCACGGTCGCGGGTTAGAATAGGTAAGGTAGGGACAGAAAAGACTACATGACCAGAGTCATATTTCAAAGAAGCGAATGGTTGGTTCTTTTCAGTAAAAGACAAATTCAAAGCAATAAATTGGGCAGCAATCGCTTTTGAGACAGGAAAACGAGGGATAGAAGTGGCCAGTATCGCCGTTGTACTCTGCAGGAAATGGGTACTTGGCTCGGCACCCACTTTACTATGGAGCACCAAGTACCTCTCATCCCCCTCGGTATGTAAATTCAAGGGATCGGCACACCCCGACGATCAGATGAAATCAACCTCTTGAGCTGGGGGAGGCGGTTCAAAGGATTCCCATGAATAGCTTCATGCGTATTACAATATCCAGCCTTTTTTAAATGCTTAGCCATTGGTTTCTGTACTGTATTCACATATACCCCTTACAGACATGCGTTCTAGCTTCAACAAGATATTCAACGGGATTCAACAATGAATGGATACCACACTACTATGTAGAATGGGGGTAAGTTACGTAGTAGCATATCATTTCAAGGGGGTTGGCTCCACGGCCATGTGCTCCTAGCGTCCTTGACTCCACGGTGGTTGGACATTATGCTGCTCTTCCAAGGTCCAATGAGTAGTATCCACTACTCAGGTACTTAGCTGAGTACTTAACACTCCGTACATACTACTCTGTGGTACTAGTCTTATCCTTGTAAAAAAAGTTTTTGATATACAGTATCCATATAAACCCCCAGTCTCGGCTGATATAGCCTAGGAATGGGTAGGTTTTTGAACCCACCTAGTCAACTACATGCAGTAGTAGTATGTTCCTAGTGGGTCCGACTTGGCTAAACAAAGTGTAGGCACTTAATGGGCTCTCAACATAGAAAGACAAAGACAAAAATAAAAGCAAACAAAAAGAGACACCAAAATTATGTTTGTCCTCCAATGCAATATATCCAAAACAAATCCCGCCTCTCATAAAAAGCAAATGCAATGGGATTCCGAAATGAACCAGAAAATCGGAGAAAATCAAACATAAAACCAACACCAGCGGAGACAGACAGAGGAAATTCAGGGGTATCTAGCCAACTGCCCATAGGAATGTAAAAAAAAATAATGATCAAACCATAGACAAACACGAAAGAATGAAAAGCCGAGATGCATATCCACATCAATCCTCAGAGAAAAGAAAAAAAATGAACCCAAGAACAATCAAAGTATAAACAGAAAACTAGATCAGACCAGCACTTGGAGGCCGTCCAGGATTGGCTGCTTGCCAATCTCGGATCAGCTCCTCACGGACCGTCCTGCACCAGGCCAACAATGCGTTGTCGAACTGCCTCCAGGCTGCATCACTAGTGGCTTGCACCACACCCATCACATCCACTTGGAACCGCAGCTCCCACCGCAACTCTGCAGCCTTGATCCAAAATCGCAGGTTGTCGGCCTGTCGATACGGCTTCGCAATGTCCTCATGGTATGTTTTGATTTCACCAAATTGGCGGTTAGACTTTTTAACAGCGATGTTGTGTAACTGAACCAGGATGCGACCGTCCCTGAAGTGCTCAAGAAACGGAGTAGGGAGGCTCTCGATAGTGGCATCATCCTCGATCGGAGTCCACTCCGGCAACGTATGACCCTCTGGCATCAAGCTGCGGAGGAAAGATTCCTCACGGGACCGCTCTCGTCCAGTCCAGTCGCCTTGGGCCCAGTCCCAGTTTTCTCGTTCTTGGGCCTCTAAGTCTTCCAGAGCCTTCTCCCGGACTAGCATGGTTCGGACCCCAGAAATCCATCCTTGAATTACATCGCGTTCCTCAGGCCGCAACCCACAGGCAAAGTGACGGGCCGCCCACCGTTTCAGGACGTCCAAGACGTGGAAGAGGTCCTTTCGGATCTCGCGCTCACTTTTCAGAGATGCCAGGCGGTCTGGATACGGATGGGTAGTATAGTAGATTTTGGCGGCGCGAATTGCCATCGTCACATCATCCAAGATGCACATGCCCTGGGCTTCTTCTTTTGTCTGTGGTGTTGGGATTTGTCGCGCCGGGTCATCCTCTGTGTCAGGGACATCTCCGGGAGAAAGACTGGCTCGAAATGATTCGCGAGTTCGAGGCTCGGCCCCCTCCTCAATGGCCTGGATATTGCTGTCTGCTTTTTCTAGCGCGACTTGTAGATCCCGACGTAGTGTGATCAGGCTTGGCGGGGGTGGGATATGATGTGTTTTAATACTGTAGGTACTGACCGTAGGAGGCAACATGACCTCCTCATCATCATTGGGATCGAATTCTGGCGACTCGTTCATATCAGACGGACTGGCGACGAAATCATCGATATGACCCTCATTTGGGGTGATCAACAATCGGGGCACATTCTCGCCATTCTTTTTCTTAGCCTCCTTGCCTCGGCCCGTCTTCCCGTCCAGCAGTCCCGTGCGAGCAAAATAGTATTGTAAATGGGCGATGCTGCCCAGACTCATAACGCTGTCTCGGTGCCGAGCTGACTCGGCGAACTCAGCACCGAGCGCACGAGTGTATCCATGGCGACGGGAAGAAGTTGAGACGGTCGACCTGGCATCGGCAGAGGTCGCGGAAGAGACAGAGTGGGAGGAGCCGGAGGAGAAAGTGCGGTCAGGCGAGGAGTATGAAGAGATGGCCGGGGTGGCAGGAATCGAGGGTGAAGGTGATGAGGACCGAACTGTCGGCGAAGTCACTTCAGGACCTGTGGATTGTGGCTCCTCCATTCTCGTGGCGGGAATTGTGTTCCTGAAACTCTTGTCGCACCACTTGTCCACAAAGTGATCGGGGGGATCGGCGGGGAGGTGTTTGGATTGGGATTGAGGAATGTCGGGGTATATACGGAAGAATCACAACAGAGGTTCCTAAAGAGTATGAGATAACATCGGAATTTCAATAGACACGTCTCCGAACTGAAATGAGGGACTGCAATGGAGATTTAATGAAACATGAACGATCGTCGGCCAAGAATCTTCATTGGGCTTAAAAGGGGTGTGGTTCCCGCCCTTGAACTAATAAAACTAAACGGGCACTAAAGGGGGGCAATATTATTGAAAGAATTGAGATGAGAAATCCATGACAAAGATGAAAAGAAAAAAAGAAAAAGAAAAAAAAAAAAAAGCAAAAGTAGCAAATCTAATAGTAAAAAGTGATATATAACATCTCTGGGAGTAGATATTAGATGTATACATGTATTGTTTTTCGAATGTTTTTTTTCTTGAGTAACCCGATTGTTCTCAAATTGCCCGGTTGGGTTTAGCGTCACCTTAATTAATAATGGGCCCCGCGTCCCAAGGAATTCCGTTTAACGGTCCGCGATTCCGCGTCGTTTCTTAACATTTTGAGATGAGAGAGATTTTGCCACGCCAATGCTAATATACAAATGTAAAATCCAATTGCATCATGTCCATGTTCCTTCCTATGTGGAAACTCAAAAGACTTCTTTTCGTTCCCAACCGGTCCCCCTGAGATTCTCAATCCCTTTGGTCGGATGCTCCCGGGTCGGGTCTCGGTACTTGCTCTGATAGGGATTGGGGTCAATCGCTTGTTGCAAGTTACCGAGCGTGTGATTGACCTCTCGGTGCTTGGCCTCATCGGCTCGAATGTACATCAACAGGTTCTTCATGGTACGCTGACCCTCCGGCATCTGCCAGTATTGCACCGCGATTTGAGGTGCCTCAAGGGTTTCCCACTCTGGCAGTTTTCCGGCCTCCAGCTCCTCAATAGCACGGGTGTATGTGATGACTGCCTCTTCTTCCAAATATCCCACAAACCGGTGGCAGATGCGAGGGGAGATGAGGTAGGATACGAAGAAACCGTTGAAAAAGACACCCTGTGCGCCGAGAACCATTAGGCGCATGAACCATCCGGGCTCGGCAATCTTGAGGAATGTCAGAAGATGCATTCGTTCGTTATAGGCTTCCTCTAGGAGAGTCTCGATCCTACATACATACAATGCCATGGTCAGTTCGATATAATCTTCGTGATCGCCGGGTTGGAGAAAGCATGCACGTACCATCCATTATCTCTCTTCATGCGTCGGAGGCTGCGTAAGTGGCGGAGCATACCCCCGACCATACCAGGAACACCGGCGACCGTCTCCAAGAAGATGAACCGTTGCATCCATTTCTTCTCCGTCATCTTATATCTGGCAGCTGGTTCCTCCCCATGTTTTGGGTGCTTGTACCCGGTCACAACGTTCATGCCCCATCGAAAGACACGGACTGTGCCCAGGGCCACCCAGTCTGCCCAGTCTGTGGCCTCGCGGTGTGCAATCTTGATGTTTTTCATTTGGGCTTCCGAATACCTGGAGACACATTAGAACTCCTACCAGAAGATTGTGTGCATGAGGTTGGTATATAGCTTACACAGGGTGCATCCATGCCGTTTCAACTTCCTTCACGCCAGGGGTTTGTGGGGGTGGAAAGAATTCTTTGATCTGGTTCTTCGCTGTAGACGAAATGGCACGCTTGGGCGTGTAGGTCAATGGTGGGTTTTGTGTGTGGATAGTAAACATGTGCGAGTTGGTGAGTTTGGCGACTGTTAATCCCGAATAGCTTCGCGATCCAAGATTAATGTAAATGTATGGCCGTGCGGCCGTCCGTAAGGACGAAGTCGTTAAGACGGAAACCGAACTCATGGTTATGTAGATTGGAGGTATCGGATGGTAGATTGAAGAGGAATGGGTCGTTTGGAATACATACATGGATGAACAGGAAAGCCTTTTATAATAAATCTACTAGTAGTAATCAATTGATGCATCCCGAAACTCAACGACTTTCCAAGGTTCCCCGAACAAATCCCGACAGTGATGCAGTTGTACCTGGTTCTCAAGATTATACATTGGGATCTACTGCTGACCACACTCGATGCTTATTGGCTTTCATCGATCGCCACAGTATGCAAGTCCCGCCATTCTTCTACGCTTGTTCTACTACATCAACAAGCATCAAAGTCCCGATATCATACTCCAGTACACTCAATTAAATATCCTCTAACAAGAAGCAAGTCAATTACTCTTCCCATTATCCATCTAGCATGTTGACATGTTCCTGGATTTCGTCATACGGACCCTTTCTGCCCCGAGCAGGTGACCTCCGGGAGGAGTCGGGATTTGCCCCGAATTCAGCTCGGGTTTAGTATGTACAACCCTTTGAGTCACTGATCCCGAAAAAATCTCAATTGCTGTGACGGGATCTGGTTTTTTTTTTTTTTTCACCGGGGACAGTTTGTAGAGCTATTTTGTTTTTTTTCTTGGTTTATTTAGGTCACGAGTCTTTATTTCCCCGGTCCTCGCCGAACACCATGAATGCGGGAGTTTGAGAAGATTGATCACTATAGATCTGGTGGGTCTACAGGTATAAGATACAAGTAAAGATCACCGTGCAGTTCAACGTTCCAGACATGTCTCAGGGTAGGTACTATAGTAGCCCTAGGAATATCCAACCTTGAAGTGCATCAACTACGTACTACGTACTTGATACTTGTACTTGGCATGGGTATGTGGTCACTCATGTTCACAAATTGAAGATTCTATGTTTAGAATTTCTCACCTTGGAAAATTAGAATACCCAAGAGAAAAATGTTCAAATGTCGAAATGTCATGTCAATCTCGTAATCCCTTCAGTGTTGAAGAAGAAAACGTGCATGATGCACAAATCAAGCCTCCGCATCATATCTAGACTCTGCGGTCCTGAATACCGAGAAATCAGCTTCCCCCTTGACGACATCTGTCTCGCGCTTCTCCAGCTTGACAACATGAGCCATGCGAGGACCTTTGTCAATCTGCTGCATAAATTTCTTGATAGTCTCCTCGTCACCCTGGACTTCGCCTTCGACCTATACTCAAGTAGTCAGGACCTAGATATCGGGAAAGGTTGTCAAGCGCAAGGGTGAAACACACCCGTCCACAAGTAGTGTTGCGGGCCCAGCCCATTAATCCATATCCCGTAGCACATTTCTGAGTAAAGTCACTAAAGCATGTCAGATTGAGTCGGATGACATGATGTCATCGTTGCTGATGGGAGAGCGGAGGGAGCCTTACCGGAAACCGACACCTATATTTTCATGTGGATTATGGTCAGTGAAATACTCTCATGGGTGACTCCGATATTTGGTGTAACGATATAACAGTCAAGACAGTCAGAAGAGTATGTTTACCTTGTACAGTGCCATGAACTCTGAACGCGACCTGTGATAGATGGTTAGCCTTATCAGGACTCACAACCTTGCCCAATATGTCACTGAGCCGACTTTCAGAAACGTGCCAGAGAAAAAGGGTTTCAAGACTTGGATCACATACCCGCTTGTATGACATGTTGAGTGTAAATTGGTTTCCAAGGTTGTTTGCTTGAAGGTGATGGAAGTCGATGTCATTGTGGGTGTTGCCAGTTGGTCTTGCTGATCTAATCTCCATCTATAACCCTCTACTAGTAATTCGCCCATTTCAGGATCGAAACTGTTGTTCGTAAATAATAAATTTCCAAGGCTATGATCTATTCTAAATATTCCAAGCTTCATTGATTTACCAAGATTAGCATAGTATGTATGCTAACAACCTTGGAAGCTATGTATATCTTCAACCTTACTGAGGACAAGCAGGACTTCCCCGTACCTACTAGTATGCCCAGAAACAGAAAGACTTAAAGATGTGGATGAAAGATCAATCAATCAATTGATCTGGTTTCAAGTTGGTCCAAGCAATTGAATTGTTTGCACATGTAATGAATACTAGTAGCACCCACGGATGTACTTGTCCCATCTATTGATTTGGAAGGCCAGTTGCTACCAGTATGTATTCAACATACTAGTCAATTGATGTATGTATTGACATCCATGGTCCTCAGGTTTCTAGTTTATTTGTCTTCATTTACATTCACTAAAAAAACATCTGAACAGGACGAGGAAAACAAAAATTGAACAAACTACTGTATAATAGTTTTGTGTATTTGATTAGAGGGTTAACGTGTTTAATTTGTTATAGATCACATTTCACTTAAGAGAATAATTCACGAGCGTTGATTGGGCGCCTGTGGGGGGGCGATCGCCAAAGTGTTTGGTTTGGAAACGCCTTGGAACGTCAACCTCGGCCCCCTGAGTAAACACTTGGACACTTCAACGCTGCATTTGCGCCATGCTAGTGCGTTGAAAATGACTTCACCTTTCTCCTGGCTGCGGCGCATTTACTCGCTCGACACCCTTGACACTCGCTTCACCTCTTCCGCCATCAACACAGCTGACACGCGACCTACCTCCGCCAAAGATGCCCGCGCTCATGCCATTGCCCAAAATGCTCGCGCTCCACTCTGGCGTACACCTGAATTCTTTATCTACTATCTTTTCTTCATATTCCTCGTTCCTTTGATGTTCAAAACCGTGGTGGATGCTTCAAAAGGTGAGTCGCATCCTTTCAAATCACTGAGCGGCGTCCAGATGCTGACCTGAGGACCTTCAAATATCATAGAAAGCCACCCGATTTACCCTACATACTCAGATCTCCTATCACCAGGATGGATACCTGGCCGTTTAGTCGTGAGTGTTTGGTCTCGGAGATCTGTTCCTATCGAGATCTAGAAATATTGAGGCACAGCTGACCCTGCTTGAATGACAAAAGGACAACTCCGATGCGCAATATGCCAGCTTCCGCGACAACATTCCCTACCTCGTCCTGCTTCTGATTGCACACCCATTGGTTCGCCGAATCTATAACTCGCTCACAAGCAGCGCCGGTACCTCCACCAAACCCTCCAGCTCATCCACGGCGGCCGCAGGAGATGCACAGCTGGAACAGCGCATGCGCTTTGACTTCGTATTCGGAATTGTCTTCATTACAGCCCTCCATGGAGTTTCCGCGTTGAAGGTGCTCCTTGTATTGCTTATCAACTACCGCATCAGCAAGAACCTCCCTCGGTCTTACATTCCGGCTGCAACATGGACTTTCAACATCTTCATTCTCTTCGCCAATGAACTGTCTGGAGGATACCCGCTGGAAAAGATAGCCATGCTTTTGACAGGAGACAAGAGTTCCTTGCTGGTCCAGTGGGCCCAGACTCTAGACAGCTTCGGAGGCATCATGCCCCGATGGGAAGTTCTTTTCAAAGTCACCGTGTTGCGGCTGATAAGTTTCAACATGGACTACTATTGGAGTGTGAACTATCCCTCCGCAAGCCCGATCGAAGTATGTCCTCCTTTGGTGTCCAATCCCGGACTTCCCACCTCTCGACTGGATATAGAACTGACCGAATTCCACAAGAAGAAGCAGCTCGACCCCGCAGCTCTTTCTGACCGAGATCGCGTCAAAATCCCCGCTGAGCCTGCTGCCTTCAATGGACGCAATTATATTGCCTATGTACTCTATTCGCCATTGTATTTGGCCGGCCCGATCTTGACCTTCAACGATTATGTCTCCCAACAGCGATATACACCCCCCTCGCGGACACGAACACGCACCACGCTCTACGGTATCCGCTTCATCCTAACTGTCCTCTGCATGGAGCTGATCCTACACTACATTTACGCGGTCGCCATTTCCAAGGCCTCGCCGGATTGGTCTATTTTCACACCTGGCCAGCTCAGCATGCTCGCTTTCTTCAATCTTCATATCATCTGGCTGAAGCTGCTTATCCCATGGCGATTCTTCCGCCTATGGGCTCTGATTGACGGAATCGACCCACCGGAGAATATGGTCCGTTGTATGTCAAACAACTACTCCGCATCTGCTTTCTGGCGTGGTTGGCACCGTTCGTATAACCGCTGGATCGTACGCTATATCTATATTCCGCTGGGTGGAGGCGGTAGTGGCCGAGCCCCGGCAGGTGAAAAGCAGACTTCCTCTGGTGCTTGGGCTAAGTTCTTGCAAATCCGCAACTTGTTGCTGGTGTTCACGTTCGTGGCCCTGTGGCACGACATTAACCTCCGTCTGCTGGTGTGGGGTTGGCTTGTCACGCTCTTTGTTCTCCCTGAGACTGTGGGTCGTATGCTTTTCCCTGCCAAGCGCTGGCGCTCACATCCTACTACTTACCGGTGGCTCACTGGTATGGGTTCTGTTGGCAATGTCCTGATGTTGATGGTTGGAAACCTTGTTGGGTTTGCGCTTGGCCTGGATGGGCTGAAGGACTTGCTAACAAGTCTCACCGGATCATATTCTGGCGTGGCGTATATGGTCGCGTGCTGCGTGGTGTTGTTTGTCGGAATCCAAGTAATGTTTGAGATTCGTGAAGATGAACTGCGCGTAGGCATCGACCTGAAATGTTGATTATATTCCCAAGATACGGCAATGACAACTCCATTTTCTCTTCACAGACGGAAATTAGATTTCAATAATTGAAAATTTAGCTATTGTACAGGTTTCCATGATAATCATACAGTCATTAAAAAAAGGAGAAGGAAATAAAGACTTCCCTTCTCCTGATAGTACACAGTCAGGCCTTCCCCATGGTGCCTCTAGAAGAACGCACCACACCTCGAATCTTCGTGCACCCGGTAACAATCAAGCCCACAAGTCCGCAAATGACAGCTCTTGCACCGAATTTTACCCCAATACCCACACATACAGCAAAAATGCCGCGGCGAATGGGACGATATCGGCGCACCAGCCCTTGACGCATTATAAGACAACGGCGGTTCGGCGAGCAAACGCTGTATAATGCGATCAGAAGGCATAGTCGGCGCATAAGACTTTAAAAGAGAATCATCATCATGCTCCGTCTTCAAAAGCTTAGATTTCCCCTCCTCATCCTCACCCGCCTCCCCATCCGTAGCAACCGTAGCAGGCGTCTCGACAACAGAGACAGAGACAGAAACAGATCGCGCAGGCGTCGGCGTAGAAGCAGCAGTGCCAACAGCAGAAGCCCGTTTCCTCTTCGCAGCCGCAGATCCAGCCCCAGCCCCAGCCCCAGCAGACCCCGCAACAACAGGTGTGGAGCTCCGTCTCGCCGCAGCCGCAACAACAGCAGCAGCTTTACCCCCCTTCCCCATCGCCGCCGCACCGGTATTCTGGCCAGCCCCAGCCCCAGTCCCGGCAGCACCGCTGTTCTGAATGGCGGCCTCCTCGTCGTCAAGGTGATTACGGAAGGTCTTTTGGGATTGAAGGATTCGGCGGACGTTCGATGTCGTTTTCGCGCGCGTGCCGCGTGCTCCGGCTTCTTTGGCTTGTTTGACCGGGACGGGGATCGCGACGTCGCGCTGGTTTTCGCGATCGAGCTCGGCGAGGTGTCGGATGATTGCGTTCGCTCGTCGGGAGGACATGTCGCCGCCTTTGCCGGCGTCGCGGATTCCGCGCTTGCGGCTTAGTGTTGGAGCCATGGCGGCTTGGGCTGGGTTGAAGGCTCGGTCGGTGACATAGCTCCAGCCTGGGGTTGGGGCGGCGCCCTTGTGTTGTAGAAGCTCGACGCGGAACATTATGGTTGTTCGTTGTCTTTTTAGGGGCCTTGGGTTTGTTCGATGGTAAAGGTGGCTGAGAAGGTAGGAGAGGGTGAGAGTTGGAGATGTGAAAGTTGATGGGCTGATAAGGTGTTTGGTGTGTTTGCAATGGTTTCTATCGAAACATCAATTTTGGGTGTATTGTTGATCGAAAGTCAGTCCGTTCTAAGGATAATAGTGCTTAAGACATTTATAATGATAGTATATATCATGCCTTTCAATGTTTGAAATAGATGAATCATTTCATAGATAAATACGTTTGGTAACTTTGGTCAAATTGGCATGTTTGGAAACCAAATGCAAAAAAAAAGATACCCCAACGCCAACGAACATTTGAAGAAGAGAAAAGACATAGTATTGACGGTAAAAGTAAATAGTCCAGCATTTACTTCTTGTGTAGCTGATTGACCTTGGATTCCAGCTCATTAGTGTATGACTGGAGTTTGAGGGTAGCAGACTGAAGTGCCTATATCACAAAGAGAGCTTTCCCCAGAACCGGGGAAAGCATGTTGGAGTCAGTCGCGATGAAATATGATCGCAAGATGCCAGTCTTGAAAGCGATGCTAGGACATACCGCAATATCATCAGTCAACATCTCATTCGCGACGCGGTAATCACCAAGGATGTAGTAGTATACAGACGCGCCAGCAACAACAGCGCCGGACAGGAATCCAAAGACTCTGCACAAGGTTAGATTATCCAGGTATCGCCCGACGTCTGGAACTGCAGATTCTAGGGCGGTTACAACACTTACCCTCCACGGAAAGCACCGACGGGCTTGCTTGCGGGCAATGGCGCGGCCTCCCAGCGGGGACGGGACACTGAGAAAGAGCGGGCGACGACGCGTCCGCGTAAAGGCAGAAATATTTTTGAGCGGACAGGCATGGTGACGCAAGATCTGTCTGATCAGCGAATGCCTCGACGTGAAAAATGCAAAGTGTTTTTACAAGTGAAGATGCTTTGTGGCGAGAGGAGTGAAAGAGACCAGGTGACGTTGACAACTGTGGCCCGGGCGGCGTCGGAAGTGGTCGGTACTTTAAGTGCTATACTGCAGTATGCATTGAAGCAGCGACGCTGGGGTATCAATGTCAAAAGTTACCACCAATCAGAACCATAACTCAATAAGGATGGTATTATACATGTATATGTACTGGTATATGAGATGTAGAGAGAGAAAAAAATTCGATGGGAATTATCGCTATGGATGGGTTACTGCCGCTATACAGAATGGAGGACAAAGCAATCAGTCAAGAATCAAGGCCATTAACCTCAATTTACAATTGTACTCTCATTGAACAGATCCGCCAACAGATCATCCCGACAGATGCCTATGTCTGGTCCTTCCATGCCGTACGTACTCTCAAATACGTAAATACTCAGCCGGTCAAAGAACGGTCGCAGAATCCGCTCGACAATCTCGTCCTTGGCCGTCTCTCGAATTTGATCTGAGATAAGCCACGGCCGCTTGAGACTATCCCGTGTTACAGGCTCCGCGGCCTCGTGCGAGAGAGTTTGTGTAAGTGCATTCCGTGCTCCGAAGCTTTGGGATACCTCGTCAGCAAGAGCAACAGGTTCCCAGCGACTAGGCGGGTAAACCGCATCGATAGTGTCGGTCACAAACAGCCATTCCAAGAGCTGGAAGTCGTCTGGGGCAATGACCAACAGGACGTCAAGGAGCTTGCATGCCTGGAGTAGGGAGTAAGGGCTGTAAACCTCCGATTGCAGGCCCCGTGGAACCGCAGAAATAGCTTCCTGTAGCTCCGCGTTGATCAGTGGCCAGAAGGGCGCCAAAGATGAAGCAGACGTTTTAAGCACGAGAGCACGAAGAACCATGAAAATCTCCGCCCGTGTTGCTGATGACGGAGAAGAAGAGATGGTTGCTGCTAAAAGATCCTCTAGCTTCTGAAGCAGGCCCGGCAGTTCGCCCACAAAGTAATCGGTGTTGGCAGATAAAAGAAGGACCGCAATACGGCGTAGGTTGAGTTGCGCCCTGCGATCTGCTTCTAGGCGTGCTGCGGAGGCTCCCACGCCAAACATGATACCGGCAGCGCTGGGTGGCGGCAGACGACTCAGCAACTCTCCTAGCCGGTCCTTGTCTGCAATAGCCCACTGTCGCAACAGATCCATCCAATTGTCTTTGATCAGATCCACTTGCAACCCAAAGAAGCGTGGGTCATTGAAAGCATCGGCAATGTCCTTCTTCCATACCTTTGCGGCTGCAGGAACTTTAGTCATTTGCTGTAATAGGACCATAACATTGCGGTTGAGGTTGTTGGGGAATAGTCGAGAACGGATGAGAGGACCAACTACATTGGTTGAGACGCTGTTTATGGCGGTATTGATACGATCCGAGTCACCAAGAGTTGTGATGAAGGATGGCATGGAGACAGCAAGGATACTCAACATATCATCCGGTCCAGTGTGGGACACGGCCGTTCGGTCATAGTCAAGCGAAGATCTCGCTAACAGACCAGCGTCTTGGTTTAGGCCCAGTGGTTTGCTGGTGAATACAGCAGTAAGGAGACGAAGGAGAACGTCCTGTAGAAAATCCTAGTCAGTAAACAAAAGGAAATATTGGAATTAGGGGCGGGTGACAAACTCCAAGCTCCTTGCGCATGCGACGGTCTTCGCCAAATGTTGTGTTTTCCAACTTCGCGCCCAAAATAGCCGCGAATTCAATCAGACGGGGAAGTATCTGTCGATGGGGAAACGGATTGCTGAGCACATCGCGGAGAAATATGGTGCAATCGGACCATATTTCGTCAAGAACATCGTCATCCAAGGAGCGAGCATAGGAAACCAAGAAACTCGCTAATTCAGATTCAGACAAGCTGGTAGTCAAAGATGACTGGCGATGTTTGTCTAATGCGCTTGGATTTGTTCGCGTGTATATCGCATTGAACACTGCAGGAATAGTGATCTTCGGGCTCGAGCCGTCAAGAGTATGGAGTAGGTTGAAGATAAGCGCAGCGGTATCTGTATCAGACTTTGTCCACGATTCAACCAAAGTCTCAAGACATTCGAGCGCCTCTGCAGTGAAAAGATGTTCTAGGATACGCCTAGACCTGTTTCTCATTCGCAATGATGTGTATTGAAACGATGCCATTGATTCAGAATCCGGTGAGTCAGTTCGATCACCTGCGCCCCAGGCCCAAATAGAGAAACAAAGACGCACGGCATCCTGGAAGCAGAGAAGAACTGTCAACCGATCGTTGGCGGTATTAGAACGGCCTTGGTTGCCATCCGAGTTGAACACACCAGACACCATATTTCCAAAAAAGCCTTGCGGCTGATCTGGGCTCTTAGCGGCCGGAATATTCGACTCTTCTACTAGAAGGCGTTCATGGGCATGAGCAATACATGTTTCAAGACCAGTGAGCAAGGCGATTGTGACGTGTTCGGAGCGGTCTTGTGGCCAGTCTTCTGTTTGTTGGAATGCGAGTTGAAGCCTTCCAAAAGAGGCTTTAATCTCTCTGCAAAAGCATTCTACCAGCATGAGCAGAATTTGAAACAGCGAGCCTGAGTAGAGAGGAAGAACCTCACAAAGAAGTCCGATCCACTTATCCACGATTTGATGAGATTTTGTTGAACTGATGCCTTTGAGCAGACAATCCAGAAGTCGCTCAGGAGGTTGGGGGAAATTAGGCAAGACCTGGCCTCTATCTGTCTTCTCGCTTGTAAAAGATAATATGGAAGGACTGGTCAAACGTTCACGAGAGCCGGCTCGTTGGTGCTTTGGCCTAGGAGGTGGCACGGGTGCATAAGCCTGGGCAAATCGAACTTTCAGAGCTGCAAGAAGGGCATCGATGATTGCACCTTGCACTGCAACGCTGCTACCTTCATCTGATGCAACCAAAAGGCGATCTACAAGAAAATCGACAATGCCAGATTCCGCCAGGTCCTCAGCACCGGGTCCCAGAAGAAGTTGTCGCATGAGGTGGAGGGTATCTCTTTGCAATCGCTCTCCTTCTCGGTTAGTTTGTGTTGATGCCAATGCCTTGTCGCTGATAATTTTGTGGCAAGCCTCAAATATCGTTGCATGGAAACTCTTCACATTTTTGTTATCTATTTGAAAACGATCGGTTAGTTACCATTGCCATCTTTCGTTGGCTTGAAATATGACTTACCCTCAGACGTAGATGCATCAATACGCTTCTCGGTCTGGCCTAGTGTCTGGGTGAGAAGCGTAATCCATCCGTTATGAGAAAGTGATGAGATGATGTTCGAGGCTGTTCGCAGCAGATAGTTGCACTCTTTGTAATCATCAGGTGAGATTGAACCGTCTTCTTCCGTGACAGTTGCAGGATTTTCATGCTCAAATAACTCCCCAAATTTCAGGATAACGACATGGAATATTCTAAAAATTGGTTAGCGACGTCAATGTAAGGGGATTCGGAAATTTATCGCACCTATGGATAGAATGGAGGTCTTGAAGCCACTGCTGTACACTCTGGGACACATCCCCAGGTTCTTGAGACAGGAGGTCAAGAACAATGAACAAGGGACGCTCAAGCATTGAGCATTGATAGGAGAACAATGTCCCCCCGACCTCAAGGACCTGCTTTGGCGGTTGCTCGTGAGTGCCGTGATGACTATGATTCCATAGTACATAGAACTTCTCAGCTTGTTCCTCCGAGGAGAGATGATAAGAGGCCATGGTTGACGAGTTGACCATCAAAGAGGTTATCGATGCCTCGACAAGATGATCAACCCAAGATATCGAGTGGAGGGACCATAGACACCGTACGGCTTCTACATGGAATTTTGGGCTCAATGGTGACAGGTATTGCCAGAGCTGTTCGACTAGGCTGGGGATGAGACCGCAGGCATCCTCATAGGTGACATAGAATCCAAGGGTCTGGATAAAGAACAAGTTTGTCAATGCAGAGGCAATTGTACAGATAACTGCGAATCCAGCTGTGGTTGGAGTGCTGTCCTTCTTGCCTAATCTTCGAGATAGTGCCCCGTAGAGTCGCCTATCGCGGAGCACACGCGATTTTGGCAGCTTCATAAGCAACTTTACAACGATGTCAACTTTTTCGTGTAGACATGAAGTATTATTATCGCTTTCCAGAGCTTCGACAGATAGATCATGAGCTTCTCGTATAATCATTTCGCTGATTTGCTTCGGGCCAAATGGAAGGGGAGGAATATCAAGGCTGTTTTTGCTGCTTTCATAGAAGCTATGGATCTTTTTCAAGATATCATGGTTTCGAGTCTTGGTTTCAGCAGCGGGTTTTTCATGACCTGTCTTTCTTGAGAATACTCTCTCTGTGAGTAGTGGTATCAAGGACTTTAGGACATCATTCAGCGCGATGGACACAGCTTGCTTGTCGATATTGGTGCCATGTGAAGGTGTATGCAAAGAAATCTCACGCATTCTGACAAGCACCGATAGCGTTAACAAAGGAACATGGATCTGAAGCATGTCTTCTTCTCGCACATTGAAATTATCAATAATGAACCGGGCAAGATCAAGGTTTTGCAATACTTGGTGAGGGTCACGCTCCAGATCGTTCGAGCGGAAGTCAACCAATCCTAGGAGCTCGGAGAAAATGACACTGCTTTCCACTCCATCGAAGAATGCACTCGCACTGCGAAAGACTTCTTCGAAATGATTTCTGGGGGCTTCTTTTTCAAAATTCTGGACACTGCGAATTGTGTGTAGGAATACAGCAGGAACAATATAACCGCCAATTTCCCAGCGATCCATCAAGGAAAGAGCAATACGAAAGGGCTTTGTCCGTTCAGAAGGAATCTGAGATGCTTGCTTTATCATCTTAAGAAGACCATTCACCAAAGGCTGCAAACCCACGCGGCTGAAATATTGAGACTGTGAAAGCTCCTTGGCATCGGTAGAGACGTGACTTATCTCGGACGAACCCTTTTGGCCATCAACGGATGAACGCTCACGGTCACCTGCGGGCTCAGGGCCAAGGAACCATGCCCAGAGCCGACGGTTCAGACCCATGTCGCGTCGAGTGACCACACCCACGGCAGCAACAATCAAAGTTTCGAGATCACGGTCTGTGATTCGAGACTGTAAGATTGGGGAGTTCAATGACAAGTGAGTCACAAGAAGGTCAAGAAAATTTCGCTGAACCAGGAGCTGTTCGTCGGAGAGACCTGATGCAAAACACCGGATCAACAGGCCTGGCTCTGGGAGTATCACGGAGTCAGCCGCTGCCAGCATCTCGGGTGGAATGTCTTTAACATCGCTAGTATCAGCCGCACTCTGACGGCGGTTGGAAATGCCTAATTTAGGTAGGTAGCGGTTTAAGTAGGCTAGGACGCCAAGTCGTCTGCTTGGGTTTGTAATCGATGCGAGGAACAGACATTGCCAGAAATACTGCCCAGAAGCCCCGGATTCGGAAGTTTTTTGAGTCTCAAGTCGCCCGCCCACTTCGCGAACCTTGTTGATGATCCGTAACGTTGGCTCGAAATCGTCACTTGTCTCCTCCTCCAGACCAGGGAGTAAGGCCAAGAGAATTGCTTTCAAGGCGGGCCGAATGGCCCATGGCTCGAGATCGACAATATAACCTTCCATCAATGACAGAAAGAGCGGTCGAACGGTGAGCGAGGCGAAAGTCAGGGTCGGCGCAAGTCCGGGCAGGTACAAAGGCAGGTCGTGCGATAGCCCCTCAAGCTAAAGTAAACAAAGCGGACAGTCAGTCAACGATGACTTGGGATTTGGTTTTCCGCGGTTCGTACCTTTATCAGCCCAAATATGTAGGTGTATACTTCGAGAGCCTTCTGGTGGACCCCAGATGGCAATGACGGGTTCAAGCATTGTGCAAGTCGCTTCGAGACCAGTACCTTATGGGGTACAACAGGTTGATCTGGCGGGTGGGTTTGAAGGGCCTAGTCCATGGTCAATTATTGAGCACCGTAAAGCCAGCGCTGCGTGTCTTGGGGCCTTACCTTCAGAAGGCGACTCAGGAAGGAGATGTAGTCAGCCCATTCTTGGAGGGCATTGTCGAACAGTGATAGCGCTCGTTCAACACTTGACGCATAGCGGCGATAGCTTTTGTCCTTCTTGATGGAACCTAGAGTTGGAGAAAAATGTCAGTCAAATCTTGCGATACATCTCTCAGACTTGGGTAAGAATTGCAAACCTTCCTTTCCCTGCAAGCGCGTGCGCGTCAAGGAGCTCTCGGAGCTTGCGGGGGAATTCGACCTCGGAAAGGCACTCGGATCAAGGCTCATGGTGCCAGTGTCGGACGTCAAATTGGTACAAAAGCTGCAGACTGCACTTCATCATATTTAGTCCATGGAAAATGACCCTCAGGGGAAGGCGAGGTTGAACGTTGAAGATGGTTGGAAAGGGCCACGCAGGCGGACACATTTAATGTTTTGTCCGCCTTAGGGGAGAGCTCCGACTTCCCGACCGACGTTCACAACGTCAACCGCTTTACACTTCCCCACAACTGAACATTCAATGTTGGAATGAGCTGATCATGACACCCCTTGAATCAATTTGCATCCTAGTTATAGCGCATACCCGTAGGTGAATTAAATTGTCCAATTAATTGGGTTGGATTGAAAAAGAAACAACACTTCGCCAGAGTATTAGCCCGGGCTACAGTCTGTCATTAGCAGCCACGCGCCGCCAGCCTTCTCTACTACCACCTTGACAGAGCAAGTATCATGTAGCTTCCAGATGCGCATGTCTCCAAAGCTTTATGGAGGGAGAGTACTAGAGTATGTACGTGTGCATGTAATTAAATATTTGCATCAATACATAACATACTACATGACTTTCCAAGATTGGGATGTACGCACGTACATACCACCGTAGTATTACCGCGTAAGCGTAATGGTGGTGCATGCATCCATTCCTAAGAGGGATCGGGACTCTTCCTGCTAATATACATGGTAATCAGGTGATCCTGGGCGGTGACCGCCAGCAGGGTAACACGTAGTATGTGTATAGTATGTATAGCAGACTTATGTAGATGTTCAGTACATACAGCATGTACTACTACTATTGATGTATACGTGGTATACTTATGTCTAACTGGTGCTAGGGACCTGGGAGAGTTCCATGGACCTGTAGACATCTCGCACATCTAGTATTCCCGACAGATGTCAATCCCAACATTTGAACATTTGAAGGTTGAACCTCAAGTTGGAAAGATCCATCAATCCGCCGATGTCCAGCCCTGGAGGTAGGCGTCCATGCACAGGGTGTTGCAAAAGGCTTGCACATTTGAACATTGAAGGTTTCGGGAATTTCTGTGAGGTTGAATGAACAAACTTTCAAGTGTTGGAAAGCTTCAAAATTTCAATTTTCTAATACTTTTGTTATAGGCTTATCAACGACGACGACCAGCTCCTCCCACATTGTCAGTCCGATCAGCCATGCTAACCACCTCTCCGATCCCGGCTGCTTCCTGTTCATCCTCTAGAGCCATGATCTCTTCTCGGCTATCCCACCATTTCTCTTCTGCAGTCTCGAATGCCGCCTTTCGCAACTCCTTAATACTCTTCTCATCGCCCTGGCCTTTCAGCCTCATGGACTCGATGAGCAGCCTCTGCCATTCCTCTGAAGTACGACTGAAGAATTCGCGGAGACTCTCGAAAGGCCGAGGCAATGGACGGCTATCATCAGGCTGGACGTCGGTTTCTTGTTCCTCAACCTCGAGCTGTTCCATATCCTGAGTGACCGACGGCACAGTGACTTCTGTTGTAGCAGGCGATGAGGTATCAAGAGACATAGAATCACCTTCTTCGTCGTCCATATCCTCATCCTCGTCGTCTTCCTCGTCGTCCATATCTTCATCACTGTCCTCATCGTTGTCCATGAGGTTCCAGTTCATGGGCTCCCGGTAGAAGCATTCCTTGACACCATCCAACTTGACGAGGTCAATAGAGTACATATCATCGAACGTGAACTCCCGATCGCCCTTTTCAAAAGTTCCACCATAGATGAAAAGAGTGTCATCTTGTACCGCAAGTTGTGCGTTGAAGCGTCTATGAGGCATCTCGAAGCGGACAATTGCGGGTTTAGAAGGCTCAACAGGCTCCTCCACAGGCGTGCTCAATTGCATAAGCTCATCGTCGTCATCATCATCTCGAATCCCACCCCTTGCCTCCAGTGCTTTGAGATTTGCCAGAAGCTCTTCTTCATCGGCCTTACCTCTGTTTCGTGTTTTGACACCCTGGTTCGCCTGCTTCTTGCCAGCCGCGCGCGGTCGTCGTAGACTTAGCGGGAAGAATCGATTTCGATCCGTGTTCCATGCAAACAACAAATCAAAGAACTCGCTGTCAATGCCTTCTTCACTTAGCTCAACATCATGAACTCCACCAAACATGATACCGCGACCCTTGTGGTACGCCATCGTTGTTCCTGCACGAGCCGGGTTTGGTGTATTGGCGGGCTTCTTTCTCCGCTCCCAGCGGATTATTGGAACAGCAGCAGCTGGAGCATCAGATGCCGGTGGTGTAATTCTGAGGAACCATGTATCTTGATGAACCATGGGCCGTAGAACCATTTTTTGAGCGCCGCCCTTGACTGGCTTGCCGCCCGCGCCGCCACCACTGGTGGCCTTCACTCGAGAGTAACCACCATAGATCACGGCTCCGGTTTCATGGGGAAGCAATGAGAATGAAGACCGGGGGTCGGGTTTTTGCGATGCCGTTGTCAATGCTGGGCTAAACCAGGTATATTTCTGGCAATCGTAGATCCACAAGTCCTGCAAGTACTTGGTCTGCTGGGAAGTGTCTTGGAATCCACCGAACAAGATGATGTAGTTCTATAGTTATTTTTTTAGCCTTGTTTTCACATGGAAGTAGTTCATCTTTACTGTACCTTGTAGTAAGTCATTCGATGACCGCTTCGAGCCGGGGGACCTTTACCCTTGGTCTCAAGGCGGGTCCACTCCCTAGTCGCGGTGTCCAAATGCCAAAAGTCATTGTAGTGATAGAAAGTTCCCTGCTTGGGCGATGAAAATTCACCTGGAGGAATGGGTTAGCTATTAATGATACGGGGGAAGGAAATAGTTTCGAATCAATTGACCGTCTTACCTCCAAACAAATATACTCCTCCGCTGTTACCTCCACGACACCATGCATGTCCACTTCGAGGCAAAGGACTATTGGGACTAGTCACCTCTCTCCATTCACCTCGGTCGATCAGATATACGAAGAGGTTATTGAAGAATGTTGCGTGTGTTCCATCAAAGTACTCGCCGCCAAAGAGCAACAATTCGTTTCGATTGGACGGCGAGGCAAGGACAGTGGGCGATGAGCGTGGTGCAGGAGGCTCTGAGACAATCTCTGTAACCTTCAAAAACCTGGCTTGTTCTTCTGCGTACTGAGCGAGGATGGCATCCAGATCGGCATCCTCGGCGTCACTATCCGCATCCTTGCCCTTGGTTTTGGACTTTTTTTCATTTTTGGCGGTTTTCTTAGACTGCTTAGCCGCCACTCGAGCCTTATGCTCGGCGGACTTTTTGTCCTTCTTGCCCATATCCGAAATCTGGGATTTATACCGGGGGTTTGAAGGCTTACAAGTCCTGGCGGGGCATAGAAAAAAAAAGGTTTTCCCCACATTCATATCTGCCAGGTCTCTTTAGATAGGTGGGCCGACCACTATGTAGCAGCACACAATACTTGGACGAAAATTAAGCATTTTACAGGGAAATAAACTGCGTGAAACGCCTTTGATCTGTTTGAGTAGTGGAAATGCAAATATAGCCAATTCAATAGATTGACAGATTGTATTTAAGTAGAGGCTTTGAGACTTGATGTGATAGTGACTGTAAAGGGCTAAAGTTGCACCAGATCGCTGACCGCTCACGTGCAAAACGCGTCCCCCGAAATGTTTCGCGACGATCAACTGTTCAGTCGAAAAGACGATGAAAACCCACCATAACGCCATGAGATTACCACGCCCATGACGAAAAACAATCTTGCTGTACATCTCAAATGGCTGCTGAACCAGGGCTCGTCCTTACATCCATCGTTGTCTATTGACACCCCTCTACCTCCCGTACAACGCGAACGTGCTTCCCAACAACTTCCACCCTCCGACGAAAGCGACTTCTTAGATGCGATCATTGAGGACGCGGAGAACGCCGACGATGTGATAAACGAGGACATGGCAAAATCGCAAATCTCGTTATCAGCACGAAAACCTCGGTTATTCAGTCGCCCAGAGACATGGAAAGACGAGCCACCTTCAACATCAAAGAAGGCGCATGCCTTGGTTCCAGGTAGGTCCGAGTATAGTCATGATGGAATAAACATAAATCTTCTGACACGCAGTGTCAAAAAAACAGACTGCCGTCCTGGACCACCGCGATCCTCTTATACATCTCGACTCAAATCGACCCCGCTTCGATCAGAGCAAAAGCTAGAAGCATCGTATTTTGATAACATAGAAGCCATTGATCTCACGGGAGACCCATTACGGTTTACTTCCGCCCCTGCCACTGATTTGGGAGAACCACGCAGACTATGGGCTGGAGATGCTCCAGTTCGCGAACAAATTGGAGAGAAGCGTGGAAAGAAGCGTAAGAGCGATGAATATACATCGGATCTTCTATCGCCCTCAAAACATACGAACAAAATACGAAACATCCCAAAAGGACCTCCATCCGAACAGTCTTCAAGACCAAACCGGGCGAAGCCTTCCAATAGTGCTAAACCGCTCAAGACCGACTCTCCATCTCCGAAAAAGGTTCACCGGAAGGATGTCATTGCCGATTCCGATGAGGAAGATCCGTTTGACCAGTGGGAAGCAGATGCGGATGCTATGATCTTGGATACCGATCCAGTGCTCTATCCCAAGCTGCCTCAAATTAGTCCCGCGGAGAATGAGAAGAAAAACCAGTCCGATAAATCACTCCTTACGCGCTCGCCAAGTCGGACGTTGACAGAGAAATTTCAGACGGAGACTCGGAATGAACAGACGAAAATTTCCAAACCCTCAAAGGGCTCACAGCCATCCCCCGGGCTCAAAATTCCCAGCTCTCAACCCAAAGACGAGGCGGTCATGAAGTTTGTGGCTCTTTCAGCAAGTTCCATCGGCCATTCCATTCAGCAGCTCAGGCAGACACTGCAGAAAAATTCCGAGGTTGTATACCAGCAGGCAATGGAAGGTCAACCAGCTCCAGATCTAATCGCAGAGAACAAATGCCTTGTCTCACGAATCCAAGCGATTGAGGCTTTGCGACCTCAGCATGCGGCTTACAATACCTGCCTTTCTCGAAAAGAGGAGTTAAAGCAGAACCTCATGAAAGTGATATCGCAGGGTCTTGACCCCACATCAATGCCAGAGGAGCTATCCAGAAGCCGAGCTGTCGAATCTGAGCTGGAGCAAATCGAGCAAAAAATCCGCGAGCTCCTTCCCCAGGCCAATCTACATGATTTAGCCCAGGACATAGGAATGGATCGCGCTACTCCATCGTTGAGTGACTACCATTCGGACCCCTATACTTCCAAAAACCGATTTGAAGACTTTGGGTTTACAAGGGAGTCCTCCTCACCCAGGAAACACCAAAGCTCCTTCCCAAGCTCTAAAATGAGCAATGATAGTTTCAATTCTCGGCCTGGGCAAAGCACTGCCACCTACGCTAACGAGAAAAGTCATGTTTCTCGAAATATGGGCTCGCCAGCCATGGATCTGGATGATTTCGATTGGGACGATAGCGATGATGAGATATTGGAAGTTGCTGGGACCTTGAACAAGGCCCCTGCAATTTCATTCAATGACGATCGCATTCAGGACCGGCCAGTCTTTGCCGAGACCTCTGGAAATACCTCTCGAGTGCCCCCGCCAAAGAAGTCACCCAACCGTAGCAACTTTTGGAACAATAATCCTTGGTCTCATGAGGTGAGAACTGTTCTCAAGGATAAGTTCCACCTTCGCGGTTTCCGCCCAAACCAGCTTGAAGCCATTGACGCAACCCTTGCTGGGAAAGATACGTTCATTCTGATGCCAACTGGCGGAGGAAAGTCGCTGTGCTATCAGCTTCCCTCTATCGTCTCGAGCGGTCGTACAAGGGGCGTGACAATTGTCGTTTCTCCGCTACTGAGCTTGATGCAAGACCAGGTTTATCATTTGCAAAAGCTGAAAATTAACGCTCTCCTAATCAATGGCGAAACAGCTGCGGCTGAGCGTTCACAGATTATTGCTACATTGGCAAACCATGGCGGAGAAGGGATGGATTTGTTGTACATCACACCCGAGATGCTCAGCAAGAACCTGACAATGGTTAAAGCTCTTGAAAAACTTCATTCTCAAAACAGACTGGCGCGTTTAGTCATCGATGAAGCACACTGCGTTAGTCAATGGGGACACGATTTTCGCCCGGACTACAAGGAACTAGGTGAAATTCGTGCCAAATTTCCTAGCGTACCAATCATGGCCTTGACCGCTACTGCCACAGAAAACGTGAAGGTAGATGTCATGCATAATCTGAAAATGAGCGGATGTGAGGTTTTCCTACAAAGTTTCAATCGTCCTAACTTGACCTACGAAGTGCGACCAAAGAAAAAGAATGATGAACTCTTGGCCAGCATTGCCGAGACAATCACCGGCTCATACAGAAACCAGTGTGGTATCATTTATTGCCTTTCGCGCAAGACATGCCAAAGTGTGGCAGAAGCCCTCACCACGAAGCACAAAATCAAAGCTCGACACTATCATGCCCACCTGGCTCCGAAGGAGAAAGCTGAAGTGCAGAGCCAGTGGCAAATGGGAAGAGTTCACGTCATAGTTGCTACCATTGCCTTTGGAATGGGAATTGATAAACCCGATGTGCGTTTTGTGATTCATCACAGTATTCCCAAGAGCCTCGAAGGGTACTACCAGGAGACTGGCCGCGCTGGTCGAGATGGGAAACGTTCTGGATGTTACCTTTATTACGGCTACAAAGATACCACTTTGCTTAAGCGAATGATTGACCAAGGCGAAGGAAGTTTTGAACAAAAGGCTCGACAAAAGCATATGCTTCGGAACGTTGTCCAGTTCTGCGAGAATCGCAGTGACTGTAGACGTGTTCAAGTGCTGGCTTACTTCAATGAAAGATTTCGTCGAGAGGACTGTGGGAATACGTGTGACAATTGCAAGTCCGATCTTGTCTTTGAAGAGCATGACTTCTCTGAATATGCTTCATGGGCCATCAAGATTGTGAGGAGCTTGACCCGTGAATCGGAGGGGAAGGTCACTGTACTCTATTGTGTGGATATTCTTCGTGGCGATTTGAAAAAAGCCAAGTCATCTACACATCGACAACACCCAGGATATGGAAAAGGGTCTGCTCTTGACAGGGGGGAGGCAGAACGACTGTTCTACCGTTTATTGGGCGAAGATGCTCTGGCGGAAGAAAATGTCATCAATGGTAAAGATTTTGCGGTTCAATATCTCAAACTTGGCCGCCGTGCTGCCGAATTCGAAAGTGGCCAACGCCGAATGAAGCTGCAAGTGCGCGTCTCTCCAAATGGCAAAGCACCATCAAGGCGACCAGTAACCAAAGCAAAGGCTGCCAGCCAACACTATCCCCAGTCTACAATGGTTTCGTCGCCTATCCAATCTCTGAATGATCGTCGAGAAGCTCGCTCCCAGCAACGCGGAGTCCGCCTCGACTTTTCAGAAGGCGAGGAGAGTGATGGGTTTGAGCCAGTCCGAGTACCTGGAAACAACCCACGACAAACAGTACGTGAATTGGGCCCACCCATCACTACTGATCAGAAGATGGATCGGCTTGATCTTCTCCATCGTGCGGTGGTAGAGGATTTCGAGGTTACTGCCAAGAGGTATCTCCAAGATGTATGAATCATTCTCCCTTCTCATGAGAAAGATACTAATAAAAAATTGACAGGTCGTTGTCGAGAAAGGCCTTCGTGCCCAGCCATTCCCGGATCACATCCTGCGTGATATGGCCATCTCATTTCCCAAGGGTAAGCTTCGAATTAAGCCAGAATTTGACATGATATTAATTTTAGTTCCCGTGCTAGATCCCTCGGAGCTTGCTGCTATTCCCGGCATTGACGAAGACAAGGTCAAACGATATGGTCGCCAGATTTTAAGGCTGATCGATAATGCAAAACGACGTTACCATGAACTGACGCAAGAAGCTAATGGCGTTGTCCCCGATCCTAACCACCACAATGTCATCAACCTCAGCAGTAGTGATGAATACAGTGACGGTGACGATCTTTTTGCAGACCAAGCGTCTACCTTTGATCTCGACCAACCCACGGAAGGGCCGGCTGAAGATATCACTAGCCGGTATTTCCCCGCTCCACCATCTCCAGGCTTTGACCCTGGTGACGACTTTGGAGGACAAGAAGATTCTGGCTCCAAAGGCCGCAAACGTCCGTACACGAAAAAGCCTCGCCGTAAAAGCGGCGGCTCTGCAGGTAACTGGAAAGCCAAGGGTTCCAGATCCAAGCCTACCACGGGAGCCTCTCGTGCCCCAAGCAGATCCTCTGCCGCCCCTCGGAAAACCTCTACGAAATCCAAGACCCCGAAATCCACGATTGGAATGATGCCTCTTTAAACTAGTCTTTTCTGCGCAGTTGATAATGATTTGGCGTTATGTGCATGGATCATCTATAGGCGTTGTTTCCACCTCGAAGTCATTGTTGTTTAGAGCAGAGTACTTCTTGGCCCATGAGTCCATGTCATGGGACACGAGATATGAGACATGCTCAATTTATTTTCTAGGCCTACCCTAGATCAGGATTTAAGTAGACATAATACCACCTTTTGTTCTCATAATTAACAACTCCATGTTTCTATTTCCCTGACTATTCATTCAGCTACCGAGCGACCAAAGTCAATAAAACGCAGGCGGCGGGCATCGCGCGGATGGAATTGCGCCACTTTAGCCCTCACAAGGAAACGTGAAATAGCCGAGTCCCTTTGTAAAGTCACATAAGATGTACCAGCTTCCAGCAGAGAATCTAGAAGCTCATGAACTTCGCTTGTAGCGGCCTCCCGTTTATTTGTCGAACCTGAACCATCATCTTTGCGCCGAACAAATTTATCCATTCGCTGCTGACCACGATCATCAACCTCTGTCGCCTCCTTCTGTTTCTTTGGTTTTCCATGGGCCGTGTACCCTGCGTTCAGTGTTGCATCAGATACCTCTAGGGCATCCCCCACCGTCGGCCCACCAAGGTCCTCTGCAGCAAGCATTGGCGCCAGGGTTTCATCAATAAATCTGTTCAATGAGTTCTGAAGGTGCTCGGAATCCCGTTCAAGTGCTTTATTCTTCTTTTTCTGCTGGTTTAGCACTTCCTGTGCTACTTGTGAAGGTGTCTGTTCTTGCTTTCGAGCATTGGCTCTGCGGATCTGTTGGAGTCGTTCTCGAAGTCCACTTGCAATCAGGCGAGAATCTCGTAGATTGGCCTCTTCCACACGGAGCTGCTCACGATCTGCAGATAGCTTCTCAGCTGTAGCCGAGACCGAGACCTTGTGCTCTTTAACGAGTCGGGAGGTCTCTTCGATTGCTATCAGTGAAGGAAGAACAGACTCTGGAACTGGGAGCTCTTCCTTGTTCTGAAGTAGTGAGTCATACGCTCGTTTTGCCCGTCGTGCATCAGAGAGACGTGCGCGAGGGTCAATATCATCATATGATAGACCAGAAGAACGAATCTCCCGAAGCTGGGAAGATATGTTAGCTATAGACTTGAATGTCAGGAGTACATATATTGTATCATTAGTACCTTCTTGAGCTCGTCTTCCTGGCGACGGACTTGATCTTGAAGTTCTCGCAAGGTACCATCCAACCGTCGCGCATAGGCATGCAGGGCTGTGGCACTAAGCGGTTGGCCAACAGACTCTTTTTCGGCGGCGGCACGATTTGCAGCGAATTTCTGCACTTTTTGCACTTTCTCTTCGGAGACTTCCATGGCCGACTTTATGAAACAGACGTCAAAACCACCTAATTCTTGACAATCACCAAGTGACAACCACAGGGTCAAACGGTAAACCTGAAAGTACAAAACAGCCGCGTCGCGTTGATATACCACGTGACGTAACTGGTTTGGGTTTAGCCCGAGTGACAAGTAACGAGTAAGCTCATCCGCTCCGCTTCGTCTCTCCATCTTTCTACCCTCTTACCCCTTCTCGTCCCACTCCCCCCGAGCTTCTCTGCTTCCCTTTTTTCATTTCCGTGTCTTATTTCTTGTGAGGCGACACTTGTTTGGAGTGGCACAGCTTGTTCCTGCTTGGTTTTTTCCTAGTTACGCCATACTCTTGCACACACACCCCCCCGTCGCATTTCACGGCAACCACACACCTCCCTACTCCCTTTCCGCTTTCCATCCCCTCGAATCTTCCCCTCAACCCCGACAACTCCCCTTTTCATTGGACGGAATTTCAAAAAGAAAAGAAGAAGCTTCCATTGCCTTTTGGAAGACCCCACCATATCACCATTGATCTGCACTTTCTCGTCGACTCTACACACCACATTCTCTTTCTTCACTTCAGCCCGATCCCCTCCCCTGATCGCCAGCACCAGCACCAGCACGTATTCCGTGAGAACCTCTGGTGTAAATAAACGATCCATAAAAAGAAGAAAACAGATCTCATTCCTACTACTCGACTTCTTTCACGTAAGTGAAGACAAGTACAGACCATTGTACTTCAAGCATCATGTCGGCTTCACCTTCCAATCTGCAATCGACCAAGCGCCCTCTCGAGGACCCTTCCTCCCCGTCGGCTCCCAATGACCAACCCGAGGCCAAGCGACCCGCCCTAGACAAAGTAGTGCGCAGTGACGCCGATGCCGAGGCCGAGACGGACGTTACGAGCACACAGATCCCGACTGTTGAGGAGTCCAAGGATACCCAAGGTGACACAGTCGTCCCCGATGCGCCCAATGGCAAGGATCACTCCGAAACCCAGCCTATTCAGTCGACTGCATCCCACGGTGAACGGGCTGGCTCCCAGTCTGACCAGCACACGCCACAGGACGAGTCGGGCTGGATCCACATCCGCGCGGTTATCTCTAGCCAGGAGGCAGCCACAGTGATTGGAAAGGGAGGTGAGAACGTTTCCCAGATTCGCCGTCTGTCCGGGGCCAAGTGCACTGTCAGCGATTATTCTCGGGGTGCCGTTGAGCGGATCTTGACTGTTAGCGGCCTCCAGGACGCGGTGGCCAAGGTAGGTTTTGCTTCCATCCATTCTTACTTAAAAAAAACTCCTTGAAGCTAACTATTCTAGGCATTTGGCCTGATCATTCGGACTCTGAACAATGAACCCCTCGAAGCCCCTTCCACTGCCCAGTCCAAGACGTACCCGCTGCGCTTGCTAATTCCGCACATTCTCATTGGCTCTATTATTGGCAAAGGTGGTAGCCGTATCCGCGAGATCCAGGAGGCATCTGGTGCTCGACTGAACGCTTCGGATGCTTGCTTGCCGTTGTCGACCGAGCGCTCCTTAGTTATCCTGGGTGTTGCCGACGCCGTGCACATTGCGACCTACTATGTTGCCGTCACACTCGTGGAGCAACTCACCGAGCGATTCAACGGCCCTGCTGCTTCAGCATACGCTACCCGCAGCGGCGGTCCCGCTGGCGCTGTTCCGGGTGGCATTCAGGTTGCCCCCTATGTTCCACAGCCCGCCGGCGGCCAGTACGGCCACCCTGACACGTTCAAGCGCCACAACCCCCACCCCAACCGTCCCCAGGCAGGTGCCTACGGTGTTCCTTATCTCCAACACGGCCAGGGTACCCCTGCCCCTGTTGGTCAACCTGCCATGCCTTATGGTGCTGCGCCTGCTCCTTACGCTAGTGGTCCCCCCGTTCAGCCAACCCCCTACGTGGGCGGCCCGCAGCCGACTCCTGGTCGCGGAGGCCCACCTGCACCAGCTCCGGTGGGCGGTGCCATGCCCGGTCAGCCACTGACACAGCAGATCTTCATTCCCAACGATATGGTTGGTGCTATAATTGGAAAGGGTGGAGCTAAGATTAACGAAATACGCCATCTCAGCGGCAGTGTGATCAAGATCAACGAGCCGCAAGAGAGCAGCAACGAGCGACTGGTGACCATTACTGGTACCCAAGAGTGCAACCAAATGGCTCTGTATATGCTCTATTCCCGACTTGGTTAGTTTCACTATTGACCGCCTCATTCAAGATACATTTTTATCTAACAATCGACACAGAAAGCGAGAAGCACCGTGTCTAAGTGCGAACTTTCTCCTTTTCTACCTTGGAACCTTGAAAAATTCCACGGTGGTTCACGAAGATCCAGTTTCTTATCTCTTTTTTTCTTATTTTTCTCTCTTGATTGTCAAACTAACACGGGTGTTAACGTCTTACCACCCCCTTTCTTTCTGGCTGTATCTTATTTGAGGCGTGTGATTGAAACCTTGCCTCTTAATAACCAATCCCACAAAATTGTCCCCGTTGCCCTCCCCTCAATTCCCGTAGCCCTCAGCTTCCTTTTGCCATTACCAATCTCACTCCCTTCCAATTGCATCCCGGACACATTGCATCGTCAAGGAAAAGAAGCAGCCAAAGAAATAATCACCTTCATTCCCTAAGGCAGCACTTTGATTTACCTAATCCACGTTCTCCTTTCCACCCAAAATCCAGCAAATCGACCCGTCAAGTCACCCTTTTCTTTATCTGATGAAAACTAACATGCTTCACTTCCAACCCAGGAATAGCCCCCAAAGTCTTCTCACGAATGGGCGAGACGCTGGAGACAAATTGCTCTGTTTCTCTGGCCTTCTTATGCGCATCAACCGAATCCCACCCAACAACTAAGAGATGAAGCACCGCTTGTCCGTTTGGACTCTTCGCATGTTGCACCATACTCGGTCGATCTACATGCCCCATGGACCATGAATTTGGCCTCGACTCCTCCGGTAGTCGCTCAACATGTGCTGCCCGGAAATTTATTAAATCCTTGTTGAGCTGCTTCATCTCTGGAATAGAGAGTGAATTTGCGAATGATAACACGCACAGCTCGGTTACGGGGTTGTCGCTTAGGGCGGCGGCGCTGCAGAGAGGTGGGCTGAGGGTCGCGTAGATTGCTGTTGGAGGCTGAGCAGCCGGGTCTAGGTATGGTGTGAGGTTGTCTGTGCTTGCGGATCCTCGGGCGTCGGTCCAATCTGTTGATTTGGTTAGGTCCTTCTAGGTATGTTCACTCGCATATAGAGTCTTAGAGATAGGTTCCGATACAGTAATATCGATGATATTTACTTCTGGTATGATGATTCTGGCTCACTCACTAACTGCCCACACAATCGAGCTGTCATCGTCCACCGAATGACCCCATGCGGAACTTTGGTGCCCACTCTCATGTTGGGTGTTGCGGAATATAGACAATAAGCCCTCGCCTTCCTCGCTGTCCGGATCTTCGAGCCGGACGGAAGGCTTCACCTTGAAGAAGATGAACTCGCTGGTTGTCTGAGTCATGGTGGACCTGCAGCGATCAATGGAATATAGAAGGAGAACTGACAAGCTTTGAATGCTTCTTGTATCTTGAACTTGAATGACATGCACAAATGTAGATGTAACTAATTTCACGTTGGTAGCGTTGAACTACACGTGATGTCACCGCAATATGATGTCAGGGTTCCGGTCTTCATTAAACATCATGCCGGTAAACATATCGAAGACTGCAAAACATTGGAAAAGAAAGAGCCTAAAGCACTACTATGTACACTCCATGAAAGCAATGGCTTGATGAATCTTCTCGTTTGGCTTCCTTACCGATAGACCACGCTTAAACAGGTTAAAAAAAAAAGGTTAAAAAAAAAGAGCAAAAAATGATCAAATCCACATTCCTCTCCACGTGCATAAAGGAACATCAGTATCCTTCCTAGAATTCATCAACACTCCGAACATGGATCTCTTTCTTTTCGATGGCCGCCTTCAGGTTGCCAACAAGCTGTTGACGCCGTTGCGTCTTGACTCTCCAGCGAGCATTCTCCTCCTGTGCAACCGCGGGCGCGAAGGTCTCAACACTGCGAAGGCGGCTCTGTCTGGCAGAGCCATTGATGCTAGCCCGGAAGCTAACGCCGCGAGAAGCGGAATCAGGTGTGTGATAGGCGCTGTTGTCGACAGAGCCACGAGAGCCAGGGGTGGTTGGGAAACGACCGACATTCTTACGGGGGGTGGTGTACGGTGATCCTTCACGGCTGCTGGGGCCAGTGCTTGTCATGTCAATACCGAGCTTCCGCATCTGAGCTTCTAGAACATCGATATCACTGCTCTTGTTCTCAGCCATACTCATCATAGTAGCGATGGTTTTGGTAACAGCCTCCACTGTTGGTCGCTTCAACTGCCGTGAATCGCCATCGGTACGAGGGACGTCGGCAATCTTAGCTCGCAATAAGGAGACGCCTTGCTCCAGTTCTGCCATCTTACTTTGCACGTTTGTAAAAGTAGTCCGGAGATCATGCTGCAGAGCGGCATGTTCCGCAGAAAGAGGTGCTGCGAGAATGGCACCGGTGTCTGTGTGCGCATCTAAGGTCTTGCGAATACTAGCACATTGGCCGCGAAGAGTCACAATATCTTTGGTCAGCAAGTCGCGACATTGATTGAGTTTCTCCTCCACCCCCTGCACACGTTGCGCATCAAGAGAGCGAGCAAGATCACCGACGACCTCCTCAAGTTTGCTGATATCTCGCAAAAACAGCTTTTCATCGAGGACATCGGCGGGCTGCTCACTTTGGAGGATGTCAACTAACTTGTTGACGCCTGAAGCCTGAGAGCCTTGCTGATATAGGAGATATGCCTCCATTGAACGCGAATTGATACCCAGAGTATCGACCATGGAGTTGATATCGCGGTAGAGTCGTTCAACCATCCCCGGAATACCTGGCTTGGCCGTCTCGCCCATGTAGTTCTGGTGAGGTAAGAATGGGTCAAGTGTAGAAACAGGTTCAACTGGGCGAGCAAGGTCCGCACGAAGTCTCTCGTCCTCATCATCTTCAGAAAGGGACAGAGCTTCTTCTTCTTCTTGGCGTTGTTGCGCAGCCTGGCGAGCACGGGTCTGTTCTTCTTGAGCAGTATCACTGACTTTTCTTAAACGATCACCGCGCCGTTCGGCGACCTGTGTCAAGGAAGTCTTACGAGCATGTAGTGTGCTTCCAGCTGGCTTCTCTGTTCGGGTTTTGAACAAAGTGCTCTTCTGCGGCTTGGTACGGGTGGGGCTTGGCGACCGATATGGCTCGCGCGCACTTTGTGCTGCGCGTCCGGGGGGTGGAAGATGGGGTTGCTTGGAAATTTCACCAAACAAGGTGCTTGCAGCATGGCCTTGCTTTGGAACACCCTTCATGAAATTTCCTCCAAAGAAGCCCCCAGGAGAGCTCTTGTCAGAAAAACCTCCAAAGGAGCTCTGGGCCGAGTGCTTTGGGGTTGGCATTTTCGTCTCATCGTGCGTAATCTCCTCGCCACTATCGCTGAAGTCGGATTGATCATCGTCCTCTTCCTCCTCCTCTTCCTCCTCCTCTTCCTCCTCCTCATCTTCGCCCCCGTCTTCTTCCTCGTCTTCATCTGCATCTTCCTCCGAATCCACATCTGATTCGGGAACAGGCACATTATCCTCCAAGACTGCAGATTTAGGCTTTGATTGGAAGAAATCCGGTGGAAGCGGCGCTTCCTCGGCCTTGATAGAAGACTTCTTCTGAGATAGGAAATCCGGTGGAAGTGGTGCTTCCTCGGCCTTAGAAGATTTCTTCTGAGACAGGAAATCTGGAGGGAGCGGCGCATCCTCAACAGAGCTCTTAGATACATTTGAGGACGCCGATGTATCACCAGGAGCGTAACTATCCCTACTGGTAGGGTCGGGGGGAAGCGGTGTATCGAATGACGAGAAAGTGGGCGTAGAGCCAGACTGCTCTCGTTTTGGTGTAGCAGTTTTGTCAGAAAGCGCCGACAAAGGGCTTGTGATCTGAGGTTGGGACGAGAACTGAGAAGTTCCCTGAGCGGTCGTATTTTTCCCAAACATGGAAAGGCTTGGCTGTGGCTTCTCGAATGGGCTTGAAGGTTGAGGCGTGGGCTCACTTGCAGGTGGTTGCTTGCCGAATAATGATGTGCCGGTTGTGGTTATTGGCTTTCCGAATGGCGAAGTAGTGGTAGGTGCTGGCTTTCCGAAAGGTGATGTGGTGCTGGTAGTCGGCTTTCCAAACAAAGAAGTACTAGTTGCAGGAGTCGGCTTACCGAACATTGAAACTGGTTCGGTATTCACTGGCGGTGCAGCCTCAGCAGTAGAGTCTTCTACGTCATCCATAGACTCTGTCTTTGGGCTTGTTCTGTCAGACGTTGAAACCATTTCATCGAAAGCACCACCAAAAGAGAACGCCCCTGAAGATTTGATATCAGACTTGGGAATATCAGTAGAAGCTGTTCCATCTGGTTTAAAGGAGGAACCGAGTTTGAAGCCAGCGGCTCCACCGCCGCCAAATGGATTCTTAACCTCGTTGGAAGGGGGAGGGAATGCTGTCCCTGATTGTGGTTTAGCTCCAAACGGCGAAGATCCCGGCGCAGCAGCAAAGGTGCTCTGCCCCGTAGGCTTACCAAACGGCGATTCAGTGGTACTAGATGCTGCAAGGCCACCGAATCCACCTCCTCCCCCACCAGAGAACGCACCGAACCCGCCGCCTGTGGAGCCAGATCCAGTTCCGAGAAGTGACTTTCCTGTGTTATTGGGCTGTCCGAAAGGACTCGCTGCGGGACTTGCAGCGGCGAATCCAGACTTGCCAAATTGCGCCTGGCCCGGTGTGCTCGTAGTGCCAAAACCAACACCAGGTTGAGAAGGAGTTCCGAACGAAGGCTTACCGAAAGCCGGGGTCGATCCACCACTCATTTGAGAAGGGCTCCCAAATGCTGGCTTTCCGAATGCAGTTGCCCCCATAGTAGATGAGCCCATAGGAGATGGGCTGCTAAAAGAAGCACCACCAGATGGTTTGCCAAAGGCAGATGAGCCCATAGCTGATGGGGACCCGAAGGAAGACTGTCCAAAAGCAGGTTGCTGTTGCGTCAAGGCGGGTGCAGGAGTGGCAGCAGGGGGCTGGATTTGAGAGCCTGCGAGAGATGATTGGGAAACCGAAACTAGACCAGGATATGGCAATTTCTGACGAATGGCATCAGAATAAACAAACCACCAGTATGAGAGGATACCGTCATTGTTGAGAAGAAGAAGACCAGGCAGAGGCGTTGAACTTTCTGAGATATCCTCTCCCGGAATGGGTGCAACGACAGTATCGGCGCAAGTTAAGTCTGCAGCTAGACCAATTACAGAAGTCTCATCAACGGAATCCTTCAATGGGACTGATGCTCTCTTGGCATCATCATTCACCTCAGTGGTCGCGAATTGACCCACTAGGGCCCTCGAGGCGTCGTCGCTTCCTAGGGGCTGTTCAGACCGGGTGATAAGTCCAACGTCAGTGGACGCAGTCGATGAAACGATCAGTACGTCCTTCAAGCCAGGCTTATAGTCTCGCAGTCGCACAGTGAAGTTAAAGGCCGGCGAGCGCTTCATCGCGAACCCCATTGTGGAGCATATTTCAGGCAGCTTCTGAATAAGGAAAGGTGCCTGTTTTCGTCTCGTGATTATGTAGTAGAAAGATGCTGGGTTTTGTCCATTGCCGTCGTCCGGTGCATTTGGGGTGTATACCATGAAAAATATGTCGTTCTCGAGCCATGAAACAGAAGAAACTATTGCATCGTTAGCGGGTGTGGTTCACCAAAGAATGCACATGTGAAGCTTACCATGGCAATCATTTTCAAGGTCCGCTGGACGAGGAACTGTATCCTTCTTTGTCCCGTCAGCAGTCATCTGATCCGCTGTTCCGTCTACCAATCCAGCCACAAGCTGTTTTCCCTTATTGCTCCATGCCACGCTGCTAACCCCGTTTCTAAGAATTGGGCCATTGGCACCCGAAACGAGATTTCCAGCTTTCAAGTCCGCGACCAGTAGCTCGCCATTGGCAGTGACAAGAGCAACAAAAGTCGAGTTGGGGTCTGGGTTGGGCGCAAGTGCCCGAATGGATGCGCCATTTGTAGGAATTGATATGGCTGGTTGCGCATTCCCTTGCATGATATCGGATGTTTGGAAAACGGATAATTGGGAGCCGTTTTCCGTTGCTAGAATAAGAGCATCATCGTTCGCAGTAAATGCAACGTGCGTAGGTCGCGCAGGAAGAGGAATAGTGATTTGTGGTTGGAAAGGTTTTGTTTTATCCATGTCCTCTCCTGCCGGTGCCTCGATAGATTTCCTGACATATTCGGTACTTGCGATCACAAGCGCGTCTGGGCCGGCACCAACAACAATTCCTTTGCTTTGGGCGACAGCTAGGAGAGAAGAGGTTGGGGATGGAAGAGCATCTTCGGGCCAAGGGGTAGGTAAGAAACGTATATTTGCATCGCCGGAGAGGCCTCTGAAGCCGACTTCCTGAAAGTATTGTTAGTTCACACCCCATCACGGATTCATCAAAGCTTAGTTGGAAGACATACATCTGTAAAGACATCGGATAGTTCCGGCCCTAGCTCGGCTCCCGAGTGAGATTGCACCAAGTTAAAAGCCATTTTGAGTCGATTATGATCCGCAGAGACGGTACGAGGAGAGTCGCTCAAGGGTGAATTGGTCCTCGAAGCATTGAGCGATGGTGAGCTCGGCGGAGTAGATGAGAAAGAGCGTCGGGGGAGTGCTTGCGGACTCCGGTTAAAAAGCTGCAGAGTACGCGCAAAAATCGTGACGCGATATCTCCCCAGAAGAAGAGATGTAAGTGAGGATCCTGGTAGGTCCGCGAAGGGAGGAAGAGTGAGGTAGCCAAGGTCTCAACGGGAAAGGTGTCGAAGGCCCGAAAATGTTGAAGGCAAAAACACGCGCTCAGTATCTGTTGCCTTGCGGGTCAGGCATCAACGGGAAGCTTGAGCAGCTCAAGTGGATTGCGATGAAAAGATATCAGATAACTTGATTTTGAAGTCTGGGGAGTGAGGATGAATCAAATCAATAGCTTTGGAGGTTCTTGTAAGAAACAAAAATAGGAGTTCGTTTGCCGCCTTTCAAATATCTCTCTCTTTATACCTTAGTTGGTGTTTGTATAACGAGTTGGCTATGAAGTTTGGGTAACTGACCGCCTTCCATCCACTGGGAACTAGGCTGCGGGAGCTTCGTCACTTCAGTCTCCCAGCTTCCTCAGCTTGCTCCCATCAATCGTCACCTCAACCATCCCTCCTCTGCCTCTCACATTTACTCAAATCCACCACGTCAAAGATATACTCGCCACCCGCCCACTAGTCAAACCCTTTCCAGTCAGCCCACCCCTGCATTGTCACGATGCCAGGCTTCGACTTCTCCAACTACAACCGCAACGCGGCTCTGCACGCCAGGGGCGTTCCCCTTCCCAAAGCCACCAGCACCGGTACAACAATCGTGGGGTGCATTTACGATAATGGTGTAGTGGTACGGTCACCCAAAACCATCTTTGAACCACGCCAGCAACAGCAGGCCGGAAGCTGACATGATATCCGGGGGAACTACAGATTGCAGCAGATACCAGAGCCACCAGCGGACCCATAGTAGCAGACAAGGTATGGGCAAAAAAAACCCCCGAAGCGAAAGGACACAATCACCTGCAATCCCAAATCCCAAACCACTAACCATGGACTTTATAATGTAGAACTGTGAGAAGCTCCACTACATCGCCCCGAAGATCTGGTGTGCCGGTGCCGGTACCGCCGCTGATACCGAATTCACCACCGCGCTGATCAGCTCGAACGTTGAATTGCACGCTCTATCGACTGGCCGCGACCCCCGTGTCATCACCTGCATGACCATGCTGAAGCAACACCTCTTCCGTTATCAAGGTCACATCGGTGCGTACCTGGTCGTTGCTGGTGTTGACCCAACCGGAGTCGGCCTTTACACCGTGCACGCGCACGGATCCACAGATAAGCTGCCATACGTGACTATGGGATCTGGATCCTTGGCCGCTATGTCAGTGTTTGAATCGATGTGGAAACCTGATTTGGATAAGGCCGGTGCGGTGGAGTTGTGTGCAGAGGCTATCAAGGCCGGTATCTTCAACGATCTGGGATCTGGTAGCAATGTTGATGTCTGTGTCATCGAGAATGACAAGCCGACGCAGTTGATGCGCAATTATGAGAAGCCCAATGAGCGTGGGCAAAAGGAGCGAAACTACCGCTTCCCCCGTGGTACTACTGCTGTCTTGAACCAGAAGATCTTCACAAAGGAGGATATGAAGAAATATGTGACTATTGAGACACTTTCTGGGGACTCTAACCTCGCCGGAGATATGGAGGTGGACAGTTAGATAGTTCAGAGTTAGTAGGGTCCAGGCGATGCGGAGGCTAGTACACTTGGCCCCAGAGGCGGTCTAATATACACTGAGCTTGTGCCTCATTGTCCTCGCTGTCGTCGTTGCATTCATGAAAGACGATCTGTTCTATCCCTAGTAGGTGTAGGATTCTACAGCGGATTCTAAAGCTACTAAGGTATTAGAATCTATCAATGAAATCAATCAATTTCTTTTACAATCCATGTGTGCATCCAGATCGGTCAACAATTGTGCAAGATATTTACCTACTACTAGTATGACAAATGTGTTTAGTTAATATGAATATCAATGGAGGGTAATACTAAATGTAGTATATGCATTTGGTCGTCCTGGAGGATGACCTGGTATCTCTAATATACAAAACTAACGCTTGAGACTACTATGTACTAAGCACACCTGCAAGGCACTACTATGTGAGCCGAAATCTACTCATGATACGAACCACGAGTCGAGCGGCCAATTTGCGGCCCCTCATGAAGCTCGTCAACAACATCCTGCCCTTCAAACTTCTCAATAATCCACATAATGTACTCATACTGAGTGGGCGCAATGCGACGTCCTTCACGCCTATACCGAACAACACCAGCGTGGTACATAGCCCGCACCAGAGATGGGTAAACAGGCCCACCATGTTTACGGAGGTAGTCGTAAAGCCAGTGGATAAGGTGAAAGGAGCGAGAGGGAGTCAACTGCTGACAGCATGAGAATGCAATAGCCAGTTGATGAATGAATTCGACCGCGGCATGGGGATCAGGACATCTGCTATCCCGTGGTCCGGGGTGATAGCGTACGAGGACTTTCTCATCCGGGTGCGGAATGGGCACCCAGGCCTTGTGAAGACAAACTTTGAATGGGGTATGGTTGCGCAGAAGTCTGGTGATTGACCAGATGCTTTTTGAGTCGCCTACTCTAGCAAGGCGTAGACACTCATCTTTAGTCTCGGGACTGAGAAGGTCTAGTCGATTGAACATTTGTTCGAATGAACCGTAGAAAAGAGTTCGCACTCCGTTGTAGGTAGCTGGATTTGCCCAAAGATCGGCCAGAGAAGTTTGAGAGGTCTCGAGTCGTTCAAGGGTATGGCGGGTGGTTTTTGTGACCAGCTTTCTTAGCTTGAGATCGACTGCGAGGAGAAGAAGGCCATTGTATGGGAGATCTAGGCCGTGTATGCCGTGCAGTAGATCTGCAAGGAAGGATCCTTTCGTTTGTGAAACAGTGATTTCGTACAGGTTAAGCAACATATAGATGGATTGGTCCGTGGGTTTGGCATGCGAAAGATACATGGGCCCCAGGGATCGACTCATGGTGCGTAAGACCCATAGGCGAAGCACAATTTGATGTTGGATGGATAAGTTGGAACTTGTAGGGAAGGCACTCAATAATTCTTCAGGGTATTGAGTGTTGGCCAGTGGAAGATTTGACCATATTTGGGAACGGGCAATAGCTGAAGCATCATTTATGTTCAGCAAGCAATTTCGCCATTGCTCAAGCCGTTCATCACGAGTCTCCTTTTGTTGATTGGAGGCAAGTTGTTCAGTGATATAAACCAGACAATTGGCTGCACAGTCTGGATTCATTCGGTTCAACAAAGACATGGGGAATTGAATGGTTGTCGTCGAAATATCGTCACCGAATTTGTCCAGCCAAGTCAAAATAAAGGTTGAAGGCCAGTAGACATTATGACCGGCGTTGTGAGTTGCGACAATAATTTCGCCCGCGAAACGAAAGTCACCGATTCTCAAGAGCTCCTTTAGCCAAGTATCGACAATTTCTTGTTCCAATTCATCATATCCGAGGATGTTGCAACGTCCGATGGCTTGCCACATAGCACGGTAGTGCTTCATCAATGCCTTCTGATCCCATGCTGCTAAAGTCTTGTTTCGCTCAACAATAATATGTGTTAAAGATTTGATGATCAGACAAATCTCCTCTGATGCGACGAGTCCCAGCTCAAGGGCGCGAGAAATGGCATTCAGCACGGCAGTTCGGTTGGAACGTTTGGTTTTAGTCCGCACGAACATCTCCACCGCAGCGATGTAATTACCAGCTCCCCAGACATTCAAAAACGGGTCATCCAGAAACTGGATAACTTGCGTCAAATCCGTCGTTGAGCGCATAAGCAATGCGTCGAAGATCTGCCGGCTGTATTCCGGTTCTCGGTGTAGGTCGATTCTCAACCGGCGGGCGAAATCCCGAACATCTTCAATCCCCCAGTTGTCCCCTTCTAGGAATTCTTGCAGCATTTGCGTTTTTGTTGGTTCGTTTTCATAGTTGGGAGTCGAAACTTGTTCTTCCAAGATCCGCGGGTTAATTGGATCAGGATTATGGTCGTAAAACGGAAGCGCGGTCTCGGCAGTTGCTAAAGCACAGCTACTCAGGTCTTTGGGACAGTTAGTTTCTTCAATTTTTTTGCCTGTCGGGGGTACTCATTGACTCCGATCTCACTGACCTTGAGTATTGATATGCGATCTCTGCCATGGGTAGTCCGTCCACTTCATATGTTCCCTCCCATTGCGCCCAAATAGACACGCGATATCTTCCACTGGGGATGCTCCAAAGCCGGCAAGTGCTGTATTGCGACGCCGGGCTAGTCTTCTTCTAGCCTCCAGGGGTCCGGGGACGCAACTGCCATGTCGTCTTTGACCGTTGGCGAAGCGGCGGAAGGTTGCTGCAAGCAAATCGTCACTGACCCAGGGATGATCGAGAGTCGGAGCCGAGGGCGGTTTTAAAGCATGCCTGTAGGCATGCCTACCAAAAGACATGAATTGTCGTATGGCATATGCGAGCCAATTGCCGTGTTTGGGGAGTCTCGTTCTGTCCCTCTGGATCGTTAACATTTGGAAGCAGCTTCGAGCGCATTTCTTGGCGTTTATGACTAAGCAGTTCAGCCAATGATATGCTACTAATTTCTTAGCAGTTGAAGTCCTATAACTTGGTTACTTGGGACAATCTTTTGAAAATTCTATATTATTTTTTGTAAAAAGAGACTGGGTAAATTTATTGTTCACCCGCTAGCTATTTTGGGCTCATCTGTTTGGGGACCATCAAGGCTGAAGAATCCACTGTAATCCGAGCAATGCAACATGCGTAAGTATAAAATCATGAGTGGGAATACGAAAAGTAAAAAGTAAAAAGGTCCATGTGAAGGAAAAATGACGCAAAGAAAGACAGAAAAAAAAAGCCTAGCGCCAATGCAATGTATGCAAGATGCTCTTCGCTCGCCAAAGGTGTATATCATGCTAATCATCTCAGCGAAGACATTATCAAATGGTGTATAGGACATATCATCATCATAAGAAAGGAGATATTTTATCATCTCACATTCATTTCATCAAGTTTTCGCCAAAAGTGGTTTTCGGCCTGTGACCACATAGTAATCCATATAGGCATGGACATTCCGATCCTGTATGCTTTTCCTGACATCAACAAGGAAAACTTCAATCTCAGGCTTTGACCAGCCCAGAGCAAGAAACGGCTTATATGACCAGCCAGACAAGGCCTCAAGCCAGTTGTGCTCGTTCCACTTTCCAACTTTGTTGAGATGCCCATCGGTAGACCAAGCATTTACAGGAATCTTGAACTTCCGTTGTTCAACATCCTCAAACCCGACTTCCTTCATCCATCGCTCCATTCGATGGGCAATTCGGAACTGTCGAGTGGGCTCGATCTCCTGGCTGGAACGCATGTTCAGATCAAACCAATCGTGCAGGGCATATGCACTGTACCCATCTGGGTTCTCCGGTGGCATGGTGCCATCATCACATTTTGGTTTCGGATCCATTTCTTGGCATTCGAGGTGTGCCCCTGGTTTGAGGTGTTTGAATGACTGTCGTAATAATTCTTTAAAAGACAACATGGAGCCTGAAATATGTCCGATATGAATAAAGTCGAAATGATCTGCGTCCCAGAGCCATTCTTCTTCTGTGGCGTCGTCGACTAAGAAGTGAACATTCTCTGGAACCTCTATTGGTTGTACGGGGGACAGATCCGTTCCCGTGATGGTGGTGTTGGGAAAGAGGATTGCTGCGTGACATAAAGAGTCATTAGATCGATATGACACATGGTGTATTAAAAAGAACGGGGAGATGCATACCCATCTCTATTGGCCATATACCCGAACCGGTGCCAAGATCGAGGATTTGCTGGGGCTTTTCAAGAGGAACATGGTATAATTTATCCTTCATAACCAGTTTGAACATATGATGGGCTAGATCCAGACGATCAAGCTCTTGCTCATCATTGGGATACGGATATGCTGAAAATGATGGTCAGAAAATCTGTAGAATAGATAGATACGTGTCGTAGTGTGACAAACCTCCTTCATGGTATTTGTGATACCTTCTCCCATTCTCGATGGGATAGTCTGTTACACTGTCCGTCAAAGACTGCGTGTCACTATTGTCATTTTGTTAATCAACATTGTAACTTTTTGAGAACTGGCAATGGTACATTGGAACACTAGGAAGATCCTAATTTGGAAGAATATGATCATACCATTCACTTTTTGGCTCCTGCAAATAGTACGTTAGTATTTCTGTGCGAAAAACGGCAGCACTTCGCTTCAACCATTGAAGTCATTAATGAACAAAATGCTTACAGAAGACTTTGGGCTCATCATGGCGACCTCGGATCCGTATCCAGTGAGGTTAACCGAGGCAGGTAAGACTTGCAGGTCAACAACCCTAACGAAGGTGAAACAGGAAAGACGTAGATCGGCTCCAAACCAGCGGTGATTTTGAACTCAAATGCCCAAAGGGGATAAGAAAAAAAGAAGAAGAGGGAAAAAAAAAAAGAGAAAAAAAGGCACAAGCCCGAGGAGTGGTAGGAAACGAGCGCTTAATAGTCGTTCGAACCAACGGGAGTCGCCCGAGTCCTATAGTACACGATGGCCGGGGGGAGGAGAGGGAAGCTAGCACTGAAATGAATTGGAGAGGGGAGGAAATTTAGCGATACTCCATATGCAGTCCCACACTAGATCGACATTGACAGTTGCTATGCAGAGGTGGATAGGGGGCGTCAGAGAGCAGTCCGAAGTCCAAGCTTGGCCAAGGTGAGAGAAATAAAATAAAGAAGGAAAAAAAAAAACCAAAAGTTGGGGCCGGGTGGAATGTATTTGGGGGGGAAAGAGGATTATCAGTCAATCGAGCCCGACAGCTCGGGTTAAGTTATAATTTGGCAGGACGGGAAGACGATCCGGACAACTATAAATCAAATACTGGCAAGCTGTCGGGGTGGGATCGACATAAGAAATGTCGCAACTACCAAGGCCCGCAAGGGTGGGGAGTGGAGTACAAAGGCGTGCATGGGGTACAAAGTTGAGCCAGACTTTTGGTAATGGACGTCAGAGTTGTTCGCGCTGGGAGTTCCTAGCGGGGAAGCGCTTAGGGCGGACAAACCTTGCACATGTGTCATATAGAACTTGCAGAGAAGATGCTTTATGGGTTTATATTCCTTTTAAAATGTTGCCTTTCGTAGATTCCTGTTCTGGTAGATGTTTGACAGAGTACAAGAGAGATATCGTCACATCGGTTATGAATTAGATATTTTAAATGGACCAAAAATAGACAAAAACAGGAAAACAGAAAAGGAAACAAATCTCAATCGACAAAATAGAATAAAATAAGATAAAATAAAAATATAAGAAGCGGAGACTACAAATACACAATACACATATCAAACCAAATCCTTTTCCTGTTTCGGTTCGAGCGTGGTCGATCCTATCGACGTTCGGATTGGAATCGGCCCCTGCTCTATACATGCATGAATTTTCTGTTTTTAAACCCCGAGGTGTTTGTTCCAGCATACTGGAAAACCGGAATTCAGAGATTCAGAGATTCCGTCATCTTCACTCTGATATGTCTTTTCCGTTAAACTCTGAGGCCGTGGGCCCTTGATTCCTTTTCTCTCTAATCTCTAATCTCTTGTTGAGTTTTTGTTTTTTTTTTCATAAAACACAAGTCAACATAACTTTGAAATTCTTGTATGTTATTTATTGCTGTGCAGGAAATTCTCCCCAAGGAGTAACCTCGCAGGTCTAGATCAGCCAATAATCACCCGTCCCACTAGCTTGGGAATTGGCAACTGGACTAACCAAGGACCGCTTTACCCTTTGTCCTGGGAATCTGGGAATCTGGGAGATAGAATTTAGAAGGGTTGAAAAAAAAAAATTATAATACGCATCTCAAACATGTGTGCATGAACGCTGCATGGTTGATCCTGGCCGCCATTCGTTTCCGACAGTTTGGTTCCTCCGTGAAAGAAAACCAACGAGAAATTCGGAAATTCGGAAATTCGCCATTTACTCGTAGTTCTTCCTATTTTTCTCATCTGGGGCGTGACTGACTCTTACTAGATCGAGCCAGGATGACCAAACGTGATAACACCTTCTTCTGATCGGCCACTGGGAATTCCCCTCGGCCCCGCAGTAACGATGGTGGACAGGAAGCCTAAGTGGAGCTGTCAGGAATTTTCGATTTCTCATACATAGGTGTAAGAGGGGGGAATGATATTGTGAATTCTACTCGCTACGGAGTACAATTCCGGGAAATGATAGCCTCGCTAGGGTTCCTTACGCCAAAAAACGCCCTATGTTCTCTGCTGCTTTTCTTTTTCTTTTTCCTTTTTCCTTTTTTCCTTTTTTCTTTGTTCCTCCTTCCCGGGTCATCAAGAGGGAGTATCCTTGTAACCATGTGGCGGTATAGGAAAGAAGGCAACAGAGCTAATATGAAATCAGCTTAGCTGGCATCAATTACAAGGTGTAATTTCAACCAATTTCGACTTGCCCCTCCGGAATAGAAACTCCACCTGGCATTTGAGGGCCACCTTTCGTTCTAGCGGTGGGCAAGTTGATCTGTCAGAATTAGCGTCTCGTGCGGACTCGAATCTAGGCGCTTGACCCCTCGGTCGCTCGATCTGGCAAGTTGGGCTCCAGCTACTGTAGGTTTTGCTTTTTGTTTTGTTTTTCTCACAATGATTATTCATCAAATATGGAGTCGATTCAAGCAACACGGACGGGGGGAAAAAAAAGAGGCAAGCAATACTAAAAACCGCTGGTGTAAGTTTATACAAAACAAAGGCAGCACTTGAGTGAACGGGGAACACGAGATAAGAGATTTTGGGGGAAGGAGAGAGGGACACTTCTTGGGCCACCTACGTAAGGCGGGGGAAGTATTTTTATTTTTATTTATTTTATTATTATTATTTTATCGGGACCCGAAGCCTGCAATCAATGACGGAACAGCCAAATGCTCCGACGATCCGGGATTTGAAAAAGATGGTACCCTTGTTCTTTTGGGAGAAAATTGTTCGCCCCGTCGCGGTAATTGTGTACCTAGTATGTATTGGTCGTATAACCCGTATACGTAGTGAGATGCTACTGCATAGGATACAGTATAGAGTCTAAACCCTACGGGCAGTAAACCCGGTTTGGGGGATGTATCATGCATGGCTTAACGAAGATGTTGATTTAAAAATCAACACAGATAGCCAAAATGCAGCCCAGAATTCAAAACTGTAGTTTCAACTGATACATGAAGATGGGGGGCTGGTTCTCCATGAATGGAAATTCAGATGAATTGACTGGCGCCTAATACTAAAGACAACGAGCTTCCTGTACTCGGAGTACCCCGAATAGTGTAAAATAAACATGTATACAAAATGAAAAATAAAGAGAAAATAAGAGCAACAAGGGACCGAAAAAAGCAACTCGCGCCCCGTTAATATCACCAACCCTGTAATAGTTCCAGAAATAAATCCAGGCTCCCATGGCGCTGGGATTCCATTCAAAGGGACGGGGGGATTGTTAGCAATCGGACGAGTCAAAACTCTTCTGTAAGACCCGACGGCTGGGAAAGAGTTCGGGTTCCAAGGTGTCGGTACCGCCCCAGGTGCCCACCCTGCCCAAGGGGACTAGGAGATCATGAAGAAATCCTTCTAGTTTTACCTTTTTTTTTTTTGTTTTTATAATTCGGATTTCCTTTTGGTCTATTATTCAATACGCTGAAGGGCCTTATTCATCTAGAAAATCGAAGAAAATAAAGCAAAACAAAAGGCCCCATTATGATTGAGGGACCTTCAGTTGGGCATTGATCATCTCCTACCTAAAGAGACAATCTGGCAAAATTCACCATCTGACTTGTGAATCGGGAACCAGGCTTTGCCTTTTTTTTGTTCTTCCGCGGTGCCCCGGTGGGACTTAGATGACCGGTTCGGTTCATCTTCGGTTAGCTAGGTGGAAATAAAAGAGCTCTGGGGTCTTGGGCCCGATCCGCTCCTTGTCGACGGAAGTTGTTCCAGGTTTTACTCCACAAATAGGAATCGCAAACCAGCCGAGATTCAAACATCAGGTTACACCAGGGGCTCGGCTCCGGGCCCTTGCGACCGCTGTCCCCTGCAGATATGATCGAAGAGGCTGAGAAAAAGCGGGTGTGAACCGTGCAATCATGTATAGAAGGCGAGATGGAAATACGACCTTGCCATGCGTCAGCGCATGTACAGTAGACGACGGAGTTTTTAGCCCGAAAGATAAGTCACGATATCCAATGAATTATTTGAATGTGCCCAAGTGCGCAGTCCTACCCAAGACCTTGGGATCTAGCGTCAAAGCCAAATAGCTTCAGATGTTGTTTATTTACCGTTTTGAGCCCACTGAAACACCCACAATTTGGCTCTTCGGCCGAGCCATGCAAGCCTCAACGCCTCCTTCTGTCTTCACCATCAACACCTAAATTTAAAAGGACTACGTGGCTCGCAGAATAAGAAGAGAATTCCCAAAGAGGGTAGAAGAAGGAAACCCCCCCCCCCCCCCCCCAAATGAAAAGAAAAATCGATGTTCTAAATTCTGGTGGCAGGGAAAGTCAAGTAGACCGCTTCAGTGACAAATACTGCTTTTCCCCACAATTAAGCCCGTGATTGGACGCAGAGCTTGACGCCTGCCTACCAAGTACTCATCGCTACGACTGCCGACCAGTAATCCTGGGAACTAGTCTATAATGGAAGGTCTCAACCGCGGTTCTGGCTGTTCTTAGGAACCCGAAAACCTCCTGCTGCGGGGATTGTCGAAGATCAGCTGGAGAGGCCCACATACGCGGAACATAGTTAGTTAGGTTCCAATTGTAAATATCCATCTCGGCTAGAAAGCACGGTCCAGCTGGGCCTATGGGGGGGGGGGCACACCGGAATTCGAACTACAGTACGGAGTATGGATAAGTAAACAACTGTATGGTGGCGGCACCTGGGAGGTCTCGTCATCTCGCTAGATGTAAGCGGAGTAACCTAGGTATACTCCGTTCACCTCCGTTTACGAATAAGAAAAAGAATAAGAAAGGACCCATAATTAATTTGGAATTGCCATCATTTCCAAACTTTATCATCGGAAGTGTATGTATGTATACAGAGTATGGATCTCTCTAAGCGGAGTCCAACCTTCAAAGTCCAATCGGCAGGCTTTGACGGCCCTGGAGTGAGGTCATGTATGGATGCAACGAATTTGTTCGCTGTCGAAATGCGACAGGGTACTAGGTAGGAATACAATCTACAAATATTTGAAGATTAAAGGCACGGAGTAAATACAGAGGAATCCCGAAAATTTCTGCAAATTGGGCTTGGAGACCTCAACGAGCTTGGAAAATACGGAGCACCCCAGCACTTGACAGCTTGTGATATAAAAATTTCTACGATTGACCAATCAGGTTGGTGATTTGCAGACTTTCTCGTGATCTGCGAGGAACTCCTCCGAGTGAGACCCGGTGCTTTGGAACGGAGGGGCTTAAGGCGGCTCACTTTGCCCAAAGGAACCAATTGGAAATCATCACTAGTTATAACAATCAATACGAGAATAATTTGTCATTGTCTGCATCCATTCGGATATAACATGCAATTTAATTTATATATGTATTGTTCGAATTGAGGTTGCTTGGACCACTTCCAAGCTTGCCATGTCTGGTGAGTCGTGTCGAGGGTACGTTAATTGAGAGACGTCGAATCGGACCACCTTGGCAAATTGTTGAACCTCATCAAAAAAAAGAAAAGAAATACACCAAATAAATATCTCAACAAGATTCTCCTTGCGTGTATGCACAGTAGTTGTAACCAAATGACAAGGTGGCGCCCATGTGGGCATGTTGTGATTCTGGCCTACTTGAAAGTTTCGACTTTATCATCCTTTCTCCGATCAACAGAATGAATTTCGGAGTGACCGAAAATCCAGGGGCTTGGGATCCGGATAAAGGCATCTGATATGTATATCTAGTCTCAATCTAAACATCTGCTTGGGCATTATTATCCCTTGCTGGTGGATAGCCTTGGAACGTATGAGTGCGGCCCAATATCCAGTTATAATGACTACTACCTGGCGTTGGATTAGATATAGCATGCTACATATGATTACCTATTACTAGTAGGTATTTTTTTAATGAATTGATTCGAGGTCAAAAATTCTCATCAGTAGAATATTTGCCAGTGTTGACTCAATACTGACTCGGAGTCCCTTGGCATGTGAGTCGTCGGTTTGACCAGTACTATGTACAAACGGGGTTCAACCCCGACTTCCAATTTGCAAGCACTTGTGTGGTAAAAGTTATCATTCAACTGGATTTAGCGCTTCTAGGGGTCTAGAGGACTTATCAAACTTACATGTAAGGGGTGCTTTCAATGAATGTTCCCGTGTTCTCCGAAGATTGATCTCAAGTGCTCAAGTGCTTGCTTCAAATGCTGATGCCATGATACCAGAGCATGTATGTAGTGTGTACATACTGCGTATCCACCCACCTCTTCATTCAATGTTTGAATGATGTAGACCTGGGAACATTTTTTTGAACCTTCAATGTTCCAATGGAAGTCTATAATGTGTGTACATGTAACATATGTACATATATGATATACATCCAGATGTCCATAGTAATATATGTCTGGTACATATGTGACCTTGAGAAGGTCTGGATGTAGTATGTATATGCTTTTAAGCCATCCTGTCATTTATCTATGTGTTTTGAACGTTCAACTTCCAGATGTCAGCTTCCACCATTCGTGGTCTTCAAACGTTTTCACCACGATTAAAGCCCGATGGTGATTGTGAGTCGTCAATGGTCAGTCGTGACTCGTGACTCGTGGGCCGTAAGATCTGAGCGGTCAGATTTTGCCAGTAATGACGCATCGCGGCCCCACTAACTAGTAATCAACAGAGCAATTAAACCGCTTTTGATCCAACCGACACAAGAGCTTTCAAATCCTTCTTGATGAGCACATGGTCCATTCGAAAGACGCGTCGAACTGGGCACCGCCACGCGTAAACCCTTATTACCCACTCGGAACTCAGGCCTAGCTCCTTGATGCGCGGCCACGCTTCAGTTAGGCATGGCACGCCAAACCCGAGCTCGCTCCACTCGGAGCAAGGCAACCCGTGGCCGCCAGTCGAGAAACAATAAGTCGCGCGAAGATGAAGTTTCAGAGATCTATCAAGAAATGCTGGACGAGGCCGAAGCGCGAGACCCCGAGCAGTTCCATCTGGATAGGCCGACCAAGAGACGTAGGGTTGGAGATACCAAAGCCATCCCAATCGACCCCCCGGCATTGACACAATCAAATCCCGCGGAGCAGCCAACTTCAAATCAAGAACTTGAACAGCAAGTGCAAACTGTTTATGATTCAACCACAGAAGATGAATCAGATATCGAGTGGGAGGATGTGGATATCCAGCAACCCGCACAGGAGCTTCCAAGTGCAAGTGCTGTATCGCAGGGAAGGGATGAGACTCTCCAAATAATATTCGACAAGGAGCCCGAGGCGCGGAAAAAGACTGCAGTCCGGAGAAAGCCCGTCACTGCAGCCGAGAGAAGATTACGTCTAGATATCCACAAGACTCACCTGCTTTGCCTTTTAGCTCATGTGAACCTGCGCAACCGCTGGTGCAATGACAATGAGACACAGGTATGTCAATAAGTTTATTTTTCGCAGTGTAATTCTCTTACATCGTTCTAGAATTCCTTGAAAAGAATGCTTCCGAAGAGAATAATTGCATTGCTACACCCAGATGAGGATAAACAGCAATACATACGGTCAACAACTTTTATGGATGGCCTCAATCAAGTAGCCGATCTCTTTAATCGGAAATTCCAAGTCACCAAATCTGGCCTGAAGCGAGCACACTGGGCCGAAGGTCAAACTCAGCTCAAACAAAGAGTGGTATCGGTCCACAAAGTTGTTTGAATGGCATTGGATGAATCCTGACACATCTATAGGAGTCAATTATGTCGGATGCTGAAGTGTTCTTATCGCAAGCAGATTTTCGGTCTGAGGCGAATTTGATGCAAGGCTCGCGAGATTTTGGAGCCCAGCTATTCTGTGCCTTGCTACGTTCCGTCTCCATAGAAGCGAGACTAGTATGCTCCCTTCAACCACTGTCGTTCTCAGGTACAGTGAAGGACATGACACCCTCAAAAGTAGCATCCAAATATATTGTAATATCTTCTGATGATTATGATACATCCATGGATGAGCGCCAGCAATCTGGAAGTTCCTCGACTCCGAAGAGGCCTCGGCGGATTGGACGTCCTGAATTCATCTCACGACCACCGCAATCTTCAACACGCCCAGGTCGGTGATTCTGATCATCTTTTATCAATTATCGAAACTGACGTCATGCAAGCTCCTTCGCTCATTCCTCAAGAGTCGATGCACCCAGTGTTCTGGGTCGAGGTTTTCAATGAAGCAGTCCAAAAGTGGTTTGCGATTGACCCTGTGGTGACTAAGACTCTGGCAAAGCCTTCAAAGTTTGAACCTCCAGCAAGTGACCCATACAACAACATGAGTTATGTTGTCGCATTTGAAGATGACGCGTCCGTGAGAGATGTGACAAGACGGTACGCGAAAGCTTTTAACGCAAAAAATCGCAAGCTTCGAGTTGAGTCTACCAAGAATGGAGAAGAGTGGTGGAACAAGGCAATGATGGCTTATGAAAAACCATTCCTTGAGGATCGCGACGAGGCCGAGATTAGCGAACTCACTTCTAAGTCTGCCGCTGAGCCTATGCCCCGAAATATCCAGGACTTCAAAGATCACCCCGTTTATGCAATCAACAGACACCTGCGTCGCAATGAAGTGGTCTTCCCTGAACGTGTCATTGGTCATGTTGGACTAAGTAAAACCACATCCAAAAGTGATAACCTGGAACCTGTTTATCGTCGGTCTGACGTGCATGTGGTACGAAGCGCGGACAAGTGGTATCGATTAGGAAGAGATGTCAAAGTGGGCGAGCAACCCCTGAAACACGTTCCTGTGACCCGTCCTAAAAGCGGATTTGCGAGTGATGAAGGAGAAGAAGCAGAACATACCCCTCTTTATGCGGAGTTCCAGACCGATATTTACAGGCCGCCACCAGTAGTTGGAGGTCGAATTCCAAAGAACGCCTACGGAAACCTGGATATTTATGTACCAAGCATGGTGCCACAAGGAGCCGTCCACATTAAACGCACGGAGGCGTCGCGAGCTGCAAGAATATTGGGTGTTGACTTTGCAGATGCAGTGACTGGATTCGATTTCAAAGGCCGCCGTGGAACCGCTGTCTTTGGGGGTATCATAATTGCCACTGAATACCAGGAGGCCCTAGAGGAGGTCCTGAGAAGCATGGAGGATGAAAGACAACATGCCGCCTTTGAAACAAGAAGCGCAGAGGCTCTGGGAATGTGGAGGCTCTTCCTACTCAAGCTTAGGATTGCTGAAAGGGTTCAAGGCTACGCGACCGAAGATGAGATAACTGGAAACTCATCCACAAGAGAGACAAGCGTGGACCCACCCGAGGGGGGAGGAGGTTTTTTCCCAGAGCCAGATCAACCCACAAGGAGTTCACCACAAAAATATGGGGATGAGGGACACAGAGAAGCCCTGGCAACCGAGGGTGGCAACCTAGCTACTCCTTACCCGGAGGATGTCTCCAACCAGCAAGAAGACGATCTCGGCGGTGGGTTTATCCCAGAGGAACCCGAGGAAGAGATCCTGACCCCCGTGTCAACAATAAATCACCCTCCACCAATTTCACAAAGAGAAGTCAAGCCGAAGGCCGTAAGGTCATCTCGCTATGAGCTGGTCGTGGTTCCTCACAAATCAGATACTGTAATGCAAGACGCGGGAATCGCTTCTGTGGGCGGATTTCGCAACGAGCCTGAGGGGTCTTCCGAGAAAGTTCCTATTACTTTGGACTCTCCAGCAAACGTTGATTCAAAATCTGGCAGCCTTGAAATTATCTCAAGGCCAACATCGCCACCACAAGACCTGGCTCGCTCGCCGCCTTTAGAGGACTCCGACAGTGAAATCGAGAAGGGATCGTTGCTGTCTGAAGACCCCGAGGACGAGGATGCGATACCTGACTGGTTGGTTTGACGTGGGTGTCTTTTGAACAAAGATTTAAGCGTGAAAAACATAGGCAAATAGAACGGTTACAATAATCAGAGGCTTTAATTCTAATGTTGAGCAATAAATTATGAGACATTATTAACATCTATAGAAACATTTGAATCATGTGATCGCGTATCTGGGCGAGATGCCCCAGCGCGTTCAACGACGCGGTATATAGCGGCCGATAAGGGCCACCCTCACGACACATCCCAATTTCAACTTTCCGACCGGCAGAAAGTAAATTACGAGTAATTCCAAATTCATACTAGTATTTGTTTTTGAACTCCGTTTTAGTTATGAAGTGCTATATTGTACGCTATATTGTGCTATATTGTACGTTGAATCGCTGTAATTCCTTATACATTAAATCCTTGATGTCTCTTCTCAAGTCCCTTCTCAATTCCCTTCGTAAGTCCATCACAGAATCACATAACCACTTTTTCTACCAAAGGGGGCTAGCAGAAAAAAATGGCATTCCGGCTAGACTTGGCATGTCATATAACCCGTGTTAGCATACTTGAGAGTGACCGGTGTTTACATTAAAGCTCTTTAATATTCATAAATGAAGCTCGAGGAGTTTAGGATGGAGATATTCCTGTATGTGATAAAGACAATACGAGCGGGAAACAGGGCGGTGAAGTTCGTGATGGCCCTTATCGGCCGCCGCACGCGGTAGCTCCACTTTCAAGAACGTCATGCAGTCACTGTCGACCGGCACCCTTCTTACCAGTCGCTACCCATAAAATGTTTATGCCTTAACCACTAAAGCTGCGATGAATCGCGACAAGAGATTCGAGAGACCGCCGGAAACGCCCCAAGCACAATTTCAAACCCCGAGCCGACCGACAACTAGGGTCTCCAAGAGTACCACCGCATCGAAGAGGATTGCATCCCCTCGGATTTTAGGATCGGTACACCCCCGAAAAAGAGACTCGCTCCCCAATCCGCGGGTTCAGTCCACTCTCACACAGATCGACTTTGTGACGCAAACTACACAACTGGACGATGAGGGGCTTGAATACCTTGATAATTCGGGGCTACCTGCGAATACCCACGAGCCATCTATAAATGAAGGCTCGGATGATAATTCGCAACAAAGATCAACAACACGGACCCGACCCACTCCAACAGTATTCGAAAAAGATGACGACCATCCAAAGAGGCGACGGAAAAGTGTGGGGGTGAATGGGAGGGGGTCGGAACCAAGTCACAGTATACGCAAGAGTCAGGCAAAACGGAAACCCACAGAAAAGCCGCCCACAAAACGCGACAAGACGCTGACACAAATGGACTTTGTGCGACGTTATATCCCGATTGATGATGAGGACAATGATATGAATCTGGGATACATACAGCCTACATTCCAGAGAAGTACGCCTAGAACTTTGAAGAAAGAAGTCAAAGTCGAGAGCATGGACCTAAAGACTCAGCCATCTCCCACCTCTGCTAGACGCAATCGCCGAGTTCTAGAAGCAGAACTAGATCTTTCAACAGGAGAACCCATATCAGATGCGGCAACCAGTCAGGCAGTTGACAGTGGCAACACCACGTATAATGGGGAAATCCGGGGTGGTCCAGTCACACCGCTCAAGCGAAAACTTGAAATTCAGTCTTCCCAATCACCAGAAAGCCCAGGGCTTGCCATCATAACATCGTCTCAATTTCGAAGTGCAACACGTTCGCCGTTGAGACAAAAAGCTCCTGAATTCGCACGGGAATCCGAAAATTCCATAAAGGAAGAGTCGCCGCAGTCTCAACAATTAGTCGAAGATTCACAGGGCCAGTGGCATGTGTCTCCCGAAAAAACACCAACGGCTGAGTCGCCTAAAGGACTGATAGCCTCAACTCAACATCCCACGTTCGGTGAGAGGCTAGCGTCATGTGCACCACCCTCCCAGTCGACGGCCACACCCAGACAGATGTCAAATGATCAAGAACCGAAACGGACTCAAAGAGAGAGAACGGTTGTATATGAGACTGATGCCGAAACCGACCAAAGCGAGTCGGAGGATAGCATCAACGAGGGTCCTACATCTCCGCCTCGATTACATGAATCACAAATATGTGACACATCTATCATTCAGCACGATCCATGGTCACATCTCCCTGACGATTCGCAAGAACTTCCTTTACCCGGGGTTCATTCATCTGACAATCAAGATTATGAGCCATTGTCTGAAGCCCCAATGTCAGATGCTTCAGCATATTACCAGAGGCGACAACCTGCTACACAATTTCCGCATGAACCCATTCCAAGACTCAGCACTCAAAGGCTAAGGGAGCTATTTCCCAACGAAGGCTGTTCGCAACATCCCAACTCTGGATCTGCACCGCCACCGACAGGACAAAAGTTTCATGGCCCTTTCTTGCAAACACAAACGCAACAGTCTCAAGACGGAGAAGATCCTGAACTTGTGCCAGAATCATCCCCCGCACAAGGACAGGAAAACGACACGGAGGAAAGCCAGGTGGTGTTCCAGCGACCCCGTCTTCCAGAGTCTATTCAAGTTGAATCTTCCCAAGTTGTTGACCGGGCCAAACCCCGAGCAGGCGGGCTTTTATCACGGACTCAACTTCTAACTTCGAGTCTAATGGAAAGTGTTCCTTTGCCGGACTTCTGGATGGGTAGCCAGGATAGTGTGGGAGAACCGTATAGTTTACCTGATTGAGGATCAGGATTTTTAATGAATGATGATACCCTAGAAAGTTGATGTGTATTTGATATGGCCAAATACTTTCCTTATTGAATCATGTCCTAGGTTTATGACTCCATCTAATAACAAAGCACACTCGGGTTATTTGACTGGCTCAGTATTTGACATTGGCCTAGTACTGCGACAAAGCATTGCCGACTGATTTAGCTAATATGTTTCTACTTCTGGTGTGTAAATTCGTGATGCGAGATTTATTTTGAGAAAGAAAGAAAAACGAAAACCCGCTGGAAAGCTGAAAGGCTGCAAGGGACAAGTCGTTGATCTATGAGTGGCTGTTGACATGTCGTTTTTGATCTGCAGAAGCGGGGCGGTCGGCCCATGGACGAACGCGGAGAGGTGCAACCTCAAAAAGTGTTTGTTTCGGAATTACTCCAACTCAACTCCTCAACGCCTCACCATGGATATCGCATACGACCACATCCAGGAGGAGATCCTTACCTCCAACAAGGAGGAGGGAGGTGATTCCAGCACCGAAAACTCCAACGCCAGCTTAAACACTGAATTCCAAGAGACCTTCCGTGCCTTCTCCGCCAGTCCGTGGGGTACTCGAATCGGAGGACTTTGGGACAATGTCCGCAAGCAGGGCGAGAGCTACTACGAAGGCGCCCGACAAGAATATACAGCAGTCAGTGAGGAGGCAGTAAAGGGATTCTCTGGCTTAAGGGACAGCATTGCCGACCGAACAAAGGGGCTGTCGCTTAGCACCGCGACATTGACAAGTGGCAACGAAGGCTCAAAGGATGAGGCTGCCACACCAACCGCCTCGGCAGAGGGCGAATCCAAGGGGCAGACAGAAGCTGGCGGGTCTAGCAGTGAGGGCTTTATTTCTCGATTCAAGGCCGAAGCCGCTCGACGACTCAGGGAAATCGAGAAGGCCGAGGAAGCTGCTGACGAAGCCATCTTGCGGTTCGGACTGAACATCAGCCAGAAGCTGCGCGAGGCTGTCAGTATTGTGCCTCCCGAAACGGACGAGTCGGGCAAGCTCCTATTTGAGAGCAAGGATGCGGATGGCAAGCGGGTCATCCATGCGACTCGCTTCGATGCGCAGCTGCACGTCATTCACTCGAACCTGGACAGTTTTACCAAGGACCCTGCCAGTGACAAATTTGAGCAATTCAACAAGGAATTCAGTGTCGATGCGAAGACTGACGAGATCGCTTCTCACCTGGAGAAGTATCCTGAGCTGCGATCTGCTATGGAGAAGCTTGTCCCCGAGACTGTAGAATACGCAGACTTCTGGACTCGGTACTACTTCCTGCGCCTTGTCATTGAGACCGAGGAGCAGAAACGCAAGGAACTCTTGAAGGGTATGTTTTTTCCAGTCTAATAATTTTCTGATATACTTGACTTACCGCTATGATCTACAGGTGCCAACGCGGACGATGAGGAGGTCGGCTGGGACGATGACTCTGACTCCGAGTCTGGGTCTCCTTCTACTCCCCAGGTTCGCCCTGGAGCCCAAAGCCTCGCCCCAGAAGCCCAGAAGACGGACCCTCGCCGATCTAACGACCAACACTCCCAGGCTGATAGCGAATCAAGCTATGATGTCGTGAGCGGAGCTGTCAGCCGCACCCCCGGTTCACCAAAGGAAAAAAGCTCCGCCACAGACTCCAAAGCAGAGGAAAGCGACGATGACTGGGAGTAGACTGCTTGACCTTCATTCGGGGCCAAGTAAAACCAGTGTTAATCTCGCTCCTCTGTAGCCACCAGCGAGAGTCCAGCTTGTCTCTTGGCCCACATATGATTCGTCCGTGAAATTCGCGCCTCTTGATTTTCTGGAGTCCGGTTGTTATTGTTGCTTTATAGGCGTTTTGGGGACTTTCGTCACCCTCCTTATTCCCGGTTTCGTTCTTGTAACTTGGCTTCAGCGATTGATGTCTAAAGATATTTTTTCTGTTCATCTTTGAACGTGCACATTGCTTGCTCTCCTTGCATAGCCCCTAGAATCCAGTACACATTCTTAGTGTCCACCCATGAAAATGCTCGGAGTTTAATACATAATACAATTTCCCTTCCAACGTAGCTTCCTCAAGCCTTCGGGTTACTGAATGTTTCCTAGGCAGGCGGTCTAAATTAATGGAAGATTAGAATGGGTTGCTGATGATTTTAAAAAGCGGCTGTTATGGAAATCTCTTTCCTACATATCCATATCTAACATCTGAAAACCTTTGCTTATCATAGCTTATGGATGTTGACTTGTACACTGTCCGGCAACTCGATTGAGAGTCACTACTCTGTCGTCCTAGGCCCAGCGCCTCCATCTCGCACCCCACCGGTCTTTCTGGCTAGCGGTGAGCTCTGCGCAGAGTCACCCCCACTCGCATAGGCTGGCGTCATCCCCCTCAGCCCACTGGGCCGTGTCCGATCGTAACGGGTAGAAGGCGAGCCGCGTCGCTGTGAAGAACTCTCTGGTGTATTCTCTCTAGAACGAAGCTGAAAGCCTTGCGACGTGCCGCCAGGAGTGTAGATTTCGTCTCCCTCGCGGTGATAAGCAGAGGGACTCCCATATTGATAGTCTTCGCCGCGATGTTTAACGGGACTTTCATCGTAGGGATCCCAACCCACACGGCGGCGGGCCTCGGAGCGGAGCCGCTGGCGATGTTGCTCATCTCCACCGGCGCCAGTCGTTGAAGATTCTTCGAGGAAAAAGTTAAGGAGTTCGTCACTGATAGAAAGGTGGGATTGTTGCTGGAACTGTTGGAGGGAGGTTAAGCGGAGGAGGGTCTCGAGGAGAGACAGAGATGTGCGGATGTTTTCAAAGAGAGGGTTTGAGACTGTTGTTGTAGTCGGTGTGGGTTGTGTGATATTGTTGTAGCGGGACGGAGATGGCGATGAGGACGATCTCTTGTCCTTGATAGAAAGTTTGGCCAGCATGCTTGGGTCGATTGAGCAAGGTGCTGTTGGCGTGCGTGGGGTGTTATCTGCTTCAGATTCTGTGTCGGAGTCTTCGTCTTCATTGAAGACTTCGAATGCGACCCATTCCGGATCAAGGCCTGATGGTAGGCGCCATTCTGCCGGGATGGAGTCCTCGTGAAGGGAGTCAAAACTCTGATGCACGGAGGGGTTTGTTCCATGTAATTGAGCGTCGAGTTGTTCTTGAGCTTCATCCGACGAGTCCTCGGATTCTTCAGAGGCATACTGATCTTCAGTCTCTCCACTCTGCATCATGCGGCGCGGGGGCAAGGCATTCGTGTCTCTTTTCAACAAGAGGACTGGATTGTTTGTCTCTCCTTCGGTATTGATGTTAAGAATCCGACCTGTGTCTGCGTAGAAGATCTTGGAGATCTGATGGATGGGTAGGATTTCGCGAATACCGGCGGTGGTAATGCCTTCATAGCTATGCGGCTGAGGCTCGTCATCTTCAAAGGTATGGACTCGTCCATCGTCCAAGTCTTCAATTATCATAACTTGATATGCGTATTCGTCAGCGCCTGCTTGCGCTTCAAACTGTGGTGCTCTTGCTTCGTCGCCCGATTGGTATAAACTCATTGGCACGCGTCGCACTTTCAAACGGGCCTTGTGCATAACTTCTTTCCAGGTTGCTGAACGAACTGAGTCCTCATCATGTGGGCGCACATGACCGGAAAAGAGCATATACATTGAAAGCGTAAACGTGGGTCCAATTTGAACCGCCTGAGACTGTGACATGGAGTATTGTGTATCTCCAGCAGTCAGGAAAGTGCTAGCTTGAAGTAGGCGGGATGGCGATACGGTTGAGGGGAGATTAGTGGATAGCTTCGCCCCCGAGGTGGTGATGGCCAAGTTCATAAGGGGTACGGCGTCTTCAATCCGAGTCAACAAGTTTTCGATATCCTTGATAATGAATTTGATTTCGGCATCAACATCCTCCCGATTTTTTGGGGACCTAGAGCTTTTCCGTGAAGACTCTCCAGACGAAGCAGCCCGTGCCAGTCGCTGGCCGAGTGCTTGGATATCCCACCTCAGAGATTTTGTGAGAGCCACGGCAGACTCAAGAGACGTGTTTCCTCGAGCGGCACTGAATGATTGATTAGAATCCGGTAGAGTTGTCATCGAGTCCAGATATCAAGAAAACTCACATAAGCTCAATCATGTCGATTGCTGGGGAAATGACTTGTATCTTGGTCTCCAGTCTTTGCTGTAATGACAAAAGCTCTGCACGATCTTCACCATCAACATTCTGTTCCCGGAAATAAATCAGCACCGTTTGTCACTCCAAGTGTTTGGTCAATCTTACTTTGAGCAGTCGCGATGATTGACGCATCGCATAAGTAGCCGTTATGGCTATACCAGAGCTATATGAAATTATTAGACTTCCATGAGACTATTCCTTTAAAAATGGTCTCAGCATACCGAATCGCATAGTTCATCGCCTGCTGTGTGAGCTGTCATATAATCAGATTAGATCAGCACACTCGTAAAGATTGGATCAACAACTCCTGAAACATACTCGAGTGAGGAAGATATCCATCTTGAAAACGACTCGTGAGACAATAGCCTCGTACACGCGTTGTATGGACTGAGACTGCTAAACAGCCTGGCGATCAAAACGTGGAGGGGGTTGTTTCTTATCGATAGTGTTCTCTCGGGGCCCAATTGGCAATGAATAGTCAAAGAACTTGAAGGTATGAAGACGTAACCAGAAAGCGCCCAACAACAGTTCGATTCACAATTGAGAGGGAAATTTCTTTTCATTTCACACATCAATACAAACGTCAGTTTTCATTTTCATTTCAGTGCAGAATCAAACCAGCACAATTACTTCCTTTATTTCTTTCCGCATCAGTTCACACGTGACGAGTGTAATCGATTGTCCGCTGAGTCATCAGAAGCGGGTTGCAAAATCAAAAAAGGCGAGCCCCTCATTGTGGTTCCTCCACCTTTGACTCTCGTGTCGTTTATACCGTGTTCTTGACTGAGTCCCGGACCTGCTCTCACGATGTCAAACCAGACCCCCGAATCTTGGGAGGATGAGCTTTCCCGGCAAGCAGAGGGTGTGAACCTGAATGCACAGGGCCGCCCTCAACCTCAGGCACCTTCTTTCCCAACTTTCACACCTGGAGCTGCTTCCTTCACACCTGGAGCTACCTCTTTCACCCCGGGTCAACAATACCAGCAATACGGCGCTGGTAACCCCTACGCCCAGTACGGCCAGCAGGCTTACGGATACCAGGGTCAGCAGCAACCCCAGCAGCAGCAGGCCTACAGCCAGTATGGCGCATATGCGCAGCAGCCCGGTGGTTACAACCAATACTACAACCAGCAGCCCGGTGGTTATGCCCAACAGCCTCGCCAGAATGCCTCCGCTGCCTACCAACAGGCCCCCGCCGCCGCCCCTCCTGCCCAGGCCGCTCCTAAGCCCGCTGCACCTGCCGCCGCCGCCCCGCCAAAGGCCAAGGTCCTCTCCATTGGCGCAACCTCCTCCGCCTCTGCCCCCAAGACCAAGGTTCTCTCGATCGGTACCCCTACCCCCCCTCCCGCTGCCGCCAAGCCGACTCCCGCGAAGGGTGATTCTAAGGGCACAGCCGCTGCCGAGGCTGGCGCTAAGGTGACTGCCAGCAAGGCCATTGACAAGACCGATAAGAAGGCGGACCAGAAGGCTGCCGCCAGCGGCAACGACTCCCCTACACCATCCTCTGGCCGTTCTAGCCCCGCTCGTGGTGCTGAGGCCGCTAAGCAGGCTCGCGCCGCAGATGCTGTTGCCAAAGCACAGTTGGCTGATGTCGATGACGCTACCCTGAAGGAAATTTACGGTGAGCGTCGTGAGCACGTCAACGTTGTCTTCATTGGACACGTTGACGCTGGAAAGTCCACCCTGGGTGGTTCTCTCCTCTACTGCACTGGCATGGTGGATGACCGAACAATGGAGAAATACAAGAAGGAAGCCAAGGAGGCTGGCCGAGAGACCTGGTATCTGTCATGGGCTCTTGATTTGACTGCCGAGGAGCGTTCTAAGGGTAAGACCGTCGAGGTTGGTCGTGCGTTCTTCAAGGTCCAGATTCCTTCGCCCGAGGGCCCCATTGAGCGACAGTTCTCTATCTTGGATGCCCCTGGTCACAAGTCCTACGTTCCTCACATGATTGGTGGAGCCTCCCAGGCAGACTTGGGTTGTCTCGTTATTTCTGCCCGTAAGGGTGAGTACGAAACCGGTTTCGAGAAGGGTGGTCAGACCCGCGAGCACGCGCTACTCGCACGCAACACTGGAGTTTCGCAGCTCATTCTAGCCGTGAACAAGGTAAGTGCCATTTGTCCGATTTTTTCAAGACTTCAAAACTAATCCATTCAAAACAGATGGACGACGTTACTGTGGAATGGAGCAAGGCTCGTTTCGACGAGTGTACCGTCAAGGTTATCAAGTTCCTTGAAGCCCTTGGCTACAAGAAGAGTGACATTTACTGCATGCCTATCTCCGCTCAACGTACTATCAACATTAAGGACCGCGTTTCCAAGGACGTTTGCCCCTGGTATGATGGACCGTCCTTGCTTGAGTTCTTGACAGAATTCAAGCTACCGGAGCGTAAGGTCAACGCCCCTTTCATGATGCCTATCACTGCCAAGTACCGTGACTTGGGTACCATGGCCGAGGGCCGTATTGAATCCGGAATTATCAAGAAGAACGGCAACTATCTCATGATGCCCAACAGAACCGAGGTCTCAGTTGCTGCCCTTTATGGTGAAACCGAAGATGAACTCGCTACTGCGAAGGTCGGTGACCAGGTTCGTCTTCGTCTGCGTGGTGTGGAAGAAGATGAATTCTTCCCCGGCTTTGTTCTTTGCTCTCCCAAGCGTCCCGTCAACTGTGTGTCTGCTTTCGAAGCCAAGATTCGTATTTTGGATCTTAAGAACATTCTCACTGCCGGCTTTAACTGTGTCCTTCACGTACACTCTGCTGTCGAGGAGGTTACCTTCGCCGCTCTTCTCCACAAGCTTGAGCCCGGCACTGGACGTAAGAGCAAGCGCCCCCCTGCTTTTGTCAACAAGGGTCAGACCATTATTGCCCGTCTCGAGGTAACTTCGACTGCTGGTGCAGTTTGTGTTGAGAAATACGACGAGTACCAACAGCTCGGACGGTTCACTCTTCGTGACCAGGTATGTTTCTTTCTCCACTTTCAGTTATGGCTATTCGAACTAATTATAAAACCTACTAGGGTCAAACCATCGCTATTGGTATGGTTACCAAGCTCATTTTCTCCGATACCGAACAGTAAATGACGCCTTAGAAATGTCTATCGGGATGTTTGCTTTCCCCCGCGATGGGAGAAGATCTAAAAAAAAAACAAAACAATAGATCGACACGGTGCTACGGCTCTTGTCCTAACCTCCCAGAGCAAGTTCTCTAGGATCGAGATAGAATCCCCAACCAGCAGACCTGGATGGGTAGAGTCCGAGCCAAGATGAACACTCCGCAGCGACTCCACTTCAAGTGACGATGATGAAAAATTTACCCCTTTACGTTATGTATAGATTCCATTTAGCTGTCTTTGAAATTTGGAAAGACAATATGCTTGCATTCAAACCTACTACTGTGTTTGATACTGTTATCATCCTTGTGGGATTTAAGAACTATACTTGTAGATAACGAACAACCTTGACATTACTTGGAATTGCGGTTGATGTATTTTGTCGATAGTAAGTGCTAGTAAATCCATGGATATATTCCGTCCCCAGGACAGGTACTCTTCAAAAAGAACATGAGGCGAAAAGAGAAGTGGACAAACACATTCAGCGCCTCTTTCCAACAACCTTGGTAAATCCGTCATCATCAATCTCAGGCTCAGCCTTCTCTCTCGGTGCCCGCACCAAAGCCGGCGCATCTCCCATGTCCACATCCGCGTCATCATCGGTCTCATCATCGGTCTCCTGGTCTTCATCTCTGGACTCAACCTGCTTGAACATGTTCGCCGCCGCAGACTTCTGCTGACTCTTCTGCTGCCACCCTTCCCACATCTCCCGAATCGCACCAAACTGTCCAGCCTCCGCCTGCTCCTTGAATTCCATGATCTGAACAGCCACATTGCCGGCGCTCTCATCATCGATCACAACATCGAACTCGTCATTCAGGACCTGGATCAACACGTCCTCCACATCTTCGGCATCGGTTTCCGGTCGCTCGGTCAGCATCTCGGAGATGGCTCCACAGAGCCAGGCGCGCTTGTCATCGGAAGTCGGACCACCCCAGTTTGATTGCACGGCGAGTGTGAGTGAGGGCCAGTTGTGCAGAGCGAGTGTGATGCCTAGGTCGAGGTAGGAGGCGGCATCGTGAGCCGGGGGAGCGGTTGCTTGTGCGTCCATTTTGGATATTGTGATGAGGGTATATGCGTCGAAAAAATATGGAGGTTTTCGAGTCGTTGATGCTCGCGATTGTTTCTTGTTGATACCCCGCAGATGAAGTGGGGGTAGAACGTACGGATTTGATGTGAGCAAGATCCGTCCAGCGTTTAAGGAAGTCGGCTTAGGTATATGTGGAAAATTCTTTCGGAATTGCCAGGAAGAATCGGTGTAGTCAATTGAGAAATCTAGTTATGGAGATTCGTGATTGTTTCAAGGTCCGCATCTAGATTTTTTTTTTCCGAGTTACGATTAGATAGACACGATAAGGTCAGGTGATGAGAAAAACACCACACAAACTTTACTAGTATGCAACTAGTTAGATGTTTTCTTACGGAGCCGTCAGTTTAGCTGATCCTGCCATCACGAATCGTTGGGCTAAAGAATAAAACGGAAAAAAAGGACATCAATAGTAAAGTGTCTATTAAGCAAAAAGAAACTCCGATAGGGGGAATCGAACCCCCGGCTGTCGTGTGAGAGACGACGATGTTAGCCACTACACCATATCGGATGATTGATGAAAAGGTAGAATACCTTTGCCGCTATACCTCTTTCAATCAGCACGTCCGTGTGTTGCCCTCTTTCGCCCTTGATCTAGCAGCCCCCAAATTCCTTTGCATTTTCTTCCCTGCTTTTTATCGGTGAGGCATTTTTGCTATTTATCTCGGTCGCCGAGCGCCGAGCTTCGGCACCTCACTTTCCTAGCGCTTTGCTCGTCGGGCTACATTCTATCCCAATCCACTAGTATCGCAAGGCGGAAACTGGAACATGTATTATGTGTGTCTTAGTAAGAAACCCGATTATATGAACGCCACCTGAATTCCTGATCGCACTAAAAAATTTTCCGCTTCCTTAATCTTTAGGCAGAGCAGTCTTTAAGACGGTGGTTCTGTGTTCATCGTAACACGCAGACTGTGATGTTAAAGATAGACATAGTACAACACTACTTATTAAGCGGCTAGTTAGAGGCATTCGAAGTGATTAACTGGCAACTTGAAAAAATTTCCTGCTAGGGCCAAATCAGCCAGCGCTAAATGATTCCGAGGCGCAGTATAGATGCCCAATGAAAAGAGCCACCTAGTCGCCCTCATGCACGACAAAACCGTGCGCCACAAATCCGCTATCTAGCTGGAGCTCTCTCCTATCTACTCTCCCTTCCAAAAGCTCATCTGCGTGGTCGCTGGGATAAGATGGCCGAAGTAATCGGGATCGTCTCAGGAGCCATCACTTTTGCATCTGTCGTTGCACAAATCTCCAAATCTATCATCCAAATCAAAGACTGCTGGGGCCAGATACACGATGCGCCCGAGGAAATGCGAAAACTCATCGCTGAGCTCGAGATTTACGACCTTATCTTGCAGGAAATCAAACAGAACCTTTCATCGGGCCCACTAGCGAATACTAAAGAAATGAGTGAACATTCATTTCAGAGCCTAGAGGTCTGCAAGAAGGCAGCAGAGAGCCTTCAAATCATTGCAAAGGATCTTTTGAGTGATCTTCGTCCATCTAGTCGTTTTAGGCGATCCTACTTTTCGTTCAAATTGGTGCTTCAACAAAGCAAAATAGAGAAGTACAAGGCCAGGCTCAGTAATTCGATTCGATTGCTCTCTCTTTCACAACAATGCTATTCAATGTAAGTTTAGCTAAACTCAATGTTTTCTACTCTCTAGCTAATACACCAACAGAGCTTTAATGCAGATACTACCAGCCATGGTTCCTCAGGTTCAAGTTGATGACAACACAAGCGATAGTAAGCCTCAGTCACATCTTTTATCTTGCTCATAGTATCCTAACTATTATTAAGAACAAAAACAAGGGCCTAGATCACTCTCGAGTGCAGTACACAGACCTTCGCAAGAAGGCATGTATTCATGGCGGCTTAGTCTGCCAATCTGGGTCACCTCAAAGGCCTTGGAAATCCAAGGGAAAAGAGCATATGGCAACTGGCAATGGGTATTTCGCACATATGATATTCGCTCACATGCATCAGTTGACCCCATTTTTGCATTTGCTAAAAATGGAGACCTTGATGCTTTACGTCAAGTTTTCTCATCTGAGGAGGCCTCGCCTTTTACTAGGGATGCAGTAGGGAGCACTTTACTATCTGTAAGTAGCTTATCACCATATACCTTCAAAGAAGACTTCTAAAGTACAATAGTGGGCTTGCTACCACAACAGCTTTGAGGTTGTGGAGTTTCTACTGAAACAAGGGGCTGATCCAAATGCACTGGATAATTCAAATAGGAGCCCCATTTCTACGATAGGGCGATTTAGGATTAACCCTCCCAGGGAGTCAAAACCTATTTTGCCGCTTCTGCAGCTACTCTCTCAATATGAAGATGAATCACAGGATGAACCCTGTGATATCTTTATGAGAAGTTTTCACAGGTTCAGAGGCACAGCAGAGGAATTCAATTTCTTACAGCAAGCCTGCTGCCCGTTGTTTTTCACCTTGTCCGATGAGCAGCGTATTGAATTTGCCATTATTGAACTGGGTCCTTGCTTATCGCGTAACTCTTGGAATGGGCCCTCAGTCATTAGGGCCATTCTGAATGGGGTCTCTTTCACTGCTTCAAAATTTGAAGTTATGTCTGGTACACTCTATAACTTTGAAGTGCCAAGCGATGGAGATTTTATCGGCAGCTGTCGCATGATGACTCTGCCTCATGGTGTTGCATATTGTATGGGCTGCACTAAAATTGGCCGAATCTGGCCTTATGACACTACCAGAGGCAAGGATTTGCAGCAACAAGTTTATGAAGAATGGTATATGATGTTTCGAGAAATGTTGGAGAATGGCCTCCACATACACCAGATAATGAATGGGCTGACACCATTGTACGCTTTCTTAGATGGTCTTTTTCAGGTCTCTCATCCATTTGAAGTCTCGCTCACGAAAAGGTGCATCGAAGCCCTCAGGGCGCTGTTGTGGGATCTTCGGGATGCTGGTGTCAACCTGAAAGAGTTCGGTGAGAGGGAAGAGTCATTTCTAAAAGATCGAGGGAGTGGTATCGATTTTACAACTTTCGGTAGATCGAGCTGCTTGATTATTCGACTGGTTGGTTTATCACACGGCCCGAAACCAGAGGACTGGGGCTTGTGGATTAGTGAACCCTCAGATGAATTTGTAGGAGACTTTTGGGCAATGATTGAACGACGAATGGAGATGCCAGGTGGATGGATGGACGATGTACCCTTGTTTTTTTGATGTTACTGCTATGTTGCGAATCCATATCATCTCCGATTGCTTCAAATACTACATAACTGGGGGGCATCACATTTCCCAATGTATATTAACTACGTATGGGGCGCGGAGGGAATGGTCACCAATGTACTAGTGGACTGCCCAAATCTAAGAGATATATAAAGGGAGTTACGGAGTGAAGGGACGCATTCGAAGGAACTCCTAGTTTAATCCTAAGACGTAGTATGTTCTTACTGATCCTGGAAGTGACTATTTAATCTGAATCTCAGCAATTTGCACTAAATTGCGTTATCAGATAGATTGATTTTCGCTATAGAGCGAGACAGGGTGAGTGAGTAAGTCAGGATGCTCAAGCTGGGCAATCTAATACGGGTACAGCGGCCTACCTCAGCCAGTAGACCAAGCCCATATATCATATGAATCCTCTTACGGGTTTCTTATCATATGACCATCAGTGATGAAATTAACCCTAACAGGTGTGCTTAATTCTACTCAGTGATTAAAAAGAGGCAAGCAATTGTCACGGTGCCAATTCAGGGAAGGAAATTAATCGATTCGAGTGCGATGTAAACTAAACTTCTAACACTAAGAGAGAAAGGAAAAGAAAAGAAGTCTTCCTGGCCTTGAGTCACTGATTTTATACCCCTCCCCCACTTGTCGGAAGCGTCCTTCAAACTTGAACAATCGCCAAACATGCTAACAAGCAAATCCTGAATGCAAACCCAAAGCAAACTTAACACCCTTAGGCCCTTCACCGTTACCTCATTGCTCAGGCAGAACATGCCTGTGCGTGGATCTATATAGCCCCCAACCCCTCTCCTCCAGCCTGCATCCCGACTTCTTTTTTCTTGCCCATTCCTCTCCTCCCCTATACCTTGTAGCCGATGCATTTTTGCTTTTGATCTTAATCACCGAAACCTGTTATCTCACTTCCTTGAAGGACCTAGTCTACACGTTGTTGGTCTTTCGAGTCCACTCCGCACCGCTCTCCCTCTAACCACCAAGCCCCGTTCTGATGCACCAAGTCGTGTGACATGGTTTCTCGAACCCAAATTCTCTTGTCATCGGGTCTATGGACCAATCCTCGCCAAAAACCGTGAAATTGGCATTATTGACGTGAATTAATAATTCAGCCATTCTCGTTTCGTTCAGCCCCATGAATCTGTAATGCCGGCTTGAAGACCGGCTTTCTGGCGGTCGGCCAGTAGTTTTTCAAGGTTTCACAAATTGCTGAGTTCGCCCTAAACTGTTTAGGACGGTTGCGAAATAGAGCTTCCAATCTGCCTTGGAGGCAGGCGCGCCGAGCAGGGCCTGAATTCAAAGGAGATTTAGCCGTTACTATCTCCTAGACTAATTATTGGATCGTTTAACTCCGCGCTTACACAATGCCTCCACTCTTGTCTAGGCCCGGGAGGCCCCTGGTATATCGACTTCCCTTGACAAGCACCCAACCTTTGGATCCCACTATTTGCTCTTATCACTATTCACAGAGTCTATCCCGACCTCGGGCCCCGAATTTATTCGGTCACCGCAATCCTGGTTGGATTCAGGATTGATTGATATCCCAGCGCAGTGGGTCTAGTATAGGTCTACCCCCGCAACAGTACCACTTTGTGCGGTGGTCGAACGGAAAAGCTGATTCTTGTAGTGACTCTGCACTGCGCATTTAACTAAGATGATTGATGAATTCCCCACTAGAACGCGATGTTGATGGGGGCTTTAGAGGGTCCATGCCATAGAATATGCGACAGTCCTGACCTGTAAAGTTTCGAGGATTCGCTTTCTTCAAGTATCGAATTTCGTCCACTAGGCTACGTCTCAGAGCTGTCAGTTGTGACTGATGACAATAAGCGATCAAACAAGCTTCGAAACCCTTCAGGAATAATTGATCGCTTTAAAATCATTTCCATCGCCGTCAGATGTTTCTTGTTTCGATGCAATGGATTCAGCCCCTTGAGTTCCGAACAAAGAAGAATATTTACTGTTTCACAGTCCCCTTCCAATGCCACCGAATGAAGAATGTTTGATCCATCATGATTCACAATGGTGTAGTCAGAGGACCATTCTAAAAGTAGTCTGAGGAATTGATGGCTATTATGGAAAATCGCTTCAAATAGAGCGGTTTCACCATTTGCACCCTGCACATCAATGGTCGCACCTTGACGCAAAAGATACCTGCCAATTTTGAAGTTATTCCTGATTGATGCACCAATCAAGGCAGTATGCCCATTGTTGTTTTGGGTGTTCAAACAGGCACCTGACTTGAGCAGATGAATGACCGGAGATAATCCACTCTGGTGTCTGCAAGCATAGTAGAGTGCGTCCGAGCCATAGTGATTTTTTGAGTGAACAATGCTGCCAGCATATAGGAGTAGTTTCAAACACTTCAGGGAGCCAGAGGATCCGGCGAACATCAATGGTGTTCCACCTGATTCATCCGTCACAGCGACATTAGCCCCAGATTTGAGAAGGATCTCAATACGCTCAAAATCACCGCGAGTTGCTGCCCAATGCAAAGGCGTTTTGCCAGTAAAATCAGGTTTATTGATTTGCGTTCGATGATTTCTGACCTTCAATGTCTCCACAAGATCACCTTGTAAGAGATCAAGTACCAGCATGTGAATGTGTGAGAATCCCATGTCATCACAAAAATCAATATCAGGAAACAGCGTTTTGAGTTTTTGAATTTGCGCCGGACTACCTCGGCGCGTCAATATATGTTCCCAGGCTTTGATTGTCGGGGTCCTGAACAATAAGAATTAGTGTAAAATTTGAGAATTTGGTATCAGGAACACTTACATTCCAGTATAATCCATAGCATGGACATTAGCGGAAGCATTGCGAAGAAATTCGCAAACATCAATATGATTCCGCATTACTGCATACTTTTTGTTAGATTAGCATGTTGGCCTCTGAACCTCTACTGATAAACTGTATAACTCACATGCAGTGCTGTCCTTCCGTGTTTCTGGTCAATATCGTGCAGAGCATATGTAGCCCTACTGAGTAGCAATTTGAGACCCTCAACATTACCCTCGTACGCATTCTTCAAAATAGTGTCAGAACTGCCCCATCCTAATTTCTGCGGAAAACTTATTCCATAAGACGGACTCCCAGAGAGGATCAATGTGACGTCAAGTAGCCAATTGGGAAAGCAATAGACAGCCTCGAGAGATCTGGGGTTATCATTACTGCAGGTTTTTGAGTTGCAACTGGATTTGAAAAGAGGGGATCCGTTATAACGAACAAAAAGGGTACCCATTATTGGCCTCTTGGAAGAAGATAACTGAAATCGATGTTTTCTGTGACAGTCGCACGGGCAAAGTTTATCACAACCCCTGGCTCTTGGCACCTGACCATAGTGATCATCAAATTCCCCCACTGCTGATGTGACAGCCGTGTTGATAACTTCCTTTGGGTGGCTAATTATCTTGAGCATGGATTCAGAAGTATTTTGACGGGCATCGGAGTGAACGATCGAAAGTGAGCCACTGGCTGTTTTTGGTAACGATGGGACTGTATGAGATAACTCCGAGAACGAATATTGAGGATGCGTCAAAATGATGGCTTGGCTGTCATTGATTCTGCAAGGAACAATTTTCAGGAGCAATTTGGTATAAGTGGCAGCAGAAAGAGCGGCGTATGCTTGCCAGATCTTGGATTTATGCGAATCACAATAATCACATATACCACGGATCACCAGGACCGGTAATTGATCCATGAGGCCAGCTGCCTCCATCTCAAAGCAGAGGATATCCAATTTTTTGGCAATGGAGTCTCGTCTCTTGGCATCTTTCATAACTTGGTTCCCAGAGGCAATCAAGCCATAATGAACTTGTGGTTCGTCCGTTGCTCTTGGCTCACGGGCCATTAAATGAGACTGATCGCATGCCGAGCAATCAGAAATGCCGCTTGGATGGTTGTATGCTGAGCTGAATAACCAATCTTGGCATGGACGTGCAAAAAGCTCTCTCGTATCCTGGTCCTTTTGGAGGACATTTGATATAATAAGTTGTAGGGATCCTTTCTCGATCATGGAATCGGCGCGAAGCTTAGTGACTGCATTCAATAGGACCATGGGAGGCTTGTTGAGTGACCCGGTTTCCTGAAAGTGACCATCACAAAGAGACTTTCCATAGTCATATTGGACCACCCCCCCAGCCTTTGTAGTTGGGATGCTAACCACCACGTCACCAAGGCGGATGTCAGGCTTTTGCGCGGGTACACCTCCCCCGATTCCAACCATTAACCCAAATTCTACATTGGTGAAGGTTTGCAGCATTTGAGATAACACTACTGCAGCGGATGTGGTTCCATAATCCCCAGATGGCAGACAAGCAATCACAACATTATGGCCGCATATTCGGCCGAGTGTGTAACAGTTATTATCAGTCTGCGCTTGAGGAAGGGCTCCATGAGTCTCGTCTAACATGGTCTTCGCAGCAGCCATTTCCCACGGCAAGGCGCAGATCCATGCCACGGAGTAGTGAGTATGAGTAAAAGACATTTTAGAACGCGGCATAGAGGTAACGGCCAAGAGAATGTTCTCAGGGGATATATAATGACTGAAATACTGAAACACTTGAGTCGGGAGTATTTATCAGGATGTAAAGGGTCTGTGCAGGGCTACGTGCGTGGCCTTGCAGGGTCACCGGATTCGAAGGCCAATCAACGCTGTTATTTGCTCTTTGACCTCTTATCGATAAGTGAGAACTCGCTACGTGTTATAAATCGCAAGGCTCTATTTTAGCCGTCGCCGATACTAAGATAGCGTAATTTAGGCCTCATATTAGTATCCAATCGTATTATAATAAACCCCGGCTGAATAGGGTATACGACTTTTGTGCTGACTATAAACCTCTTTGCCGGATGACTTAGTAGCTATATCATCTAGCTCTTATCCGCTATCACCTTGTAGAGACACCGAAAAAACCCATTCACCTCCTGTTCCGTTTTTGTAGACTTTTCACCGTCAACGTCGAATGAACTTAGCTTTCAAAGTCAGTCTGTAAATTGTTTCGGTAGCTGTTTTGGGCGACTTTTATTCGCGATAGGTTTAGAGGAAAGAGCAGCTCCAATGTTAATTAGTATATAGGCAAGGGAAGGGGTGTTCGGTACTCAAGCGCTGCGAGCCAAACTAATGGCAATCAATTGGCAGTGGATGTCTAAACTTAGTTAGCGATCGATTCATTCGCCTATGACAAAGCCGTCGGAGTCACGGACCAGACTAACATTGGGCTGCAATCATGGTCACATGCCGGGTCACATGACGAAAGTACAATACAGTATACTTAGTCATTCTCTCGTAGACCCTTAACACTAATTAGACCTCTTTCCTTTTTTTCTTCGCGCTATTCTGTTCAATAAGGGCACACTTTCATTGTTTTGCCTCGCGCTACACTGGGCTTTTAATACCTATACAGCAATGGTCGGACAATCACTCGCTGACCCCAGTGGAGAATATGCCACTAGTCCTAATTAAATCTATTAAACCGCCTATACGGAAACACCACGATTATCCCTCATAACACCACGCACAACCGTGGTCTTTCCGGTGTCCCCCTGGATTACACCATATCGGATGTTGTATGAAGAAAGATGAAAACTTTGCCTCTATAACCCCAATTGAGCTTAGCGCTACCGGTCTCTATGCGTGTGCGTGCACATGTGGTTATATATAGCCTAGACCTCTCTACAGCTCACCGACCTGACCCTACAATTGGACCTCCAGCCCCTTGATCCGCGAGGCCTGCTCTTGGGAATTATGGCGCGCTCCAAGATCTGCTAGATCTGACCTTGCAAGCTGTCAAATTGGCGTTTCAACTCTTCGTTTTGCCGCTGACACTCCTCAAAATTTCTTTTCATATCATAGAAATCTTGGGTAACCAAGGCGCGCCCTCGAGTGTCCCGAAGACTATAGGAAGTAGTTAATGCTACCTGCTTACGCAGTTGTTTTGCGTCCGACTCTTGCCATGATTGGATCAGTTGTTGCTTGACTTCTGCTAATTTGCGGTCCGCGGCCTTCACTTTTTCTGGGATTTTCTCCTCTGGAATAAGAGGGTTTCGAGCCTGGAAAATGTCGTCTAAGGCGAATGCGTCTGGATCTATAAGACGCGGAGGGCCTGTTGAACCCTCGGAGTCTGGCACTGGCCGTTCCTCAGATTCGGGCACTGGCACTACTGGCTAACCCTCAAATCCAGGTTCTGACCAATCCTCAAAATCTGATTCCGATAGCCCTTGATTGCCATCATGCTTGTGTTTCTTTTTCGCCAACTTTGAACCATTCTGTCCGGCCACCTTGCGCTTGGATCCCGTTGCACTTTTAGTAGTTTGCGCCTGTGGTGCCCGTATTTTTGGGATGGGTATCTTGGTATTCAAGAAATTGTCATGGTCAAGCGCATTCTGATCCTCTTTAATCAGAGTTTTGAGGCCTCGGACGATATTATTCCGCTTTTCCCCCCTTGTATTGATCTCGGGGTGATCCAAAACTGCCAACACATTGGCTGCATTAATGATGTTTTCAATAATGAGTCCAACGGAGTGAATCAGTTTTTGCGTTACGGTGTCTCGTCTAAGCAGGTAGGGGGCATAGTGCCCCCGTAGCTTTCCGTTTCGGGCCAAGTAGCATGTCTCAAATTTAGACCGAATGCTTCGATGAAAAAGTGCCAACGTATCGATGTCAGAAATAGAAGGATGGTAAGCCTTGCATTCTGCTTCGCTCAGGTTCAGAAGATTCGGCGGCAATTCTTTCTCATTCCATGCTTTGAATCTTGGTACCGCTATCGCGAAAGCCGGGTCACACAGGTCTTCCCAATTGACCTTCTCTGAGCCTGAAGTACTTGACTAGGCGATTGCCACCGCGGTGGGTATGGAGGTTTGTGATTTGCTCTTCGGAATTTTAGGCAACTGAAATTGGAGTCGAACGTAACTGAAAGTAAAGCAGTGTCGAACATAATTGAAGGTGATGTGATGTTGAACTAGGTGGGCAACTAAGAGTAAAGTAATAATTAGTATTTGCACATGTGAGTGTTGAAGGTATAAATAGGCAGAAGGTGTGTCCGATCCACAAGGATCTGGGAGAAATGAATGGTAATGAGGAGGTGAAGAAAAGCGGGATGGAGAGGGGAAAGAAGGGAGGAAGGAAGAAAAAGAAGACATCTGGAGAGGAACATTGAAGAGAACGAGCTATCTGCGTAGTAGAGATGGAGTAAGAGTACGGGTCACATGACAACATTTTGAAGTGATCAAACACCCACCATACTCGAGCTGCATGTGCGGGGGCCGATAACCGCCACCACAACGACACATCCCAATTTCCACGTCTAACTTCACCACCCTGTTTCCCACCCGTATTGTATCAATGTTTATCCCATACACGAATGTCTTAAAGGATTTGATCTAAATATGGGTTGCTTTTAGAATAGACTTGAGAAGAGACTTGAGAAGAGACTTTAGAAGGGACATTTGGATTGTATAACTAGGAACTCCGCCTCTCTTTCTCGCTAGTTGCTGTGATAATTTACTTTAATGTTAGAGAAAGAGAAATAATATAATATAGCACTATATACATATGATAGAGTTTAAGGATTCAATATATAATATAGCGCTGTATATCATGGAGTTCAAAAACAAATTTGAACATGGAATTACTGGTAATTTACTTTCTGCCGGTTGGAAAGTTGAAATTGGGATGTGTCGTTGGGGTGGCGGTTATCGGCCCCCGTAGTGTCACCGTGTACCCCACTCTCGTCAAATCAACTGTCAGCCAAACGCCCTAGACTCGTGTCTCCGGAACGGTACAAGAAACTGACCTCGACACCTCCTTTCTCCGTGGCCAGGCATTATCACCTAGGCTCATACCTACTAGTAAGTCGAACTCCACTTCTGTCAAGTGCTCGCGGATGAATTTTCTCTACCAAGCCAAATGATGTAATTATGATCGGCACGTTATGCACACTTCTCATAGATTGATTGAATTCAAAATTTGAAACCAAAGACCGATTTCTCCCTTTTACCCATACCTTAAGTGCTTGTCTTTGAAATGCGGCAAATTTGCATGCTATGTGGATGGGGCCCCTATACCAACGTCCTTTTGGAAGACAGTTGGTGCTTCTAAATTCCCTCCTGTCTCGGTAATCGTGGCTAATACAGGCTCAGTTCGAGTTCTGGCATCCAGGAATGCTATACCAGGCATCACAATCATTCATGTCGAGTCTAGCGATGACAAGCAAACCGATGATTCCAATGCCGACGTGAATGGAGAGGCTGAGGATCTAGATGAGGCACCCGAGTTGGCCTATCTGATGCACAAGGGCTGCTGGGAAAATCTGATGCGGGGCCTCTGTCATGGAGTGTTCCATCTGAAGCGACTGCTTCAAATTATCCGAGAGCGGCATCTTGGAGGAAATGCGTGCTGTTAGAAAGCCCTCCACGGCGACCCCGAAGAAATCTTTTAGAGCGAACTCTAACAATCGTTTTGGAATTTCTTATTAGATCTTCATATGGTGCACGGTGAACCGCCGACTAGATATTTTCGACAAAATCGATTCCTTGAAGGCAAAAAGGGTTTACCAAGGGGGAAAAAACCACAAGAATTAACCAAGGTGTCGAAAGGCACTGCTATGACCAGAGACTGGTTTTTTCTTCTTCCAGTTGAACTTCGATATAATATCTCAACACTCCTATCCACTGCCGATTTCCTAAACCTTAGACTTGTTTCAAGGGCTATGGTCCCTATATTCGGAAGTCAAAGCTTCTGGAAAACGAGATTTTCCATCTATGGAGAGAAGGGCTATCTCGAATTCCTTACTAAAACAGACACAAAAAATTGGAGATTGATGTACCGCTGTACCAACGGATTTACAAAATTGGCCCGTGATCTCCCCACCCTGAGAGCATCTTGGCTCTACCCCAGATGGATTAGGCACAGGTATATGATGAATGAAAAGCTGACTTCAACATTATCTCAAAATGATGATGCGTGGAAAAGCCTTCGTTGGAGAAAAGCCACTGCAAGGAATTACTTGCTGTCCGATCCTCCATGCAGCATCTTCTCACAACCGTCCCCTCATCCTTCATCACATCAGATGGTTTCATTCTCCCAGGACGTCATATGCATTGCCATATTTTTACTTCTTGAACCCCATAGCTCCGTGATTACAGGATTCGAGCTCATATATGACAGTCACTCACCTAATGTGGTCTTTGGCTACAGGGCCCCCGGAACTGAAATCCTGATCAACCTCGAGGGAAGGACACTGAAAGGCTTTGATCTCATGCTTGGAGATGGAGAAATTCATGCAATACGCCCGATCTTTTCCGAGGTCCGTGAAGCAACCCATGTAATGAGAAACGGGCCAGTGGAAGCACCGCGAAAGTCTCCGCGCTTTGCCTGTAGTACAAACCCCTCTGGAGGGATCAATCCCCGTGCAGGTGACACCAAGCGAAAATATGAAAGACCCTATCGGTGGATTGGTCAGCCGTATTCGAGGACATTATACAGAACCGCTTCAGCGCTTTCTCACCTTGTCCCCAAGGGAGAGATAAAGTCGTTTGCAGGAGAGTTCGATGTGAGTAACGTTTCTTTCTTCTTTCTCATATCGTGCTCTAACACACCTCAATTTATGTAGGATTACAGGATGAGAATGCTGGCACTAGGTTCCGAGCATGAACTTGTTACAAGCAGCAGATAATCCGATATTGTCTCTTGATAGCAATCAAATAAATTTAACGGACCTCCCCGTATAGAACAACATTTCCCTGTCAAAGTTTAGATTTTTGATACTCTAAGCTACTCTGGCGTGCTCCGCAGAACTACGGCCACAGTTTGAACTACTCCGACGTCACACGTGCTTAAAACCGGAATTCCTCCCTAAAAGCCACTAAAGAAGCTTAGAGACTACAACGCGTTTATCTACGAGCGGGATCTACATTCAAATATTAAATTCACGACTAATAGAGTTAGATTAATAAAAAAGCGCTTAAAGGGAATTCAATTTTCATTATCAACTTTATAGGTACGATGTATACTTGTGCCTCGATAGTGGCCTCGACTGTCGAAAATTAAATCAATTGTCCCTATGAAATCCTGCACGTACTCAAAACATGAACGCGATATAAAAGGAACGATCATTCCAACACACGTGCAGACATTAGTCCCATTGATGTCAAAATACAGACTCGCGATAAAGTATATTAGCATGCAGATCCGGTTCACTCAATACCTACCCTAAGGAGCATTAATATTAATCCGTGTTTGCATTCTTCGAATATGCCAATCAATCGCCACTGCATCAATGGTTATATGATATGTTTCTTGGCTCCTTGGCTGCAAAACGTGGTCGTCAACTTTCAATGAATAAAATTTTACATACTGACCAATTCCGACTATCCCGTATAGGTCGTATGGATACTCCACATGCTGAGTATTACGAACATTGATCATGTAGTTAGTCAGCTGAATTTTGGCACTCCTCCAAGTGGTTTCACGAGGTCGACTAGATGAGGGGGCATTCGGCTGTGAAGGGGGAGGGGGCGAGAGGGAGGCAGCCGGATGTCTAGATGTGATAGGGCAGCACTTGTTCTCGATCATGATCACAGTCACTCGCTTTGGAGCTGGATCGTTCGCCAGCAGCCGTTGTGGAAGCTTTGTCAAACAAACGTTTGCTCGCTGTTCGGATCTCGGGCTAATGGAAGCCTCTCGCTCAATCCCGAACCTCCGGGTTGACGGGAAGTAAAAGCTGAGTATGTTCAACCACATATGCTCGACAATAGCCTCAAGTGTATGGGGCACTACATCATCAATATAGGACCGAATCAGGTCATTCTGGGTGTACTATAGAGAATTTTCAGCACTGCTGACCAACAAGGAGTTGAAAACTTACTGCCATTGTGACGGTAGTGTCAGAGGGTTAGTTGCTGGAAATGTGAGTAGTAAAAGCAGAGACGGAGAGTGGTCTGGCAGGTCATAGATTGCTGTATGATGAAGCGTGTAGTCGTATCAATGTCGGTGTTTGGTGTGTTTGGTGTGGTTAATGTCGTTGCAAATGAATGACTTTCACTTGCACATGTGAAGTATGTTAGCAGAAGTAGAAGCGAAAGTTCATTGTCCAAATGAAAACAGGCTGGGCCAAGAGAGAAAAAACGAGAACCGGATGACGAGAAGGTCTGGTTTTGGATTTGTTCACGTCTTGAACTCGCGTCAATGTCGGGACAAGGACGAACTGATACCACAGGCAAGAAGCATAACCATAAACTGCTTTTGAGGCACACGCTTCTCCGTAGTGGGGGCATGCAAACTTATTAAGACCTTAGCTAACTTACATGGCACGTCTGCATACCCATCGCGAGGTTACTGGGTTTGAGAGCTTTCACTGTCGCCCTTCGACGTTAAGCAATTATCAACCTATCAATTAGCCGAAGTGAAAGACCACAAAAATATCGGGTTCTATGTGGTACGACATCTGGAGGAAGTCTAAAGAGGAGAGAAATGTAAATAGTTCAAGTATCTAGTAAACTTAGTACATAACAAATTATCTATTGATCGCCTATAGAGCTGCCGGACTTAAGATAGAAATTTAGAAATTAGCAGGGACAATCACACGCTAAGCCTAATTTGATAAAGGAGTTTGATAAAAAAACATCCCATTTTTGATAAAACAATAATCCCAAAAATTGATAAAAGAACAACCCATATTCTACCGGATAGATCCTATATATACTAGTAACCTCTTACCGCCCTCTCCTTTACTTACCATCTTTGATTTTTTACTACCCTTTACTCTCTTATAACCCGCTATTTCTCACTAGGAGTCACTACCCTTAACTCTCTTATTATCCCCCCCCCCTACCTATCTCCTTCCTCTACTACCTACTAATTATATCTCTCTTATATCTTCTTCCCCCTCTACCTACTAATCATATCTCTTGTCTTAAGTCTTCCCCTATTATTAATACTACATATGTACTTATATTATAGATCTTATCTAAAACTTCGTAATAGAAGTCTCAAGTAATATGCTAATACTTAGAAGTTAGGCTTCGGATCCTAATAAAGTAACTAACCCTACTCCACCAAGTAATGTATCTCCTGAGTCCTATTACACCTGTTTTAGCAGCAAATTCGACCGATTCCTAAGCCCTCAACCTTACTCAGTCAGGTACTCCACCACCAATCAATCCCCCTAACACAATTACCGATGCATCTGACGCATTACAGACATTCCCTACTCACCCACATTTCAAACATTACACCTCCGCAGAGCTTACAATTAAAGCTCTTAATACCTTTGAGAGATAGGGGTGGTAAGAGAGTAGAGGGGAGCAATAATATTAAGGGTGAGAAAGTAGAGGGTGGTAAGAGTTAAAACTTAAGACATAGATTATGTGAGTTTGTCCGGCAGAATGTGGGTTGTTTTTTTATTAATTTTTGGGGTTGTTTTTTTATCAAACTCCTTGATAAATGGCACATGGTCTTGAATCTTGATTAAATCTACGAGAACGCCTATACGAAAACACCACGATCATGGCTTATAATACCACGCACGACTATGGTCTTTATTGAGAAGCAAGATAATCCAGCAGGGAGCCATGTTCTTGTTGCAACATCCGAGGAAAAGAAAGTATGCATGGATGCCCCCGTAGATGCAGTTGTGACGAGGCAGGATCTGTGAGCTGCTAATAGCTAAACTTTCAATCTTTACAGAGCTGCAAGTAGTTGACGGTTACTAATTTTGCCCCAAATTCGTGTCCTGCTGCATGTCTTGAAGTGATTGATGCGGTAGACTCCAAGAAGTCATTAACCGATGTCCACGAAATAGACCGACCTTCCCATTTGTCTTTATCATTGAATCTTGGTAGTTCTCGTAGTTTAGTAATGCAAGATTCTGATCACATAGTCGATCGAACGAGATATCAAAAAAACTTTCAAAGACCTGGCGAGGGCGTGGAGCCATATACTGGGGCTCTTGTGAATAGACTACCCAGCGGGAGTCATATGGGTTCACGCGCGCAGGGCCAAGGCTAATCCACCTTGTGACCAACAGGGCCAGATTGTTATCACCCACTTCACGTATCTCGATTTGAAAGTCTGTATTGAATTTCATGCAAGCCCCGAGATGTTTTGATAAGAATCCATTGGCCAAGAAATCCTTAAGAATAGGTCTGGCCAATGCTAGCATGCGGTAATAATCAATGTGTGCGCAGAGCCTGAGACTTTGAGAAGTATTGCTTAGCTCTAGAATGCTTCTTGCCCTATTATCTGCAATAAAAGGGACCACGCTTCTGCACATAGAAATGATATCCTGAGTCCGGATGTATAGCCCTGGGGATATTGAACCATAGTGTATGTGGGCGTGAATTGAGAATAGGCTTGTCGATTCGGCGTACACATTGATGTGAGTGAATGACAAATCTTGTGTTCTGATACCATCTTGACTGTCGTGGGAAAGTCGCTTCATCACGACTTGAATATGAAAAAAGTCGAGAAAATACTTGGGAGCGGTGGCTAGGTCTTTGTTTGACTTAAACCAGTGTAAATGAGGGATCTTTGACAACCTATATCTTGATATGTATGGAAGTGGATCCCTGGAATAACAGATTGGGTCCAAAAAGTCCAGGCTCGTTGAAAAGGTTCGCCATTGGTGGAGAGCACAACACGAGTAGCAAAGAAGGTACCTTGGGTTATCGCGTTCAAGGCAACGTAAGAAGCGCAATTGGCTCTTTTCTGTGGCCTTTGTGAATTGTCTTCGGTCCTTAAATACCATGTTGAAACGGCGGTTGCAGATGGAGAGAGAGCATATGTCCTCAGGCAGGAGAAAATCCACTATGCATAGCAATAGCTCCGTAGGAAGACCGCTCAGTATATTTTGCTTGATTTTGAAGCAGCAAAAAAAACGAGAATTTGCGCAGGAAGGTTCCATCATGTGATTATTGCGGGCGTGACGAGGAGAACAAAGTCAGCGAGAGGACCTGAGAAGAAGATAGATCAATAATATTGGCAAGCTTATTTTCGCATTATTAACGCCGCTACTTAACTCAGTAAGTGAGCTTTCATATAACCCACCGCTCCCCGCGTCCGATATGGTGTGACCGAGGAGATGGCGCCGTAATCATGCAGTAATTGATTCAAAATGTTTAGGAAGTTGGAAATCATGCTAACATTTTGCCCTGCTTGCTTGCTGCTTTTTTGCTGGGGTTGCCACGAGTGACTATGAAGACACATGGAATCTTGAACCTCCCAAAACCGATAAGACCCATCACTTCTCGCATTCTAATCTCTTTCTCTTCACTCCACACCCATCAAAAGTCTGTTGAAAAATCTTCAAGGTTGACTTCCCTCAATACAACACATCAATGCCCATATATATGGGCTCAACCCTCATATTCTTCTTATTCCCCAATTCTCTCTGCCCGTCATCATGAAGTAGCTTTACTAACAGAGTTAATAGACAGGATGTCGACTACTCAGAGACCCTATCATGACCACGCGCCCCACTGGCCCCCAGAGCTCATCGCTAAGCTCAGAGCAACCCATGAGAGCCAGATCGACACAAACCCACAACACGTCTCGATTGTGATCCACGAGACCAAATGCCCATACAACGACAACACGTACGAGATTCTTGGTGTTTTCTCGTCCACTTTCATTGCCAACCAGACGGCTATGGACTTTTTCAAAGATGAATACTCAAACTTCATGGAGGAACTGTCGGACGATGGCCCGTGGGGCCATTTCTACGAAAAGCCAACTAATATGGACATGAATACGGTGGCATGGTCTGTCTCAAACTCTGGGAGACTGAGATTGAAGGCTCTTGATGGAGGCGATGGTGACCTATACCAGGTTTACGTTAAACGCATGGCCATTCAATCCAGCTACTCCCCAAGGGTTGCACGTCGTGACGCGACGCAGTCAGCGCATTTTTATGATTTCCACTTTTGAGCTGCCCTAGGATTATCATTGGATTTGACTGCATTGCTTCATGATTGATTGATTTGAGGACTAGGGTTACCGTCAAGTCTTTGTTACCCCATTACGCATGATTAAGGCTGCGAGTGAAAAAAATACAACGGGCGACAAGCTTCCGATAAATCGTCTGACGGACCGATACGAGTAGATGATATATGTACTATATTTTGTCGTATTTGTAAATGGATCTTCACTAGGAGTGAATCTTAGCAAGACTTTCGAGGGTATTAGTAGGAGGGGGTTTCCATTCAATATTAAGGGTCAACTATGATTCCGGAGTCTCTTCCACATTCCTCTGGGTATGCCGCCGCGCGAAGTAAGCTTGAGCCTGGACTCTTTCATTATAAAGTCGCTGCTCTCTTTCGTTACGAAGTCGCTGCTCATCGTTCCCGTCAAACCCGTTGAAACGTTCATTCTTTCGGGAGGAAATCTTTCCCAAGCCCCCCAACGCCAGTGTACCGACCGGTTCATGCTCCTCCGACTTGTCACCTATCCATCCCGGAATTTTATTAAGCGCCTTGACCTTGTCCTTACTTCGGCTAACGAGCAACGGTGAGTCATCGACGATGGATGCGCCGATCCTCATCATAGCCCAAGAGTCCATATGTCTTGTCCATCGAGGAGACCACCATGCATAAGTCGCCAGAGACAAAATAATGAAAATGTCCAGCCCGAGAAGTGTGGAGATTAGAATTACCCCCGCCCTTGAGATAACGGGGATCTTGCTATCGGCTCCCATGTCAAAATTGATGGTCAGTGTCATCAAGTCCGGTGTAATGTTGTTATTCAACCAGGCTTTGTTGGCGAGGAACGCGGCAGCGTTGAATGTCGATCCCATAGTGGCCGGATCATTGAAATTGTTGATCCAATCGGCTACCACGCTGTTGAGCTCGGATGCGTTTGCACCACCGGCGTCTGTCGTAATGCACTGGGCAGAGCCTGTGAGGAGGTCAAGAGGTGCTAGATCCTTACAGGTCCATGCGTATGTAGAATGAAGAGAATCCGCGTCCACAGAGGCAAACGTTTGTGGATATTTCTGGCGGACCTGTACAAATGATCCATCACCAAAGAGAGCCATGGCTATGGTGAGAAGAGGCCCCTTGTTAGCTAACGTTTCGAGCATGAGGGATTTGTCATTTGAAACTGTTAGGTCTCGTTTGCGTTTAGGTTCACTGTTATGATCACTGGTTTGGTATGTTAGCACGTATCCAGCCGGGGGCCCTTCTTACAAAAAATGAACTTACTTAATATCATTATAACCTTCAGCTTCGCAGTCACTTCCGCAAATGCTATTAGGATCTTTTTCTAATAAAGATCCGGCAGATCCACCATTCATGTAATTAGGAAGCTCAAAATAACCGGTCGTCGTGTTCAGGGTCACTTTGTAAAAAGTGTAATTGGATTGTAGGGTTCGAGTGTCATAGGTCTCATACTCATAACTGATCAATGTGATATTCAGATAGAGCTCCTCAGTAAAATCCTGGCGATCTCGCGTTGATTTCCACGGTGACTTTGTGACGTTAGCAGGCATACATGCCTGTACTCCCCAAGTATATGGGACATATTCATTAGTCGTATTGGTGTATTCGATGAAGAAAGCCCCATCTATCTGATCACAATTCTTCGGAAAGTCTTCCGAAGAAATGTTCTCATAGTGCGCACTTGAGTTGATGCGAGGAACAAATTGCTGAATGAGACCTGTATTGTAGCCATTGGGTAACTGGGCGAGGAAAGGATCAGACAGTGATGCCAGGTCACCAAGAGTGGCACCGTTATTGCATGAAGTGGGTAAGACTTCGACATCGCCTGTATAGGCGCACGATACCTCGCCACCTTGCCAGAGCTGGGCTTCTTCTTGTGTCGTAGTGGCTGAGTTTAATGCGGCACGAGTCATCACCACAATCAAGTTGACATCATCGTCATAGTATGGAGAAAACTGATCGGGGATATCGAGAATCTCACTGATGCTCGAGGGCCACGTTGGGGTCTTAATTGTTGTAGACGACAAGAATACAGCTTGAAGAGGAGATATGATTGCACCCAAGACGTTCACAAACATGGCCAGAAGTAGAAATGAGCTGATGTAGCGTTTCCAAGGTTCGTTGGAAAAAAACGGAACGACTCTGCCATACATCGATAAATCATTCCAGCCTTTGTCGGCAAGCGTCATCATCTGTAAGAGGGTGAGGCCGCGTCGCTGTTGAATAAAAATGACCGCAGCGCTTGAGCACACAGCAGAGGTCAAAGGAATGGTAAACACAGAGACAATGGATTGGATGATCTGAGCAGCACGATACCATCGCTCATTGCGAACATATAAATTGTGCATGAGCTCAGGCGTGGTCCACCCGTAGCGGTTGTTTTGGTCGTTCCATATCCAGGCCCCGTAGTGATTAGCGGTGATAGGGCGAACGGATAGAATGCAAATGACAACCCATGAAAAGAGAGCCAAACCGATATATCCCAGAGCAAGATATAGTATGTACCAAGAACGCTTCAACAGCCGAACTTGTGGAGGGAGTGGCGCTCTGATTTGATTTGCAGTATGAAGGTTTTGTCCTGCCGGGCTCGAATCAACTTCTTGGGTCAAACTGGTTCTATCTGATCGGTCATCGCAAAGGGTGTGACCATCTTGACTAGCTGACCCCGCGTGTTGAGTTGTGTTCATCGCGTGAAGCGGTATAGAGTCTCTCGTTTGCTCCATGCCGGACTGCTTTAGCCTTTGAACACGTATGTGTAAACATGCAGTTCCAAAATTGCCCCCTTTTTTAAGATGTCTAAGAATATGGCCTGCACTCAAATGAGCGAGGGTCTCGGGGGAAAACCCCAGCGGCTGAAAATGGGGCTATGTCAATGTCAATGACTTGCCGATAGCCGTGCTTTCCCCATGAGCTAAGGGACCCTTCCCCACAGACACACCATGATAGGATGGCTAATTATTAGAGTCCTATTTAAGTTAGCAAAACGCCTCATGGGTTAAACATAAGCAAAGCATCACCTCGCTTACATGCAACTTGCTATAGTCCGCACGAGCCCTTCCCCCTAAAGGGGGAATTTCCTCCGTTCACTCCGTTGTTCTAACTTCTGATCAGTCGCTCCCAGGGGCCAGGGCTGACAGCCAAGTGGAGACGCCCCGGGGTTACATCGGGCACCACAAGCCTCATTCGAAATTCCGAAATGTTTGGCGTCAACAAATGAGCTTAGAATCATGAGTTTTCAGGGCATGAAATGCCAAAGAAGAAGCAATCTCATTGAGAATTTTCTGAATCAACGTGCAGTTTTGCAAGCGCAAAATACTAGTAGAAAGGAGCTGTCAATCTCCCCCCTGGAGTGAGTGTTGACTACTCGGGTACGTACACCGTCACGGACCATACGTGTGCAAAATACCATCACATGATCACCCGCAGTCAACCAGTTGGCTGGTTGGAGTTGGCAGGGCAAAATCAAGGATCACACGATATGCAAGTACCGGTACCAGCTCTCAAGTCGTAAGGGCGGCGGTCAGTAGAGTACGATATTTATCTCAACATTTGAAGTACTAAGTTTGTCCTCTTATCAAGTTCAGGCAATATGATAACCAAAAGACACACATGCATATTATTGCCAAAAATCAACCTTATCTAATTCTATAACAATTCCAATGCGAACAACCAATATCAAGTTCGTGTTTTTTTAATGTATACGCAGGAGACAACTCGCCAAATTTGTAACCCTAGGCGCTGCTGCTCTTGCTCGACTTTGGTGGCCATTTGACACGTCTTTCCGCACGCACGTACAGGTTGTTTGGCCTGATCAACTGGAACATGGGGTCATATTCAATAGGTCCGTCGCCTTCCCGGGAGAACTTGTACCGGTAGATGAGCTTTGGTAAGAAGACTTTGATCTCCTGAAGAGCAAAATTGAACCCGATGCACATCCGAGGGCCCATGGCGAATGGTATATAAGCAGCCTTGTGTCTGTTTTTCACTTCTTCGGTGTCCCAGCGGTCTGGATTGAACCGGGCAGGATTATCCCAAATTTCCGGATTGTTGTGGATATGATGAATCGCCGGAATGATGACGGAGTTCTTTGGCAGTTTGTACCCTCCAGGGAGAACGAGATCGACTTTCGCAGTACGTCCTGGTTGAAATGATGGGTTATGACGGCGCTGAGTTTCTTTGATGTACTTGTCGAGGAAGTCGAGCTTATCTGTAAGCTCTGCTGTCATTTGGGTATTTTCATCAAAGCCATGATCAATCAGCTCCTGAAGAAGTCGCTCCTGCATACCCTCATACGTGCAGAGACCGTAGATAAGCCACGACAGAAGAGAGCTTGTGGTAGTAAATCCGGCACCTGTAGCGACCACAAGAGCCCAGATGAGACTCGACTTTGGTAGTTTTTCACCCTTGCTATCAGTTGCCCGAACAGCATAGTCTGTCATGGGCATTAGTTAAGTGATCGATAAATGATGAATGATTATACTAGAGGGGATACATACCAACCATGTTGCTTGCAGTTAAAGCTGCATCTTGTAATGGAAGATCATCGACCCCGGCTCTAGAGGCACTCTGGATAGATTCATCCACAATCTCTTCAACACGAGCCTTTAGATTTCTGAGGCGCTTCGGGTCACCGAATGGTAGCGACCCATACCAATTGCCCTTGGAGGTAACCTTTTTGTTCAATGAAAGGACCTCCGCAATATTGTGGACCATTTCATGAAGTGGGGCATCTGGACAGCTGAAATGCTGGAAGTCCAAACCCAGCGTAAGCTTTCCGACCGCTTGAGAGCCAAGCTTCAACATATACTGGTAAACATTCCAGGCCTCTCCTTGCTCATCAAGCTCATCGAAGACTTTGAACGAATCTTCAACTGTTTTCTGCATTATTGGAGCATAATGGCGAACGGCCTTGGGTCCGAGAGCAGGAGGTAGAAATTTGTGGGCCACCCGCCACTCTTCGGTATCGGTGTCGCCGAGGAAAACTCCAGCGGACGGGGTCTTCAGGGCAAACAACGGGTGCGATTCGTTGATCTTTTTGGTAAAGAAGTCGGACTCGGAGAATGCAATGGATGCGATGTTGGGGTCATTCGTCTGGTAAGTGACACGACCCATGTTGTTTGTCTTGATTACAGGGCCGTACTGCTCAAAAAGACGTTGATGGTTGCCGAGATGATCGGGATAAACTTCAAAGAAAGTTCCAACAACAGGCAGTGCCCTGGGGCAAGGCGGATCACGGACCGCATGTCCGTCAATTGCAATGGGCACAGGACCGACTGCACTGGCAAGTTCCGAAGTATCTGTAAGAACAGCGCCTTTACCCTGGAAGCTGATACCTAAACATAGCCATCAGTGAGAAAACCAGAAATTCCAAGTTAAAGGGTCGCTAAGCTACCACTTACCAATTGGATCCACAATGGCAAAATGAGCAGCAATCAAGAGTTTTACTTCATCAATCGACTGTGAAGTATCGATATCGATGTCTTTGGTGAGGGAGAGATCCTCTCCCAGGAGGAAAAATGTCTGTGAAGGCATTGCTGAGCTTGCTGAACCTTATCCTCAAAAATGGAAATCGAAATAGCCACAATGAATTATTTCAAGGCGAACCGAATCTTCCAAGGCTTATATACAGATATTCTAGTAAATAAGAGCATTTGTAGATCATCGGACAATGATGGAATTTCTCGATTAAGTGGAGACTTACGGCTCGGGAAGACCCACTTAACGAGGGATCCTCGGTCTCTTGCCAGGGTCACCGCTTTTCCGATTGGTTCCTCTTACTTACCTCGGAATCGGAGCGCAACACAAGATCCACCCCTGTTTCCTCCGAGGTATCAACATTGACCATCTCAACATGGAGTATACGTCTCTTCACCGGCGTCTCCTTAAGCCTACCGCGGGCCTACCTCGGATTCGGAGCCTGTCACACTGACCGGTGCAACTATCTCTTCTGATTGTCCCATAGATGCCGTCGTTCTCTATGCCTGAGTGGGTTTATAAGAAGGCTTTTGCAAATCCTTCTTATCTTCTTTCTCGACAAAGTGTTTTCAGCAAACTCCGATCTCAAGATGACGGCATTCACAATGGAAGACGTTGCAGCTCATAAAAGCAGGAATGACCTGTGGGTTGCTATCCATGGAAAAGGTCAGTTTTCTCTCCTTGTTTTCCCTGTGTCGTCAAACACCGTTGTTTAACCCAAGTTTCCTTAGTTTATGACGTAACAAAATACGTGCAAGATCATCCGGGTGGAGCAGATGTTCTGATCGATGTTGCTGGACAAGACGCGACTGGCGCATACGAAGACGTTGGGCATTCTGAGGACGCGAACGAAATCTTGGAGGCATACTATATCGGTACCCTGAAGGATGCTGGCCAGTATAAGCGCCCAGCTGCTGTGCGTGTCATCCAGCAGATCCCTGCTAAGGAAGACGAAAAAACGCGACTACAAACTACCCGCACCCTTGCTGTCATGGCTGCCTCTTTCAGCGGCATCGTCTCACTATATCTTGCGCCCACTTCCGCCCTAAGCCACATCAACCTACAGGACCTTCCCAGTAGGCTTCCATGGCTTTCGCACCTCACTTTAGCCAAACTCGCTATACCCCGCTTACCCCAAGGGGGATTTGTCAATGGATTCGCAGCTGCAGCCCTGCTTTCGGCCGTAGCTGCAACCGTGATTGGGTCCGGACTCTCCAAATTCACGCATATCGATTCTGGTTTCACCAGATATCCACCGCGAATCAAACGAAGCACACTCGCAAAAGAGAATCCCCATCTCATGCCAGGATTCCTGCACCCAAAAGAATACAAGCCTCTCCCTTTAGTGGAAAAGGTTCTCTTAGCCCCGAACGTCTATCGCTTCGTGTGTCAACTGCCAAATACAACAGATGTGATAGGCATTCCCATCGGCCAGCATGTCGCGATCAAGGCGACAGTAAACGGACAGTCAGTCTCAAGGTCCTACACCCCCACCTCAAACAACCTGGACCGGGGAAAATTGGAATTGTTGATCAAGTGCTACCCTGACGGCTTGCTGACTGGGCAATACCTTGCAAACCTGAAGCTGGGTGACAAAATACAGTTCCGTGGTCCCAAAGGTGCTATGAGATATAAGAAAGGCATCTGCAAGAAGATTGGAATGATCGCTGGTGGTACTGGCATCACCCCCATGTACCAACTCATTCGCGCTATCTGTGAAGACGACACCGATACCACTGAGATCAACCTTATCTACGCCAATCGTGGGGAGGAGGATATTCTTTTGAGAGAAGAACTCGAGACCTTTGCTGTCAATTTTCCCCAGAACTTTAAGATTTGGTACATGTTGGACAGCCCGCCCCAGAAGTGGGCTTATGGCAAGGGCTATGTCACAGCGGCTGTGATGCGGGAAAGGCTCCCGGCTCCTTCTCCAGATACGAAACTCATGCTTTGTGGACCACCGGGTATGGTCAATGCCTCGAAGCAGGCCCTTGTGGGGCTGGGCTTCCAGGCTCCTGGTGCCGTCTCTAAGATGGACGATCAGATCTTTTGCTTCTAGTTACTGCCCAGGTGGTTCGTGTGGTGTTGTTTGTCCATGTGCTGGGTTTCTACCTGGGCATAGATGGACATTGTATTGTATTCCTTCGAAGCAAAAGATCCAGTGGCTGCATTTGTGTTTAAGAATTCTTTTTCTGTCTGTTTATATCATATATGCTATCGAGTTTCTTTTTTGTTCTCCTTACCAAGCTCACCCTTATGATTTCTTTCGATTAATTTATGAGACAAAATTATCAAGAATTACAAACCTTAGAAGTGTTTCTATGACTCTATTCTCTGGGGTCTTAATCTCTTGATGATGTAGAGGAAGCGTATACATAGTACTAGGTAACAAGGAATTGGGCTTGTTAAATTATGGAAGTAATATTTCAAAATTATAGACAGTATGAAGGAAGCATGAATAGCGGTGGTTTTAGGTGCGGGACGAAATCACCCGTAGATAAGGAGTGAAAGTGAACCCTGGAATAGCTTCAGAATAAAAAGGAAAGCATACAAGGCCAAGCCAGGTTCAAATGTTAGGAATGGAAGGGGTATGCTAGTACTAAGCAAAGGGGAACTGGTAAGGGCTCCCTTATATTTAATAATTTGAGGAAGAATTCCATCCTGGCACCCACGTAGTCCAACTGGTTCCACCCTTCGGGACCTCAGCCAGCTCTGGATTTGCGGCCCCCACTTCAGGTACACTGGGCCCATCCACGATGGGGATATTGAGTAGTACGGCGAGCCTAAGAGTCGAAGCCTAAGTTGAGTGACAGCGAGAAAGTGCGCCGCGGACCTACTACAAAGTATCTGCCCTCTTTTTTTTCTTTCTTTAAATTATAAAACTATTTTCTTTTTTTTATTTTTATCTTTTTTATTTAATTTGATATTGATTTTTGAAGTTGGGAGGGGAGTGCTTAGTATGAAGCCGTGATGCATCGATGGCGGGAGCGAGTGACTTGTTTCTTGGGAAGTCTTTACGTATTTGTGCTTTTTACCTCCCTGGAAGTCCCTGGTTCGATTCCTGGAGCATTCGTTTCCCTCTTTCTTTTTCTTTTTTGTCTTTTTCCATTCTTATATGGATGTTTACTAGTATTCTTCTAATCCAGTTACTAAAACTTATTCATATATTGATTACCACACTAATTTACTATATCTTACTATTATCCTCCTTTCCAACCTTAGCAGATTATGTCCCTAGCCCTTATCCGGAATAGAAATAGTGTCAGCTCATGGGGCTGTCGTTGTATTTCGAGAATCGCACTATTGGAACTTGATGATAAACAAGACAGGATATTTACCGCTGATCGGCGATTAGCGTAATGAGCGTCTCTCATCAACCAATCGGAATGATTCAACAAGGTCCAATTTTTTTTTACCTCGGTTCCTTCTTTGTAAGCCAATCGGAACGTGGAAAAGTACCAAGTACCTCGCGAATTGTTACAACTTACGCCCCGGGACCTCGAAACAAACAATCTCACATAATATTCTTACCAGGGATCTATCTGAGCACTCTACTCCGGAATTTCCACCTATGCCACTGCTCGTCATCAAACGTTTTGGCCGATCGACCCGAAATATTCTTTCCCGATGCCGTGCGATCCTGAAGTTGCCGCGCAATGCCGCGAAAGAGAGAACGGTGGCACATACTCTGAAAAGTATTTATGAATGAGTAGTCCTCATTCTGTCCTACTTTTCCTGACTATCCATTCTTCTCATACATATCCTGCCAGCTTTTTTTTTGGTCTAAATCTATTACCCTTGGAAGCTCGACTCTGCCTTGTTCATCTACTTTATGGCCAGAATGACCCGCACTTGGCAAACTCCCGTGAACTATGACAAACGTCCCGTTGCTATCTTGGGTGCAGGTGTTCTGGGGCGTCGTATCGGTATGAAGTTCTCTCCAACGAACGCCAAGTATGTATGAACGACGCTGACATCTCTCGAATAGCGTGCATTTGGGCATCCGCCGGATATGACGTCCAGGTCCGTGACCCTAGCCTAGAACAACGCGCAGACTGCATCGAATACGTCGAAGCAAACGTGGCATCCTACGCCGAGCAAACAGGACAGGTCCCTGGCAATATCGAAGCTTTTGAACAACTGGAGAATGCGGTCAAAAATGCATGGCTCGTTATTGAAGCAGTTCCAGAAAAGCTTGCCTTGAAGATTGATACATTTGCCGAACTGGATAGGCTTGCGCCAAGTGATTGCATTCTGGCCTCTAACTCGTCTTCGTACAAATCCTCTGAAATGTTGGTCAAAGTGTCGGAATCGGCTAAGCGTCGCATTTTGAACATGCACTACTACATGCCCCCGCAGGTCATGGTTGTGGAATTGATGACCAATGGGCTCACCGAGCCATCTCTCTTCCCCTTTTTGGTCGACCGTTTGAAGGAGGCTGCGACTATTCCTTATGTTGCTCGGAAAGAGTCCACTGGCTTCATTTTCAACCGCCTCTGGGCTGCAGTTAAGCGAGAGGTTTTGACCATTCTCGCTGAAGGAGTTTCGGTACCGGAAGAGATTGATTCAATGTGGACGGAGATGTTCATCAAAAGCGCCGTTACCCCCTGCAAGACCATGGACGGTAGGTACCGGAAATCTATTTCCAAACCCCTCTCAAAATCTCTTAGAATATAGGCTGACTATTCTTTCAAGACGTTGGTCTGGACACTGTGGGTTTCATTGAGAACCATTACATCCTGGAACGTCATCTCTCTGGAGAAAAGACGGTCAATTTCTTGCAGAAGAAGTATCTGGATGAAGGTAGGCTTGGGTCAAAGTGCTCCAAAGGTGGTCTTTTCCCACCTACTGTGACTGGTAAGGGAGCCCTCACCGAGCCCAAGCTATTGGTCCTTGATATCGGACTGGCGGCAGAGGTTCCCAGTACGGACGGAGGCCAAATTCTTGAGATATCCGCCGACGGTCGCAAACAAAAGGTCATTGTCAGCTCTCAATGTCTCCCCGATGGCCTTGCGATTGACACCGACAGCAAGCGCATGTTCTGGACCACCATGGGCATCCCTGGCAAAGATGACGGGGCAGTATATTCTGCCAACTTGGACGGCACCGATATCCAGACCGTCCTTGATCCAGGCACGGTAAATACCCCCAAACAGCTAGCCTTGGACAACAAGTCAAAGAAAATATACTTTTGTGATCGAGAGGGCCTTCGCGTTCTCCGTTGCAACTTTGATGGTTCAGCGCTTGAAGTACTGGTTCAGAATGGTGCTTATCAGAATACCGAGGATTGTGATGACCCCACAAAGTGGTGTGTCGGTGTGACTGTCGCCCCCGGCCTCGGCAAGTTCTACTGGACACAGAAGGGGCCCTCCAAGGGTGGCAAGGGACGCATCTTTAATGCAAACATCGATTTCCTAGAGGGGCAGTCTGCTACGACACGGAGCGACATCCAGTGTATTGCAAACAACCTACCAGAGCCCATCGATCTCGAAATTGATGAGGATTCTCAAACCCTATACTGGACCGATCGTGGTGAGATCCCGTTGGGGAATTCGTTGAACAGACTTTTGCTTGATCATTTCGGCTTTCCTGTCCCCACTGGCCATGAAATCTTGCTCAGAAACCTGAACGAGGCAATTGGCTTGAAGCTAGACTTGGCCAATGACAGCATATATTTGACCGACCTTGGTGGTAACATCTACAGATGCAATGCTGAAGGAAAGCAGAAAGTTAGACTGCACACCGATGAGAGTCGAGCTTTTACCGGAATTGCCATTGCTTAGGTAATTTCCAGTATTTTTATGTACTTTAGCTGGTCAACTCTCAATGTCTCTTAGAACATCCACACTTCTTTAGAATTTGGTGTGGCTTAACGAATTTGATCCATGTGAATTTTGTCGTTTGATCAGACCACAGGAAAAGTCATATAAATATCGAGGAATTTAATTTTCAAATTTTGGACTGAATCTTGGAACATTGGAAAGATTCTTGCAAGGGACATCTGGAACTTGACGAAAAATCGCCCATGCTTTATATTTGGTTCCACGTCTGCCAAAAGTCAAACATTGAACTTTCGTCCATGAAAACTCCCATAAAATCAGTTTCGTCTGATGTAACTCCGAACTCACCCGGCCGATTATTTTCACTGGCATTAGTAACAATGTTTCTTTCTCCTAAGATGGAACCCGGGGCATGCATCTCACTGACAGGAGACGGGACTGCAGTTGCTGCAGGGGTGGCCCTTATAGTGGGAGCTAAGTAATCCGGAAATATCTGTTGGATCGCTTTCGTGAAAATTGCACGATAAATCGAAGCAACGGTGTATGTTTTCTGGAATTCTTCCAAGACCAGCATGCACATTTCAATTTTATTTAACCGGATGCGCTTTGAAAGATTGTCACCAACTTTGCATTGAAGCAAATGCCCTTGCATTGCTGGAACCAAGAGAGGAGGCCTTGATTGATTGAATATTGGTTAGTTCAGGGCAAAGACAACTGTTTCTTCAGGTTGAAGGAGCACAAGAGAGGTTTCGACAGAGTGTACTAACGTCATAGGTCCTGCAAATCCTAGCAGTTCCTCTTGAATAAGCGCGTCCAAAATATCGTTCGTTTTAGAGGCAGCAGCATCAGACTTGAGTCGCATTCGATGTTGCCAGCTTTCCACTAACGCGGAAGTCAAACCATCCGGAGCTTCGGTTTCCCAGCGGCGATAGAAGGTAACCAACATTGCTCTGTGGCAAATGTTAGCAGACGAAACTTGGGAAGGGACTAGAACTAACTGGTAATGCAGGTGGACGTGATGCGCATAGAAGTTTGCTATACGCGTCAAACCCACTTCATATTGGTCTGGAAGTTTGCTCCGTAGTAGTCGTCCCTCAAGTCCCTCAACTTCAGCTAGCGATGCTTTGAGGACAGCGGGCCGACGATACATGACTAGTACGTTACCTAGCAGGCAGCTTAACTCAATTAGCATGACCCAGTATTCAGCCAATCTGTTCATGTCGCAAGGCAAGTAAGATGCGATGGTGGACCCATCTGACTTCAGAGTATCACAGAGGAGATCAGCTGCCAATGGTATTCGGATATCGCAGTCATCGAGATTGATCCGCAGTGGCCTCCCTAGAGTCAGACACAACCAGCGATCTCGGAAAAGACAACTCCACCAAAGTCGACGCCAAACACATCGCTGTCGGTCGGTAATAGAGGGGTTGTTGTAAGATACATCGGGATCGCGATGTAGGCCAAGGATCTGACCTAGGTTTATTGCGATGCCTGTCCAATACCATGGCTGTGCATGCTCATCCATGTCGGAGTGCCAGAACCCCATCAATAGTGACGATTGTAACAGCACAACTTTGCTTCTTTCATTTCCATTGCTGTACATGCACTAATTGAAGACTGAAGTTAGCGCAGGGGACTTTGTGAGCGCTGAAGAGACAGGAGATTTACTAGCCTTAGCTTTGGAGTACATCGCAAACTTCATTGCCCGTCTAGATGTATAGCCTTCCCGCTCGTATATTGTTGCCGGAATAAACTATAAGAGTCAGTGAATGTCGATGATTCATAATACCCTATGCTGTGGCCTACATTAACAGCGACGAAAAAGAAACTCCACAGGAGCAATATGTTATAGTCTTGAAGCTGCCCAGCCTGGTGATGATTCACGAGCACATCCGCTTCGATTACTGGGAGAATGGGATGAACATGCACAAGATATGCCTCGATCATAGCATCACAAGCGCTTTTTCCTGGAAGAGTAAACACTCCCTTCCTCCTCAGGAAATCCTGATCTTCGTCAGATAGATGCGTGCGGTGCAATGGTATGAAAAAATGCTTTGGCAAAGATTGATCGAGGGAGCAAATATTTAGGGCTGATGTAGGTCCAGTCTGCTCTCCTGTTTGGAGTATTAGTCTCGGTCGTTTACCATTGTCACTGAGTCTGGGACATTTTCCGTACCAGTATAGAAGGGGACTTCCCCAACGCTTGCCGGTTGTCCCAGCGCCGCCGATGCTATTTCGAGCCCATTGTGCTCTTCGTCTGCCATGTTATTCATGTCAAAGTCTGAAGGAGTCCCGGCACGCGTGGAACTTTCAGCATGAGTGTCGACACGAGGAGGGCCTGGATGTGTAGTAGGCACAATACTCGGACATGGAGTCGTGGTGATAGGAGCCGTCCCGGCCGTAAAGTTTGAGACATTTGGCCCGGAATGTCCTGGGCGGCGAGGTGTTGAATGGCCAATCTGTTTGATCCTATGAGGGGTTTTCAATACAGTCAGTGCTAATTCAATATAGTATGTACTGGGTATTCCCTTACCCTTTCCTTTCCCTTGCGTTCACAATACATCCAACGCCATCCTGAGTACATCCGGCGCAAGGCACACCAGTGACGGTGAGGCTACATCGTACTTTGCGTTGGCGACAAGCCTCGCAGGCAACGGTAGACCTGGGGCGGCGGGTCCGAGGAGTTTGATTCGTTGGCGCCATGATCTCCGCTCAAGCTCGTATACCGAGGAAAGATAAAGCTTGGCTCAGCTTAGTGGAGGGCGCTAAGAAAACCATTCACCTTGTTTTTCAAATAATGTACGTGTCGTGATTCTTGCGTCAGACCTTGTTAATAAGCGCGGCTCGAATCCTTGAAGATGGTGAGAGTTGAGACGTACTGGTGTTTCCGAGGTCCGAGGATGCGCTGAGACGGATGACGTAAGACTCTGCGGTTCAGCGCAGTAACTAACGCGTCTGAGTCCTGACTTTCCTTCCATATTACGTGTCACAAATTCACCATATCTTGGTTTTCTACGCGTCCATGAGATTTACAGGTGATAAATTTGGTTGCATTCAATATTGAGCTCAACATGGTCTTCCAGAATCAATGCTTATTGAAATCCACGACTTTTTAGATGTTCACATATCGTATCACCTTATTACCAGTCTTACTACGCTCAAACTCTTGCAGACTGGAAACGAAAACGATTTGGAGATAGTCCTTTATAGCAGGGAAGACACAGAAAAAACTGCTCAACTTCTCAACCAGGTCATTATCGGATAACTTTGGATTCGCGCATCGTTCCCTGAGAATACGAACTTCGAGGTTATGAACCGAAGTGAACAATTCAGTGCGGATGACCTGCCACTGCAGTATGGAAAATTCCTGCGATTGCATCAAGCGGCGGAGAGTGTCGAAGTCAAAATATTCGCCCTGCCAGCTAAAGCTGAAACGTTGATCGCGTCCATAAAGCCGAAGAACCTTGAAGTGTTTTGAATGTGCCGGATCAATTATGTCGTTCTCGGGCAAGGGATGTAATGAGCCGATATCTCCCGACAGGTATCGTATGAGAGGATTTCGCAAACGTTGAAGAGAGGTGGCTGCGATAAGGCCCTTTTCACCATCAGGCAAAGGCTTCATACCCTCCCGAGAGTTTTTATGGTCTTGCCCAGCTGAGCTTTCACACAGAACTTCAATGACAATATTCCGAGTATCAAAAATGAAATCAGCCGACTCATCATCTTCGCGTTTCGTCACGGCATGATTCCCCACAGCCCAAGGACCCGACTCAGCACTTGCAAATGCGGAGCAGATCGATACGTCTCCAAGAACCGATCTGATATACTCACGCTGGGCTTGCGCCAACACCTCGGAGGTGTAGAGTATTTTGTTGATTCTTATTGCGGTTCGCTGGTCCTCTGGCAAAGACGAGACATGGATGGCGAATTGAAGAATCTGACCGGAATCACCAGTGATGACATTGATGCGATATATGGAAACCAAGCCGGCAATCTCAGCATTGGACATGAGATGGCCGGCACAAAATATCGAACCACCGGCATTTTCGACAGCCTCGGCGATGAGGTCAAGAGATCTAACCAGTATTAGCAGATTGGATCACTTAATCTACAGTCGTGTGGATGCTCTACCTGTACAACTTTCCAGAGGTGTGCATTGACAGAACACAGTCGCCAGGCGTGATAACTTTACACTGCCGAAGTAGATTCCCCATTGCCATTCGTTGAATGCGATTCTCCCTTGCATCGGTCAAGAAGTACATTGGGGCACCTCCTGAGCCGCCGCCAGTGGTGCTGATATAAGAAGCATGGCGAAAACTGTTGTTAGGTGTGTCATCTGCTATCAACCGTTGGATGGTTTCGTACCTCGTCGTCATCATTAGCGCAGAATGGATGGGGTTCTAACTAGAGACGTACAGATTCTCTTTCTTTATGAGGGGTAAACTCTCCAGATCTGGAAATTGTTTGTTCCGATTCTTATCAGTGACTGCATCTATCTCAGTTTGTGTTGGTGGGAATCGAATGCTTGGGTTGTAGAAGGGATGGATAGTTGACACCGCCAATATTTGCTCCAGTGTATACGCTGGTGTCGTAAAGAAGTCCATTGAAAGCTGTATGGTTCATGGGAGAAAATTAAAAATGGACAACATTTGAACTGAATTTAAGACTGTGCTTTCATTAAAGCGAAAAATGTATCAGTGTAGTTCGAGTAGACATCTTTGGCATGCCCTGTGGGAATTCTATTCGGAGTACAGCTTTTTCAGTCCAACCCTATCAAGACCTATTGCAGCACCAGTTGACCGGATGGATTGTGAACCCAAAGACGAATGCGACCGATCAATTGCTAATTGTGAGTGGAGTTCATACACTTTCTGGTCATGGACTTGATCATTGATGTCTCGGCATCTTAAGCAGCCATTTGTAACTTTGGGAAAGGGATTCTCAACATTACCGAGGATTTCATGCTGGAATAGAAATAAAAGGATCAAGTGCGAATTCCAATGGGTATATTTGCCAGGTATATTGTGAATGGGGCTTTAATCTATGAATATAGAGCGGACACATGCAGGACGCGAACTTGGTCTTAACTATTCAATGTTGTCAAAGGAGCCCATTCAATTGCTTTTTTGAAATTTGAGGTAATCGTGGTAAAATTACAGTAGTCTTGGAGTTCAATCTCAAGAAGGGAGTTTCGTTACTGTTGATTTGGTAAATTTAACTGACGCACCGAAAGTTTTAGCACTCCACCGAGCTCGTCGTTCATATAGAGGGGCATTCGTGACGTGATTCGCAACTGTAACCAGCGACGATTATTCATCAAAATGGTTGACCGCCAGCGTATATATTGGGCCATGAGGTATGTATAAATCGTTCAGGTGGATGTCCTCGGAGAAGAGAACGCATTTGAGCTCCGCGGTGTAACGGTGTGTTCGCGGAAAGGCAGCTGGGCTGTCTTTTCATCTGGACCAATCTCCAACAGGCCCCTAGTAATATATTCTCTCTCTCCGAACTATTTTCAAGCACTGGGGGAACCGTGACTCGATAGTTCGGAGCAAGGAGTCATATTGTGCCCAATAGGGAGAGAGGACCGAGCAATATTTCAATCTTCAAAATAGAAGAAGTACCACCACCGGAGGTATGCGGCTGAAGTACATGGAGGGCAAAGAATCACAGCGTATATGTCTCATAGCTGCAGTGGGTAAGCCAAGGACAGTCGTGCATTGTCTCCGCTCGATGCCAGTTTTGTAGAATTTTCGGTGTTAGACGAATGTCCCACATCCATCCTCGGCCGGCGCTGTGGCTTGTCGGCAAGGGCCGTGGAAATTTCACCGGAAATTGTGTGTCACTGCTCTCATGGGCATTAAAGGGCAAGTTTGACGTTTATTATGGCACAGGGTTTGGGGAATCGACGAATGGTCGCGAGATGATTTTGACAGAAGACAACACTTGGGTGCGGAATAGCGAGGCAGGGAATGGATTTTACGGAGAGCTTGTCAATCAGTAAGACTGCTGCAGATCTCATCCACAGATTTGAATGATTTTAAAACTTACAGACTAAGGAAAGAGAACGGATCACTCGCTGCATATTGGAGAAAAATGTGGATCGTGGGGTAGAATCAGACAGCAATCTACTTTAGCTTTGTTGATCATGTTCTTGGGTACTACAGCTTTTACTGCACTCAAGTGCTCAGGTATAAAATCGTGTAGGTTCAATTGATGCTCTCTGCATCCCCCGTGATCTGTGGGTTAGGCCACTTCAGAACCTTTGTTATTGTGTACAGCACTGACCCACCGAGCGCCATTCGACATGATATGCATATAGCACCTGCAGTAAGCTGCTGGAACTGAAACCTTGACAAGCATGAGATTCCTATACTTTAGCCCTGGAGTAAGTATTTGCCATCGCGTGTCACATCCCCGACCTGTGTCTAATATGTTTAATGATTCCTCTTCAATTATTTACAGCGAACAATCCTCTCACAACTTTTTCAAATATAGATGGACTTCATACATATGACCAATACCGTGTGTAAAAATGCATATTCCCAGCTTGAGAATCCAACAAATATGTCTCGGAAAAAGTACTCAGGAGGCAGTGAAAACGCCAGCCGAGGTGGGACATCTCGCGAGCATGCGAGATTGCGAGACATACAGGACAAGGATGCTACAATCCATACCACCTTCAATATGGCCTGAAGGCTCTGTCACATCATACTCTCACCCAATGCTGGTCAGTGCTGGCAATCACATTAATCAGATCAAAGACCTTCAAGAGGCACTTACTGCAGCAATCGTGAGCATTGTTGAGCGATGGTGGGAACCTAAGGCAAATTTTCCGAGCCGGATGCCGCTTGAGCCCTACGAAGAGGATCTTCTGATAGTAAGGCGTTTTACTTCATCATCACTTGCATCATTATTTGTTTACTCACTGTATTCACAGTGGATGGCAAAACTGCCAATGGGAATGATTCCCCCATTTCATCAGTGTCTAGGATCCTGGAGGCCCGACTTTCTAATTGAAAATGTGCCAAATCATTCCAATCCTTATGAGAGTTGCGTGAGATTTCGCATTTGCGAGATCAATGCTCGTTTCTGTTGGAATGGATTCCTACATACTGCTTATGGTCAACAGGCTTTCCATGATATGGGTGCTGGGGAAAATGGGTTCCAGGGAGCTGCACACTGCGAAGAAGTTAGTTTGACAGAATCAATCCTCTCATCGCTACCCGCGAATGTACGAGCAAAAAGGTTTACTAAACTTTTGCAACGATAGATTCTCACTGGGATATTCAGTCTATTCGATACATCCAAGACTCTTCATTTTCTTAAGGGGAAAGAGGAAGGGATCGACATTGGAATGTTGGCATGGCTTGTGGAGCAGCGGACGGGCATATCTCCTCGATTCATCAGACCAGAAGACCTGCGCTTAGTTCCCTCTATGAGAGGGCATCTCGGTCAAACACTGTGTTGTGTGATATCCGACGATGCAAAAGCGCCAACAACATCATCTATATTCCATTCAAATGGGGAGCGACTGGAGGAAATTCACCAAGTGAATATTGAACTTCACCAAAGTGAGCTGCGTGCGATGCCGACTGATATTCTCCGTCACCTTTCATTGCGGTGTTTCAATGACATGCGCACTATTTTTCTTGTTCATGATAAGCGAATGTTAGGACTTGTTCTTCAGGAGCTGGATTCACTTGTTTATCAACAGAAAGTCCTAACGCCAGCCCAAGCCGAGATTCTCCGAGAGGGCATTTCGCCGACCTTCCTACCCGGCTCAGCCGAGTTGAATCAGTTGATCACAATCTCTCGCATATTTCCAAATATCAGAAATCGATTCATTCTGAAACCAATCAGGAGTGGGAAGGGTGCGGGAATACTCTTCGGTGATGAACTATCCCCGGAAGATTGGCAAGAAAAGATACAAGGTTGCCGTTGCCCAGTGATCTCACCAAATAGTACCTCATATATCGTTCAGCGGAGTATTCCGCAGCCTGTATATGATGTGGTTTCAGGGGAAAACTGCAAGAGTAAGCCGGCCCGTCTGGTGGGCACTTATTTCGTCATAAACGGTCGGTACTGTGGTCTAGGATTATGGCGTGCCAGTCGAGCTCGCATCTGCGCCGTTTCTCAGGGGGCATCTTGGATGTGTTCTGTTTTCCAGAACTCAAAGGAGATTGAACAAAGCTTCATATGAAAAAGGATGAGTCTCTAGATAGCCAATTTCTCGGCACGGGCATAAATCAGAAACCCAGAATAATTATTTCCCTTCACCGTCCTCCTTCACTCAACACTTTCACTTGAACTTGATTCATGCCTGGGGCCGTCTGACCGCTAAAATTATCTCGTACCATCTCCACATTATCCCTCGTGGTGTTATACAAAGCGAGGTCATACTTCCGTAGAATGGTTCCAATCACCAAATATAACCATGCCCAAGCCATGCTTGTAGTTATTAGTAGTCTGTGCAAACCATATTCAAAGCATTGATGAAGATGAATGCGAACTCACTTTGGACCTAAACATCCAAGACCACCTTTGGAGAAGGGAACAAGATACTTTTCCAGTTTTCGCAGCTCTTCTTCCCCAAGTAACCAACGCTCGGGATTAAACTTTGTTGGCTCGGGGAAAATGCGTGGGTCTCTCAAGATATGGTAGATTGTCATGCTGACGGGTGTCTAGATCGAGTTAGTTGCCTTATTCATTCAAACTAGGTACAGTTTTCGAATATACGACATACTCCCGGCGGGATTTCCCAGTTGTGAAAGCGTAGAACCTCATCCGGTGCCACTCGAGGTTGTCGAGGAACGACAATATTGGACAGACGTAGACCTTCTTTTAGAACTGCACTCTACAGATGAAATTTGGTTAGATGCTTGGTGGTAAATGGGTTAATGAAATGCAGCCTTCTTACTAGATATGGGAGAGGCTCCAGCTCATCTAAACTTGGCATGATTGCGTCATCGGGAAATGAGTGGTGCAGCTCATTTTTCAACTTTTGAAGAACTTTCGGATTGTCCAAAATGTGAAAGATAGTGATAGCAAGGGCCTGTGATGGGGCATCCGATGCTGCAAGCAAAAAGAAAATCGCATCATCTTCAAGTCGCTTTATTTCTTTTTCGCTTGGCGGGACCCGTTCGTTAGCCAGCATTTCCGGGTAAATTGCTTTTTGTTTCTGTTTGTCGTGTAGTTCACCAGCTTGATGCTCCTGAACCGCGATTTTTACCATTCTTTTCACATCCTAATGGGGGTGGTCAGTCGGACTTTGTATTCTCACGCGCCCAGTGAGCTTGTACTCACGGCTCGAAGATCCTCGGTCAGGCTGAATGACGGGCGCACAATTCGTGAGACAAAAGGGAAGATGTGACTCAGAAAGTAGAGGATCGGAAAATGTCTGACGATCCTGGCACTTCCAAACATTGCATTTACTCTATGTTTCCAAATTGATGACACATTTGGCTGGTCAAGAAAAGTAAAGCCATGGTCTTCTCCAAATGCGTACTGCGACATAGCATCACCGGCAAATGATATGAAGGCAGCGTGGAGCTCTAACGGAACACCACTTGTTCTTGCATTTGAGAAATGGCGACACAGGGATGCAAGTTTGTCTTGGAGAATGGGTTGGTATTCACGAACCGCTTTCCGAGTGAAGAAGGGACTGATAAAACTTCGTCGTAGCCGATGCGTTCGATGATCTGGTGTAACGAACAGCGATTTTTGAAGGCCTATAAAGTAAAACCAACGGTCTTTCTCACGATTGTGAGTCGGTCCAGAGTATAGCGTCGTGTAGTTGTCGGGGTCGTGAACGTGTATTTCAAAGGGCTTGATTCGAACCACAGGACCATATTTTTGGTGAAGATGCTCGATTTGCCACGTGAACCTGCCCCCTTTGAGCAGTTGAAAATATGCTTCATACCATCCTGTTGCGGCGGCCAGAATCGGGCCAGGAAACTTGGCCAGTGGGCTCAAAAACAGTCGATAGTATAATAGGCCCAAGGTGTATAAAGAGATGATCAATCCTATGCCGTATAGGTAAGTCCATAATTTATCATCCATGACTCGTGATCAGTCTGCAATGCAAAGGTAGCCTTGGAAAATGGCCAACTATCCGATTGTGGGCCTGTTCTTTATATCATCACAGGTATGCAGAGGTGGGAAATGTTTCACAGGAAAGGAAAAAGCGAGAGGCAAGGCATTTCAATAGTATGTGGATCCACGCATGAAAGCTGATCCAATATCCGACGATGCCCAAGGCGAGAAAACAGGGTAAAATGAGTGAGAATCCCTTTCAGAATATCAGAAAAGCAAATATTTTCAGCTTCTTACGAAGTCATGGGTGCGAGAAGAGTGAGTGGTGATAAGTTGTTAGCGTGCAGCGATCGGCGTTGGAGAAAAGCAAATAACACCCCCAGGCCCCCTTGGCCCGGACCATGTGCAAATGCTCGCAGATGAGGAACTATTAGCCGAGTCATCTGTGTCATCTATTCGAGGATGTTTTGAGTGACAAGAATGAAAGCCGTGCGAATATTGGGCTCTAGGTCTCCAACTTCTTGAATTGGATTGGGTTGGCAAGTTTGAACTCCCGATTGCGCATGCGGCATGAATTAGTTACACTAATCACGCGGAAGAGTCGCTTCCCCAAAGTTGCCTTGACAAAGTCGATTGGTTAGTCATATTCTCACTGGTGGCACGATTTCTACTTCTACAGCTTTTGCTTATTCCGTGGACCGTGACTCCCTATCGAATATGATCTATAGACTGGTTTCCTTGATATCACTACAAGATCGACAATGTTGAAGATACTCGTGGGTTCTTTCAAGCAGATACAATCTGTGTGAAGTTCAATGAAGTAGGTTGTGCACCAATATCCATGCCAGAGTTATCCCGATGAAGATAGAGATCATCAAGTTGGTAACACTTCATTCACGATATCCAGATGTCCATGGATCCAATGTTGTCCGGGTGAGATATCGATATAAAACACCAGTGCCAATTTACCTCTCTCTCGAAAAAAAACCCCCCATCGTGAATTTGACTAGATCAACTGCATCATCTCTATTAATTTTTATCACGAGATGATCTCTCGGAATCTTTCTATCCACTTCCGATTACCACCCAGAGAGCTTTTCAGGTGGGATCTTGAAAGTGCCCCAGAAACACTTCCACCTCCTTCCACAAAGTTAACATGGGTCCAGCCATTCCCAATTCCAGAGTCGATATTTTATGGATCCCTCGATAAAAGGGTCCCTATCACGGCAGTGGTGGTCTATCTCATGATTGTTACTGCTCTCAATCGTGCGAATAGGCACAGAAACTATGCACCTTGGAAATTTTCCAAAGGCCGAACCTTCAAATGGCTGGTGATATTCCATAATATCCTCCTGGCCGTATTCTCTGCGTGGACCTTCTATGGAATGTGTGCTTCCGTCAACCCTATTTCATCATGGAATGCAGGGTCAAGACCCTCAGCTCATGTTGTTGACTTCCTTTGTCACATCACTAGCCAAGATGAAACTCCAAGCCTTAATATTTCCCAGGGTGGGACCTTTTTTGATGATGAATACTTCTCTGTCCGTCCCGACTCGGATCGGCTTTGGAACAATGGATATGCTTATTTCTTCTGGCTTTTCTACATGTCCAAGTACTATGAAGTGTTTGATACTTTCATCATACTAGCCAAGGGGAAGCAAAGCTCAATTCTCCAAACATATCATCATGCAGGTGTAATGGTTTGCATGTGGGCGGCAGTCAAGTACATGTCTCCGCCAGGCATTGTTGGTGTCTTTTTTAACTCGGCAATCCACACTATCATGGTATGCATTTCACTTTGCGCATTTTACATTCAAAGCTGACTTACGAAATTGCGTGTTAGTACACCTACTTTGCTTGGACCGCCCTTGATCTTTCGGTCTCCAGATTGGTCAAACAGACCTTGACAACTTTGCAAATCGCACAGTTTGTTATTGGATTGATATTTTCCTGCAGCTACATGTTTATCGAATACGACACTATTGTTTTCTATCATGAGGAGCCAATACTGGCTGGTGGTACGGAGAATATTGATATTTCTTCTCGCCTTCGCGAAGGCAACTTTCAGGTCCAGAGAACCCCTTGTTTACGTCACAGCGCTGAGGTCTTTCCACTTCTGTTGACGTCTGCCTATCTCCTTCCGCTCATTTATCTTTTTGTGTCCTTTTTTAGTCGCTCGTATCTCAACCAGCCCAAGCACGCCAAGACCCACAAAAAATAGGGCGTCGACCGGTGGTATCTTCGTCCAGGGATGGGTCAACGGTTTCTCAGTATTGCGTCTTGGAATTCCCGATGGATGCGATAAAATAGCTCCTACTTGCAAATGTGAACACCATATAAATTCCGGTCTCGGGTTCAATGTTATCAAACTACCTGGTGCTCCCGAGGTCCCGAGGTCGGTTCCGCAGAATCTCTTCCTTGAAGATGAAGGAAAACAGGTATTTCGGAATTTAGAAAAATAGAAATAAAACACTTGCATATATTCAATTATATCTGGAAATAAAAATGAAAATGAAAATGAAAATAAAACCGCGATTGATTGTCAGGAGTGAGCATTTGGAAAGGACAAAAAGATGGCCACTGGGCTGAATTTGAAGGAGGCCCGCGACCGCCCCGCTTATGTAGAAAAAAAACATCAACAACTCTCTTCTCTTTTCATGTCGTCTAACCGTTGAGCAAGCACCTGGCAAGGCCAGTCACCTTCCCCGTTCAAAATTTCAACTCGATCAAACCCTTGAGACTCATAGTACTGGATTAATTTACCATCACCACCTGCATAGCAATCTACCCGTAGCAATGAGACTCCCTCCTTTCTGGCAAGATCATACGCGTGATCCAAAAGCCGTTTGCCAATATGCTTCCCAGCACATCGGCGATCGGTGACTAGCAGTCGCACGTAGAGTTCAGGCTCAGAGACAGGTGGCACATAAGGCGACCTCTCCCCAAGGGCAAGTGCACCTACAATTACCCCTAAAACTTCTCCCTTCATAACTTGGGAGAGTTGAGTGTCGCCCACAATGGACGTGTCATTGGGAACCTCGACAGCGAGCCAGAGACCATGACCCGCTGTGACAAATTCCCTGACTTGTTCTTCGCGTTTTGGATTCTCAGAAAATGGTGATGTTCCCCATTGCCCAGCCCTGTCGCGTGATACCAGCCATTCGACTGCAGCATCTAGAAGGGCGAGGACTGACGGAACAGCGTCCAATGTTCCCCGAACGATGTTTATGCCGTAGACATTGTTTTCAATCGTGCTTTGATGGATTTTAGTAGACGTCTGTGAATGGCCTGTCGTTCTGGTCTTTATTTAATATAGCCTTCCCCTGATCTGGTTCTTGTGGGGTAGTTTGACGCGTCGAACTAGCACACTCACTTTGAAGCCATTTATCCAAGCAGTTTCGATTTGAAGAATGACTTTGGAAAGAACAAGGCTGATTTGAATCGTTGAGGTGATATTTGGACAACTGCCAGGGCCCAAGAGATATGAAGGTTGCTACGTCCGAGCAGAAATGAGAAATGAGTATTTACACATCCCATGGCATCCCCGCCAACCCCTCGTGCGGCAAGTGGGGCAATCACGATTCACCACCATTGAACAAGAATTCTTTACAGAGACGCCAGTTCACCACTATGAGAAATCACGTCATTGTCTTATAAATTCTCCTCAACGCTTCGCGATAGTCCTCGTACGACTTCGGGGGAAATGCGTTTTTAATAAAGAACCCACGGCTGGATGCATCTTCACGCACCGGAAGATGCGGGTGCTATGTTTCTAACTCGGATTGGATCTTAAATTCGGACAAGATTGATATCTGCTGATAGAGTGGTGTTTGACATTCTTTTTTTGTGCCAAATTCCGGGCATCAGTGGGTTTTGCGGATTCTTTCTCTTGTCTTGGAGTTTGAGTACTTCCCCATGTGCAGTGAATCAAGTCGGTGGAACCTTCAACAATGCAGGTGGGGTCAGACCTTATTTATTCCCGTGAGGCATAAGATGTGATCAAAGTGTTGGAAGCTCCTCTCGCTATCGGCCTATCTCCTGAAGGTGATACTTTCAAGGTTGCCAACGTTCCTTAGCTACCAGGAAATCTTGCTCGGGTTGGTTACGCAACCAGGTACAAGTTTCCTGCCAAGCACGACCGTTACCTTTCACAGTTGAGAATGAATATGCAACGAACATGCTATGCATTTTTGCGCAGAGGATTTTCAGTATACGAAATGGTACTACTGATCATCGATAAGTTCCAAGTTTTTTTAGCTGGATCTTGACTTGGAGAAAAACGCAGGATAAGGGCGAATACCATCCCCAAAAATTCGCAGACCGACACCCATGAAAATTCATTACTTAAGTAGCGAATAGGTGTAGTGAGAAGCTCATAGTTTCCCCTCCAGGGCAGAAATCCATAAGTCTGGCTTGCTTGGGACCTGCATTTCTCCAGTTCCTAAAGGCTTGTGCGCGTTGGCTACTTATCTAGGCAATGGCCCCATCTTTGCATGGAATTTGTACATGTCTTAAACCGAGCTCAGCATTGCAATGGTGTCTTTCATATAGAATTGTCAAGCTTTGAAGATAGTCCTACCTAGTTGATTTCACCTCAAAACACCTCAATTGGTGGAACGTATACATAAATAATATCTCAATACACTTGAGATTGTTCTTTTTAACAAAATTGCGGACTCTAGGGTTGGATATTACCTTCATGCATGAAAAACTTCTTGGTTGAAGATTGAACTTAGTTCAATCTTGTTGCAATGGAATGAGATACTTATATTCCACTCTCTTCGGTCAGTTGAATGCTTAAGAGTGTAGGCAAAATAGAAAGAGAAGACCAAACTGGTAAGGTATCAATCTAACGAATGAACAGTGGGTGTAACAAAACACGATCCTTGGCAAATGCCCGAGCCATTCCATCGTAACCGTATGCAAGCTCCCAGCTTTGCCGGATCGGATCTCACCGGATCCTCATGGAACTCATCGACAACCTTGGAAGCAAGGTCGCCTTGCCTTGATCAAAGAATTGATATGTCATTATGAATACAAAATGCCTGGCCTGCACAGGCACAGAATAGATTCCGGCCCTATCTCACGCCTCTTCCAAACTTGGCCTCACCTGGCGATCCCATGGGTATTTCCTGAGTTTTCTTGGGCTATTCGTGAGCATTACTACCAATGGGCTTTTATACTGCCTAGGTATATCTTGAATTGTTCCTTGTCTATCGTTCGTTGGAAAAATGCACATGTGCCAATTGACTGTATTGCAAAATGGCCGCGTGTAACTGAACCATATTTGCTGGTCTAGATAGAGTAAGATCCAAATAGATAGTACCACCAAGAAAAGAGATCGGTTTTTGTGCAACCAAGGGTATAAATAGCTGGGGTTTCTAGCATTGGGGAGTTTGTTTGATTCCAGGTCGTGTCTCCTTGCCATATCCCGCCACTCCCCTCGGCCTTTATTGCCCATAAATGTACCTAAGTAAGAATACTAAGCAGACTGACCAAGTAGAAAGTTATGTTGTTATTCATTACCACAATGGGAGGCTTGGGCCGATCAGTTATTCTGCTACAGGCTTTGAGCCTAACCGCTCAAGCCACAACCAAGGCCGTTTTCGCTCATTTCATGGTATGAAATAGTATTTGAAAGATTTCCAATTCATTCTCATCCGTACTGCAGCTTCAGCTAACTGCCCGGAAAAAACCTACACAGATGGCAAATACCGAAGCGTATGAAATTTCTGACTGGAAAAGAGACATTACTCTCGCCCAAGAAGCGCACATCGACGCCTTCGCCCTTAACATGGCCTACGGCACACCACAAATGGAAAAATCGACTGCCGATGCTTTTGCTACAGCTGAGGATCTTGGCTTCCTGCTATTCCTTTCTTTCGACTACGCCGGCAACGGGTCCTGGCCACAAGATCAAATTGTGAATTATGTCCAAAAATATGCCCCCAGCTCGGCTTATTATACCTACAAGGGAAAGACTTTTGTTTCAACGTTCGAAGGCCCCGAAAGCGCGGAAGATTGGGTGATCATCAAAAACAAAACAAATTGCTTTTTCGTTCCTGATTGGTCGTCTATCGACCCTAATTCTGCTCTCCAGCTCGGTGGAGGAGTGGTTGATGGGTTGTTTTCGTGGGCAGCTTGGCCAACAAACAGTCAGCAGATGACCACCTACGTGGATGCGTCGTATCTTGATGCTCTCAATAAAGCAGAAAAACCATACATGATGCCGGCATCTCCCTGGTTCTACACAAACATGCCAGGGTACAAGAAGAACTGGGCAGTGCAGGGGGATGACCTTTGGTACAGCCGATGGGTGGAGATTGCATTCCTCCAGCCTGAGTGGGTGGAAGTAATTTCCTGGAACGATTACGGCGAGTCGCATTATATCGGACCCCTTAACGACAAGGGCTACGGTGTTTTTACCTCAGGAAAGGCACCATTCAACTACGCACGAGGCATGCCACACGACGGTTGGCGGCTGCACCTTCCTTTCGTCATTGATATGTACAGAACAGGAACGGCATCTATGACAGAAGAAAGTCTGGTCGCGTGGTACCGAACGGAAACGGGCCGTTCCTGCTCCGTCGGGAACACCACCGGCTTTATATATTCCGGACTGGGAATCGACATCGATACTGAGACAGAGACGGGCGAGACTGATAACAATGACTGGATTGAGGATAAAATCTTTTTCTCCGCTCTTCTCGCTTCAAATGCGTCGGTTTCAATAAGCATTGATGGAAAGGAGTACGACGCGCAATGGGAATATGAGCCCTATGGCGGCATTGGGATCTACCACGGAAGTTTTGGTCTTGAAGCTGACCACCTCGGGGAAATTACTATCAACGTTTTGCGCGACGATCAAAAAAGTGTCAGTCTCGATGGCCGATCTCTCACAGCGAGCTGCACTAAAGGTTATATGAATTTGAATGCGTGGGTTGGAAGTGCTACCTCGGGAAGCACGATGCCTGCGGCCTCACCAACGGTGGCTCTTTCCGAACAAGTCTGCACCAGTGGATCCGGAACATCAAACTTCACAGAGCTCTGCCAATTTACCTGCAAGTACGGATACTGCCCTATGGATACCTGCTACTGTAATGCTATGGGTGTGGCAAGGAAGAAACCAGCACCGACAAAAGATGAAGGACACCCTAAAGACGGGATCCAAAGCTATACGGGGCTTTGCTCATTTGCATGTTATTATGGATTTTGTCCAACGGATTTCTGTTATGGTACTAGGACTGGGTCTTCATCGTCATGTAAAGGCTCCGGGTGCAAGCATGCTAATGAAGGGTCGAGGAAGTCTATCGTTTTGGCTTTGATTCTTCCGCTACTGTCCTTCAGCTTTCTTACGAACTATTTCTTGACTCACTAATGACCCATAGGAAGGAAATACGGCGCTATTAGGTTGGCGTATATCATGGATAAATATAGGTAATACAAGAGCATCCCAAGGTCCAACCTTGGAGGTATCAATGTTTATCAGTGCACAGAGAAATAAATTAAATATTACCCGTAACCTAACATTATGCTCTTTGAATGTTGGATTTGAATATATGCACAGACTGTACACATGTGTAATGTAATTAACATCGCCTAAGCACTTGAGAGCTGAAGTCAGATGTACATGTGATATTTAATATGCACATGTGTATAGTATTGATGTGTTCAATGATATCTATTGATCATCAATAATTCATATATGTGTATTCGAACTCCTTGAACATTGAAAATTATGAATCTAGCAAGCAGTATGCTTGAAGCTGAGCAGACATCATGCTGAGCTATTGATCAATTGATTTTCATAACCGTGGAATTCCTTCGGGTCTGAACCCTAGGACAGCATTTTTGGAATAGATGTAATCCATGTCAAAATAATTTTATTCATGGTGGTATCTAAGAAGCTCCGTGATATAAAATACCAGGATCAAAGGAAGGGGGTATGTGCAACATTGTATGAGACTAGCTCGATAATCATGAACAGTATAAACAGAAAAAAACCGGTCATAAGGTGCAGAAGAGCCAGCTGTTCGGCAGTGATATCATAAAAAAAAAAATAACAGCGTCAGAGTCTCTCAAAGAGACCTCGCTAGAAATGCAGCACATCATAATTGGTCGGTGTGTGCTCGATTGAACGAATATCCTGCAGGAGGACCATTTCGGTTCATTGTGGATGGCGAAGCCGTGTTCGCCCGCGTAAATGGCTGGTAGCCTGTGGGCGGAGGCACACGAGGCATGCGAGGCTGGGGTGTTTGTGAGGTTCCCGAGGGGTTGAACGCGGTGTATCCAGTGCTTTGCGACCCGGCATTCCCAGAGCTCACGGGGGTAAGAGTTCTTGGGGGTTGGCGCATCGACTGATCTACGGGCTGCGGAGTAGGTGCGGTCCGGGTAGCTGGTGTAATAGAGCGCAGCGGCGGGGCATAGCCTTGGGGTTGGTGTGTTGCAGATGCGTTAGCTGGAGTATATGACCTATACCCCTCCTGAGACTGGGTCCCTGCGGTGGCGGGGGTGAAGGATCTGTCTTGATATCCACCTTGTGGGTGAGGCGTACGGGTTCCTGTGCTTGCGGGGGTATATGATCTACCTTGCGCTACATCTTGAAGGTAAGGTGCAGCTGTCGCGTTGTTTGGACTGTAGGACTGGTATCCGTCCTGAGGTTGGGCTGTCGTAGTGCTCGCCGGGGTGTATGATCTCGCTTGGTAGGGATCCTCTGGACGGTACGATCCACCTGCACTTGCCGGGGTGTATGATCTACTCTGGTAAGGATCCTGAGGATGGGAGTCTGCCAAAGCAGAGGCCGGCGTATACGATCTTGCTTGATATCCCTCTTGGGACGGATGGCCCTGCTGGGTAAAGTTGTTTCTATGATCCATATTTGTTCCATAGGTATCAAACTCGTCCTCCTCATACACATCTCCAGACGCTCCGTATCGATCATAATGACCATCAAATCCAGAATGATCGTAATGGTGGGTTGCTTCAGAATGGTCGAAATAATCATCAGTAGTATCGAGATGTGGAGCTGATTTGGCATATGGATCAGCGGCCGGAGTAAATGTCCGAGATGGCTGTATTCCGGAGGTTGTCAAATCATGGTATTCAGATGATTGGTAGTAATGATCGTCTTCATGTGCGTATGAAGACCCAGTAGCAGTGTGTGGCTGAGCTGAGCCCATCCGTGATGGAACATTCGCTGGCAAAGGTGGAACAGGAGGCAATGAAGAGGCTTGGTGATCAAGTGGGCTATATCCCATTGGAGCCGCATTGGTGGTCAATGGCGCCGAGTCCGCCGAAATAGCTGATGACTTGGTCATAGTTCGAGATAATGGCGGTTTGCTGTCGAGCTCGAGATTCGGCAGTGTCGGCATTCGCTCCGTTCGAGTCGAGTTCGACCGTGTATACGGTGGTAAAGTTGTCTCGGTGGTGCTACGCGACAAGGTTGTCACAGCAGGAGTCTTATCCATGTCAATTGAAGGTAGTGTGGGTTTCGACTCCGAGGTCGCCAGGCCAGGTCGGGTTGGCTGACGGTCTTGTAATTGTAGACCTTTCGCCAGGGCTTTGTCAACCTTCTTCCGCACAATTCTTTTAAGTCGTGTGCTAATTTTCCGTCGGCAATACGCTTTGAGGGACCCGTCTTCGGCTGGGATATGGTGGAACAAAAAGATTAAGTAAAGAATAACGGCAGAAGCAAGCTTCAAAACCGACAGTACCCAAATAACCAATGTAAAAAGCATACCAAACAAGACCACTGCTTGAAGGTTGTTGTCTTCGGCGAGGATTTTAATATTATTAAAAAACTGGACGATTGAAGAGGCGTCGCCGTCGCTTGTTGTGTTCTTTCCTCCTGGGATAAGGTCGGCCTTCATGACGGAGTACAGGGTGATTGCATTGATAACCTGGCGAGGTCCATCCGCAAAAACGGTGTTCATCCAGAACTGGAAAGAGAAGTATGTATAGAGGGCGACATACTCGGCTCCCTTTTTACTCTTTGTCAGCTCCGCAAAGACGAGGAACCTTTTGTATCCACGGCCCTTCTTCTCAAGCACACGGAAACTTTGAATGCGCACGGCAAGGGGATCCAAGTAGCTTCGAGGAATACTTCCGGAGCGCATGGCACGAATAGCGAATATCCAGCGGTAAAGCAGAAGAGCTAGCGACACGAGAATACAGACGCCGAAGATCCACCGAGAGATTTTGAATGGGATAGCGGGTTCAACGCGGCCAGACCAACGGGAAAATGCAAGCAAATTGATAGCAGTAAAGATGTCGACACCGTATACTGCCACTGAGACTATAAGCATTATCCATAGGAAGATATATGAGAAGGATGTCCAGCATGAACTGGATTTGAAGTCGTCCAGGTTCTAAAGTCCCGGTCAGTACGGAGAATTCTCGCGAAACCAAAAGAAAAAAGAAAAAAGGAAATCCCTTTCAAGCAAACATACAACGTAGTCCCATTTTTCCTCCAGCGGATTATCTCCCTTTTCGCGATCTCCAGAGCAACCCATTATGCTTGTGGAACTGGACCGGCCAGGAAGCGATCGAAAAGGCAGTTGTATTGAAACGACTGTGGAGAAAACACCAGGTAGGTAGGTAGACTTCGTCGGGCCAGCCGGGCGAAGTCGCGATCGAAATGTCGGGTCGAAAGTAGATCGAAACGAGAGACAGGTACACAACGAGTGTAAAAAGGGAGCGGACAAGAGTGTCTTAACCGCGTGAAAGGCGCATGTCTGAAAGAGGCTAGGAGATGCAGGCTGGGATTGCCACGGGCTAGGAAATGGCAAGACGATGGTGTTTCAGAATGGCATTCACTCCAGCCCTAGTGATGAGCACGGGGCATTGATCGCCAGGTGGAATTTTGTCGATTCGCTTTGTGATGGTGCCAAGAAAGGGGGGATGTGGATTAGGATCAGCCGTCGATCGGATTGCGGAGAAAGAATGCGCGCGTAAAGAGCGGCTGGAATGAATGACTGAGCAGACTCGAACAAAGCAAGACAGAAGAATGAGCGAAAGAGAAAGAATTAGAACGAGAAAGAGAGAGGGATTGAAAGGGGGGGGGGGGAAGATTGAAAAGATGAAACAAATGCTAAGAGGGTTCAGCGGGTGGAGCTAAGGCCTAACGGGAACCTTTCCTTTCACTTAATCTCCAAGGCTGACACGGGAAACAATACAAAAGCCTCTTCTCTCCTTTTCATTCTATAATTAACATGTCAATTATTGCCATTTGCTGAAACTTGAGCTGCAGCTTCAACCAGCTCGGATTTGAACTCAAATTGTCATTGGCTCTATATACTTGCGCTGTTTCCTTACATAGTACAAATCTACCCTGCGGGTTCCACTTTTGCTAAGAGAATAATATGGGGCCGAACGCTCGGCGCACTCTGTCAACCATTTACTGGAGAAAAGTCCCTGCCTTTTTAGCGCCCGAAAATCGGCCGAACCGCCCATAGTCATGCACGATAGGCGCCCAAGCTAAACCAGGACTTGGTATCTCACAATTCAATCTTTTCTCTCCATCTACCCCTTCAAAGTCACGGAAAAAAAGTGAAGAACACTGGGTTCTCATGTCTAAGGGGTTAATATTTATACTTCTGCCGCGGCCCACAGCCTAAAGAGCTCAAGTGCTCCCGAGGTCGCTTCTACTAGTTTCTTGGTGGCTGACATGGCTAATGAGCGATATATTAGCCGACATTGACAACATTGACAATACTGGTTGCTTAGTAACCCCCCTTTTTTTAACCACTGGAATGTACATAATTCGCATGCGTTTTCATGACACATTTGTATATAACCAGTGGTCATTAGTTGATCCATAATTATGAGATTCAATCTGACGAAGACTGATTTTGATGGACATCCTTCAAGTGCACAGAAATTGACCTATCAGGGGTTAGTACTAGTAAGGACTAGTCAATATGTATGAGATTGGCTATCTCGAGTTTCTATGTAGGGTCTACCCCGGTACACGTTATTGACAGTTCTATTATCCAACATTGGAAGACTTTCGAGCACTTGAGGCTATAGCTTGTCCGTAAATTTCACTCTTCTCTGCTCATTCTCATCCGTCTTTTACGCAGAGACGGTGACGTCAATTAGTATGCGGGGTGAGCTTTGCATTTATAAGCTGGTGGAGCACCGATCTCTTCCTGCAGGGAAGTTAGACAACCCAATGCGTTGTCTTCTCGTGTCTGAAAGCTGATTCTTCTTTATTCATTCAAAACATTTAGTGGCATCTTTAACACTCACAAAAATGGCGCAATCAGCTCTTCCCGATATCGTGAACAAGCCCGCCGATGGCATCTCCTACTTCACCCCCGCCCAAGTCCCACCCGCGGGATCCGCAGCGATTCCCCAGTCTGATGGGGCACAGCCACCAAAGCTCTTCCAGCCTTTCAAAGTGCGGGGCGTCACTTTTCACAATCGCATCGGAGTAAGCTTATTTCCCTCTTCCACGTCAATGAGGACTCCATTCTAACCACAAAAGCCACAATAGCTTTCCCCTCTATGCCAATACAGTGCCGACGATGGCCATATGACAGACTGGCACATGGCCCACCTGGGTGGAATCGCCCAACGTGGTCCCGGCTTCCTGATGGTCGAAGCAACCGCAGTACAACCTGAGGGCCGCATCACCCCGCAAGACCACGGTCTCTGGAAGGACTCGCAGATCGAGCCCCTCCGCCGCGTGGTGGAGTTTGTGCACAGCCAGAATCAGATCATCGGTCTCCAGGTCGCCCACGCAGGACGTAAGGCGAGTACCGTTGCTCCCTGGTTAAGTGCGGCAGATACAGCCTCAGAGGCAGTGGGTGGGTGGCCGAACAATGTAATCGGCCCAAGTGATGCTCCCTTCCGCGACGAGTTCCCCACGCCCCAGGCAATGACCAAGGCCGGCATTGAGCAATTCAAGAAGGACTGGGTGTCTGCTGTCAAGCGAGCGGTGAAAGCTGGAGTAGACTTTGTCGAGATCCACAATGCCCACGGCTATCTACTTATGAGCTTTGTTTCACCGGCCGTGAATCACCGTACCGATGAGTATGGTGGTAGCTTTGAGAACCGTATTAGGTTGACATTGGAAATCGCGCAGTTGACTCGAGATAATGTTCCCGAGGATATGCCTGTCTTCCTGCGTATCTCGGCCACGGATTGGTTGGAAGAATCTTTGCCTAACGAGCCGAGTTGGCGTGTGGAAGATACCGTTCGTCTGGCTGTGGCTTTGGCAGAAAGTGGCAATGTTGATGTGTTGGATATCAGCAGTGGGGGCAACCACAGCAAGCAGCATATTCATGCCAAGGCAGCTTTCCAGGCGCCTTTTGCCATCAAGGTGAAGGAAGCTGTTGGTAATAAGCTTATGGTTGGCTCGGTCGGTATGATAGACTCGGGTCACCTGGCAAACAGTCTTTTGGAGAGCGATGGGCTGGACTTCGTCCTCATTGGTCGAGGATTTCAAAAGAACCCGAGCCTGGTTTGGACATGGGCTGAAGAGCTGGATGTTGAGATCTCCATGGCTCACCAGATCCGCTGGGGCTTCGCCAGTCGTGGTGGTGGCGCTTATTTGAACAAGCGCAGTCGTTCATAAGACATCTGGAAGCTTCGTAGCTACTAGATCACTGCCTAGTATACGTATGTATTTAGGTGTATAGATCAGTCAACCAAGAAGGATCATAGATTTGCGCAGAATTGACATGGATTCGAGATTTACACATACTATTTTTACTGTTGTCGATACACTGTGATCAGCACGTGCGGTTTTCAACCTTGGAACATTTGAACATTTGAAGGTCAACTACTACATGTACATGTAAACATTGATTCCAGTATTGTAAAAAGTTGAGTGGCTGCCCATGTGGTAGATATCCAGTTCATTGTTACTATCCGGTACATATTATGCTGCATTTATAGGCCTCGCTCACCTATAATTCATGCGGGCCCGACTTCATCACACGCGTCCACTTAAAACAGATATCAACACACCAGATTCAAAAAGCAGCCAACCTTGGAAGTTTCCAATTGTCACATACTTGATGGTAAAGTGGGCAAGATCGAAGGCTACTGGTTGGTCAACATTCAACCCAAAGGTCCTAAACGCTTTGATGTTTCACGTCTGTGGGGAGGGCTCCACTCGCTGACTAAGGACATGCATGATGACATAGCTGCGGGGAGATCGAACCAAGGTTGACCTTGGATGTTTTGCTCTCAGTTGTTAGCCTCAATTCCAACGTTTCGTCGACCTGGTCGACATAACTTAAGGATTCAAAGATGGAAGAAGATCGAGAGCAAGGGTATGAATCGGAGCAAGCCCAGATTCCGACTCCTGCACCGTATGAGAATGAGTTGATATCAGATTCAGGCCTGGTTCAAGGTATGATCCAGCGCAAAGAAGAAATGCATATAGTATGAATACCTTGGAACCAGGATACTGATGAATGACTTAGCCGATGGACGTGTTCATATTAACCTCGACTCAACGGTCGCAAGAGCTATCGCAGAGAGCATCAATTATCAGCAAGAGAACCGTCGTGAATCCAGCGATTATAACGCGAGAGTTGCGCGGTCGCTACCATTCGACTTAAAGCTTAATATTGTCATCCAGATTGTGGGAAGTCGCGGAGATGTGCAGCCATTTGTCGCGCTGGGATGCGCGCTGCAGAGACATGGACATCGGATTCGTATCGCAACTCACGGTGTCTTTGCCGATTTTATTCACAGTTCAGGCCTGGAATTCTTCCCAATCGGTGGAAATCCAGCAGACCTGATGGCATACATGGTCAAGAACCCTGGTCTTCTTCCTCAAATGCAGACCTTACGTGAAGGTGAAATTTGCAAAAAGAAAATCATGATTGGAGAAATGCTGGAAGGATGTTGGAGATCCTGTATTGAGAATGATCCATACACTCAGGAACCATTCGTGGCGGATGCTATCATCGCAAATCCACCCAGCTTTGCCCATGTTCATTGTGCTCAGGCCCTGAGTATTCCTGTTCACTTGATGTTCACGATGCCCTGGAGCAGTACCAAGTCTTTCCCACATCCCCTGTCGAGCCTGACTGCAGACCCAGAGCATAAAGGGCTGGATTGTTGGGTATCTTATGGAGTTGTGGAATGGCTGACATGGCAAGGGTGAGCTCCTCTTCGTGGCTCTTCAAAATTGTAGATACTTTGCTCACTCTTTGATCCCACAGATTAGCAGATGTCATCAACAAATGGCGGGCTTCAATAGATCTCGGTCCGATCCCAACAACAGAAGGCCCAGGTCTACATGAAGGGCTTAAGATCCCCTTCACTTACTGTTGGTCACCTGCTCTGGTACCAAAGCCACGAGACTGGCCAGCTTATGTTGGTATGTATGGGTATGCTGCCATCTCTCAGGGGATACTAACTGTTTCCTAGATGTGTGTGGGTTCTTCTTCCGAGATCCCCCAGAATATGACCCATCCCCGGAGCTACAGGAATTTCTGCTGTTAGGAAGTCCACCAGTATACATTGGCTTCGGCAGTATCGTTGTTGATGACCCTCAAAAGCTTATAGGCACTGTTCTGGAAGCAGTCAGAGCCAGTGGCGCGCGAGCTGTCATTTCCAAAGGCTGGAGCAATATGGATGGAGGACAAGACGAAAACATTTTCTATATCGGTGATTGTCCGCATGAATGGCTCTTCCAGCATGTAGCTGCCGTGGTGCATCACGGTGGAGCCGGTACCACGGCATGTGGTTTGATAAACGGAAAGCCGACAGCTATCGTACCGTTCTTTGGAGAGTATGAAACCTTGCTCGATAAACTATTCAACCTACTTGTTGCTTCCATGCTAACTCAACAAATTACAGTCAGCCATTCTGGGGTGATATGGTGGCAAATGCCGGTGCAGGCCCAAGGCCCATTCCTCATGAGTCTCTGACCGTTCACAATCTTGCAAAAGCCATCAAATTCTGTCTGACCCCGGAAGCCACAACCGCTGCTCAGGCTCTCGCCGCTAAGATGCAAGCGGAGCGTGGTGTCGATGAAGCTGTCAAATCATTTCATCGCAATCTCCCCCTCGACCGAATGCGTTGCATGATAATCCCAGATCAAGTTGCGGTTTGGAAATACCAAAAGGGCAAGAGGAGCTTGAATTTGTCCAAACTGGCTGTGCAAACATTAATCGAGTACTCGAGGATAGAAACTGAGAGTCTGGATTGGTATGTATTACCTCTACCCTTTATTACAAGCATCAAATGTGTGAAACATTGCTGATTTTTTCAAGTCATGATATAAACCCAATCACCATCGAAAATCGACGCTGGGATCCATTAACGGGTGTCATATCCGCAGGCATATCTACAGGAACTCGAATGCTGAAAACAAGCACCGGCATGATTTACGAACCTTTCAAAGAACTTACCCGTGCTAAATCATCGCCTGCATCTGAACAAAAACGATCCGCATCTGTATCAACCGACAATATCTCATCACTACGTTCTCGATCTACAACAACTCAGCCAAACAGCGATCGTGCTAGAAGTCCCAGAAGTCCATTCACAACAGCGGGAGACATGGCAGGCGCGTCACTAGATAGTTTTGGAAAATTTACAGCAGGCTATTTCAAGGGTGTTCTAGTCGATATCCCCACCGCAGCAGCCGATGGCTTCCGACATGTATCACAGGTATACGGCGATAAGCCCAAAGACTACGGTACCGTCACAGATTGGAGATCTGGTGCCAAGGTGGGCGGTAAGAATTTTGTCGGTGGGCTGAAAGAAGGCATCACAGGTCTTGTTAGGCATCCCTGGAAAGGATATCAAGAGGGTGGTCGAGAGGGCGCGTGGAAGGGACTAGCAAAGGGTGCTATTGGGCTCGCCACGAAAGGGCCATCTGGTAAGTGTTTGTTGATTGGAAAATTGTGAGATATGAATGTTGTCGCTGATAATGAATTATGTCACAGCTGGAATCGGGCTGTGGGCCTATCCTTCTCAAGGTGTTGCCAGGAGTATTGAAGCGAAATTCCGGGCAAAGACTCGCAAGGCGATTGTCGTTGCTCGACTGATGGATGGCTATGGTCAGACTATCGAGATGCAAGTGTCAGAGGAGATGAAAGAGGAAATAGTTCGAGAATTCGATAGGCTCATGGGACTAAACTGATGCATCAGTCCCTTTGAAGACATTCAAATCCGATCCATAAATCACTTTGACTTAGCGTACCATTCATGCTCATAATCACCATCATGGCTATACTACTTCGTATTCAGCCTTGAAATGTTATTTATCCTTTTGGTTATATTTTTAGTACTGCGCAAAGTTTGCTCTATGCACATTTGTGCCAGCTCGCGTGTTCAGGCAGCAGGAATCAATTGATGAGATGATTCGTTGGTCATATCAGTAGTAGGCTTAGACTGTCAGTTACAATAGTCCCAGAACGTCATCGGAGAGACCGTAACTAACCAACTAACTACTAGTTAGTTAAATGGTGGGCGGAGTAAGCAGCTGCTGTCGATGTGCTTGCCGCTTTAGTAAGTGGGGTGACTTGCATGCCGTGGATCAATATTGGCCCGAATCTCCAAACGTAATCTCTAAGTGAGATTTGGCCTTTCAATATTCTAGAAAATAGCAATGGTCACATAAGTTTTGGCTTATGAGGCTCAAGTTAGTAACTGATTCGGGCGTGCTGCCTTGTTTCATGGGCAGGGCACTCTCCTCGATTCCCTGCAATTTTTGGCAATCGCACGCGATCAATTCACTCTGGTTTTACTTCAATGTCGTCACTCGTCAGACATCACGCGAATACCTAGATCAAATGATGTGCATTGTGAATTCGTGGCATGGGTCAAATGAATAAGTACTTTGTACAAGTGTAGCCCATGAGTCGGATCCACCTTATTATTCCCGGGCGCATAAATTGCCGTCAGTAATGGAGTCACAATGATTCGCGCAAGGGGGTTGAGGGTGGCCCAATACGGTATTGGATTCGTTGGTCGATCTCGCGCGTGAAGACGTAAAGACGTGGAGACGTGGAGACGTGGAGACATGAAGAGTGGAGTCCAAGTGCAACTGGTAGCCTAATTTGGAAGTGATTGCGAGTTCGGCATTCACGCAAACCCGCTCCGATCCCGTTAAACATGAAATGCCACATGTGCACCTTCCACCTTAAACAAATCTTCATAAATTCCACAACTCCCAACTGCTTCAATCTTATCGCTTAACAATTTCGAAAAGTCTCATTTATATTACATCTCATCAGCCTTCTTAACCTTATCAAATCCGGAGTTCACATATTAGATCGTATTCCTTGCAAGCGACTATCCGATTGAACGCTTCCTATAGGCCATCCAGAACACCGATCGTGCATTAAAGGCCCACACTGGAATCCCAAAAACGACCCATTTCAGGCCAGCCATCATCATGGGTCGCTTGAACGACGGTTTCAATATTCTTTACTTCGGCGTGGCAGCCGGGGTATACCTCAAGCCTGACTACGCCATCAAAAACTCCAGATTTGTCACGATTGCCATTTTCTTCACAATCATCACGGTATCGAAGCTCATCTATCAACTCTTTCTTTACCCTCTCTTCTTCACACCTTTAAAACAAATACCAACGCCCTCAGTGAGTTTGTGGCTACCTCTGCGACAGCAGGATCTTATTTTCTGACTTTTTTCTAGAACCGACACTGGTTCAAAGGAAATACTAACTCCGGCCTAATTGACACACCCCATGACTTGATCAAAGAGTGGACCTCTAGCATTCCAAATGATGGACTCATCCGCTACTATATCGTTGGACAGCTCGAGCGGCTTGTCTTAACGAACCCCAAAGCCTTGAGCGAAGTCCTTAATTCTAAAGTCTATGATTTTGCTAAGCCCACGGTGGCGCAACAAAACCTTCGCCGCGTTGTGGGAGATGGTGTCCTACTTGCTGAGGGTGATGAACACAAAGTAAGCTAGAACGACTAATGCGGTCCTGATGCGATCTTGAAATAACCTTTCTTTAGTTCCAAAGAAAAAATCTAATGCCCGCATTTTCTTACCGCCATATCAAGGATCTTTACCCCATCTTCTGGAGTAAGAGTGCCGAAATGGCCAAGTTGATCCGCCGTGATGTGGAATCTCGAGAATCACCCGAGGACAATACTATCACAGTCCGAACCTACGCAAGCCGCGCCACCCTCGATATCATCGGATTGGCGGGAATGGGTCATGACTTTGACTCTCTGCAAAATCCAAACAACCGTCTTTACAAATCCTACCAAAAAATCTTTACTAGCCCAAGTACTTTTGCTCGAATTCTGTTCATGGTCGGGGTAATGCTTGGCGATATGAGAATCGCGCATAGTATCCCCACCCAGCGCAACAAGACCTTTGCCGAAGGTCGCTTTGTCATCCGTGAAACTGCCCGTCAAATGCTACGCGATAAGAAAGCCGCGGTGAATGGTGAGAATAAAGATACTGGTATCGACATCATCTCGGTTGCCATGCGAAGCGGAACCTTTGAAGAAGAAAACCTCATCGATCAGTTGATGACATTCCTGGCTGCTGGGCATGAAACCACAGCAGGCGCTCTTCAATGGGCTGTTTACGCTCTGTCCAAGAATCCCGACGTCCAAGATCGTCTGCGTGAAGAAGTTCGCGCCAATCTCCCCCCTATCAATGTCGAGGATCCCGAGCCCATTGATGCTGCCGCGATCGACAACTTGCACTACCTGAATGCCGTCTGCAACGAGGTTCTTCGCTTCCATCCATCTGTCCCAAATACCGTTCGTGTGGCTGTGAAAGATACATCTCTGGTCGGACAGCCGATTCCCAAGGGCACATTTCTCGTTCTGTCGGCGGAGCTTTTGAACCACATGCCCGAGCTGTGGGGACCTGATGCGGATAAATTCAACCCAGATCGATGGATGGGCCCGGGCAAAGCGAACACTGGCGGAGCTACAAGCAACTATGCGTTTTTGAGTTTCCTTCATGGTCCGCGTGCTTGTATTGGTCAGGGATTCTCCAAGGCCGAACTAGCTTGCCTGCTCGCTGTTCTCGTTGGAAGCTTCAAATTTGAGCTGAAATACCCTGATGCCAAATTGGAGTTGAAGCTTGGTGCGACCAGCACACCAAAGGATGGTGTTCAGGCTAAGTTTACTCCGTTGGACGGATGGTAGTAAAACTCAGGCTTGGAATCATCTTCCACTACTTCTATTGTTCGCTTTTTTACCCAATACAAAATGTAAATACATACTAGGTATCTGAACCCTACCCAATTTCTCTCTTATTTGGCATTTCAGTTTCCCCTCTGGTTATCTCAGACTCCAGAGTCACATGGCGCTCGCTTGCTTGAGCTTGATAAACAAGGTTTTCTCCACATTTTACCGAATTAGGCAATGCTTGAGAGGTGTGGGCCGTGTGGCGAAAATCAACCTGACCTCGTTCGGTTCAACAGACGACCGACGGCCTAACATACTACGCAGTCCCGATTTCACGCTGTCCAATCTACCTATAACTTAAGAGATGGGACTTTCCTGATTGGAGCCCAAAACTCAACATTACATTGCGAAAATATGCCAGACTTCAATTTCAATCCGGATACGGATATCCCCGATCTTTCGGGCAAGACAATATTCATTACCGGAGGTAAGTAGAAAGCTCAGCGTCAGCCATATAATTGTGCCTCAGAAACCGCCCAGACCAACCAATCTGACAAACTTACGAACAGGAACAAACGGCCTAGGCGCCCAGTCCGCAATCCATCTATCCAAACACAATCCAGCCCACATCTACATCAGCGGCCGAAATGCACAAAGCGCCGAGAAAGTCATCTCTCAGATCCGCGACAGCGGCTCACAGACAGAAGTCACATTCGTCGAGTCTGATCTCGCATCCCTCGAGTCAGTAAAAGCAGCAGCTGAAAAATTTACATCGCAAACAACCCGCCTCGATATCCTGATTTGCAACGCCGGTATCATGGCACAACCACCCGGCCTCACGAAAGACGGCTACGAGGTGCAGTTCGGAACAAACCATCTCGGTCACGCACTCCTCATCAAGAAGTTACTCCCGCTACTCGAAAGCACATCGAATGAAGGCGGAGATGCGCGTATTATCATACTCACATCCCAGGGCCTTCTTCTCCATCCCAGCGGTGGTATCGTTTTTAGCGACCTGAAAACGGTACAAGATTGTATGTTCCTTGGCGCCTGGCGTCGGTATGGGCAGAGTAAACTTGCGAATCTGCTGTACGCGCGTGAGCTAGCGCGCAGGTACCCGGGTATATTGTCTGTGCCTGTGCATCCGGGTGTGGTTGCGACTGATCTCGTAGCGAATCAGGGTTTTCTTGATAAGGCGGTCATATATGGCACCAATGCGGGGAGACTTTTGAAGCCGGAGGAGGGTGCTTATAACCAGTGCTGGGCAGCAACTGTTGCGCGGGCGGGTATCACGAATGGGGCTTATCATGAACCAGTTGGAAAGGAAAAGGAGAGTCGCTTGGATAAGACTGCGAAGGATGATTCATTGGCGGGTCGGTTGTGGGATTGGACTGAGGAGGCGCTCAAGGCGTATTGAAGTGTTTAGAAATTCCGTTTCTTTAAGCTTGATAATATTTGAGAAGAGAGGTTGCCACATGAGATGTGTGGCAAATAAAGCAAATAAAAATACATAGTAGTACTACTAGTATGTACTACCTTTCTTTAATGTGACCGTTTACAAGCAAACCCCCCACCCAATAAACATAGTATTACTTATAACCACGCTCTATCCATCAGGTGTTGATCAAAGATAAAGCCATTGAGCACCTATCGTCCTTCTTTCCACAGCGCCTTGATGCTCTTCTTCACAGGCTTGAAAATGGCCTTGGTCTCGGCCTTGAGTGCCTTTCGCTCTTCCTTGGTCCATTCCCCATTCCGCTTGGCTTCTCTGATTTCTCGGACTTGAGTGGTGAGAACAGTGGAGGCATTCTCAACGGCACACTTAGTGCACTTCTCTTGGTCGTTGATATCGTTCAGAGCCTGTTTCAATGCACGAATAATTTCCTGCGCTTGTGGTCTTTCCAATTCCCGATCGAAACGCTCAGACTGGCTCGGGCCGTGCGTTGGACATGGTGCCCTGCTGCTTACGCTATTGAGTACTAGTTAATATTTGCTAAATAATATTGACTGAAAAAGATTTCAAAAGGTGGGTGGAAAGGACATACTGCTCATTCTCATGTTCTTCGGTCTTATTCAAGTCGGAAGACTTGATAGAGATGGAGCAAGAGGGAGGAGCTTTGGAGTCTTCGCCGCTGAATTGGGTCATCGTGGCGTTTTGGACGATGAAAGAATTAAAAGTGGAAGGAAACTTGAAATCAATCAAGTTGGTTCAAAGGTTGTAATGATATTCACTTGATTGCTTAAAGCTCGGTATCAGGCAAGATTGGCTTGCCTGCTGATTTTATATTTATTTCGCCTTCATTACAGAAAATAGACCGCATAGATATCGAAAAGGGTAACTCCGTCATCCCCGAGGATTTACCGCAGTGGGTGACTCGGACGAACAAGATGTCCGAATCAGTCCGATCGGCCTCGGGGCTTGCCCTTTCTCCACATTTCCCACTCACATAGATCTTGATGACAGTGAGATTTATGTCGCAGCCTTGGAGGCTGAAACATTTCTCGATCAGTTCTTATTCTTGACTCAGCGAATCGTTTCATTTCCCCGCAAAGAGCAACACCATGTAGGTAATCCAGGGACCAGGGTTAAGCTGATCGGGTCCACAGGCTCCGATAAGCCCATTGATGTCCAGTGGTGGAGCTTATCGAACATATGTCGATGAGATCAATTCCTCCGAACACCGAATGTCATTATACCGATGATCCACATTAAAGACAAGGCTGAATTGATCTTTCTGGAACGTGAAAAAGGACTGCAAATATTATAATGCAGCTTCTTCTGGCAACTACTATGATTTCCATGTGAGTCGCGTGACCTGACCCGCTGATGTATACGGTCATGTGACATCTTCCATTGTAATCTGTGCCTGAGGCGCAAACAACGGCTGCAAGCTGCGATGCCAGATAATAAACTCCGCTATCTTTAAGCTCTCAAATGTTACCGGTCGCAACCTTGAAGCTGCTCAACTACAGTTTTCAGCCCTTTGCATTCGACAATGTGAACTGAACTCATGTGACTACCTAGCTCACTATTCAGAGATAATCGATTTTTTTTTTGCGTCTAGCGTTTTGACCGCCCTTTCATCCAGTGCCAGCCCTTAGTCCGATTGCGCCTTAGCCCGTACGCCAGCTCTCGAGTATGCATCCTCACCTAGGGTGAACCGACCCACCACACGAAAGGAAATAATATTTCTCGCCATTAATCACAATTATCCAGTACCAACCACGATGAGTCCTGCAGCGGAGGATAGCGAGTCGCCTCCAGGTCAAGTCGGGGTCAATGGGAAGCACAAGCCGACTGAGCACGCAACACCAACGAGGGCGCAGAACGGCGCAGAGGTACACGATATGCATGGATTGGCACCTGAATTACCAGAGCAAGGTCTCGGGATTCTCCTCGAACATTCCGAGAATGATTCAAACGGAACTAGTCGAATGTCTGTTGTGAACGTTTTTGAAGGCCCGAAGATCAAAGCAGCTCTGGCCGAGCTCGCCGAAGGCGCGTCCCAGCGTCCGATCGAAGACAAGGTGCTCAAGTTGTCGCCCGAGAAGATCCAAGAGCTCACATCGTCACCGGAGTCTATACCATATCGTGCCGAGGTGCCGGAGATAAATAGTGGGAGGAGGGTATTGTCGGAGAACCTTCGTTCGTTGCAGGGTCCAGTTGACCGGCCATTGGAGAGCCGAGATGTGACTCTGCATCCACTGAGCGAGGCTCCCTCGTCCCCGGACGGCCCCCTCAAAATCCGGCGCTCTAGCAAAGATCCAAGTTCGGATGAATTGCATGACTCGGCTAACCCACGACAATTGAACAACGGTACCACTCGAAGTCGACCGCAACCATTCCGGACATTTTCCACTCCTGTATCTCAGCGACCAACGCTTTCAACACCTAACATTGAGCGACTTTCACAAACATGGGCATCTCGTTCAAAGCAAGATCGCGACTTGAAAACCCAACTTGCTGCGTCGCCTTTGATTACCGAAACGCCCTTAACCTCTCCCATTCCATCAATTCCTCTGCCTCCCGCCTCGATACCCACATACCTTCAACTTGAGCTGGCCTCCGGTCGTCCATCGCCGTTGTATATTCATGGAAATGACAATGAATTCCCCTACGAATCATCAAGTGCGAAAATAGAACGACTGATGAACTTCCTGCTCCTTCCGCCAGTGTTAGAGCAGGCCATCGGATTTGGAAGTCTCGCATGCCTGGACGCATGGCTTTACTCATTTACAATTCTACCTCTACGCTTTGTTAAAGCCTTGTACATTCTCTGCGAATCCTGGGTCATGAACTTGGCTGCGGAGGCTCGGTCCTTGTCGAAATTCGTTATCAATGGAGCTGGGCGAGTCTGGAGAAGAAGGAAATACCTGCCAAAAAGGCTTCGTGACAGACGCGAAAGCGAATCTGATGCCACTCCTCGCCTGCCTACTGGGGCAATCTCACAAGAGCCACAACGACACACAGAGCCATCAAAGCGAAGACACCGCACCTCCGAATCTCGCAGACATCACCGAAGAAAGAAGTCGATGCCCTCTGCTCTACTTCCTGATGACAAAGCCGATATCCTTACGGGCCTCCTTATGATTACAACCTGTTGTGCATTGATGTACTTCGATGCCAGTCGTATGTATCACTGGATCCGTGGACAAGCGGCGATCAAATTGTATGTGATCTATAATGTACTAGAAGTCCTCGATAAACTCTTAGCTGCGCTTGGACAGGATGTGCTCGAGTGCTTGTTTTCAAGGGAAGCTCTTGAGCGCCGGCCCAATGGGCGAAGCAAAATCTTTCGACCATTCTGGCTCTTCTTGTTGGCGTTGGTATACACAGTTGCGCATTCGATCTCACTCTTCTACCAGGTCGGTCTACCAAAAATATCTTTACATAATTCAGCCAAGCTAATTCTACTCACAGGTGATGACCCTCAATGTGGCTGTGAACTCCTACTCGAATGCACTCATTACACTTCTGTTATCCAACCAGTTTGTGGAGATAAAGTCTACTGTCTTTCGCAAATTCGAGAAAGAGAATTTATTCCAACTCACTTGCTCTGACGTTGTTGAGCGATTTCAGCTTTGGCTGATGCTGACCATCATTGCATCGCGCAACATTGTGGAAACGGGCGCTTTCAACTTCATTGGCCTTGGTCTAGCTCCCAGCTTCTCCGGAAAGTCCACAAGCACGAATAGCACACCATTATCTACTCCTCCTCGGACTGCTTCATCGATCCTACCTCAGTCGTTCACATTCTTCCCATCATCCATTTTGTCCCTTAGTCATGTGAACTCTTTTATTCCGACCCTCGCTCAGGTCTTGGGTCCCTTCCTCATCGTCTTGGGATCTGAGATGTTTGTTGACTGGCTGAAACATGCCTACATCAGCAAGTTTAACAACTATCGACCTGCATTATATAATCGATTTTTAGATGTGCTCGCGAAAGATTACTACACGAATGCTTTCGCAGGCGGCGACCACAACATTACTCGCCGCCTCGGACTGCCCGTGATACCTCTCTCCTGCATTTTCTTCCGCGTTTCCGTTCAGACTTATCAGATGTTCCTGGCTTCTCTGCTTCCCCACTATCCATCTTCTACCTCTGTGGTTTCAAGTTTATCCACGATCCAGAATCGCCACACAGCCGTCCCTCTCCCATCCGCCCCACCGCTCAGCTTCGCAACAATTCTACCCAACGTCAACATCCTTTTCCGCAAGGTCTTGGAGAATGCGATTCCTTCGCCTGCTCAATCTGTTCAAATCTTCACTGTTGTCCTTCTTCTCACGACTTTCATCGTGCTCTTGATCTTCAAACTTATTCTAGGCATGGGCTTGCTCGCCTTCGCCCGCTCCCGTTATAGGAAGATGAAAGGCATGGAATCCGAGCAACGCAAATCATCCCGTGTCTCTGCACACCCGCATTCCCAACAGGACAACTCCAGCGATGCTGCACCCGCACCCCGGAAAGATGACTTCACTGTTGAGGGAGGTCGTCGTTCTGGGGTTTGGGGGATGGTTGAAGTCGGTGACGACAAACGAAAACTGATTTATGGTGACGACATGGAGGGACTCAGGCGGGTGAAGGAGAAAGAGGACAAGGATAAAAACAAGGACAAGGACTTGAAGATTGATCATGTCCAGAGATATGAAATGGTTGCCAAGAAGATCTGGTAATGTAATATTTTGTGCTGTACAGGGGGTATGTTTAGGAACCTTGGAATCACTTGCATATAGTATGTACGAGCTTGGGATCTGTGAGATCGATGGTGTTAATTAGGTACATATAGACAGGCTGAGAACCTGGCATGCGTGCCTAGTTGATAGCCTGATACTCTCCACATGTATCCTAAATATCGTATAATGGGATGGCATCTGGAGTCTAGTCTCCTTATATGTAACACCAAGTATTTGCCAAACAGGGAGCCCCTGTTAATTGGACATCTGGAAAGGCCTTCGATCTTTGCCGGGAAATTATGCAGAATAGGACAGTGAAGACACCCTTCTTTATCTCACCATTACGACTCAACATTTTGAACGCAGATTTCATCGACTATACTGTACCTATCGCGCGATTGGATGGTTGCGACCACCTGGACACTGATAGCTACCCCGCAGCAGCTGGAGGGAAAACTCCAATTGGATTATATGTTCGGCCGTGAGGGGTCACGATAGCGTCAGATGACTTCAGCCAAGGGAGCAGGCTTGGTCTGTTCATTGGAACGTTCCGAGTATTGACTTGAAATTCAACGATATTATCAAGTGCCAAGTATGGAGAGTGTCACCAGCCACAAATACCGCATTGGAGTTGATGTGGGAGGTATGTTGTGCACTTGTCTTGAAGAAACCAATCCACCATGATAGAAGCCTAATTTGACAGTTTGCAACCGCAGGAACAAACACCGATGCTGTTCTCATCTCGCTCGATCCCATCTCCGTGCTTGCTTCTCACAAAGCACCAACAACACCGGATGTTACGACCGGCATTACCAATGCCGTCCGCGCAGTAATCGACGAAGCAAACATATCGCTATCATCCATTGGATGTGTGATCATTGGCACAACTCACTTCGTGAACGCTGTTGTTCAGCGCGCACCATCATTGCGACGTGTTGCAGTCATCAGGCTATGTGGTGGTGCCGAGGAGGGGTTCGGTCGTGGGATCCCTCCGTTCATCGATTTCCCTTCAGATCTTCGAGCCTCTATCCAGTCGCCTCATATTTACTTTTGCAACGGGGGCTATCAGATCTCTGGAATTGAAATCAGTCCCTTGGAAGAAGCGGAGATAGAACGCATAGCTATCGAGCTGGTCAGCAACAACACATCTAATGTTGTCATTTCGGGCATGTATGGTCCGTTAAACAACTCACAGGAGATACGGGCAGGTGAGATATTGGTGGCGACTATGGCCAAGCATGGACCATTGAGTTTGAAGCCAAGAGTCACGCTATCGCACAAGGTTTCCGGTCTTGGATTCCTCGCGCGAGAGAATGCGGCGATCCTGAATGCAACTTTGCGACCATTGGCGGAGAAGACCATCTACGGGTTTCAGAGAGCAATGAAAGATATTTTTCAAGGGAATAATTACACGCTTTACTTGACTCAAAATGATGGAAGTGTCTTGTGTGCATCCGAAGCAGTCGAGCTACCAATTCGAACTTTCAATTCTGGTCCAACGAATTCGATCCGTGGCGGCGAGCTCCTTTGGAGAGCCGCATCTGAAGCTGATGGAGCGAAAAAGGAGGATCGAACCGACCCTCTTGTCGTTATTGATATCGGTGGAACAACATCTGATAGCGGACTATTGCTTCCGAACGGGCTACCACGCATGAGCTCTGTCATGAGTCTAGTTGGCGGTGTCCGTACAAATTTTGCTCTTCCTGCAGTGGAAAGTATTGGTCTTGGGGGTGGCTCCATCATTCGCGGCGTGGAAAATGGAGAACTTACTGTTGGTCCTGAGAGTGTGGCTCTAGAACTTCTTCAAAAAGCAAAGCTCTTTGGAGGAGAATATCTTACGTCCACCGATATTGTCGCCGCCTCAGAGATACACTGCCCAACAGGAAATAACCCATTTGAAGGCATGGGTCAAGCCGAGCGGCTTGTGGACGTCACTGCAGAGGTAGTGAAAAAAGCTCAAATTGCGATGAGAAAAAAGATCGAAGAGATCGTCGATAGAACCAAGATCCAAAAAGGTGACGTCGATGTCTTGATTGTGGGTGGAGGTGCGCCCATTATTCGGACTGATGAGTCATTGGCTGGGGTCCGCATGGTTCGAAAAGTCAAAGGCGGCGAGGTAGCTAATGCCGTTGGCGCTGCTATCTCACGGGTCTCGGGTGTCATTGATACTGTCGTTGACACTTCGAACCAGACTATCAAGGAGGCCCAGGATGCTGTTGTCAAAATTGCCATTCAGAAAGCTATTGAGAATGGAGCAAGAACAGAGACTATCCAGGTTGCCGAAATCACCATGTTGCCCATCCAATATGTGGATGCTAAAGCACGCATTGTCGCCCGAGCGGTTGGGGAGTTGGATGTCATTTCTCAAACAGAATCATCAAAACCGTTGATTGATATCGCAAGCATGGAAGGGGACTCGCAGGAAATTGGTGTCAAGAGCACCGATCAGGAGTGCCCAGAAGAGAGAGTGGACATTGAATCCTACCTTCCCGAGATCAAAGATGGCCAATGGATAATTTCTTCGACTGATCTATTATTCATCGCCCAGGGATGTAAGATTCTTGGATGTGGCGGCGGTGGTGATCCCTACCAGGAATACCTCAAAGCCAGGGCTATAATTTCTCGTCATCCTGGAACAGTCAAAGTTGTTTCAGTCGATTATCTCCCTGACGAATCGTTGGTCGGCTGGACAGGATGCATGGGAAGTCCTGAGGTCAGCATGGAGCGATTGGAGAACGATGAATGCTTAAAGGCACAAGAAGAGCTCATGCGGGTAACTAGAAGCCCGCCAGTTTCCGGATTTCTAGCATTGGAAATTGGTGGTGGCAACGGGGTCCTTAACTTGGGTGTCGCGGCCCATTTTGGTGTTCCTTGTCTAGATGCAGATTACATGGGACGAGCATATCCCACATTCTGGCAAGTCACGCCTAACGTCTACGGTTCCCCTAGTGGTGACGCTCTGGTCCCAGCCACCATTGCCAGTGGAGATGGAACATTTATCACAATGACGAAGTCACGTACAGATAGATTGGTTGACAAGGCGCTGCGGGCCGCCTGTGTCGAAATGGGATGTCGTGCTGGAAAGGCTGGGCCACCAAAGACAGCAGCTATAGTAAGGAAGCAAGCGATTGCTGGTACTGTGTCCCTTGCCTGGTGGATTGGGCGAGCTGTTGCTCTGGAAAAGACTATCAACGAGAAGGCACAGGCTATTGTGGATGCAGTTGGCGGCTCCAAAAGTGCGGCAATACTTGGCCATGGCAAAATTATGAGTGTTGAGAGGGTTCTAAAGACCGGGCATACTTATGGTGTTTTGAACGTGGATGGAGCTTCAAGTGATGGAACGAAGGCTACCCTTAGGATCCCATTCAAGAATGAAAATGCCTTTGTAGAGGCAGTTTCTAATGGCCAATCGAAGATATTGGCATCGGTACCGGATCTCATTGCTGTTATCGACGCCGAGACCGGTGCAGGTCTCGGGACCCCGGAATATAAGTACGGGTTGAAAGTTATCATTGTTGCGATTACTGCTTCGCCTCGCTGGACAGACACCGAGAGGGGTATGGAGCTGGGGGGACCGGGATCAATGGGCTTTGATGATATTAAGTATGTCCCTATTGGGAAGTACAGCATGCCTCGCAGCGTCATTGATGTCTTTGGTTAAGTCAGTCATTTGCACCCGACCATAGCCGTGAATTGTGTCGGACTCGAAATGGGATTCGTGAATGAAGTCCACGGGTCTACAAGTTAGAGACATTCGATTATATTAAGACCAGAAACTCTGCGTGTTTAGGTCTATGTCAATATGTATGCTTCATGTCCTTTATATCCATCCCTTAGTGTATATCCCGGTGTACCAAAAATGCGATCATCAAAATGTGAGCCAAAGCTTCATGATAGACTTAAGTCTATTCAAAGTAGCCGGGGAACAGCCAGTTCAGCTTCTTCTTGGCTTCAGGGCCCCAGTTGGGCTGGGAAGTGCTAATTCCAAACTTAACAGAACCAGCCAAGTGCTTGGCGTGAACCAAGTCTGAGTGCTCGTCGCTAGCCAGAGCGTCGAGAACAGCGGTAACGAAACGGCGGGCGTTGTCAGCGTTGGCCTTCATGTGGCCCATGACCATCTCAACGGTAACATCGGCAGTAGACTCGTGCCAGCAATCATAGTCGGTAGACATGCAGATCATCTGGTAGGCAATCTCAGCCTCACGGGCGAGCTTGGCCTCGGGGAGGACAGACATGTTAATCACACTGCCGCCCCAAGAGCGGTACATTTTGCTCTCGGCGCGAGTGGAGAACTGGGGTCCCTCTGTAGCAGATATGATGATTAGCCGAGGCTCGTTAAAAAAAGGAATTTAAGAAAAATAAGCTAAAGGCTCGGTATACGTACCCATGCAGATGATAGTGCCGCGGTCGTGCAACACCACACCGTCACCCTCCAAGCTGTGTCCGCACTCGCGCACGACCTTGGCAATACCCTCATCGAAGGGGTCGCCGAAAGGAACGTGCGCAACCATACCGCCCTCGAAGTAGGTCCATGGCCGCACGCCCTTGGTACGGTCAATGATCTGGTCGGGGATGACGAAGTCGCGGGGCTTAATAGCCTCCTGCAGACTGCCGACAGCGGAGAAAGCAATGATGCTACGGACACCGATGGAGCGAAGAGCAGCGATGTTAGCACGGGCAGGGACCTCGTGGGGAGCGATCTGGTGGTGGGGGCCGTGGCGGCTCAGGAAGGCAATAGCGACAAGCTTATCATTGTGCTTGCAGTGGTGGTGGAGGATGGTGATGGGGGAGGAAGGTTCGCCCCAGGGAGTGGTAATCGACAGCGACGCAACCTGGGTGAATCCAGGGAGCTCACGGAGTCCAGTGCCACCGATGACGGCGATTGGGACGGAGCCTGGAGAATTCGAGATTGTCAGCTTTGTAACCAAGTGGGGTGAGGCCCGTGAGGGGCGGGCGCTCGGAGGAAGACTAGTGAGAGGCTTTAGGGGAGATACACACCCTCGTAGGTGGTAGGAAGAGCAGCCATTCTTTTAGCGAATTGTTTTGGAGACTCAATTCGACGAAAAGGTGAGATCGAGGAGAGTTGACGAAATCCCGCGACCCAACGCATGTTCTTGCGTTTAAATTTCAACGTTTGCTGCCCCGCTCTCCCATTGGACCCTCGCCCCACGTGTACCTGAGGCCGGCAATTGCCAGAAATTACGAATCCCTGGGTTGCACTTGCCACCAGTTGACTACATTCGAATTGTTCTCTTTTCAAATATTGTCAAATTCGCATGCGTGTTTCCAATCTATATGTCTATCTTGTCCACTATCAGGTAGGACTGCAGGCTGGGCCGCTGGGGTAACTGTTTTAAGCCACCTTCCACTCATAGTGGTGAGGCCCCTTCATGACGGGACCCGGATCTTCACCCGCAATACCCGGTTTGTTATAGCAGTGTGCGCCGAAGTAATCCATCTGGGCTTCCATGAACTTGGTCGGTAAGACCAGTCCACCCTCATACTTCAGATAATCCAATGTGGCAGAGATCGCTGGCATGTACTGATCGGACTTGGTGCCTTCAATCACAATATCCTTCAAAGCATCGAAGCTATTGTGCAGCTCCTGCGAGACCGTATCAATGAATTTCATATTCGACATGCTAGTCTTGCCCGATAGTGGCGGTTGCAACAGATCGGCAATGTAGTCGGACTGAATAATACAGCCCGCACGCCAGATTTGAATACAGTTACCCAAATCAATATTCCAGCCTTCATCATCAGAGGCCCGAGAAATCAATTCCAGTCCCTGACAGAACGACGATAGGAAGGAGCTGTACACGGCCTTGCGCAATTTCTCAATGGTAACCTCATGAGAACTCTGCATATTTTGAATAGGATGAGGCGACGGCATTTGGAGCTTTCGAGATGCTTGAACTCGCTCTTGACGGTTTCCACTGGCAATACGCATGAAGTGGGCAGCTGCTAAAGTAGGACAGGATACATGACGTGCGGCGGACTCCATCAGGCACCAGAGAGGTGTACCTTCGGTGCCATCGTCATCTTGGACCACCTTGTCGAGGACGTCATCGAGGACGAATCCGTTATCACCAATTCCCTCGCCATTTCCATCGCCATTTGGTGTTCTCTTTGTTCTCAGGATATCCGCACCGATATGAATCAAGAAATTGCCGCGCAATTCGCCGGTAGAGTCCCACTGGGCGAAGACATCGCCGATTTGCTCGTAACCCATGCCTAGGCCGTAATGCATGTAAGACCATGCCTCAGCAAGTGCAGACAGCATTCCACCTTCAATCCCGTTGTGGACCATCTTGACGAAATGTCCTGATCCGCCTGGGCCAATACGGGTAACACACGGGGTGCCACTTTTAGGGTCCTTGGCTGCATATCTCTCGAGCAGGGGCATGACCAGCTTCATGGCCTCGGGGTCTCCACTGGGAGAAAGACTAGGCCCACGACGAGCGGACTGGTAACCACCAGAGACACCAACACCGATCCAAGACACGCCGATCTCCTTGCATTCTTTCTGGCGGCGCTCCGTTCGGCGGTAATTCTCATTTCCGCCATCTAGAACAATGTCGCCTTTCTTCAGGTCAGATTTGATCATGTTGAGAACTTGATCGGCGGGATCGCCATGCGTGACGGAGAACATAAACAACTTGCGTTCTCCACCTTCAAGGCTTTTGACGAATTCTTTGATGTTGTAGAATCCAGAAATCTTGCCCTTGACATCGTTGGCACTTTTAGCCCAGTTCGTTACTTTGTCAACGTTTGATTTATCCACGTCAAAAACTGATACGTCGAGACCCATCTCGGAGAAGGCGAAAGTCATCATGGATCCCATGCTACCTACTCCAATCACGCCGATGCGCTTGAATTTCTTGATTGGGTCGGTCTCTGGCATGTTGGCGGTCGAGTGAGGTGAATAACTTCGAGGCTGTCCGTTCAGCAAAAGGAAAGCCTGGTGTGTTGAAAGTTTCAAAATCATATACTGAAGCTGGAGTGTTTTAGTTTGATTGAAATGAAGTTCTCGATTCGCGTTCTTGAACGACAGTTTGTGGCAACTGGTTTGTCATGCCAGGCGAAATCCATATTGTCAAGATGTGCTCAGTGGCGATTACGAAGGCAACTATTCACCTACCACTTGTGCAAAGAGGACCTAGTAAAGAACTATAGAAATTAATTAGCCACATTTGATAATGAAAATAAGCTACACACGTGGTTGGGGCTTATGATACACAATGACGAAAACTTGCCTTTCAACATTGCATCATAATGTACACACGACCAACCCCAACACATCCAACACCATCCAACATTATAGAATTTCTGCCTACCATGGCAGCATATTCTCTTTTGAATGATTCAATGATCAGACACGCAGTCAACATTTACCACACTGTAGCGGCCGGTAAAATGGCACCAATAAGCCGTCAATCGCTACAAAAGATCCCCCTGTCTTACGCGACCTGCTCAATCGGCTGTGGCCCCAACGACACGCTGGCACGCAGACTCGAAGCAATCAGCACTGCAGGATTCATCTCAATCGAGCTTTCTTTCCCGGATATTCTCGAGTTTGGCACACAACTCCTCGGATACCAGGTCCAGCCGGATAATTACTCCGTTTTATTAGGCGTGGCCCGGGATATTCGACGATTATGCGATGCGAACGCGTTGACTGTAATGATGTTGCAGCCATTTGCGAATTTCGAAGGATGGCCGCAAGGTTCGGCGGAGCGGGAGGATGCTTTTACGAGAGCGAAGGGCTGGATTGAGATTATGAAGATTGTGGGCACTGATCTTTTACAGGTATGTCTGTGCCAGTGAAGAAAACCAAAAGAAAAGGAAAGACTGATGTATTGGACTTGACAATAGGTCGGAGCAACCGATACAAGCGAAGAAAAGATTTCTACCTCCCGCGAGGCCATTGTCTCCGATTTGCGTGAGCTAGGCGGCATGCTGGCAAAGAACAATTTCCGACTCGCTTATGAAAACTGGTGCTGGTCCACGCACGCACCGGGCTGGAAAGAAGTATGGCAGATCGTCCGGGACGTCGATCTCCCCAATGTGGGTCTCTGTCTGGATACTTTCCAATCATGTGGAAGCGAATGGGGCGATCCGACTACTTCTTCAGGGTTGATCGAAGATGAAACGGTGGATCAACTGAAAACAAACTGGAACTCCAGCATGCAAGAGCTAGCAGCCACTGTGCCTGGCGATAAGATATATTTGCTGCAGATCTCGGATGCGTATAAAGTGTCGCCTCCGCTGGAAGACAAGGTCATTGGGGGCTTGCGGCCGCGTGGTCGCTGGAGCCATGACTTCAGACCCATGCCGTATGACGGTGGATATTTGCCGATTGAGGACTTCGCACGGGCGGTGCTACAGACTGGGTTTAGGGGATGGTTCTCTATGGAGATCTTTGATGGGGGGCCTGATGGCAAGGGGAGGAAATACGAGTTGAATGAATTTGCAAAGAAGGCAATGGACAACATGCAGAAGCTTTTGGACAATTGTGCTACAGAAGCTCGTTGATGGTAAGATCTGGGATCAATGGAAAATATTCAATTTCGAGAAATATGATGTACAATAGACGATGTCGCCGTTTTAAGGTAAAATGTGAACAACCCAGAGAGAGAAAAGTCCCAAGTGGACTTTTCGCGAAATGTAACAGTAACGCCAGTTTTCAAATGCAGTAGACGCCATGATATCATAAGGCATGCAGTGCTAGAAGCAAGAATGCGCGAGAAAGCATATCAACTTCAGCTTAGTTTGCGTTGCTGGGGTAAGCAACAGTGTAGGTGGGGACGAACTCCTCCTTGACAGATCGCAAGCTCACGAAGCGCGAAAGAAGGTTAGCGCTACCGGCCTTGTCATTGGTACCACTGGCACGGGCACCACCGAATGGCTGCTGGCCAACAACAGCACCGGTGCTCTTGCAGTTGATGTAGAAGTTTCCAGCGGTGTTGCGGAGGGCATCGTCGGCCACACGAACGGCCTCACGGTCCTGAGCGAAGATGGAACCAGTCAGGGCATAGGTGCCAGTGGTGTCGATCTTCTCACAGATCTTGACGAAGTCAGCCTCGGTGGCGTCATTGTAAGAGTGGATTACGATGATGGGGCCGAAGAGCTCGCGCGACAAGAGCGGGTGGTCGGGGTTGGAGGTACGGTACACGGTGGGGGAGATGTACCAGCCCTTAGAGGAGTCATAGGTTCCACCTGCAAGCAACTCAAGCTCGGGGTCGTTCTTTGCCTCGTCGATAACGCCAGCCAGCTTGTTGAAAGAGCCCTCGTGGATGACGGGGCCGCAGAAGTTGGTGAAGTCGGACGGCTCGCCAACCTTCAGTTGCTGCACCTCAGCGGCGAGCTGCTTGGCGAACTCGTCGGCAATGGAGGATGCAACATAGGCACGAGAAGTGGCGCTGCACTTCTGACCCTGGAACTCAAAGGCACCACGCACGGTCTGGACCACGGCATTTTGGATATCGGCCGACTTGTGAATCAAGTGGAAGTTCTTGCCACCGGTCTCGCCAACAATGCGAGGGTAGCTGCGGTATTTGCCATCCGCCACACCCTGCGAGATCTTGCCATAGAGCATACGGAATACATCCGTGCTGCCGGTGAAGTGGAGAGCGGCGAATTCAGGGTGACTGAGAACAGAGCTGGTCACCTCCTCGGCCTCACCGGGCACAAACTGGATGACATCCTTGGGCAGACCAGCCTCGAGAAGAATCTGGTGAACGAGCCAGTTGGAGGCAATGGCGGAGGGTGAAGGCTTCCAGATCACGACGTTACCCATCAGGGCCGGTGCACCGGCCAAGTTACCACCAATGGCAGTGAAGTTGAAGGGACTAATAGCGTAGACGAACCCCTCAAGAGGGCGGTACTCGAGGCGGCTATAAACAGTCAGTACCAGCACTCAAAACTTAGGGTGGTTCCACGGAGATTGCTTACTTCCAGACACCAGGAGAGTGGTGGACAGGCTGCTGTGCGTAGACCTCTTCGGCATACTTCACACCGAAGCGGAAGAAGTCAATCAACTCAGCAGCCGAGTCAATCTCGGCCTGCCAGGCATTCTTTCCTTGCCCTTGCATAGTCAAAGCCATAATATCATAGCGGTACTTTGTTGAGATCAAATCGGCGGCCTTGAGGAAAATGCTAGCACGCTCAGCAAAGGGGGTCTCGGCCCAGGACTTGCGAGCAGCCAGAGCTGATTGAATGGCAGCATCGACATCAGCCTTGGAAGCATTGGAGTAGGTTGCAAGAGGAGCGTGAGTGGCCGGGTTGCTCTGGGTGAAGGTTTGGGAGTTCTTGATCTATTGACGATCAGCATACTGTGTGCCTGTATAGAATCGCAAATTGTTATAGTACCTCTTTTCCAGCAACAACAAGAGGCACATTGAAAGGAGCCTTGCTGTTGACCGAAGCCAAAGCCTCCTCAAGAGCCTTGCGATCTGGCGACCCGGGTGTGTAATGTTTCTAAATATGCTTATCAGTATATAATTTCGTTGTCGAGATTGTTCAAAAAATATTCCACTCACGTTCGGCTCATTGTTAATCTGGGGCACCTTGAAGGTCGCGTAAGTGCCCATCAAACGCAAGCTCGAGCTAGGAACGCGGCATGCAAGCGACTGCCAGCGAGAGAAGGGCTGCGCTCTGGCACGCAAAAGAATCGACTGCATTGTGTGTGAATTCAAGAAGCTGAGAACAAAATAAAATCCAAAGCGCTTGAATTGGAGATATGAAGAAGTGAAGTTCGAATTGGAGAGTTAAGGAAAAGCTTGAACGCGGGGTACATGTGAAATGACCGGCTACCGGCGGTAGCTATGGCCTGGGAAGCTACCAGTACCCTGTACACTCCTTGCATTGGCTTCCGTGGGCGGCGAATGAGAAGCGGCCGGCAGCAGTCCCGGGTGGGGCAACCGGGCCGGAGCTCAAGCTCAAACTGACGTTGATTGGCTGATTCATCAGGATCTGCGGAGTGGAGTAACTCACGCCGTACCCGGTACGAATCTAGATAAAGATTATAGAGATAGGAAGTAAGTACTACAATATAGCCAATCTTGGAATTAACATCTCGGATTAGAATAAAGTCAATTCAGTATGAACCTCAGACCTCTGAAATAACCGACTCTTGCCCTAAAGATAAGACTGATAACGGTTCTTAGGGCGGATGTGCTGGGTGTCTACATCTTAGTCAAACAAACATAGTACACTCCAACCATTTCCAATCTCTTGTACTTAAATATGTGGTAGGTGGATTAGATTATCTCTATTATTTGGTCAAAGTAACTCGAAGGTAGGTAATAGAAGTCAAAATAATTTTCAAAGCCTAAATCATAGGTATAAATTGTATCACTCCAGATCCTGTCTGGGCTTCTAGTACCAAGCTTGACCTAGCTCAAGAAATAGTAGCCATCTATCTATACACATGTCTCATTTACGCAATCCACCACCAGACGCGTTCCAGCCAATTGCGGGGTTGTGGCTCAACGTCTAATTCACACATGCGATCAATCTCCTCTTTGCCAGAGAATATATCGACATCCGCAGCCGGAACCATCCAGGGTGTCCGATACCAAATCTTATGTCCAAAATACAATGCAAAAAAGATGGCGAAGACAATATAAGAAACCAAGAAGCCCGATGCTGTAAAAGAACCAGGGAAGAAGATAGTGTAGCCATTAGTGATTGCCAACAAGGAGACAACCACGAGGGCATAGTAAGTTCCATACGGTTGGAATGGAGTCTTGAATGGTCGTGACTCTAAAAGCCCATGGAAATCAAGAGCCCGACGGAAGCGCTGTACGGGCGTGATGTTAGCAGTCTGTTTGAGCAGCAAGAGAGAAAAAGAAAAGAGGACTTAAGGATCACTCACGAGATAAGCGACGCCAACAAGAACCCAGGATATAAATCCTCCAACTGTAGTGATGTTAGTGAACCAATAAAACACATCCGATCCTGAGCTTGACAGGTTCAGGAAAGCAAGAAGTCCAATGGACCAGGTTATTAGGACCGCAGCATAAGGCACACCGTTCTTGCTGCAACGAGTGAATACCTTGGGCGCTTGGCCCTGGCACGCAAGAGAATACAGTGTCCGCGAACCGGCGTAGACCCAGGAGTTACCGGAAGACCAAGCAGAAAGAAGAATGGCGGCGTTGATGACGTGATTGAGGCCACTGATTCCAGCATTCTGGATGCCAATCACGAATGGACTGGCACCAGCTCCGGAACTACCACTGGCGACACCCTGGAGAAGGCTCTTGTCATTGTATGCAACAGTGATTCCAATCACAAGACTTCCAAGAACGTAGAACGCAAACAAACGGTAGATGAATCGGTTGGTGGCTTTGGGAATGTTTCGACGAGGCGCGACAGCTTCACCAGCGGCAGTGGTGATCAATTCGGGAGAGAAGATGAAGGAGAAGCCAGACTTGATCAAGGCAGTCCAGAAGGCCAGGAAGCGACCGGTATTCACATTTGACACCAAGTACGGCTCTTTGAATGCACCTGGGTGCTCCCAGTAACGGAATCCCAGTCTGTCATGACTTGGTCCTCCGCCAAAGAACAGAACGATGCCGAGAATGATGAGACCGATGATAGCAATGATTTTTAACGATGCGAACCAGAACTCGGCTTCACCGTACCATGACACCGCGACAATATTGAGGACGAGAATGACTGTGATGGAAACACTTTGGTAAGTTCATGCTCTTGGCTAGCGACCGAGGTGATCCAACGAAGCCTTGACTTACCAAGAAGAATAATCGCGATCCATACGCCGACGCTAACATTCATTGGCCAATACTGTATGACAAGCCCGGCTGCTGTGACTTCTGACGCCGTCAACATAGAGAATGAATACCAATAGTTCCATCCTATAGTGAAAAGCATCAGTATTTACCATGCAGAGATGGGAAGGTAGGTAGACTAGAACATACCAACAGCGAAGCCGATACTTGGCTCGGTAAATCGGTTGATCAAATAAGGTACAGAAATACCGCGTACGGGTAAGTAGGTTGTCATTTCACCCAGCATGTTCATAATGAAGTAGACAACAGTTGACATGACAATGTATCCCATGAGAAGTGGTGCTGAAATTCACTGAAGTTAGCATCAATCAAGAGATTCAGTTTGTTCAAACTAGACCGGATCACTTACCTGGTCCAACTGTCGATAATGTCGAACCACTTCCAACGAACAAGCCCGTTCCAATACAACCACCGAGAGCAAGAAATTGGATATGACGCGAGCTCAATCCGCGATGCGTTTGCCCATCATCGAACCCTTCTACCTCGCCTTGTAGAGTCTTTGGTTCATTAATGAATTCCAGCGGGGACTTGCCCTCTTCCATCCCCTTGGGTGATGGCTCCATGATTTTTCAGCAAGTAGAAGAGCCAAGACAGTGTTACAAATAAAGAAGAACGAGAAAAAGCAGAAAAGAAAGGTTATCAGGTATGGCACTGGCCAAAGTTATAAATCAATTCATACAGGTACTTATGGATGGACAATCTGGGGATATGGTTTAGAATATAAGCCACGAAGTGTAATGTTCAATTAGTGCATACACATGAAAGCGAGATAAGAGAAGGCAAAAAAAATTAGGAAGAAACAGAGTTCCAGCATACTAGTATTTGAGACATGCGGGGAAATGGGAAATCTCTGCCGACTGAACGTGGCCTCAAGAACTCAATTGGCTGAGTTGCCATGGTAAGAATCACGCATTTGCACGGAGGATGACAACAAACGCTGCAGGTCGGGCCGTTGTAAGATCCGCGGCTCTTATCGGTCCTCCACATGCCTAATCTCGGGCTCGGAGGACGTCCTATCGGTCGATTCGGTCCGTTGAGAAATTGATGAGGTTATCTAATGTCAAATAGGAATGGATCCTGAGACTAAGCTTAATTCCCCCTGTGCCTGAATACCAGCCTTAGGACAACATATATGTATCAGTTTTGTTTTTCAAGTGCCAGGGATATTAGCCCCATCTAGATCCCAGCTGAGAAGGATGTGCAACCGCTTCAAATCGCCATCTGGGAAGTTCTGTGGATCTATATGGGGATACGGGGTAACATCAACTCAAAAAATGGGGATTGAATGCGTGGGGGAGTTTTTATGAAGTAATAGAAATTCGACCAGGAAGCTAAACAATTGACTAGCAAAATTACGAAAAAAAAATTTATTCATGGCCTGAAGGTTCAGGCCAAAGGGGTCCAAAAACGTGACCGCTAGCTCCCGGTGACTAATCTAGCACCGGCCCGGTCAACCTATGCAGTGGCCCGTGCAGCCCCATATCAGTATCAACCGGCCCGTATCAAGTGACACCGACACTGCCCAGTATTGGTCGAGAAATTCCTATCGGTAAGGATCTGAAGGGCACATGATGTGTTCATGCAAGTTACAGTTCAAAGGGCAGGCTCTAATCTTAGTGGCGATTATGCTATTAAAAAAAAATACCTGTTCCAATCAAAGCTAGGCAAGTCAGTCCGAATCTCAATAATATAGAGTGGGGTTATGTAGACCGGGATCGCCTGCAATTGTTCGCTATTTCTATACTTGATGGATACTATTCTTTTAGTCACAAGGGTCGATTTTTCACACCAAAAATATGGACGGATGTAAACTGCCGGTTGGTCATTATTATTCACACCGTACCGGTCCCAGGCGCTTGCCACCGGCTCTTGCCAATGTACACGATTTAGTATGGTTATCTTTATTAGTACTGTAGCAATCTTTATCTTAAACCCTGTCTGCTTTCAACCTTGGATCTGATATTCACTTTCCCCAAACAACCTCAACTCTGCTTCCTTTCCTGTCTATCACTTCTCCATTACCTATCCACACAACTACAACAACTCGAATCTACTACTATCGCCATCACCGTATCAATGAAAGCTGCTCGTGCAGTGCGGGTGCCCCGCGTACAGGCAACCAGCCGCGTCAACACTCGACTAGTGAGCGGTACAGGCAACGTTAAGTCATCCGTTGCTGCCGGCGCCGCAACTAGTGTTTGGCAATCTCAATCTCAAACCCAATCACCAACCCCACGCAAGGCTTTGAATTCGCCGCTTGCCAAACTCCCCTTGTCATCTGTTCTGCGCTCGCTGCTGGTGCTGTCAGTCTCGTCTTCTCCGATCTTGCTCAAGCCTTGCATTTATACTCTATCCTTGTTGGCGCACCCTCGCTCTGCACTGTGGGATGTCTCCAAGAACCCGCTGCTGAATTTTATGGTGAAACACACCGTATATAAACAGTTCAATGCAGGAGAGAATAAGTCCGAGGTTCAAAGGTCCATTCAGAATATCAAGGGTCTAGGATGCCGAGGTGTTCTGCTTGGTTATGCTCGTGAGGTGCTGGTTGGAGAGAATGCAGATGCCCCAATAGATGCGAAGGCTGCTCTCGCTGAAATCCAGATGTGGTTCGATGGTACTATGCGTACAGTCGATATGGCCCAAGAGGGGGATTTTGTTGCTCTCAAGTAAGTTGCCTTACTAGCTGAGAACGTTTTGCAGTGATACTAACGCATTATGTCAGATTCACCGGTATGGGTACCGATGCCCTTAGACTCCTTCAAAAGGAAGCTGCGCCAACCGAGTTTATGGATGCTTCTATCCTGAAGGTGTGCGACTTGGCAATCTCCCGAGGTGTTCGTCTGCTCGTCGACGCCGAGGAGCAGGCTGTCCAGCCCGGTATTGAAGAATGGATCATGAAGTACCAGAAGTACTGCAACTCTCAGACCCCCGGCCGCGCCATCTTCTACGGTACCTACCAGGGATATCTCCGATCAACACCCTCCACTCTGGCCCGTCACCTCGAGACTGCTCGTGCCGAAGGATATACATTGGGTGTCAAGCTGGTTCGCGGTGCTTACATGAAGACGGAGCCTCGCCACTTGATCTGGGCTAAGAAGGAGGAGACTGACCAGTGCTACGACGAGGTCGTTGAGGCTCTCTTGACCCGGAAGTACAACTCCATGATGCAATCCCCTTCAACCGACCCGTCTGTTCAGTTGCCGCCCGTGAATGTGATTATCGCCACACACAACCGTGAATCCGTCCGCAAAGCCCACGCCATCCGCATGCAGCAGGCTGCCAACGGAGAAGATTATGGTGTCGATCTTAGCTACGCACAACTCCAGGGCATGGCTGATGAAGTGAGCTTGGAACTTCTCCAGGGTTTTGAGAGTGCCGAAGCTAGTGTCGGTGCCACACCAATGGCGGCACCCAACGTTTTCAAGCTTTTGACTTGGGGTTCCGTTCAGGAATGTATGGGTTTCCTCTTGCGCCGTGCCGTCGAGAACACCGAGGCCGTTGGTCGCACCAAGGACTCCCAGCTGGCAATGTTCAGTGAGTTGAAGCGCCGGATTGTTGGAGGCAGCAAATAGAGAGATACCCCTTTGCATATGTTTTGCATGGATCTATTTTCATAGCTTCTTGATTAGCGGACTGCTTGCTTCTCATTCTTCTTTTCCTTTTTGTCGGCTGGGTATCCTTGAACTCCAGGGGGCTTGCTCATTGCCTTTGCGTACTGGGATGCATTTATGAAAGGCGTTCACGTTTTATGAGTCATGTGTCTTATTGATAGATATCGGTTTTTGCTAAAATGGACAATTCCTATCTTGATCACCATAATCCCAAGTAAATGATTCGGAAGCTCCTTCCAGTTGTGGAGACGCGCTGTAGAAACTAGGCCCACCCGGCGCCTGCAGATGTCGGAGGCTCTATCCGCTTCTTCCCCCCAGTCGCGGTTCTCCAAGCCGACCCCTCACCCTCGGGCCTCGTCGATTTTCCTTATTGATCCCAGTCTCCCAATCCAAATAAATCAAAGTATCACCTTCCATATCTCCTCCGGAATTCAATCAAGTCCTCATACTCATCCAATTCATCACCAAAATGCATATACTCTCAGAACCAAACGTGTCGCGTATCTTTCGCAGCTTGACCCAAAAGCAATGCCGCGACTTCATCAATGTACTAAGCTCCGCACTAGTGGGGTACAGCGCTGAATGCAAGCCAACGGTCCTAGCATCAGAGAAACTGATTCACCAGCCATTGCGAACTGTTTTTGCAACCAAAGCGAATAATTCATGCATTTTCATGCCAGTCTCGGATACAGCCACTACCGCTGTGAAAGTTGTCACGGTCGGAAACAGCGGCATTCAAGGCACAATCAATATATTCTCACCAGATGGTCGACTACAGGGTCTCCTCGCTGCGGCAGAGGTAACAGCGTTCCGGACAGCCCTTTCATCAATGACACTCTTTGTACGATGCAACTCGCTCCGGAAGGAGAATATTCTCGTGCTAGGATCAGGTCGTCAAGCTGAATGGCATGCTCGACTTGCACTGCTGCTTTACCCAGAGTTGATCCGGCGGATCACTTTCATTAATCGGGGTCGCCAACGGCTTGACGATATGGAGCGCGATGTGCTGGGTGAGCTACGAGACCGTTATCCAGATGTTTCTATCAGCACCTTTGCGAAGGAGGGTGCGACAGACTATGACGAGAGGCTTCTTCGTGAGCTACAGGCTTCTGATGCAATCTTCAGTTGTACGCCTTCAACAGAGCCAAACTTTAGTTTTGATGCGCTACAATCTGCTCCAAAGCAGCGTTTTATTTCGCTTATTGGCTCGTACAAGCCGCATATGCATGAGATAGATACAGAGACGCTGCTTTCTGGTGGAGGTAAAGTCTATGTCGACTCCAAATCGGCGTGTTTGGAGGAGTCCGGGGAATTGATTACGGCTCAGGTGACGGAAGACCAATTGGTGGAGATGGGGGAGATGCTGAGTGAAAAGGGGCCTTCAGAAGACATTAAGATTCCAGATGGCTCCAATGTTGTATATAAGTGTGTGGGAATGGGTTTGATGGATCTCGTGGTTGGAAAGAAGTTGCTCCAAGTTGGAAATGAGCAGGGGCTGGGAACACACGTTGATGGATTTTAAGCTTGGAGTGGATGCTAGTTACTATGCACGTCACCCCGAACCTTCAATGTTATGAGATTCTAATAAAATGTTCCTATGATTACCTAGAACTATGTTAATATTTTTTTTGCCCTTGTACCGTATACGAGTAGAATTTACTAGTACTCATTGTACTAAATCTACGTTTTAACGTAGACCGGCACTCAGCCGGGCTTCAGTGGAGAGGAACACGACCAAGGGCAAAGTCTGCCAGGATGCGGGGCCGCGAACCGTGGGAATCGTTATCAACCCCCGATAAGTGCCACTCATTTCGTTTTCCGACTTCCCTTTTCTCCGAATTATTTCCCCAGATCAACCCTGTTCTTCAACCTGGAATTGATTCACTTCAATATACCACTCAGGTGGCCCAGATCTACGGACTCGATTCCTGATCCGTCTCCGCTTTCTCCGCCCACCTTCTCCGCAGACGATGCCCGGCCGACCTCGACCTAGTTGACGACGCCTGTCATGAACGACTCGACCTCCACTCCTGCTCCACAGCAGAAGCGCCAACGTGTGGCCGAAGAGAATCGCAAACGAGCAGTGAGAGCGTATGCGGACCCTTTCTTTTATTCACTATCCAGAACCGACCGTGCATCCTCAAGAGTCTCAGACTGCTAACACCCCCGGGCTTTTACAGGTGCGATGGCTGTCGCAGGGTGAAAGAAAAATGTGAAGGAGGCGTACCGTGCCGTCGATGCCTTCGTTATCGCCGGCAATGCAATTTTACTCATATTGATCCTGTTGAGAAGAGCCGGTCAACATCTGTTTCGTGAGTTGTGGCGGTGTAGGATTGGCCTTTCGAGAATGCCATGTGCTAACATTGGAATGCGGGGATAGGCTTATTGACCGTGCCGCTTCACTGAGTCACCATGAAATCGCCGAGACAGAGCGCGTGCGCTATATGGAGCGCATCCTGTCATACTATGCACCTGGTCTCACATTCGATATTCAATCGCTGCGCCAAGCTGCCGAGGACTTGAAGAATAAGCACCGAGACACAGAGTCAGATGCGCTTTCAACAAAGGTGGATGCCAATGAGCTGGAAGATTTGGCCATCGATGAGGAGGACTTCACAATCAAGGCACTTCCAAACAACACAGCTCGTAAGTGCTTTTCCTTGGAAGTATAGGCTATCGTCACTAAATTTGATGGCAGAGTATTCTGGTGAATTTTCATATCTGAACTTCTCCATGAAGATTCGAAAGAAGATTGACGAATGGATGAAGACCGCAGCACCAGATGCTTCCTCTGAAGTGGAACCGTTTGAAGATCGATGGCGGGCCACTCAGCTTCAATCAGGGTCATCCTTAGTATCATCATCCATTACATGTCTTCCTCCTCGCTATGTTGCCGAATTCCTGGTCCAAATATTCTTCAAATATGCACAGACAAACAACTTCTACGTTGAGGAGGACTGGCTTTGCGTAAAGTTGAACATTTGTTATACCAATCCCTCAAGCTTGTCATCTGACGACGCCGGTGCCGTTTGTGCAATTCTGATGGTATTAGCTGTCGGAACCCAATTTGCGCACATGGAGTCGCCTACTCCAGTCAATTGCCTGCCTGTAGATTCAGAGGCCAATCAAGATCACCACTTCTCGGAAGACGAAGTGGGTCTAACATTTTATCAGTTCGCATCAAAATTGCTACCAGATATTATTGCTACGGCATCTGTACGCAGTGTACAGGCTTGCCTCTTGATTGGCACATATCTTCTTCCACTGGATACTTCTGGATTATGTTACACATACTTTGGTCTGGCACTCAAGTTAGCCATCCAGAATGGGATGCATCGAAGGTACCATGGTGAAGGCCTCTCAGCTCGAATGACTGAAATGCGTAATCGGGTTTTCTGGACATCTTACACTATTGAAAAGTTAGTCACTTTCCATCCCCACCACCTATCTCAATGGGTATACTAACGAATATTTATAGACGCATTAGCATCCTTCATGGTAGGCCTGCATCTTTGGCAGATGCAGATGTGGATGCCCCGTTCCCTGTTGATTTTCCTGGGCTGATGCCAGCGACACAACAGTCAAACCACACAAATATGGTGACATTAATTACATTGACCTTGAAACTTGGTCAAGTATCCAATGAAATTTCGTCTTTACGAACATGTCGCAAGGGTCAGCAACAGGATTGCTTGGAGCGACTACTCAATATTCGCAAAAACCTTATTGAATGGTGGTCAACATTACCTGAGGAAACGAGCTGTCGAGACCTCAACCCGGCGGGTCCATTGTTTAGGTCAAACGTACATCTCAAGCTCGACTACTGTTTGACGCGGATTTTCATTGGACGTCCTTTTCTCTTCAGCAATATTAAGGCCCTACAAACACCCAACCTCCAAGCATTCAAGGGCCCATCGGGAATCTCCAAGATTCGAACTACTCTGGTCACTGACTGTGTAGAAGCAGCCTTAGAGATCATTGATCTGTGCCGCCTACTTCGAGATGAAACTGGCCTTGCTCGTGCTTCTTTCACCGAATTTAGCTCGTGTCGTGCGGCACTGCTAGTTATTTTGGCTCAAGGACTGACCAAACGCACTGAACGCCTCGGTGCAGCTTTGGAACAGGGCGTATCTTTGATTAAGATTATGTCAATGGGTGTTGGATCTGCCCGATCCGCCGTTAGTGTCATCGAAGCACTCGAACGTGCGATCCGTCGCCTGGAGATGTGGAGTGAAACCCAACAAGCTCAGAGTAACGGCGGCAGCCTTGAGTCCGCCTATGATCGTTTCAAGAATTGGGAGATGCTGTGGAAAACCGGGCCGATATCCCCCAGTACGGCCTCGCCTTGGGAGCAAAGGGATCCGCAGGCCGGCGACGGTCTCGTTCTCCCGCAAGGCCTCGCCTCTCACACCCCAGCCCCCCTTGGTATCGATGCTGTTATATCCGGTATGCCCATCACACCCTCCAATACTGCTCTGGCAAACAATCACAATGGATCCGACCAGACTCTTGGTGAGCCAAGTCATGAAATGCTGAATACTGATATTCCTGATTCTGGTGTTCCTTCCGACGCATTTTCCCTATCCCATGAGCCACTTTCACAGATGGCTCATTTCGGATTTGACCATTTTGTCTCGAACTTCCCACAGGAACTTGAGGAGTTTACCGCACTTCCATGCTTCGAGCCGGATGGCCAGGGAAATTCTGCTGCCATGGTTGGCGCGGAAATGCAAACTTCTACGGGCGGTACAAATTCGCATTGGTTACAGTTCATGAATGAGTAATAAGCTACTTCTTGTTGATCTTGCTGTTTTAGCCTGCGCCTTCCTCCTGGTTGTCCTTTTTTCAATATACCATATGCTGCAAGACGGTGGGTACCGTGGGGTTCTTTTGCGTTTGGGCGAGGTTCTTTTGATTATGCTATATATGCTACCCAGAAAGTGATACTCTTACTATGTTCTGCATCATATCAGAAAAATTTCGTAAAAGTTTCCATAAACTTGCTGTCGAAGCAATATTGAATGCCTTGGTATCATAAACCTTGAGAATGCTCCTAATCGAATGTAACCTTCTTTCCTGAGAAAACAGCAGCAGACTGTTCCTTCTGCTTGAGCTTTGCTTCCCACGAAGGGTGAAGAGGTCCCGTGTTATCCGCATGGATCTTGTCCTTGTGACTAGAGAAATCGCCAGCGGCACGACGTTCCTGTCGATTTGACGGCCTGGCAGGCTCACCACTAGCGGCACCACGTCCACCCCGATAACCTCCAGCACCGCCCGCAGCACCAGTGGCCCCCCTCTTGGAATCCCATCCATTATCTCTGTTGCGTTTTTGGTTCTGCTGTTCTGCCTGCACGTGGTTCGCCTTTTCACCGTACTTCTTCTCCCACAGCGCACGGCGCGCTTGTTGACCCATACGGTTCTTGCGCACAGGTGGAGCAGCAACCTTTTCGACATCTGAGGCTTCTTCTTCGGAGCCAGACCAGTAACCGCCATTCATGAGAGATGGGAGGAATGTTGTAGTCTGTGCTGGAGCCTTGCTTGCCTTGGCTTTCTTGGGTGGTGGTGAGGATTCGTCGGGTGAGAAGTCTGGAGATGGTGAACGAGATACAGAGTCGGAGATATCATCGGCAAGGCGGTCGTCATTCGCATCCTGCTCGTCATCTGATTCCTCTCCTTCGGATCCAGAACCTGGACCCAACCGCGCATCGAATTGGGAGAAATCTTCAACTCCGGAGTCGTCGTCACCTGATATATCCATATCGCCAGCCCGAGAGACCCGCAAGTCTTCGTTTCCGGACTCGGAACCAGATACAGATTCCTGCTTTTGTTTGCGCGCGGGCTTCTCGGACTTCTCTTTCGTGGTCGCATCCTTAGCTTTGATTGTGTCTTGCTTTCCAGCAGGAAGATCCTCTATTCCCAGCAGTTTCCGAATTTCAGACAAGATTGTAGTCACCACATTCTTCACCGGGGTGGCTTTGAATAGTCGCGCCAGGATATTGGCCTCCGCAGTACTCTTGGGTCCCTGGGTGGTAATATTCTTTGCCTCTGAAAATTCTTTGAAAGTGGAGTGCTCTGCAATGCGCTTGGTTCTTGAAAGCTGCTTGTACAGGTATCGTTCGGCGGTATTTTGGTAATCGAGTTTCTGGAGCGCAAAGTTGTGAGTATATGAAGTTCTCAAATTCTCAAATTCAAAATTCATTGGAAATTCTATACCTTCAATGCATCCACTTCCTCCGCCAGCCGCGCCAAGGTTATCGAGTCATATGGCTTGCGAGCTGTCTTTTCGCGGCGGCTGAGCTTTTGTCTCTCGAATCCCCGGGCAGTTTTCATTCCTTTGATTATGATTTGTACGCTTTGGTCGAACTTGTTCGTCAGTCGCACGGCTTTCATCGAAAGCTTGCGGGTGTCGGACGAGGAAGGACCGTTTGGATCGGAGAGCTTGCGCTTCGGCATATTGGGCGGGCGACTGGTATGCGAATTCTTGGTTTCGAAAAGGCGAAAAACGAGAAGCGTGTCGTTCAGACTGGGTTTTTGGATCTCGGTGGTGGTCCGGACTTTTTTTTTGGAGCGGATCTTTTGCCAAGTCTTTCCGCCTAGTCTGTCATCCCGGGTGACCCATTTGCGGGTATCGACCCATTCTGCTTATACTGGGCCATATTTAATTTTATGTTCGTACTATGTATGTACACACGTTATATAGTAGTGGGCAATACCCTAACTTCAGTGCAGTTTAAATGGCTTACTTCCGGCACGTTCGCGATGTCCACTTTACTGTTGACCTACTAGGGGCGCAAGGATTGTCGATCTATATGTAGTTGACGGCTATATACTTTGAGTAGTTATAGGAGTTTAATATAGAAACAGGTGAGCTGGATCCTAAGACAGCTCGGCCTTTTTTAAAAAGGGATTCACAACCCTAGAGGCCAAAAAAACAACCCTTTTATTACTAAGTCTAGTTTTCTGTCCTGCGCACTATTTCAATTGATATTCCAGATGTCCGAACTGTCTTCCTACCAGTTGACCTATTCTCCTGGCTATGATAGCTATCCTCCTAACTCTCTTTCTTACTCTCTTCCTAACTATCTTTCTAACCGTCTTTCTAACCATCTTCCTAGCTACAGTCCCTAGTGAAGAGGAGAGCTATAACATAAGAGCCACTGAGCAGTAAAATATAAGGGTATATATGAATTCCCTATGATAGGAAGGGCTATTATGCGTAAGTGATAGTATATCTAGTGGTAATTGAGAAAGTTTATAAATCTCCAAGAAACCCCGAGCTGTCTGAGGATCCAGATGAGCTGTTTCTGTATTAAACTCCTCAAGTGCTATTTATGTATATGTATTCTACGATTTTCTGTGGGCCACCTTCTATTGATATATATCAATTGATGTAACCAGTTGACGTTCATTGAAGGTTGAACCTCCGACCTGACCTCAGGTCTCCGAAATCATACATAATCTCAGCCTTGGAACTCGGTTCAAGTAGAAGATTTGAAGATAAATGGCGAGGCAAAAAAATCCATCGATTATTGATATGTACATACAGACATGGCAAAGAAAACAAATACGCGTACAGACCCTTTCTATTTCTTTTCTTCCTCCTTCGGCGGCTCAGGCTTGGGGGTAGGGAGCTTGAACTGTAAGCAGATTAGTTAGTCATTTGCTATGAAGCTTGTGCAAATATCAGTTCTCTTACGGATTCGGGTGTGCGGTTCACACCGGCACCAACGGGTTCCCAAGCGGTAGATCCGCTCTCAAAGTTACGGAAGGCCTGAGTGAGCTCGAGGGGCTCGATGACAATGCGTTTCTTCTCCTCGTCATAACGCAGCTCAGTGTATCCAGTCAAGGGGAAGTCCTTGCGGAGAGGGTGGCCATCGAAACCATAATCGGTCATAATGCGGCGCAGATCGGGGTGGCCGCTGAAGAAGACACCGAACATGTCGTAAACCTCACGCTCGTACCACAAGGCGCCCTCAAAAAGACCAGTGACACTGGGAACCGGGGTAGCCTCATCGGCGTAGGTCTTGACACGAATCCGGGAGTTGAAACGAACGCTAAGAAGGTTGTAGACGACCTCAAAACGTTGGTCGCGGGTGGGGAAGTCGACAGCGGTGATGTCGGAAATCTGAGTGAACTCGGCGGAGGTGTGGTTCTTGAGGAAGCTCATGACGGGGACAACACCGGCAGGAGGGGTGTAAACAGTCAACTCATCTTTCCAGACAGTGAATTGTTGGACGTATTTGGGGAGGCAAGACATGATGTACTGTCCATAGGTGTGCAGGCTGTCGGCTTTCTCCTGCCACTTATCGGCCGGGTTGACGACGGGAGCACGGAGGGGACCCTGAGCTGCAGTCATGAAAGAGAATGTTAGTTCAATTGAATCTGTGCCAATTGACCAGAGGCAATCACATACGAGGCCGTTGCGCGTGGCGCATGTTTTCGGGTTCAGGTTGTGTCGAGGCCTTCGCAGCATATTGCAATGAAGAGGAGGAAAAGGCGCGAGGAGCCATAGACCTGGAGGCCGAAGCCACCGATCGGCCAGATCCCAGGCGCATCAACGATCGTGCGGATGCCATTGTGGGTGAGAGAGCAATGGCTGCGGGCAGAGGGGGGGACAAAAGGCACGTAAGGCGGATTGTGAGGATCGAGGTTGGTCGAACCTGCCAGTCATGTGACAATGACATAAGCGGTGCTGGCGCTAGGCTCAATATGGTAATGCCAGCAAAATGAAGCCGCGCTTCAATTTCCTTCCCTTCCTTCTCTTACGCCGTCCATCTCCCCACGATCCACCCTCTTCCTTCCTTCCCCTCCTATTCCTCTCATATTAATTCTTCATTCTTTTTCATTTGTTCCGGCTCTGGAGTAGCCTCTGTTCATCTCTTTGGTCATTGTGTGCCTGATTTCATTGGGTGCCGGCGTTGAGATTCCCGTGTCGCCTTTCCCCGTTCGCACAGTTTTTACCGCAACCATGTCGAGTCGCCAACAGATTGACTCCGTCATCGATGATGATGATGAGTTCTGGTATGCTATAATCCCCACTAATGTTGACAGCGTTCGCGACAGATTATCCTAACTCATTCAACAGCCCCCTTTGTATCGAAGAGTTCGACCTTTCCGACAAGAACTTTAAGCCATGTCCCTGTGGATATCAGGTACGCCACCTACCGACAGAACCCTCAACCGTCACGATAATATTACCAGCCCCCTTCAGTCGTACTTATCAACATGTTTAATATACAGATTTGCCAATTTTGCTACAACAATATCAAAACGCACAGTGAAGAGGGTCGATGCCCAAACTGCCGCCGTGCTTACGATGATAGCACTATCCAATACAAGATTCCGGACGTGGAAGAGTGAGTGCCGTGAACTATGGAAGCCTCCTTAACTGACGTTGAGTGAAACTGACCCCTCCTTTAATCAATCTAGGTTCAAAGCGGATCTTGCATTGAAGCATCGAAAGGCAGCTGCAGCCAAGAAGAAGGAAGCCGAAAAGCGTGAGATTGAGGCGTCTAGTAGGAAGAATTTGGCAGGCGTTCGTGTTGTGCAGAAAAACCTGGTTTATGTCATAGGCCTCAATCCGACAATTCGGGACGAGAACCTGCTGCTGCAAACGCTTCGAGGCCCGGAATATTTTGGACAATATGGCGACATTGAGAAGATCGTGGTGAGCAAGGCCAAGCCTGGTGGCAACCCACACCAGGGAATTGGCGTTTATGTCACATTCGCCCGCAAGTCGGATGCTGCGAGGTGTATCCAAGCTGTTGATGGCTCTTCGAACGGCGATCGTGTTCTGAGGGCCCAGTATGGCACAACCAAGTATTGCTCGTCTTTCCTTCGCAACGAACAGTGCAATAACCGCAACTGCACGTTCTTACACGAGACTGGCGAAGACAGCGAGAGTTACAGTCGCTCCGATCTCTCATCCATGAATACCTTATCCAGCCAACGTCAGCACCCGCCGAACATCCCACAACCCCGCCCTGCACCGTCAATCACCCACACCATGCGCCGGCAACCGAGTAAGGATGACTCTCTCAGTGGGCGCTCCGGCGCCCCTGATGGACCCGCACTCCCCTCGTCCGCTAGTTGGGCAAATAAGGATCATCCCATAGTAAGGGCCCGACGAACCAGCTTAACAGGCAGCCAAGCGTCCCAGAGCCCGCGCCCTGCTTCTGTATCTGTTGCGATAGCCGCCGAGGAGCCCAAGCGTATCGAGAAGCCCTCGCCAATCGTTCAGCCAGTACAGCGAACGTCCCCATCCGAGACGCGGTCACCAATTGCTCCACCCGAACCTACCGAGAAGCCTATTGTTGAAACACCAAGTGCGTTCGATACGCTAATCCAGGATTTGATGTCTCCCGAATTTCGATTCGTGTTTTCGGCCTCCGACCTTCCCGCGGACGAAGTTAAACACATCCAGAACTACCCTTCCTTTATTGACCCTTACGGTGGCGTGAAGCGCCGTGCTATGCGTGAGAAAGCGGAGGCAGAGCGCGCTAGTCGTGAACACGAGATTCTACAAACCGCCGAAACTGCTGCGGCAGAAGAGGATAGTAGGGAAGCCGGCAGTCTGCAGCTTGGGGGAGAGCCAGAAGATGTTAATCCTCCTCGTGGTCGCCAAACCCGTGAGTCCCATGGTGCTATCCAACCTCCATCTCAGCAAGGCACAGCCGATAACTCTACTGTTGGATCTCCCGTTTCAGCCACAAGCCATCAATTCCACGGACTCAACCTCGCTGGCCGTAGCTTGACCCCCCTTCAACAGCAGCAGTTGATGCTCCTCAAGTCTGCCGGTAATCAGCAAGCTGGTATTTCGGATGCCTCAAGCTCTGCAGCTTTGGATCAAGCTGCCCAGGCCCGCCAGGGTGCTCTGCAGAACCAAATGGCCGCCCAATATGCGCTTCAAGCCCAAAACAGACAATCATCCCGGTTTGCCTTTACCAACGATGTCAATCCAAAGAATATCAGCAATGCTCGGATGTTGAACCAGATGCAGCAGCCCGGCACCCCTAATCCACTCTCAGCACCAAGCCCTCAGCACGGTCTCGCCGGAAGCTTTTATGCAAGTGGAGTTCAGGGCCCCCCTCCGGGTTTGAAGACAGCAGGAACTCCTCCTATCAGTGGTGGTGGCATGTTCGCACAGGGCCATGGTTTTACTTCAAATACCAACATGGGACTGGGAACAAACACTGGAAAACATGATGCGACACCGGAATCGATGCGTGAATTATTACGAGGCCGAAGTGGGGCCAATATTGGTGGTGTGCAAGGCCAGGAGGCTACAAAGCGTGAGTTCATGTTCCCTTTCCTTCAACAGCACCAAACCCCACCTCCCCTGACTCCTGTCAATGGCCTTCTCAGCTCTTTCTATGGGTCCCAGGCGGGTACACCACCTGACTCTGGTGGCTCACAGAAGCAGAAGAAGAAGGGAAAGAAGCACAGACACGCTAACACTTCCTCCGGTGGAGGTGGTGTAGTAGATCTTGCAGACCCGAGCATTTTACAGGCGAGAATGCACCAGGTCGGTGTCAATGCTACTGCTGGACAAGCGTTGTATGGGAGTCAGGGTCAAGGTGGGTACAACCCCTCGATGATGTACGGCGGTGGGTTAAGCCGTTGGTGATTCCCCATGTCATTTCCTTTCTTCCCCTATACCTTTCGTGACTTTAACTGCATCTTTGTATCTCTTCTCCTTTTCCATGATGTTTCACCATGCGCTCAACAGGCTTGTATCCCTCTGATGACATTTTTCGAATTCCCCTTTATATTTCTTTTCATGCCCATCATGTGCTGGGATTACATCATGCTTTTCTCTCTCTTTGTTCTTGGCAGCCAAACAGACGGCGCTGGATCAATACGACTGGCGGGCGTGTCAGTGGCGTATTGTGATGGCCTTTGATTTTCCTTCAATCGTGGTTTTATGCATGTTGTTTCTCCCAGCTTCCCGTTTTATCCAGGTTCATGGTGTTTCCTTTCCCTTGCATTTGTGGACATATCATGTCTGGTGGTTTTTTTTTTTTTTTTTTGTTGGCGGCTGGTGCTTCCCTTCTTGTTATTCTTGCATCCGGATTCTCGCATGCAGCCACCTACAGTATGTTTTACACTGTCGGTGGTTTGCGTATGGATTAGTGTACGTTAAGACCTCCCTACCCTGATATCACCAGCTGGAACAGGGTCTTATTCGAAACCAGTTGTCTCACTGCTGCCGTCTACATAGACCCTTTTGCCCTACACTGTATCTGACCCCCATGTGTCAGTGCCCATCGTGTAATTATCTGCTGGCACACTTGGATATTGCATAGTTGCCCGGATAATCGTTTCGCATAGTCGCTACCCTCGGCTTGACCCTCCTTGCCCTTCACTGCTCATTCATATTACCTGCACCTCTCACACGTTGCTTTGCCGCGGGACTGGATGCTAACTGGGAACCAATAGTGGATGATGACTTCCCTCCCCTCACCAGCCATCTGAAGGATAACCAACCTATTGATACATTTGGTTTCTTGAAATCGCAACTTCCAAGTGATTCTGCTGGCCGTGCTGGGACTCCAACCCTTCCACCAGGCCTTCCTTTACCCCATGCTCACCCAGCATCTGCCATCTTCCAAGAACAAAGGGGCTCATCGAACCCAGCCTCACCAACTCCCCATGTGCCTCCTGGGCTTGGCACCACTCCATCTCACTCCCGTCCAATAAGCCCTGAGCTTGGTATGCGCACCGGAAATTCGTCGGCTCGCAACAAGGATGCTTCCCAGATCTCTCTTGGATCACCGATTGCCAAACCGATTCGTAAGCCTCGCCTCAATACCAAAGTCGACATCTCCGGACTCGCCGATGACAAAGAGACAGGTGGATTGGATAGCCCCCTTGTGGGCTCAAAAGCCAGTCCTGCCACCCTAAGCATGCCGCTTGCTTCGCAAGAGACATACTCTCTGCAGTCTGAACGCGTCCTTTCTGGGACGTTCGCGTCTAGAGCAGATTCTGTCTCGGCTGTCTCGGCTGTCGCGTCACGACCAAACACACCCTTCACCACGACTTCTCGCGTTTCTGATTCTTCAATTCCTCGACAAACACGCATTCTCCGTGTCGTGGATACTCCCAAATACGACACATCTCGTCTTATTGGAACGACGCCATCGGCTACCAATTCAGTTGCCGGTACCGGTCGGCTGGGTTCCCCCCGACACAGTGTCTCTTCTCTCAGCAGATCGGATACACCTGGGGACTTTGGCTCTGAGATCGACATGTACCACTCCGGCTCTGTCTCTCGTTCAGGCTCCCCTCCGGCTTCCAGTCGGATTGGATCTGCTCCGGTCCGCGCAGTCACTAAGAGTCAGGCCAAGAAAGAACGCAGACAAAAAGCAAAGGAAGCCGACGCTAAAAAGGCCGAAGTTGCTGTGGCGGAGGAACCCGTTCAAGCTCCAATCATGGGTAGAAAGCGCAAGACCAAGAAGGCACCTTCCAGCGCCCCTGAAACCACTGATGTTGCACCGGCTCCCGTTGAGACCATGAGCCCTGTCAAGCCTATCAAAACCTTTGTGGAATCGGCCAAGAAGGCTGAACCAAAATTCGAATCACCCAAGAAGGTCAAGGTCAAGGAGGTAGTAGTGATGGAAGAGAGCAAGGCACCCTCTGTGGAAGACGAGCCTATTGAACCCAAGACTCCACCCGAGGCTTGGCACTCTCAAAACACCGTTGAGCAACTTATCAAAGATTCCGAGCAGTCTGGTCGTTCGATTAAAGATCTATTCATGGAACGGACGAAGGCATTGCATGTACTGCTTGCAGAGATGCACAGAGATGGCGATCTTGATCTCAACACCAGCTCCTTATTCAACCCTGCCAATCTCAGCCAACGTGTTGACATGAAGTGTACATCTGATGACTACGAGGAGTTGAAGCAGCCTACGGAACTTACTGAAGAGCACCGAAAGGCTCTTCTACGCGGTGAGCCTATCCGTGTGGGTACTCAGTCCCTCAAGAACCGCTGCCTCATTACTCCTCGTGGCTGTTTACTTCGACACCTTGACCTCGATGAGGAAGAGCGATACCTTCGACTGGAGAAGAATCGGAATGGAATGGTTGATCCCTTTAATGTTGGCGACGACTCCAGCAATATCAACGGGGGACTGGAGGCACTCTTCGTGTCCCCGGAGAAGTACAATATTTGTTGGGTTGATGACGCTGTGGCCCAGATGGGAAGCACCTCACCCGTCCTCGAAACCTCGGATTCCATTATTCCGCCTAATGTCCTTTCTGCGATGGAAGCTGACAGCACCCGCAGTCACGATTGGGCTGTAGCTCACTCTGCTGAGCTTCTGCAGACTACCACAGCTGCTGTCCGTTCCTTTGCCGCCGCTACTGCCAAACAGATGCTCGGCTCCGCTGGTCTTCCTGGCAGCAACCCCACCCTGGAGGACGTTGCCGCGATGACTGATGAAGAGCTTAAGAATCTTACTAGCAAGTCGCAAAAGGATCTGGAAAGCACACGCAAGGAAATGGAATTGCTCGATAAGAAGTTCAACGGTCTTCTTCGCCGCAACAAGAAGCTTCAGCAACAGGCACTGTCTATCGCTGAGTCCCCGTGAAAGCTTATGCATGTGTTAGACTAAGGATTCGGGGCTTCTAGGTGCATGATACTGGATCAGATATTTTATCCCTTGGGGTCCCTGCATGGTCATATGAGCTGGTAGCAGTGTATCAATTAGAAATGCATTATTTCCCGCCAACGGAGTCTTTTTATTCCCTGTAGTATACTGCCTTTGAATGTTTGGTTATTCTTGAGTCTCATGAGTTCCAGCCCTATCTCGGCCCTACTCCTTCTCATTTCCCCTGTTTTAGCCCCCATGCCAACCAGAGTGTAAGCCAACTAGTACATGTACATGGGTGAATTCAAACAAAGAATACTTTGATTAGACCCAAAATCACCATTCTGCTGATGGGAGAGATCAGGATGGGAAAGTTGATGCAGCACAAACAATTTCCAATTTTTTGTGGGAAAAAGTGAGGAATCTGAAACAGCAGAAATGAAAGCGGGGCGGCTTTACTGGTGGCGCTCATTCGTTTGTGAAAGGGTGCCCTGTTGGTGGCGCTTATACAGCAAAAGTGCGGTCAAGTTTCCCCTGAGTTCTGACTCCTGACACTCCCGAATGATCGAGTCTCATGCATTAAAATGTCCGAGAAACGCTCTGACGATTTCGACTGCAGAGCCAAGATGGAAATGTTCCAGCACGCGCCGGTGGCAGTCTTCTGAGGGGGAGTTTCTCTCATGAGATTTTTCCTTACGCCAATCTGCCCCTCAATGTATCGTCGGTCCCACTAGGGCCCAGTGGTATCCGCAATGGTTCGTTGGATCGATCGAATCATCAGCTCGATTAACAGATCCGGGATGCTCGGCCATGTCAGTGCTCGCCGCTCGGTCATTTCCGCCGATCCTGATTGACCTTTGATCTGGACTTTGTTTGACAGGGTTGTGAAACGAGTGGCTTGATCATTCCAGTCCACGCCATGTGTTCCGGGAGATTAATTGGTGATTCCTGCGACGCCATTCGTTCCTTGTGGCTGTTGACGCCGTTTTTTTTTCTTTGTGAGGTGGATTCGTCGATTTCTTTTACTGTGGATGTGTGCTAAAGATTATGGGCTACTAACTACTAACGGAGGGGTCTGGATCTAAATCTCCCTAGGGCTGACGCCTTAGTTTAAGTATAAACATGTTCCCCGTTCCCCGGCTCCGTTGCCCCATCCTCTAAGTTACTATCGTTCTTTCCAACTCTCTCGAGTCGCTCCTTTTTTTTTTTTTTTTTGCAGATCCTACAGCCCTGGTGGTTAGTTGATCATTACACTCCTTTTTTTGTTACGTTCTGTCCCTCCTTTTATCTTCAAAATGCGTTTTACTTTCGTTGTGGGCAGTGCCCTGACTATGGCCTCTGTTGCCTTTTCCGCTGCTTGTGCGGCACCAGCAGCAGCACCGGTGACGGTGACAGTGACGGTATCTGACGAAACTTCGACTGATGTTCCGGCCAAGCTCGCTCATGCGCATTCTCATGCCCATGGACATTCCCATGTGCCCTCTTCCGAGGTCGCGCCTGTAGTCTACGCTACAGTGTGGTTTACGGAGTGGTCTACAGTGTACTCGACTACTTTTGCTACTGTGGCTGCCCCATCTACATTCTCCACCTTGGTTTCTTCTTCTACCTTCGCCACGGTGGATGCTCCCTCTACCATTTCTACGGTAGACTCCTCTACTTTGTCTACAGAGGCCCCTTCCGTTTCGACCTTGACTTCTATCTCTGATTTCACCTCTTTGTCTACATCCACTTCCACCTCCACCGTTACCTCTACGTCCTCTTTATCCACTTTATCTACGTCTTCGTCTTCTACATTCTCCACGGTGTATTCATCTGCGATTTCTGCATCCACGGCATCTTCTTCGACTGTCTCTTCTTCGGCCGTTTCTCCTACGACCGTCGCTTCTTCGACGTCATCATCTGCGACATCATCATCTGCGACCTCTTCAGCAGCTACAGCTTCATCTACCGCATCCCCATCTACATGTATCTTACTGCCGCTTTACATCTGGCCCACCGACAACACAACCTGGGGCCCTGTTTTCGAAGCCGCATCTGACAACCCCGATATCAACTTCAAGGTCATTGTTAACCCCGACAGTGGCCCAGGCGATACCAGTAAGAGATCACTTATTAAACCATAGAGACCATGTTTGCTAATTTACGTTGCTTTAGCCTACCCCGAGACGGAATACATCACAGCCATTGCCCAATTGAACAGCTACGACAATGTCGTGGTTCTAGGATACATCCCGACAGAATACGCCACCCGCGCGGTGTCCGATGTCGAAACCGACATCTCTACCTACAGCGGCTGGGCAGCCTACACAGAGAAGAACATCACCATCTCCGGCATTTTCTTCGATGAAGCACCAAGGACTGATGACACGAGCCTAATCTCGTACATGACTGAAGTTGCGGACAATGCCAGATCGCACAGCATGAACACCATTGTCTTCAACCCAGGGACTAAGCTAGAAGAGGGTGCTGTAAATGGATACTTCGATGCTGCGGATTTGATCGTGGAATTTGAAAACTCCTACGATACTTGGGTTGATGCTGTCCCTGCTGATGAATTCTCTGCTGTAGCAGATTATTCCAAGGATGCTATCCTTTTGTACAGTGCGCCCACTGATGCAAACTACGAGACTGTGATTGCAGAGGCGAAGGAGATGGGGTTGGGCGCTGCTTACCTGACTAACACTGACGACTACAAGTCTGCTGATACCATTCTTAAGGTCACAGCTGCTCTTGTTCAAGCTACTTCTTAGACCTAGACAGTGAATTTGGAAGTCCATATATGGTGGGTGCATCAAACTGCGCCCTGGTTTTCGTTGTGGTAAATATTTGCAAAGATCTACAAATTGTTGATTAGACGTACTTTGGTCAATTCGATTATGCACTCCATTGGAGGATCACATTTGCATTACTTTCAAGTTACTGTGCATATTAAAATACTAAATAAATACATCTGCAAGAATGTGATCAATTACTTTCTCTTTCCCCCACTTTTGAATCTCGTATCTTGGCTTACCATGTACCTAATCTCCGACGGTGTTGCCCATCAACTCCGCCGGAGGGCAGTCGAAAACACGCGACAGAACATTATTTAAAACGATCTGATATCAACGGAGTATTACCCTGAATAACATCCATGAATTAACATTCCTGCTATTATTAATTATTTATTACCTATATTCACCTTAAACATGGCCCTTCTAACATTTTTCTTATCCCCATGGATAGTCTGTACAATTCCAGTATGGTTCATCCTTTACTACACAATTCCATACTTCACGACCTACAAATCCCTGTCTCAAATCCCAGGTCCATTCTGGGCCAGATTTAGCAATATCTGGGTTGGACTTAGCGCACGCCGAGGAAAGAAATTCGCAGCCGTTGACACCGCACACCGGACATATGGCAAGGTCGTACGTATTGGGTTCAACCATGTTTCCATTGCGGACGAACGGGCGCTGAATGTCGTCTATGGGCATGGGAATGGATTTCTGAAGGAGTAGGTCCCCCGTGAACAAATCTTTCTTTTTTCTCCAGAAAGAATTCAAAATTATTGACACAACATATTTCAGCCACTACTATGAAGCGTTCATCGCGCGCACCCCAGGTATGTTCAACGTCCGCGATCGCGCAGAACATACGCGCAAACGCAAAATTATCTCGCATGCTTTTTCACCCAAATCCGTTGCTGCTTTTGAACCTCACATGGCCGCCAATCTGCAGCGATGGGTGAACCAGCTCGACCGCATCGCAGCAACCTCAAGTCCACAGCCTCAGCTTGGGGGCACGGGCAACAGCAGGAATTTCGGCCACTTCAATGCCATGCCTTGGTTTAGTTATCTCGCCTTCGACATCATCGGCGACTTGGCATTTGGATCTCCTTTCGGAATGGTAAATAAAGGCAAAGACGAGACCGAAGTCCAATTGATACCCGGCGGCCCACTTTCAACCGCACCTGCCGTTGATGTACTAAACCGTCGAGGAGAAGTGTCTTCTACATTAGGTCTTCTCCCGGCCCTACGCCCCTATGCACGATACCTGCCAGACCCGTTCTTCTCCAAGGGCGTCGCAGCAGTTGAAAATCTAACTGGAATTGCCGTTGCGGCCGTTTCCTCTCGGATAGATGCAGCAGAGAAGGGAGTTGTGGATACACGGAACGATATCCTGTCTCGCTTGCTGCAGGCAAAGGACAGCAACGGGCGTCCGATGGGCCGGACGGAGCTTACATCGGAAGCTTTGACACAGCTGATTGCTGGTTCGGACACGATATCGAACACAGCCTGTGCAGTGTTCTATTGGATCCTGCACGGCGAGCGCTGTGCACCGGGGAGTATCCTTCCTCGACTGCGAGAGGAGCTTGATTCCACTATTGGCGAAAGAGAGACAGAAATTGCGTCGTACAGCCAGGTGAAAGACCTGCCATTCTTGCGCCGCTGTATTGATGAGGGAATGCGGTTGCACTCTACTTCTGCTATTGGACTTCCTCGGCTCGTCACTGATAACGGGTCTGGAGTGGAGTTTGATGGACATTACTTTCCACCGGGAACAGTTCTTTCGGTTCCCTCATACACGATTCATCACATGGCTGAAATTTGGGGAGATGATGTGGAAGAGTTCAAGCCGGATCGCTGGTTAGATCTGACAGCCAGACAAAAGATCGCGTTTAACCCGTTCTCTTATGGACCCCGTGCGTGTGTTGGGCAGAATGTTGCAATTATGGAGTTGCAGTTGATCATTGGAACATTGTTCCATCGGTATGAGTTTGCTCTGTACCAAGAGAAGATGGAGTCTCACGAAGGATTTTCGAAGAAACCAAAGGAATGTTTTGCTGGTATTAGATTGAGAGATCAGGAATAGCCAAGAAGACAACTTTGTAAGACTGAAGTCCATTGAATGCTCCGATATTCTTTTTATGAAATTAACCGATGTAATATGTCGTCTTAATGAAACGGAACATAAATAAAAGATCAGAAGACTACCTGCCAGCATATGCTGATTGGAAATTTCCGTCATGTAATATCAAACTGCATTCCCAAAGAACATGTCCTCGAGAGATGGAAACTCTTGCTCGATAGACCATTCGTTATCGACCCACGTCTTTGTATCGTCCGCAACTGGTGGCATAGCCGCTACAGAATTCTCATTATCCGTTGAAGTTTCCATATCGCTCCCACTGACATGCTGCCTGATCACATTCAAAGACCATCGGCTCACGGGCTCTGCCTTTCCACCACGCTGGATATGAGATATAGCACGCTCCATAAGGGCGATCACCTCGTCAGTGTTGGTCAACCGGCTGACAAACTCGGCCAGAGTAACCATCGCAAATGAACCCAAGAGGTTCTCATATGCTGGATGGATACAGGTCGTGAGATCTGACATCGACAGAAAAAGGATCAAGATTTGATTTGAGTGATGTATTGCAAAATTGATGAATGGAAGGGCGTCGGAAGACTCATGTCTGGATTTGAAACCGCTCGACTTTTCTGACTGCGATTCATGTATGTGCTGAATTGTACGACGAGCGAGGATCAAGTACGCACATGAATATGCGAAGCGCAACGGTTCGGAAGAATCAAGGTCTAAAACAAGAGAATTTTTTGATCAGTCAAATGCTCGTTTATGGGCCGTTGAAGGCGTACTGTAGATATGCTCTTGCGATTTGCAAAGATTTTCAATCTCAGGCCAGGATGGAGTTTCCTTTTCAATCACATTTGAGCTAACCAACTCCCATAGTTTCCGGTAAAGATACACGCCAGCCAAAACGAGCTCGTCTCGGGAGTTATAAGAAGGAAACTCAAGCACTCTTGCGCATTGGTCAAAGTATTCGCTGGCGATGACGGGTGGTCGACCAGATCCCACCGAAAATCTATGAAGGCATTAGATGATCGTAAAAAGTCTACCAATATTAAAGCTTAACCAGGAAAACATACTGTAGTTGACACAAGCAAATCAAATTCCAGGTGCGAATAATTTCTCGCGCCCTTGCTTGTTCCTGGGTACTGCTTGTCTGCAGAAGTTGCCCAAAAGAAGTGCTAATCATGACCTGCATGGCCGCCGTCCCACTTAACAGCCACGAGTTCCCATGGTCATGATCTCTTGTGGGTCTCAAGTCCCACATGGAGCAGATAAGCATTGCTTGGATGGTATCGGGGGAGACTGATGACGCAAATTGGGATCGGCCAAGGAGTCCATGAACATGGCGATATAATGCGTGGTGTGTAGAAGACCCGTGCAATGATGGAGTGATGTGAAGACCGGCAAGAACACAAGTTCCGAACAGAAGGGGTGATTTAGCACGTATATCGGCCAGCTCGGTGCCCAAAAATAACCAGCGACTGGATAACTTTGAAAATCTGAGTAGAGATAGAGTCATTAGTTCTCTAGTGATGTGTATTTCGTGGCGATAAGGACACAGCCTACCCTTTTAAGAGCGTCAAAGCTGTGGCTTCAGAGACAATACCATTTATAATGACGTCCTCTAGAAGATCTTGGATTTGTGATGGCTGACGATGTAATGTTATGTTCTCTCGAATTTCTTGGATGAGGCTCATGGGAGCATCGCGTGCAGTTCTCTCGGCATTGGACTGTGCTGTCTGGATAGTAATTTAGCAGGTATTCATTTGCACCACTTGGGCACTTTCGCTCTTTCACCTCGTGTCTAATGGAGTTCGGGCTTGCGGGCTGTAAGGACAGTGAAGCTTGGATCTGGGCTAAAGAGGCCTCGACAGCGCGAAGCCTGTACTGAATTATCAGTACATGTCATATATCCCCGGGAAAATACGATGGCACCGAAGGGCCCACCTATGGTGATAATCATGCTGAGCTCCACTTTCCACCTCAGTGTCCGGCTCCTTCAATACACCATTCCTGTGGGCCACGCCCAGAAATGAACACTTGGTTCTACAGTTCGGTCAGTACACTAGTAGATAATGCCGTTGATACGCAAGGTAGAGTACCCCAGTGTCTCGCAGCGATGGCATCCATTCAAGGTAGCATTTATCTCGCAGCGTGTTTTCAGTCGACGACAAGCTTCACATGACCTTACTTTACTGGATTTAATCTGCTCGGATGATCGCACTGACTGTCTTCGTTTTGAAACCCGTGGCTCCGTGGAAGACATGTTGTCATTATTGGGGAACTTGAAGGATTTAATTTTCCATTTCTATTGAAGAGATTGAGGGGGTGATAAGAAGCTTATTCGAGGTACTTCCCCACTCCTGTGAAGAAATTGGTTCTCTAAGCCCTTTGAACGGGATTGTAATACCTGCTTCTGGAGTTCCACGAGAAGGAGCACCTACTAGTAGTTATGAGGCTCCAAAATGTATAAGTAGAAGTGAATCTCCTGGTAGTTGGTTCTCTGAATTTAATTGATTTTACCAGATAGAAAGTGAAAGTGCCTAGTGCCCCCACTTTTGGCGGTTATGGCAGACCTGGGGCAATGGTGGCGTCCCCAGGAAGTTCAGATACATGGGATTATAGAGAGAGAGAGAAAAAAAAATAAGAAAAACCATGTATTCATGCGTCATGAAGAATTTACAATGCAAAAATTAATATGAATTTGTTGTCCATTTCCCGATAACCGGGACCCACTAACATTTGAAGCGTACGATGACATAGTGTTTTGCTGTCCCTGGGCTACATCATTGGACTTCTCCTTTTTTAATCCCCACATGTGCACAACATTCTGAGTCTTTCCCTGGAAAATCGATATGGATATGACATAGCCTCAACTGACGCCAATGGGGACTTCCCAAATGTTCCAAATTCGAATGTCCCGATTGCCAAACACATATTGAACGAGGTTGATAAAATTCATATTTTTTCTTTCGTTTTCATACCTTGCTTTGTTTTTATTCCAGACGCAAAACCGCAATACTGCATCATTATGATCGACGCTGAAAATGTCACCGACGTGTTGAACACTGATATCCGGACACCTATCCCAGAGTCAATTGTCTCTAAGATTATTTCTTTGCCTCCTTTCGTGATTGTGCCTGGCGCATCAAACTTCCGGGATTTGAGCCATGACAACGAACTTCGTCCCGGATATGCCTACCGATCGGGCAATTTGTCAGATATTGAAGAGACAGGGAAGTCAGTCCTGGCGGATGATCTAGGCATCACCACCATATTCGATCTTCGAAATCAAGGCGAGCGAGAACGGGCTCCCAGTCCCGAGATCAATGGTGTCGAGACCATATGGATGCCCTACGGCGCCAGACCAGCCACACTAAACCTGCGAGATTTCTCACAAGCAGATCAGTCTGGGACTGGATTTGTGAAAATGTATATGGGCATTTTGAGCGCAGCATCGCCCATATTCACCGAAATCTTCAGTCATATTAGAGATGAACCCAACGACCCTTTTATCTTCCATTGTTCGGGTGAGCAAATGATTCCTGTACCCACTCCGCCAAGTCGCACATCGATGATGAGTGGGGTTATGGAATCGGAAAATAATAATGATTTGTGCATTGCGCTAACCTGTTTCTGTGTCATATTTAGCTGGTAAAGACCGAACCGGAGTGCTTGCCGCTCTTATCCTTCTCCTGATCGGACGGCCCTACGATGAAATCATCCAAGATTATCTCTATACGCGCGTGGGACTGGAGAGTGTAAGGGAAAACTTGACGCACGCGCTAGCACTTCATGCTGGCACCGATCATTTAAGCCCCGAGGCAGAAGGTATGCTCGAGCTTAGTGGCGTTCGCGCTTCCGCTATGGAGGCGTTCCTTAAGACCTTCGAGGCCACTTACGACGGCGGCGTCGAAGTATATTTGAACACCCAGCTCGGCTTCTCTCCCGAGGATATTGGGTTGATGCGCAAAAACCTGACGAGTTTTTAAACATGTACAACTAAAGCGACGACATGAGGATTAGAAATTGTACAATACTTTTTGGCCTTCAAAATACACGGGAATGGCTAGACCGATCGCCAGTGCGTCTCAAATCAAGGGATTCATTCCAACATTGCATTTGCATTTTCTCAAAGAAATTTCGAAATCGAATCCTTTTACTTCACCTGAGCTTTGTTTTTCCTTAACAAATAATGATTGGCGATTTCATTGACTTTGTTATTTTGCTCGGCAATTGATAAATCACCTCCCAACCCCTACTTTACCCCTCCCGAGCTTCATGCAGATCATCGCTTTTAACCGCCATTAGACCCAGAGCCGGAGATTTCCCTTGGTATATTTCCCCCGGGATCTACCTCGTTCGCTACGCAGCATTGCAACCGTTGCTTCCTTCCCCGCACGTGAGGGTACTTTTCGGGGTCTTTTGCGAGGTTATCCCCGTCAAGACAGCAATGGCACGGCCCATGTTTAGCTTCACCACTCATTAAAAGGACCCAAGCCACTTCTTTGCGTCTCCACTTCTTCTTTATGCCGATGGCTATCTAAAGTGACGAGGCAAGTTTCCGCAGGATAAATCAGGGCAATCGCCCGAGTCGAATCTTGGTGTCACTTGGATTTGTCACTCTCCATTGCCCTGCGTTGCAATCTGTGCCACCATGAAATCGTGGATGAAGCTGGCACTGGCTGCACTGCCAGTGACATTTCAATCTGTGCTGGGCCAGCATGTTGTCGACCTAACTGGGGATGGCTGGACGGTCAGCAGCAAGGCTTTGAATATCTCCGTTCCCGGTCATTTGCCTTCGCAGGCTCATTTGGATCTCCTGGCTGCCAATGTTATTGGTAAGTAGTATATTTGATCTTAAAAGGAGTAATTTGAACTAACCGTTGTGTACAGATGATCCGTTCGTATTTGTTTCTAGGTAAAAAGAAAAGCAAGTACTAATTGATTGAATTACCCCAATGCAGCTACTATGGACTGAATGATTTCAATTTGCGATGGATCCCGAACAATAACTGGACGTACACCAGTCATCCTTTAGGTGGACTGTACGTACAGTGAGTGGTTATATCTTGAACATGACATTTTAGCTGACAGTACGGATACAGTTCCACCACCTCCAAAGCATCCTGGCTTGTTTTTAATGGTTTGGATACTTTTACCACGATTGAGCTGTGTGGCCAGTTTGTTGGTACTACTGACAACCAATTCCGTCAATACACATTTGATGTCACCAAAATCGTCAACAGCTGCAAGGGTCACCCCAGCCTGTCGCTTAATTTTGGGAGTGCGCCCAAAATTGCCAACGAAATTGCTCAAAATCCTTCTTCTGAAAGTATGAGATGATTGAATTTCTGTTTCACTTAATAAAGACTAACGGTGTTTGGTTTAGAATGGCCTTATGGTCCTCAGCAGATTTATGAATTCCCGAACCGCTGGTATATTCGCAAAGAACAATCTGACTTCGGTTGGGATTGGGGTCCAGCCTTTGCTCCCGCGGGTCCATGGAGAGACGCGTATTTGGTGCAATTTGAGCATGAGGAAAGCATCTACGTCCTCAACACTGATCTAGACATCTTCCGTCAAGGTCAAATTAATCATCTCAGTCCAGATCAGAGCAAGCCATGGGTTGTGAACGCCAGCATTGACTTCCTTGGCTCATTGCCAAGTCACCCCTCTATGCATATTGAGATCAAGGATGTCAAATCAGGAAGCGTCATCAAATCCGGGTCCCTCCAGAATGTCTATACCTCGGGTCAAACCATCACAGGAAGCATTACTGTCGGGGCCGATACACCCAATCTCTGGTGGCCTACAGGAATGGGCGAACAAAATCTCTATTATGCCACAATCACAGTGAATGGCACTCAGGGAGCCCTGGCTAGTGTCACGAAGCGCACTGGATTCCGCACAATTTTCCTTAACCGCCTTAATATCACCGATGAACAGCTCGCTCAAGGAATTGCACCGGGCGCAAACTGGCACTTTGAAGTCAATGGACAGGAATTTTACGCCAAAGGTTCGAACTTCATTCCACCAGATGCATTCTGGCCTCGAGTCACGGAAGAAAAAATGCAGCGTCTCTTTGATGCCGTTGTTGCTGGAAACCAAAATATGCTTCGTGTATGGGCATCTGGTGCCTATTCGCCAGATTTTATCTACGACATTGCCGATGAACGCGGTGTTCTCCTCTGGAGCGAGTTTCAATTCAGTGATGCTATGTACCCCGTCAATGCAAGCTTCTTGGAAGACGTTGCTGCCGAAGTCTCCTACAACGTGAGACGAGTGAACCACCACCCTTCTCTCGCTCTATGGGCTGGTGGAAATGAAATCGAAAGTCTCGAATTACCTCTCATTAAAGATGCAGATCCAGAACACTATTCGTACTGGGTCGGACAATATGAACAGCTATTCATCAGCTTGATTCTCCCACTCGTCTACGAGAACTCGCGCTCAATTTCTTACATGCCCAGCAGCACAAACAACGGCTACTTGTATGTCAACCTATCGGCAACGGTTCCAATGGCCGAACGCTATGACAATACTACAGCTGGGTCATATTATTCAGACACCGATCACTACAACTACGATAGTAGCGTTGCGTTTGATCTGAGCAGCTACCCCGTCGGTCGGTTCGCGAATGAATTCGGTTTCCACAGCATGCCAAGTCTACAGACCTGGCGCCAGGCCGTCGACGAACAGGAACTACACTTTAACAGCAGCACCGTCAAGCTCCGCAATCACCACTATCCCCCCGGTGGCACCGAGACCCGCAACTACCAAAACTCGTCCATGGGAATGGCTGAAATGACCATGGCGGTAGAACGCTACTACCCCATCCCACACAAACAGGACTCTGTCGCGAACTTCAGTGCCTGGTGTCACGCAACCCAGCTCTTCCAGGCGGACATGTATAAGAGTGAGATTCAGTTTTACCGCCGCGGAAGTGGAATGCCTGAGCGTCAGCTCGGGTCTTTATACTGGCAGCTTGAGGATATCTGGCAGGCGCCTACCTGGGCAGGTATCGAATACGATGGCCGGTGGAAGGTTCTCCACTATGTTGCTCGGGATATCTACAAGCCTGTCATTGTTGCACCGTACTGGGATAATTCGACCGGGGACCTTTCTGTATACGTCACATCCGATCTCTGGGAGACGGCGCGTGGAACAGTGAACTTGACTTGGGTTGACCTCGCTGGAAAGAGCATTCCGGGTAACGCCAACACTCCCCTAACCACCCAGTTCACTGTTGGTGGACTCAACACTACCAAGATTTTCGAAGCCAATGTTTCGACTCTCGGTCTTCCTGATACAACAAATGCCGTCCTTTTGATGTCAGTTAATGCGCGTGGTCGTCTGCCGAATGCACAGAATCACACCACGTCTATATTCAATCATCGCAATCAGTTCACTCCTGTGTACCCCAATGACGTCGCGCTAGTGGATCCTAAGGTTAAAGTTTCTCATGATGCAAAGACCGGTCTGTTCACTGTTGAAGCTATGAGTGGCGTATCCCTTTATACCTGGTTGGACTACCCGGCTGGTGTAGTTGGGTACTTTGATGACAACTCATTTACCCTTCTTCCTGGGGAGAAGCGACAAATTGGCTTCACTGTACAGAAGGATGAGACGGGTGGCAAGTGGGTTGAAGGAGTGACGGTTCGGAGTCTTTGGGATCAATCGACAAATTAGATAAAGGGCATCATTTCATATTGCTGGAATGATCCAATTGTGAATTTCGATCGACGACGATAATACAACATATGTAGGTCATCAAGCGCTGTATCTTTCTTTCCTCAATATCGTCTACTCTGCTCTAGGAGAGACTTGTAGAATGACCGGCCTGGGCAGTGATAAAAAAAAATTAGCAAGCTATCCCAAGATACTCACGGCCATTGGCATTCTCTCACCTTTACTGAGACGAAGCAACCGCTTCTCATATGGCCCCAACGGCTCCTCCATCAAAATCAGTTCGAGTGGGGCATCCTCTTTAGGTCCCGCATAAATCCATCCCCACCGATCATCCTCAAACTTCTCAATAACATCTCCCATATCGCCATCCAGATCCTGTACCTTTCGACTGACAACAGCCCTCACGCGTTTAAGCTCCCAAGGCCCCTTCTTCAACAAAGCCTTGCATTTGTACAAACCCACATCATCATACCCCAACCCTCCAAGGTCCAGCCGAATGCGCACACTCCGATGTATCCTCTCATTTGTATTAATCAAGAACCGGGACGTTGTTCTCCCAGTCTCGGGATCAATACGCCGATATTGCCCCGGCGTGCGAGTCGTCTTCCCAGCAAGGTGATAGAGCCCTGTATCAGGCTGAATGATCTCGCCCAGACCCCACGGTCTAACAGGCCTGTGCTCGTCGTAGACAGATAAATCGGCCCATTGTCTCCACTGTTCCGAGTTGGATGAGGATTCGGCATCCGAGCCGTGCGGGTGGTCGAAGAAGTAGCGTACGCTTCGCTCGAATACCTTGTCTATTGTATCGTCGTAGAAAGCTACGCCAATGGAAGTCAGTTGATCCATCATCCAGGCTAGAGAGACATTTGCGAGTTCTTGGTCTGGGAGTCCGCCGCCGACATTGGAGTGTGCGCCACAGAACCATACTTGGCGGAGGTCGGTATGTACGCCATCTGGGCGTTCCCATATTGCTGGCGCGAAGGATGTGCGGTCTTCGTCGAGGGCTAGAGCCTGGAATGCGTATTCTGTTGTGTTTGAGAGGCGGGTATCGTAAAATTGCAATGTATTATTCTGGTCAGTTCATTGGATGGTAGGTTGATGGAATAGCAAAGGGAATACTTATTCTTTTGTGGAGCGGGGGATGTGCAGTCGTTTGCCCAGGTTGGTGTTTGGAATACCTGAAAAGGGTCAGATAAAGCAAGATTTTTGGAAAAGAAATTGTGGTGGAGTGTCATATACCTAGACTTCCTACTGTCTCCCAGACTGCGATGCAGCGTATCTTAATGCGGTGTCCATCTGGATTGTAAACTCTTGTCAATCCGTCCTATATTTTCTGTCAGTGGTGGATAATGAAGGTTCCGTTAGAGGAAAAGTACCTCTTCTAGCCGACGCCTGTACTCCTTTCCATTGTTTGGTCGACGAGGCTTGTTTCGAAATGGAATAGTAGGAAATGTATCCTTGTAGTCAGGATCCTCCATATTCTCCGCATCTTTGAAGATGGGGTAAATCATTTCCATCCCATCCGAGTTGAGAAGACCAATCGCATCGATCAGTGACTAAAAAAGCCATCAGAATAAAACCTCCGATAGAAGTCTTTGTCGAGTATCTCCACATACAGCCACACCTCTCGCCGTGAACGCCCCACGCGAGAAACCCATTAGAATAATCTCATCCCCGGGCTCATAATTCGTTGCGACAAAACTGTACGCTTCTCTGATATTCTGCAATATAGTTGGGTCAGCCTGCAGTCAAGGCACATGTGACATACTAGTATGTATGTTGGGGCCGGGCGACTTCGGACGCACTTCACCAACTCCGGTCCCAAATACCCCACCTGTAATGGAGTCCGATATGCCGCCAGTGCTACCCACACCGGGGTGGTAGTACATGACCTGGCTCTCCCCGTCGAACCCTCTTTTCCGCAGGGAACGGTAAACACGAGTCACATTAGTTGGGATGGCAAGCGTGTCATTTGGGTCTTGCGCGGTCGGACGCTCGTATCCCTTATCGCTGTTGACCCAGGTGCCGTCCAGGCATAATATGATGCGCTTGCCATCCAGAGGCATTGTGAACGCGTTATTTGAGTAGTAGCGATAAAGGAAAATTGTGAGAAATATGAGATCGTGGCCATGTGATTATTTCTGTCTTTTTCTCTCTTCCAGCCACACCCATATACGAGCTCGTACCTCGCGAACCCAAGCCGGGCCAACCGTGGTGAGCGCTGAGGGGAGCCGAACGGTGGGGACACGCTAATGTGGACCAATCCAACGTCAGCATTGCGGTTCAGCTGTTAGGTACCTGATACATGTCTTACTGGTTGCTGAGACGAATATGCAGATAGTAAGACTTGTAAATTAAGTCAAGAGAATTTTATGGGAATGATTGTAAAAGCAAAGAAACAAAACAAGTCTGAATTAAGTAAGTAGTATATGCCCTCTAATCTAATTATCAACATTATGTCATAAACATCCTTTTCCCGCGTTGCCCATCAATCTATAATCTCCTCTATCCGTCATGAGAATATCCACATCCACTCACAAACTCCTCATTCGCGACTTAACTTCGCTCTGAGCTGACCTCCAAAGAAATAGAAGATATATGGAATGAACACCATTGCAACTCCAATGAAAGCCAAAAGCCACGAAGCCCATTGCAATCCCAGACGGTCATACATCTGAGTAATAAACAAAGGGAAAGCAGCACCACCACCAGATCGCAAGAAAACCTTCGCAGCTAAAGCGGATGCAGCATACTTTTGATACGAATCGATGATATAAGCATTCACGCCATAGTAGCACAGAACCATTCCAAAGCCAAAGGCAAGACCAGATGACGCAGGCCCAACCCAGATGATATGCTTATACGAAGTAGCACCAAGAATGAAAAATGCAATCGGAACGAATGGAGCTCCCCACATAGCAGCTTTCAATCGATCCTCCGGTGTCGGGGCGCGCTTGGCACAGATGCGCTTGAAATCTTTTTCGAGGATCGGGGTAACGAGCAGCGCAAAGGCAGCGCCGATCAAGATGGGAATGAACATCAGTCCAATTTGTCCGTCATTGTAGTCGTAAAGTTTGCCAAAAATAACCGGGTATGCGAAGAAGAATGCGTAAAGCATGGAGTAGATGAGCATGACGTAGACACACATTAAATCGAGGACCGGCTCCGTCATGATCATGGTGAGTGGACGGATGAGGTTTGTCCGGATAATGTCATTCAGTGATAATTTGGTCTTTTCCTGCTCGGTGATGATATTTGGGTTTCCGGATTCCTTACGAAGCTTCGCAGCACGGCGTTTGAGAATAACAGGGGCGTAAGTCTCAGGGACAAGGCCTATAGCGATCATAAGAACACCTGCAAAGCCCATGTTTGTCCAAAAGAACAGATCCAGACGACCGGTGCCGACATTGATCCAGCCTGCTACGATCGGACCCAAGACAGGTCCGCAGTAGGGAGCGGCGGCGAAGTAGGCGATGGCCATGCCTCGCTCCTCAAGATTCCAGATATCGGCGATGGTTCCACCAGCGAGAGACAGTCCGGAGCTAGAGAACACACCGCAAAGGAAACGGCATACAAGCAAGGTACCGATGTTTGGTGCTATGGCACAAGGGATGTTGAAGATGGTATAGAGAGCGAATGAGACAATGTATACTGGTCGGCGACCAATGATCTCAGATAGTGGAGACCAGAGCAAAGGTCCCACAGCAAATCCACAGACCATGATGGAGCAGGTCAAGATAGCAACCTCCAATGAGACATTGTACTTTGCCTCAATGAGACCCAGACCGCCAGTGACGACCGCTGAGCCATAGGCTACGCATACCACGACAGCGGATGCAATGTGAGTGACAAGCCAGCGATATTTTCGAGACCAGTTGTGTGGATTTTCGGGATCATCGATTGTAAAAGTCACGTATTCAACAGGCTCCTTCGGGCCTTTCTCTATGTCGAAGTTTTGGCCTTCACTCGGTGTATGTGTCAACGAGGAGGTATGGGATCGTAATTGCTGCAAAGCTGCTTGTGGAACCAATCCAGTTCTCGTTTCAATGACATATTCCTCTGGGAACTCAGTGTGATTTTGTCGTTCAATATCGGCATAGTTGTAGTCCACTGGGGGCGGGTTTTCTGAAATCCCCGAGTCTTGCAGGGTTTCACGTGTCTCGACCCGGGCCATGTGTAAGTGTGCCGAGTCGAGACTCTGTTGAGGATGGGAAGGTATTGAGTCAGACATATTGTGGAATGTGTAACAGTACTAAGATAATGGTTTTGAAATATGGTACAGATCCATGAAGGGGGACGAGAACCAAGATACTTATACTTCTTGAGCTGTAGCTTTCACCCTTCGTTTTGAGTACATATACAAATAGTGTGAGGCCGACCGATCTCCGAGATATTTCCCGCGATTTCAGGATTTTTGATACTTGGAATGATAAGGCAGAATTTCGGGCCCCTTGTTTCAAAACCAAGATCTACTTTTTTACTCTTTTAGCGCAAATGCATCTGGATTCTGGATTACGGTGGACCATTAGGCATTAAATGGGCGAAACCCGGCATAAGCTCGGTACCGAGATATTGCCGAAGTGTGATTGGGCAAGCTCGGCATGCCGGCACCGATCATATCTCAATTTGTATGCATGAGCATGTACAGATTTAGTCTTGATTAGTATTAGAATAATTACATCTATTCGTGACTGTTTTGCAGAAAAATTCTCGTGCGCGATTTATTCCACGGCTTGAATCAGCATGATGTGGCCATTGGTTACACAAGGAGCGTATGAGGCGAAGAGGAGATGTGACACGCCGCCCTCTAGCAGCTTCTGATAGTATTTCATGTCTTTGTATTCGGTGGCCTTCCCGATCTTTCGTCTTTCGAGTATGGCCCGGGCCGGATCTGTGCAGCAGAACCAACATAAACTGCCTGGGTCTCAACCTCGTCCGTGATGAGGTCAAAGTACACACCTTGGCTACTGCAGGTATCGGCACGCGGAAGAGACAAAAACTCTTCAAATTTCCAGCTTTTTTTTTTCTGGAAAAGTGCAGCCCTATCCCCACTAAAACCACGGATCAGTGAGTCACACAGCTCAAGTAGCGTTGACACGGCCAGCAGTTCACTTGCCAATACCGGCATCACACGTTGGTTTGGGCCTGCTTGTGTTGCTATTTCATGCGGAATCGTCAGTGACTTGAGTAAGGCTGTAAAAAGTGGCCCTTGGACTGCACGATCAGGGGACTGAGCCACAGGAACCGGGTCATAGCGAGATGCCTTGCCCACAGGAACGTGCGTTCTGCATCTTACTGTTCTAGTACAATTGCATGGAATTGGCCACATTCCTACGGTTGTGTAACACACCCACCTGGACTCAAAGAAGGACTTTTGACAGATCTACAGTGTAGATTAGAAAAAAGAAAGGAGAGAGAAGCTCTCACTTTGCCAGACTAGTAGCTACACAACACGCGCTGCAGCATGACCAGGAGCAGGCCATGTATGGTGGCCGATAGAGGCCACCCCTAGGTCACATCCCAATTTCAATTTCTAACTTCACCCCCCTGTTTCCCGCCCGTATTGTATTTATCATATATAGTAGGAATATCTCAAGGGATTTGATCTAAATACGGGCCACTTTTAAAATAACTTGAGAATAGACTTTAGAATAGACCAGTTGACTTAAGAGTAGACTTGAGAGTAGACTTAAGAATGGATTATATGAGGATCTCAGCCTCTCTTCCTTGCCAGTTGTTGTGATAAGTTACCTAGAGAAAGAGAAGTAATATAATATAGCATTAACTAGTAGCTGCCAAATCATGTGCCCGAATACCATAGATAGCTTCACTTCGTTCAGCTATAACACTTGTAGTATATGTACCGCTTTTGACCGAGACAACATCGAAGATTCTTGAAAATGAAGTTTACAATCAACAATGCATGTGCACTCCAGATATTCTCGCAAAATCCCAAAGTTCCATGGTTGTTACCACTTATTGTTATAAACCTCTCCGTTGACATAGTTTACCAGCTCTTTCACGGGCGGAAGGTGATCCCGGCCTGCGCCGAAAAGCATACCATGACGCAATACTTTGCGATAGTTTTTTCCAGGTGATACCTTGCCCAGTACATAACCCTCGCGAGTCTCAACCCGAGTTGGAACAGGTATGGAGCGACCAACTACCGCCTCCATACCTTGCCAAGCAAAGGTGATGGCCTCTTTGGCGCCGCTTGGGATTCCGGCCTCATCCAGCATCAGAATTCGAGCATTCGGATAATTCTGTTGGATGAAGGCACTGATGTTGGGGTTATAGGCACCACCCCCGCACATGAAGATCTCATCAATCTCAAGGCCCTGGGGCGCAAAGCGACGGTAATGATCCACGATGGCCTGTGCTGTGACACGGGTGATAGTGGCAACAACATCATCCGGCTCGAGTCCCTTTTTCTCGGCTTTTTCAATCAGTTCATGGGCAAGTGTGTCACGGAAGACCTCGCGACCTGTTGTCTTCGGCGGCTTCAAGGCAAAATACGGATGGCCCAGAAAGTCATCGACTAGTTCTTGATCGACAGTGCCACGGGCACCCATCTCGCCGTCCTTATCATATTCACGCTCTCCATTGGTATAGTGGCGTACAACAGCGTCAATAAACACATTGCCTGGGCCTGTGTCGAAATCATAACACTCGTCTACACCACCATGTGTATCGGGTGGGATAAAACACACGTTGGCTATACCACCAATATTTTGACAAGCACGTAGCTTAGTCGGATGATGCAGCACCAGCGCATCAAAGAATGCAATCAAAGGGGCCCCTTGACGTCCAGCTGCCTGATCACTGACCCGGAAATCTGTCACTGATGTGATGCCTGTACGAGAGGCCAGGAATGTTCCCTCTGCCATCGTCAAAGCACTTCGGGTTTCACCAAGATCTGGCATGGAAAGAAGCCAGATTGTTTGACCGTGAGAGCCCAGGACGTCTATCGAGTTGATATCAACCTGATAGTCCTTACAAAATTGATGCACGGCAGATGCAAATGTCTCTCCAAGAATCACATTTACCTCTGAAAGTTCAGAAGGTGAGGTTTTGTTGTGTAAAATCATATTCATCACACGTTTCTTGATCACGGGCTCAAGAGGAATTTCGCCATACTTGATCATCGATTAGCTGACAACTCACGGATAACTTTGAGATGATTCCTTACCTTCAATAACTCAAAGTGCATCGGCGATTCAGGTGTCTCCTGGCGAAAATGGCAGAGGGCACAGTCTATCCCGTCCTAATGGTTTATAGTCAGGTTTAAAATCGATTGATTGCCCTTGAATTCAATCAATCAGAAACTTACCATGGAGGTTCCACTATTAAGTCCAAGTACAGTCATGTCTAACGCATGACTTGGCATTTTATTCTCGGGAATTCTCATAATGGGCACAGTGAAGGGTTGGAAGGGAAGTGGAATAGAACGCTGTACAGCTCAGGGGACAGTGTAAGAAACAACTTCCAGGAAACAATCAAAAACGATCAAGTCATCAACTGTAGACATGTTGGATCCTAATCCTAGAACAGTTCCAACAATTCTTACATCTTGTCTTGATCAGTACTGTGAATGGTCCAACTTCCATCAAGGATCCGCTTTCAAGGGATGATCGGCAAAACGCTTAATCGGCTTAACTGGCCCGATCAACTCCGGAAGAACGAAAAAGCAGAAAAAGCAGGAAAAGCAGGAAAAATAAGCAAAGGGAAAATGGCTACGCGCTTCAAGGTGGTTCCTTCCCCCGCGCTTTTTTCTCCAGTTACGGACCTTGGCTCCATCCCATAATCCGACACTAACTCCATCTTGGGGCTGGGACCCATAGGAAAGGATTAACTGTCACATCGTGCTTCCCTATTGGGTACGGGGACTGCATACAACGCGATGGGGTATACTACAGCGTGGAAGCGGCTTTCGCCGCGGCAGCTAAACCTAGCTATCCACACCTTCTCGCTGATCTCGATCTTCTTTGAGGGCTACGACCAGGGTGTCATGGGCGGGGTAAATGCATCGCCCACTTACATGATCATAATGAAGACCGGTATGCTCGATGGCACAATCACCAGCACCACACGTGAAGGAGGGATTGTCAGTGTCTATTATCTAGGGGCTATCTTTGGCTGCTTTGCTGGTGGGTGGCTCGCAGATCGCATCGGGCGTATCAACGGCCTGTTGGCTGGATCTATGTTTGCTCTTGTAGGTGGCGCACTGCAAGCTGCTGCCCAGAACTCAAATTTTATGATCTGTGCCCGAGTTGTGACGGGCATTGGTACAGGTGGTTCGTGATCCCTGCTAGTACGCATTAGTGAGACCCATTCGGAGATCTAGTACTAACTCGCCCATAGCATTGACCGGCATCACCCCTGTCTTGGTTTCGGAAACTTCGTCTGCCGATCATCGGGGCGGTTTTCTTGGTTATGTCTTTATTGCGAATTGTAAGTGGTGCTTGGCGATTCGACTTCTTTCGTAGTAGTTCATGGCTAATTATCTCCCCAGACCTTGGCATATCTCTCGCATATTGGATCTCCTTTGGACTTGCTTTTGTGAATGGTGGGTACTCGGACGTGCGATGGCGATTCCTGCTCGCTTTTCAGTGCCTTCCCGCTCTCTTTCTAGTATGTTTCATCAAGATGTTGCCTGATAGCCCCCGCTATCTAGCCTCGGTTGGTCGGTCGGAAGAAGCGCGCGAGCTTTTAGTTCGGATTCGCCAGGGCAAAGCCACCCCTGAACAAATCGAGCGAGAGTACCTGGAGATTGTTGTTACTGCCAAAAAAAGCCAACACAGTTCCCCTGTCCAATTTGCAAAAATCCTCTTGGGAAGGGGAGGAAGGCCAGGTACAAATTTGGGCCGACGAGCATGGTTATGCATATGGCTTCAAATTATGGCCTCGTGGACCGGCATTACTGTAAGCACAGACTATGCGCACAGCTACTCTTCTTCCAGTGTTGTTTGCGTACTAACAAACTTACCCCAGGCGGTGACTGCTTATTCCCCCGTTCTGCTGAAGCAGGCAGGTTACAGCGATATTAAGCAGGACGGCCTTGCAGGAGGTATCAACACAATCGGCATTCTCGGTACTATCATCAGCGCTCAAATTATCGACCGGCTGGGCCGGCGAACTTGTTTAATGGGTGGAGCTTTGGTGCTGTTTGCCGTAAATTTAATCGTATGTATTCCTGGTGCAGCGAATTTATCAGAGACTGACTTTTCAGGCCGGTTCCGTATTCGAGGGCTCGCTCCATGATCCTGGGAAGGCGACCGAGTATGCCCCGGGCGCAGTGACCATGCTTTTCCTATTTAATCTGGGGTATGTTGCCGTTTGACTTTTTTTACTTGGTAGTATGTAGTAACTGACCGACGCCCACTAGTTATGCTGCAACTTGGGGTACTGTCGCCTTTTTGATCCCCACAGAAATCTTCCCAAGTGAACTACGAGCTCAGGGTAATGGCTTTGGAATCACCGGTTGGGCCATTGGTGTTGGCATGACGACTCTTGTGAACCCAATCATGTTCGGCACTCTGACTGTAAGTCTGGCTGCACCTGTATTTCTTTCCATAATACTTACTATTTGCTCCAGAGTCGTACATACTTCCTTTTTGCGGGCCTGAACTTGCTTTGGGTCCCTATAGTCTACCTCTGTAGGTCTTCTTCTCTCTTGACCACCCTGACCTAAACTAACATTCTTAAACCAGTCTGCCCTGAAACTCGAAACCGGTCTCTCGAGTCTATTGAAGCCCTTTTCTCAACTTCTAGCCCATTCCACTCCAAGATGGAAGAAGCTTACAAACTCCGCGGCGACGTCCTCGCGGAACATGATGTCGCCAGGAGCGAAACCTATGATACAGACAAGACCGAAGTTGCATCCGCATAAATCGTTAGACCGTGCAGCCACTTGAGACGGTCTATAAGATGACTTTTCACGTTTCAAACATTTGAACTTTGCATAAGCATAATTTTGGGGTTCTTTGCCTAGGTGGGTATGCATTTTTTACTTCTTGTTTTTGTTCAGCGATTGTTGATGCATGGCATTGTTCATAAATATCATTATTTAATAGATGATACCTAATGGCTTAGATACGCGACACTAGTATCTGTCGTATCTGTCCTATCTGATTATGGCCTCGTCAGCATCTTTAGGGTAATGTAAACACGCAAACGGTGATTCGTCAAAATCGACAAAAGTCCATGACAAGTGCATGAGTCAGCAAGCCCCATATTAACCTAGAGGGTCAGGGAGCCAGTTCTCTCATAACGGATCTTTTTTTCCAATGATTCGATGATTCAGTACTTAAATTCAAAAAGCCAAGGGTGTCGGCTAAACTGCTGATAATTCAGTTGACCGTTTTCCCTTTCACCATCTCAGCGTCTTCAACCGAACCACGCGACCCATAATCGACCTACACCACTCCCGTTCGGAGACCCGTTCGGAAGTCCGGTCTTGAACTCCCGGCTCAATTGATCGGGACCGTACTCCGTACTCACGGTTAAGCACAGACTCCCAATTGGAGATTCCGAATGAATGTCTCAAAAACCGCGAAAGCTTCAACGCGTCTCCAAGGCCTGTAGGTTCTACCTCCCGCACCCCCCCACGTTCCCATGCACCAGTTCTCCACTTGACTTGGCGGGACACGGGTCTACCTTATCCGAAAACTGACGACGAATGCGCAGGCGACTTCTGCAATAGGCGGAGCATCAAATGTGGCAGTAGCGAAGACCCGCTGGGTCGGTGCCAGAATTGTTTGGATTTCGACGTCCCGTGCACCTTTGATCGCCCGGCTAAACGCCGTGGCGTTAAAGCTGGTACACGGGTGAATCCCCGCGATACTCCAATCGATGGCGCAAAGCCGATCGTTGGTCAACTACTTCCGATGGGTCGCGGTAACCCTCCAGAGAGGGCGTCGGGCTCTTCAGCCTCCAGGAGCTCGTATAATGCCGACACCACTTCACGCCCGTCATTGACATTCACAGGGGATCCCTGGTCTTCTTTCAACACGGGATGGTCAACAGCTGAAGGGTACGATGATGATGGCGCGCTGCGTAATTCTTGGAAGGCATTTGCCATTTCTTGTGACCAGCAGATTCGCAATCTCGTCCAAGTTTATTTCGAGATTGTCTATCCCATGTAGGACTGGACCTTTCCATTCCGTACCGCTTTGACATTCGGCTAATCACCCCGACTGCAGATTTCCCTTGTTTCATAAGCAATCATTTATAGAAAGAATTAACAACCAGGAGCATCTTCAGAACCAAAGTTTATTCGCTTCGACGATGGCGGTCTGCTCATTGGTATCAGGTCGCGCCCGGGATGGAGCATTGTATACTAACCGATGGCATCGGGAAGAGTTGTCAGAACCGCCATCGGAGGCATTCTATGCAGCAGCCAAAGACTCGCTTCCTCGGGACCTTGCTGCTGCGAAGGGGTTCAATTATATGCGGGCTTGTGCCATACTTGCGATCGCCAGCATCCAAAACGGGCAAATAAAAAACATGCAGAAATACTCAGGCATGTACCATACATTAACGACGATGGAGGGATTTCATGATGAAAAGCTCTGGCCAAAAGATATAAGTCCTATCGAAATTGAAGAACGGCGAAGGCTGGTATGTGAAACAACATAATTTGGATCTCACATGAATTGGAACTAATAGAAATAGTTCTGGTCTATCTATACTTTGGATATCTACTCCACGATCGTATGGGGAGGCGTGATTCGATATCGAGAAGCCCATTCCCTTGTTCGATATCCTAGCGAGGTAGATGATGAGTTCATCACCAACCACGGCTACGGCATGCACACCATGTCGCCAGAATCCGCTCTCAGACAGGGCGAGGTCCCGGTGGTCTCAAGGCAACCTGTATCTTGGATGCACGGATGGAACTTTACTACCGATCTCTATCGTATCCTCGAACATGTGGTTGACGGCACCAAACGGAAATTTTCCTCCGCGAATGGAACTCAGGAGGTTTGGTCTCTTTTCAGTCCAGCGTCAATGTCGGAACCGGTTGTCATGGAACGAGTGCTTTCCATGTATGCTGCACTGCCTCCACAATTTCGTGAAACGCCACCTACGACCGGCGATGGGACTCACGACCTCTTTGGTTTTCAATCTGCGAATATTCAGGCGACTTTACAGCTCCTCAGGATGGTTCTTTTGTCTGCCGAAGAGGTGGGAGTAGACAAGAAGTGCGATGTAGCTGGTGAGCTGCTCAGTGTATTTTCGAAGGTCCCAGTGGAATATCTGAGGGCCATCAGCTCTCCTCTGGTATGTTCGGTCTCTCAAACATAAGATCAACTCGGAAACTAACAGGCTTCTAAGCTCCATCATTTGGGAGGAATTGGCTACATTCTTGGCTCGGTTATGGAAGGAAGTTTATCAGACGCATCGTATCGACGCGTTCGTACTTTACTGTGAGTTTCCATCCCTTTTCACCAATCACTGGGCAGCGCTGATATCGATTGAAGCCTTGAGATGGCCAGCCTTCTCCACCGTCTTGAAGTTGGTCTCCACCGTGCAGCCGGTGCTAGCGAACGTCTCCGGTCACAAGTTGACCGAATAGATGGCTATATGCGTACTTCACGATTAGTCAATCTTTCAGCCATTCCTCCACTACAGAACCCGCCGAATAATACTCCTGCTCCTGCGCCAGTTGACGTCAAACCCACGATGCCTCACGCGAGCTTTAATCCTTCGGCACAACATATTGGGCCTGGTGGACCAATGGACAATCAAATGATGCAATTTCAATTGCCGCCGGAACTGCTGGCAGGCTGGCCGTGGCCGTTAGATAATTCTCACTCCGAGGGCTTCTTACCATTGGCTTTCGAATGATGGCCCAAGGTTTGCATTTACTTGTTACGTATAGAAAAGCAATGTATTTAATATTTCATCGAAACAACCTCCTAGGATAATGTCAATAATGTATCACATGGCCTTCAGATCTGTTGACATTTGTTGAAAGATAGCCGCTCAGCTTTGGAACCTTGACGTCCAGGGTGAACTTCCATCACACTTTAATAAACCTTCAGATAATGGTCGAACCAAGCAACAGCTTGATGGAAAGCCTGTTTCTTGGCAAATGTCTGACGATGCTTAGAAAGATCACTGCGAACTGCGAACCCATGCTCCACCTCCGAAAAGAGACTGATCTGATGAGGAACCTCCAACTTGTCCAAGATCACCTCGCACTCGCGACGCTTAGTCGTGACGAAGACGAAATCCCGAACTATAAAAAATCTCATTAGCACCAATTTTGCTGACCAAGATACGATATTGGGAGAGTATCGGAAAGAAAAGACAATCTCACCAGCAGCAGCAATACTCAACGGCGCGTCAATCCCACTCAGCTCATCCCCTTCCAACATGCTCGGATGTGCAATGAACCCAACATCCAGCAATCCCGGCCGAAGGTATCGACAAACATATTTCCCCCCAAAGCCATACCCAACACCTCCAATGCGCTCACAGCCCATAGTGTCACGCATCTCCTTAATGACAGCGCTGATGATAGGATCCGTCTCGGCAGGCGAGTGCTTCGTCACCCAGTTCATGATTTTGAAGCCCATGGGTCGATCGACAGGCACCGCATCGCCGCCAAACATGTCCGGCATGACAACAAAGTAGCCCTTTGCAGCGAACTGGTCGGCTATAAGCTGAGAGTTTATGAACTTGTGGCCCATCGCATCTGTGATTAAGAGAATGCCGTTTGTGGTGCTCTTGTCGGGTGGATAAGTGATGTAAGCCTCGACTGTTTCTCAGTTAGTTTCCAACCTTTGAAGGTTCCAAACTTTGATCTCAGGATTTGATTGGATTTTTGAGATCTGGTACTGTGACGTGAAGTCAAGGGGATGGATTGGCCTAACTATTATGAATGTATTCGAAATCACCTTGGGGTTCCCCGTCGTGGGAGGAGCCGTTGGATAGCTGGTTTGAAGCCATGGTAACTTAGAGTAGATGTCGGCATTAGCTGGACTGGGTAACTGATGGAGGAGGGTCAAACAGAATCCAGGTCTTACCTAGGGTTTCGAAGATCAGGTCGACGCGTTTGGAAACGATGGATTAAACAAATGTGATGGTAAACACATACACCAAGCAAATGGATACTATGGTTGGAAACTGTTTACATATGTGTTTATGTTTTCCACCTAGGCACGTGGCCAGCTACTAACCTCATTAACGCCGATATGAGAATGGACTAAATCTGAAGATACATCATACATCATACATACTACTAGTATTGTTCTCAATCTTCTAATCATTCAACTATAGCTGTTGTTATGTCTGTTCATGTGCTACCGCAAAATACGCGATCTGATTGGCAACGGGATCCCGGTTAGGGGGAAAACCGAGTGGGTCTCGATTTTCTCTCTCGGAAAAGTTGTCGGGAGCATCTCCAGATCATTCCCCATCACTCGCAATCCTAATTCCCCAAATTCCACCATGTCGACCATGTCGACTCGCTCCGCCTGGCGGGCTCTGCACTACAGCGCAAAGCGCCGTGCCTTCCAGCCCACCACCTCCTACCGCTGCTTCTCCTGCACCCGCGCCGCCCAGGACCAAAGCAAGCAGGACCGGGAACGCATGACACACTTCGGCTTCACCAATGTGCCGGAGTCAGACAAGGAGTCACGAGGTGAGCCTCCCTTGCCCCCAATTGAGTGAACAAAGTACACGACAAAGTGGTTCGCCATGAAGCAAACCGGTTATTCCCTTCCCCAAGGGCATACCATACCAAGCATCAACAGAAGCTAACAAGACTCTCACGGAACAGTCGGCGCAGTCTTCAGCTCCGTCGCCTCCTCCTACGACACAATGAACGACCTCATGTCCCTGGGAATCCACCGCCTCTGGAAAGACCACTTCGTCCGCTCCCTCAACCCCGGCTCCCCGCTCAGCGCTCGCATTAACAACCCCAACCAAAAAGGCTGGAACATCCTCGATATCGCCGGCGGGACCGGTGATATCGCATTCCGCATGCTCGACCACGCCACGAACATTAACCACGATATCGAGACCCGCGTGACGATCAGCGACATCAATGCCGATATGCTAGCCGAGGGCCGCAAGCGGTCCATCGACACACCCTACTACAACACTCCCCGGTTGTCCTTTGTGGAGGCGAACGCCCAGTCCATGCCGCACATTCCGTCCAACTCCATTGACCTGTACACTGTTGTGTTTGGAATCCGCAATTTCACGGATAAGCAGGCTGCGCTGGATGAGGCGTACCGTGTGCTTAAGCCGGGCGGTGTGTTCGCTTGCATGGAGTTTAGCAAGGTTGATAACCCTGTCTTTGATGCGGTGTACAAGAGGTGGAACTTTAGTGCTATTCCCTTGATTGGGCAGCTTGTTGCTGGTGATCGGGATAGCTACCAGTACCTTGTTGAGAGTATTGAGCAATTTCCCAGCCAGGATGAGTTCCGCGGCATGATTCAGAAGGCTGGATTCATGATTCCTGGACGTGGATACGAGAACCTGACTGGTGGTATTGCCGCTATCCACAAGGGTATTAAGCCTATCCAGGCTTAAGCTTATTGTCGAAGCGATATCTGTGGATTGTGTACTATACATCTTTCGCATCATTGTCTTTTTATATATTGTATTATGTATTGTGAATGGCTACAAGTCTTTTTAATAATTTGATATCCAAGTATGTAAATTTTGGGATCAGTTGAAACGCCCACTGAGGTTTGGGGCATGATACGTGTATTTTCATCAGATATCTTGATGTTCGGATATCTTGATATTTAGATATCCGGGTTACCTCTATATCCATAGATTCAGAGAAACGAAAGACAAACGCAACATCGTCAAAAAATATACAGACGATGAGATGGGAAATCCAGTAGAAATGCTAAAGAAAGATATGTAAAGATGCAGGGGAAAGAACTTCAACGACATGATCGCACATCATTCACCCCAAAGATCCTCTGCTTCTACTACCCCTATACAACTGCTAGGGATGGTGATGTCTTTCATCACAGCGATAACAGCTATTGGGGTCGAGCTAGCTCGGGATGTGGAGACCAAGCGCCGCAGCTCAGTAAGCGGGGTCGATTCTGGCACTAGACACCAGTCAGACCGGGCCACGGTGAGTGGCTGGCCAGGGTCTTTAGCCACGGCGTCGGCGACGCACAGGTCCACATTAGTCTGTCGGGACAGAAGGGACCGAATCATGCGAGGTGGGGCGATCTCAGTCGGTGAAAGGAACACCCATGATTTCGCATTGGGGTGCTGAATGGCCGCTAGAAGAATGTCGAGTAACCGAACATCACCGGGGCCCTTTGCGGTGGCTGATGAAGCAGTGGGGATTTGATCAAGAGGAACAAGTATATCTGAAGGGATGAGGCGATGTTCAGGTGGAGACTGAAGTGTAAATGGCGGAATGGAGGGACTGCTATTGAGGTCTTCCCATTGTAAAGAAATGGATGATGATGGAGAATCGAATGTCGTCGTTGAAACAGCACTGGATGGGGCCGTCCACGGTGTCTCCATCATCGCCGCGGCACCAATTGCACCTCCAGGGTGGTGGCTTCGAAACACATCTGCAGGTCCCTTGCCCGGCGCAGTGTGTAGAATGCGTGCTACCGCAATAGCCAATGCATCTCCAAGACACAAGGCTACCGTTGTAGATGATGTCGGAGCGCAAACTCCCAAAGAAGCTTCCTCGCCCTCATGAATCGGAGCCGGTAGAAGGATTCCCAGGCCCAAAGGCCCATGCAAAGATAGTATTGGACATGTGGACGGGTCTGTATGTGAGGTCAAGGCGATGATAGGAACTGAAGCGGGGATATGCGGTAACAGAGATAGTAGCTCAGGCGAGCGACCTGAGAACGAAATGAGAAGCATTGTATCATTCTAAGACAAAGCCAACAACCAATCAATCAGTAAGGAAAATAAAATTTAAATCCCCGATATAATCAATCAGGCTGCACCTCGGGGAATACAATGCAGCCCATCTAGCAAGGATATATGGCTTACCGGCCGGACCAATCCCAGATCGCCATGCAAAGCTTCCGTCGGATGTAAGAACGCCGAGTATATACCTAGACTGTTCATAGTTGCCTCGATCTTGCGCCCGATTTTGCCGCTTTTGCCCACGCCGCAAACGACGAGCTTGCCGCCGTCGCGTACACTCTGCGCAATCTGATCCACTGCGCGCGCAAGCTCTTGCTGAGCTCGAGCATCTGTTTGATACAGGCGTTCGAGGTGGGAGAGCGCAGCACGCTCAGTGGACATGACATGAATTGCGGTTACGACGGAGGAGACATCTTTAGAGGCTGTTGGTGGGGGGTCCGAGGCATCAGGAGGGGTTAATGGCCAGGGCGGCGTTGGCATAGCTTGGTGAGGGGCCATAGAGGGCGAAAACGTGGGATTGGAATTAAAAAACATGAGTGAAAGAGAATACAAAGAAGAGAGTGAGCTTCCTCTAGGGTCCCTCGAGGGGCGGTGCCTAGGACAATTTAATGTCGGGAAAATGTGGAGGGGCCAAGATTAAAAGTGTCGATAACGGAAGATAACAGGCTACGATCGGTCAATCGGACTGAACCAACGCCGTTCTGGCCGTTCTGGCCTTTCTCCCTTTCTCCTCTTTTCTTTTTCACTACCGATTTACTTTTCAAGGGAACAAGGTAACGCCTTGCGGTTTCGTAATTAGGTTCGCTAAGCATGCACGTTGATCCGACACCTGCATAAAATACCTCCGAGATCCATGGATGGTGTCATCCATTGTGATAATGATGCATCAGTGAGGTCGATCCATTTCCCGATGTAGTAACCCCGACGATTCCGGGGGTATAATGCTAAGATTATATGCTTAATAATACTACTTTGCTATGGAATCTGGAAATTCTTGTATAATCGTCATTGTTGAAGTCATGGGAGGTCTATCACCATCTTTCGTATTTACAGATCGGATCAGACAGCGGAGGAAAGGCCATATGTACATTCCGCTGATTCTGTTCCGCCAAAGCCAGTAAAGACCGGTTTCAGATTAAACACAATTCAAACTTATTTCAAAATCAAAAGAAAACAACAAAAAAATCCCCAGGCTAAGTGCGTGGGGTGAAAATCCTCTCTTTAACACCAGCGAAAAACCCAAAAAAAAAAAAAAAAAAATTAGATCGTCCTACTCTTGTACAGCGCCGAAAGATGACCTGGGCAAGTCAAGCTGAGATTGATCCGGGTAGGATGGGTGAACCAATACTACTGGGGAATACCCCAAGCCTGCCAGGTGATTCGGGTTCGGATTTCAACTCCATATTCAAGGTAGAGACAGCACAAAAGGGGGGTATCGTATCAGGGTCGTAGTAGTTTGTCGTCATGGCCTCGCGGCGATTGGGTCGTCTGAAGCCATATCACGCTGACCTTCCAGCTTCCTGTCTTTCCTTGCCTTTTTCATTGGCGGTCCCATCATCTTCATAAAGATGGTGTTGCTCAATATAATGAATAACAGGGACGGGGATGAGATAGCGAACACTCATCTCGCGTCTCAAGAAGAGACGGATCTTGGTGCTGCTAACATCGTTTTGAATAAGCTGTTGAATCACGTATATGTTGTCTTTCCAGGGCTGCAAACTGGCCAGCGCTTCGTCAATATCGGTGCCACTGCGCTCCACAATGAATGACTGGTATGAAAGTTAATAAGCCGTTATCTCTCCAAAGTAGATTTTTGGATGCCACTTACGCCGTATTTTCCGAGAATGTGATCCAAATCTTTCTCACTCCATACACCCGGGGTGGACATGGTGTGAATCAAATCGGCACCTGCCAGTAAGGCAATACGGACAGGCTTTCGGGTTCCATCTGCGGCCTCAACACCACCACGGACAGTATTAATCTCGTGGTAAAAATGATCTAGGACCACTGCGGTCGGCTGGTACGCTTTCTGGGTGGGCTCCCAGGTATCAACCATCAGCCAGTCTGATGTTTGATCGACTGCCAGTTGACACATTGCGACACTAATATACCGCCGCTTCAATTAGCAATCATTATTGTTGGTGATTGTGCATAGAGAACAATGGGATGTATTTACCGGTCCTCTGCGCTGGCAAGACCGGCCTTCCGGTAGGAGTCCGAGACGGGGGACAGATAACCGCCAAGAAGTTCAAAATCGGTACTGAACTTAACGTAATCGGCGGCCATCTCAAACATGCGCAAGTGCAGGTAGGTAATGGGCGAAAAGGAGCCACAAGCGACCAGCAGAAGCGGCGTCTTCTCCGGATCGGTCATCTTGCGCTTGAGGCGTAGATCGGGGAACATATAGTCGTTGTCCATCGGAGTCGGAGGGATTTGGACGGGGGCCTGGTGAACATCGTCACTCTGGCCTCCAACCATTTCGAAGGCCATCGTGGGGTTGGGTTGGAAAGTGTGGGTGATTAACTAGGTAGCGAGTCGTTCCGAGGCAGTTGGAGGGGGGGAAAGAGGGGGCGTTGATGAGTCGGGGAAGTGGGGGAAAGAGCGAAGTTTTTATCAACGTTCCCAGTTTAAACTCTGGAAGAAAAACGCGGGGGGCAAACGGGAGGCGGAAAAGGTGAGACCGGGGGTATAAAGAAAAGAACAAATTCAACAAGGTGGAAGGGATGCTTTCAACATTGGAGTGATTATTAAGGACTGTTCGGTGACTTCGGTGAGTCAATTAAATCTACGGTCGCGATCGGCCCGCAATCAGAGAGTAGTGAGGGCACTTTGAGGTGTACGTATTGAGCTGTACGGAGCTCGTCATGGTAACATTTACATTTAGCCGCACTTGGGCATATTGGATCTATCTTACTTGGCTAAATATATACTTGTATACTTATATATATATACTAGTACTAATGTATATAATATTATATACTTTTATTTCTAATTGTCAATTATTCCCAAACGTCATGTTCAGATGAAATCAAAGCAGGTTTTATAGTACCCCTTACTTATACCAACTCCATACAATTTGCCTCTTGCCTCCATACTAAGCCATACTTCTTTAAATGGCCTTTCAAGAACAAAAACTTATACAGGCTAAACAAACCTTGAAATTATTTCTGAAAATAATTCCGTATATACATAAGCCTAAAGTAATTACATATATCGCATGACTCTAAAACCCAGTCCAAATATCAATTTTGCAAGGTTGTGGCTACCATATAACTGGTTGTCTTATCTCATCACGAATGTTGCACTTCCGCCGCCTGGCGCTCTCCGAATCCAATGGTCACAAACCGCGCACTCCCTCTTTTCTTCCTTTCCTTCTCCCCCACCCAACAATTTCACATCGCCCATCGTCATTTCATCAACTTTGGTGCTTTTCTATTGATCATATCTCAACTTTCCTTCTTAGTTCTTTCGCTGGTTCGTCCTTAATAGCCCCAACTTTCCACGCATCTACCGCTACCGCCCAAGTCCCTCCCCTCCCCTCCCCAATATCTGCTCGCCTATTCACCCGCTTCTCGGCCAACATAAGTGTGCGGATGGCGGGTTGAAACGGCGTCAACGTTCATTTACATTATTCCCGACCCCTGACCTGGTAACTTATGGCCAGGCAAAGGCCCGTCAACCGTCAGGACCCTTTCGAGGATTATTCCGTCTCCCCCGCAGGAGCTGCCACCTCGCCTGCCTTGAGGTACATCACATCCAATCCCCTTTACCCTATCCTCTACTGTCACCGCCCCCAATTGGAATATGGTCCCGCCTCTGCCTACAAAATTACTGGTAGTACATCTAAAGAAAAGAGGACTGAGAGTATTGTTTATCTTGACGGCTTTGTCTTCATTCTCTTAAGCTTTCCTTCCCCAACGTCATTTCGGGCTGCGGGGAATCTCCATACCCAACCACCAAACCTTTCCATAATATCTTCCATCCTTCATCTGTAACGCGTACACATCCTACGTGCCATCCCTCTGTTTCTTTGCCTTGCCGCCGTCTTCTTTGTTTCCCCCAACACGTTCACGCCCAGCACGTCAGTCGCTCACAATGTCACGCAGAATCACTCGCTCAGCTGCGAGGGCTGTCACAGATCTTCCTTCCACAGATCCCGTTCCATCAGATACCACTGCTCCCCCCCAGGCAAATTCTCGAAAACGGAGATCATCGACACGTCAAGATCCACAACCAGACACCGCAGACACCGCAGACACCGCAGCTCCTTCTCCCCCACGCCGATCTAAGCGTCAACGAACTTCAGCACCCCGGCCTGCTCCGGCTGTCCCTCCTACTACTGCTGCCATAGCTACCCGTCGGGGCGTCCGTCGCTCAGCCAACTCAACCATGTCACAGCCTGGGCCATCTTCTCGTCCATCAGAAGATGCCAAATCCACCACTCCTCCGCCCCCTTCCAGGCGGAGATCTGGCCGAAATGGTATGTCACGGTTTAAAGATGGAAATGAGCCCGCATTGTTGACAACCTCTTGCCATATAGATCGACTTCCAACGACCCAGTCTCCACCTCCACGAAGGCAGAAGAAGCGTACCGCGAAATCGAATCCGGACATTTTAATGCCAGACGCAGAAGAGGACGTGGAAGAGCAAGATGATAAAGTGGAGCAGGAAGGGTCCCCCACGGGTGATAGCCACGACGGAACCAATCCTTCAGCGTTCGGCGAGGAGGATTTGGAATCCTTCCATAGCAGTCTTTTCGGAGGTCGAGGTGCCATGGGCCTGCAAAGCACACTCCGGGCTCTAAGCGGCATGATGTCCGGAATGTCTTCGCGACTTCGGGATATTCTCTGTAACTTGAGACAGAAGGATAACCCTTCTCTTCAATTAATCGCCCTCCAGGAATTGTCGGACCTCCTGCTTGTCTCCAACGAGGACAATCTTTCCGGCCAGTTTTCTCCTGACCCGTATGTAAAGGAGCTCGTCATCTTAATGCAGCCAAACCAGTTTGGTGAAGAGAACCCGGAAATCATGCTGCTTGCCTGCCGCTGCCTTGCCAATCTAATGGAGGCCCTTCGCGGGTCTGTAGCCAATGTGGTCTATGGGAAGGCAGTTCCGATCCTGTGCCAGAAACTCTTGGACATACAATTCATCGATCTCGCTGAACAAGCTCTAAGTGTATGTTGTTTCTTTCCTCTTATATCCCATTGTCTTGTGCATCCCTTACAAAAAAGGCATTTTACCATTTGATACTGATTAATCTCACGAACAGACACTGGCAAAAATCTCCGTAGATTTCCCGGCTTCGATCGTGCAAGAGGGTGGCCTGACGGCATGTCTGACATACTTGGACTTCTTCCCTACAAGCACTCAGCGTACTGCCGTTACGACTGCCGCCAACTGTTGCCGCAATCTTCCCCACGACTCTTTCCCGGTTGTTAGGGATGTGATGCCGACTTTGCTCAATGTTCTGTCAAGCAACGACCCCAAGGTGGTTGAGCAAGGGTGCCTATGCGTCTCGCGGATTGTTGAAAGCTTCAAATATCGCCCTCAAAACCTGGAAGAGCTGATCGAACCTGCCATGCTCAAGGCCGTCCTTCGTCTTTTGCTTCCCGGTACCACCAACTTGATCGGCCCTCACATTCACACTCAGTTCCTCCGTGTGTTGGCAATTGTGTCCAAGGCGAGCCCTCGCTTATCCATCGAATTACTGAAGATGGACATTGTCGATACCCTTTATCAAATTTTGACCGGTGTATCACCACCACAAGACGTTGACAGCACGGCTGTTAAAATGGACAGTGTTCTAGTCATGCAGGCACTGATTCACCGACCTCGCGAGCAAGTCTCCGAGGCACTGAATGTGATTTGCGAACTACTCCCAGGTGCTTCTAGCGACGAGGCATCCCAGGCCGATACACTGCTCAGCTTGTACTTTCACAACAGCATGTCTCTCGGCTTAAAATCTTCGAAATTAACAGAGAACCCCGATGAGAGACGGGAATTGTTGGAAGATTGCAAGGCAGAGCTCAAGAGATTTGCCGCAATCTTATTTCCCACCTTGACTGATGCGTACTCAAGCACAGTCAATCTCCATGTTCGCCAAAAAGTTCTCATCGCCCATTTGAAAATGATCCATATTCTTGAGCCTAGCTTGATTGAAGATGCTCTTCGCACAGTCCCGTATGCATCATTCCTAGCCTCCATTCTCTCCCAAAAGGATCATGTGTCATTGGTCGCTTTGGCACTTCGATGTGCAGAGCTGCTGTTCCAACGCCTTGAGCACGTCTATCAGCATCAATTCCACCGTGAGGGTGTTATTTCTGAAATTGTCAAGCTTGCCGAGGGAGAACCCTCGACTGTCGAAGTTGCTCACCAGACGAGCAGTGGAAACAAAGGTCACGCTGACGCATCTTCTGACGTTGACATGGATGCCGGTGATGGACCACGCAGAAAGAATAGTAAGCACGAAGATTCTGACGAGGATTTGGATAATGAGGAAGAGGATCCAGATGAGGATCACGATGATATGTCCGATTCAGAGACATCATCCATCCCAGGCCATCAATCTGTGGAAAAGCTCGACATATCTATCAATGATCTCGTTATCCGAGATGCACAAGCTTTTCTGCAAGTCTATGAGGAGGGACATGGTGATTCGGTTCGAAATGAAGCCCAGAGGATTCTTAATGACCTCCAATTGCTGGCGACCAATATTCGCAAGTGTTATGCCTCGCGTGGCGACAAAAATGGCCTCCCGTTGTTCAAGAAATTGGCCTCTTACTTTGATGGAGATGCACTGGAAAGCATTACTAGCTCTGAACTTTTGAACTCTGGGGTTATTGAGGTCCTTCTTGATGTCCTAACGGACTTTAAGGCTCCGTGTATTAAGTATGCACGGTCTGCCTTCTTAAAGGCCTTCATGGGTTCGACAATTTCGGAGAAGGCCCAGAGTCAGAGTACAGCAACCACACCATTCAGCGTGTTGATTCGGAAGCTCCAAGACTTGCTTAGCCGGACCGAGCATTTTGAGGTCCTCACTGTGAGCCATAATTCTCTCGAGAATACTCGTACAAATGCTACCTACATGCTTGCAAAACAGCTCAGGTTAAAACTTGTTGCCGAGGATGGGACTGACGTTCCCCGACCCTACAAAAATTTGATGGTGTCCATCCATGCCATTGCCACATTTAAAGCGTTGGATGACTTCCTGCAGCCGCGAATTGCAGTGTCTGACCGTCCGCGCCAGTCTCGTAGCAGGGACTCGATCCTCTCCCAGATTGCGCAAGCAGCACGCATGCGTGACCAGCTCACCTCAGATGCCTCTCCCAGAACCCCGTCGACCGGACATCGACCCACTCGCAATGCAGGAGCTGGTGGAAACGCAAATGAAGACCCGGCAGTAAGCAATAACCAGGCGGCCTCAGGGACCCGAAACTACCAGCGTACGGCACTCCAGGAGGAGGATGACGAGGATGATGAGCCTCTAGAGTGTGCCGACGAGAGACAGATTAGCGACGAAGACGAGGATGACGACGCTGGAGATGCGGAGGAAGACGAGGAGCTCAATGCAATTGTTGATGATCTTGACGACGAACTCGAAGACGATAACGTGCATGATCCAACTGCCGTAAACATGGAGGTCGCTTCTTCCGGCAAGGTGACAGCACGAAAAGAGGATGGTACTCGAGTGGGCACCCCTTCGCACTCTACTCCTAAACCTTCCTCCTCGGCACCGGGGCCTGGTTCAACTGCGCAAAACTCACTGGCTACAGCTGGGCGTCCATTCTCGTCCTATGCAGCAGCTATGGCTTCGATTCCCCAGGACTGGCATATTGAGTTCTGCGTGGATGGGAAATTGATCCCCAGTGACACCACTGTATACCGAGCCGTCCACCACAATCGTGAACAACTTGATGAGACGAAATCCAAAAATGTTTGGTCTGCCATTCATACCGTCACATACAGACGCGTTCCTGGCCCACCCCCACCTGAGCCGTCTACTCTGGCTAATTCCGGGAAAGAAGCCTCCTTGAGTGCTGATGGCCTGGAAATGCCTTCTTCTCTCAGCAAAGATGCTATAACAGCTTTAATTTTGCGTCTTCTACGTGTTCTGCATGAGATGAACGCAACAATCGATGACATTCTGATGGATGCGCGAGACCACGCCAGCATCACTCCAGAACCCTTGGCCCAATTTATCAACACCAAGCTCACTGCCAAAATGAACCGCCAATTGGAAGAACCATTGATTGTGGCAAGCAGTTGCCTTCCGAGCTGGAGCGAAGACTTAGCCCGGCTCTTTTCCTTCCTTTTCCCATTCGAGACAAGACATCTATTCTTGCAGTCAACATCATTTGGCTACTCTCGCGCTATGACAAGGTGGCAAAACTCACAGAGTGCCGAGGATAGTCGGCGGGATATGCGACGAGATGATCGGCCGTTCCTTGGTCGACTGCAACGTCAAAAGGTTCGTATTTCTCGTGCTCGCATATTGGAGTCTGCCATGAAAGTCATGGAGCTCTACGGATCTTCCCCAAGCGTTCTTGAAGTAGAGTATTTCGAGGAAGTCGGAACTGGACTGGGTCCGACTCTCGAATTTTACTCCACTGTCTCGAAGGAGTTCTCGAGAAGAAGGCTTAAGATCTGGCGTGAAAGCGATGGCCACTCTTCCGCTGATTATGCGTTTGGAAAGCGGGGTCTGTTTCCTGCTCCAATGAGCGAGGAACAAGCATCCCATGACACTGGCAAAAAACAATTAAACATTTTCAAAGTTCTTGGAAAATTTGTTGCACGCTCTATGCTTGACTCGAGAATTATTGATGTTTCTTTCAACCCGGCGTTCTTCCGCATTGCCGATACACTCTCCTCTGTCGCGCCATCTCTTGGAACGATCAAGGCCGTGGACGAAGGCTTGGCTAGGTCTCTAGGCATGCTGAAGCAATTTGTCAATGCAAAGAATGCAATTCAGGAGGACCGAACTCTCTCCCAACAAGACAAGTCCAAAGCCATTCAAAGCATTGTTGTCGATGGTGCCCGGGTTGAGGACTTGGGTCTGGATTTCACCTTGCCTGGTTATCCATCCATCGACCTAGTTCCAGGTGGATCTGATATCTCATTGACTATCGAAAATGTGGATAAATATGTCGAGAGAGTCATTGACATGACCCTGGGTAGTGGTGTCCGCCATCAAGTTGATGCGTTCCGTGCTGGATTCTCTCAAGTCTTCCCTTTCTCTTCTCTTCGTGCTTTCACTCCCAGTGAATTGGTTATGCTCTTCGGACAGGCCGAGGAAGACTGGACCATCGAGACACTAATGGACTCCATCAAAGCTGACCATGGCTTTAATATGGACAGCAGGAGTGTCCGAAATCTGCTCCAAACAATGAGCGAAATGGACAAGCAGCAGCGTCGTGATTTCCTTCAGTTTGTCACTGGTAGCCCGAAACTCCCCATCGGTGGTAAGTTCTATAATTTCAACTCTCGGGTTTCTATGACAGTATTAATCTCTGTTTGTAGGCTTCAAAAGTCTTACTCCCATCTTTACGGTCGTGTGCCGTCCGAGCGAACCCCCTTACACAGCCGATGATTACTTGCCTAGTGTCATGACTTGTGTAAACTATCTCAAGCTCCCCGACTACAGCAGTCTCAAAGAACTCAAGAACCGATTGTCCGTTGCCATCAAGGAAGGACAAGGTGCCTTCCACTTGTCTTAGATGGCTTCATTTTCTTCACGCACCAGCGCTTCCTGTTCAAGGCTCGTTCTCACTGCATTCTATTGACCGGCAGCGCCGGCAATGCCGGCGCAATCTTTCCCACCAGGAGCGGGACCTTCTTAATGATGCGATGACGTGCAACTTGCTGATTTGTTCTTGATGATCCCCCAAATTCTCGACTTTTCTCTTTTTTGTTTTCGGCTGGGCTGATACTTTCTTTATTTCTTCATGCCTTTTTTGAGTCGAGGGGCGTCAAGGTGGATTCCCCTTTCCCATGATAATTGTATTAGATAGCAATGGATACTGTTTTCTATTGATCAGATTTGTTCTGTTTCTTACTGGTTATCAATCCCCTAGGTAATATTCCAGAATACTGTAGGATATTGGTATAGGCATGTATCTACTATGTATCTATAAAGATGTTGATCACACATCTTTGTAATTAATTGGAATATGTTCTAGTCTATAGTCTATGTACGCTCTATCAATTATCGAACAAAGGAAACAAAATCATCCAAGAGAGAAGATCGAAGCGATGAAAGGCACTCGCAGCGACCATCAAGTACGGTAGACAGACACCATGGACTAAAGAGCAAAGTTAGCAAACTCCATGTCAACAAATGTTCATATCCATATATGTACTCACATCAGCAAACTTAGGCTCCACGAACAAAGCCTTCGCCTCAGCAACCATAACTGCCCCCTCACTATCTTCCATTAACAGACTCGTATCTGAAACCATAGCCGGGATACCGCGAGCTGCAGGTAAATCCAATGGAAGACAAATCATCCGCCCTTCAACCCACGCCTTCCGTCCCTCAACTTTAGTTGTCTTAGCCCGCAACACATACATCCGATCCGGCAGCGCAGGCTTCCTGAAATCCACATTCAAGTTCGCCGTCATCCCAAGCCCACTGGGGAAAGCAGCAGAAACACATCTAGCAAAGACCTCATCAAACAGCACCGAGAGCAAACCACCATGTACAAAACCAGGATGTCCGCACAGGTCCCTTCCAATATGGAACACAGAGACAACGCTGCTAGTCTTCGTCTTGCTCTTCGATTCCGCGCTGGCTTTCTGTGACGAGGTCCACATGTACGGAGCCAAGGCTAGTTTGCCCGCGCCCGCTAGACTCCCACCGACGAAATGGTGCTGCCGGATGGCGGGCGGGATGGCGAGGTGGGGGCGTGATTCTTTGTAGTTCTTGTGGGATTGGCGGAGGTTTTGGACGAGGGGCATCTGGGTAATGAGGGCGTCGAGGCCTGAGGACTCGGCATGTTGTGACTGTGCGGATTGCGACTCCTTTGCTGTGGGCTTGGTTTGTGATAGGAATTGGGTGTCTGTGTGTGAACCTTGCGCTTGGCTTTGAGGAAGTGCTTGTTCGTGGACCACGGCTGATCGAGATGGGCCCTGTTGGTGGAGGTAGGCAATCGGGCCAGAGGGTGTGAAGGTTCTGGCAATTGAGCGAGCTGATGGGCGTAGAGCCCACCGTGTTGCGAAAGGAAGTAGCGACATTGGGACACTGTATATACCAGGAATGTCTATTTGGAGTAAGTGACTGGCGTTCGATGATGACACTAGGGTAGTCTAGCCTGGCTATCAATCAGGGCTGGGCCTTTCTCCGTACGTACCTCGAACTGCCGATAAGCTAAGGGAAAATTATCTGCGGCTAAGTGGAAACCCGCAACGTTCGTATGCAAGTTGTATATCAAGACGTTTTTGGGTACTTCAAGTACTCGATTTGATATAGTGTGCTGAGCAAAGATATTTCAAAAGCAGGGATTACATGAACCTTAACCATACGACAGAATGAATTGACACTTTTTCTCCGCTTCTACCCTTTTCCTTGGAATTTTTTTCTGTTGGACCCAACGGTGGGGCAAAAAAGTCCCGATTTCGGCGGGCCCTCGGAATGCCGCCGAATGGAAGATCTCGGCATGCCGATAAGATTGGTCCACTTTTATTTCTACCCTAGGAAATCTAGATTCTTATGGCAAAGTGACGTACTGATGTTGCCTTGGCTGAGTAGCGTTTACGAAACATTGAATGGATGCACTTGAGTAGGGTTCTTCTGCTATAAAGATTTATTATGCATCTTAATGAAAATAGCATGAACGATTTTGTTTTGACAAGCGGGGCTATGTAACGAGAGCACACTGTACAGATCGACATCCCTCTTGGTATGGTATCGAATTGGTCTCCACGGACCAACATAAATAGAAAATCAAAAAGTAGCTTAGAAGCCCAAAGGATCAAGGTGGCCGAGGAAGGACTTGTTGCCCTCGCCGCGGAGCAGAGCCTCAATATCAACGCGACCTGCTGTGAGATAACGCTCACTAACACCAATGTTGATGCGCTGTGAAAGTAGATGCTTTAACTCCGCTCGGAGTGCATTCAATTCACCCTTGGTGATTCCGCTATCCTCCTTCTCCCGGCGCTCTCGTCCACCACCGCGACCGCGACCCCTGCCCTTGGAGTCATCAAAGTCATCACTGTCATATTCAACACCAAGATCCTCAGCCGCAGAACGCAACCAGTTGCCCTCTGAAGAAACCTTCTCCTTGGCGAGATTGGCGTCGGTGATCTTTTTGGCCAATGCGAGACGAGGCTTTACCCGAGCAACGACGCGACGGTCGATTTCGAGAGACTCCAAAGGCAGTTTCTTGGTACTAGCGTTGGGGTCTCGAGAGTGGACCTTGGCAGCAAGGCGAGCCACGCTGACGACCTCGTCCGGAGAACAGATGATAACACTCTTTCCGATTGCACCGGCACGGGCAGTACGACCCGATCGGTGAACGTAGGAATCAGCTGCACGGGGGGCGTGGTAATGAACGACGCAATCAATGCCCTTGATATCAAGACCACGGGCGGCAACATCAGTAGCGACGAGGATAGAGCTAGGATCAGCGGTAGGTGAGGAGAAGCGCTCTACTGAGCGAAGTCGAGCTTTTTGTGCCATGCTGGAATGGAGACCAAGAGCGGGGAGTCCCAATGCTTGGAGCAGTTGAGTTACACGACGAACCGCAGAGATAGAGTTGGTAAATACGAGAGTGCGGTGTTTGGGGTGGTAGAGTAAGAGTGCGTAAAGATAAAGATCCTAATTTTTTACGTCAGTTTTGTTGCAAAGAAGGATTGTTGGAGTATAATGTTCTTACCTTCTCCATTGCAGGACATTCAACAATGCCCTCTTTAAGTCCGTCAGCCATCTGCGAAACAGGGTTGACATCGATGAACCTTGGCTTCTCCTCCCGAAAGTTGAGCTTCTTGAGCAAGTATTCCATGGACTCTTTGTTGTCCATCAGATCTCCTCCTGACCAACGACTCTTTCCGGCAAGCTTTTGTTGGAGATCGCGGTGGAAGGTGGCCGAGAAAACAAGAGTTTGGCGAGCCTTGAGTTGCTCATCCGCCTCTTCCTCTTCTTCCTCGCCTTCCGGCAAATCGTTGTGTTCCTGACGGTCCAAAGCGCCAACAATCTCTTCCACTTCCTTGAAGTTTCCTTGGCTGAGCAGACGATCTGCCTCATCCACAACAAGGAATCTGATCTTTTGCATCTTGCTAATCAAGCCAGATCCTGTGCTCAGAATCTCCCACACGCGGCCTGGTGTACCGACAACAATATCGGCAGTGGCAAGCTGTCTTTGCTGCTTTTGAATGGACAGACCACCTGTCAAAAGGGCAACTCGTGCGTTGGTGTCTGGGGCATTCTCAATTAAAGCACCGATGTGCTTGCCTAATTGAACAGCCAACTCTCGAGTAGGTGAAAGAATGAGGGCCAAAGGAGCTGAGGGTGGCTTCTTATCGGTTTCGATCTTCTTCCCTCGCTTTTCCAAATAATGTTCAATAATTGGAATACCGAAGGCGAGAGTTTTTCCGGAACCGGTTGATGCCTTACCAACCATATCGTGTCCGTCTAGAATACCTGGAATGCAGGCCTTTTGAATGGCGCTTGGAGTACTGAACTTCAACTTAGAGAGACTGGCAAGGATCTCAGGCGACAGACCAAGCTCGGTCCAAGCTGAAACATCCACCTCATCATCACTTTCAGCTTCATCGAGTGCTTCCCAAGAAAGGCCGCCCTTGAACTTGGCATCTTGGATAGGCTTTGCTTGTTTTGTCTTGCCGTCCTTCTGTTTGGTGTCTTTCTTCTTGGGCTCCTTGGCCTCTTTGGTGTCCTTGGCTTCCTTGGGCTCCTTGGTGTCTTTGGTGTCTTTTGTTGCCTTAGTATCCTTGACATCCTTTCCTCCATTGGCCTCCTTCTTCGGCTTTGACTTCTTATTATCATCCTTCGGCTTCGGAGCATCCTCTGATGTGGCGGTTGTTTTTTCGGTTGACTCTCCATCGCTGAAGCCTGACCATTCTTCAAAAGCGGTCTCTTCGGCAGTCGGTGTTCTTAAAATAGACTTGGGGGATTTGCCTGTCTTTGCCTATTTGCCGTTTAGATTAGTATGCAATTAGAGCGCCGCGGATACCCAGTACAAAATGGCATACCTTGAATTGGACCACGCCATTGTCTGATGCACGAATAATATCCACACCATCAATCTCCTCTAGTCCGAAGAATCCTTCCGCATCTTCCATTCGGTCGGGCATAGCAACTTCTTTCCAGTTGAGATCATCAACGCCAACTGCGCCATAGGTTTCATCTTCAGATACCACCTCGACCTTACCACCCTTCTTGCGCTTCTTGGCCTCACCAGCCTGTGGCTTGGAGTCGCGTCCTCTTTTTTGGCCCATTATGACAGTATAACCTGCTCTGAAATCGTCAGGTTTGCAAGTTTGAACAAGAAACACAGAAAGATCAATGTCAAGGCTTGCGCAGAGAAAAAAAAGCGGCAGAAAGACTCCGCCTTGAAATCTTATCGCTTGGCTCCCCCACGTTGGAATTTCCGCCGCGACAAAAACCTCAATCTTAATATTCCGATTACCCTGTACCTTTCTTACTCAAGATGGGTAAGTCGTCCAAGGACAAGCGCGATGCCTACTACCGGCTTGCCAAGGAACAAAATTGGCGTGCCCGCTCCGCCTTCAAATTGATCCAAATCGACGAACAATTCGACCTTTTCGAGCACGAGAACCCGGATAAAGTGACAAGAGTGGTGGATCTATGCGCTGCACCTGGAAGTTGGAGCCAGGTCCTCAGTCGAGTGTTGATCAAGGGAGAGAGTTTCGGCCGGAGAGCATGGCTCGAAAAGAAGCGGAAAGAGCAACAGGCCCTACAGAGGGGCTCTGAGGCCACTACCGACGACAACGACGCCGACGACCATTATGAAATCGGAGAGGCCGACCCCAGCGCAGAATTGAAGCCTCGCAAGAACGTCAAGATCGTCTCCATTGATCTGCAGCCCATGGCGCCGCTCGAGGGCATCACCTGTCTCAAAGCCGATATTACCCACCCCTCCACCATCCCTCTGCTTCTGCGCGCACTGGACCCCGAGGCATATGAGTCCTCGACAACCACATCCGACTCACCCTCCAGTACCCCCGCGCCCATTCGGCAACCACATCCCGTCGATCTTGTCATTTCCGATGGTGCGCCAGATGTCACCGGCCTCCACGATCTCGACATTTACATCCAATCCCAACTCCTATATGCGGCACTCAACCTTGCCATGGGTGTGCTTCGTCCTGGCGGTAAATTCGTCGCCAAGATTTTCCGCGCCCGTGATGTCGATCTCCTCTACGCCCAGCTGCGTACCGTCTTCGAGAGAGTCAGTGTTGCCAAGCCTCGGAGTAGTCGCGCAAGCAGTTTAGAAGCATTCATTGTCTGTGAGGGTTTCATCCCGCCTGTTAACAGCGAGGGCGTCGTCGGAACAGCGGCATTGAAGAACCCTCTATTCGGAGGTGCTGCGGTGCCGAAGCCTGTTTCGGATGACGGAAATCTCGCTGTCGAGGTGCCCGAGGAAGACGAAAACGAACAGTCACCCAGGGCCTTGAGGGAAGTTTCATCTGTTGATGACATAGTGTCTGCGCCAAACGAGTCTACAAAGATTAATTATCTACACCCCGCGTCGTTGCCAATGGACCCCCCTTCAGCGCACAAGTCGCTCTCAAAGTTTTCTGAGGAGAACCGGTGGATCCCTTCTTTTATTGCTTGCGGTGATCTCTCTGCCTGGGATTCTGATGCATCATACGCCCTTCCCCCAGACTATGTTAGTCTGGATCCTGTTCAGCCTCCAACTGCACCACCGTATCGGAAGGCCTTGGAGTTGAGGAAGCAAATGGGCGGTGCTTATGGCAAGACCAAATATATCAAGTCTACCAAAGCGGCCCAAGCATAATTCATTTATACCATGCGCTCAAAAATATACGATCAATGGATTTAACGGATAGACGACCGATTATGATGTACAGGGAGAAGGAACGGTGTTATAGACGGTGTCGAGTGTGAACAAACCGATTCTTAGAGTCAATCATGAATACCCATAGACAGGCGATCTAATAAGGCGACTGGAATGAAAAACAAAACATCTACTTTACTACAACAAACATTTGACAGAGCATTATAAAGTCAACTTTGGAAAATCGTCATAAAAATGATAAATGCAGTTGATTTTTGAGGATCTATATGCAAATAGCGCTAGGCCGAATCAAGACGGTCTAAAGAGGGGGAATAGAAAAAAAAAACAAATGCCAATCATCAGATCATGCCAAGCCACAACTCAACTCTAGTACACCTCCAGAACGTAACGCTCCTCATCCTTCAACTTTTCAATCTCCTTGCGAGTATCAACCTTCTTGCCGTTGGCCTTGGCCTCGGCTCCAATGGCCTCCTCAAGGACAGCAGTCACGTCGGGCACGGGCCAAGTGGGACCACACAGATAGAAAGCACCATCCTCCTGAATGTATGCCTTGCGGATCTCAGCCAAGCTCTCGCGCATGCGGTCCTGGATGTAGATCTTCTGGGGCTGGTCACGAGAGAAGGCAGCACCAAGAAGGGTGATGACACCGGCCTCCTGGTAAGCCTCCCACTCCTCACCGTAGCAGTACTCCTCGCGCTGGTGACGGGAGCCCATGTACAGGAGAACGGCACCGATCTCCTTACCCTGGGCCTTCTCGAGAGCACGGTGCTGCACGAAAGCACGGAAAGGTGCGAGACCGGTACCAAGACCAGCCATGATAAGAGGCTGGGTGGACTTGGGGGGCAACTTCATCACACTGGACTTGACGCTAACAGTGATGGGCGAGCCGACCTGCAGGCTGCTCAGGTAGCGGGTGGCAAGACCGAAGCGGTCCTTGCCGTTGGGGGAAGCCCAGTTGACGGCGACAATCATCAGGGCGACGCTGTCGGGAGTCACCTTCTGGCAAGAGGCGATGGAGTACTCGCGACGCTTCAGGGGACCAACGATGCGGACGATCTCGTGGAAGTCGGGGTGGGCAGAGGGGTATTCAAGAAGGATATCGGCAAAGGTAACGGTGTCAACCTCGGCACGTCGCTTGAACTCGGTAGCACCATCGGGTCCACCCAGGGTCTTCAGGTCGGTCTTCTCCTTCTCGTCGCTGGCAAACTCGGCCAATGCCTCGTAGAAGCGCTTGGGTGGGCGACCGAAGATATCAACGTTCTGAACCAAAGCCTGGTACACAGTGCGGTTCTCAAAGACGTTGGGATCCTCACGGCTGGGAACCTCGACGATGGAATCGGGGTTCAATCCATAGAAGGCAATGAAGTCCATGACCTCCTTGGGATCGTTCTCGGCATGAACACCAAGGGCCTCGCCAATATCGTAGGTGAGACCAGTGTTGCCAAGATCGAACTCAATGTGGAAGATGTTACGGTCGTATGTGACGGGGGTAAGGCGGCGGTTCTCCTTGACGTGGACGGTGAAGGTCTTGGTTGCCAAGTCAGGGCGGAGAGCATTTCTGGTGCCGAAGGCCTCCTTGAATGCCAGACCCTTAGCAGCGGTCTGCCAGTCGCGAAGAAGGGTAGAGGCCTCGGCCTCCTCCTTATCAAAGGAGACGAAGCTGTTGGCGGAGATGTCCTTGAGAAGCTCGGGCACCTCGGTGACACCCTCGGGCTCCTTCCAGGCCTCGGGAGTCTCAATCTGGCGAAGGACCTTGTCAAGATCAGTGCTAACCTTCTCGACAGCCTCAGCATTGCCCACGATGGAAGCCAACTTCTTCGTGGCCACGCCTTCCTGCGAGGGAAGAGCAACGCGGATGAAGGCAGCCTGGAGGGTCAGGGCATCAAGAGAAGCGCCTTCGATGGCGGAGGCGTCAATGACAAACAGCGAGATACCACGCTGAACGACAGTCTGTCTGAAGAGGGCAGGCAGCTTCTTTTCGAGGTCCTCGTCCTTGACGCCAGGGGCGTTCACAATGATCTTAGCATTGTCCTTGACAGATGCAAGGACATCGACGTCGTTGAGCAGTGCAAGGTTTCCAACATAGGAAACATCAGCGGCAGTGACTGCGTAAGGAGCATCCACGATCTTGGCGCTCTTGCGAATATCAACGCGGATGGCACCGCCCTGGACCAGGTTATCGTGAATCTTGCTGGTAGTGACATTGCTTGCAGAATCGGCAGCAAGGGCTTGGCTCAAAGTTTGGGTAGCAGACTCAGAGACAGAGTTATCGACATCCCAGAAGGTGTATTCCTGGACAGTTGTGGGGTCCAGCAACTGCAGAGGAGCGGCCTCATCAGTCACACTGTTGGCAGAGAGAATGGGCTGGTCATAAATGCACTGGAATGCAGCAGCAGTGGTGATCTGGTTCCAGGTCTGAGAGCGAGGGTACTTGACCTCGACGCAAGAAGGAGCATGCTCACGACCAGCAGCAAAGGTCAAAGCCGCGAGCACATCCTCGTAGAGAGCAGAGTGGACACTCTCCTCCTGAACAGCTTGCTCGTCGGCAACCTGTCCCAAGACGCCAACAGTCTTGACGGACTGAGGCAGGACACGCAGGAACTCCTCCTCGATGAAGGGGCGGTAGACACGGACATTGACCACACCGATCTTGACACCAGACTTGGCGACGGAGCGAGCAACCTGTGCGGCAAGAGTAGCCTCCACGGTGCCGAAAACGACCAGAACGGAAGTGGCCTCCGAGTGTCCGTGGTACTCAAAGGCACTGTAGTCGGTTCCGAGCTCGCCGTTCAGGGTCTTGAGGAGATCAAGAACCTTGCCCTGAGCATCAAGGTGGCGGGTGCGAGAATCATCGAGAGTCTTGCGAACGGTCTCATAAGTGCGGGCCAGGCCATCCTTGTCAAGGACATCGATGACACGAGTGGTCTCACGGCCTACACGAACACCATCGTAGATGTGGATGGAGGGCAGGACGGAAGCCAAGAGGGTTGCGAAAAGAGCCATGTGCTGGGATTCGTGGGCGGAGGCACTGGACACGAGACCCAAGCCAAGGTCCTCAGCCAAAGACAGGGCAGAGGCATAGTCGGAGACAAGTCCATCCTCTCCAGCATAGTCGGCAGCAGCGACATGTGCCGCCACCGGGCTCGCCACAGAGTACAGGAGAGAGAGCTGCTCAAGGGCAGAGCGCATGTAAGGGAGAGTGGCAGAAGAAGCCACAATTCCCTGAGGCACATGACGCTTCTTCAGGTCAAAGTCCTGGGAGAATAGGTAGCCGAGAGCCATGTTGCCGGCACCTTGGCGGGTCTCCAGGGTCTTGACCACGGGAGACTCTCCGCTGGCGTTTGTTTCTTGTGCCGCGGACCATTGCTGGAGGGCAGTGTCGAGGTCGAAGGTCTCGGGGGAGTACGAGAAGATCTTGTCACTGAGCAGGTATGCAACCTGCTGGATCAGGGTCTGAGCAGTGACATATGTAGGACCCGAGAGGGCAGAAAGCGCAGGGTTTGTGGCGCCCATTGTGATTGTGAGTCTTGTCTGGATACCGGGATACACAACACCGATATCAACAAGTGATTGACAAGAAAGAAATCACTTTACAGAGGAAGAATGCGGAGAGAAGGAGGGGAGATCTCGCCCGAATGCCCGCTTAGTATAGAAAAGTCCAGGGCAACTTGCCTTATCGGGGATAGTGTCAATCACGCAATCACGCAATTCCTTATCGATAAGACCCTCGGGCGGCCTCCGATGGCAAAAACTCTAAAAATCTCAGCAGAAAAGTTCCGCTTTAAGCTGATGACTCAGCCATTTTGGCCACCTCCGGATGCCTGAGGCGGTAGTTTTGGTCGAGAGGCAAACACCCCACGTTGAGATTTGAAATCAATGTCTGGAGTATATTGCCAGTATGAAGAGATTTCCAAGGCTAGCAGTTGATTACCCTATAGATACTTTATTAAAGCTTTACATAGGTATGAAATATAAATAAGCACCTATTTTGAAGTAATAGAATCCTGCAGTCAACATTTAAAGATTTATTCGTCAACATTTGAACGCATCAAGGGTGCACAACAATCTACACATGTGCATATATGCAAATGAACCATGTATATTCAGACCAAATTTAAACCCACTTTTCAACCTTCAACTATCAATGTTATTGCAGGGCTGCACATATGCATCGATCTGAATTCCCTTTCACTCGCCAAATCAATTTGTTCAACTATTTAAAAGTGCAGCCATCTAGGAAACCCGCTCACCAGGGGACTTGGCCGTGGTTACCTAGTAGTTTGTTGGTGACATCTGGAATATTCTCACGCCGCAATATCACCATCTGTTGGTTGATGGCCTGACATGAAAAAGCGATAGGTCAACAAGGCAATGCCTAAGCATATTGCACCTAAATGAAACTTATTTCAGCCAAAGCTCTCTTGCATGTGAGGGCATGAAGCCTCACAACATTGAACTTACCCAAGGTCATGCTCAGAGCGTCAAACCCAATTTTCTCTGAAACGACTCCTGCCAGCAGCGGCCCTGCCATCAGCCCAAGATTGAATGAGATTTCGCTCAATCCAAAGGTCCTTGAACGTCCGCCGTAAGCACCAAATATATTACGCTGCTTTAACTCCAACTCATCCAAGACCGCTATATTCCCAATCACTGTTAGTACTTGAGACCAATGACAAAGACCGGTGATCTCATTTACTTAACGCATGCAAAATTCCAGAGCCTTGAATCAACGGCAGCATCATTCCAACTCCGATTATTGAAAAAACAAAAATAGGTTTTCCCTGATTTTCACCACTGGCCCAGGACATGCCATTTCCAGGAATACCCATGATGACAAATAAAGGTCCTAGAAGAACCCAACCAATAGTGGTAGGGTATCTCAGACCGACACGATCTCGAAGCCAGCCTGAAAAGGGACCAAGAACGATGGCGGGAATGCGAAGGAAAAGGAACATTGTTCCCACATCTAATGGCCCCCATCCGAAGATGTCGCGAAGGTGAAGTGGCAAGGTGGTATTTAGCGCGCCGATGAGGATGGAGCTACAGAAGACGTTTGCGAAACTGACTATAATTCGAGGATCGGAGGCCATTACGGCGTAGAAATTGGATGGTGGCAGCGACTGCAATGCATCGTCGTTCTTTGAATCAGTCTGCACAAGTGGCGGGAGAAGTGGAGAGACCTCCGAATCATTGGACTCTCCAGTATTGTTAGCTTCAGCATCTCCAGTTGGGATGAATTCACCAAGCGATTCGACCGAGTGGGAGGCTGGTGATTCAATCAAAATCAACCATGTAAACATGTTGAATATAAGAGCTCCCATCGGTAGGTACCAACAAGGCCAATACCCAGCTAGCTCTAGCGTGGTCCCCGCAAGCACCGGTCCGCCAACCGTACCCGTCATAACGATGGACATACTTATGCCCATCATTTTACCGACATTTCCCTCTCCGGCATTTTCTGTCAAGATAGCTAGACAAATGATCCATGCTGCTGCTCCTGCGATGCCTTGAAGAACTCGACCCAGGGTAAGAACAAAGTCTATATTTCAATCCATCGTCAGTGGCCATGTTACAAACGTGAGAGACACATGTCAAGGACATACAGCTTGGTGTGGTAGCAACAAGAATGGTTCCAACCAAGGCAATTACCAGAGAGCCAAGAAGTGGAGATCTTCGATTAGAAGTTTGATCGACGAAGTGAGCGAGAATCGGAGCACATATCACTGTCGCGAAGCCATGAATTCCAAGTAACCAGGCAGTCAACTGTTGAGTCTGGGCAGGATCCTCCCCCAAACGGACTTCCAGCATATAAGGCAAGATCGGGACCACGAAGCCATAGAGCAGGACCTCTTGGTCGGACTGTTAGTAATCGCACGAGCTACCCCCGCACTGGGAAAGGAGGTTCAAATACCGGTCAGCAAAGTGAAACACGCTGTTCCTATGATCAACGAGCTGGACGACCGCCATCCATAGCCAATTATAGTTTGAGTCGCCATTTTCCTCCTCCGTGCAAGAAATCAAAGAAACCAAAGACTACGAAGAGGCGCAAGTGAAAACACGGTGAGTCATTTGGAATGGGAATCGGATGAGAGATAAAATGTGTTATCAAAGTAGCATCGCCCCTCACAGGACTAATGCAAAGTTCAGCCTTGAGCTTGCCCCCATTTGTACCAACCAGTGCATGATTGGTCATATTGGGATCCACTCAATTGATCTTAAGTTGACAAAAGACATGCGACTGGGGAGAGGATCATTTGGCACTGGAAGCTTGAAGAAAATAAAATAAAAAACCAAATCTTTATCTTTTTCATCATGAATGAAGTTCGAAAGAAGACAAGATCAAAGATCCGAAAATCTCCAGTCCTTGTAAAGTGACAACACGGGCCAAGTGCTCTCCACTCTTGCACGGACCTTCCTAGAAATGAGTGCATCAAGTCAGATCAAGGCAACCTATCCCAGACGCATCTCCCAAACACAGATACAGGGATCTTCCAAAAATTTCGAAATGCAGGAATGCAGTATGTTCATCTCGTGATGATCGTCAATGCCTTGCACTAGTTATGCAGAACAGCCTGACTCAGCAATGCACCCATGTGATGTCACCCACGGGTAGAGCAGCACCGAGCCTCGGTCGCAAAGCCCTGCCGCTCATCACATTGCGGAGAAGCGGAGTCCAACCCCAGAGCTCTGAACACCATGTAAATAACCTATTCTCGTCGCCTTCCTTGGGGTTTTATGTCCTAGAAACACATAATAAACCATCTCAATTGATCCATCGGAATTTATTCAACCATGGCAGAGAACCCTACCAATCCCGTTCCTTTCTCCGAACCGCCCTATCTGCGCGGCCTACCCTCCCCATACTTCACTGATGCTCACCGCAGCTTCCAGAAAGCATGCCGGAAGTTCATGTGGGAGAATCTGCTTCAGAATGCAATGGAGTGGGAGAAGGAGGGCACCGTGCCAGAACATGTCTTCAAGACGTTTTGCAAGCACAACATGCTGTTGCCCAACATGCCCTCCCCCCTTCCCGTGGACTGGCTGAAGCGCCTTGGCATTCACGATATTCTGGGTGCCAAAATCGAGGACTGGGATCACATTTACACTGGAATCTATGCCGATGAGGTGAGTAGAGGGATAGTACAGAAGAGCAAAAACTTGGCTTTATGCTGACAATACTTTTGTAGCTGGCTCGATCAGGTCTAAGTGGTCCTGGTGGCGCTTTGAACGCTGGCTTTGCCTTTGGTATTCCACCCATTGTCAAATTTGGTAGCAAGGAGTTGCAAGAAAAGTTCCTCCCCGACCTCCTCACTGGAAAGAAGCGGTCTTGTATCGCCATAACTGAGCCCGAGGCTGGTAGCGATGTTGCCAACATCGTCAGTACTGCAGTCAAGAGCAGTGATGGCAAGCATTACATTGTGAATGGATCCAAGAAATGGTAGATACCCGATCCCCAATTATCCTTGCTTTTAAAGCAACTTTCAAGCTTACTTGTCGCCAGGATCACAAACGGAATTTGGTCCGACTACGCAACCATGGCGCTGCGCACCGGCGGGCCAGGTGCCGGCGGACTTTCAGTGATCGTGGTGCCTTTGAAGGGTCACCCAGGTGTCACAATGCGTCGCCTCAAGGTCGCCGGCCAGAAGGCAGGTGGCACCACCTACATCGAGCTCGACGATGTCAAGGTTCCAGTCTCCAACCTGATTGGCAAGGAAGGCGAGGGCATGCGCATTATCATGACCAACTTCAACCATGAGCGTTTGGTCATTGCAGTCGGTGTCACCCGTCAGGCACGTGTTGCTTTGTCTGCTGCATTCTCTTACTGCCTCAGACGTGAGGCCTTTGGAAAGACTCTAATGGACCAGCCCGTAGTGCGGCATCGTCTTGCCAAGGCCGGAGCTGAGCTCGAGACAATGTGGGCTTGGGTTGAGCAGATTCTCTACCAGTTGAGCCATCTTAGTAAGGAAGAGGGCGACCGTCAGCTGGGCGGATTGACGGCTTTGGCTAAGGCGAAGGCTGCTATGGTACTGAACGAGTGTGCGCAGGTTGCTGTGTTGCTGTTCGGCGGAAACGGCTTTACTCAAACGGGCCAAGGAGAACTTGTCGAGGGTAAGCTTTAAATGCCGCGTCTGCTATCTGTACTGTTGATGCTAACCTTTTTTTTTCGTCAGCTATTCTCCGTGATGTTCCTGGTACCCGTATTCCCGGTGGCTCTGAGGATGTGCTTCTTGACTTGTCTGTGCGTCAATTAGTCAAAATCTACCAGGCGGAGGAGAAGAAGCTTTCCCAGAGCTCGAAAATCTAGATGTATATGTCCAACAGCAAGATAGATTTTCTTTTCTGGTTTTTGCAACATGCTTTCTCTGGCTCCTGAGCAATGAACAAACACGACTTTTGATTTGATTTTTGACAACCCTTTTAAGAGTATAGATCAGTCACTGGTTGGCAACTGTAATACGTGTCGATTTCAAGTGGTTTCCGAAGGAAAGATAAATTCAAAGCATGAAACGTTAGCCGTACAAGCAATAGTGGGAAGATAAGCATTCAATGCTCATTACCCGATTGGGGTTAGCTCCGCAATGACGAAAGAGAAAGGCGCAACCGCTTGCATGTGGGCGGCGTGCTCACTACCTTTCCTATCGCAACCAACTCTCGAACCTTGTAAATTTTCAGAGCAATAATGGCGAACGCAGCACTAATCGGATGCACCGGCATGGTGGTAAGCTGCAAAATCTCTTCCCCGAACCCCCTCAAAACACACACCTAATCACCTACCCTCCTGCGCAGGGCTCCCACATCCTCACCAGCCTTATATCCAGCGCCGGCGTCAGCCGGGTCGATACCATTTCACGCCGAACCCCAGCAGCCGCCACCGATGCCCCCGCAAAACTCACCACTTTCGTTTCCGACGACAGCTCAAAGTGGGCTGCCCAGCTCTCCGCCCTCACCCCCACCCCGGACATCTTCCTCTCATCGTTCGGCACCACCAAAGCGGCAGCGGGAGGCTTCGAGAATCAGTACAAGATCGAGCACGGTCTTAACGTTGAGCTAGCGCGCGCGGCCCGCGACGCTGGTGTTAAGGTTTACGTACTGATTTCCAGCTCTGGCGCAAACAAGGCCTCGTCGATCCCGTATACGCGGATGAAGGGCGATATCGAGGAAGATGTCAAGGCGCTTGGGTTTGAGCGCACGGTTATTCTTCGCCCTGGTCTGATTGCTGGGACAAGGGAGGAGAGTCGGCCTGCTGAGGCTGCTATTCGCTTTGTTGCTGGGTGGGCTGGTAAGCTTCACTCTAGTTTGAAGGATGCGTGGGCTCAGGAGGCGGATGTTATTGGCCAGGCTGCCGTTAAGGCTGGATTGAAGGCTCTCGAGGGCAATGTTCCTGCTGGTAGTGAGAAGGTTTGGTTGATCGAAGGAAAATCCATCATTGACATCGCCAAGAGCGATTGATTTGATTGAGATGTTTATACGCTTTTCGCTCTACTTTTCTTTGTTTGCATGCGGCATGCTGTGATGTTTTATTTCCCCGATGCTTGAAATTTTTATCTCTCACAACAGGGCTCCTTATTTGAAAACATTTGAATAACCATGACTAGTATTGAGTACCTACTATATACTTTGCACAGTGCAGAATCAATATATCCCCTCTCCATAACATGAAACACCACATGATTCTTCTTCACCTTTCAGTCGTCTTCCAACAGGCTGACCATCTCAAACGAGTCACTCCAGAGTCTAGCTTCCTCATTGGCATTGTACGTGCAGCTGGAAGTCGTACCAAGGGCAGGATTGCCGTCATCCTCACCACGCCCAGCAACCGCACAATCATTAAGATACAGACCACCCTTGCCTTCCAACTCCTTGGAAACAGCAGCCCAAACAGTAGTTGCTGCTCCCTGCTCAACGCTCTTCTGTACCTTGAGCATGAGCTCATTCTGCATCATCGCATCAATCTCCTGTTCGGGCAAGTACTGCCCCAGGTTCGTCGCAATTATACCAGGATGGAGACTAGTCGCATGCAGACCACTTGTACCATATTGGCGCTCGATTTCATTGGCCATGTAGACATTCGCCAGCTTTGACTGCCCATAAGCACCCCAAGGGGAATACCCACCGCTCTGGAAATGATAGTTATCCCAATCATTCAGAGTGGCAACACGATGCGCAGCAGCAGAAACAACAACGACTCTCGATTGGAAATTCGCCGAAGACCCAGAGAGTAGAGCTTGCTTGAGAAGGTTGAAAAACAGGAAATGGGATAGGTGGTTTGTTGCGAATTGCACCTCATAGTTGTCCTCTGTCAATTGAAGTTCCTGGACAGCCATTACTGCGGCGTTGGTGATGAGAATCGTAATGTGATTCGTCTTGGAGAGGACGGTGGCAGCGGCAGCTCGTACGCTTTTGAGCGAGGCCTGGTCCATGTGGATGAGTTCCATCTTACTGGCATCGAAGATGTTGCCGAGAGCTGTCTTTGCTTTGACTATATCCCGTGCTGTCAAGATGAGTCGTGCTCCCGTAGTTGCGAGTGCGCGCACTGTTTCGATGCCGATACCAGAGGAGACTCCGGTTATCACGATGAACTTGTCAGTCATCTTTTCTTCCATCGCTTCGTCATGGATGATTTGCATTGCTGTAGGCCGAGCATCACCGAGGCCTTGAGGATTGGCGTTGGCGGCGGCGTAACGAGACATTGTATCGAGATGTTAAGAAACTCGAGTGATGTGGTATTTTGAAAGTCCTGAGATGAATTGTGTAAAAGAAAGGTTGAAGGTGAATATGTACCTTTATATAGTAAGTTTGTCCCTCACTGCCACACTTTGGTTCCACAGCATGCTATACATTCTATACATTCAATGCATTTTGGCTGACGCTTTTCTCCATTTCCAGGTTAGCGCGAAATTGCTTACCCTATTAGCAGAGTAATCCTTGAGACCAGCTAATCCTGGTCATCCTGAATCCTGATCCTGCCCTGGCTGACCTTTTTTCCCTATTACGGACTAGAGCGACCCACTTTGAATGACTGTGCATCTGCTTATGTTTCCAAATCTCTAAAGAATCATCTTTCCCACTTACAAAATTGAATGACGCTACAAGGAATTCTCGCTTCCTCGTGATTTCAGCATGTCGAGCACATTAATGGATCAAAGCCACGCTAATGCCGAAGAGCGAAAGCTACGAAAGAGGCTTCAAAACCGATTAAACCAAAGAGCGCGCAGTGGGTCCTGTCCCAGACTCAAGTATTGTTGCTCTCTGATCAGGTATTGATAGTTACCACAGGACACCGTCTCCGAGATGAAAATGACAAACATGATATCGCGAGGGATAAGAACACATACCAGATCCGCCGCTGGAGAATTGACCCCAATGAACCACACCAGAAACATATGGGAGCCAACTTACACAAAAAATCCCATGATCTTTATCCCACGCTCTCAACCAAATTCATTCGACAGTCAGAGTCGGAAACCGATTCAATACCGGACAGAATAATCAAGCCGACGGCATCGGCGCAATCCTTTGACCCCAACACAGCCCTGTCCGCCGATCAACTCCTACATCTGATACAGTTTAACGCCTATCGCGGCCTTTACAAGAACAAGGCTCTTCTAGGCCGCACAGCCATATCATTAAGCCCAGGTCGTGATCCACAACGCTTTGACGAATCATTCCCCACATTCTCGGTCGTATTACCTAGAGCGTCAGATGTTATTGTCCCGGGAAGTCTTGCACCGACACAGTCACAGATGCGGATGATTCATTCGACGTGGATCAATACTATTCCGTTTCCCGCTATGCGAGATAATCTTATCAAGTGGGAGGGGTCCTTTAACCATGCGGAATTCGCGATGGATGTGGTCGGGTATTTGATGGATTCGATTTTGTTTCCCCAGCCTGAGGGTTCATTCGTGACCGAATTGGCGAGGGAGGGCCAATCGATTATCGAGGAAGTGGATCAAGATGATGAGATCACTGCTCATCGGAATGGTATTATTATCTGGGGAGAGCCACATAGGATAGATAGCTGGGAGGCCACGCCGGGGTTTCTGAGGAAGTATGCGTGGGCTATGCAGGGATGCGATGAATGGATAGAGTCGAGTAATCGGTGGAGGAGGATTAGAGGAGAGGAACCGTTGCGTTTTTCCGTGCCTCTGAGATTACGCTAACCTGATACGGGGGCTCGTTAGAAGCTTTTATAACTACTTGATGTCTTATTGAACCTTCGGATGTCATACAAAATTCAATACCATATGATATATCCATTGATAGATTCTATCGGGAAAAAAAGTTCATTAAACTTGATTATACACATGTATGGAAGATCTAAGAGTCGAAGACACCTAACGTCAAGTAGTTAAATGCCCCAGCTTTGAGAATTTCTCAATCCATCTGCCCCTGTGGGGGAGGGGCAGGCCACCTCTAGGGCTCGGTTGTACAATACATAAAGTCCATGTTGTTCCAAGCCTATCCTTCAGTCTCGATAAGAGACATGAGTTCCATCTTCTTTGACATGTATCGATCGTCTCTTCTTTGGTGCTCCTTTCATACTGGTAGACTCCTTCTCAACATTTCGATCAGGTCCCCCCTCTGTCGGCTCTCGCCACGCGCTAACGTCAGAATTGGCAGGGCTCATGTTCAAAGGGTTGCCATCCACGCCTTGGCTCTGCTTTTCTTTCCCCACAGCCTCCAACTCGCTTTCAGGTGCAGTATTGTGCGGGTCATAGGCCGACGGATGTTGGGCAACTTCGCTATCGGTTCCAGACTTGGTGCCCTCTGATCGATCGGGGTTCAGCTTCTCGCGGTCTTTTAAGGATGATTCAGCGTTATTGGCGGTCTTCTGGCATTGTGATGTTGTGCTGAATGTGCCTCGTGTTGCTGGGGCTAGCGGAGGTGTCCAAAGGCCAGAATTTTGGTGGGGGCGAGTGCGCCTGGTAGCCTGCTGGCCGGTGGTTATGAGGCTCTTCCACATTGAGTAGGTGTATATAGATAGAGTATTTGGACTCGAGGGCTTGAATACTGCGAATGATGGGCAAATCTGACTGTGTAGGAAGATGGAACAGATTGGATTGTTCACATAAGATTCCAACATCTATTCATGAAATCAAGATTCTTGTGTCTGGAACCGGCCTTTGCCAATACCTGCTGCCAATGTTCACATTGGTAAAGAATCATGCTGACGTCACCACCACTTACTGGATCGAGTAATGAGCTTTACGATTGATGTACTAGTACTATGTACTACTAGGAATAGTATTAAAGTGCCCTATGTATGTTCAGAATACAAAAATGAAAATTCTCACCAAAATATGCATATTAGCAATTTAAAAATATGACCTATTCCATATGTACGTTAGATTGTACGAATTTACAATCCGGTTAATGGGTCAGAGCGAAGTCACTGCCACGTCAACAAGCTGAACACGAGGATCGACATCCGATCTCAATAATGGGTTGCATAATCATTGTTTCAAATGATTGTTTACCGATGTACACGGTGATAAAGTTTAATATGTAGTACGCCAGGAGACACCATGGATGTTGAACTCAATTCCACCCGATGGATGCCGGAAATTTGGATTAGTTTACCTGATCGGTCTCTCCCCCAGGTATTATATGGGTGCCTAATGAAACCTGGGCACAACAAGTATGATCTAAAGATCGACAGGCTTTGGCCGGGAATTGTAGAAGTACAGAATATGCAGATCCTGCGCCAAGTTAGACATGTGCCAAAATGGCATGCGGGACGGATCACCAAGTCGGCCGGGTCAAAAAAGAATAACACCTGGGGCAATGCAAATGCGAGGGCCCGCAGCGAGAAGGACTCTCATCAACCAATGGGCTGTCGGGGCTTAGACAGCCTCGGCGTGGGAGTCCATGATATGCACCTTTCGCAATAGGTACATTGAAGTGGGGAAATGTTTTGTTAGCTGCAGATGACCGGCATCCCAGATAGGGCCTATAATTGGACGCCATGTTCGGCTGCAAGTGAGAAAGCCATGTCCGGTTGACCAATCCGAATGCGCTGACCTACATTTCAAGCGGTCGGCCTTTTCGCTCTGGAATTCCAGAGCTTCCACAGCAGGCCACCATTTGTCACCTGGTAGAAGAAGCATGCGCGTATGTGGTGCGGGAGCCTCCGTTCACTTTAAGATCACGGGATCAGAGGAGCCCAGCAGAGTGGGAGCATGTATGCGGGTCCGAGAATTCAATTTCAACGTTGTTAGTACGGGTAGCCGGAGTCAATAGCACATAAAACCAGCAAATCAGCCAACGACGGTGCTAATCCGACCTCGATTTCTTTGGAAATTTCACCGGTAACTTCGCTTGTTGGGCAGAAATCACCTTTACGCTTTTTTTCCCACTATTTTTGGCTATGATCCTTGCCAGAGATAGGTCCCGGACCGCGCAAGACAAACTCAAGAAAGTCCAGTTCGGTAGTAATACGGGGCGTAGGACAGAAAGCAGGGGGATTCGAGACGCTGATTCGAGTATTTCCGAGCCGATGCAACCAGTTCATTGCAGGAATTGGATCAGTGCTTCCCAAGGCTGTGCCCGCTGAGGCTGTTCGCCGCCGGTCAGGGATTGCAGGGTGCCAGCACAACATCTTGCCATGGATTACCTTCCCGAATGCAGGCAGGGAACGTAATGTGAGCGGCCGCCTCCGATGATCGTGCGTCGTATCTCTGGGTATCTCCCTCGAGTGGATCAGTGCGTCAACAAGTAAAGGTAATGCACCCACTTCCATCTTCGACCGAGAAAGCAACCCTTATGCACCCTCTCATTTAATGACAAGGATGGAACTCCGGCTCTCGTGTGGAGCCTCCAAGACCTCGAAAGTTGCCGCGTTCTTCGACTCACGGTCTTCCAGCCAGCGCTCATTACCAGAGAATGGTGCGTCGAGCCAGAAGCAATGTGCCACGTCAGAGTCACCGAGCTTTGGTGCAGCTGCATGTGGTTCAGCAATATGTGGGAGGTGTCACGGTTCGTGTCTGCGACGGGCTCCGCACGGCATCCAGGTCCTATCATTTTCGCCAAAAGAAGCAATTGTATGACGATGAACCATACACATGAGCGGGGCCAGATGCAGGATCCCTCCTCTGCAGGTATGAAAGATCAGCTGAACGAAAATGGATCCGGGTCCCGTTCAAATCCCGAGTGAGCAATGCATCCAGCGAGAGAGCAAGAAAAACCCAATTCTGTGGCCCGTGTCCTGAAGTGCAGGAGGTACCAATAATAGAGCCTCAGTGACGCGACTGTTGCCACCCAGTTGAAGGACTATTGGCTGACAAGCACGGAGCGGAAAGTTGCGGCAGGTGTGGAACGAAGACATAATCACGATTCTGATATCCTTGCAATATCGGCTCGGTCCCAAGTTGATAGAGAATGAGAAAGAAGTCGGGTCGCAATCTCAAGCTGAAACAATGTATTATTCTTCGGGGTTTTGGCCCAATCCACATATACAGGAGACGTAATGGCAATCCAGGGCCAGGGTTGAAGAGAGGGGCAGGGGCAAGCAATGATGTGAATGTGCATGCGCATGCAATGACACAGACGGCAACACCGAATGGCACATTCTGTGGACCATAGAGGGCTTTCGGACGGACGGCCGAGTCAATGCTCACAATAAATTATATAGAGCCAATCAAGGGTGGCAACATCGGGCACGAATGGTGGAGGATAGAAAATCCCATTGCGGTGGAGTCACGGGGGACGTGCAGCCCTGTCACATTCGAGAAAGACAAATGTTCTTTCGGCTGTCTAGAACAAGGTTATCCCTGAATGGAAGTGTCTGATAATTGCATCTAGGTGGCAGATGGCGGCGGCCGAGAATACCTCAATGATGCATGATCGTCTATGCGGGACGTAACAGCATCACAGGAGCCTGACTCCATGCGAACGACATGCACCTGCGAGGCGGGGAAAGGCAATCTGGCGATGGTATAGTTGCAGTAGTCGAGACTGGAAAATGGATGACTGCAGCCATGAATTGAGGGATTTTCCATCCTCGTACATCATAATGGGGACAAAAATCGCCACGGCCAGGGAGAAAAAAAGAAAAAGAAAAGAAAAAAAAATGCATGCATGCATGCATGCTTGAAGCAACGGTTCATCCTTGGTGTGGCTCCATCCGAGAAATCTTGGGCATCTTACAGTCCCCACTATCCAGAGAACTGCTGACAGCCAACCGGATTTAGAAAAACCAGGTTGCGATGTGGAATCTAATGAATGAGAGACACGGACGATAAGCCGTCCTCCACCGGTCAGCGTCGATCAGCTAGAGGAGGACAACGATTTTGGGAAGGGGGGCCACGGTTCTCGGGAGACCTAGCTGATGGCATGTAAATAATCAACCGAAACATAAATAGGGCAATCAGATCCCCTAGATGGCCGTGTAGTTCGAAATCGTCACCCCGGGTTTCAAAATCAAACCCTTGAATCAGCATCTCAGGTCCATAGATATTCCTCAGAAAGCCCTTCTCTTCTTCTTTAAAATCACACTGTTTCAAATCAATTTGATCCTCTCACAGAAGGCCTTCCACCAAAAAGGCCACAAGTTAGCCTATCAAGCCTGTCAAACGAGCTTGGACTGTGTGGCAAAGACCAATCGCGCACCTGGATTCATTCTGAAACAAGAGCTTGGGTTCGGACAGCAAGTAAGTTTGATCGGACCTGATGATCGAACAGCACTAACGCATTTTGGCAGAAATGTGCTTCTACAACCAAAAACGATTTTCCTGTGGGGATTGGAGCTGGACTAGCTTCGCGCACCGATGCAATTACGAGTACCGCACCGGCGAAACATGCGGAATGAAACTCGTTAACATGACCGAAAACGATGTCAGCAAGTGCCGTCTTTGTGAGAAAATAGAGACGAAGTTTCGGCGGCGAAGCGCCGAGGTCGACCGGCTGGAAAGGTGGAAACGTGAAGGGGCCACTTTGATTGCCTCAATGGACCGGTCCAAAACTCTCATCATGGAATTGGACAAGGAGATTTACAGCTTGCAAAGGGAACGGGATGACCGACGCAGCACCCTTCTGAGATAGAACTTGGCGGGGGTTCGAGGATCATCGTGGTCTTGATTGAGCGAACAGCAAGTGTATTGATTGGATCTTTCGATTTCATGTTTCGTGCTTGATTGTCTTTCGTCTTTTTGCTTTTTTGGAGTCTTCTTTTCATACCATCGGCTGGTGGACCTTCTTCCTCGGGGCGTTTCATGTTTCACCACGTACAGCACACCTTTGTGACATCAAGTCTGAATCGAGTTTCTGCAATGTGATGGGCAGTAGGGCACCAGAATGTCTGAAGAATTTGAACAAAATTTTCTTATTGGTTCGACCACATAATTTCTTTGACTTCATAGGCCGTCGGTGTCCAATGAATATAGCAATGGAGCCTAGTCATCTCATATAAGCGCCGGGTTTTCTTGGGTGAGCGGTTCGCTGAGACGGCTCCAGTCTCATGGTGAGGAAAGAGGGGCTTTTGCTGCAAATTCCCGAGTAATCTATCACTGAAGCTTGAGTAGAGGAACACAAGGCCTAGTTATTTTCTTCCGAGGGAGAAATTATCCACAGATGTGATTGAATGGAGTCAGAGAGAGAGGTAGTTGGCCCCGCGAGCTGTGAAACCCCCTCATTTGGGTGGGGATCACGTGGGGAGTATAGACATCGTTATGTAAGCGGGATTCCGGTGAGCAAAGACCTCATTGGGCAACAAGCATCTGATGACATACCACCATAACAGACTAGTCGAAGACAATCCCTAGGTTGAATGGCTTTGTTCGGGGTCTTGTTCGTGGGGTCTTGTTCGTGGCGTTCGATCGGAGGATTCGTATTCTTGACTGCCCCATGTTAGAGTTGAATCGTATGCGTCAAATCATTAGCATTGTAATCGTCGATCAATAAAGAAGTGGTGGCTTGCAACTTGGGAATCTTGATACCTACTAGTCAAGACCCTGAGAGTCTATGGACATATAGGTTCTAAATCCGCTTAGATCTTTGGGCCTGATACAGCCTTGGGAATGTGTTCAGGCGTGAATCACCCTAAGTTTATCCAGTTCAAGTCCCCAACCTTGCGTATCGAAATCTAAGGGATAGGATGGCGACCTGGGACTTATATAGCCTACGGCGCTGGTGCATGAACGGAGAATTTACCTTGTTGATTACACCTCACCCTAACCCTGACACCCACCAGGGCCCCAACTACGTGTGCAGGTGTTTGATGCGACAAGCATCCTCCGGAGGATGCAACAAATTAGGTGTCAAGACCCGACCGCTGGATGTATGCCACGTCACGAACAGCACCCACTGCAGTCACTGCAGTCATCAACAACAGCAACCCCATCGGGCGAGACAACGGCGAGTGTAGAAAGTATGAAAGAAAGCAGCTGAGAAAAGAAGTGCCGTTCTTGATTTTCAAATTATTTGAAAACACAAGTAAAGGTATTAATCTATTTTATGTCACCAGCCTCGGGCTCGTCATCCACCTTGGCCAACCCTTGATCACGTAGAAGCGCATCGATCTCATCCGCAGTCCATAGGTGGTGGTAGATCTTTCCGTCCTGGGTTTTGCCTACCGTTGCAAACTCGACTGAATAGAAACATGTGGGTTAGCCTCATATTAGACCAACGGGGAACAAGTAAAGCAATCTATAATTCATGGCGATTGTCTTTGAAGACTTACTCTTCTCACTGCTCAGCTTCGTGGAATCCATCGTCTTGCTCAGGACCTTGACAGCCATGGCGCAGGCCTCCTGCAATGTCTGATCTTCTTTGTAGTCTTGCTTAAGCAAGCTCTGCGCACTGGCATTGTTGGCACCAACACTTGTGGCCTTCCATCCACCGTAATTGCCACTGGGGTTGCTCTGGTACAGCTGGAACTGACGGAGGTGATCCCAGCCAGCATAGATGAACGACACACCGAATGGACGAAGACCACCGTGCTGCGTATAACCTTGCTTCAAGTCACAGAGTCGACGCACAAGCTGTTCACAGGGGATGTCTTCATTGTAGGTGATGAGGTAGCGTTGGGCATTTTGCCGGGCGTAGTTGATCAAAATGTTCGCATCGGCGTTCATACCAGCGACGGCGCAAATCATGTTACTGAGGACATTTTTAGTTCATTTCACATGTGCTTATGTGTGGGGAGAATACACATTAGATTAGGTCGATCTTGACTTACTCGTTGATTGTGTAGAGCTTCTCAGCGGAGGTATCCTGTTCCAGCAGCTTGCTAGTCACCTTTCTCTCCGCAGCGAGAACAATTCCATCCTTGGCTAAGATTCCAAGAGCAGTACCGGCGTGAGAAATGGCCTCAAGGGCATATTCGACCTGATAGAGTCGACCCTCTGGGGAGAAGATGGTGGTCTAACCCATCAGCGTCATAGGTTAGCGGGAGCTGCAATGAGAGACCCAACCGAACTCACCCGTGAATCATATCGTCGAGACATGGTGCATGTAAATAAGAACGCAAAAGGGTCTTAAGATGAGAGAATTGAGAGGGTCGTGGAGGAAAGTGAGTGGGGATAAAGGTTGGTCGGGGATGCAGATGGAGCTCTAGGAAGTTCCAGGCAACTCGCCCTGGCGCGTCCTCTGTCATCCGCCAAGCTCGGACCACCTCACCACACCAAAGCTTCGACGCAGCTTTTACTCCAACTTTGGCCAACTGAATAAGGCCCTTCAATTTTTTTCCGGATTCACGGTCAACTTCGGTTGCTCAAATATGCTTAAATCCACATACACTCCTCCACCACCCCTTCCTCCAGGGTGGACGGAGCACCGAGCACCTACCGGTACGTCCTTGACTGAAATAATTGCTATTGGATAATGTCTCTAAATGTGTGAATCTACAGGCCATTTGTACTTTTACAACACAGCTACAAAACAATCGACATATAATAGGCCTACTGCGCAAGCTGTGCCGACAGTCAACGAACCATCATCAGCACCCTCGGTCTACTCGCCCGAAACACTGCCACCTTTTTCCTCGACACCATATGGCCCCGCAAGCTACCAGCCCGGGTCAACACAGTACGGTCAGCACCAGTCGCAACGCGGTCAGGGTCGTGGTGCATTCCGCGGGGGAAAAGGATATCAAGACCGTGGCCGACGGGAGCCCCAAGACCGGCCCAAGTCCAAGCACCTCATTCCTGACTGTGGGCCGTGGGTTCTCGTAAAAACCAAGTTAGGCCGCCGGTTCGTGCATAACCCCGAGACCAACGAGAGTCTCTGGAAATTTCCTCAGGATGTACTAAAGGCCGTCACTGAATATGACCGACTGGAGCGCGAAAGAAAGGCAAGGATCGAGCGCGGCGAGGAGCCCGATGAACCGCAGAAAGCCGAGGCACCAGCTATTGCGCCTACTGCTGCCGATACCACAACTGAGACAGAACTCAATGCAGCAGCGCAAGCTCCAGAGGGTTTGGAAGATAGCGATGAATACGAAGAGGTGGAGGTGACAGATAGTGAAGATGAGGAAAGTCAGCCGTCAAAGCGTGTGCGCACTGAGAGCGAAGATGCAGAAAACAAGGCTGTCGAATTCACTGAGGATGACTTTGCATACCAACTAGCCGCCATGGAACAAGGCGAACCAGACGAACCAGACCAAGCTGTCGAATTCACCGAGGATGACTTTGCATATCAACTAGCCGCCATGGGCGATAAGCAGGGATTGAATCCTGACGAATATGGCGAGTTTGGAGAAGGTGATTGGGAAGAATCCCAGGGCCTTCCGCTGAGCGAAGCTGATGCAGAAGCCCTCTTCCGTGATCTGCTGGACGACTACAACATCAATCCTTTCTCACCATGGGAAAGTATCATTGAGGAAGGTCGTATCCTCGAGGACTCCAGATACAATGCGCCCTCGACCATGAAAATTAAACGTGAAATATTTTCGAAATGGAGCAAAGACCGTGCCAAGGACGTTCAAGAGCGCAAGAAGGCCCAGGAAAAGAAAGACCCACGAATAAAATACCTGGCTTTCCTTCAGGAAAATGCGACTCCAAAGCTATACTGGCCCGAGTTTAAGCGCAAATTCCGGAAAGAACCAGAAATGAAGGACTCGCAGCTTCATGACAGAGATCGAGAAAAGTTTTACCGTGACTACATCTCCCGTCTCAAGGCTTCTGAGAGCACACGGAAATCAGATCTTTCTGCCCTGCTCAAATCTGCACCATTACATGCTCTGAACCATTCGTGCAGCCTCGAAACTCTCCCCACGGTCATTGTAACCGATGTTCGATACATTGCACTATCGCCCAAAGTCCGCGATCCCTTGATTGAGACATATATATCTACATTACCCCCCGCACCAGAGGTGGAGTTATCTCCCGAACAGCAAGAAGAACTCGCACGGAAGCGAAGGGAACGCGAGAAGCGCGAGAAGGCGCTTGTGGATCGTGAGAAACGAGTTGAAGAAGATAAGCGCAGACAACGTGGTGAGCTCGTGCGCGGCAAACACCTTCTCAAAGAAGGAGAAGCCGAAATTGCAGAGGCCATGAGAGTGAGTAAAGACGGACTGCGCAGCCACATGGAAGTGGATAACATGCCCGCAGACGAGCAACAGAAAACTACTAGTCAATAATTCCCGAGATTGGGGTCTAAATTTAACAAGAACTCATAAATTGATTGATATATACTTGAGTAGATTGTTTCAAACCCTCAGATCCCCCCCTTCCCTTCATCATCATCATGGAGTACTTGCGTAATTGTACGTGGTATAAACGCTGTGACACTACGCACATGTGCGTAGATGAAATTGATCTTTGACACATTCTTGCGTTCAAATGTTCTAAGGTTGCAGGATTAATCACAACCATGCTTCAATTTTCGAGGGTATCATTGTAGATTAACAGAAAAGACCGATTTCCCTTTTTCAAAAAAGTTTTGCTCTCGTTCCACATAAATCATTTGAATCTCCAATCATCCCAATCTTCATCTTCATCATCGTCATCACTTTCGCTCTCGCCTGCGTGTGGGTCCTCCGAAACCATAGGGCGGTCCTGAGCCTCATCGCGAGCACGTTTTTCTCGCAGTTCTTCACGCATATGTTTGAGTCTGCGGACCCGTTCCTCGAGTTGATCCATTTCATCAAATTCCTCTTCCATGAACCGCGCTGCGTCCTCGCGGACACCTTCCAACTCTGCATCGCGAGCTCGTGATGTGGTTGCAGTGTCTCTTTCCTGTTGCGCTGCAATCTCATCTGCAGATACGGGCGCGGCAGATATTGTGGCTGCGGCGGCAACGGCAGCCGATTCCTCTGGCATTCGGCTTGGTTCAGCTACCTCGCGTTCGAATGCGGCCCACTCGTCTTCATCCACCGCCCCGGTAACTTCTTGTGCAGATACCGAGGCTATTGTAACTTTGTCCGATGGTTGTAAAGCTGAAGCAGCATCTTCTTCAGTTTCTTCCAGTGGAAGATCAGGACCGGCGATGCCATCCTCCTCCACGGGCTCTAATACCTCACTCGTCACAGTCTCATCGACACTCCTAGGTGAGGGATCCGCTACCATTTCTGATTGGGTGACCGATTCCAAGCTTGTAGAACGTAGTTTCTTTCGCATCACTCCATCACTGTTGTCGACCTTGCGCTTTTTCGTGACACGATTTCCAGTAGTGTTTGGCGACGTGCCCTTGCGCGAAGCTAGTTCATTTCGAAGCAGTGACCGGACATCCGCCATGGTTTTGAAAAAGGAGATCGGCGAGGGGTTTGATAAGAAGAATACCAAAATGAGGAGATAGAGAAATACAGAGAAAATGGAACTAAAAGAAGTTTGAAGTTGTTTTGCAAAGTGGATTTTGCCTTTTGCGAAGAGTGGGGAACCTGGAGAAGCTTCGGTCTGAAGCAATAAAGTAGATTGATTCCCTGCGTTCTGGCTCCCAGCCACGTGACTGGCTGACATCAGCAACCAAAGCCACTGATTTCATTCTCCCACTCCGTGGTTTCTCTTGTGTTCCGTTCACATTCCATCCTTCTTTCTTTCCAACCAACCCCATATCATCGCTCGCGTGCTATTTGCTAGGGCGCATGCTGCTGATTTAAATTTTGCGACCCTCTTCTTTCAGGAATCGCTACTGAAAGCGCCGATACTTCAAACACCGCACGCGACCCCGCTCAAGATTAGGAGTCGCGACTGACGCGCAGCAAGGGATCGCAAACTACGACGAGATACATCTCAATACATCCCAGCGCATTACTTCCTGCCACTGTACTACACAGTGGTTCTCGAGCAGAGCTGGAGGATCGGTGTTGGTGATCAAGTAATACCGTTGCCTACACTGTGCTATTGTGCGGCGTCTTTTTCTGTCTTGTGTATTACTTTAGCCCCTCTTGAAGCCCGTAGAGACTTTTTGCGACTGCTGGGGCACGCGCACATCTGTTGAACAAACAGCCTTTATCGTTATCTTTATTGCCTTTGGATCGCGCTGTGTAGTACATTCGGGTGACCTTAGCCCACGTCTGTGTCATGGCTGGTAAGCAATCGTACACCAATCTTCACCCAGGTGCTTCCTCATACACAAGTCTTTATTGGGGAATCACCGGGGGGCGGAAATCGACAGCGCCTGAATAACCCGCTAATCACAATGCCAGATGAACCACGCCGATCGGGTCGAGCCACCAAAGGCCAGCACAAAAACCTCGAATTGCCAGACGCCCCATCTAAGAAGGGCAAAGGCAAGAGCCCCAAAGAAAAGTCTGGCAGCAAAGCCTCCGCCGAACCTACCCCGGGACCTAGCGAAGACGGAGGAGATGAGGAAGAAATCATTCGATGCATTTGTGGCGAGTACGAAGAAGAGGAGGATGTGGAACGTGACATGATCTGTTGCGACGATTGCTCAGCATGGCAGCACAACGATTGCATGGGCCTAGTATTCGCCAAAGGCGCTGAGCCGGATCAATACTATTGCGAACAATGTCGACCCGAAAACCACAAAGTCTTGCTGGAAAAGATCGCCAAGGGGGAAAAGCCTTGGGAAGAGCTTGCGGAGCGTCGGCGGCAGGAGGCCGAGGAAAAGCAATCCAAGCGCAAGAAGGGTAAGAAGGGTAGCAGCCGGAAGAGCAGACCCAGCGAGAGCAAGACCGAGGCCAGCACCCCTGCTCGCACTGGAACATCAGCAACACCTGGTCCTGCGCATTCTCCCACTACCGCCGCGTCTGTATCGCTTGAGCCAGAGAAGAATGGACACACTGGGGAATCACGAAGGTCTAGTACCAACAAACGCAAGTTGGAGGAGAGTGCAGAGCTAGAGGCCGATTCGGTAAGAACGTGCTCTGTCCGTAATACATTGACAATCGAAGTGCTAATTTGCCAAACACAGGGACCCCAAGTGAAGCAGCAACGAATCTCCCCACCTTCTGCTACGATAGTCGCTCCCAAGGTCAAGACCGAGTCTCCTGCTGTTGGCAGTGTGGAAGAGCTTGGAATGCCCGCTCGCAAGAGTGCCGCCAATGCTCTCATCAAACTCTTTGTAGACCAAATTGCCGCGGCCCAGAAGAATGCTCCCTTTTCCTTGCCTGATGGGCAGTCGGCGGAAGAAACCGCACGGCAACTCGGTCTCTCTGTCGAGGGTGCCATGTATCAGAACCTCTGCGAAGGATCAGGGGAGCCTACTGAAGCATATAAGTCGCAATTACGAGCGATCCTGTTCAACTTAAAGAAGAATTCTTCTCTGCGAGATCGTTTACTCGTAGGTAGCGTCTCATCTGATACACTGTCTATGATGAAGTCTGAGGATATGGCCAGCGAAGAGTTACAGCGAAAGGATGCGGAGATTAAGCGAGAAGCAGACCGACAGCACATCATTATTCAGGAGCAAGGTCCGCGAATCCGTCGCACACATAAAGGAGAAGAACTGGTTGAGGATGAAACTCACAATGTTGCGGCTGAATCTGTCTTCTCTACCGTACCGCGTCGAGCAACTGATGCCGAGAACAGCCCCGGAAACCAGAGTCCGGTCACCCCGAAGTTGTCCCAGATTAAGGGCGAGGGACACGGTCAAGGTCACCCCTCAGATGTCGGACATGGCGACCATGTCTTTCCAGAGGTTGCTCCCAATATTCGTGAGCCTGTTCCTCGCGGCAAAATCCAGGCAGATGCTGAGATCGATCGAATGCTGCAAGAGGATGAGCCCGATTCCCCGCCATATTCGCCACAGGAGTTTTCCGACGAGGGAGTTGTCTGGCGAGGTAAAGTTAGCATGGCACCTGTGGCTGAGTTTGCTTCCTCCGCGAAACATGTTTGCGGTGCAGAACTCAGTGGTCGGATCCCCTGGAGCCAACTAGCACCTCAGACATTGCTAGTAGATGGCCGAATTGATGTTGCACGTGCCAACAATTATCTTTGCGGTTTGCGATGGAGCTCATCAACCGATGTCTCTGTTATTGCGATCAGTAGCCCTAGTGGCGAACAGGATCGTGACGGTTTTAACAGACTCTTCAATTACTTTTACAACCGCCAACGCTACGGTGTCATTGGCAAACACCCACTCTCCGCTGTCAAAGACACCTACATCGTTCCCCTCGAAAAGGGCGAGACCAAGCTTCCGGACTTCATCAACCTTCTTGAAAACACCAATTTAGGCGATGGTCTCATTGAAGAGCGTATCCTTCTCATTGTCTTCGTCGTCAAAACTGGCGAGTCGAATCCTCCCTCCGTCCAACCCCCCTCTCACCAGCCCAGCATGGAGCCAGCAGCATCTGCCAGCCCCCTCACCGCAGCTGGTAACACACCTCAACACACTATCGCCACTGGGCAATTTCCCGTTTTTAACCCTAACGCCCCCGGTGCTCACCAAGGTCAGAGGCCGCAGCAGCTTCCGCCTCCGGCTTACCCAATGACCCTCATAGGCATGCCTGCAGCTTTGCAGGTTCTTGGTGCAGAGGCAGTGAGTTCACCTGCCATTCAACAGCTCCTTAAAACCGCCCCCAACGTCGACACCGCGCAGTTGAATGTTGTGCGTGACATCTTGATTCGCCAACCCGCCGCTGCTGCGAACTATGAAACCCTGATGCAGGCACTCTTCGACACCCAGGCAAATGGCCACGCCTGATCTATTTTACGACATAATGTCACTACATTTGTACTGTACAGTTCTTTTATTATCAATATGGGTTTCTGTGGGCGAGCAGCTGTCCGATAGGGGTCGGGCCGTTATGCCCCTGAGGAGGGATTTAAGGATATGGGATACCAATACAAGATAGCCAAGACTTTGCACTTTTTTAAAGAAGAAATGAAATGCCGTAGTCTGTGCCATTTTAATCTTCTTCAATTACCATTATAGACGTGAGCAACATCACTTTTCTCCTCCAGAGATTACTATTTCGTACGCCCCGACTCCCTCTCTAAACCTACTAGGTGGATTGCTATCAATACATCCCACTCTGCGAGCTATAATTATTATTACAGAATACGTGACATTGAAGATCATATCTTTTCATAAACATGGAGATAATGTATGAGATAAGACAGGGGGATATTGAGCACATGGCAAATAACTTCCCATTGCCGAGCATTTTCCATGGAACAACGCCTGCGCTATGCAAAAAATACCAGATTAAAAGCACCACATCATTCAAAAGGAATTTGAGTAACCAATCACCATCGTCCACCACCACCCCGGCGTCTGTATCCTCCACCTCCACCACCGCCCCCACCATATCGTGGACCACGGCCAGCGTTTGCGCGACCACCTGCACTGTAGGGATCTTCCTCTTCGTGCTGACGCACGGGGGGTGCGCGACCTTTCAGCTCAGTGCTAAGCTTCTTCCAAGTCTTGCGCATATCCGAGTATCCCATATGCATCTTTCCGAAGAAATGATCGGCCAGTCGACGGTCGTTGTCCAGCCGACTGAGGTAGGCGCCGCAGACGTCGCAAACTTGAAGCTTCTGGTGGCCGGAGGGACCAGAGGTATCCTGCAGGTTCTTGAGGTCGCGTTCAGCACTCTCCTTCTGGTGCTTAGTTGTGCGGACCTTATGCATTTCATTCATGGCCATTGCGACGGAGCCTGTTTCGCCGAGAACGGAGACCTCCAGGAGGCCGGTGTTAATTGTGTTGTTGAGGTCTGCGATTTGCTTGAGCTATAGCGAGAGGGGGAAAAAATTAGTACTGTCACAAACGTGTACACTGGTTTCCATTTCCAAAGCCTACCAGGTCGTTCGTCTGTCGGATCTCATCTGGGGTTTTCTCTAGTCGGCGTTGGGCCGTGTCGATCCTCCGGTCACAGTCATCAATGTACTTTTGCATATCGCGCATGTAGTCGAAATCAAAGCCCCATTTCGCCTTCTCTGCTGTTGAAGCTGCATCGTACTCGGTTTTCAATCCCTCGCTATGTACTTTCGGGCATGGGCCAAGATCTTGCTTGGTGTTGGTGAACAGGTCGTGCGGGCAGGTGCCAACGAGGTAGGAGCGGCAGACCTTGGCGTCTGTGATTGAAAGCTGGGAATTGCGACCATGGGCACTGGCTCCAATGAGTTGGTCCGCTAGACAGAAGGTTGACGTTAGCTTGATTCGGCAGACTTGCTGGAGTTGCTTATTTGAAGCTGAAATGACGAATGCTCCGACGCGGGGAGTGACTTACCGCCCATAAGCTGCTCAAGCAATTTTCTCTGTTCCGCCGCCATGATTAAATGCGTCAACACGATACGATAATTGAAGGTGACGAGATCTCTTTAGTGGATTGGGAAAGTAGAAGGCCGGAGGGTTTTTTGATGCTGGCGCCAAGGAAGGCGGTGAGGCGCGACGATCGATAGCACTTGAAGCTACAGCCTCAAAGTTATGAGCAATCATAACACTGCTTTTCATGAGAGTATGTATGTGAACTTCCTTTATCTCCTGATGGCTTCAGCTGGATATTCTCAATTTTGTTCCTCAATTTCATTTCTCAATCATAACTACAATTGTTTATTTTCGTGATTCATTCCTACTAGTATTTTACATCATTTTGCCCAGGAGCCCCAGGGTGAAGGCTTGAAACCTGTCTTTAGCCGCCACCATAATTTCATATATATGTTGCAACTTGAGGCACTCGTGAAAGATGACTGTCAGTCATCGTATGTGTACCTACATACTTACGCTCCAAGCACATTTCTGAAAGTGCCCCAGCCAGGCATAGTGTCCGAGCCGCCAGGCTTATGGGTCATAAAGCTATGATCTTCACTGGCACACGTCGGTTCACCATGTGCACTCATCGGCTTGGTGCTAGCAGCGGCATCATCTGCACGGCTCAGGAAATGGTATTTGGCATGAGTCTTCTGCTCTTGCAGACCAAGTGCTTCTCCCATTGTTCCACGTGCGTTTGGGGGCTATTGATTCGGAGATGGTGAGTGAGTAATTTGCCTCGGATAGTGAGTCTTAAGGTGAATGACATACATCGACATGGCCCCATCCCTGACGAGGCTCCTCGGCTGCATCTGGCCCCCCACCTTCGTGAAATCCGCCTTTCTTGAAACCGACATCTCCCCAGCCGGAACCTCCCCCTACATTGTTGGCTGGGGTGGGTGTGGCGCTGGTACCGCCGGCGACGGAGGTGGCAGGATGATTGTGGATAGGAGACTCGGGCATATTCAGTGTAGAATATTGATCGAATTTATCAATGTTAGATTGTATTGCTTAAGAAATAGTAAGTGGGGTCAAGATTAGGAAAGAAGAAGGAAATAGTATTCAAGCTTGGTACATGTAAACTTTCCAGAAAGCCGTGATGGCAAATTTCAAGCTTTCCCCTAATCATACCTGATCTCAAAGACCTTTGATATCATGGTTATTTGGAATCTTGGATCGAGCCACCCAAATGAAGTCATTATGAGCTTTGAACATCCATGTTGTTATTGGGCAAAAGTTCAGCTCAGTCAGCAACCAAGATGAACACAGGCCCCTGCTCCGTCATAGTTTTCATAAGATTCAAGAGTTGCGAATTAAAATAAGCCCGGTCAATACGCAGCAATCGATCGGGCTCCTCTAAGTTTGAAATGAAATATGGGGTAGCCATATCTGACTCTCAAGGGCCCGTTACGTCTGAGTGGGGACAGCTCTGTGACGGCTGCCCATCATACTAGTACTTTTAGAAAATTGAAACAAATTACAAATTACAAATATCGGTTGATGCGAAAGTTTTGGTTATGGATCTCTCTAGGCTTTAAAAAGTTGACCGATCTCAAGTGTCAACGAGGATTATCACGATCATATCTGATCACCTTTAATACTGGCCAAAATTGTAATAGGATAGCTCCCATCATCATGCACCCCGCAAAGACCTGGGCCCGTAGAAAATAAGCCGTGTCAAGATTGATCAATGCTCCGGCAATCGGTGACCCGGCCAGCGCACCAAACGACGAAATCCCCCACATCATGCCTAGGCGAGTGCCCATATAGCTGGGGTTTGGACAGAAGACAGGATGTGCAACAATAGAAGTCGGAGCTGTCACAAGCACGCCACTCAGAATTCCCCAGTAGCAGGCCCACACAATAAATCCAGCAATGTTGGTGGCGGCAATCCAAGTGAACATGGCAACAGCCGAGGCGGCAACACAGAACACCAAAATGAAAATTGGCTTCACATATGCAACGAGCAAATTGGGAAAAACGCGCCCGAAGACAGATGATCCGTTAACGATAGCGACCATGTAGAAAGCAAGACTGGTCGTTGTATGCACGGTTGTCCGAGCGTAGGAGGCGACATAGAAGATTGGAACGTAGTAAGCCATCATAACGCATGTAAGCGACACCGCGAAAAGCATAAATGGAGGCTCACGGAACGCCGTCCAGTCGATGAGGCTGCGTGCTCGAGATTGATGGCCCGGCCGGCGACAGAGGATTGAACAGGCGATGATGGCCATCAAAAGGCTTACAAAAGCGATGCAGCGCACTGCCCACGGAAAGCCAATTCTGGGTTGAAGCTGGCGAAACATCACGGGGAATATGACAGCGCCGACACTTGATCCAATTGACGCACATCCGATCGCGATGGGGCGTTTGGTAGTGAAGCTTGTTGACACCACTGTCAGCGCTGGGATATAGGAGATGCCGCCACCCAACCCGATACAGAAGCCTTGCGCTAGAAGGATCTGAAGTACTATTAGTGACGCTCATCTCGTCTCATCCACAGTGTTCGTTTATTCATTACCTGATAGTACTCGGTGGCAAGACTGGTCATCATCAACCCAAACACCGTGAAGAAACTCCCGGTCACAATCAATGGGCGCAAATATCCCGAATCAACCAATGGGCCCGAAACTATACCGACCATCGGGATCAGCGTCGCTTGGATACTTCCCACCCAAGAAATCGCCGAAGGTGATTGGCCAGACAACAAGCTAGTCTCATAATACTCCTGGAAGGCGCCATAGGTTGTGAGGATTCCCCTATGAGTCCATTAACGTCGTGAACAGCAGATGGGTTGAAAACAGAAATGAAAACCGACCATGAATTAACAAATACACAAAACAGAGCTACCACAGCCAGCCAGGCCTGCAAACCGCCATTGATCTTTGGTTTGGCGAGTTCATTGTGTTGAGTGTCGATTTTCGGCTCTGTTGCTGTAAATTGTCGCCGGGAACTGTTTTCATCTCCTGGGGTTATCTTCTCTGTCATATTCGTAACCTTTCCTTCACTCACCACCCCAAGGTGCATTTAGGACAACTAGACCCTTTTAAAGACGGGGATTTACCCCGATCCTCCACAGTGGGGGCCCGTTCATTAGTTGACTGTAGTTATGGGGTTTCTCTTAGTCACACGAATGAGGTGCCAGTTTTTCGGTTGGCACGGCAGTCATTAGCCGAGCTCTACCGATGCTCCAGATCGAACGATGATCTCCACGGTGACCTCCGATGGGCAAAGTGAGGAGCCAGTTGAAATTCTGGGTGTTTGACAGACAAGGTGAAAACATTCAAATGTTGCAAGAAAACATTGAAAGTCACCTACAGTCAATATAACAAAAGAAGCTGGATACTACATGTAGCCGAGATAGAACTTTCTCAGTGCTCACTGAGGACTGTGGAAAGTTCTAAAATCCAAGAAGGTTGTTCAAAGTTGTATATAAACGAGGAAGTATATACAACACCGAATCCTTGAGACTGCACGTATCCAGATGTCTACGGTGCAATGAATTTATGCAAGCGTACATGGTACATCCACATGTAGGAATAATCCCGAGCACTGAGAAAAGCAAAAACTCCAGACATCTTGTCACCTACTACCCTGTGAAGGCATACCTAAGTACTAGTAGACTCAATATCCGAGACACAAATTGGTGTAAATAGTATGCTCAGTACTCGAGAAGGGTACATTTGGATACTAGTACCTGGTGACAGAGCTTCGTGGAGCCAATAAAGCTAATCTTCACTTGGCTCTGACTTATGTAAATCCATATTCATGTCAATAGCCTGCATCTCCAGAAAGGTTTGAAGACCACATGCATGTTTGAGTCATATCAGGCTCTACCTAGGCGGCATTCAAACTGAAAGTTACATATTGCAAGGTTCAAAAGTTCACGTTTCTTCTCAATCGTCTTTTGTTGTTCTTCTTCTCCCATCTCTCTCTTCTTTCCCATTCCCACCTTTCACCCTATACCTTCTCACAATCTCACTTCAATATTTCTTCTCCTCGAACCATCACCATGACTGAGTATATCTCTTTTCCGTCTATCTGATATTTTCGTACTGACAAATCCAGTTCCGGTGTTACTGATTCTTTGCCTATTGTGAAGGATTTCGCAGAGCAGACAAGCCCTCACGTCCAGAGATTCATCACACCACCGGAAACCATGAAAGACAATACTTCGCCCGCCTCAAGTACTGCGCACTCGATTCTGATGCTGTATGGACTGCCTTTTTCACGTGATGCTGCGCAGATGAATTCTAATTTGAGATCAATAGGGGCTATGCCCAACTAGCTTCACAGGGTATCGCGTTGCCTGAAGGCCTGCCGGCGCCAGGGTCCGTGGCACCAGGAGACTGGGCACGATTTATCACTCAAACGCCTTTCCAGTTCGGAACGGGGATGCATGGTCAGACATTACGTGGCCAACTCCTTGAAAGAATTTTAAAGATGAGACCCGTCAATGAGCCAGTGATCAGGGAGAGGTACAAGAACCTTTGGAACGCTGAAAGGTTTTTCAACCGCATAAACGCGAGCCTGACAAATGTGGAGGCTGCGGTAATGCAATGTGTTGGAGAGGCGATCATGGATCCGGATAAAATGTGCAAGCACTGTCGCAGATCTTGTGGCCCGTTTGCCTTTTGCGTGCGTGTTGATGGAGTTAAGCAGTGCGCGAACTGTCATTGGGAGAGGTTTGGCCACCGATGTTCATTTAGCACCAAGCCCACCAAGCCCACCAAGCCCACAAAGCCCACAAAGCCCTGGAGCCCAAAGCCAAAGCCACTTCTGAAGTCCAACGCCCCTGTGCTGGAGGCTCTTAAGGACCAGGACAAGGAAATCTCGGATCTTCGTACTTTGAGAGCTGAGATTACCAGGGACATGAGAGATTTCCAGAAGGAGTTTCTCGAAGGAGCGGATGAACGTTGCGTGCAGGCTTTCGATAAGATTAGTGACAAGACTCTTGACTTTTTCACTCGCATGAAGGCTCTTTCGAAATAAGATCATGTTCCCCGCCGTCTTCACTAGATGGTATTGAGGGTGTTGCGAATGTTCTTTTGAATTGTCCAATTGATGAATGTTGAGGTGGGGAAAACGGACTAAAGCATCTAGCAGGATGAAACGACTTGATTTGTATGCTATTTTTCCACAATGTGATCCTGTTCATTTCTTTTAGACCTCGCAAAAAGAAGTAATCTAATACTTCTTTGTGTTACAATAGCGCTGCTTAGCAATAAAGGGCGATAATATACATATGGTAAAGGGAGACAACATTGAATAGTGATTTTTTTTATTCTCAATCATCTCTGTCTCTTTCCATTGAAGACTGGCTCCTACTACCAAGTTAGCACCTTTCAATATCGAATTGTTTCTTACCTTGTTCAGGGTTCGTGTCTTACTCCTTTCGTCACTGCAAATATTCACTTCTGACTTTCCAAGGTTTTTGCCAACCTCTCTCGCTCAAACTTTGGCAGCTCTTGTCTTTTCGGTTCTGTCGACAACACAAAAGCTTCCAACTATTTCTTTGACCTATCTCTCTCCTCCATCATCCTGACAAGTTATCGATCTTCACTACTCCTTCTCTACCACTCACACCCCTCGGGCTTTCACTTAACGTTTTCCCCCTAGGAGAACGCGGAACCCAATCATGACCCAAAAGATTTCCCACGGGTCCCTGCACGCTTGGGATGGCGGAGGTAAGTTTCAATCCCTGACATTGCTATGATTTGAACAGATATTGATATTCTGCATATTTTATAGATGCGTCTCCGGTACGTGACTCCAAACCACACAAGAAGAAGTGTCCCAAGAAAAATTACAGCTGGAGTTACGCTGGTTCTGATTCTGGTGTGTTCCAACCCCTGAGCCTATAACGTTACGATATGAAAAGGTACTGATCCCATTACAGAACGTTCTGACTGCAAATGTTGGGGCGACTGTGACAGCGACTTTCATGAAACCGACTCCAAGGCAAATCAAACTTGGAAGGACACCGACCCTCTCAGTGAAGGACCCAACTGCTGGAATCAGTGGAATGGCATTGAGCATACCGGTTGTTGGAAAGACGACAATGAAAAGCCTACAGCGGACGACGATGGAAAGAAGTTGCAGGAAGAACTGAAAAGTCTGTGTACAAAGCTCGGGGAATTTTGGGCCCAGAAGGGAGAGGAAGACCAATCGTTCTCTCAGATGGGCGCAGCCTCTACCGGTATCATTGAGTCGGTAGCCCCACTTATGGAAGAGGCAAAAGGGCTCTGCCTCATTGCTTCTGAGATCAACTTCAAAGTGAATTGTATGATGGTACAGCGCAACCATCGAAATTCGATGAAGGGCCATATAGGGGACCTGAGTTTCCTCATCACATCACTCGATAAATCTGCCGTTCAATTGGACACAGCCGCACGGAAGATCACTACGGAGGTCTTGAATGCGAACGCGGCTATGGTCAAGATGAATGCTGCCTCTTTTGACTGTTCTGAGCAGTAATTGAGCAGATGGAAATGGGTCAGATGGAAATGGGCTTAAGGTGATTCGTGACATGGAGCGATGGAAGAAGATGTTTAGGGAGCCTGTAAAGGCCTGACTTGCACAGATTTTCGTATCTGAAGACCAACGAAACATACAAACAGGAAAAAAAGGGAAAACGAAGAAATGAAAAAAAGAACCACTGGCACTTATGATACATTGAACGTTCAAATGTTCGCATGATAACCGTCACAGTTTGCTGGAAACAGCCCTCAAGTGACTGGTCATCGCGCAGTTGATAGCAAGTCTTGATAGCACGTGGTGGTGAAGAAAGAAAAGTTCTCAAAGCCGCCTACACATGCATGCTTCTGCCATGAAACGTAGAAGAATTCGAATATCTACTAGTAGGGAGAACGTATGCAGAATAATCGGGTGTTATAGTTTCAACGTTACTGAAGGCTTGGGCAGAGCCATTGATTGATGAATACTTGATTGAGGACTTGTACTTTTGTAGGCCTCATAATCATCATCAAAGGCTAAGTAAACTGGCCAATTTGCACAATTCGGAAAAAGGGAACCTTGGCTGCACACATGTGCATGTGGAACAACCAACAACATTGAAGATCGCAGGCATCTCAGCGATCAACAGCCAAAAGTGTCTCGGAGCAGATATAGACTTTGCGCACCTATTTTCAGCGCTAGGCTGCCTCATATAAATTGAGGCTTAGAAGGTTGAGAAAACATTAGTGGGTTGTTTTGGTTAGGTCGCGAGCTAGCGTGTGCTAATAATAATTTTTGCCCCCGTGCACCGTGATTGCCCTTCAAACTTCCTATTGTAGATGTTCCGTACACTGGAGGTTGAATCCACCTTAAACTTTCATACCAGTGAAAAAAAAAAAGAAAAAGTAGATTGTAGAAGGCGTGAATGCGTGACAGAAAAGGAAGGAGAGATGGGATGGAGCCTGGAGGTAGGGTGCTTGGCTAAATTGTCGGTGGCAGTTATCAAGAGTGACCTCGGAACTGCAGGCATGGCTGGAAAGGGGTAACTGGGTTAGTAAAACTTGTATAGCAAAACGGTTGGATTAGCTAGTTGGACATGCCATCTGGGCATGTGTATATTGTATGGCTTCGAACTTCGATGCTCTGTGGCGTTGGAAACTGTGAGATCTTGTGAGAGCAGCTGCCGGAAGGCACCTGGCGTATGGAATTTCCAAGTGGCAAGTCAATGCCGCGGTATCCGGAAAGTACCTGAGTAGGTTTTCATGGGAATGGCGTTGACCTTCTTCTTCTATAGGCAAGCGAAAGAATGATCTCCCACAGGAGGCTTTTCATGAAAAATAACATGTCTAGCAGTGGTAGGCAACTTCAAGTCAGCGGATGAGTGATATGTATAGATAGACCTTTCCCCTGAGAAATCAAATATATCACTGTTAACTATACAGTACGGAGTGCTAATGAAATCGTAAGAAGCAGGATTGCCGAAGAAAAATCAACTAGACTAGGAGGCTAATGAAAATACCCTCGCTTCAGGCTAGTAGATGCACACACATACATGACCCCTCTCAGGGGGAAGAACGTAATCAAGCATAGACCGAGTACGTAGAACGGGTGGTCAATTCGTCCCGTACACTCTATGCCCAATTTCAAATCCAAGAAAAACCGATCCACTCCGATGAATGTATTCGTGGCCGTGAGAGTGTACAATGAATACGGGAGTAGTCGGCAGACAACAATATGACTGTACCTCCCGGCCGAAGCTCTCGGATGAGGTGTCTGCCGTTCACCGTTCGTTTCTCCGTCAGGCATCAACCCTGACAGGAACCAGCATTGCCACACGCTGTTAATTATGCGTTGGCAATTCCCTGACCTCTCTACTCTCGAGTGACTCAACCTAATCATTTTTCTTCTTTTTCTGATGCCTTCTGGCTGACTTTACCCGGTGACATGGGTGCGGTGGATCGAATGGAAAGACTTCCCGCTCGTGACGTGGCCAAGGTTATACGAAAGGACTTGGGAATCAATAGTGTGCAAATGCGATAGATGCATTACGACGGTAATTCCAAGATAAGCTCGATTATTTCTTTTGATTTCTCCAAGTTGTATGGCGACTTGTAAGCTAAGTAATAGGAAAGCCTTGGCAGGAGAAACGATTTCCCCCCCTTTCTTGTGTATACTATTAGTAATGGGAGAAATAGTTGACTCAGATGTTCATCAGAGGCAAATTTCATTCCAAAAAACCCCTCAATCCAACTTTTCATACAGTTGTACATGTTCAGCCCTAAGCGAGTAGAAGCTGCATTGATCATTGGACAGAATCGACCTATATAATGCAAAATAAAAAGAGAAAGCCTGGAACGTAGGGTAAAAAGTACAAAAAAAAAATTCAACCTCAGATCGGTCAGCCATGGGTTGCCTGTGCGTTCAGGAACCCAACTCACATGATTGGGCGACGATCGTATGTTGATCCACTACAAGGAAGGTTCAGTTGCCACCGCACCAACTCTTGACTTTGACCGACTTTGAGTGCAATGCGATTCGTGGATCCAGACCACTCTATTCCATGGACGCCCCTCGCAGGGTATTCCGGTACCTGAGTACCTGAACCTTACAGTCTGCATGAGATTGACACATGGCGAATGTCCCGGGGATCCGACACGTCTGGTTGACCTCCCGAATAATAACCAAACTTGTCATTTTTGTGTATTTATTTATCTCACCTCATTTTATCTCATTTTATCTCTCGTATACTCCCTCTGTTGGATCCCCATACGACCTGTATAAAACCATCTCGGTAAGCGAAACTTCCAAAAATATTGGCCAGGCCCGTGATGGAGGCGGGGCTCGACATCCGATAAGCGGGTGAGAGGGCTCGCACAAGTCCGGTTCCCCACAGAGAAGAACAATGACGAGTCATCTTTTCTTCTTTTGCGTGAAAATTCACTGAATCAACGTCCATGATTCCTGATTGGGCTCCACTTTCAAACAAATCTTCCCCCAAAATCTCCCAAAACTCGCGCTCTCACCGAGGTTTTAAGTGGTTCCTGAACGACCCGAGCGCCCCAAAACCGGTGGAGGTCCGATCTCCATTGTCTCCATTCAGATACGTTCCTGGATCCTCCAGCGAATAATAAGGAAGAGGACCGTTAGGCAGGCAGGCCCCCCTGAAAGTCCGGGCCAACCATAATTCTTGAGCGATCTCGGGAACTCAGGAACCAGATGGGGCGTAGAAAGGCTTATGGCGTCTAGATTGTCAAGATGAGGCCCCATTAGTGGATCAGTTGAATAGATTAGAACGAATTGGAGCGCGTACTTATATTTTTAGGAGGAAAAGAAGGGAGAAAATGAGAAAAATAAGAAAAATGAGAAAATGATGTTTTTTTTTGGGTAAATTTCCCTTTTGTGTGTTTCAGGTTTTCTTTGGTCAGAGAGAGGGGGCGCGCTCTTCTCCACCCCGAACATAAAGAGCTGACGACTTTCTTCCCTTTTGACCCTTTCTTTTTTCTTTCCTTCCTCACCTACTGTCCATCTTTCGATCCGAATCCCCGGTCCCTCATTCATTTGAATCCCATTGAAATCGAGGCTGAGCCTACTTTCAATATCCAATCCTTATCCAACCCAGCTCTTTGTCTGTAGAACAGACGCTCAACCTGACCGGTCCCTTTCGATCCAATTCTTTATCCTCGATACCCACCAGTTCAAACAATTGAACTGTTCAACCCCTGTTGATCTCCAAATAAGATCTCACAAAAACCCCAAACTCATTCACTATGCGCGTCATCGCTGCCCTTGGCTTCGCCGCCCTGACCGGTCTGGTCTCGGCCCACCCCCACGGCCACGCTCACCACCACGAGAAGCGTGACATTGTTGTCGACGTCGTCACCGAGATCGAGTGGGTCACCATCCACCCCGAGGCCGCTGTCGCCGAGGCTACCACCACTGCCGCCGCCGCTACCTCCACCGAGGCTGCCGTCGTGGTCCCCACCTCCACTAGCGAGGCCTCCATCGTCCAGCTCGCCGTCCAGGTCCCCTCCACCAGCTCGGCCGCTACTGTCCAGCCTACCCCCATCGCCAGCTCCACCTGGACCACCTCTTCTTCCGTCGTCGCCAGCTCCACCTCCGACGTTGTCGAGACCGCCACTGCTACCGGCGGCTCCGGTGTCAAGGTCGTCAACAACCTTTCCGAGACCGTCTACCTCTGGACCACCTCCAACGTCAGCGAGGACATGGTTACCATCGAGTCCGGTGACCACTACTACGAGGACTGGCAGATCAACTCCGACGGCGGTGGTATTTCCGTTAAGATGTCCACTTCCACCGATGAGTCTTCCGTCCTGCAGTTCGAGTACACCAAGGAGGACGAGACTATCTGGTGGGATATGTCTTCCATCAACCTGGAGAAGACTTCCCTGTTTGTCCAATACGGTTTCGCTGTTACCTCCAACGATGCCTCGTGCACTACTGTCACCTGTGATGCTGGTGATGCCGACTGCTCTGAGTCATACCAGATGCCCGATGATGTCGATACTCTCAGCTGCGCTTCCAGCGCTGCTTTCATCTTGGATCTTGGTATTTAAGTGTGCCGATGATGTCGATACTACATCCACTTTTATCCTCTCATTCATTCATTGTGATTTATTCTTTTTGAAGAACATCTTTTCCATACCTTGATCAAAGGTTCCCAAAAAAGTAAATGTGCTTTTCTTGAATTTTTTTTATTATCTTTTTCCCACGGGAATCGATACGCGCTTAGATACACACGAATAGACATGACGTTATGCATTCATGAAAAAATCTCCTCGTCGACTTACAATTGTAGGCTATCCAAAAGTTCAAATGATTTGCCAGTAGTCGTTCCATGGTCGGTTACTTGCGGTTGTCAGAACTTTGCTCTCTCCCACGCCATGATATCTAACCTTAGGACACCTTGGTAGGATTCGATATCTGAACCAATATTTCCAAGATAATCAAGGGTCTCAATCATAGATTGTCGATGGAATTGACATTCCAGTCGTCATGCTTAAGTTCCCAACTAAACCCCTGGATCCACTTTCCATGTGGAAGGCTGAAGCCGCTGGACCTATTCCAGAGTTCTTCTACGTTACATTCTTTACACCTTAAATCTATGTAAAGTCCGACCGACTCAACATTCCAAGTTTGAGTACCCTAGTAGACGAACAAAATTCTCAAGAAAAAAAAAGTGGGGTTGGTTATATTGGTCGGTGATAATTCACTTCAATTAAAATAAAAGTATATCCATGAAAGAGAAAATTCGACTCAATAGCCTAGCTAGTATCCGTGGTAGGCAGTCTCCAAAGAAAAAGAAAAGAAAGTAAAGCAACACATGTCACTCCAACTATAAATCACGATAAATAGATTCACAGGTCTGCATCTAGCGCTTAGTACACAGGGACCTTGAAGGCAGGGAACTCGTAAGTCCAGCTGTCGTAAGAAGCCTTATCGAAGACACAGTCAAAGGTAGAGTTGTTCTTCCAGAGAGGACGCTTGGGGAACTGGCACAGCATCTGGGTCTCGCCCTCGTAATCACCGGAAGAGACGGTGGCATTGAGACGCGAAGGCTTAACACCGTTCTCAACCCAGTTGATCATGATCTCCATGTTGTCCTCGGGGTAAGGACCGGGCTGGAGGTCGTTGGTTCCACAGTGAGCGGCACCTGGAACAAGGTAAAGCTGGTACCAGTCCTGGAGCTTAGCGAGGCTCTTGGAGCCAGAGAGACCAGGGTACATGATGTCGCGGACAGACTGCCAGTAGTGGACGGAAGAAGCGGTGGGGACACTGGGGTCCTGCTCTCCGTGGTAGTGGATGAGCTTACCGCCGGACTGCTGGAAGGTGGTGAGGTCGGGGAGGGAGGTTTGCAGGGAATCCATGTAGCGGACCATGGCGGTGTTCATCCACTCAACCATGGTATCGTAGGTAACGCCGTCGAAGGAGGAGAGGTTATCGAGGTCGAGGAGCTCGACGAACTTGGCGACGAACTCACCGCCGAGGGAGGTGATATCCAGCTCCCAGGCATCGGTGTTGTTGTTCCACTGGGTCTCGGCGTCGGAGAACTCGGATCCGATCTGCCAGGCCAGGTAGGCGCGCTCACCCTTGCTGTTGTGGAGACCATCGATGATGCCCTGGGCCACGGCGACATCATTGGCATTGACGGTGCCGTTCTGGGCGGGCTGGTAGGAGCTGGTGCTACCCTCGGCGCGCTTGCTGAAGCCGAATCCGAGAGAACTGGCGGTCTCAGCGGCGCAGTAGTAGCTCTCGCCGATGATGGAGGTGAGGTTGAAGTTCAGCTGGCACAGGTCACTACGAGCAATGACACCGTCGGTACGGCCGTCGAGAGGATCGCAGGCAGCAATGGTGGCATTGACGATCTTGGCCAGGGCACAGGGGGGAGGGTAGTAGTCGAGGGTGTGCTCGACAGCGTTGGGGAGCAGGTGGTTGACCTGCTGCTGACCGTAGCGGAAGGCGGGAGCACCGGTGATGGCACCGTCATACTCGTCTCCGTAGCGCTGGATCTGGCTCATACCCTCACGGCCACCATCGGAGCAACCCTCGTAGTAGGTGTAGAGCTTAGAGCTGGCAGACTGGCCATAGAAGCCCTTGGTGAAGTACTTGCCAAGCTTGGTCAACTCACCCAACGCCTGGTAGCTGAACATGTAAGTGGCATCCCAGTTGATAGAGCCATTTCCATAAAGGGCAACCTCGTCGTAGGTGGTACCGTCCAAGGCATCGTAGCCAGCAGAGGAAGCACCACCGACGGCGCCATACTCTAGACCACCGGTAGAGTCGGAGCTCAGAGCGTAACCACCACCTCCAGCAACGTAGAAACGCTTCTTGTAGTCGGAGGGCTCGGGGAGGGCGTACTTGACGACAACGGTGTCGCCCTTGCCGGGGTGGGTGTAGGTCAGAGTGACATTGCAGTAGCTGTAGGAGTCACTGGTGGCGGTGTTGGCGGTGGACAGTGAAGGGACAAGGTTGATGCCCAGGATAGTGCCGTTGGAAGGCAGAGCAGACTTCACATTGGAAACGGTGCACACGTCACTGAGGGAGGTAGCACTGGCCGCAGCGGCGAATGCCACGGCAGAGGCGCCTGTCTGGAGACGCATGGTGAATCAGATATGTAGAAGGAGTGAATGTTTTCTAAAGAGTGACTTGGAAAATATGCTCTGTAGATCACGAGCAGACAAGACTCGCTCTTATAAGTCTTTGCGCAGTCTATGGGCCCGTTTATCCCAAACGACTAGCCAAGGTCAGGAACACGGCCAATTTTCCTGTTTGGGGGAAATTGGTTGATCCCACGCTGATCTCCCGCATAGATTGAGTACTAAACCATGAAAACCGAACCAGAGGTGGCTCACGGGCTCCTCCTGGACTCTGCGAGCTCTCCTGGCGTCGTCATCTTGTGTCCAAACACGGCGCCAAGGCTAGGCCACATGTTTGGAATATGACAGGACAGGAAAATTTGCCGGGTACGCGTGTTCAGGGTCAAACAACGTTTACGGCAGTGGGAGCGTTGTTTCGTCAGGGAAAATAAAGTAATCAAGGGCTTAAACTATGAGGTAAAGAACAAGATCAGTGGAAACGTTGATCAGCCAATGACGAACTCTTTCAGTCAATAGTGGAGTCATTCTATGCTTGTGATTCCTTGATAAAATCAGACTAAGATTCAAAGTTGGGCGAGGACGCGAATCGGGTAAAATCATGTCCGGCTTGGCTTGGGATCTGCATAGTCTAACTGCGCAAGAAAGTTATCAAAATCGGGGGAGAGCTCGGAGAGTGCGTAACCGATGTTAATTGACTTGCAAAAAGAGTGGAGCTGCCGGCCCCTGGACGACCGTGGTTCCTAGGCTCACGCCACGTTGACCAGCAAAGGACTGCAAGTTGACCCTTTCATCGGCCATTTTCCGCCCATCCTCGAGCAGGACGATCGGAGATTTGAGCCACTGTGGTAGATTGTATCCACTTGGTGTGGTGTTTTAAGGGTGTCAAGGGACTCCATACGGAGTAGATAGTACATGTTTGAAGAAAAAAACGTATATTCTTTCACTGAACCCTTTTGATATGAGCAGCGGAGGGTTGCATTTTGGTATATTGACGCACCGTCTTCTTTGGCCTCTAGATGGTGGAGAGTCGATGAGGACGCGTCGCATTATGCATACCTCGGAGGCCTAGTGCACTAACAAGGTTCCTGGTACTCTGTATGCGTAGACTATCTACGGAGTAACTTCAGGACCTTTTCCTTAGAGCGTCAGCCGTCATGGACTCACGGCACTTCATTTTGACCTTGCTTGATCAGGTAAGTGGGTACTTGCCAGTGGGTAGAGAGATGGATGTTTGTTGTCCGTAGGTGGCTGAAGTACGGAGTAAAAGCGACGGAAGATCCACGACCTTGGTGAAACTTGTTCCAACGTGAACAGTCCTTTCAGCCGAAATTTGATCCTGGATTCGTGCCTCTTTTCCAGTACTAGCTTGAGAGAAACGAACCAGCCACTCACTGTATTTAACTAATGAACCGCCAAGAATGAGCGAAGGTTACGAAGCTTGTCACCTTGCTTGGTTTAATGGAACGAGTTGCCCCGCAGTTGACTACGTATGTTTTACCTCGAAGATTCCACAAAAATCGATGAAAATATGCTCAGCTGCAAAGCTTGGCAGTAAGTAGGAGTGATAGATCCAGGCAGATGTATTCAGGATGCGGAATGTATTGACAGCATGTAGGTTCATGGAGACGATGCACGATGGGGATATCAAGTTGCAAAGCATAAGGTAAGAACAGTGTTTTTTTTTTCGTGTCGTGAGCAATGCAAAACAAAAGAAATTCATGAAAGTCGGAGTATAAAAGCTGAGATAAAGAGCAGTAGTAGAGTCAATCACTCCTCAACTTGATCTGCCCAGCTTCCAGACACCGGGGACATTGTAGATTCAAGGCTTTCCATTGACGGGGGTAGTTTGACAGCCGCAGCTGGTTTCTCGGATGCTTCCACAGTATCTTCTGAATCCGCCGATTTCTTGCCCACAGGGAGAGCTGGAAAGTCGGCTTCATCATTAATGGATGGCTTGTTTGGTTTTTGGCGGTCGGATTGATCTTTAGAGGACGAACGTTCCTGTGGACCTCGCGAAGGACCACGACCACGTCCCCCACGGCCACCTCGTCCACGTCCGCGGCCAGGGGTGACGTGGCTTGTAGGGTCGTCTGACAGCCCATCAAAATCTCGCCGCACATGTCCAGCCACGCCACCATGCATACCCCGGCGGTATTGGCTCCCCCCACCACGGGGATTATAATCATCTTCGCGTTTCTCCGAATCCCACTCACGCCCGGTCTGTGCCTTGAGCTTACGTTGACGATTCTGCTCACGCTCCTTATCCATCACACGTCGACTTGCGAGTTCTTCGCGTCGCTTCTTGGCTGCGATCTGCTCGCGCTCCATGAATGAAGCCTGATCAGCTTCAGCGCGGGCATGGGCGGCGGCTTTCTTGATGGCATTCTCTTTAGCGGCGGCGATACGTTTCGCAAGCTCTACCTCGGTAAGTTTCACCTAGTCAGGTCAGTCAAGAAGCACTTTGTACGGTCAACATGAGCTTTTTTCTCGACACTAACCTTTTTCAAACCACCGGTTGCGCTTCGATCTCCACGGACAGCCGGGACTTTCGGTGCATCGGCGCCATTGGCTGCAGCGGCAGCGTCTTTTTTGCCCTCTTCATTATTAGCGGTCTGTGGCTTCTCCCCCTCTTCTCGCTTGTCTGTGGTCTCTGCGGTGGTGGCAACAGGGCTGACTTTTGGCGCTGACGCTGGCATATTCACAGGCGTCTTCTTCCGCGGGGTACTCTCTGCAGGCTTTGTGTCCGCCGCCCATCTGGAGTCCTGGAGGCTGCGCCCTTGTTTCGGCCGACCGCCGCGTCCACGGCCTCGCTGAGAAGTGTCACCCCGCTGCGAACTGCCACCCCGCTGTGAAGTCTCTCCACGCGGAGACGGCTGCTTTTCTGGTGGCGTAACCTCCGGTGGTGGCGTGGGTTCAGGCTCGGAGATGACGACGACTTCTGTCTGCACTTGTTGATCATCTGCTGACACTGGGATGATTTCGTCGTCGAAGAGGTCGTCGGCGCCCCGAGTCTGGGCAAACTCGTCCATGTCTGCGATTTCGAATAGATAGGATCGACGTACGTAAGAGTGCGATTGAAGCCCTGAAGCAAATGCGACGATTGAGTTTTTGGAACAGAAAAAAAGTACGTCCGGTAGTAAACTGCGAGCGCAATCCGACTGTTTCCAGCCCCCTCTTGAGGGGAAGAGTGACCCGTGCGGAGACTAGCGTTGCTAGGCTGGGGACTGGTGGGTCATGGACTGAAAGTTCAAATGACGATGGAAAATCGAGCAAGGGAAAAAATAGACAATAACAATGTAATTGTATGGAAATTGGAGGGGTGTCAAAGGAAAAAAGAGACCTTTCAAGAGATGAGGCAAGAGGCAAAGGGAAATTGGATACAATCAACCCGCGGTTCCAACTTTGGAGGCTGCAATGGAGGCAAGGCGGTGAGATGAACCATGCAAACTGTACAGTGTAGCTTATTTTGCCGATCGCTAAGGTACGCGCGGCATAGAAGCATCTACTATGTACCTCCAGGGCTGCATAAACCCCCCCAAACTTACCCAGTCATATGGGTTCAAATGTTGGCATATCTGCTACTATTACTACTAGGACGTACACATATACTTAGATGCCAGGTGGAGATCATCTGCGCATGTGGACACTCGTTCCTTGGATCAGGATATATACATATGTATGTACGTACACCCACACATTAGTATAGTAGGACATACACAAGCATATCTCGAAGTTCAACGGCACATGTAATCAATTGATCGAAGAAATGATGTATATGTAAACGGTCTAAAAGTTCTACTATTTTTCTTTTTCATAGCGGCTATGTGGGTATCTAGGGTCAACTGGTCCTAGGACTCAATTCAATGTTGCTGGGCAGTACCTCGGTACATACCTCAAGAAAGTACTAGTCAAAGGTACCAACTTTTAACCCTTTAGACCAGTTGACCATGGTCAACTGGTTACACCAGTCTACCCTTCACATCCATCAATTCAATGTTTAGACCTCAAACCTACCCTTGTTTTCCTCCAACCACTGGCGAAATCTTGTCGGTTCCCTCCCGGTATACCTCTTCACATTCCCCAAGGCCTGCTGGTACCCAGCCTCCTTAAAAAAAGCTCCAGGATTCATTGTGACATCGTTAACAACCCATCTCGCAGCAAGCTCCTGAACCCCATGCTGAATCATCCCCGCCTTCATCTCTTCACCCGAAATCCTCGTCGTCTTAACCTTCTTACCCAAAACCTCCCCAATCAAGTTCACAGCACCGGCAATGGTAAGTCGTTCTTGCCCAACAAGCGGAACAACGTTCTCCGACGACATACCCCTCGCCAGAATGCCACCACAAACAGACCCTATATCCTCCGGCGAAATATAATCGAACTCCGCATCCGGATTGGCGTGCCTCACCTCACCCTGCGCAACCCCGTCCTTGAACCAAAGTGCGTTGCTTGCAAAGAAAGCAGGTCGGACAGCGACAAAGTTCTTCGTTCCAAAGACCTCAGCTAGCGAGATCTCAACTTGGCCATGTTGGTAGGGGATCGCGTCGGAGGGTGGCGCGGCGCTGGGGTCTTCGCTGACGGTGAAGCTGCTCAGTAGCACGACGAAGGTGATACCGGCTTCTTTTAGGGCGACAAGGCTTGCGCGCATGTGGTCTTCTGTGCCGAAGATCACATAGAGGTATGCGACCGTTGCGCCGGTCTGGCGGACTGCTGCCGTAAGGGTGTCGGGCTTGGTGAGATCCGCTTGGACTTTTTGGGCCGGGATCCCGGCTAGGGTGGGGATGGACTTGGTGGGGTCTCGGACGGCGAGAGAGATCTCGGCGCCATCGTTATGGGCTTGCAGGGCTGCTGCGGAGCCGGTAGCCCCTGTGGCGCCGAAAATGATGACTTTGTTGGGGGCCATGGTGGGTGTAAATTTGGAGAGTGGTTAATGTTTGATGATGAAATTGACTTTGGAGATCTTGAGGAAGATGGTTTCTTTGCAGAATTGGGTAAGACTTTGGGTTTTATGAGAGTTTTGGTTTATTCGTTTTGCTTTCGATGAAAAGGCTCTGGCCTCTTGGTGGGGGCACTCGATTCATAAGCTGCAAGCATACAACCTACAGTAGAGCTCATATTTGTTGCACTCCGCATGAGTGCGACTCACCGCACTCGGTGTTTGGGGCGCCGATCGGAGTTAGTAAGTAGGAATTCATTTTCCCGACGTCATTGTATTTCGAATTGGTAAACGGTCATGCTATTCGAATTATGGTCTACACTGGCTACGAAACGATATTCAATGTTGATTGCCGAGGTTCATTCTCTGCTAGTGACGGGTACATAGTAGTAGTAGTAGTAGTAGTCTTATACAGATTGCATTGATCGTATCTACACATTCCTGGCATAAGTCATCCCTTGAGGGAATCTAAATACACTCCCAAGAGTTCTCATCGGTGTAGTTTCCAGGTCCCTTGAACACATTGCGACGAGGCCAGCGACAGTGCTTGCGCCAGTATTCTACAGGGGTACCAGCTCCATCCTCGAACTTGGCTCCACGAACCGTCTCGGGCGCAACACCTTCCTCAACCCACTTGACCATGGCCATAAGCACATTGCTCTCAGGGTCACTGCTAGCATAAGTGCTGGTACCCTGACCAATACCATACGCGCCATTTCCAGTACCACAATGGCCCATGCCACTGATAGTGAAAAAGCGGTAAAATTCGTCCAACTCGGAGGGTGGGAGGCCCATGGCCTCAGAAACATGGGAATAGTACCATTTCGAGTCTTCGGAGCTGATGATCGCATCCATCATACCATGGTAATGAAGGACCTTGCCACCGCTCTTTTGGAACGGAGAAAGATCACCATCCCAGGTCTGAATGTTGTATGGGTTTTGAGCTAACGCAGCTGCGGCATCTTTTACGGTGAAATTGCCACTCCAAGATGGGTTGTTATAAACGACGTATCTGAACCAGTCCAGACTGTACGAAAAGGGTTCACCGTTGTACATGATTTCTGCGGCTAACTCCTCAGACCCGGGTTGCATTCGTCGGTAGAGCAGCTCGCCGTTTTCTCCATACAAAGGCGAAAGTACTTGGTTTGCGGTGTTGACCTGGGTGCTTGTAAGGCAGCTGGTGGTGTTTGTCGCATTTTTGGGACAAATCAGAGTCTCGAGGATTGGCAGGCAGAGATCTGGGTCTTCGATGATGTCGTCTTTCGCTCCATCAATCGTGTCACATTGGCGGATAATCTCGTCATGGACGATCCCCCATTCAGCAGCAGTAAGGAATGTATCGGAGGTTGAATCCCCTGTGATGGGGTAGAAGTGCGCGCTCCAGGAAATCAAGTTGACAAAGTTGATAGCCGGTGAGCCTGCAACGACACCGTCAAAGTCATTAGGGTACTTCTGGACCGACTTCCATCCCTGTCTGCCACCCGTCGAGCAACCCATATAATAACTCTTGTCGAAACCTTCATCATAGAAGAGTTTGGTCAGTTTCTTGCCGACCACAACTCCAGTGTGAACAGATCGGTAGGCAAAGTCTTCAATAACTTCTGGGTGGTGATAGAAGGGCTCTCCAGAGGTGCCGTTGTGTCCGTTGTTTGCTCCGACCGTGGCGAAACCCATCTGGGCAGTATAGGCGAGATCATAGTATTGGATGCCTAACAGTGTGTTAGTCAAAATGGCTGATTGAGTCCACGATTCAATGCTACTTACAGCCTGAAAGACCTCCATTTCCAGTGCTGAGGAAGCGACCCTTGTATTCGCGGGGGAACCAAGCTTCGAGAGTGATTTGACTGCTGCTGGACGTGTTCACGGCCATTGCAACTCTGCAAAGGTCGACACCGACTGCTTGGTACGATGCATCACAGGTGGATGGATTGTCGGCCAAGGAAAGATTGGTTCCTCCCTGAATATATTCGGCGAAATTAACGTGGACATTGGGTATGTTGATCTTATCAGCGAACTGAGCACATTTTTTCTGGAATGCATCCTGGCTGGCAGAGGCCACGGAGCCCAATGCCAGAAGGGAGAGTGCAGAAAGCCAGGCCATCGTGTCCGATTCGCGTTGTTGAGCTTATGTAGGCCATCATTAGCTGCGGAAGGAGCTGAGCTAAATAGCTCGCGTCGAGTCCTTCTGACCTCATCGGCTCGGTGTGAAGGTGACGATCGGTAGGTAAAAGCCAAGCATTTCCCGGGTATTTACATGGAAAGAAACAGAAAATAGTGGAGACGGGTACTAGGGAAAAGCCGAGGATGTCCCGGGGGGTGGCGGGGGGTGCAAGGGTAGATCAGCAAATCCACGAGATGGAATTGGACGAAGAGGTACCCGCTAAAACATAATGGGCATAAGACAAATACAGAGTGGAAAAGTCATTGGCAAGAATCAATGATGAAAAACAGTCAGAAAACCCCTGAGAACCTTTTTGTTACTCCGTTACCCTCAATCCCCCCCCCCCCGTCCCTGCAACAAATCCGGGGTCTCCACAAAACGCGGGGTATCATTTCCTCATCCGGTGGCAAGGCTATTGTTTTCGGCATTTGGACAATAAAACCTTCAATGCACCTAGGTAGACACTATGAGATTAATCCAAATTAACCGAAATGATTTCCAACTTACCACGCCGCACGTGCAAGTTGTCACTCGTCCGGGACTAACCAGAAAACATCAGTTTTTCGTAAGATTTCATTAGATGGAAACTTGGCTCACTTACACAAGACATACAATGCCTCGTCTAGCCAAGCACTTATGTATTCATTCCGCAAGTCTCGCAGAGCGTTCGCCCGCATAGTCATGTCCATAGTGTTCAAAGTTTCACGCATATTGGCAGCCCGGTTCCTCATTTCCTCGTTGATCCTGATTTCAGACAAGACGGTCTGACGTGCAAGTTTTTGTTTCTCTGAGGGGATTCGAGTTCCAATTTCTTGCAAGATAAATTCATACCACGCTTGTCGTAGATCAAGTGCCTCTTGCATGGAGTCCAGCCTGGATGACACATCGGCCATCCCCTGAAATCTTCTGTACAGATCGAGAATCAGCGTTAGAGAGAACATTGCGTAGGTTGAGTTGAGTTGAAATAAAAGGGAATTGAAATGAGAGGGAGGGTTGGTGGGATGGGTGAAGAAGAAAAGCAGGTTCTGCATCGCGGCGGTGTTTTGACAAGGAATCTCTGATTCCGGAAGCCCACCGCAAGAGAATTGGTGTCCAAGTAAGAAGATCTCAATGGCTAGTACACAAGACTATGACACCCAAACAGCTGTCCATGTTTCCCCCCCCCCCCATTCACAACCTTGAAAAGACTAACTTGAGAATCACCACTAAATTTTATTCGAAGGTGCTAATCATACTAGTAGCCAAGATTGAATATTTTACAGGTCCATCAATACAAGGTCAGATGTCCACATTTACAGTCCAAGCTTATTTACAGCTCTCAGCATCTCCCGACTCGATGAATCATTTAGAGGAAAAGGGCCAGCCATCAACAACGCTGGTCAGAAGCGATCCAGATTGAATGCGCTCGGCCTGAGCCTTGAGTTCGTTTACATCCCAGTTCGCCACCACATAACGTCCATTCAGAAATGCGGCCTCGGGACTCGTGAGCCACACCGTGAATTCAGCTGGGAGGTCAACTAAGCACATCGGTGTTAGTAGTGTTAGATATCTGATCTTTGGGTTGTCAGCGTACCTGAATCCATGGGAAGTTTACTGGGATCTGCTCCTGAGACCCGAAAAATATCCGTCTCTACCATTCCTGGATGAAGTACTGTGGCAAAGACGTTTGGGTTCTCGGCAGCCAAGAATTCCATCACCTTGATAAGGGTGAGCTTGGAGCTGATATATCCCGAGAGACCGACCAAGATTTGAGTTGGCAAAAACACGGCTGCACTCAATGCAACAATGGCGGAGCGTGTTGTGTTGGCAGTGGGAAGAAAAACATTTGCAGCAATCATGGTTCCCTTGACGTTGGTCTATGTCGACATTGGCATTAGTATGAACGGAGCCAGCACTACTGCAACTTAAAAGATAATCCGAGTTGCGAAAACAGACCTCAAAGTTCTGCCACCACTCGTCCACAGATGCTTCCTGCATACGAGCCTTAGGCGAGATATAGCCCGCTGCCAAAATCATAATATCCCACGCGCCTATACTAGCCGCGACTTCCTTCAGAGCTGCTTCGTCAGTGACACTAGCGGGGTGAACAGAGCTATTGCAACTGAGTTGCTTCTGTGTAGCTTTGAGCGTCTCTTCTTTGCGCCCAATCAGCACGATCTTCGAAGCACCGGCACGGTCAAAGGCTAATGCCGTCGCTTGGCCAATCCCACTTCCCTAACCCAAAGAAAGTTAATTTAATAATGCGGGAAGAAGAATAAAAAAGAGACATTGCCTGCCCAAAGGCCCAAGTCTCGTGTTTTCTGGAAAAGCCGCATACTGCACCGGTAATAATCACGGTCTTTCCGGAGGCGCTCAACTCAGGCCGTTCCGGAGATATAGCCGCGTATGGCGCGTTGTGCCAGAATGATGTCAATGATGGAAAAGGAGGATCCATAACTATTTTGAAGCGCTGGGAAAATGGAATGGAGAGGACTGTTTGATGAATTATGATGGAGGAATTTTCAGACCTGAGTTACAGCCTGCGGCCTGCCAGGTGAGGGGTACTTGGACTGGGGGCCAAATGATTTGTAACAGGCAATATAGGTTAAACTTGCGGTACTATTGTAGTTCACTTGTTATATAGCTCAGGCTGCTCAGTGATGATCTACGGTGAACCTTGGAGCCTGAACAAGTGGACCTCTTATCTGATCCTTATCGACCACATGGGCCTCGGCCCCATCGCGGGCTTCCAGCTCCCTCTTTCATCACTGATTCACTCATCTCCCTGTACCGCATCACCAAAATCACCCACTCGTCCGTACTATATTTCGCTATAAACCGATAACATTACTCACCAGTCGGCTCTTCCCGGGTTACCCGCAAGTAACCATGGCGGCCCTGTACAACCAAACCGTGGATTTCATCTCCGACTCCTGGACCAACCAGCGAACCCAACTTCCCTTGCTAGCAGTGACTGGCGCTTCCTTTACACTGGGACTATTACTGCGGTCGCTTTTTAGCCGTGAAGAGCAGCGTGGTGGTGTCCTTCCTTCCCCACGCGCGACCCTCCTGCGAGGCCTATCGGACGAGGAGAACCGCAAACTCCCCCTCCCCATCGATAACCTTCCCGGTGCACGCGACGTTGAGAGCCCATATGGATCGCTCCGAGTATATGAATGGGGCCGTGAAGATGGTCCGAAGGTGTTGATGGTGCATGGTATCACCACTCCGTCTATCGCGCTCGGTGGGGTGGCCCATGCGCTGGCTGACCGTGGTTGCCGTGTGATGCTGTTTGATCTGTATGTCTTCCGAATTATTCAGCACCTTTATTTCGCCCAGCAGGATAAACAAACACTTACATTTCAAAACGCAGTTTCGGTCGAGGATACTCCGATTCTCCCGCCGATCTCCCTCATGATAATCGGCTTTTCACCACACAGATCTTGCTTGCCTTAGCCTCATCTCCGGTCTCATGGACTGGTGCCGACTCCGGTAAATTCTGTCTCGTCGGTTACTCACTTGGTGGTGGAATTTCTGCCGCATTTGCCTCATACTTCCCCCACCTTATATCTTCCTTGGTACTCTTGGCCCCAGCTGGCATGATGCACGACTCCCATGTTAGCTCCCAGGCCAAGCTTTTGTACTCCGGCGGCATTATTCCAGAGAATATACTTGGCTATTTTGTCAGGAAGCGTCTTAGAGCAGGCCCGCTGGTCTCAAAACCCAAGGATGGAAAGATTGATGTGTCGGATGCGTTGAATCAAGAGGCTCCTACTGAAGTCGCCGCTGACGCTCAGGTGCTGTCGCGGGAATATCCCCACCTTAACGTCCCAGCTTCTATTGTGTGGCAGGTTGATCACCACCAGGGTTTCGTTCATGCATTCATGTCCACCATGCGTTATGGCCCCATCTTCCGCAAGTACCAATGGAGTAACTGGGCACGTCTTGGGGAGTACCTGAGTGCTCAAAATAGTGATCCATCTGAAAACCAGGGACCCAAGGGCCTCCCGAGCGATAAGGTTCATATCTTGTGCGGTAACACCGATGCCGTTATTGTCAAGGATGAGCTGGTTACAGACGCCACTGCTGCCCTTGGTGGAAATGCTGTGTTCAAGTTCTACGAGGCTGGTCATGAGTTCCCCAGTACCAAATACGAGGAAGTAGCCTCATACATCTTGAAGGTGATTTAAGCTGGCTGGTTTGGCACAATCGTTTCTTAGACAGTTCAAACGTTTAAACATTTCTACCGCGTACGATAGATAAACAGGTACATACATAGACAAATGGCACAATTTACAAACATGGTATATCAAGCATGTTCCCTCTTCCTTTCCGTCCTTCCTCTTCCTATTCATTCCCTACTTGGCGTTGCCTTGGTTTGCGAGGGCGAGATGGGAAGCTCGGTCCGCAGAAACAGCTCCAATAAAGTAGGGGCCCTCGGAAGCTGGAGCTCTGGCAAATCGCTCAACACTGCTGCGGCTTGCGCGTGGAACTTGATTGACATTGGCTTGGGTAAGAGGGGCAGTGCCACTGGTGCCATTCTGAGCGCTAGAAATCCGAGCATGTTAGTTTTATCGTGATCAACTTGAAACTAGTCAGGGAGGTGCATACGTAGTAGAGGTCGAAGTGCTGGTTTCTGGGCGAGACATGGTTGCGAGTTTCCTTTCGTGCTGATTGAAGAATATGAAGATACGAATGTTGAGTGATTCAAAATCTTGTTGGTCAAAGATGCAGAGTTAGGTATAGATATTGAGACTTTGGAATGTCTTTGATGGTGCCAGGTGGTGATGATGATGATGGTGATTGAAGTACTGTTGAATGCTGACAACATTTTGAAGAGCAGGACTCTGACCCTTTATACTCAAGACAAGCCCTACGATGAGGCTATGCTCTCCCCCCAGGCATGCTCGACACACGCGAGCTCCCCAGGACCTCGCATCGTGGTATCCACATGGACCCGAGAAAAAAAAGCAGAAAAAGAAAAGAAAAAAGCCAAAAGGGAAAAGTAAAGCAAGCTAAGCAAAGAAAGGAATGATGAAAGGATCATCATCTCGCACCGAAATCCCACGACAGGCCCCACAGACCATGACCCCCCCTGTGACACCATTCCGCCGTCAGGTCGAGGCGACCGGGGTTGTCCGCATGAACGAGTGCTTTCTTTTCTCGTATGGGCCAAATTCCAGCTCGATGCGGACACTAGGCCCAAAGTAAAAATAGCGTGGGAAGTACATACCCGCGATTCCGCGAATCCATCGAAACAGGCGACGATGCGAATACGATTGGACCGGGCTCTGCATAACAATGGGGCCAAAAGGCAGGTACACAGAGGTGTTGGATGCAGGAGTGGGGGTGCGAGCGGGCCCTTCTTTTTTTTTGATTGTGGATCATGGATTCAAGGGCATATTCTAGATTTACTAGTACTCCCTTTGATGCAAGAAGACAATCGGCACATGGCTAACCACATGTTTCAGCGAGGGATTAAACTAGATGGGGTAAAAACTGCGTGGAATGAGGGAAGGGGTAAATATTTTTTTTTCTCCTAATTCTTTTTTTTTTTTTTTCGGTATACGCAGACTCAACGGCGATCGCCAATCGAACAAGGGTCTCAAGGGTTGGGGAAACGTCATGGATCTTAGAGCGAAAAGTCTAGATGCTCCCGATGCTCTCAGTCTCGCTGCAGGGTTGGCGGTAAATGCGCGCGTTCCGTAATGATTCTCGCGTGGTTCACCCTTGTAAACTCTGTTTTTATTTTTAATCTATACGTTTTATTTTTATTTTAAAATTTGATGCTGTTCTATTTGATATTCGGATTTATTCATATTTTCGCAGATTTGCACCATGTCGTGGGACGACCGTATGCGGTCACATGGAGATCATGCATTAGACTTGAGTAGATTAGAGAAATTTGACGACTAATCTACCCTATAGGCGTTATGGAGTGCAAAGTGAGTCTAAACGCCGCATTAGGATTGGATTACATTCTCCCGGCCGAGCGTGGAGTTATGCCTCTATCATTCTCCTTTGTCGTGAATCGTGATAGCGGGTGATCCCTTGCCAGGATACGTATTATACGTGGAACAACATTGAACGGTCTCCGGAGATGATCAAAACCGTAAATCCATACCAGCCGCGTCTTCTTCGTACTCATAGCCTTACGAATCATTTGAGTTGTCTTGCACAGCCATAATACCAACTGCTGGAATGCTAGGAATGCCAAGCTAGGAAAAGCGCATGTGGAGATCGCACCACGCGAAGTCTTGTTTCAGAACATGAACCAAGGGTCCTATCTCCGAGAAAAGGGGTAGCACGTGGATTGGATTATGATGTGGTTTTTTTGCGTAACCTGAGTACGACGAGTCAACATTTCAAAATCTTGAAAGCAACAAAAGATGGGGAGGGGTGGCTAGCCACTAAGTGGCGTCCGGCTGAACTCCTTGGTGCATGCGTTTACTTGTTTAAGAATAGCTCAAGGCCCAGGACCGGGGTCCCGGGCACATAATTTACGAGTTTTTGAGGAAAAAAATCAAGTGGAGACAACCGACAGGCTGAACAGCTTTGTTCGGCTTTCCCAAGTCTATCTCCCGAGATGAGAGCGAGCAACAAGCCAGATTGTGGTTTGCGAAGAGAAAAGAAACGAGCATAGGGAAACAAAAGGCCCCCAATCTCGTTTAGGCTAGCGGGCCGCTTCCCTGTAAACTTTGATCGTCGGCCCCGAATGCACTGCCGAAGTATATGAAACCGGACAACTACGGAGAACTTTTACACATAGCAAAGCCACGGCCATATGGGATGTGTTTCAGATAATTAAGTTGCTCCTACCACGCGTTCCACGCTGTAAGGGGTGAAAACACGCATTCTTTTTTGCTATGTTAGACGACGTTACGAATGCAAGGCACGCTTGGTCCAAGCGCGGGCAACCTTATCTCCCCGAGGGTCTTTAGTATTTACTAACTGCGCCCAGTGTCGATCCCCTCTCATTTTACCCGTATAGCCTTACCCCCTAAACACTAGAGCAAGACGATCAAATCCACTCACATGAGAGGAACTGGTGATCGCACCGCGCTGACGTTGGATGCTTGGTCGATACTTGGGTGCTTTGTGCTACATTGACCCGGATTTTCGGGTCCGCCACCGTGCCCCGGCGGGAGCCATAAAGACGTGCGCTATTTCTCCAAGGCGTGAAAAAGCAAAGAAAACAGAAAAAAAACAATGGGCTTCAAAGGCCAAATTTTGGCCCCCGGTTTTGTATTATTTTCTAGTTAAAGGATTTTATTTCATTTGCTCAGTTTTCTACCTATCATAGGTAAAGGAGTCCCAACCTTGGAAGAGTCGAATCCTTTCAAGGGATACGACGTTCGTTGATCAATATTAGTTCACAGGGCGTCGATCAATGCAGCAGTGATCGCCCCACGGATCATCCCTTACAGAAAAGTTTGCTCAACGTTTTCTCAGTCTGAAACGAAACTGTTGATCTGCCCACGTACATCGGTATAGATTCCGAAGAGCCGCCGTAGCTTGTTGCTGTCGCAACGTTTCTATAATCGATAAATCTTTAATTTCAGGGTCGGATCATCACTACAAAGAGTATATAGTCCGAACTTGGTTGAATAACCGACTAGGGGTGAGTTATATCCCTGTGGCTTCATTTCTGAAAGAGGATATCATTACCGAGTCCTTGGAAAATAATTGGAATGGTACAACGCCCACCGACAGCCCTGTACAAATCAAAAAATAGAGCAAGCGGCAAGAAAAGAAGGAAGAAAAAGAAAAAAAAAAAAATGAATCACGAAAACAGATGCCGTGGATCATAATATCATTGGAGATCGGCCTCTCCGATCCTCTCTGGAAACAATCTCCAGTGGTGCGACTGGTGCCCAACACGAGTCAAGGGGTGACATGCAGTAGGACTAGCCTAACATCTACAAGTCACGTCGCTAAACTCGTGTTGACAGCATGATTTCTTTTTCTTGATCACCCAGTAAAAAAACATGTTGGAGATATGTGAAAAACGAACTAATTTATTTTCTGTCCCGTGGCTATCGTAATCAGGCGTGCAGGCAGCGACGCTAGCCTAATGCAGGTACGCCCTCATTTACACTGAATTCTTAGGCTGAAGCTTGACATGCTGAAACGCTCAAGTGTTAACTCACATCCGGCAGAGATTGACATATTGAGTGAATTTAAACATGCTTAAAGTTCCCCAATCTTGTCAACTTATTGTCTGGGCGGGAGTTCCCACCTCCATAAACAGGCAAGGCAACCTCGAGTCACAGGCTACAGGCTACAGGCTACAGCAGCTGTGATGTGAAAACGAAAAAAAGTGGAGTATCCAATTTCTTTCCACCATATTTTCGGCTTGAATAACTTCCGTGAGGGTGTAATTTGCAATTTATCCCGTCTAGGAAATGACGGCTCGGAAAGTTGAGATGGTCATGAGATCGTTCCTGCGGGAAGAATGGCATTGCCGGTAAGCTTCGTGGCTTGAGATTAGAAATCACGCATGCTCTAACCGCGAATGGTGATAGGGGGACGCTAAAGACTCTTATCTCATGGAATGCTTCTCCATGGCCAGTTTTTCATTGTCATCTTGTCGAATTAGTAAAAAATCAGAGACGATAGATCGCAACATTGAACCACCCATCTCGGGTAATACTACCAACACATATCAGTTGGCTGTCAGTCTATGCTGAACGATGGCTCTTTGCAAGGTAAATAATTTCCAACACTTGGATAATTGGACTTCAATTGTTGGAGCATGCATTGAGTGTCATATGCGTAGCAAGTAGTAATTCATGGCTTCTAAATTTTCTGTTCTTGACTGGACTCCAGGATTGCTGCATCCACCGATCATTTTGGCATCATTGAAAACGACTCCCATATCTCGGAATCTTTCTCGGCAGCAGTACCTGAGCATTGGTAACTTTGACAGCAAGCAATGCCTTGCATTTGACGTCTTCAGCATTAAAACCTCGGAAAGTCATAACATTGAATAAATGTCGCAATCAATGCCTTTGTTGATATACATATGTCTTCCATAAAAAGAACTAGGAGACAATGCATACCATATCACTAACTTCGGCAATTAGTGCTTTGAATCCTATGTCGAGGGTTCCATAAATAAAAACCCCAATGCATATCTGGAAGTTTTAGTTCATTGTTACTACCAGATTGCTTTGTTCGAAATTTTCCATAATGCCAGCATTGTCTGTTCTAATCTTGGTAACAAGCCCATTGTTCTTGCCTAAATACTTACCGGAAATAACTAGAGATATATCGAGTCCTTTGTTCTTACCTAAATAAAAATCTTTGAATGTTGAATGCTGAGTATTCGAAACCTATCACAATGATCATTCATCCCAAGTCTCACCAGTGGACCATCTGAATGAACCTTTGTCCAGATTTCTATGACCCTCGTAAATGCCCAGACGACATCCATACATAAATAAAGTCCCCAGAACGACTTCAAGATGACATTCGGTTCCAAGATCATCTCAACATTAAGGCGACCAGCCTCCATCCAAATAAACATCGATAACATCAAGTTCCGGTAGAGGCTTCAACATTCAAATGTCTCATAATCAGCACAACCCAGATTCAAAGTACGGTAAGTGGCAAGACCGAGGTAAGGAAATGCAGGAATGCATCAGTGGCGCTAGCAAAACATTGCTAAATTCTACTACTGAACTGAAGACCAACTATCAGGACCTTATTGATAATGGGTGGAAAATTGAACAAGGAGAACAAGACGTACCAGTGAAATTCCAAGGTAACGTTGTGCCCCGTGATCTGTCATACCAGAAAGCTCAAACATGCCAGAGCCTGAACATAAGCAAACGTGGAAAGGTAAAAGGCCAAATAATGACCGCTTGCCAGTGGATCGGTTGTATTGCACCAGGAGTTATTTTTATCGAGATTATTGAACGAAAGCCAAAGGGAACAGGACAAGATATCCCGCAGATCTCTGACCTCACAAGAATCGCCTATGAACACAAATGGTCCCTTCCAAGTCTTGAACATGTCTGTGTCTGCTCTATTGAGGAAGAGTCGACCAAAAAGCTTTGCCGCGATCAGATTTACAAGGGAAATGGGCTAACCTGGATTGAATATGAGGATGAAACTGCTGAGTCGACGTCCCACACATGGGAATATGGCACTCCGGAATACCAGGCTTTGTTAGGGACTCGCATTGGAAGAATTGTGGGATTTCTGGTCTTGAATGGATTTGAACGCGGGACACGAAGAATCGCTCGGATCGTGACATTTCATGCAAAAGAGAATGACTATGACTCGGGGCTCTCACTTTTTATTGGATTTGATATCGAGCCAACTACTAACGCCATTGCAGACTAACTCTCTATAGGAAGATTCGAAGGTTTTTTACCAAGACTGAGTGTTGGACATCAGATTTGTGAGGAGGAGAAAGATAAATTTGAAACATACAGTTAGTTCGTCAATTTGATATACACAATTTAGACCAAGCTTCAGGGCTTTACTTTTCCGTGCACATCTAGGTCGATTCAAAGTTTTAGCCATGCATATTTTTCTACTTGACCTCTATTCGGTGGTCAACTTATATAGAATTCTTTTGGTACAATCTATGTACGTCAACCTGCAGTGAAGATCTTAGCCAAGTTGGGCATAATTTTTGGCCTCCTGAAACCCCAGCCTAAATTATCTGGTCAGTGTATGGGGCTTCAGAAGTCCACTGAACTCCAACGGCTGATGCTTTTGCACTTGGCTTGTTCGAAATGAAGAAGCCTGAATAAATTGGCAAATACAGACCTTGGGATCGTCAGAGGTGCTTTCTACGCGTAATTGGCTTTATTGAGTATCCTTCTTCTTCCACCACTATTTTTCTTTAATAATATCACATTCGCGTCCATGACATTTGACCTCTTGTTGCAAAATCTACACAGTACAATAAACATTTTTACACATGTGTCCGACAAAAACCAATCAATCTTCAATTGAGCTTTTAGACGTGCAGCACGTAGTACTTTGATGCCTCTGAGCTATGTGCAGGCACTTCTTAGCCTATGTACATGTAGCAAAATATACCCTGTAAATATTTCAAGATCAATTGGCTCCAGAGCTGCGTATTGTTATGTGGATCTATCCTGGCGTATAAAGAAAATGTACTAGTAGTTTTGGTAATCTCCCATCTCCATGACGTAGCCGCGTTTAGGACGATCGACATGCGACGAAAACCTGGATTGAAAATGAATAAATTCCTGTCTCACTTTCACCCCAGAACCCCAGAGTCTCAAAAGAAAAAACTTGCGCAATAAAATCATACATTCGATTCAGCTGTGGGGGCAACTAGAAAACCACCAATTTTTGATGCGCGCTGTTCGTGTTTTTAATACGTCACCATAGTCATGGGAGCGCAATACGTCTACCATAAAACTGTTGCCACATTTCTCCGCGCCCTTGTTCGACCCAGACTTCACATTCATCCCAAACCAGATGACACAGTATTCGTTCCGTCTCGCGATGATGGCCGAACTATCAAAACCAACGTCTACGGAGTAGCTGGAGAGAAAGCAACTCCCGTCCTGATCAACTTCTGTGGCAGTGGATTTGTTTTACGCACCTTTGGCAACGATGACGAATACTGCCGTTTCATCGCAGATAAGACCGACTACACTGTAATCGATGTGCAGTACCGACTTGCTCCCGAGAACATCTTCCCGGCCGCCTTCAATGACGCCGAGGACGTTGTGAAATGGGTGCTGTCGCAGCCCGATCGCTTCGATGCCTCTTGCATCTCGCTTTCAGGGTTTAGCGCTGGAGCCAACATCGCGCTCGCAGTGGCATCATCATCTAAGCTTTTTGGTGGCGAGGAGCAGAAGAGCATTTTCAACACAGTGGTCTCCATTTACGGACCGACTGACATGGCTCTGCCAACTCCTGAAAAGCCGTTGCTCGACCAATCTAACTGGATCATGAACACGATTTTTCCAAAGTTCTCTCACACGTGTCACAAACTACTGAACCCAGGGGCCGTTGATCCTTATGATCCCCGCATTTCTCCTGCATTTGCTGATCCGCACAACTTCCCGAACAATGTTTTGTTTATCACTGCCTCCCAGTGTTCATTCGCGACAGAGGCAGAAACTTTGTCAGAGAAGATTGATGGCATCGAGGGAAAGAACTCTTTGAGTCGCCGAATGGAGGGATGCGCCCATGGCTGGGATAAGGAGGCCGTTCGTGGAACATCTCAATGCAAAGCGAAGGACGAGGCGTACGCATTGGCAGTGGCGACTTTGCAGAGAGGCTAAACCGAGATCGTGAAAGCAAGGGAAGCGGTGGCCTGATTTGATACCCCAAACTTTATAGCGTATTATTTTGAAAGAAGTCATGTTTGGTGACTTTAATGTTCTCTCCGGAAGTTGGGTTTCACTACTAGCTTCAATGTTTTGTTATTTTGTTGTATCTTATTACCTGTGGTTTAGAATGCCTTTTCGCCGTTCAGGTCGTGACTTGTTAGCTTCAAATGTTATTGGCTTGCCACAACATCTCTTCCCCAATACGACTTTCTCCTGGTTTTTACTTCGCCATCGCTTTCCCATGGCAGTTGCTTACTCTCGGCCGTAGAAACAGCCGGCCCCATTGAGTTCCCCTTGGCAGACTCCCCGTCAAAGTTCGGCTATTTTCACCCAAGATCTGGTCGATGATCATTCTAGACCATGCCAGGCTTGCGCTGTTGATGCTGGTCAAGGGATGCGAGCCAACTGAATCGCAGAAACAATGAGGACAGAAAGCTCACTCCCACCAGCAAGGCCTGCTGACAATATCCCACGGGCCACAGTATCGTTTCGGCATGAGAGGGGGAGTAAAGCGGGAGCCGATACGGGGTAGGTCCGTGCAGATTTCCAAGGTTAGTTCCCCAAAGTCATGGCTCAGGTAATTTTCATTTGGTGATACCTAAATGAACCTGCTACATCCTTTATATGCCTCCTGATATAAGGTAGGCGAAGAAGAAAAAAAGGAGAAGAAAAAGCAAAATTTACTGCGGATAAACTAAGTCAGCGAAAGTCAGATGATTTCCACATGATCCGATCGATCATCGCGCTAAAGGCGCGTTATCGTATACGAAAGCAAGGCTGTTGAACACTTGCTCACCTTCCCATCGCAGGCTGAAATTGACTCAGCCATGGAATCCAACACATACTCAGCACTTTGTGAAGAAATATACCAAAAAATCACGGACAAGTTACAAGGAAAACCGGAAGACGGACGCCGCTTCGCCGTCAGAGGAACTGCCAAAGAAGTGCTGAATGACGACCTTCTAGGACGTTTTTTCAGCAGTCTCAGCGTCTCCGAGGATGATTTGACGTTTAAGGAACTCAGCAACGATATTTTAATACGGAGAGTTGCTGAAAGGGATCTGTACGACTTTTTGGCTACTCTGATCTTCATAACTTGCAGCATTCACGCCGCGCGAACCTTCACCACCGAGCTTGTTGCTCAGGATGCCTGGCCAATCAATACCTACAAGCTGCCAGTCTCGCGTGAAGTTCTGGCTGCTCTGTTTCTAGACCCAGTTACGCCGGACAAATTCCTTGAGCATCAGGCATGTTTTTGCCCTATGGTGATTTACAAGCGGCAAGAAACTCGCATTGAAAATCCAGAAAGACAGCGTCTTCCTTATCTCGAAGAAACATTTCTCAGCGAAGGATCTTTCGGTGCGGTATATAAGGTAAAAATTGCGAAAGGTCACTTCTTCGATACAACAATGAACTGTGCCAACGACGAGCCCATAGAAATTGCACGGAAGGACTACATTACTGCGAAGCGATCACCGCGAGGAAAACAAGATGAAGAAGCTCTTGTTATGCAGAAAATCCTATCAGCTGTCTGGTCTTGCAAAAATGTTGTGGAAAGCTACGGAAGTTTCGCGGTCGGCCCAACAACGTACAGTCTGTTTATGCCGCTCGCCATGTGTGATCTATGGGCATATATGATGCAATACACACCACAGTGGCCTGACAAGGCAGCAATTATTTTTGCCGCCCAGGGTCTTGCCAACGGGCTTAACTTTCTCCATAACGGTATAAAAACAACAGAAGGCGAGAGGCTTGTTTGCTACCACATGGACCTGAAGCCCAAGAATATTCTGGTATTCTCGGAGGAGGTAGCTGGAAAGGTTCATTATGTTTGGAAGATCAGTGACTTTGGCATGTCTCGTGTGAAAAGACTGAGAGTAGAGCAGTCAGGTGGGCGTAGCGAGAGAGAGGATAACTTCAACGACTCTTTTGTGCGACGTGAACAGCCGGAAGATCCGTCTGGAACCATGAATCGCCGAGATTATTCAACTTATCTTGCGCCAGAATCCATCTCTGCGAATCGGGACATGAAAGCAAGCAGTGATGTGTGGTCTCTTGGCTGTGTTATCAGCGTCTTGTTCGCATATCTGGAAAGTGGTGCTGATGGGGTGACAAATTATTCGGATAAAAGAGTAGAGTATCGCAAATCAGAAGGCTTCGATCGCTTCTTTGTTCGGGACGGGGGATTCAAACCTTATCAAGTCAATCCCGCGGTCAAAAAATTCCACGACGCTTTGATAGTCAAAGCAAGAACGCGAAATCCGAATGAAGGAACCGCGGTGCGACTTATCCTGGAGCATCTTGAGAACGATGTCCTCAAAGATCAATCGAAGAGATGCACTGTGTCGGTAATGGAAGACATGATCCGAGCAACATACATGCGGTATAAAAATCTGGAGCAACCACTGATGGAAAGGAAGAGTGTGGCAAGAAACCAGACTTGGATTACATCAACGCGTGACCGGATATCGACTGCTGTTGGATATAGGGCGACGAGCTGTCGCCCGGAGAGCAGAGTTGAGAAAATGTATCTGGACGACAATGAGCCTTTTAAAGGATGTGAAATCTCCCCAGACGGGCACATTGTTGCTTTTTGGACCGACTTCAAGATAACGATCTACACATCCAATACGCTACCGTTGGCAGATGCGGACGAGCCAACCCCAGTGGCAAAGTCAGCAGCAGTATTCACGATATCGGATTGTATTTGGAAGTCTGTCAGCATTACGGACAGATACCTGGTGGCATCTACATCGGGAGCAAACTTCGAGGTGGGCGATCCCGAGTCTCTATTCATTCATTCGATAGAAGCACAGTTTCTCACCTCCAAGTATAGTGTTACATTTTTGACTTCCAAAGAGGGCCCTCGGTCGGCGAAAGCCTTCGATATCCACATCGTCGGACCTTGCGATTTCTCCCAGAAATAAAACAGCTCGCCATCTCACCCGACAGCAAATCAATTGTTTTTATCTTGCGCGATCCAGATGACGAAAATAAGCCCGGGACGCTATACCGTGCTCCAGTCACATCTGTGGAGAGCTGTCAGCGCCAATGCGAACTAGACTGGCCTGCAGCAGATGCTATAAAGCTATTCTTTGCAACTAACGAAGATATATGGATCATCTTTCGACCGCACCTCACATCTCGTGACTGGGATCACAAAATTCCGATTTTTCATATCTCTCTTGAGTCAAAGCGGATAGATCCTCTGACAGTTGAACTGCAAGTAGGTGGCTATCATGAAGAGTTGCGGCAACACCGCAGTATACAATGACTAACCGTGGATGAAAGGGTTTCGATATTAATACTACGGTAGGGATATTTACGACCTTGGCACCCTTTAACAAGGTCAGTGATGTCTGCGCAGTTGTCACTCGCGAAGACACGCTTCATATCAGGAGCCTCGATCCAGTGGGCCCGATCCCCTCAGTGGCAGCGGATATCCATACTTATCGAGTACTGAAATTGATGATGGGCTGGGACGACAAACGACTATTTGCAGTTGGCAAAAAAGCCGCTAACCATAAGATGCTCTTGTTGGAAATGACAATGCCTACACCTAGGAGAAAGGAGACATTGATTAAAGAACTGGCCGAGCTCCCAGGTCTCTCAGATGACGATGAATTTACCGAAAGGTTGTCCTTCCAAGGGGACGAGAAATTCATTCTCATCGCCGCCCTGACGAATGACAACCGACGCGCTCTATATAGGTTCCGAATTCTTTAAGCCAGACAATGTTGACAGAGCTTCTGTTTGTGAAAAGAGAACAAAACAGAATGCTATCAAGCTTGAAAGTCCTGCAGCTCTGTGTCACATTTGCTTCCTCCTGTAACCCTTCGCATCATAGCATGCAAATTTTTCTGTGGGGTCGTAGGTAATCTTTCCGTGAGTCTAGGGATTGCGATGCTACCATGATGCCCCATCAAATAGTAGATGAGAAATGTAAGAGAGGTCAGCCCGGCCGAGACGGCGAAAAATATCCAGATCATAGAAGTGCCTATAATGGTTTTGTTTTCTTGATCCATCGAGAAGAAATTCATGCCAAAAACTGTCTGTCGTAATGTTAGCGGGGACGAGTTCTCGAGTTCTCCTTTCTTATTTTATAGATATTACTTACCCCTATGAAAGACGGTGGCAGGTATAGCAACGATAACCTAGTGATAAACACTGCTGACTTATTCAGCTGAAAGATCTGCTCATTCTGCTCACTCGTGACAACTTGATCACGAAGGAGCAGTGTGTCAGCCAACAGCCGAGCAACTGATTGGACTCGTTGCTGTAGGTGCACGGAGGCTCGCGAATAGGTGATGCATCGTCGGCGTTGGTTTTTCAGATCCTCCAGCTCGGATTGGGCACTTGGTATTGTGTTCGCTGAGCCGATAAGTGCGCTGAGCTCATCAAGAACATCTATGGAGGCGGCGAGTATAGTTGGCATCTGAAGGAAGTCACCTTCCAGCTTTGTCAACACATTGAGGTTATTGTACTTCAGGCTCAAAGGCTCGTCAATGAATGTCGCATATGTCGTCTTGGCGAGAGGTAGAAACTGACGTTCAAGTTCGAGAATTCGCCCTCTCCATGCCGGCAGGTACGTTGAGAACAAGACCGAGTGAAGCCAGAAAGGATTGGTGGCGATCCCTGAGCCATTGTCATGTAATAGCTCCTCTGCCTTGCGAAATACTTTTGATTTGGGAGTTGGATTGATTAGTACGAATGTGCTTTGCGATGTAGCATAATCGTATCTATGATAGAGCCCTGTTTGGCGAAGTGTCCAGACTTTGTTCTTCGGCTTGTACTCTGGATATCGTATTGTGTAGGATGTCTCTGTTTTTGGGGAAATTGTTAGAGACCTCATTTGGTGAAAAATGTGGATGCGATCACAAGTACCTATGCATGATCCACTATGAGACTCGGTATATGGCACACAGAAGGCTTCTTCCAAGTCAAGACTGGATTCGCTGCGGTCAAAGAAGGATAAAGGAAGCTGCCAAAATGCCGAATGAATACTATGCTTATGCACAATACTGTCAAGCATCGGCTTGGTTATCTGCAGTGGTTGCCAGGAGTTTTCCTGGCATATTGATCTATGGATCTTTTGTTAGAGGTGGATTGTGCCAAGCTGCAAGACACTAACATCAGACGACACGAATATGTGAGAGTTTCGGTGTTTTGGAAAAAATTGGCAAGATCCTCGGCCGTGAGGAACTCGTATTTTTGGCACGAGTTCAAGGGTGAATTCTCGGCATTTGGGCCAAGATCCAATACCTGGACAGGTCTGGTTATCTGGCCAAGGCAACAGCTTTCTATAGATGTCATAGTAAGATGTGAAGAGTAAGCTTTGAACAAACGAACCGAGGATTTCCAAAGATAAATTGGTTGATATATTTGTACCGACTAGAAAAAAGCCTTGGAATGTGACATTGAAAAGTTCAACACAAGGCGTTTCTGAGCGATTCGCCTTCTCCCTGCGCCTCATGCCACATACTGCGCCTTGGCCCCACGTGCAGCCCGTATTATCCCTTCACAACTGCCTCTTCCGCCCTATCATAACTCATTCCTCATCGCTGTCTGTCACTACTCGAGCCGGCCTGACCGAAAAGGTGTCAGTACGTTAAATCACTCGCAGTCAATGCATCTTACACGAGCTCGATCTGGGTTGTAAAGAAAAACGTGTCAGTCAAACTCTAGACAACTTTTGTGGTGGATCATCACGTACAGCCTCAACTCGCCTCGGCGCGATAAATGAATATTCGTCATTCTGCATCTGCTTGGGGTTAAGATCATCCCTTGAATAGCACAGGAACAGGAACAGGAACGAGCGGGTTTATGAGCACAAACCCTAATCTTGAAATCTTTCACATCAGGAAACAGTTCCCGCAACCGCGCCTCGAGCCTTTCCCGTTTGAGATAGTGGGTGGTAGTGTTCTGTCGCGTCTGTTCTTGCACAACTGCGCCCGGCATACTTGAATGATGAAATAATCTGGCTCGAACCCTTGCAAGCAAATATGGCGGACTCCTTGGGCACTCATAAACCAGCGCCTGCGGCTGAAATCAAAGCAAACACGAACACGTCACAAGTCTCCGGCACGAGACCAACGAGAGGGGAACAACCGTGTTATCTGTGGCGCAGTCTTATCACCCCAAAATACGAGATAAGCTGGTGCTAATGCAGCAGTAGTCTTAGAATGGAAATTTCAAACACCCATCCACCTATAGATGCGCCCGCCCCTTTAAAAAAGCAATGATGTACTTATTTCCCCGGGCGAAACCCAGGTGCACGCTCTAATTGGCGAGCCAGGGTTCTTGCAGAACGAATGTTAACCCCGGGGCCGTTCCTGGCTCTTCTTGAATGCACCCTGATTAAAACAATGCGGCTCATGTTTACCGACTGACTGGGTCTACGACAACTCTTCTTTACTGCCAACGAGACAAAGAGAGGCAGGGGTCCCACGTCGACCTGTTGAATTCACATCACTCATGTCGACACCACTTGGGCTAGATGACTGGTCAACGCAAAAAGAGGCAGTGTCCATACCTATCGAGCTCGCTGAGCAGACGTCCGGTCTTTTGATTCCCGAGTCTCATCCTCGAGAACTGCCAAATGCTCCAAGTGCTTCAACCCAGGAAACCCAGGAAACCTTCGCAAACTCAGAACACGATGGCGAATTCCAACGACGACCGGAGCAGACAATACTCGTGGGGCCACGAGAAGATAGGAAGGTGAGAAGAATGCTCAAAGGTATCCATCTATTCATGATCACAATCAACGCGACGCTTGGAATCGGTCTCTACTGGCGAGGTGGGCAGATTCTCGAGCTTGGGGGTCCTCTCGCGGTTGTCTTGTCATACTTTCTTGTTGGTTGCTTGGTATGGTCTGTCATGCAAGGCATAACCGAGATGTTGTGCATATGGCCGATTCCCGGCGCTCTTTCGGTGTACGTCAGCAAATTTGTTGATGAGGAATTGGGCATTGCCGTTGGGATCGCATACTGGTAAGGAACTGCCAGACTTCAGATATCCCTCATTTTCAATCAATCATGTCTTTGAAGGTCAGACCTCGGTTAATTATCGCTGCAGGTTTACATACTCTATGTCCTTTTCCACCCTCCTTGCAACTTTAGCGGCCGAACTCGACTATTGGCATGTCTTTAGCAGTCGCGGTGTGCATGCGGGGCTCGTTTTCACAGCAGTTCCTGTAGCATTGGTCACTGTCAATATGCTCAAGATCGAGGTAGTTTTATCACCCCTACTTCGCGAACGAGAACAGTCCTAACCGCCTTATCTAGTTTTATGGTCTTCTGGAAGTTATCACGGGTTCCTTGAAGCTTTTGTTCCTTCTAGTAATTTTTATTTTTTTGATTATCATCAACAGGGAAGGTGAGAACACAAAATTTCACTCGTTTCTATCTGAAGACCTATCCTACTCCGTGAAAGAAGTTTACTAATGCCTTTCAGCTAAAACGGATACTGGAGCCGCACTTGGTGTTGAATGTTCGTTTATCTTGCCAGGAGTATTACTTAGACTCGATCTCATACTAATCTCTATAGATTGGTCCCGGCCGATACATTACGATGCCACTGTCGCAAAAAACTGGCCAATCGCATTGTTGTAAGTCAACCTCAAGATCAGTCATACCCCTAACATACTGATATGAGACAATTACAGCATGTGCATATCAACGGCAGTTTTCTCATTCGTTGGAGTCGAAGTTGTGGCCGCGTCTGCCTTGGAAGCAAAATGGCCTCAGCACGACAAAGATGGTAAAAACACCAATAACCTCCTGGTCGGAAGTGGTGTCAAGTTTTCCGCCATCTACATTTCCGTTCTTGCAACAATTGCATACACCGTGAGCGGATTTCTCGTGAGTATCAATATTGAAGCTGCCGATTGCAAGCTGCCTCGGGTGACCTGGGATGACCACTATACTGGTTGCTCAGATCCCGGGAGTAATTCTGCCTTTGTTATGATCGCTGCAGGGACTAGCATCAAACACCTATCGACTCTTTTTAATTTTTTCCTTGTTTTCACCTGTATAACTTGCGCGGGCACTAATCTCTACATCTCTTCGCGGGCATTATTTGGCCTCACCAGCCAATTAAAGGGGGGAAAGGGCCAGAAATGGCATTTACGTGCCTTGGCAATGCTCGGGAAGACCGATCATCGGAAAGTTCCCAGGCGAGCCATCATTTTTTCCGCGGTGGCGTTTTGTTGGGTGCCATTTTTGCAGCTTATTAAAGGAAGTCAAGCCCAGTCTTCTATTCTCAAGGTAAACTTCCTCGCTTGGACTTGCCTGATGGCATTTGATTTGCTCAAATACTAATATACTCCTGTGTAGTTTATTGAAGTATTGAGTGAGATGGCATCCGTCGGTCTATTGATTGTTTGGGGATGTGTATCTCTCGCATTTATCCGATACCATGGCTGGTAAGTGCGACGAAAAAATTCAACAAAAGTAAAATACTAGTTATTGACCACTCATTAATCATCACCAGTACCAAAACCATCATCAAGCATCAAGAGTACCTTGACCAAGAGGATGTAGCTCAAGTTGAGCGCAATAGTCGCAATTATCCATACCGCAGCCACAATCAGCCACTATTAGCCTGGGCAGCCTTTATTGGCTGCTGTACTGTCCTCATGGTGATGAATATGGCGTCACTTTGGGGTGAATTCTATTTACTGCCCTTTCTATCGTCCTATTTAACAGTAAGACAAATAAAATGCCTTGCTTTCACAGTTTTGACGGCAGCTGATCAAATTGTTTTCTAGGTCCTGGTCTTTTTTGGGTTGTGGATCTTGCTCAAGGTGCTTTCCGGGGGGAAATGGTCCTTTGTTGACTTGTCACGTCCCCGAAGAGTGGCTGCGATCTTACGGGACTTGCATGAGATGCGAGCAGCAACAATGACTGACAAGACACCAGAGGACGAGCGAGGGGACACTCCCAGGTAGGTATGGGGGAAGAAACAATTGTACACTAATTGAAACATTTTGCCTTCCAAGGTTCAACTGAACTTTCGGCCCCTAAATCAGGCACCGAAGTTGAACAGCCAATCAACGGTCAACGGGGGAAAATGAAACATTTGAACCTCATCGCCACCCCAGATAAATTCTTGGACCCTGAATTTATTTTCAGCAACGCCTCCACTAAACTTTAGCCTCTCTCGGCCCGAACGACTATCATGATGACTTTCAATAGTAGGTCGGGTGTTGCTTGGGTTACACTTCTTGGGACTTGGCGAGCCTCTAAACGAGAAGTTGTTCGGCCACGTCGGGGGCCTATACCTAATCTAGTTTAATGGAAGCCACCGTCCAGTGGGCTGGTTGTTGTTATCCAGCGGTTTTATCACGCCATGGGTCTTTAATAAACGCTAAATTGCCCCGAACGTAGCATCAGTTATAGATCAACTAGGCTCCCGATTTTCTACTCTCAGGCTACTCTATTGGTAAGCTAAGCCATGCTAAGCCCCTGATTTTGAACGGAAACTAACCTCAAACCAGTATTTGGGCCTGAAAATCCCTGTTTCGTCGGATGATATCAAGTGGGGGTTAAGAATTAAGTGAGATTTGGATTTTTTTTAATAGAAAGCTCTCTTCCCTGAGCTTTTGAATTGAGTTGGTTCCAAGCTTCTCTTTTCTTTCATGCAATTCCTCACCTTCGGCCCCCATGCGACCATCAAAACCCACCCATTCAATGGCTCGCGCCTGCTTACTCTCCATTGCTTTGCTGTCGCCACTTGTCGCAACGGTTTCCCTGGCAGATTCTATTCCAAGTCGCACAATCGCGACCGATCACCATGATATCACCACCACTTTACGATCGCGGACCGAAGATCCTTTCCTACTTCGAATTATGCCATTAGGGGCATCCATCACGAATGGATATCGCTCAACACAGCATAATGGCTATCGCGATTATATTAGACAGCAGCTTCGCTATGAGGGCTGGGAAGTTGAGATGGTCGGGAGTTTAAGGAATGGTACGATGGTAGACAACGTGAGTGATCTTCCGCTTCAAAGAATCCGATAATAGAATCTCACGCGGTTCTTGCACACTATAGTTCAACGAGGGACATTTTGGCTTCAGAGTGGATCAGTTATCAAAAGAAGCCGTGAAAACTACCCCCCAACAGCCCAATTTGATCTTGATCAAGTCAGTCTATTCCTTCTCGGGCAAATGAAATGTTGAAAACTAATTTAACAACAGCGCTGGAACCGACGACGCATTGCAAAGATACAAAATTGGCACGGCCGGATCGCGAATGAATACTCTTTTAGACTTGCTCTTTGAGAAGGTTCCCAATACCACCATCATTCTCTCAACGCTACTGCCAAACAAAGATCAGCCATACTTGGTGGAGTTAATCAGTGACCAGTATCGCACCCTTGCTGCCCAGCGTCGCCACAAAGGCGACCGAGTCGTCTTGGCGGACATGAGCACTTTCATTCTTGTGGATGAATTGGCAGATGCAACGCATCCAGACGACGCCGGTTATAAGAGAATGGCTTCAGTATGGTGGGCCGCCATCGAGGACGCGTTGCAGGAGAATATGATCCAGAAATTCAGCTACACCATAACAAGTAAAGTGGAAAAGTCGTTGGACAACAGCACCAGCAATCCCAATTTGCCGTCATACACGGCTCCTGCACAACCCACCAATACAAGTAATGGAAATTCTCGATTTCACCAGGGGATATTGCTTGCCGTGGTGGCTCAGCTGATGTTGAGTAAGTTTCGAGATTCTTTGATTGCAATGTCGAACAAAGCTGACAGAGTTAGTGTTCCTTTTCCTTTGAGGCCAGCTAGCCCATTCTTCATTGAACATTTTGCATGCACGATGTATTAGATATTAGTTATACCCCCATATACTACTGTTTTCCCATGGCCTTTTCAAAGAAACTCAATTTCTAGGTCCTTTTTCATATCCTCGACCGGGCTTCATAGAAACTAACGAGGAAGAACAAGCAAAGAAATGAATATGGAATGTTGATTGTTCGAAGGAGGAAGGAAGAAGCGAGACACAGCCTGCTATCTAGAACAAAGAAGAAGCACTGACACAAACATGGTCATGTGATTCTAAGAGGGCTTGAGAAGCTTCTTGGAGAAATATCAAGTCTTAAAATAGACAATTCATTTGACACTGAATGAATCCGCTTCTTCTCAAAGGTTCCAAGGTTGTCTCCGTCTAATTTTCTCCTTATACATAATCTCATCGGAAGAGCCACTGCTCAGTTCAAGTCATCAACTTCCCCATCGTTCACTATTCAAGTGCCTTAAGATTCACCATACCTCTCCACTATCTTCAAAATGTCACCTGGCACACGATCAGGAAGTCCAGCTGCGGATGCTGGGCCTCTCTCAGCAAGAAAACGGGCTGCCCCTAGAGCAGCTAGTGGAAAGCGGAAGGCGACAGAGTCTACAGCCACGGCCAACCCAAAGAAAATAAAAGCTGAGCCCGGAAGCAAGAGAGCCGAGCCAAAGGAAAAACAGCCGGAGCGCGAGCCTGAAGTCGAATTAAAGGGATTTGATCACTCGTACGTCGGGGAATCCAAGCCTCCTGCTCCTCCAACAATGCCTGCGCGCAATGAACGGTGGCAGCACAAGGGCGCGGAGTCGCTCGACGATATTACAAAGCTCCCGCAGGGCTGGAATGAATCTGAGCCTGATCTTCATCCCGAGTGAGTTTCAATGTGCAGATAAAATACTCTTCGTACCTTATTAATTATCGTGTAGCGATTTGGATGCCAAAATTGAGAGGTGCAAGGAGAGAATTGAAGATAACATCATGGTCAAACGGTTCAAAAGGAAATTGGAGAGCTTGCTTGAAGAAAAGGCAGATAATGAGTAAGAAAGCCCCAGTTGTTGTCCTAACATCACAGAGAAGCTGATGTCTTTCCAGAGCGATCACTGCATCCGAGCCTGCGGGTCTGTCTTGGCCCACAATTCAACGTCTGCAAGTTCTCAAGATCACGCATGCCAATTTGACTAAGGATAACGATCCATACGTGATGCTCCCAAACGTGAATGGCATTATGGCAGCTTACCGGTCCGGAGATTTGGCATGGAACACCGGCCTTGTCACCTACTGGTGCGATGGTAAAAAACTTTGCGAACCTCGACCTTTGAAGTGGGAGGACTTTGAAAAGGCGAGAGAAGCCTTTCCTGGACCTGACCATAGTTTCTGGATTGAAGGTGTAAGAACAAATTGCCCATTTACTTTCAAGATCCTCAAAGCTAATGACACGCCAGATGCATGATCCCGGGATCGGACGTTCAATGCCAGCATACGCGCTAAATTCTCACCCACGGGCCATGATTCATGTACGTACACGGTACTATAACATATGCCTTCAAGGGTCATATGTTGCCCATCCAATACCTAGTGCACAGTTAACCTGGTTCGTTTAGTTGAAAGTCAATATGCACGTTGAGGGTGCCCCGGATTTCATAACCCTCGAGGTGAAGGAGGACACCGCAGCTTCTATGTTGGCCGTCTATGAAGATTTGCGTAAGCTTCTATGTCCTACAGAACCTAAACTTGAACTCCCAAGGCACAAGCTGCTTGGTATGTTTACCGCAACAACAGCCTCCAGCGTCCCTGTGACTTTGCCTATTGTCCGACTTGGTTGTCATGTAGTTTTGAAGGAACAGATGATTCCTACCAGTGAAAATACAAACTAAAATATCTGACTTGAAGGTTTAAATCAATTTGTCTTGCTGGCTTTCGGGGGGGAGGCGTTAGTATCTTATGTGACTGTCTTCTTTTGAGAATATTGAGTTCATTTCCATGTCAGCCTTTCAATGTTGGAATGCAAAATGTTCAAGTAAAACCCGAATATTTCAATCATCAATATTCTATGTAGATGAGCTTTTTATAGACTGGTAGTTTCCCTCTATCACATCAATATATTGGCAAGTGAGTAGCACAGATACAAATCTCATGCAGGTAGTCAAGAATGTGATAGGCCGATCATTACGCTACATTCAACCTCGCACAGTAACTGATCTGCATGTCACACCAAGCCCCTCCTTCAACTATTGACCCATCGTACAAGTCCAATCCATCACACAGCCCCTGGTCAATTGCCAAACACGCGAGACTCGGGACATCATATTTCCAATCTGACCCTGTGCAGCAACGTGCCCACGCATCCCAAGACACCACTATCAACCCACCATGCCGCCCTCACCACGTCAACGAAAACAACCCTCACCTCACATATCAAAACGATCATCGCCGTCGCCACCACCATACAACCTTAAACTCCCTCAAACCCTCTTGACCTTCCCCGAAGTCCCAGAATGGTACGCAGACAATCCACACATTCACTCAGGCTACCGGCCCATCTCAAAGTCCACCCAAAAATCCTTATCCAGCCTCTTCTACCTCCACAATGAATCAATCAACATCTACTCCCATCTCATTCCCGCAGTAGCATTCCTGCTTGCTGAGTATGCGCTCTACCGATATATCCAGATATGGTACCCGCATACCCCAATCAACGACCAGATCATCTTTGCTTTCTTCCTCCTAACAGCGACGGTCTGTCTTGGTTTCTCAGCAACTTTCCACACGCTAATGAACCATTCGGAGAGTATTTGTCATTCTTGGCTGCAGTTTGATTTCGTCGGGATTATCATCCTCACCCTGGGCGACTTTGTTTCGGGAATCAACATGGTTTTTTACTGTGAGTCGGATCTGAAGTTTATATACTGGGGCATGGTATGTACAGAGCAAGTCCATTATTTACGTCTACCTCCAGTGCTCAACTTGGAGATTTATATACAACAAGAACTTCTATACTAAACAGAAGGGGAAAATAGATCGGGATACTCGGCTTAGCTTCACTCATGGTACTAGTTAATCCCAAATTCCAAGGTCTCCGCTGGCGGACTTTTCGTGTGGGCACCTTCATGGCAATGGGCGTTTCGGCCATCGCGCCTCTTCTTCACGGAATTATGCTTTTCGGCTTTCGGCAGATGATGCGGCAATCTGGGGCTCCATATTATATTGTTGAGGTTTTGCTCCTTGGGCTCGGCGCTATCATTTACACGGTCAGTTCTGGACTATGGATTGTGGCGTTTGACAAAGATTAATTCAATAACAATTGACTGCTGATAGACACGTATACCGGAGTCTCTAAGTCCCGGAAAATTCGATATCCTCGGATCCTCTCATCAGATTTTTCATATTTTGGTAGTGATTGCTACTGTCTTGCATCTTGTTGGGGTCCTGTCGGCTTTTGATTATAACTACCACAATCGTGTTTGTGGAGAAACTTCTCGGGTAAAACTTGTTTAGACTTGAAACATTTGTTTTCTAGTATAGATTTAAGATGAAGAAAGATGAAAAGTTGTGTGAAAAGGATCGCAATATATGCATGCATTCATTCAGCGTGACACCGTGTCAGGCTTAGTCATAATGGAGGAATCGCGTCTATGTACGGCTCTAATGTATCTATACATGAGTCTATAAAAAAAAAAGGAAATATAAAAGCAAAAACAAAAACCAAGGAACCAAATGCTTAGACGCGCTCGGCGCCTTCAGAGTCATCCTGGTTCTCCTGGTGGATAGCATGGTCCTTAATGTCGAAGCGGAACTGCTCCTCCTCCTGGCGGAGAATCTCCTGGAGCTGCTTGTTGGCGCGCCAGACAGGCTTGCACTGGAACAGACGGTCAACCTTCTCCAGAGGGATACCGGAGGTCTCGGGGATGAGGAAGAAGGCGAAGAAGAAGGCGAGGAAGGAGAGCGCAGCGAAGAACATGTACACTCCGTATCCCATGGTCGCAAACATCTGCTCAGTGAAGCGGGAGACGAGGAAGTTGAAGAGCCAGTTGCTTGCGGTGGTGCAAGCCTGGGCCAGGGAACGGAAGTTGGGGTCGAAGAACTCGGAGTTGATGACCCAGGGGGTACCGTTCCAGGTGGGGGTGTAGACGGCGGTCCACAGGTAGAAGAAGAAGATAGCGGCAATACCACTGCCATCGAGGGAGGTGAGGTTTTTCTTGGTGGGCTCAACGATGTAAACATAGGCACCAATGATCCACATGCAGATGGAGCCGGTGACAGCACCAACAAGCAAAAGCTTACGACGACCGAACTGATCAACAAGGAAAAGCAACCAGATGACGGTCATGACAGCCTTGACAACACCGAAGATACCGGTCATGATGTCGACAGTGTCAGTTTGGACACCAAGAGACTATAGGAATTAAGTTAGTATTGCTGGTCAACGCGCCAAGGTGCCCGGGAAGAATTTTCTTTTTTGAAGAAACATACCTTGAAGATGGTGGGAGAGTAGTAGTTGATGGCATTGATACCAGATCCGTTTTGCCAGAAGAAGAGCATGCATCCCAAGAACAGACGGTAGCAGAGAAGAGGACGGGCGCGGAGAGCCTTGAATGGCTGCCAGAATCCCATACCAACAGTAGCCTTCTGCTCCTCGATAGCGGCATCGATAGCAGCAACCTCCTCAGTGATGTAGATATCGCTAGGAGTCAATTGGCGAATCCAGCAGAGGTTGTTCATGGCCTGTGCGCGGTGGTCGTGGAGGAACAGCCAGCGGGGGGATTCCCGCATCCAGATGGAGCCCAGGAAAAGCATACCAGAGGGAATCAACTGAATGGCGAAAGGAATAACCCACTGCTCATGGTCGGAAGGAAGATGTTGCTCAACACCATACTGAAAAGCCAGGTAGTTAGTAAACGTAGTTCTTTGTAGAAAAGAATTTTCCGGTCCGCGCAAGGGGGATTTCCGGAAGGGTAAGAAGTCCTTGACTCACGTTAATCCAGAAGCCCAGCATTCCACCGATTTGCCAGCCAAGCTCGTAGAGACCGACAAGACGACCACGAATGGCAGGAGGAGCCAACTCGGCAAGGTAGATAGGAACAATGTTAGAGGCGACACCGGTACCCAGACCGGACAAGACACGACCAGCGTATAAGCAACCCAAACCAGTCTTGCTGGAAGCGACAACCTGGAGAATGGCACCGACAATGAAGATTCCGGAGGCAATAGTCAAACACCATTTGCGGCCAATCCAGTGGCTGAGTCCGTATGTGGCAAGGGCACCAAAGAAGGCACCGGCGATGAAAAGGGAAACAATATTTTCGCTGACCAAGTCCTGTCCTGCAGAGCTCAGTTTATCGGTGCCGAATTCCTCCATGAAGGATGTGAGATCAATCGTAGTACCAATGAAGGCACTGGTGTAACCGATCATGTTGGAACCACATGATGCGATGGCGGCGAGAAGGTAGACACGCCAGTTGTAGACGGACGAAGGCGTCGGCCTGTCCTCATTAAGAGCGAGGATACCCATGGCTGTTTGTGTGTTGAACAGCTACTAGGGAATATTTTTTCGGAGGGTTGGGAAGGCGAAAAAATTTTCGACTCTGAGATGGATGAGAAGGAAGAGAAAGAATGGGACAGGAGGCAGGCTAAGTATTATCTCGTTCCCCAGTGGGTTGTGGGTACCAGAAGGAGAGTGGAAATCCTCTCACTGACCATCCCCACACCCTACGTCGCGTAGAACCCCATACTGCCCCAGAGGATGGGGTTCCAAAGTGAGGCTACGCGACCTGGGAGGCGTGCTAAAATTCCTCTGGGGTGGAGCACTGACCCGGGGTAGCGTTTTCCCCGGTGGAAACATTCAGCCGGGGCCAACGAATGGCCGTTGGTATATATCTAACATTTCCTAACTTCTTCCATGGTTTTGATGCCTTTAAACGGCCAGTTTTTGCCTTGTTAGTGGCCATTTCTTCTAGGATCCAATCAGATTTCCCATCTTGATGTCATTTACAAGGAATTCAACATTCGATTTTTTTTTATTCTGGTTTATGCTCTACCTTACATTTCAATCGTTAAAGATTTTAACCCAATGAAACTTTTTTTTTTGGAGAAAAACTTTGATCATGTTTAGTTTACCCGTTGCCCACAAAAGAATGGGGGTTTCTTGGAAAGTCTTGGAGTGGGAATTGGGGGGTGGTTGAGGGGACTTCCACCGGTGAACGTTCTGGTTCGCCACAATGTGCGTAATAGTGCATGGAAGAGGGTCGGGCACATCCTTTGTCCCCCGGATCAGACGGATTGGAAATTGTGGAGATCAAGAACCTTCTGTGGGAGGGGGATAGGGGAATTATGATTGTTACTAAAAGGGATCAGTAAAGTCCCGCTTCCTAATCGTAAACCCCGGGGGGATTTACAATATCAATTGGGGGGAAGAGAATGGGGTGCATAAAGATTCGTCACTTGGCGTAAACCAAGGTTTGGTCTCCACGGGGAGAACCCTTAACCATCTCAACACCGGATTTCCACCGAATCTTCTATGGAGCCAACAAAGATTGAAAAAGATTCAAAAGGATAAAATCCCACGCTAAACTTTATGAGGAGGGTCGATAAGGGGTCACGTGAGCTCCAGTCCACTCTCCCTGCCTCTCACTGACTCTCAACCTCTTACCCGCCACCCCATTGGCTCGACGATCGTGGAGAAGTCTTCTCCATACCAAACTCACTCGGCTCCAAACCTCGTGCATTTTTTCTCCAGAATGAATTCATACTTGACATCAAGCCGATCTCGGGTAGATGTTAGGCTCTGGGGTTTCCTTTAAGTTTCTGACCTTATCGTCATAGGTTGAAGGCCGTTAAAACACGCCCAACGCCACCCTGCGCGTAAAGCTTATATTCAATTTACAACTCGGTGAGAACGGGAGAATATAGAGCCAGGGAATCAAATTATCTCACCAGCTGTAAGCGGCATAGAAAGGTCAGCCACTGAAATGGATATCTGTTTTGTTCCGTCTTTTCTTTGTTCTTCCACCTGCATCGGCCCGCAGGGCAAACATAGCTATTGAGATTAGAGCCACACCGAGGTGAGCACCAAGTGGATCCCGGTGTGCCGGGCCCCGTATATTGTCATCACCGGTGAGGACACTTGGCTAGGTTGAATCTCTGTCCGTACCTGTAGCAGATTTTTTCTTTTCTCAGTCAGATGAAAAGCAGAATTTTCTCTTGGCTAGATCTATCCCATTTTTTTCTGAACACTCTAAATTGGCACCGGTGAGGTTCGCTTGAGGCGGCCCGAGAAGTAAGCTTACTTTGGAATCATAGGGTTGTAACACCTTATCAAGCCTGCCGTGGTGGTTGTGTATCGGTCGCCGGCCGGGATGCCGAAGCAGCCGTAAGCATCAGTCAGCATCAAACTTGGATTACGGCAACACCGGAATGGTTGGGAAATGTCCAAGTATCTTTGTTGATTAATCAATCAAATCAAATTCTTCCAAATCAAATACAATTCAGTACATAAACTCCAAGTCGAGATACACCTTCTTTCCAATATCAAAATTCGTAGGAAGCTTCGGAAATCCCAACAGAGACGATATCCCAACACATGAGGCGTCCTGCCAAGGCCAACCAGTTGACTGCTGTAGCAGACCTTGCTTCCAATGTCCATCAACATCAAATGAATAGAACATTGAAACCTTAGTAGCTGTGACCAACCTGGCGATACATGTAATTCTACCTAAGTACCTACTACGTATACCTTAAGCGCCAGGCCTGCACAGCACTTGAACATCCTCCCATATATTATGTATACAGTATCCAGTCCTGTTCAGATGGTTATTTCCAATTTGCATGTGTTCGAAGTGCACATGTGCATGCACATGTATGTGTGGACAACATTTGAACTGGGTGTGTATACCAAGAAGGTTGAATGTTGAACCCTCAAGCACTTAAGCGTTTGACTGCTTCTAACATTCAATGTTCAAAGATTGGAAGCGCCGGGCTCGAGTCCTCAAGTTCGAGGTGTCGGGATATATATCCATTCAAAGATGTCTGTAGCTGGAAGTATGCAAAATATGTATATCAATCAACATTGAATTGTATGTACCTACCTACATACATGGCTGGTATCAATTGAATTGATATATATTGATGTATTTCACATGTGCAAAAGGTCAACTATATTCAAGGTTCAAACTTTCAAATGAATGCACAATGTTCGCATGGGCATCAATTGGTCAATTAATGTGTCCAGATGCCAACACTGTTTAGCAGAGGTGCATCGACATGTATGTAACTACCTGCTAGTATGTACTAGTATACACTCCAGGGTTCAATCAATATTTGTGTTCTACCAGAATGCCTGTCCTGGGTAGGTAGTTGGTAGAAATGGACCAGTTGACCCAGTAGATTACATCCAGACCGAACAAATAGATATATCTAGTTCAATGTTCAAGTATTCTTCTTATGTACGGAGTAGGTATGTTACGCACCACTGAGGTATAGTGGACCTCAGTTGAGGTTGCCCATCCTGCACATGTGGTGGGCGGATGTACTTACATAGATGAGTATAGGCAGTATGTTAATTTTGAACCTTAGAAGCACCCACCTGGGCACCTGGAAGGTCCAACGTTTGAAGGTTCAAATGTTGGACCATCATTTAAACGTTGCTACAATGTATGCACTTAAGTAGTTTCTTGTAGTAGGTATTTCCGTGTATTCTACATTGGTACTTAGTATGCATGATGGATGGCGGTGCATACGCTTCGGTATAACATTGCTGTCCAGGAGGATGCTGCGTATAGATGTCACGAGTGCAATATTTACAGGCTGCGTTACAATATTGAATGGAAGTACATCTAGCTATCATTCATGAGATGAAGGTTTTTGGGCACCAGCAGTACCGGCTAGAAGAAGACCCGACAATCTATTGAGTTTGATGGCGCGTCACTTTGATGCCCTACTCGCGACGATCGTCGACTACGAGACAAATATTTTGCCTTACCTCAAACTTTAGTGGAAGGCAAGAGCTGGAGAAGGAGCCCATGACCTCACCAAAGACCCGGAGTAGACCTGACAACCCGAGAATTCCCTTGACGAACATGACTCGGGTGCCAAACTGGAGAGAGAGAGAGAGAGAGAGAGCGCCAGTCTGCAGCCTACTCCGTAGAAACCATCGCAATCGTCAACATTGACATGTGGGGAAAGGCCTCGTGGAGGGTGGAACTCAGGCGGCGAGTGTTTGCGACCAGGGTCCAAATGATGGTTCATGTGTCTTTGTGACTCGGTTCGTAGGTACAAGAAAGGCAGGTTCCGGGCCAAGAAATCCGACATGACTTCATCGACCCGAGACGCGGTGTGGAGTTGGGTCAACAAGACCGGGTGTTGCCATACCCGAGCTGGAAGAGCACTATGAGCAACGGTGGCGCATGGTTGATAGCCGAGGTACCTGTCACCCCTGCTCTAACAAACGATAGTCTCGGAAAAGTGCCGTAGGTTCATTAAGGGGGTGAATGACGAGTGGGGAACGAGTCCGGGGGTTGGGATCGCGGAGCTGCTGCTGAGCGTCAAGACGGTCGTCGCAGACATTACGGTCTCGGAGGAGGCGCTAGCGAGGAAAAGGGGGAATCCGACCGAGGAAAGTGTATCGAATCTGAGTATATCTGGGACCGCATTTGAGTAGACGTTGTGGTTAGCTGTAGGTTGGAGTTGTATGTTGTATGTTGTATGATGCAAATGCTGCTGTTATCCGTACCTGAATCTCAGAATCTCTCCCCACAATCACGTGTAGAAGGCCGACCGCCAACCACAACATTCGCTCCAAACATCATCAACAACCATTGACAAGAGTCAGATCATTGTTGAATTGGCCGCAAGAGCTTTATATGACAAAATCCTCTCCAAATAATGATTACAACACTAGCGGGACAGTCAAAACCCAGACGCCTTGATGTTTGATGAGAGGTGCCTTGCACCTTTGTATCAGTAGATCATACCAACCGGAAGACTGATAAGTGGTTCGTGGACTGCCCTTTGTGTGCAGACAAGTAGCTGATGTTGATCCAGCACCTATAAATACCACACAGAAAACCGGGAACCACTACAGCCCTTTATGGAGACTCAGGCTTCACCCGTGGCCATCCAACGAAGCATCTGGAATGGGAGGATACCATTGGAGATCGTTCTTGCGCCTTCTGAGAGCCGAGTCTATGACCAGACTGATCCATACCTTGTATGTATTGCTGCAGTACTCTTAACCTCTCTCTCTATGCTGTATTAACGGATGATATCCAGATCTCCTGCCATCGCATTTCATACCTCCCCTCGCTGCTACCAAGACTTCGAGCATTCTTCTCGACGTCGTTGATAGAGCCCGACTCTCAACACCACGAAGGCTGGTTCGCTTTTGAAGGCGTGCCTCTGAAATGGCACTATCCTATCGGCCTATTGTTTGACCTCTATGCTGGTGCAGACCCTGCCAGCAGGAGTAACAGTCCAAACCTCGATGGACAAGAGAATGAATCACCGCTCCCATGGCGCCTGTCCGTCCATTTCAGTGACTGGCCCGTCGAAGACCTCGTCCGTCTCGATACAGATGGTATGGTCATGAACGACGCGTTCATTAACAGCGTCAAAGAAGCAGATTTTATGCGCAACGGAACTGCGAAAGGTATCATGAGTCTTTCTAAGGATGACTCTTCCGGCCTGTGGAAGGCTGTTGAGAATGGTAAGTATCCCAAAGTCGCAACGAAGACCTATTGTTGACTTTGAACTATTCACAGTGGACCTTCCTTCCTACCAGCGAATCTCAAATATCCTTATGCCTCCGTTATCGCAACCATTCCGCAACGTACCTATCCGCATCTTCCTCCCACTTCCGCCCGATGAGGATTCTCCGCTGCTCAAAGTAGTGCAGACACAACTCCCTCCCTCTATACCAACGTCGAGCATCCAGGCTAGTCAAATTATGAATTCTCGGGCTAGTCCGAGTACACAGCCCCAGACGGTCGGGGGTGTATTACATACGTTGCTTCCAAACCTGTTTCCCAGCCGACGAATTCCAGTTCTTGCGAAACCTGTGTTACATGGGGCGGTACTTCCTATGTCTGCACCCATTGAAGAAGTGGTGAGGTGCTCTGCGTACGGGGATGGCTGGGCATATGTCGTTGTGAGAATGATGGGCTAGAGTTACGTCCGCTATAATCATAACTTATAACCCATCAAATAACGAATGCTCTGTTCTATTTCGTTTCGCGTCCGAATCCTTTTACTGGTAGATAGGCTGGTTCGGGGGAGAGAAATAATTTGCAATTGACCTAGACTACTTAAAACAAGATAACACTTATTAATGGGGAATATCGTAACTTGATCGCTTCACGCTAATATGATCTCTCAGCTCACCAGATCAAAAAACGAGCCAGAGAGGCGGGTATCCATCGGTGTTAAATGAAAAAAAAAATAGACCCAAACCATATCCTCTACACGTCTATGACGGCTGGAGCTTCACTTCCCACCAGCGTAGATTCACCAGTGACACCCGACTCAGCGACATCCGAATCCTCATCTTCAAAAACAGTCGTTGCACTGTCTCTTCCACTCCGTTGGGGAACAGGGCGCAGCTGCCCATCCTCATCGAACCACAGCGATCCAAATGGATTCTTCTTGGCAAGATCGAGAGCAGTGATCGGGGTTTCCTTATAAAAGTCCTCGGGGTTTTCTTCAATGTCTCCCTTGACTGGGCCAGGCTTTTCAGTGGGGATTTCAAGAGCCAGATCGGCACCAGAATCGAGTAATATGCGGAATATTGGCTCACGTCCACGTTCAGCAGCGAGGTGAAGGGGGGTCTTACCATCACCGCTTGTAGGGTTCAAGTCTGCGCCGTGCTGAACTAGATACTCAACAAGAGATGCACGTGGAACGGGTGACTTCGTTGCGAGATGGAGAGGGGTCTCAGCAGCGGCTGAGGCTGTTAACTCATTTATCGAGGCGCCGTTGGAGAGCAACAGTTGAATATATTCAGCAGTGCGGTCAGATGAAATTTCTGGAGCCCCTGTTCCCGTATAAACAGTTTGGTGGAGCGGAGTCCAGCCTTGGAAAGACACTGCTTTCACATCGAGACCTTCGTCTAGTGCCATTTTCAGAATATCGAGACAGTTCTGGTTGGACGGTGGGGTGAGGTGGAGGATGGTTTCACCCTTTGCTGTTTGGACGTCGACTTTGGCCCCACGATCAAGTAACAACCGGAACATAATTTTGTTTCCGTTCATAGCAGCACACTGGAGAGGCGTATATCCCTGAGATGTGCGAGCTTCAAGATTTGCGCCTTGATTCAGAAGTTTGGTAATAACTCCCGTGTGAACACTATAACGAGCTTGTTCATGGAGCAAAGTCTCCCCTTGCTTATTCCAGACGTTGATATCAGCCCCGCCAATGAGGAGAAGATCAAAAGCAATCCAATGCCCTTGCCATGCAGCGTATTGTAGGGCAGTAGGGCCGGAAAGTGACCTCGCCTCTATTTGCGCACAGTGCTGGAGAAGTAGAGAAATTGCCTCGCAGTTATCCATGTTGGCCGCCAATTGCAGTGGAGTGTAGCCTTCGTCATTCGCGATGTCAATAGCGGCTCCCTTTTCCAGGAGGAACAAAATAATTCTTGGCCTTCGACATTGCACGGCGATATGAAGGGCAGTGTTTCCATTGCTCGGATTCTGTAAATCCAAGTCCACCTTGTGCTTAACCAGAAGTGGAACGGTAGATTCGTCGGTTGCAGTCCCCACAGCAGAATGAAGGCTCGAATCACCCTTGTTGTCTACCTTGTGAAAGTCGACATGCTCGGCAAACAATAACTTCATGCATTTGCGGTGACCTTTTATAGATGCGATGTGTAAAGGGGTCTGACCATAGGCGTTGGTTGCATTGACACTGCCTCCTTTCTCAAGCAAGAACTCCACCATTTCGTCATTGCCCTGGTAAACAGCGCAGTGCAGTGGTGTCACACCCAAGGCGTTCTCTTGAGCATTCACATTTGCACCCTGCTCCAGCAGCCGCTTGGCTTTTCCGGGAACCCCAAAGAATGCCAGATAATGCAGGCCAGTCCAGTCATTAGGATATTTTCCCAGGCCTAGTTCAGATGGCATGCCATGTGCCCTTCCGCTTTCATAATCCAATGGTGGTCTTCTCCAAAGAAGCTTGTTGAGGAAAGTTTTGATCAGTACCTGGAAGGTCTGCTCATCCTCATCTACTTCTCGAGCATGTAGACCCCAATAAGTCGCAGCATAATTGATAAGACCTTTGTTCATGATGCGAGATGGACCCATATCACTATGATAACAATCATCCACTACTTCATCAGGACTGATTGCTGACAAGCAAGCCTCTGTAATGTCCTTCTGTGCTGCTGGGAAAAAGACTCTGGCCGCAGAGCCCTCGAGGTATTCCATTGCTGTTCGATGAACGAATCGAACACTCCCAGATACCGCATCAACTGTCAAGAGTCCAGCGCTCTGGATTTGCAGGAAATGCTCGAATGTCATTGAATCTGGCTTTGCAGTGGTATCGTCATCAACGGCACTCCGAAGTTCAGTTACTGAGAGTGCCCTGAAGGCATAAAGAACCCAGTAAACGTAACGGGTTGCAGATGCGCTATGACTGACGACTTGTTTCATTGATTCCCCATATGCCTCTGCAAGATTTTCAGGAAGATTAGTGAGCGCTTTTTCAAGCAGACTTCGATCATTATACTGCGATAAGAGATCAAGGTGTATTTTTGCCAGTAGAAATCTGTGTTCAAACTGTTAGCATGACGTTATCGTACCGGGAATCTTGGAAACAAACTCACATTCCATGAGACTTTTCTACCACGGAATGGAGAATTTCATCCTCAATCTTGAGATCTGGATTCTTTTCTCCAACGATCTTGCGGAGGCTACTATCGGACTTAATGCGCCCGAGAGCGTAGAGTCCAACATCCTCAGGTGGTGCCAAAACACTCACGTATCCAGAGTTATCAAGTGGCTTTGCGCCACTCATTTCTCGCAGTGTAACAAGAAGTTGGGTGTGCTGTGGGAGCTTGTGCATTCGGCCTAAGATACGATCTTTATCCGGAAATGTATCAAGCCCATCGAGCACCAAAATTACTTTGGAGAACCGATTGATTTCGGCTCGGATGGCGTTTTGATATGCCTTGGAGGAGGCACTTCCCGATCTCATCGCTTCTGAGTGGTATAGCGAGGATGTCGCATAGGACAGACTGCGTTTTCGGAACACCAGCTGAGCAAGAATGGTCTTCAAGAGGTCTATGGATGGACCCTCTTTCCCACTCTCCCCCTGGCAGAATACAAAGACCGTTGCAACATCAGGCGAAGTGAAGGTCTTCTGTAGGAAGTCGATGATCGTGGATCTTGGATAATGTTAGCTTGTTGCCATGCAAAAATGGCCAGTATGCCAGAATAGTCTACTCACGATAAGAATGTTTTCCCCGCACCCGCTATAATGACAACTCAGTATAAATTGACAATACATCAAGGGGTCCTTGCAGACTCACGAGGTCCAATACAATACAGCGTTCTGAAGCCTCCTATCAGCCACTGTCTGAAGTTCAAATTTTCAAAAATCCACGAGCATGATCCCTGTTGTCGCCGATTGCAGAGATCTGCAAGTGTGATGTACTGTTTGGAGGATAGTCGACTCGTTAGACCAAGGGTCTCATCTTCGAACTGCTGGTCGTTTTTGAGGCCGCCTAGGAATGTATGATTAGATCACAAGAACCAAACGCATAATTGAACAGATAAAGAAGAGGGGCTTACTAGTTTCCACATCACGATGTCGTTTTAAATCTCCTCGAATTTGCTTATCCAATATTGTTCGCTCCCTGAGTATATTTGTTAGGCCAACGGATGAAAATGGGGTGATATTTGCCTCAAAGAAATCTTACTCGGAATCGGGCTGCATAGAAAGAAGGAACATAATTTTGTATTGCTCCAATCGGGGAATATAGGTTTTATCCAAGAGATGTTTTCTGAAGTAGAAGGGGCTTACGCCTCCGGGTTGGAAGTAGAGCTCAAGAGACTTCATGCTCAACCTGAACCACGAGAGAAGCTCGCTGAGCGACCGGAGGCGACCGACGGCAACGAACCATTTCTCCTCGGCCCAACTGATTTCATCTTTTATGCGATATAGAAGGTCTAATAAGTCTGTGAGGAGGGATAGCGATCGAATGGAAGCATCATGTGAGTCTCGTCCGGTATTCAAACAGCGCATGGCAACTCGCGTGGATTGGGCGGCCTGAACCAGGCTATCACGAACTGCAGACACATTCACCATGATGTCTAGCGACTATAGACATCGATGCGAGTCAGGCAATAGGCAAAGAAGACGGTCGCCCCAAAGATGATGATAGAGAAAAGAATCAGGAGATCGAAACTCAATAATACTCCAAGCTCGGCACTAGTCCATGCTTACTCAATAAATCTCCAGTGTTATCGTGACTGTTACCAACGTCCGCCCACACAGTGCGTGCGCCTGCGCGGCTCGAGGGGCAAGGCGTATTCGGTAGGGTGATCCTGTTCCTTAACCAGCCTCCACTAATTTTTTTCTTCCAACCCGACGGAAACGAGGGGAGATGAGGGGGCGGCTAGGTCTGTGTGGTCAACACGTCGACCCCGGACGGTTGACAGCGCCGGCATTGGATTGGCCAGTAACCAGTTACATCAAGGTGCTCAACCAACAGGTGGCTTACTATCACGCCAATCTTCGTCCGCTAAGAGACTCTGGCATAACACGCTGCGGTTCACAGCGCTAAGCAGAAATCGGCCACGGACACCAGACCAACAATTCCTTAGGGCGAGTCCTCTTTGGTTAAGAGGAGCTGTGGATCTGTGGATCCTGTGCACCGTGATCACCCCCGCTATGTACCGTGAGGAGCACGGACCAAGTATTGCACCAGTGCCCGTTCACGATTTAGCGCCCATGGGAAATCGCGCATTTAGTGATCACCAATGACAGCCACAATCACGTAGGAAAAATGGATAGGCCTTGAAAATCCGTGATGCGAGTCACAGTAGTTGAAACGAGCCGTACAGATCCTTTTGCGGTGAGGCATCTTGCATATGAAATTAATTAGCTACAGAGTCGATCCATGAACGTGAGGGGGCTGATTAGCACTAAGAAACAGCTGCCCAAAATTTCAAGGTTATTATCTTGGTTTTGGTGAGAAGGTTGATTTGGGAATTTTGTCTTTGAATGTGGATTTGGTACTCAGGTAAATTAGGGAGAATATCTACACTGTGACTAAATTACTGGAATGTCAGGAGGCAATTTAAATGAGAACCAGCTCTGAATTGGTATTTTGAACACTATAGTGCTAGGTGTATATGTTGTTAAACCGCGAGGTTTGAATCTAGCTCCGGATAGCCAGGCTTATAGCCAACTCACTAGTTTTATAAACAAAAGCGCCTTGGGGCTTCCAGTGCCACCAATGATGAAACAGAGAAGGAAAGTCGTAAGCTCGTAGGGTGTATGCTAAAAGCGGTAATAAAAAATAGGGAACACATGAGAGGGTATATTGTGCAAGCATAAGATGAGGGAAAGAGAGTAAGAAAATCATATAAGTGGTGTGTCGTCTCATGTGTGGAGCGCAAAGTCTTTAAATGACATTGCCGTTCATATTCATGGAGGCACCGATTTCGCGGCCGCGGCGAAGAGCTTTGGCCAGCATAACCTCGCGCATCCATGTAATGCGATCATAGCCGTTGGGAACGGCAAAGTGATGCGACTTGAGACCGTTGCTGAATAGCGTCTTCCTCTCAACTGCAGTCATGCTCGTGGGCGATGGAATCAGCGAAAAGGCAAAGGCTGTTCCTCCCCGAGTGTCATCCGTACGCTTCAAGATAGTCCTCTTGAATGCGGCGGTCAATTTGGAACTGGAGGCAAGGGATGAACAAGCCACGGCATAATCGTCGACATCAATGTGCTCGAGAGCCTTCCAGTTATTTTGGGCATCATGCTCAGTGGTGAACATGCTAAGCTGCGTGCCTCGTAGAGCAAATACGTGCTCATTCCACTCGTGGCGGAAAAGACGAGTTGTCTTGCGCTTCTTCATCCATCCGCTGTGGATGATTTCATCGCTGGGTTCACCTGTTGGGCTAAATGGGTGGTATCGGTAGTTGCCAGCACGTGGAGTTCGCTCCAGATCCTCTGGAGTCTCAATGGGCGACATCATGCGTCCCTCATCGAGACGGCGCATATAGGGTTGGGACATCTTGCGTCTATGATTATCTTTGGTGGACCCAGGTCGTTCGATTGGATCAGCTCCTCTGTGAGGCATATAGTTTCCAAACCGCATATCTGGAGGTACCGATTGTGAAAAGCGGCGCTCAACAGGTCCGGATGGAATTGCAGTCATAGGAACATCCACCTCGGAAAATGGAGAAGTCAGTCCATAGTGGGAATCCTGGCGATAATAATCGGACGGTGAGAAGATGGCTGTGTAGGGAGTTGGGACCTGTGCAGTGGTGGGCGGCTGAAAGTTTTCCTTTTTCCGGAGTACAGAAGGGGTAATGGTGCGTTGGCCAGAGAGAGCGCCAGCGCTTCTCGGAGATAGACCATGACTGCTCGGAATACGAAGTCTGGGGAGGCTGCGAAGTTGCTCGGCAAGAGAGCCAGGAGAGTCGGCATCGGGAGACGGGAAAACATCGATTGGGGGAGTTGCGGGGTCGGTAACTGGTTGTAATCGGCTCAGGCGTTGGAAATTCAAGAAGTTACGCACGTTCTCTTGGGGATCTCGAGACTCGACGTCATCGAGTTGTTCTTCAGAAATTGGCATTTCAGACACATGTTTTGGGCCAAGAGCATGAGAGGATGCGACTATTGAGGGAGTGACTTCCGATTTTGGAGATTTTACCATGTTTCGAGAACATGATGGGCTTCCAGTGTCTCCAGCTGTGACTATGGGATCCTCCATAGTTTCAGAAGAAGCATCTTGAGGAAAGCGGGTGACTCGAGCGTGCTGCTTTTGCCATTTGCGGCACTCTTCACCTTTCGAGCATCTATGGACCTTAGGCAACAATTGCTCAATCCCAACAATGGATACTGAATCATTGGGACCAATAGCTCCTGCGCGGCGACGTCGCCGTTGACGGCGAGAGGGAAATTCGTCGTTTTCTGTTTGAGGCGAGGTCGCCTCACAGGCGACTGGAGTCGCATTGCAGCTTCTAGAACCAACTGGAGTCGCATTGCAGCTTCTAGCGCCGACTTCTGCTGTCATGGAATTAGGGGTTGGCTCCCGTGAAACGGGCTCAGAACCAAGACTTGGATTTGAAACATTCGAATAAGTGCCGTTGCGGAGGCTCCGAATAGAGGCCATCAACTGATGGCGCTTCCCAAATGACTGAATGTCAAGCTCTTTTAGGTCTTGCTGCTCAAGTTCCAATAAAATTGCACCCGTGATGTCATTGATGAAAAATTTCTCAATAACACCATCATCAAAATTCATCTTCTGTAACCAACTGACAACAGTTTGAGGATTCCAGTTCACCACTTGTGATCCATCGGGTTCTGCTGGGTCTTCGAGCACGGTTTGAAGCGGAGTTCTGGGATTTGCAACACAAGGAACAGGCGTGTCCCTTCGCCCAGGCTCAAAGGTTTGCCCATGTTCAAAAATTGGCGCAGGTTCAAAGCTTCGGCCAGGCTCGTAGGTGGATGTGGGGATATTGTAAGGAATGACATCGCTGTCTGCATCCGACTCATCACCGAAAATCAAATCGATCTCAACTGTAGACTTGATTTCCATAGATCCATTTGACAAGCGAAAAAGATGAGGTCCCTCTGGACCTGATATTGGGTTGTCATCGATGTGGAAGTGAAAGGAGGTAAGCCCGGTAGAACCAGGGGTTTTGACATCATCAGGAGTTGAGGCGGTTGTCACACTTGAGGTGTCGAGCTACACAAAATTTGATCCCAGATATCAGTCCCTGTTGCACGATTCGTTTTGGGATTGTGGAGCTCCTAGATAGGTACATACCGAGAGAACACTACGTGAAGAGTCATCCATAGAATCAGGCTGAGAGTCCGAGTCAATGTCTGTATCCAATATCTCTGTCGATACTGATGGCGGGCTCATTGGACGAATGGGCTTTGAGGATGCAAATGTTCCGTTGACCTTCGATCGGAGGTATTTGAGTGCAGTGCGGTGATCACGTTGACCAGCCTATTGACTCAGTTAGGGAGGAAGGCATCAAAGCGGGGAAAAAGTATTAGCGTACCATTTTGAGCATGATAATTTGTTTGTGAGTATAGTCAGGGTGTTATTTCTCCCCAAGGGGCGATTTGCATGCAAAGTTCTAGGCTCTGGCAATGGGCGCTAAGAGCGAAGTACTTTGATGCCTGGAAGTAATAAGTGAGGCTCTCAATAGATTGCAGTTGTCGTCTGCGGTGTGATAAATTGTTAGATAGTATATCAAATACTATATTTGTAAAGTTATATAATCAAACGATTGAAGTACGGTATAGATTTGAATTGGGGTGGGCCCTGGATATAAGTAAGAGCAGAGTTCACAAAACCCGGTGTTTCCAAAAAAAGCACACGTTCAAAAATAACCTAGAAGAGGAGCTCAGCCAGTGGGAACGATGTGACGGATTGAGTATGGCTTTGCATGGGGTGACTTGCGACTAGGGATGCTAGGGAACGGTTGGAAAAAAGCTGTCCCCAGGCCTGGCAAGCGTTGTGATTGGCTGCCTGAGAAAAGCTCGGGCTTTCCTAAAGAGGGGCTCTCTTCTTTCGTTGGACAGAGATTAAAGCTAAGGGCACGGATCCAAAATTATCATGCGTGGGATGATCCTGCGAGAGGGGGTGAAAAGACTAGATGTGAGGAGTGTGGAAATGACGCTACTGCAGTGATGGCCGTTCGGCACGGATCGATAGGCTCTGAAGACTTGACTAGAAAGTCCCCACTTGACATTTTGGAAGTTATGACCAATTACATCTAAGCTCTTGTCACATTAGCGCCAGGCAGCTGGCCGGTTGCTGATCACACACGAGAAGAAGAAAAAAATAGACATAATTTATCAAAAACGGGCAAACTAATTTTCGATAAATTTAGAACAAAATTGAAATTAGCCTTCATTCCTGAGTACATGCGTCACGATGTTTCCAGAAATAGAGAAATTGAGGAGGATTAGTGCCGACCAACAATCCAAATCTTAGGCGGTTCAATGCCAGCGCGTGGAATGAGTTGTTGGTGATTAATGCGTTAGCGGTGCATCAAATCTACGCTACGCATTTTTCGGGTGTCTCAATTCTCGCCATGTTGCGAAAGTTCAAGAATAATCCTGCGATGCACGCACGGTTCCTTGAATTTGTTAATTGTTACCGCGGGAACTCTGGCACGGAAGGACGCCCCCGCCATATTGCGAAGTGGACTGGTCATAGTTTACAATTCGGATTTTCAACGCCGTCTCACCGCAGATTCGCTTAGTTACTTGGTTCTTAGACTAGTCCATGTTCCCTCAGACCTGCATACATTATGGAGTACCCGGAGAAAAAAAAACGTGCTACGACACGTGCTCATTGGGCACTTTTTTCTTTTCTGGAAAATTCTTGTTGGGCATGATTCCTCCAGGGTTATCTCGAACGAAAACCCCGAGGTCGTATACACGGACTAATCGATACATTGTAGGAAAAATATTTTACCAATGATATATCTGTTGAGTGTTAAGTTCCAACATTGAAGTCATTTTCGCATGGAAACTTGGAAAACCCCCGGCGTAGGATATAGGTTAGAATCGAATGTGATATTCTCCAACATGAAGATGGAGACGGGACTGGATTTTCAAATATGTATCATTACTTTGATCTTGGAATGTTGAACTTTGAAATGTCGTGTACATAATATTGATTAGGCTTGTGTTACCTACTCAAGGCACTTAATAGTTACATACCGACCGTACCACCTAATGTTGAGCCTGCCGACTTAACAAAATGTTGAGATGGATCGATCCATGGTCATTGGAATACCTAGTATATGAGACTAATTTTTTCTGGATGTAATTTCAATTCGTTGCCTTACTCCAATCCTAAAGAAGCTCAGGCATGACGAACACATATCATTTAGAAGTTTGGAGGTGGACATTCGGTCTGACGGTATCATCAACATTTGAATTGATTGATTTCTGTAACATCTATATCTGGATTGGATATCTTAGCCCCTACTGCAATTATGAGCGGCACGCACATTGCTCCGATCGCAATTCAACTGGAAACGAGGAAGAAGTCAGGTCAGATCAGATGACGAGGTCCAAAATAGCCTTGAAATCTCTTTTACCAACAATGTGATGTAACATTTCAATGGGCGATTATGCAACAGGTCAAACCTCTCCTTCCAGACGGGCATATTTGATACTAATTATGGAATATTTTCTCAAAATAGCACTTATTAACTACAATAGTCCGAATACGGATCGATATAGGGTTAATTTACTAGCTTTTCTTTTCCTAAGTGAGGGATTTGCGATTAGTTATTAATAGCAATTCAACCTTAGATGGGATTGATTTATGGATCTTATTGAGTGATTATGGAATAGTTAGTCCATACATAATGCAATTATGGCTAGTTTGGCGGTTAATTGTTGCTAATTAAGGGGTTATCGTCCGTAAACGTTGCAGTGCAACCAAGGTCAAGGCTTTTCCCCCGCTCCGTACTAGGGGTGTTGGTTGGCCGTGGAGCTCCCGTTCTGCACGACCATGGATCCGAACCGCTGAGGGCTTGAGGGGAGTACACCAATCATATCCCTGAAGTTGAAGCTTGGCATGCATCGGCTGCCGCCCCGTCACGATCTAATCCCACCATATGTGCTTCTGATCACCAACTGTGACCAACAATCTGGTGCAAAGCGACTGGTCCCAGCACGAACAACTTGGCGGTCTACATCAAATCTCATTTAACGGTTTCTTCCCTACAGGTCAATAGTGTCTGGTGTCTTTGAAATCGCTTTCTTTAGAATGTTCATGTAGAAGTTGGGGAGATACAAAAATGTTCTAGTGGTGTTCGCGGGGCCGATCAGATAGTCAAATGGCTGGAGAAATGTGGATCCCGCGCACAGACAATGTGATAGCAAAATGGTCTGTCGAACTAACAAACTGTCACATATTCCAGTATCCTATTAAATCCCGAGATATACTATCTTCAATGCAGGCCCCGGCCAATGAATGAAGAGACCATCACAAATCCTACCCAGCTGCTAGAAATGAGGGCCCGGGCGACGACCCAATCCACTCGTGCATATCAGCCAACAGGAAGCAGACCCCTGCAAAAAATGATCCCAAATTTAGTCCAGGTTTGGTGTCATTTGTCCCAACTGTAGATCTCCACCCATGTTCGCATACTCACTGGGCTGGCTTGACTAGTCCTCGCCTAGCTTGTCAAAAAATAGAAGCATAGTGAGATGCAGCTCAGATCGTAGATTAGTCCTTAAAGTCCTCACCCTCCGAGCACATCATGATGAAACATTCCGCCTCAGTCTCGTCTATCCCAAACACCATCACTCAGTATTAGATACATTATTTTGTCTTTGGGAGACAGAGACAGCGAGCTAGACCTCGACTGACTTTCGATTTTATTTTATTTCCCCTCTTGCTGCCACACGTGCGAACGGGTGACTCCGCTGGCGGTTCTTCAATCATTCAACAGCACCACTAGGAATCTGTTGACCAGATCAAATTCGCTTCTCGCCTTTTTTCATTCACTTAATTTCGGAATTCCATTCACCATGTCTACCTCACGCTCATCTTCCTCGAGGACGCCGGCGCCAATTCCTTCCGCAGGTCCTTCGCATTCGGTTGACAAGAATGGAAATAAACTGCACAAGCGTTCACGCTCAGGTGGGTGAACTTCGAAATGGCATATTATCAAGAGGGTTTGATCTAACCTATGCTCTCTTATAGGATGCTATACTTGTCGTGTGCGAAGAAAGAAATGTGACGAAACTCACCCAATTTGCAAAGCCTGCTCCAACCTCTCCCTTAAATGTGAATTCAAGCGACCGGACTGGTGGGCGAGCGAAAAGTCCCGCAGAGAGATGAAGGCCCGCTTAAAGATCAAAATTCGAGAGAAGAAGTCGATAGACCGACGAGGATCTCAACACAATGGTATGTGTTCATATTGATTTGTTGCAAATTGACATCGCCCTTTCTTACGCGCCTTCTACCTCCAGAGCATACATTTGGCGCTCTATCACCCTCTATGATTGGCGAATATGACTTCAATCACCCTGGACCTTCTCTCCCAGACAACTTCGACCCGCTTGCCATTACCAACCAGCCACCCATTTTTCCACCAGAAGTTTATTTACAACATTATGCTCCTTATGAAGTGGATGTTCGAACTGAGCGACAAACATTTGTTAATGATGTACCAATGAGACACGACTCTTCCGTTTCTACTTTCAATGCCATGGGACCACCGCAAATCCATAACACCATCCCCATATTTCATGAAGAACAGTGGCTCGCAGAAGGCAGCTTCAATGATGTTGACACCTTTGACAACTTCGAATCTAATACTATCACTGATCCCTCTATCATTGAGTCCGCCCTTCCGACACCAGCAGTGGTATCACCGCCACCTCCACCACCTTCTCTTAACACCGAAAAGATCCCAGTTGATGAGCTCGACAGGCCACTTCTGAACCACTTTGTCAACCACGTGCTGCGCATGATCTTCCCCATTCTCGAAATCCACCAACAAGGACTTTCTCGCGCCAAGACCATTTTAAGTGCGCTCGAAACAAACAAGGCCTACCTTCACAGTTGTTTAAGTGTTTCTGGCATCCACTTGAAGAATAACGTTGGAATAGTCTCTGAGAAAAACGACCATGACATTATGCGCCATCGATTTGAAGCCATTTCAGCTTTATGCCAGGCCCTCAACCGCGATGAAAACCATGAGCAAATTCTAGATGCGACCTTGGCAATGATATTCTTTCACTGTTCCGTTGGTGGACCTGAAGATGTTTTACCTGACATTCCTTGGAGCGATCACTTCCAAGCGGCGTCAAACCTGGTGAACCGTCTTGAGCTTCCTACCAAATTACTACATCCCAGCATCGAATGTCCTTCAGTTACTCCATTTAGCATGTCTTTGACGACATGGATTGACATCCTAGGAGCCACAATGATGGGAACTACCCCTCAATTTGCCCATAGCTACCGGACTAAGCACCTCAATGGCACCTCTTCTGGATTGCAGGAGTTGATGGGATGCGATGACCGAGTTATGTATCTCATTTCCGAGATCGCCTGCCTTGAGTCCTTAAAGAAAGAAGGCACGGTCAATGAGATCACTGTCTGTCAACACGTTTCCGCTCTTGCTGCTCAACTCGACTACACCGAACCAGCCGATTCAAGCCTGGAGCATCCATACACATACAGCGGTACTCTCCGCGCAAACCATTTGACGAAGAACATGACCACAATATTCCGTCTGGCAGCTCGGATCTATCTATGCAGCCTTGTTCCTGGATTTGACCGCAACCAGAGCAGCATCATCTCTCTGGTCTCTTCTATTACAACTGCATTGCATTATATTCCTTCTGGACCCTATGGCTTCGATCGCTCACTGGTCTGGCCCCTGCTTATTGCAGGTGCTGTGGCAACACCAGACAGCGATTTCCGCAATGTCCTTTATAACCGGGTAGCAAAGATCAGCGACATGGGAGAGTTTGGTAGTTTCGGACACATGTTCCGTATCGTTCAAGAAGTTTGGAGACTTACCGACGAACCTCCAACATCATTGAACAGTACCGAAGGCCTTGAGAGCCAGCCCATCGCATCTCGAAGCTTTGCTCCAATTTCTCCCGAGGCCGCTGCGTTTGCGGGACGAACCATCAAAAAGCAAGAAGTCCACTGGCGCGATATTATGATTCGCAATGGATGGAAGTATTTGCTCATTTAATTTTATTTGAAATTTCTGTTTTCTGTCGCGTGGGACTTGGAGTACTTTGATTTAAGATAAAGGGCGGCACTTTGATTTTCTTGAGTTCGGTTGTTTTGTTGGAAGTTCCTCAGTCTCTTATTTTGGAGAGTGGGATGATGGATACTGGATGGGAAGCAAGGAGTTTGGCCTGAATTTTGCACTATACCAATCTCGTGCCGGATACCGAATTAAAATTCTTGAAAAATGACTCAATATTTCATCCTCAGTGCTTGTAGTACTCATCTTCGAAAAGTAGCATCTGGCAGTTCCGATATTCTCAAGTCGAGCAAACCTCAAGCTTGATTTGGCGGTGAAGATGTGAGAATTGGAGATGAACGCCGACATGAGGTGAGAAGGGGTTGCGGCGCAGTGACTGCATGTGGAGTAACTCTCCCCTTTGAAACCGAGTCCGTAAAGTCCTTCCAATTTCTGGATTTCCGACCTATTCCAGAATTTCTTCTCGTCGTTCCCGAGGTCGTCTCTTTCAACATCCGGTCAGTATATCTCAATAGTTAAGCATCAAATTTCTCTTCCAATACAGTCTTTGTAACACTTCGCGTCTTCCAACGCCTCCTTACCGATTTAGTACACATTTTTATGTCCACGGGTATAAATACCCAATTCGGGATAGATTGTTTCGAGTCACTTCCCAGTCTGTGATGTCTTCTTTCGTTGTGAAGCTTGGAAGTTCTAACTCATTTCAGTGGATGAAATCCGTGCCTAGACTTTATTTAAAGTCTTTTCGAGCTGGAACCGATTTTGCCTGAGTTGAATGGTCATAACATTTCCTGAATAGCCTCAAGTGCTGGCCTTTGTCGGGTTGTTTCGAGTGGCCAGCTGCATAAATGCATCATGTGTCATCTGAAAGTCAGACTCAAATGCGACATGAATGCCACATTCTTCTTCACAAACCGAAGATGACCAGAACTTTCAAGCTCGAAAGGTTCTTGCATTGCGTTTCTGTAATCTGGCCTCAGGATGAAGAGTATTCGTAACCATTGACTGATATGACAGAAATCATTGTATTCTGATCTTTGATCGCCTTCGCGAACGGAAGGTAATCAGCTTGCTGACTATTTCTGTCCTTGGAAGAGATTTTACCGGAGTAATCGAGTCAAAGGCTCCGTCTTCAAATACTCCTGATGTCATCACATCGCTTCTAGACGTTAGGAGTTGTTGCAACATACACAAGACCCAGATTCATAGCGATCTAGGTTGACTGGTGAGTCAACATCTTAGCCAATCCATGTTGATAAAAATTTTTTCGGTCACCACCAGCTTCATCTCTAGGTCTCAACCTTGGAATCGAAAACTTCAACAGAGATATAGCTAAATGGGCCAATACAACCTTGCTCATAAGACTTTAAGTGCGAGTTGGAAACATCTGGTGGGCTCTGGAGTCCCCATTCATAGAGATCAGTTTCATGGAAATTTGTTTGCTATCAATGACATTAATTTTCGGTACGTAAATTTGGATTTCAAGTTTGTAAAATCTTACCTGGGCAACGTTGCCATTCAAAGAACTAGTTGACAACCTTGAAAGAGATGTATATTGAGAAGTAAATGAATGTCCTGCAATTCAAATATTGCAATTTTCAAATTAAAAGCGCGATCAATGTTTGTTCGAAGTTTGTAGTCAGAACCTTTGACAGAACTGACTGAGATGGCGTTGAGTTGAGCCGGTCATTGAATTATGTTCAAGTGACCTCAGGCAAAGACATTTCGGCGCCTGATTGAAAGGGCCTGTCGACTGATGGTGAACATTCCTGAAGTTTGAAGTCAGAAGCGGACGGCGATATTTGATTCGCCTCTAGGCAAGAGAGATGTTCAGTAGAAGTCGTGGAAGGAAAGGTTGTTATGGCATTGGCCTTTCGAGTGGAATTGATTTTGGAACATGATGCAAAATGAAGGAGAGATTCCATGATTCCAAGGATCCAGTGGGGACAGATTGGCCTACATATATGAATTATCCAGAAACAAAGCACTCAGGGTAGGCGCGCTGCACATTTGGAACCCTGGAATGAGGGAAGATGGCTTTCCTCTCTCTTTCAAAATTTTTTTTTTTAAAAAAGAAATCAAAAATAAACATTTGAAAAGATGATGATGAGATTCCACTCAGGCTTGCAACATGTCAAACAGTTACATAGCCGCTTTCCTCTAGAGAAGGTTGGCTATTCCAAGGATGGTGGCCATTTTCAGTCAACTCGAACACCACTAGAGGGTGATTCGAAACCCATCGGCTTGTTCATTTCCAATCAATGAAAACTCCACGCATTCCACCTCGCTTCAATAGATCAGAATTGGATCTTCCAGGCCATTTCGGGTCTCTAGCGCGTGTTGTCAAGGCAACTTGTCGTCCCGTTCGGAATAGTCAAGGCGCATATAGTAGCACGTAGCGCTCTGCTCCACGTCAGGATTTGATTATTTTTGCCATTGTATGGAACAAACAACTGGTAACGCGCTTGGAGGAACTCTCTTAGTCTTTTTATGGGACCTGTGCTGTTAACCAATCAATGGTTGATTCATCAACGTTGCTATTTTGACGTAAGAGCTACACATCAGTCTGAAACTGTCAGTTCTTCATCAACGGTGCTTAACTGTGAATAGCCAATGATATCACCCACCTTCTGGTTATTCTTGGAAATATGATGCAGGGTACAGAAGAATGGTCCTCTAAAGCAGGGCCTTCCCGCTTTTCTTGCGAGGGCTCTTGACTTGAAACCCAGCGCGTAGCCCTCCTGAGACCCTGCAACTGGTACACTTTGCCGATTTCTTGCATGAACAACACACTGCAGTTGCTATTCTTGATAGTCTGTTTCCCCAGCGACCCCTTAACAATAGATTAGGTTCTTACTGTGTACTAACATTAGCTTACATATCATTTAATGTTTTGTTTTTCGGCATATACTGAATTACACCTTGGACATGGACTGCAATGCAATAGTACATACTTCTGTGGATAGAATATGAGAGGCAATGCGCTTCAAATACTATGTATTCGCCTTTAAGGTATATTGAAAGCCCTTGAAGATTTGATAAATACCTATAGAGATGAGGCGATGCTGTGATGGATGTATTTCAAGTGAAGATTGGTAGAGACCAAGCGTGGTCATTTTTTTATTGTGATTGTTTTGGTTCATTCAATCGACAATAAAACATCTTTGCACTATTCTTAGTATCCATTGTTGCGCAAAGAATTCAAGGGGCTCAAGAATGGTGATTTGACTTGCTTGGCAGTCTATTGTTCAACTTCATTGTTAAAGAAATTGTTCCGTTGTAAATGTGGCGGCGCGGGGGCGAGCCGCTCTTTTAGTGGAGGAACCGCGCGCTTTAGTCAGAGCAAACCAGGATGGGTGAGTAAGCCTCAACAACCCCCTGAGGGCTAACATGAAACACCCTAGCGGGAAGCAAGATCGTTCTATGGGTTTTTGATGGGAATGCCAGCGTAATTCATGCTTCAAATGGCGCCGGACCAGGTCATTAATCGCCGATCCTACTCCTGAAGACAGCCACGCGATAGGAAGAAAAGAAAGAGTAGAATTTATAATAAGGAGATGACCCATGAAAGTCTTGGGAATCATTCCTTCTTCACAGACCACACAGGGGCTCACAATCTTCAGCTGGACTGAAATTCCACGTCTTTTGGCTCACACTGTGTCAATCTATCCGAGATCAACATCCCATAAAGCGGGGTTGTTGCAACCAAGTCATCTCAGACAGGCCGGTCTTATCCTCTTTTTATTCCATTCTTCTTATTTTTGCTGTGCAAGCCTTTTTTAAAATTTTGAACAACTTTTGGGGGCAAAGCCTTGGGCAACAAAAAAGGTTAGGAGAACTCTCACAGGCTACAGCGACCAGTGCCGAGTGGTGGGCGCTAATCCATAAGCAGCCTAGTCCCGAATTGATTTCAAAAATACATTTCGATCCGTATCATTACAGTCTGGCACAGTTGATACGGTACCGTACCACTCGTTCCGTACAATACCTCGTTGTTCCACTTTGTCTCGAGCCCCCCGTTGCTCCGCCCATATAGATCGACTTGGGTCCATTTCTCACTCCACCAACTTTTAATCTCTCCTTATCCTCTTATCCTGCAACGGGCTCCTAAGATTTCTATTTCGGACCCCGTTAGCCTTGGACTTGGATCTTCTTTTATTCCTCCTGGCCCTCCAATTATTCTTTCATCTTCCCCCAATTTGCAAGTCCACAAGTCGCGTCGTGCATTGACCTTCTCGACTGCCTGGCCCACTCTTTGTCGTATTCCATGCACTACTTGCCTTCTCAACACCCTCTGTCGATAAAGCTTTGCCTTTTTGTCTTTATTGTCGGCTTCCCAGCTCTCTTGCCCCAAATATTTTCTTTCATCCTACCCGACCTCATCATACCCGACCATCATGGCTCCAAATAATAAGCCTGTACTTCCCCCTCTCAAGACACCCAAAACGATGACGTTTCCCTCCGAGCTCAGTCCCTACCCTCTGAGTGCCACTTCTACACCTACCATCAAGCGTGAGGATGGTTTAAGTGAAGCAAGCAGTACATCGTCGCTGAGCCCACCACCTTCCTATCTCAACTTTCTCAAAGCTGCTACACCGGTCTTTTCGACTCCCACCAGTGCGGGTCCAGACTTTCGGAGATTCGATATCGAGCGACTCACCTTCGAACGAAAACGCCGTCCGTCCCCAATCTCAGTGCCGAAAATTGTTACAACTGATGGACCCAAAACTACCAGTGATGCTTTCCCACCACCATCGCCTGCGACCAGTCAAAAGTCCGCAAGTTCACAGTCCGCGAGGCTTCCATTACGACGACTCCGCATCCCCACTTCCTGTTTTTACCCTTGCATGAGCGAATCTCCTATGAGCGCCAGAACACCTGGTAGTGCAAGGACGCCCGGTAGCGCACGAACAATACACTCCCCGTTTACACCGTCAGACTGGATCTTCAGCTCCATCGAGACACCTAGAAGTGCAACTGCCAAGTCAGTCTGCGTGCGCCAGGTGGTAACGCGAACAGTTACTTATAAGCGGACTCTGCGGTCACCGCGGACGCCCACGAACTTCGATCTTCCACCAAAGGGAAAGCGACGCAAGACTGCGGAAACCAAAGCCGAGTAAACCTGAAGTCGGAATGCATACGGTTATTGACAGGTCAAAGCGGGGACTGGGGTTTTACTTTTCTTTATTTCCCCTTTGGGGCGGAGGGGGGTTAGGGATTAATTCGGCGCAAATGACCTGTCTATTTTTCGCGGCTAGCGAGTGATTTTCTACCCAATGTTTTCCTTTTTTTACGATTGGCTTTAGCTGTGGGGTACTTATGACATGACATTGTTAGAATGATTTGCATTTTTCTTTCGCAGTCTGGATGGGATTCGATTCGGTCCTCGGTATTGCCTAATTGGCTCACTCGCTAAGGTTCTTCCTGTGCGAGAGAGCCTGGATCGGATGGGGTGTGGAGTTTCGGCGGCGTTATAGCTTCGTCCAATGCTTGTTGTGCTTTACTGTTGGTGGCGGAGAAAAGGGCATATGCAAGGCTGATTTATGTTCTTGTGGGGGTTTCTATTTGGGACTGGAGTTTTCTTGGTATCTTATTCTGGAAATACTATTAAATATTAAAAATGAATTCTATCAATGTCTATCTTGCCCATGCCCTGACTTGCCTCTATACCCTTGAGGTCTTTTTTCATTCTCTAATATTTGATCATATCTACTACTGACTTGCTGACGTGTTCAGGCGTGTTGAGGGGTCAATGGCTTAGAAGTGGCTGTATAGACATGGGCATACTGTTAAAAACAAAAAGACTGACGTGGTTCCGCAGAGAAGGGTCTGTTCGTACCAGGATGGCATCGCTTATGCGATTCGTCTAGAGATGCGGTGTAGACGGCTCGATGATGGCCCAAGGATGTGTTGGTGAGGTCCGTGACCCTGTTGTGGATGCTGACTTGGGACTCGAGAATGGCAGGATCTGAAGAGCATAAACTGGGATCTTTGTCAGCCTACCGGAAGAGAGAAAAGAGGAGCCCCAAGCGGATGGACGCATCTATGGCTTTTCCCACGTGTCAGCCGCATTAGCTGGTGTTGGAATTACTACTACAAAAACGCGAAAACCAACAAAAAAAATTCGATGCACGAAGAATCCTGGCAAGTTTTAGATCAAGCTAATGCACATGTCTTTTATTCCCGAGAGGCTCAACCCAGGGTCAGATAGTACGATCGCCGGAGAATCCACAGTCGTATTCCTGTTTTCGACTCTGGCCCCGGCTACAGGATTCACCACCCCCAAGCCAAGGATTCATTATAGTAAAATTGTGGACTGTTAGGCGCTTCGTTGATTAAAATTTTGATTTCCATTCCTTCGAAAGAGCTCTCTACGTCTACGATAGGCTACGGCTGCCACTCATCCAAGGAACGAGGAGTGTGGTGCGCGTAAACCTGTCCTCTCAGAGTCCTTGAATCCAATTTCCAGCCTCATCGACCCCGGTTAAGCCATATTCAAAGCGGCAGCTATTCCTTCCATAGTCTTTAATGCATTAATTTGGTAGGGGGGCTGTGTCAGGAGGCGCGAGGGATTCTTTGTGCACTATGAGGATACTGGGGCCAGCAGCTTGGAAGCCTCCATGGAGGCAGCGAATCAAATCTGGTGTACAACAAGCCACGAGGAATTATCCCTGCTGAAACAATCGAAGTGCATGAATTCTAGCCCCACGGAAACCCCCTTCACTTGAGCCGCGCAATATCCTACTACTCTCTTTAGTTGGAATCTCCAAGGATTTTGATTAGCACTTGCATACATCTTCCAATGGCAGAAGCATCAAGTTAGTAGTCTTGTTGGCGCTTGATATAGCACTGCCCGTAAGCCACCAACTCATATGTTTTCATTCTGGACTGGCGGTATGTAGGTCAAGGCAGACGAAGGATTTCTGACATCGTTGCGTATTGTATGTAATATTATGGTATATTTGGTATGTATTACTGACCGGTAATTTCAGTTTGTTTTCACCTGACGAAAAGATCGGAGAAAACCAGGCCAACAAGACACAGCTTAACGATCACGAGACGAGATTTTGCTTTCATGATATTGGCGAGCTATCTTCGCTGTGGTTTACAGAGTTTTGCTTTTCAATAGCCCCGCCATAAACCTTACGAGTCGCCACGAAGGTCACATACTACGATTGCTTTAACTTGGAATCTGATTATTTACTGGTACTAGTAGTATTGTAGAGTATCCTATAGTTTTGATTATTGAGCCTGCTCCTCTTATGCATTTCACTGCATGTATAGGCTAAAGTACTAGTATGTACAAAGTATCCATTGATGCTAGTGTCATGAAGCCATCACGTCAAGGTTTGATCAGTCAGCCCCATTGGGAACCGACAGTATGGTAGTAAATACCGATGTATTAATCCCAAATTGGCATGTTTCATGAGTATCACAAAGCGAGAAAGGTGTAAATACCAAACCCCAAAATTCTTACACAAATATTGGTCTTCAATATGACCGCAAAGGAGCCACTAGCACTTTCTTGAAATCCAATTCCAGGCAAGATACCGAAAGAATGTGGTGGGCCTCCTGACATTCTGAATTTTCTCCCCCCTCACACGAACAGACAACGTGAAGGAACAAGCCAAATGGAACGAGTGACAGGAAAGCATCTCAAAATCAAAACAAGCCCCACATCTAAATGACAGCCCAATCAGAGATTGCCGCATTGTTGCGTCAGTCCCACGGCCCGCTCACCAATCTCATTTAAGCGCCGGCGCTAATACACTTCGGGGCTAGCGTATCATGCAATGGAGAAACCCGCAATATTTCTGGCACTATTGGTCCATCTAAGTGGGTCTATCACGCGGAGATCAGCCTGTCGAGGACACCACTTCGGGCTCTTACGGATGTGATTAGCCTCTGATTACATCCCTGCTGTACCTAGGACAGAGGGGTAAACTATTTTTGGGGCATACCGGCAGGGCGGACGGACTTTAGGTTTTGTGCTCCATGTGCTTCGCATCCTTCACTTTTACCCAATAAGCGTCCAAATATGCCAGGTGGAAATGGAATCACCGAGTAGGGGACCAGCATGCAACAAATCATTTCTAATATTTGGACACGATGTTTTCAAGGCCTCGCTAATGCAGAAACTTTCCCTGCTCGAAACGCTGGGCCTGCACGCACGAGAGGTGTTCGTCACAGCATCTCGCATCTTTGTTCATGCAATTCGAGCACAAGGCACACATTAGCTTGTGACTGAGGGGGTTATAGTGGCGGTCAGCAAAGCTGCAGCAGGGGTGTATGACTCCCTCATGAAGACTCCATTTTTAGAAACACTGGTTGCATGCAAGGAACATGCTCGGCAGACACCCCAAGGTAACAGACGTCATCTATTTGATTCCAACCATTCGTTGGCCGTCTACCCCCTCCTAATTTCAGGCAATCGTATTTTGATTGCGAGAATATAGTTGTAACTGCTCATATCTCTCATTCTCTAAGCGCCGACAAAAAGCATAAGCTATTTTTTGCAATGGTGTAACTAAAAAAAGCTCTGTAACTCCCGTTGTCCCACATGGATCCCAGCATTTCGGTATGCGATCTGCGTGCAGGACCCCCTACTTGGAAACAATTCTATTTTTGACATCCATTTCAATCTGAACCTCATCTGTCCAGAAAAAAAACATATTTTCTGTTGCCAAGTGTGGGAAAATATGCTGGCGGGGTGTTTACAATATCATTGAATGATGCCAGACGGCGAATGTTTCTATTTCGCAGTCTAAACTGTATATCTTTCCTCGAACAGCTAACAAAGCTCCAACCCATGGTACCTCTCTATACTTGTACAAGCTTAATGTCAGACCTAAAGTCAAAAGCAACTACATGGGACAAACTATCACTGAGTAAAATCGTGGAATGCTATCTATGAGCCATTCTTGTTTATGGGCGGCAAGTCAGGTCCAATTATAACAATAGATTGAGTATTTACAAATAAAACTACCCAGAAAAAGAACACTACAACCTTCATTGCGTAGTCAATACTGAAACTCGAATGCCATGGGAATCCAAAAATATCCATGGATATCCCGCTAGCCCATTGTATTTTTGAATATTCACTACCATTGGATTGATTTTCACGTACTTCACGCCCCTGCATGCTGCGGAACAGAGCTCCCAAACATTAGCGTACACCCCGCCACTAAGCCTTGTCCAGATATCCGGGTATCCTAGACTGCATATCCATATGTTGTATATTACTGATTGTTATATTTTATTGGCTCATAGGTGCTGTTCGCTTCTGGCTCTGAAAAGCGTTGGACCACTCATTATTCCTCCTTGCACCAAACCTCTGTTGATCACCGCGGAGCAACTCCTCTTTCGCCGTTGATTCAACTATTCTTAGAACTCCTCCAAGACACCAAGCTGTATTCCAAGATTCTGTTGTTAATTTTAGATCTTCCAAAGTTTGGACCTACCCAGGCGCACATTGCGTTGGACTATGATTCATTGCATGCTACTAGTCAACTAGTTTAGCTTCCATGATACTCTCTTCGCCCCAGCTCTCATCCTACTCCCGAGGTCCACACAACCATGGTATTGCATAACAATGTCGATCTACTAGTGCGTGATGTGCATATGTATTGATTGTCATTTAAATCATTTCTATCGTTGCTCATCCAATCCAATCGATTGAACATCATTGTTTTGTCTTGAAAATTTCGTTTTCTTTCAGAACATGCCCTCAAGTACCATACAGTATCTTACTAGCCCCAGTATCTACACATCCTTTCGCAACTCAACCTCAATCATAGGTAATTGATCGTAGTTCTAAATTAAGATATCTTCTGAGGTCGATCTCGCTTTGGTTGTCACGTTGAGTCCCCTTGATGCGCGCGCCTGGATGATATTGTAATCGACAATAGAACATTGATTCAATTATGGTCGCATTGACGATGGTCTCATAAACCTTGGAATCTGGTCAACATAGATCCATTGATCACCACCTGGGCACTGCATCCCATCCACCAAAATTGCGCCCCATATTGCCCAGGTGAAGATTGATGATGACTTGGAGGTCCTCCGGAGAAACCGACCATGTCACAGGCCTAGGTAGGTAATATCTCCATATATGCAGCCACCTGACGATACTGATATGAATACGACACATGTGCATATCAACATTCATAACATATAACTAATATTAGGTACTTCCAACTTGAAAGGTTTGTGTGGTGTCCGGTTCAAATATTGCGAGGTTGAGATATGGATACCTACATACATAGTGCACATGTGCATCTAGCTATAGTAAAATTTCCTGATCTGGGAGCCCCTATGTTATAACGAGGTGACCGATTGATGGGCATCAATGTTGTCATCCATGGATCTATAGACAAATTGACATCTGGATTGCAATATACTCCTGGCATGGCATAATGTTGAACAAAAACTGTGCATGCAACATTTGAAGCAAACATTGTTCACTCTTGAATTGATTTGAACTTTAAACTGTCAACTGGTTGAACGACATAGGCACTACAGGTTTGTACATGTAGATGTGACTATTTCAAGTTCAAGAAATAGTCCTGTAAATCTTGCACATGTGAACTATCAATTGGTGTGCATCCATGTAACTACTATGTAGATTGAATCTATGGATGGATGTACAGTCCTGGAGGTGTCCTCTGACCTTGCACAGAACGTTCATCAATTGAATATAGGTCCGATCTTGAGATATATTTATCAATAATTCATGGATTCAAATGTTCGTACATATAAGTATAATTGATTTACTTGATCTTGGAATATACATACATATACTACATCCATGCACAGATGTGTGCACCTACATGAAAACACACATTGATGGACACCTCAGGAGCTCCAGAGCTGCATATTTAGGGATACACGAATCTAAATTTACAGTGATTACAGCTGAGTAGACGTCAACATTTGAACTAAAAGCGAAGCCGGATGCTGAATCTCAGACTTTCAAAGTTCAGTGAACATTGAAGAAAATTCCGAGCATTCGGTGAGAATTCAACCTTGGAAGTGTTGAGTTGCTTATCTTAGGTTGAATCTTGCATATGGAAATAAGTTGACATTGGAAGCCTTGAACCTTGACTTGAAACCAAAGAGTAGTCTCTATTTTTGTAGTCACATAGCCAATGAAGGTTCAAGGCTTGTGGTCCTCAAGTGCTGTTTACTTGCCCGTAGAAGGGCAAAATATTTCTAGATATTTTCTTTGTCCATGGCGTTGGTGTTGTCAGCATTGAGCGTAGTAGTATAGTAGTAACGAAGGCAACTTGAATATCGACCTCGGATTGGTTGCTACACGATGCATCTTCGTCACGTATCACACTGCATTGCCAAAAATAGATCGTTCCAGAAAAGCCACCTGGGCATGCGGGGTCCAAGATCATTTTCAAGTTTTCCAAGACCTGAAAGAAAATGATCTGAAGGGAATATATACGTTTTAAAGGCCGGAAACAAAAACATTGAAAGGGATTGACTCGTAGCCATACTTGTTTTGCCATCAGTGTAGAAGACTGAAGAAAAGGCTTGGAATGAATTCTATAATTAGAGGCGGGGCACAAAGACCATGCACCGAGTTGTTTGACCCCTGTGGAACCAACGAATGATAGGCCAGCGATCGTAGTCTGGCTTGCTTGAACGGGTATAGATCCAGTTTTTATCCGCCCACGTTTGACGGAGACAATTCGAGTAGAATCCCGTGATCGACCCGCCTATTCCCCTCCTTTCAGAGTCCATGGCCGTAACACCTCTCATCTCAACTCAGCCCGGCTCACTGCGTGTCTTCGTATCATTCTTGTGTCAAACCGGTGCTAAGCCCGCCCGAGTTCCCTTCCCGCGATTGTGTTCCGTGCGGCCCCAACCGAGAGACATTTCCCCCCCGGCCCTACATCATGTTTTCAGCACCGCACACCTTCACACCAGACAGCGAATTCGCTGAGCAGGAAACCCCTCGCGGGCTGAACACTAGTTGTCTCTCCATCACTGCCCTTGCTCGCTTCGAGTTCGAGGCAGGCAAAGGCAATGAGGGCACCAAGATCTTGATGATCGAGTGGGAGGATGACGACCTAAACCGATCTGTAGTAGAGGGGTCATGGCACGTTTCGTGGACTGGAAAGACAACGGTCATCCCTGCCGATGATCGACCAAGTGACAGCCTCCGCCGCTTTTACTTCCTTCTCCCGCCCAACGTCACCATCCCGCCTGTCGTTACCTTATCCTACGAGCCACGCCCCACGTCCCAGACCGACGACATCCCATATGTCCCCAGATCCGGACGTGATAGCTTCCAGCTGAATCCCCTGCCCGCCATTTTCCCGCCAGAGCTTGGCGCGACGGGTCGTGCGGCTGGCAAGAAAGGAGTCTTGCATACAATCTGGGCAAAGAAGCGCCTGCGCGTCCTTGATCGCGAGATTGAAGAGGAATGCCTCAACAATGCCGAGGGAGTCGCCCTGCACATGGCCGTGCAAGAGAAGGAATGGATCGAGACAAACTTTGGAGTCATCATTCGCGGCGGTGAAGTTGTTTCAACTAGCCAGGACAATTCGACCACATCTCTCCACCCCACGGGCCCTGCGACGCCAGTATCCCCTGTGACTGGGAGAAAGCTAAGCGATAAGCTGAAGGGATTGAAGTTGCAGACAAGTGAGAAGGACTTGGTAGGATCAGGAAACGACAGTATGTTACCCAACTTGACCGAGTCATGTCAAAAAACTAACAGAAACATAGGCTCGGGCCCGAACACGGCGCACCTTCTGTCGCCGCAATCTCCTGATGTCGCCGTGTCGTCATTCAGCTCCTTCGGCAATGTTTCAAATAAGGAGGAAGCTTTCATTCCAACACCAGTCACCAACCCCTCCACGACACCAAGCACCCAGACAGATCTAACTGGTGTTGAGGGGCTGAAAACCGTTGCGCTTTTCCCTCCTTCGTCCCTGAAAGCAGCCCAGCAAGACGTTGAACACAGCGGATTCGCTTCCATGCACACCATGGACTCGTTCCCTCCTCTTGTCCGTACTAGTAGTGCGGACTCAGATGATCTCTTCGCCAAGGCACTGAGTCCTCGCTCACCAGATCTGCCCCGGAGCCCTTTCTCATTCCGTTAATGTTTGCTTTTTTTTCGTTTTCTATTGGAAATTTCTGCCTCCTCGATCTCTTGTCATTTCCTCACGATTTGCCTTATGATTCCCCTTCTGCGATGTGACGACATACTGCATCATTCTACATACGCTAAATCTACGATCTCTAAGTCCCAACTTATGCATACAATCGCATCTCATGTTCTTTCTTTCCTTTGACCCCATATCATCTCATATTTCTTACAGAAATGTCATCATAGTGAGCCACGTGGACACCGGTGTACATAGACGAAATCGGACCGCACATAGTCCGACCGGATGGAAATATCTACTTGTCCGCGCCTACTCGACTTCTCTTTCGACAACTTCATATCTCCTGTTCCAGTCATATATTCTCATTCATTTTCTCACAAGGTCAATTGAGATAGATATCATGAAAAAACCTTCCCGCCTTGAGCGGGAATCACATAACTATTTTGCAACTCGAGACCTCGCGTCACTATAAGCCATAGAATATGCTATTCGGACCAGACCAGACCAGACAATCCTTCACCACCCCCAATGTCCATCAGCATAATTAGCTACTCATTCATCCCAAGGAACCCAAAAATATTTCCAGCGAATGCGAATACCAAAAGCAACGTAACGTAACTCAATTGCAAAAGATGAGTCGAATAAGGAAGGAATAAAAAGAGAAAGAAAAAGAATCATCAGCTCCAATGACCTAGTGCTTCTTATTCTTCTTCTTCCCCGCCTTAACCTCAGCCCCAGAAGCAACAACAACAACAACCTCCTCCTCCTCTTCCTCATCCTCACTGCCCGCCTTCTTCTCCGTAGCAAGCGAGTCGTACTCCTGCTGGTCCTTCTTCTCAGCATACCACTGACCAGCCTGCAGCACCAGGATACCAACAAGCACAAGCGCCAGAATAGTGTTGCTAGCACTGAGCACCTTCAGCGAGTCCTCGCGGCCGAGAATCTGGTCGCGCTCTTCGGGGGTGGTAGCGAGGGCGTCACCGTACTTGCCAGCGGACGCGAGACGCAGTCCCTTAACGATGTTCGCGATGTAGACGGTCACGCCGCACATGTAGAGGACGAGCGAGGCGCCGTCGAAGAGCATGTTTGATTCGGAGGGCTTGTAAAGCTTGGTGATGAGACCTGCTAGACCGAGGAAGATGACGATGTGGAGAATGCGGGGGATCAGGGGCGGGCTGTTGTGGAGGAACTGGAGGTGCGCTTCAAGGTAATCATAGTGGGATGCTGGGGTGGTTGTTGTGGACCACAGGATTGGGTAATCGTAGGGGAAGAGGGAGAAGATGATTCCGAGGAAGAAGCATGTTGCTATGATGGTAGATTAGCTTTTGGGACTTTGCAGCTGGTGAGGGGTGGTCGTGGTTTGGGGTGGTCTTTTGGTCTTTTTTCCTTGCTTTTTCTGGGGCGCAGGTGAGGTGGGATTGAGCTGAGCTCGAGGTGATTGATCGTTATGGGGGAATTGGGGGTTGGATATGAGGTGGACTCGGGGGAAACTCACGGCAGACGATCAGGAAGGTCGCGAACGACCCGCTTTTGAAGGGCATGATGAAGATGATCTTGGATGAAGATCGTGGAGAGGCTGCGAAGAGAAACAGGGGGAAAACGAGGTTGATGGGTAAGCGGAGTTGCCAAGGGAAAACCCGAGATACCGATACCGAGATAAGGCTAATAATCATTATCAACGAACGGATTAGCTCTGATTAATGATTGACTAGATTTGACTACATGCTATAGTGAGTAATAATGTAATAATGTAATAATGTAATAATGTGGACAAACTGATTGCTCTGTATGATAGATTCGTAGTTATGGTACAGGGTCAGGTTGTAACGCTATAATCAAGCTCACCAGCGCCGGGTGTTGATCAAAAAATAAAACAGAATATGCGAATAGTGGTATCTTCCAGAAAATATCCCAGCCCCCAAAATGCAAAATGTACATGGTAAAAATATCAGATAGACGTATCAATATAGTAATAGTATCAATCATCGCTGGTACCGAGGTAATGACTCGTCCGCATGCGCAGTGCCACCCACGAGTTGATCGTCTTCGTCAAAGACCGGGGCACTGGGGCCCTCGCCATTGTTCTCTTCAGCAGGCGGTGCACTAGGGGCGCTCACCTGCTGCATCAATCGCTGACGCTCGAGCTCTTGCTTATCATCGCCTTGGGCAGATGATTCGCTGGGTTCAGGGGCACTACCATTCACGACCACGGTCTGCAGTGATTCTGCAGACCGAACATGAGACATTGCATCTGTGTCCGAGGACACATGGTGGTAGTCCTGCAGGTGATGATCATCTGGCAAGACTGGAGCGGTCGGCGCTGCCATCTCAACTGAAGACCCTGCTTCATCCTCATCTGGTGGTTGACTCGGCAAGAGTGCTTCTTGATGCCGTCGAACTCGAGTCTTTTCATCGACAGGTTCCTCAACTTCAGGATGTGCAGTCATGGGACCAGCATGGGGGAATTGTTGTGAGTATTCTTCAGGGTATTCCGGCCACGATTCATCGGGGAACATGTGATCCTCTGGTCCATACTCATCCGGTCCATACTCTCCAGCAGGGTTTGATTCAGCCCATTCCTCTGCCTCTCCATTATTGACAGGATTCGAAGGGGTAGGAGGAACTTGAGAAGTGGTCGATTCGGCAGCAACAGATGATGTGCGCTCAATGGGGGCTTGACCGCGTTTAGAATCTCTGGTACCAACGACGACTTCGAAGGCCACGGAGATGACACCTTTCTCACGACGGATTCGGTCCGTATCGAGAATATTGCCCGCCCAATTTGCTGTTATTGCACTGCCTTTGGCATCCGCCGGGTTCAAAATTTGGCCGCTAGGTGAAAATGTGCTGCCGCCTGAAACCATGTTGAAGCGGGGGATGAAACGATCAGGTGAGGTGATCTTACCACGGAGATCGACCACAATCTCCACGTAATAGCGAAAGTTGATCATGGCACCGGGGACCCGAGTGATGGTGGGGAATGCATCTTCGGGGACTCGGATGGATGTTTTTACAATAGCAGTCAAGTTGGTAGGATCCACGATCAATGGCGCAAAGGATTGAGATAGATCCTTGCGGAAGGTGCTGCTGTTGCGAGTGGTCCCGAGGGTCAATCCACCAAGCCCAGTACGAGATCGCGGATAACAGTCTTCATATATCGGTTTCTTCCCATTCGCATTATTCCCAATAGGGATGGATGGGTGTAGGTCAATGCGACCCTGCCGATATAGAGTGATTATGATACCATGCGCGCTGCGCACCTGTTTGCAATGATTGATGGTGACTTTGATAGGCAATGTGTCCCCTGGTAGCACGCCTGCGCGCAAAACTTCCGCCTTGGCAACGATGGTCTTATCCGTGACGGAAGGAGTCGCACTACGACCTTCGCTATTTCGTCCTCCACCTGTGCTTGTGGATGAGCTTGGATCGCTTGCGATCTGAAAGCTCTGGCTGCTATTGCTAGGTCGGCTAGAGGAACTGACATTGCTCGGAGAGGGACTGAGCGGTGGTCGGTGGTGGTCCGCGGAGCCAGCTGCGCCGCTGACTGGGGTGTCTATGGAGGAGGTGTCTGGGGCCGCTGTGGTATCGGAGGCGGAGGATTTGCCTTTGGCTTTAGATCTTGATCGTTTAGAAACCGGTTCTAATGTGACGATGCGAGCCTTGGGAGCGGGAAATGGGGCAATATCGATATTTTCAAGTAGATTAATGCGCCGTCGGCATGTAATCGTGGGGTTCATGGTCGTCGGTCGGGTGAGGGTGGATGTGAGTGCATAAGCGACGGTACCTCGTTCGAACTAGACGAAGAAATCATGATTAGCAAGATGTCACGAGACCCCGGGGGGAAACCAAAATACGCACATTGATGCTGCTGGGCAAAGCGTATGGGGGAAGTGTCATCTCGAAGCGGAATTTATAAATGCCTTCCTTCAGACGACCTTCACCACAGAGAACTACCTCGTCTTCAAACAAGGTCGCCAATCCATTGCCCATGTATTCTGCGCCTCGCCGGCCACGCCCCGGACCGATGAAACCTATATCTGAATTGGACTCTCCGGCGGGCACCGCATTCTTGTAAACTTTGACATAGCCATGGAGACAGATTACGATATGTGTAATGCGCACCGGCCGTAGGACGGTCAGGATCACCGTGCCTTTGATGGTGTCTCCTGGAAAGTATGAACGCCACGGATCATCGGGGTCGATATAGAAGTCGGTTATGCTTCGATTGCGAGATCCAAGGGGCGAGCGGAACTTGGAGAGAAAGGAGTTGGCTTTCCGGCTGACCGGCGGGGTGGAGGTCGTGGGAAGAGGGTTGGAGGACATGACACGCAGCCGCTACTTCCTGCATCCATACAAGATGGCGGCACCGACGGTTAAAGGTAGGGAGACGAAGACCACGAAGGTCAGTCACGGGTGACCGAAGAACGATATAAGTGAAACCCCTGATCTGCACGGTATGGTGGGGGTTAAACTGGTGGTTAGAGAGGGGAGGGGGGGGGGGGGGGGGGGGTCGTGACTCGAGTAGGCAGAAGAGCCTACGTAAGGCAAGATCGATTCAGCGACACGCCCCAACAAATAGCGCAGCGCGAGTATATAATGAACAGTCCGATTCCAAACGCCACGGTATGTATCCGGGTGTCCACACAGGAAATGAAATCCCGGGTCCAGAAGAAAAGGAATGGGTCGTTATGTTCGAGGACCACCGAACCACATTGTTTCCGGTCTCACCAAAGCGCACGGGGTATGTCGCGAGAGTGCCCCCAGGAACTCGACCGCTCTTTTCGATTGACTGATTTTCGAATCGCGTGAATGGATGTCGATTGAAATGATTGGTAATATCGAGGTACTCGGTGGAGGTTCAAAGTGAAGGGGGGGGGGGGAACCCGCAATGTGAGGCTCACTGACTCTTCCCTCGGCGAGAGGGGGCCAGAATGAAGTTCGGGAAAAGAGGCGCGACGGACGGAATGTGGGACCTAGTGTGGCGCACTATCTTCAGGTTCGGAGGGGTATATGTACTGGTATAGAGGGATCTGTTGAGGAGAGGGAGAAGGAGAAAGGGAGTTTACGATAAGCGGAGAACCTGGGAAAGGACGAGACCCAGCGATTCTTAAATTGGAAAGTCAAGCTTCTCACCAAGGACACTAGTTTCTTCTACGGAATATCTAGGGGTATTTAGGGGGAATACATCCTTTTTTTTAATATGGATCACTTTATTAATGCTTATATTTTCAATGAGTCAAATTCCTATACAAGCCCGAACGCCGTCCGTTTTTACTAGTTTCCCTTGGAAAGCGCCGGTTCTCCAGCAGTGAAAAAGCTTGTGAGATCTGCTCCAACCTTGGAATAGAAATACTTAAGGCTAAGCTTTTTTTTCATATTTAGTTATTAAAACGAATATTCAAGCAAATCATAATGAAAAGTCTTAATCATAAAATTCATAAGCTCATAAACTCATAATAAATCGTCAACAGAAAAAAGAAAGAAAAAAAAAATTACCAGAGTACTCATTCCAGTTCGCGCAACCCCCCGTCCACGTACTCGTCTCCATAGCATTCATGCAGTACTGCCGTGACAATTTCCCGGTCCCCGCAGGCCAATTCACGCAGATACTGCTCAAGGATGTACAGGTTATCCGTCCACTGAATCGTTTGCTGCCTGAACCCCGCTACCTCTCCCTGCAAGAGTGATATACTCTTACCTACCGAGTCGCCCAACCCCGTCTCTGCCACCCGAAGCCGATGTACCTCCGCTGCGAGTTCGGCCTTGGTATCAAGTAGGTTCTGGCGCATGTCGATCCCGTTTTCCTTCTCATCAGCAGGTGCAGTTGTATTAGCTTTGTTTTCTTTTTCTTGTGGAACTTCTGGTTCATCAATTTCATCTTCGTCCTGCTCTCTTCGCATCTTTTCAGCGGCCAGAGCCGCCTCCCACTCGGTACGAGATTTCTTTGCTTTCTCCACTTCCGTTCGCACCCGGACCAATTCCCGCTCCCGCTGGGCCTTTTCCTCACTCGCGAAGCTCCAGTACCAGTTCCCGCTGCCGATCTTTTCAACTCGAATTTGGTTCTCGTCCGTAAGCGCTTGGATGTACTCCTTCACTTGGATGCTATTGATGGAGGCCACACCCGGTAAGCTCTTCTCCAATTCCTTAAGAGTATAGCAGGTTCCCGTGGTCCGAAAGTGCGTCACAATCAATGCCAGTTTCTCGGCTTTGGAAAGTTTGGGTGGCTGTTTCCCCCAATATTTAGAAATTTCTCCATTTAGGCAAGTGAACAAGTAGAAGTAGAAAAGCAAGGGCAAAAAAAAAGAAAAAAAGAAATTAGATGGATCAAAGAACAAGTGACGCGTCAATCTGCCTCTTGATCTAATTCCACGTTCATTTTCAGACGAATCCAAAGCGAGGGCCACGTACCATGATGTCGTTTAAGGGGGGCAGATGACCCACTGAGGCGTTACGCTCTGCAAATTCCGATCTTTCTGGTTCGGTGAAGAGAAGCTTGGGAGATAAGCCTTGCCGCTTTGGGGTAGATGGAAGGTTAAGCATTCACGAGTGGAGGAAGTGGAGGAAAGCCAAGTTTTTCCATGTGGCTTGACTTATTGATTTACTCTCCACTGCCACACGCGTCTTGGATTACTGGAATTTTCTCCTGTTGATTCTACTTCCGAATACGACAAATTTTAAATATCAGATTTATATTTATATTTTATTCAACATTGAAAGAAACCCGAGATAACAATTCAGTTGCTGTGAACGTACATAGTATGTAGTAGTAATTACAGAGTCCGATACGAGTACGTTCGGAGTACTCTTTATTAAATTGATCTCTAATCTAAGAAATCGAGCCGATGCTTCTAGCGTTGGATTAGTGCATTCAGAACCGCTAATCTCAATTATGAGGAGATGAGCCACACCTCCGCATATAAGCACAGCCTGTGCATGTCCCATTTTCCCAATAGGATTTAAGATGCTTTGGGGGGAAGAGATATTGCCCGTCGGATGCCCGTCAATCACCATTCCAAGGTGCTGATTGTCATGCGGAACGGCCTGGGGAAGGCGACGCACGGAGCATCAAACCCCAAGCCAACGTGGTGTATTCTCAACCAGATGTACGTGAGCCTGACAGGTTGACGGAGGTACCCTGAGCCTGGGCATTCTCCCATCACTAGCTCGGTACAACGTGCAGTACAGTCCCCTTCGAGAGGTCGACATAATATGATACAACTCGTTGGCATTTGGAGTCACTTGGGCCCCGTAGGTACCAGAGTAGGATTCAGGAGCATAAGCATGAGATGGTTAACGGAGAACCCACCGTTTCATCATGCAGGTCCATTATTTGTCTTCTGCTTTTTCTGAGGGGATTCACTCCGTTGTGCCGCCTTCTCCTTCCGGATAGCTTTCCGCTCTGTCTTTTTTGTTCTGTGACGTTTTTCCTTCTTTCGCGTACTCGGTACGCTGGGGTTTGCTTGGGTGGGGCCTTCAATCGTCTTGCTCCTCCGTCTCTTTTGTCGGATTTGGGAGCCAGATTCAAGGCCAGTATCGTCGTCATCATCATCATCTTCGGCCTCGCCTTGCTCGTCTTCTTCCCCGTCGTTGTCTTCATCATCTTCGTTGTCCTCGTCATCCTCTTCCTCCTCGTCTTCACTGGGCCATGGCTCTTGCGTCAGAACCATATCTCCGTTCTCGCCAAGTTTTTCTCTAGCCAGCTCCTCCATCAAAATGCCGATCGCAAGGAGTGCGGATTCGTCCATGCTTTGGAAGTTGTGTTTCCCGCCGTCGCGGAGCTTATGTGTGTAGAAATCGGATGAGTAGGCGTGGATTGCGGTCAAGATCTCAGAGCTTGGGAGAGGCCGATCGGCAGCGAGATATTCATTCGCAAAATAAGATTCATCCTCCTTCAACTTTCTCAACATTTTCGGCTTTTTCCGATATAGAGCCTCCTCGGGGCGAAGATTGCGACCGCCCGAAGACTGTGTATCGCCGTATCGCGTAACAGTCGGTGCGGCTGAAACAAATCCATTGATGTTGACGCGGCCTGAAATAGTCAGAAGGAAATTATGAGCGTCTCGTATAGTCCGACAAACTCACCAGCAACTGAATCGTAGACGTTAGCGATGCGCCTGCTGGATTTCGGATTTTTGTTGGTTGGCAACTCCAACCTCACCTGAGAATCTGCCCTTTCTTGGGTCTCATCTGGGAGGTATGAATGAGCATCTTCGAAATGATCTTCGACGCCAGTGACTGAAGACATGGTTCTGGAGCTCCCAGTGCATCGCAGACAATCACAAGATGGCGGTGACGAGCCAGAATCGATAAACCAAAAATAATGCGCCGGCGCAACTTTATTCCGATGAGGTCACTTTTTGCTTATCGCTCACTCTCCGCAGTTCCCTCGATTCGCAGTTGTGACTGTTATATTTGATAAATGAATGAATTCCTTTCTCCTGAACAGAGCCCTCGGGTCTGTTGACTCCAATACTTTCCATGTCGCCCAAAAAACCCGGCTAGTACACAATCTCGAGCCTGCGCCAGGCATTCAGTTCTCCAGTCGCAGAGCCACTCGGAGGAGTGAGTCTCGAGGGGAGGCTACACCTTTGGATGAGGAACATGATCCTCCAGAAGATGACGAGGTTGCCCACAATTCTGGTGTGAACTGCTTGGCAATTGATAAATTTGAAGGTCGATTGTACGCACCACATCGTCAATCTTTTCTACTGGAGTCTTTTAACCAAGATACTTAGTATGATATCCGGAGGCGCAGATCCAACCATCCACCTTTGGGACCTCGAGAGCAGAGGATCAGAACTTGATCACGTCCATCGATCCTCCGCATCAGTTAGCAAATCATCACATCCGGACGCGCACACCCATGCCATCACTTCATTGTCTATCTATCCCTTCGATCCCGAACCATCCACCATCTTCTCAACTTCCTACGATGGCACACTAAAGCTTTCGGCCCTACAGTCACCAGCAATAACTCCCGTCCATACATTCAAACTCGATTGCACACCCTACGCGCACTCCTTTTCTTCTCAGCCGGGGTCCACATTGTTGGTTGCGGTCGCAACGTCGGATCAAGCCGTGCGCTTGGTAGACTTGCGCTCTGGCCTCGCGGCACACGGTCTACCCGGACACAACGCTGCAGTGCTCTCGGTAGACTGGGCTCCTCACCGACCACATCTTCTTGCCTCGGGCTCCGTGGATAACCGTGTGATTATCTTCGATGTGCGCCGTGGAGGCCATAACTCGGCTATTGCGACGCTGGATATGGATGATCCGGTAGGGCTGGCAGCTCCAGGCTCAGTCCCCACAGCATCATTTGAGCCCCGACCAGCGTACTCCCGGCACGCTCGTGCCCACAATGGGGCTGTCACTGGTGTAAGGTGGACATCCGATGGCACACATCTTGTCACTACGGGCCAAGATGCGCGTATCCGAGTATGGGATGCAGCCAGTGGGGCAAATACCTTGGTTCATTTCGGGCCCCGCGTTCGGAATTCCACCTCATCTTATTTAGCAGAGCGGGCTCCGCTGGTGGTACCTAAGGGATTCATGGCGCCGGGACACGAAACCCTTTTATGGCCCAACTTCCATGAACAGGATGATCGCGGCGAAATCTTCATGTTTGAGCTCCGCGAGGGAACGTTTATCAAGCGCCTCCGAGTCCCTGGTATGGCGATCGGTGCACACGGCCGCAGCAGATCTAGTGCACTCAGTGCTGCACGGATCAATGATCTTGTCTGGCGTGGGAATGGTGGCTCGGGCGAAGGTCTGGAATTGTTCTCTGCGCATGGCGATGGAACTATCCGTTCCTGGGTTTCCCGAGAACCTGACGGGGAACCCACTGAAGAGGAGGAAGCGGCACTTGCTGATCGTAAGAGAAAACGTGATGTACTAGATGACATTTACCAGGGCTTCCTTGAGCCTGAAACATCCAAAGTTCACATCTAACAGCCTATTATGGCAAATGACATAGAGAAATGGGGTCATAATTTATCATTAATCATTAATAATCGTACATCATAGAGCCACCAGGGCCAAGCCGACGACTCTAGCGATAACACCAAAACTCTTCTTATAGCACCATTACAACGCCGAAATGGAAACGGACATTCTTTATAATGTCTAATATGAGGCCTCTTCGATACCAAAGAACTGCATGATACGTCAGCAGATGCGTTGATGCCACAGCAGCAGGTCGGTCATTCTTACCTGGTGGACACCCATTTCTCTATCAATACCCTCCCTATCCAACTCATTATCGCCAACAAAGCGATCATATTCACTCGAGTTAGACCCCTGGGGCTTGATATCTCTTGGGCCTGAGGAACGACCCAGGGAACTTGTTCCTAGGTAGGAACTCTTCGACTCAAGACTATCCGACATCGAATCACTCGTCTGTCCGCGGTCGGAAGTGGAGCGTGGCATGTCTGTAGCTTTGTCTGTCGGCATTGTGGCTAGATCATCGTAGCTCAGATAAGAGGAGGCCTGATTCCGTTGGTCGGGGTGTGGCTTTGGGGTGATTGCATTCTTTTTGCCAGTGTTATTCGGAATCGAGGTACTTGTGGGTGCCATTTCTGTGTAAGAACCTCCACCAGAGGTGCTTGATTGTTGGAAAACCATTTTGTATGTGTGTAGACTTTGAAGTATGTGATATGGATGAGAAAAGTTCGGTAGAATGTGTATGACAGTGTTTCAATTTGGTCTGGGAGACTGGTATTTGAAGAAGATTGAACAAAAGATTTCAATCGAGATTCGCGGCCATGTTTATATGATTTGAAGGCCATAAGTACTGTAGTTCCTGCATTTGGACGATCACGGCTAAGTTACCCGGGCGCATGTCATGAAGCCATGATGATATCATTGATATCACAAAAAGACTGTGGCTTGCCCGAAACCGCGAAATCGGTAACTGAGCCACCTGTCATATAAGCCGTAGTACGAGTCCTTGCGTAAGAGCATACCAGGGAACGGGGTACAAAGATGTGAAGCATTAATTGGTGGAATGTTGGACACCAAGGACTCGATCAGGTTTGGAGTGGGTTTGAGCAAACCGGATGTGAGCTCGATATCCGCTATTGGTCAATAAAGGCGGGGATGGGGTCTCAACATCACCAAGTTAGTAGCTGGCTGCGAGCTCAGATTCATGGTTTGCCACGGGCTGTGTACGACGTACAACCTTGGAACGTTGCCACGAGATTCTTATCAAGGGGGAACATAGGCGTGTCGGTGTGGGTATACGGCAAGTTTGGTTCGGGTTAGTTGCTACGTGGAGCAAGGTTTGTTGCTTTGTATAGATGGGGGAAAAGTCAAAACTCATATTTCAGACGTGTTACCTCATTAGGTGGGAAAAGCATCCATCATTATAAAGGGGGAAAATGAATTGAAAGCCAAGGTACACGGTTATACGAAAAGAAGACATGAAAGGAAATAATAAGACATGGGTGTAATGATTGACAGCATTTATCGTGCCAAGCGCTTACAGGACAAAGGCAAGGACACCGACGACGGCGGCGGCGGCAGAGACGAGACCACCGGAGACGCGGCTGGCGGCACCGGTGAACATGGTACCGGCAGCGGAGGGGGTAGCATGAGCAGACTTGGAAGCACGGGCGCTCTGCTCGGGGGAAACACCGCTGGGGATGTTCATGCTAACAGCAGGGGTGGCCGAGGGAGCCCAGGCGGCGCTGGACGAGGGGGTGGCTACGGGAACGTAGACGGGGATCTGAGAGTACTTGGCAGAGGGGGCAGCGCTGGCGCTCTTGGAGGGCCAGGCGTAGCTGGCGGAGGCAACATCAGAGGAAGAGCGAGCAGGGGCGGCAAAGGACAGGATCTTAGGATCAGAGCCAGACTGCATAGGGACAGCGGATTGCATGGGAATAGCTGACATTGGCACTGCGCTGGTCTGGACAGCCTGAGAGACAGGAACCTGCTGGTAGACAGTCTCGGTGGCATGGACCTGCTTGTACTGGGTCTCAGTGACGGTACGGACAACCTCGTGGACCTGAGCGGAGCACTGGGAAGTCTCCTCGTGCTCGACACGGTGGACGGGAGGAGCAGGCTCAGACGGAGCGGGGATCTCATGGTGCTCAGGAGCAGCGGGGATATCGTGGTGCTCGGGTGCCTGAGGAGTTGTGTGGGCCTCGAGGGGAACGCTGGCAGCGTGCTGCTGCTCAGTGTAGGTCATCCAGGGCATCTCGGGAACCTCCTCGTGGGCGGTCTCGACGGGAGCCTGGGGGACTTCCTGAACGGGGGCGGCAACAGGGTGGAAGTCCCAGGAGGAAGGGTGAACAGTGGTAGTATCTAGCTTGATCGCGTGGTTGTCATCGTGGCTGGTGTTCACATTGGTGTCCACACCGATGTTGGTGGGAGCGCCAAAGCTCTCACCATCGTCGTCTCCCGAAGGGCCACCCTCGGCAGTACCGCCGGAAACTGGGACAGGGCCATCGAAGTCATCATCGTCACCTCCCTCGCGGTCAGGGGAGTAGGCACGAGGGAAAGGACCGGGGTGGAAGTGGGGAGCCTGGTAAACGTCCTTGTGCTTGAGGTGGATGGAGTGATCGTCTTGGTAGGCCTCGTTGACAGTGGTATCAGTCTCAACAGTGATGGGCATGTCAAAGCTCTGACCACCGTCGTTTCCAGAAGGACCACCCATGGCAGTGCCACCACCACCGTGGGGGTACAAGCTGCGCTTGAAGGGCAAACCGAAGGGAGGGTGGGAAGGAGCAGGGTAGACATCCTTGTGCTTGATGTTGATGGAGTGATCATCCTTCCAGTCCTCATTCACGTTGGTGTGGATATCAGCGGTCTGGGAGAAATCATCATCAATGCCCTTGTCATCACCGGAAGGACCACCCATAGCAGTGCCTCCAGCAATGACGGGGAATTCCTCCTCGTCGGAGGGACCGTCACCACCACTGGGGCCTCCCATGGCGGTGCCACCGGGGTACCCACGCTTAGAAAAAGCCTCGGCAGAGAGGTGGAACTTCTCAGGTGTCTGGCTGTTAGCCTCGCGGAAGGGGCTGTGGCCACCAGGGCCATTGGGAGGACCAGCGAACTCAGGAGGAGGGTGCACAGGAGCGACAATGATGGGGCCCGGGTGGATATCCTTGTTCTTCACGTGGATAGAGTGGTCATCCTTGCTGTACTCGTTGACGTCGGTGTGGAAGATGCCAGTGATGGGCATGTTAAAGCTCTGACCCTCATCATTGCCAGAGGGACCACCCTCAGCAGTACCGCCGGAAGGCCAGCTTCGCTTGTGGAAAGGACCAGCTCCAGGTCCATCAGCATGAGCAAATGGGCCCGCACCGGGGCCGAAAGCAATGTTAGGTGGAGGGTAAACGGTCTTGTCCTTGATGTTGATGGAGTGGTTGTCCTTGTAGTGCTCATTCACATTTGTGTGGGTGTGGACATTGGCACTGTATGGGCTAGTGAATGAGCCATCCTCATCCTGACCAGACGGGCCGCCCATGGCGGTACCACCGACTGTGGGAGCTCCAAAGCCAGCAGTACGGCGCTGGTGGAAGCTGTGATCATTCTTGCTCATGTCCTGCTATTTTGGTTATTAGCATGTTGGATATGCGCTTTGATATCTACTCGTAACTCACGGTGCCAGTCTCCATAGCCTGGACCTGAACAGCGGCCACCAAAAGGGCCAGGGGAATACCACCAACGAATCCCTTCATATTGACGATGTGTAAAGATGTGAAATTAATGTAGAGAGAAAAGGTATATTGTCAGACTGCGAATAAGTCCAAAAAGAGCGACTGTGATCAAATGATACGGGAAAGCTTAAAGAATGGCACGATCAATTGAGTGAACTCCCTAATATCCAAAGAAAGACGAATTCTTTGCGGCTGCGGCGTCGATTATGACTTTAGTACTTCCATTGCATTCATGATCACCAGGCATCGACTCGATGGCCGGAATGTGTACCCCAGGCCAGGCATTGGATATCACTTGTTGGACCAGGGGACCAACCCAGCGAGAATGTTGGTGAGAATGGGAAATCAACTTTTTTGAGTGTTAGTAACAACAAACAAGTGCCTGAATGGGTAACGGGAGCAGGTTGTGGTGCAACATTCCCCGGCATCTGGAGAGGGATGAACTCACCAGGGGCTCGACCGGTATTCTCGAGGGAGGACATGGAACCAACCAGCTCCCCTTGTGCGCCCTCTACGTGGGTTTGATCGCCCTGGTCAAATGAGCTCCATCAATGTTCCGCAGGCCATGCTGATACTGTTTACTCTTTTGACGCATGCCCATTTGCAGGATGAGAGATGAAAGGGGCTCAAATATGGCCGACACGGGCCCGGGTACTCATTAAACCAGGACCAGCGGCCGTGCCACACCATTTGTCGTCAAGACTTTTGGGCAGATTCGATGTGAATTCCACATGATGTCAAGCGAACCCCAATTTAAGGTTGTTTCGTCACAGCATGGCAGAAGCGTAAACAAAGTGACAAAGTCACGGGAAGAACGGAAACGTATCCCAGCTCCCGATCTCGCATTTGATACGCCAGGCATTGACGCTTATACGATTTACATGAATACTAGTAGCAGCGTACAAGGTATTCCTACAGCCCTGATTACTCACTAACAGGAGTGTGTAAAAAGGGGAATGTATCCCGTCTTCGACATTCCCCCCCCATCGCCCTCATTAAAGAGGACCCAACGGGAGGCGAACTTCCTATCGAGGATTATTACTCTACAGAGCCGATCAGCCCCAGAAGGGGCCGAAGGCAACAATCGCCGTGGGATGTGTCATAAAGACAGGACGATGGTCGTGGCAGGCTCCGATGCTTTTTTGATGAAGAAGAAAAAGACCAGAGGATGAGAATTTTTCGCGCGCTTTTGTAGTTTCGTGGGGTCACGTGATCGGGCCGTCGTTTCTCCTGACTTGTGGGCCACGATGTGGATCTCTTCACTTTTTACCAACAAGTGCAGCATTAAAAGCTCCATTTGGCTCCATTTTAACAGTTCCATCGGTTTCTACTGTACTCCATAGCTCAAGGAATCAATTCATCATATCGTGGCTGCAGCCACTGTATTCAGTTAATGTACAAAACGAGAGTCTAGCGAACTCGCTCTCTCGAAAACAACAAATTACCATTGCATGCCCACCAATAACCCAGTTCATGCGCCCATAGAATCCATGTTTCCAAGTGGTATGGCGGGTAAACGTTGATCATGGATCTCTGGGTCAAAGGATGAGCGCCAAAAAGTGGCTGACCAAAAAAGTCGAGGATGTAATGAGATGAAGACCTATCCAAAACTGTCAATAGCAGTCCATGGGGTGCACCATCGGAATGTACGCACCAGTTCCTCATCCCAGTGATGTTTGTTCGGCACTCGATTTCCAAACGGCGCCTCCAACGGCATAGGTAATGCCCAACGCGATCGCGATCATCGTTCCAACGGTGACAATGGCGATAATGGCCTTGAAAATCATGCGCTGTCTGCTACTCAAGGAATGAAGGCAAGAACGGGGCTTAACATTGCCTTCCCACAGCTTCGATCGCCGAGGGCTCTCGTTCCGAAAGGTGTATGGTCCAGCATTTTCGAGGTCTCGCAGTCCGCTCCCGTTCCGGCTCGCGTTCTTGCTCTCAAAGGTAAGGTGTTCATAAGAGATGGTTGGTGTGCCATGCGAGTAGAATGGTGAGTAAGGCTTCGCGCCGATTGACGGATCAAAGTCCAAAGATCGTACACGCTCGATCTCAATTCGGGGGGTTGATTGGATTGATAAAGGAGGAGAGTGTGTCTGCGAGGTTGCTATATGTTTGTCGTCGTTGCTCTTGATGGACGCGGCCACCTGGGCTCCAATTACTCCAAGGCCGTGAAGACTCATTTTGTCGCGTGCTGTATCGTGTTGTGTCTGTGGAGGATGTTTCGTCCAGATTGGAAGATCTGTGACAGATACTTCCTGGACGTCCTCCGGCGAGACGGATTCCTGAAAAACTTGAAACTTCACTTGATGACGGCAGGTTGGTCAAAACTGGCGACTAATGAATGACTTGGGTTGGGGATGACACTTGTTGGGAAAACCCCATACATAAACAATGCAGTGTAAACCTGGAATGCGCTCACGCCCGAGCGGACTGATCACTCAAGTGACGAAAACAGACAAGTCATAATATTGATGGCTGATATTGGCATGTAAAATGTGGTGTTGTGGAAAGAGTGCAAAGAAACTCTCAGGCGCAACAGGCTTCCTACATAACTTCTCTCACTTGACCCATGATTACAAGAATTTCTATTCATTGCATCAGAACTTGTTCTCACTACAACCTCCCTGTGGCAATCTCAATCGCCATCTCTCTTCTCACGTTTGGTCGATTTGTTTTCATCCCTAGATACAGATTTTCCCGCCACCTTGAGAACATTCCAAGCTCCTGTCAAAGTAGGGATCAGCTACCCCCCTAGGGATTAAAGCTTCTCATTGGCTCACTAGCATCGCCATGCAACCCCATTTGTCAATTTCTTTTTTCCCTTCATCTCCAGATCCTAGGCTGCTTCCGGCGACCCGTTGGAAAGTGCGGGGAGGTTTCACACCTCCTAGGCCTCAAGTTGCGCAACTTGTTTTCTGCTTAAGCTCATACCTACACTAATACGATGAATCTCAGTAGTTCCATTGATTTAAGCTACTGAAAAGAAAGTCCCCATCTTCTCTTGCACTCGTAGTATTGATTCTCAAGTCTCAATATCTGCCCCCTATCACAACAATACGATATTCCGTTTTCGATCTTTTTTTTCAGTCCCAGGCTGATTGCAGTCAACATGATAGGGGGCTGTGTCAGCTGTCGCCTACCATGGTCTTAAAAGAAAACACATTAGCAGCATTCTCATATCGCCTCCCTGGATCTGCTTTCGTTGCGCCCAGGTTCCTGCCAATTTTATGTAATCCATCGCGTAAATGTGACACTTTACTAGACAACTAGAAAGAATCTCAGATGGGCTACAATTTCAGAGCTGGGTACTAGTAGTCTTTCATCTTCATTCATTCTCATAGATGGCCTTTCTCTCCTTGCTCAAATTGAAATTCATTTTCACTCTTGAATATGCTGGTGAGTGCACATGTGGAAGCTCCGCAAATACATTGGTTTTTCCTGCATGAAGTGCATGTAAATATATTTGACCGCTAGTGGTATTGGATCCACAACCACATATGACAACTTTGTACATATATGTACTCCAGGTCTAACTTTATTCCAAAACATAGCCGTGCATAGAGGGAGGGTACATTTAAAAAGAAATAAATGTCGAATTTGTACGGACGGATTTCTATCAATGTATGTACGCATAATGGCAATCTTTCAAACGTCAATCAGACGAGTAAACAAGCATTTGCATGTTTCCCGAGGCCCCGAAGCCTCAACATTTGCGCTCGTTGATGCCTCCAGACGTTTTTGAAGCACTCCAGCGCTAGGTATATATATCTAGTTGAACATTTGACCACTTGAAAATTGGAATTTCCAAACATTTGAATGTTCGTGCTAGGTGTCCACTAGAGGGACACTTCCAAAATTTGAAGGTTTCAAGATCTTTGAGGTCACATGTGCAATGTCTTCAATGTTTGAAGCTTCCAATTGATATTGATTATCCCGACCATGGCCGGGAGGTCCCACCTGCCTACCACTAGCAATTTGACTGTGACTGATGGTCTGGATGCCGGTATTTTATGAGTTTCAAATACTGTAGCCCCGGAGCAGCAACAGTATTCAGGAAAAATAGAGTATCCATACGGACGGCTTTTCGACAGCGGTATTTAGAGATGAAGTGGTTTTTCTACGATATTCAGATGAAGACCGTAGACATACTGGATTCATTACATATAAAGATATGCTCACTAAAACTTCCTAAAATGCGTCCTAGTATTTCACATGTGCATGCGTATTATTTTCTGAATACCATACATACTCCGCTGACCTCAGGGCATGACACCCCAAGGCCGGGATCCGCGCTCCGTCTCTGCCTCTCAGCTTTTAAGGTTCCAAGATTGTTCGCACGTGCGGGCTGATTGAGGTCACAGACGGAGATTCCAGCTTTGGGAGTTATTACACCTGGCGCCAATGAACAAGACATGCCACTTGAGTATGTCCCTGAATGCCTTGACCTTTCAAGGTTTCTCATCTGATCGGAAGATGCAACAGTCGCAAACATTTGAACCTTGGGCATTCTCTACGTACTAGATACACATGACTTTACGCGCCATCCCAAGTTCAAATTTAACCCCAAAATACCGGTGTGATAGTTTGGTTGCGAACAAGGACATCGCCATCAAGTGTGTTCATCATGCCATTATATCGCGTGAAATGCTTAAAAGGTTGAAATGATTCCAATGTTGAATATTTTGTTGATCACAAACTTATAAACACATGATATGACGTTATTTTTTACCAATTCATGAAAGAATCATGCGAAATCCAAATTAACAAACTGCGATAGTCAGTATTAATTTTATTCAAAATTTTCAAAGATCCAGACAGCCACTTACTTCCAATGACACCGTTCACAGGAATATCAATTGATGTAGTATACGAAGCAGCATCACTCAACAAGTAGACATAGGCACCACCGAGCTCCTGTACCTCAGCCAGTCTCGGGAAGCCGCCATAATACTTGAGCTGTTGCTCCCAATCAGGCTGTTGTGGAACCCAGTATGTCATAGCAGTGTTGACCAGACCAGGAGAGACACTGTTTACACGAATGCCATGTTGAGCCCACTCCATAGCCAGGGTGTGCGTCATATTGCGGATACCGGCCTTTGACGCGCCGTAGGGGGTGGACGGGACGCGCTGCCAAGAGTTACAGTTAGTCCAAGTTGTGAAACAACAAACAAAACCGAATTATTTCTACGGACCTTGTTGGGGCGGTAGGAGGCCATGGAAGCTGTAAAGACGATCGCCCCCTTGATTCCAAGCTTGATGAATGCCCGGGCAGCACACCTGGCTGTGTAGAATGCTCCAAATAGCTGATACATTCCTGTGAGTTAGCCAGGGATCGATCAATCGCGAAGAGCAAAGGTGACGAAAAAAAGAACATCAGTAAGGGAGCTCACGTTAACAGAGAAAAGCGACTCGATTTCCTCGGTCGTGAAATCCAGCGCCGACTTGTGGTTTGTCCGACCTGCATTCACGACCATCCCATGGAGAGCCCCGGCCTCCTCAACAATCTTGTCCACTGCTGTGGAGATACTGGCCTCTTTAGTGACATCTGCCTGGAGGGCGAAAAGTTGACCCGGAAAGCGCTTGGAGAGCTCTGCAAATTCCTCGCCTGGTTCGCCGATATCGATGGAGTAGATGCGGGCGGCTCCGTTCACTAGACAGCTTTCTGCGACACCGAGGCCGATTCCACGGTTTGCACCAGTGACTGTACAGATTGTGGGTTAGAGGCCACCTCAGAAAAAACATGCAGGATGTGTCCACTCACTTGCAATAACCTTGGAGTCTAGCGCGATCTTGGTCTGCGGCTCGGAAGGAGCTGACTGTGTGGGAGTAGAGGAAGACATGTTGTGGATTGTCGGTGTCACTTATTTGGAAGACCTTTATTTATTTTGTATAGCAGCATGAGGGACTGGCATTCTGCGACTTTATAACCCCAGCTCTGGGCTCATGACGAAGCTTGTTACATTGAGGACACGACGCGGGAGCGCGGGGTCACCTTTGGCCCTCGCGTCGAGACCAAGACGTTGTACAAATCTGTGGTTTAAAATCAACCATGGAGGATCGTTGATGTACTTGGGAGCTGAGCGCTGATTGGCACCGCCGGAAGTGGGGAGCATCGTGGGCCTCGAGTCGAGCACTTTTGCCCCGCACGGAGATGGTCCGATACTATGATGGCATCAATTGATTGATGAACTTTAGCCGACATGGAGTAATAGAAACCAATCTTTCATTTCAAACTTGACGCGTGTAAATAGAAATATTTCTTCAGGATTGTCATATTTAAATTTTAGAAGACTATTCTCGAAGATAAACGAGTTACATTATTGATTATCGAAGACTATGTGCATACCGTGTTACTACGACCCCGACGCCAATGACAGATCTGGGGAGCAGGATAACACATGTGTAAATTAAAATATCCCCCCACCCAATTGATGCTCATTTCCAACATTGAAGGTATTATCTAGCCACATGTGCTCGGATAGTCTATAACTACTAGTGAAATGAGTAACGTTGAAGTTGTTCAAGAATTTAAAGCATTTAGGCTAGTCTTTACATAGGATATATAGCATCGTTAGATTTCATCAAATCGTTCACTCCATGTCCATATCGCACTCATCATTATCATAATCGCCCCAGAACTCCTTCAAATCTTCGACACGCCATGCAGTAGCCCATCCAGTCTCATGCTCGATCCGGATCAAGGTATCCACGATAGCTGCATGCTCAGAGTAGTGCGACATTACCTTCCCGGCAATCCAGAGAGGCTGAAGTGCATTGGTCCAGCAGCCACTGTATCACAAATTAGCAAATAATCACAAGTCAAATGCGGCCAGACAGGAAGCTGGCTTACTGGTGTGCATTCGAAGCAGATATAGCACAAATCTGCCGAGCATGCCATAAAACCGATTTCTATGAGGTAGTGAGTAGAGAAGATAGAAAAAAAAAACGACAAGTGAATGACAAACCGGTTTCTTCGAAAGCTTCAATGTCTTGGGTTTTCGTTGAAGTAATAAGAGAGCGCAAACGTGGTAAAGCTGGTTGCCAGAGACTAGGCGGCGTCAGTATGGACCGTATATCTTCAGTCGGGTCTGGCACGTACTAGCATCTCCATTCCCGTATAGAACTGTGGGGAATGGCCTGTCTTTCCCGGTGTACCCGGGTGTAGCGACTGCGACCGTGAAAACGGGTTTCATCTGACTGGGCCGATTCTCATACCACAGCTCTGCATGGCGAAATACTTCCTGCCAACGATGTATATACGAGTTTCCTTCTTCGTCTGTGGATGATGGGCATGAGGTACAGGGATGGGCAGTTTTCGACCCGCCAAAAAGAACTCCAAGTGTCTCTGCACAAAGATAAACGGTGTAATTGGCATATGCATCGAAGTTGTTTTTTGCCGAAGACAGAAACAGCAGAGATGCTTCTACGCAACTCATATCCCGCGGCCTCCAATTATGAATCGGGATGATAGTCTCTTCCTCTGATATGAGGCCACCGCAAAGGTCTGGAGAGTCATTAGCAATGGACAGATGTAGCCTTGGAAGACGACGTACCCATTCTCGCAAAGCACCAGAACAGCGCCTGCTCTTCTTTTCCGGAGAACCCATTGATACCAGCTGCCTGAATAAGATACGCACAGCCATCTAGATGACGGCGCCATTCTTTGGGATTACCTGGGGAAAGTCAGTAGGTGGCAGGAAGATCGTATACGAAGATACATACAGCTCAGCATTTCCAAGACGCACAGAATAACACAAGAAGCAATGACGGGCGTTGTTTTGTTTTCCAACGCCGGCAGTAGAAGGTGTATAGCCTCCTGGTAAAGCGACAAGCTTTCTGACTGAGACTTTTCATTCTGCAATCTTTCGAGTTGCCGCGCTGATAGTGCAAGAATGGAGTAGCGAAGATGCGGTGATGTCTTCGCCATCTGGGGAAAAGTAGAAGCGAAGTGATGGTTGTTATCAAACATGTCGAGCTTTCGTAGTTAGCCAAGTCCTGACAATTTTCCCAGTTCAGACAGAGGACTCACCCATGAGCAAATTTCATTCAAGTAGTTCTGCCAAAGGATATGTTCCCGCTCAGGGGAGAGATCAATGAATCTTCCGGATCTTGAGCGCCGTGACTCTCTTCCTGACCTGCTGAAGGTATCCGAGTCGCTGAATGGCGTGGGTGTATGAAGGTGAGATATCGAGCCCCGGGGACTACACAGGTTTGTGACGTCAGGTCTTGCAGTCCATAGTTGGCGATTTCGTAGGGTGGTATGGAGCGCTTCGTAGGTAGAGCCAGGAAGAAAGACATCGTTTGTGAAGTCCGCCGGATCTGAAAAAATACCGTGATTGAATATAGGTGAATGAGATTGAAATGAGCCTGACACTGAAGGCTGGAAATGTGGGCCATTTGTAAGATTTGGGAGTGTCGCTAGGTCATCTATCACAAATTCCGGGCTGGAATTCAGATAGGCATTAGAGGAGGCATCGTCGTGTAAAGAATGTGGCTCAAAGTGACACTGGATATCGCTCGGATACTGTTCCTGTATATTGCCGGCGTGTAGATCAATCCGACCAACACTTTGCTGATTGTTAATATGGTGCGTAGATTCATGGCCAGACAGCGGCGGCGACAACCCCTGAGTCTGGCCAGGATTGGTACCGGGACTATGAGTTGCAGTTCCAGGCGAGTGAATTTGATGACCTTCGTTGGCGACATCAGGTGGGGGCGCAACATCGTTGGTCTTTGAGGGTGATGGAGATGGAGACAAACAGGGCGGTTCTGACTGATTGAGATTTAAACTCAGATCCAGAACCGTCTCTGTTTCAAACTGCCGTTTAGTGCCCCTCGTGCGGGGCATATTTGACAAGTTATTCAATATCTTGAATTTGCTTTGACGTTTATTATTGCTGACAGCCCCTCCCTGACTCATGGAGGGGTGATTCGATTCCAACACCTTAATATTCGCATCACGAAATGAACCAAGTATGCGCCATTGACAATCTTCCCCGCGACGATTACAGCCAGTACATGCTGGCTTGACTTCATCACATTTTCGCCGTCTACGGCTGCAGTTGAGACACCCATTTCGAGTGCGCCTCTTGCGCTCTGCCAATTTGGTACCATGGGCCATCTCTGGGGCTATATGTGAGTGTTCCTTGTCCGTGTTGCTGCACTGCAGAGGACTGCTGGGGAATGTGTTGGCTATCGCCATTCTAGGAATCTTTTCCTGGGGTGTTGATGGTTGTAGAATGACGGAGGATGAATGGGAGTAAGATTACTTGAATGGGAGCGTTTAAGCGCGTCCTCGGGCCGGACGTATGGGGTATGCGACGTGATTGGCCAGTACCCCGAGTCGAGCCGATTTGTGGGGATTTTACATCGCGGGGGTTTCCCGAGACGTGGAGACGCGGCACGCCCTTGGCTTGGTCCTTGGAAAACTGTTGAATTCGTTGCTGGATTACGCCGTTCATTTGCTTGGCAGCGTAGTGAAGAATATAGAAGACAAATGTATGAGACAAAACTCCGAAATAAATACAAATTATTCAACATGTTGTGCGGCTTCGACCCCAGCTTCTGTCTCCTTTCCACAAGCAATGCGAGTGTCGACATCGCCGGCCATACCCATAGATGGCTGCCAGTAAAGTTGGACCTTGCCACCGGTGAAGAGCTTGTCGATCTGCTCCAAAGTGAGATTGCGCGTCTCCGGGTAGAAGAAGTAAATAAGAGGGAGGAAGCAGAAGTTGAAGACTTTGGCGGAATATTAGTTAGCGCGTTCATTGAAACATGCGAGACAGTGGTGCGTACCGGCAAAGTAAATGTATGTCTTATATCCAATGTTTGAAATGCTGACCGGGGTAATTTCCACAACCAAGAATGTGCAAATCCCTATTTATCTTTTGGTAAGCGCGAGCGAGTGAAGTGGGGTTGAGAAATTCCATACAATTAGTTGCAGTGGCAAGAGCCGCTGATTGGGTTCGGATAGCCAGGGGGGAATATTCGGCCGGCACTGGATTGCGTTGTTAGCAACCACATTGTAATATGGCGAATTGGAGGCTCGGGGTACTTACGGAGCCAAGGAATAGCTAGGAGGCCAACGCCGAAAAAGAAGTTGAACATGAATAGCATCACGGTCGCAACAAGGCCCGCTGCATGACCACCATTCGAAACAGTGCCTGCCAAAATAGCCATGCAACAGCCTTGACCAACCACCGCAAACATCATCAACTTTCGGCGACCAAGTCTACATTCAATTAGCGAGATTCAAAATTCAATCAAAAGAGTGCTTCATACCGATCAATAACCCAAATGGGAACCAATGAGGAGAAAAAGTAAGCAATGCCATTAAACCCAGACAGGAGCAAGGCGGTGTTATGCGACATGCCCACAGACTGTTCAAAAATCTCTGTTGCATACTGAACGGAAGTTAGAAATGGCTCTTTCATTCGTTGAGAAAGTTAACTCACGTAGGTAATTAAGTTGATTCCTGAAATCTGCTGCATCATTTGTCCGCCCATGCCCAATAGAGTTCGGTGCAGGAACTTCTGGTCGCCATTCTGGAAGATAAGCTTGAAAGAACCTTCGGCGGAGGCCTCAGTTTCATCTCTGATTGCTTGCGAGATTTCTCGGACATCAATGCCAACAACAGCGTCATTTTCGTCAATTTCCTTGGCATTTTCTTGGAGTCTCCAGATGACATGGCGTGCTTTGTCTTCATTGCCATGTTTGATCAGCTGATGAGTTGTTAGTATTGATAAAGTTTTTCTCTTTGAAAAAAGAAGCAAAAGGAAATAATGCCTGTGATCTTACCCAGCGAGGAGATTCAGGGAGAAACATAACCCCGATGAAGGTTAGGATAGCAAAGAGAATCTGTAAGGCGATGGGAAAACGGAACTGCACTTCACTCTCAACGAAGCTGAAGCCATAATCTGGACAATTGTCAAATTAGAACCAGAGAAATAGTTTTCAAGACCGATCTATACTCACCAACCCAATAGGACATCATAACACCAAAAATGTTGATTCCCAATTCAATGGCAAGCTAACTTCATGTTAGAAGTTGTCCTCATGCTGGAATTCCAAGCCAACATACCCCTTTACCACGACTCGCAGCTTTGCTCAATTCCGAATGCCAGACCGCTGGTTCAAGTTAGCAGGGATTGTGAATTTTGAGAAGACGAGTTCTTACGGATAGTACTGGTGTTGAGACCATTGCCAACTCCCGCAACAATTCGTCCAACGATGAGTTGAGGGATCCCATAGGCACTGCATTGAAGAGCAGCGCCAATGCTTAAAATGACACACCCAGCCAATATGCACTTGCGTCGTCCAAGTCTCTCACCAACAAGTAGAGAAATGATTGCACCCAAGAAGCAGCCCTGTCCATGTTAGTCTCGTCAAACCACAAGTATCGGTCCCAGCATACAATTTCATAGATAGCAACGCTGTAGGGAACAAAAATGAGTTAACATGGCCCAACAGCTGAGTGGAATAAGCACTTACACTGTTCCTTGCAAAGATGAACTTCCATGACCGGTTGAAGTGGTGTCAATTTCGGGAAATCTCGCGGTGAATGCATCACCGCTTAATAGACCAGACATAACACCCTGGTCATAGCCAAATCTATCATGAACTGGTAAGCAGAGAAGTCGTTTTGGTTTTTTTCAATCGCTTGCACTCACAGCAGAAAGCCGCTGCCAGCAGTAGCTGTGATGGCCCATTGCAATGATGTCCCCGTGAGGAATGACATGACGAATTCAGAGTCTCTCCCAATAAATCTCAATAAGTATAAATCACCAGGCCGGAATTGTCTTAGGCAATAATCGAAGAGCAGATACCAGACCACGTGTATCCAGGCATCCCCCCTGGCAGTGGGGCTTTCAACTCTTTATAACATGCTTAGAACCATCGGTTCGGGCTAACCTCCGCAAATCGGTGGCGCCACAAAACATGTCGTAACTATGGGCCGGGGGAATCTTAAATGCCCCAGAAATGACGCCGTGGTGTGGAAAAGCGGGTAAAGTCCGTAACGCGGGGGGAAATGGGGAAAGTCCAGTGATATGTCCCGCATAAAGTAAGAACTAGACTAGTCATGCATTTGTTGATGCTTGACGTGGGTATAAGTACTAGCAGCATGGTCAGACTCAATCCACGTGCCAGGAAGCCAAATGTGAACAGCGATCCATTAATATCAGGCTATAAAGGCGCCTCGCACTTTCAAATGAAGCTCTAGCAAATTCCTGAATCTGGATTCTGCATCAAGATTCAAGATTCAAGCCGTTCCTGGGCCGAAGAGAGTGGGTCGTGCCGAGTCTGTCAAAGTTCTCCGTATGACTCGGTACTCATTCTCGGCTAAACAAGTAAAAGCCTCAACGGCGCTTCGGGTTAACACGTTGGGAGAATTTCCTAATTTGGCCAACCACAATCTCATTCATCTCCTTCCAACTGCACATCTTCACCCCCACATCATTAGAGCTCCATTTTGATTCCCCGTATTTGACCCTCAACCCCCGCGGTCTCGATCACTTGCCTTAAAGGGTAACTCTTTGCACCTCCAGATCATACCTGACTCTCTATTAACCCACACCATTGATCGAACCACCCTCAGGATTCAGGACTCAGGACACACCATCATGATCTGTTGGGCGCAGACGAGGATACTGGAAAATAACTGGAGACCAGTGAACACATCATTTGTCCTTGGAGCGTTCCACTGTGGTTCCCAATAATTATTTCCCTAGTTAGGTCATATCTAACCGCTCAGCTCCAGAGCTACTGCTTAATAGGATGTGAGATAATTTTCTTATATGAGGGGCGCACCCTCATGAAATTTCCACTATTTAACTATAGAACAATTCACTCCATACAATCTCCAATCGCATTTCTCCTCTGTTCAAAGCCTACGCGAAAACCGTCCTACCAAAATGGCTCCCTCTATCACCCTCGACCAAACCTACCCTCCCGTCGTCCCCGAGTCCAACGAAACCCCCGCCGCGTTCGCTCCCACCAATGACCTATTCTCTCTCGCAGGCCGCACAGTCGCCATCACCGGCGGTGGTCGTGGCCTAGGAATGACACTGACCACCGCCGTCCTCGAAGCCGGTGGTGATGTCGCCTGTATGGATCTTCTTCCCGAGCCAGGCGCCGAGGAGTGGAGTGCCGTCCAGAAGCTCGCCAAGTCGAAGGGTCTGCAGGCGACTTATAACAAGTGCGACATCACCGACGAGGAAGCTACCAAGGTCTTACTTGAGAAGATCGCGACCGATGGAAAGGCTCGTAACATGCCCTTGCGTGGATTGATTACCTGTGCTGGAATTCAGCAGATGGTACCTGCTCTGGACTACCCTGTTGATGGGTATCGTAAGATGCTTGATGTCAAGTGAGTTTTATGCGACGTTTCAATACGAAAAAAAAGAAAGAAACAATCGAAAGGAATTGAAGGCTGACGGTTGGTTGTCCAGCGTACTCGGAACATTTATTCCTGCCAAGCACTTCTCACGCATCTTGGTTGAAGAGAAGGCCCCCGGAAGCATCGTGATGATTGCCTCAATGTCCGGTCAGATCGCCAACCGGGTACGTTGTATTAAGTGAAAAGCAAGGAAATTTAATAATTTACTGACTTTTGGTTTGTAAAGGGCCTGACATGCACTGCCTACAACTCATCCAAGGCCGCCGTCCACCAGATGTGCCGATCGGTCGCCCAGGAATGGGGCCAGCACAACATCCGCGTGAACACTTTATCTGCCGGGGTAGGAATTCACAGAATTGTTTTCAAAATTGGGGAGATTGTGTCGCTAATTTTCGACGACAGTACATTCGCACTGCTATGACAGATGCCCTGCTGAAGGAGAAGCCCGAAGTAGAAGAGACATGGATGCGCGGCGCTCTTCTCGGTCGCTTGGGCGCGCCCGAGGACTTCAAGGGTCCAACCATCTACATGCTGACTGATGCCAGTGCTTGGATGACCGGCGCCGACCTCCGTGTCGATGGCGGACACTGCGCGTCGGCGTAGAGTTTTTCAATTGAATGGGATGATGAAATAGATGAGATATGCTTATCGGGGCGTTAATAGATGTCATTGGAGAAGGCGGTACGTATAGAACGACATGCCTATGGATTCCAATGTTGGTTCGTACTGGCCAAGGTACTGGCCAAGAATTAGAATATATGAATTGTTCAAAATTTGAATATAAAGAACGCTAGCGTATGTATCCATGATTTTTTTTTCATGCCAATTTGTATAAGAAAAAACGCATCATCATGAAGCGCAATCCAGTCTATCGCCGTCTGGGTTTCTCCAACCCAGACAGGTCATCGTGGAAAAAAAGAAGAAAATAAAGTTGAGAAGGTATCCTGCCGCTCAATACTTGAATAATGCCGAAATAGGGACGCTGTCGAATAGGAACCTGAATAAAGAGCAAAGAAACGTGAAAATTTCGTTATGTGCTTTGATGAAGCGAGTTGGAGGTTCCAAGGTTGGATGGCTGAGGAGCTCTGACGATAGGTCGGACCGAAGGAATGAGCAGTTTTCCAAGCTGGAACTTGAAAGTGGAAGCAAGACCGCAAAACAAGAAAAGTTCAAGAAAGAAACATCCCCCGAAATGTTTTTCAGACGCCCATCATCGGCCTTTTACTACTTTTGGATGCCGGTGGCATCTCTCTGAGTAATCAAAGAAAATCGTAAATAGGAGAATTGATGCCCCATGGCGCCCCAGTAAGGGGCTGGGGCACAGAAAAATCACAGACTTAACTTTTCGCTCATCCAGCACCGAGTTGAACGGTGCGGGTTATCAAGGGGCAACGCCACCGAGTGAACGTGAGAAGACCACTAGCCTAGGAAGGGTCGCTGGTCATTAGAGATAGTCAGTCATGCGAGGAAAGTTTAATGAGATTCCGAGCATCTCATCAACGCTGTTTGTCTGTGATGTTGTGAGAAATTGTTTGCCAAGAAACAGCATGTTGTTACCAACCAGAGTTAGAAGCTCGGGCGCGATATGAGTAGGTAGAGCCGGCGGGGCTGGCGAGTCGGGCGAGTCCATCGAGTTTGGTTGGAGGAGTGGGAAGTTTATTGCCTGATCTAAAAATACTGCGCACTCGAGATCGGGCCACGTCAGTGGCATTTCGCCAGTGAATGGATCTATAGAATGTCTCGATTAGCTACTGTCGTATTTCAGCTTGATATCGCCGCCCGACATCGATCATACCTTTGGGAGACTCCGGAGCAAGGTCTGGAATGGGTTCTGCAGCAGGCTTCGGGACAGGTTCAACGCCAAGGCTGCCCGGGTTGGGTACGTCGTTTGACTGGGTGTCGTTTTGCTGCTCGTCGAGCTTTTGGAAGATCACATAGATCGCTTGGGTCGTATTGGCGGACTTGGGGTACGACTCACCCGCTTCGGACCAGATGGCGTATGAGGTCTGCAGAGCGTGGATGATTGCGTTACGAACGGGTTCCGTCAGTGGTCGTGATCTTGGGTTGCTTTTTGGGGTGTTCGAGACGTCGTAGTTCAGTTCCAAACATAGCAGAGTTGTTCCTAGCAGCATCACTCCTCTCATGATGGGCGAATTGACCTTCCACTTTTCGCGGAAAAGGCGTCCCCCAGGCTGCGATTCTTGATGCATGACACGATGATACTGGAGGATTTTGAGAGCCGCTCCGATGCAGGTGCTGCGGGAGTATGAATATCTTTCATCGGATCTGGAAGCGGCCAGGTATCGATAATGAAGAACGCATCTTGCCTTTGCTAACAAAGTCACAAGTTGAATGCGATGAAGGATGGTCTCTGGTGTGTCCATGAGAGATTGATTCAGGGGACGCTCCAACAGGAATTCCGGGTTTTCCAAGTATGTGTCGAGCAAAAGCTTGTCCAGGCGCATTACTTCTGCGTAGTTGGGTCTCCGAATCGATGTCGAGAAATCGGTAATAATGCCGAGCATTGTGGTCAGTTTTGTCTTGGCGACGAGCCACTGGCAAGGTGTTGAGTATGTGATTGGGCGGGAAGGTGGTAGCTCAGTTGTGTCCTCGTCGAAATCACTATCCAGAAGATTCCTCGGAGGTGCTGTGTCTGACTGGAACTCCCGCAGTAGCCGTGGGAGTCCGACGGATAGTGAAAGCATCACATCAAGGTTGGTGACCGTGGCCCAGACCCTTCGTCTCATCTCGCCTTGGTAAGGTGTAATATCGGGGAAATGAGACGCATCGCGGTGATAGCCCATGCGTTGAGCAAGACGCGTAAGAATGCCCAGGATGATGAGGCTATTCACCTCGCCATCTCCAATTTGATTGAACTGTGTACTCAAAGTAAAGCAGATGGTTTCAATTGTATCGGGGGGACAGTCTTGGTATCTACCAAGTACCAAGCATTGGTGCACCTTCTGGTCGAACCTTGTGATCAACTCGTTCCTGTTCTCCACACCATCGGTCTGGAACATCAAAGCAAGAGACATTGCACCATAGAACTTTCCAACCCACATTATATGTGCACTGGCGGGGTTCTCCCAGAATCGGTCATACTAAATGCGAAGGTCAATTGTATTCCTGTAGATTCAAACTGACAAAGTAGAATTGTCATACCTCTTTCAAAAATGTGGGCCCATGAAGCACTAAATTGAGTGTCAGATGAAAGCTCTATAACTTGTTCGGAGTGGTATGTCATACATGGTAGAGAGGTGTAATTCAAGTAATCAGCGACCAGTCTGTCGCAAGTTTCTCGAGGAGGAAGCCCTTCCAGGATTTCGCCATGTGTTGTGGGCTCACACTGGGGAAACACCACCTCTGATGAGCTCTGTGTCCAGTCGGACTGGTTCGCAAGAGCTGAAACCTCATTTTGTACAGAGTCCTTGAGCTCGGTGATCTGTTATACAGATTAGCTGAGGCCCACTTCGCTAGAACGCCCATAACTTACCCCGTCTAAGATTGCGGTCCAGTGCGTATCTTGAACATATGTGGTTTTGCTGTCTTGCATTGAAATATGACCAACCGCTTCAGATGCCTCACTTTGGGTATCTCCTTCGGCTTCTGATGTCGCCTTGTCTTCATCATCGCCGAGTGGGTCTTGACTTTCAACCTGTTCGGGGTTATTCTTTTTATTGGCATCATCCACGATAGCCGCAATCAACTTCTCCAATTGCTCGATACGCTGCGGTAGGGTTGATCTTGGTGGTGGTTGATCTTTGGAAATTCGCCCGGTCGCACCTGCGCTGGCAGGATACGTGCAAGACAGGGGGAGACCTCGCTCCCTGCAAGCTCCACAAGGGTGGCTTCGATCACATCGTAGTCTATAAAACCTTTAGTTCCTCTGATTTGAAGCGTAATGAATAAATAAAACTTCTGGGGATCAGCGATCCATACTTTCTCCTCCTGCACATATTGCATGATAACTGGGGCTTATCTCGTCGCCGACTCGGTGGAGGAAGTTTTCTCTTTGGCTCCGACATCACGTCTGTTAGATGACAAGAACGACAAACTTGAACTAGAATCCTTGATCTTTCTTTTCTAGTCCACTCTGGCTTTTATGACTTTGAGTTGAGGGGAACTGATTTAATACAATGGAAGGTGCAGCATACTAGGGGTTTGAGAACGAGGTGGTGGGGACGTGATTGTCCGACCCTCCGACCCTCCGCTCCGGCTTTCCCGCATTGACCTTGAACAAATGTACGATCACGATCTATCATATCTGATCTATCATATTTGACATGAAGTCAATGCAGCCCGTGTTCAAGTGGGCCCACTCTTAGATTAATACAAAGGATGAAAGGATCTTTTCGCGGTTGCTTAATTCGTGAATGAGGCTCAACATGGGGGAATGGGGTGTGGGTAAACATCAAAATAACATCTACAAGTCGCGACTCGTTTGAGCCCTCAGGCGGCGCAGAAAATACCTAGGATGTATTAATCAGAATCCCAGCAGTTTTCTTTCTCTTCGTAGCTCTGCAATTTGGAATCGTGATGAGCACAGGGACTCTCGGCTTGGTGCGGGGAGAATGACCCCCTGTTCATGGCTGAAAGACATGGATTTCTCATCAAAAAATGCGGCAGGTCCAAAATGATGGGAAGAAAGAGGCTCGGCTAGAAATGATCGTCCCCCCAATGCCGATTGCCGGAGATGTTATCAATCACCGCGGCTATCTCTGAGTGGACGGGGAAGTTGTCGCTCCATGCATTCGCTGCTGGCATTCGCGCCACCGCTGTTCAATCTTGATGTGTTCTGGCGCGAAGCTTTCGAAAATTACTGGCGACAGCACTGGGGCGGGGTACTCCGTATACGTGGCCCTGCAGCCCAGTGCGGCTGGAAGGGTCCACGGGCCACGATAAACGAGGCATCCAGGACTTTTGTCATGTCAGCATTCAGCCCCCCTCAGGCAGATTTCAAAAAGTTCGACAGGTCTGCTTTCCTCGCGCTGCCTCATTTCCCCCCGTCAGGCATCAAATTTTGAGGGAATTTTTCCACCCTTTCACCTAGTGTGAGCTGTGTCAATAAGACAATTTCCTCAACCAATGACTGCGACCGGGGCAGTTTTGATTTCAAGCGATAGTGGAATGGGCGCGAGACTATTTAATGTGGCGCATGGCCTGTGGCTGTTGAGCTGAGCAAAATATTGATAGTCATGGGTGGATTGGCACGAGAAGGACCGGTTTCCTTTTCCGTCTTCAACAATGAGACACGGAGTAGGAGTGCGGTCCACGGGTACGAACATGTATCTGTGACCGGATACCTCTCGCTTCGGCGCGTTATTTTGAGGATAAAAAAGCCGACTCCTCGACTCCTCTGTTTCATGGCATTTCAGCCGATTAGGACCAGGACCACAAGGACCCGGGTAGTTGTAACTTGTCACAATGGGGTCAAAATCGAATTCCCGTCAGAATGTGATGAACTGTATCAGCTGAATAATCATTAAAAATACCGAAGGATCGGCCGAGGCAATAAGATCGGACAGTAAGATGGATGCGACTCCACATGTCATGATTATCGAAAAATAACAGAAAAACAGACCAAAAATAAACGGCTGCCTGGTTACTCCGGGCGCCGGGCTCCGTAGTGGAAAGTGAATTCTGCCCCAGTAGAAATCTTACATAATCGATTGAGATATTCACCGCCCTGGGTTTCTTTCCAATTGGGATCTTCAATGGTCCCGTGGTTGAACAAAGTCTTCGTTCATCGGGTATTATGTCTTGGGAACCAGGGAAATGGCTTCATCAAATATACAAATGATCCCCGGTAGATTGTGAAACAAAACAACATTCGACTTCAAAAGGCTCGGAAACGTCGGAAGTTGTCAAGTGGGCTTAGCTGAAGGGGCCAAGGAAATCTAGAAGATTGAATCTCACAGCCCTACCCGAATGCCACGCTAAGCTCCGCCAAGGGTTTTACTGTGGCGCCACATGACGTGTCTCAGAACCACCTCGAGAGACGAGAAATCCGGGAACCTTGGTGAGAAAAGCTGAAAGCCTGTTGCTCTCATGGCCCAGGCAGACGGCAAAAAAATCTCGATTTAGAACAACCAATCAAAGCAATCACTAGCAATAACCGTGGTGGGTAATGATTCGTCCCGCTGTGGATCCTACGTAATGGCTCGAAACAATGACCTCGTCGGGAAATTAAGCCTTGAACTGTGAATTTTTTTCTTCAGGGGACCAGGACATACCCAGGACAGGAGAGGATGTACAAGTGAGCTCAGCGGTAAACCAACCAGGCTGAAAGGGATTGAAACATGGCTTATCTGGTGTAAACCTTCGGTGATTCTTTATCAGAATCCAATGATAACATTCGCAGAGGCACGTGGAGTCGCATCAGGTGACCGCCCCACTTCCCAGGGATTGTGCACAGACCACGACAAACAAGAATCCCCTTAAAAGGGGGTTTCTCCATTTTCTCTTGGCCTCTCTTGGCCTGCCAAGATCTTTACTTTGCTCATACTCTTTCTATCACTTTTTCCACCTTTCAATCAACAAGAAGCAACATGTTCGAGGCTATCAAGACTTTCTTCACTGGCCGTGAGGCTACCCAGGAGAACCAGTGGGATGCTACCACCGTCCAGATGCAGCAGCCCAACAGCCCCGCTGGCATGAACGAGACCGTTACCCAGCAGCCCGTATGTCTCTCAAAAGAAGCCTTTTCACATCTTAATTTCAGAGATCTTGAATGTTAACCAACAAATTGCAGACTACTGAGTCCATGAACGCCGTCCACATCCGTGGTGGTGGTGAGGGTGAGGATGTTTGCTGCGGAGTGTGAGTATCATCGAAGACCCGATCATCTCGTATTAGAGCGTTTATTGACTTTCCCTCCCCTTTTTTAGCTGCGCTGGTCTCTGCTGCTTCGAGTGCTGCGAGTGCTGCTGCTAAATTCCCAATACCCACGTTCAGAATGAATGATTGATTGATTCGTTCCGCTCGGCGGTTTTCAATTCCTGTACTTCGCTTATGCCACATATGATACAAATCTGACTTTACCATACCCACGTTACTCGTTTCTTAAACAAACTTGAAGTAGATGCACTCTCTCTTTATACTCAGATAAGAATTCACGCCTCCAAAGACTAAATGTCTGAATTGGCGCTTGCTCATCCAAGTCGCATATGACGTCGTCAGGGGCTGGTGGGGATTGAATTGCGGGGAAATTAAGGTTGAGCATTTGGACTCCATCTTAAACTGCAGTAGTTCAGGGTCCATCAAAGAAACGCCACAGACTACTAGCCACATGTCTCTTCGTTCGATCTAGATGTTCATATAGTGTGGAGAAATCGAAAACACTTACTTCTGGGGCTCTGGGGTACACGTTTTAGCCAACTGGGAACACGTGCGACATAGAAATCAAGACTTTACCAGCCACAACTCGCATTTGAACACTCAATTTTGAGCCACCAAGCGACTTATGATATTCAATGATGGTGTGCTTGCTAATAACAATTATTTGGAGGACGGCCAGAGCAGTGAACTCATATCAAACAGCATGGTGATGCAAATTTGCAGCGAGGGATGTCGCCATCTCATAGATCGCGATGATTGATCCAGTAGTGAACTGTGATCCTTTCGCGTGATTTGTTGATTCTAGTACTACGTATGAAGAGTTTGATTTTTAGGGGAATTGATCCTGTCGCGTGATTGGTCGATCCTGAACGAAGTTTGTGATTCTGGGACGCGTTCAGCGTCTCCCCTGAGGCATAAATACTTCTCTTTCTCTCTCTTCCTTCCTCCTTCCTTCCTCCCTCCTTCCTTCTTCCCCCCTCCATCTTTCCTTCATCCTTCAGTCTCACTCATCATACATTGGACTTTCTTTCATCAACTACTAAGTCATCTTTGATCTTATCTTGTTCATCATATATCCACTTGATATCATCCTTACCTGTACTTGATATCACATCACGTCTATATCATGTGCTCAAAGATGTATGTTTCCCTTTCTTTTCCTTTCCTTTCCCCCCTCCCCCCTTCCCTCATCCATTTATCATTCATGCTGATCTAAAAGTCTCTTAGGTTTCTGGACTCTACCAACCCTTCACATCTTGGTTACCTTGGTCAACACCTTGATCCAAAAGTTATTGAGCTTGCCTTGACACAATTCGAGGTAGTTACCCATGATTGCTCTCAAGATCAATCACCATCAGGTGAGAACTCCAGCGATCTCCCCAAAGCCTCCATTTGGACTGTTGGTGTTGCCGCTTCAGCTGGACGGTGAAGTCCAGGTTGCTTGCCCTTCAGGCCGGGGCCTCTTGATCCGCCCGCGTTTGTTTTAGGATCAATGCCTCCTCACTCACCTCCCCTTTACATCGTCATGACGAGTCACCAGCAATTTGCTGACGGAGGGTATATTTCATTACAGGTCTTGTCTTCTAGCCCCAAATGGCATAATGTCATGCTAGTACACTTTCTCCTCCTCGGAGTCCATGGATATCAGGTGAGAACTCCAGCGATCTCCCCAAAGCCTCCATTTGGACTGTTGGTGTTGCCGCTTCAGCTGGACGGCAAAGTCCAGACTGCTTGCCCTTCTGGTCTGGGGCCTCTTGATCCGCCCGCGTTCGTTTTAGGATCAATGCCCCCTTACTCACCTCCCCCTTTACCTCGTCATGACGAGTGGAAGAACTCACCAGCAATTTGCTGACGGAGGGTATCCTTCATCACAGGTCTTCATATCTTCTAGCCCTGCGTGGTATCAGTCGATCAGGTGAGAACTCTAGCGAATTTCCCAAAAGCTTTGATCTTTCCCTGTGGTTCTATGCTAACTCATTAAGTTTTGCAAGCTCATCTCCTATAAGAGCTCCTGCGGTTCACATCCACACAGCCTCAGGCTACCAAAGCGGCAGTCATCTCTCAGAAGCCTCGAAAACTCCCATATCTCAATTCAGCCCTCGAGTTCGTCACCGGCATCAAACTTCAACCCTTCTTCTTTTCTTTGTCTCCGTATTTTGTGGTGTGGGGGGACAAGCCACGGGTCAATTATGGGCAAGCAGCGAAGAAGCGCTGATGAGGGCGGGCCCCATGGTCAAGACCATCTCACTGAACAGGCGTCACGTATCTGAACAAGGTTGCGTGTCAGGACAAATTCAGTCAGATGGCCTTGACCATGAGGCCCAGCACGGTAACACTCGGCATAAATCTCCGCATCATGAATCATTCTTGTCTTGTCTTTCAATTGCGGGACTAAATGCTGGAGTTCAATGATTGCTGACGTCCCTTTCATCGTGGTGTGGATGGCTGATGCTATGCTGATTCTGGTATTGCGAGGTGGAGGCTCAAGCAACAGGCCAACAAGTTTCAGGAAACGGAACCAGTCCAAAAGCCGGACGGCAAACACTCTCAGCAAGACTCTCAAGCAAAAACAAAAACAAACAAAAACAAACAAACACCAAGCAGCCATTCTCAGCTCCATGACATGGCATCTCTCATCTACCCGGTCTTTGCGCCCCATGTTCTCGCTCAGGTAAGAATTTGCAATCTACTCGATGTTTATTTCCACTTTTTAATTCCTTGGACTAACTCAAGTTCCCAAAGATTCTCAAACGCTCGATTTCACCCACCCTTTGATTAATTCGACCAACCCTTAAAACAAGAAGACCCTCCAATCAGTTGGGATTGAACAGACATGCTAGTCGGATAAAATGAGAGTGGATTCTGTTTAATCTGGATGCTGTGCTGAAGTCGATACGGTGGTTGTTGGTTTTCGCGTCTAAAAAATGATGTTGATGCCTTTGGCTTGTGTAAGAGGAGAGATCAAAGATTTCTTACTTCAAAGACTTGTCAATATAAACGGGCCATGGAATTGGATGGTAGGCAATAAAGTTACTCTCTCTGAATCATTATACGAGTTTCCGTATTTTCTTTGAGAGTAGATCTTGATTGCCATTTGTCGCGTTATTTTTCTTGGCAAGGCCTTGTTACATGTGAGAGTATAGTACCAACATTGAAAGTCCTCCAATGAATGCCGTTTCCAAGCTCTCCTTACCTATTGGGTATCTGACTGAAGATTTGTTGAGCTTTTGGGGGAGCATCGGTGTGTAGATGAGGCTTTCACCCGCCAATCTGAATAACGTCATAATCATTTGGGTCCACGGGCATTCCCGACGGCCAAGGGTCCACATATGCAACCATATGAGGAAGTAGCGCTAGATAGCGATGAAAGCGGTTGATCATGGCACTACTAGATATGAAAGATAGTAACAATTACGCTCAAGTCTTTTGTTTGGCTGTTTTGGAGTTCGCGCGCATAGTAGTATTGATCCAGCTGTGCCAAGAATCAATTATTGCTTCACGCGGTGTGGATAATATCCTTTTTCGGCCTCATCAACATAATTTCCAAGATTATTGGCAGAAGCAAATAGCATTATGTAGTACTTATTGTTGTTTCAATTAAGGTATTTATGGTAATTTGCCGATGAATAACTCCATATCGGGTCTAGATCCCATGACTGCAAGATTGTCACAAGGTTTCTCTCCTTGCGTAAGTCAACATGAACAACGAGAGGGCACACACCGTCTTTAGTCATGTGGCACCTTTTCAGATGAGGCTTACTGGGCTAACTGAGCACATGGATCTAAAGGGCCTGAGCGTGGTAAGCCCGGCAAGTGCCGGTTGCCCGTGGCGTCTTCTTCAACTGGATTCAACTATACCCTTGCAACTAAAATCAAAAAGAAAATAAGCTCATACGCCAATCGAAAACCAACGATCCATTACGAACTCGACTCCATTATTAGGGCTACGAACTCCATCTTGAAAATGTTATCCAACACAATGCTCAATGAAATCGCTGATAAGACCGATATGAGGCCCCGCTTGTGCCGTCACGAGCAGCCAATCCCCACCGATTCCCGCGACAACCTGCCCAATCGCGCGTAGCTTCCCCACGCGATACGAATCAACCCCTCGAATTCTCGATGCAAAGTCCCCGCAGTTTTGCAAGGGGGCTTCGCAACAATCTTGAATATCTTCAAAGAAGATACTGGAATCTTTCATATCCCTGCCGGTGCATCGCCACTAACTTACTTGGGCATCGCGTGCTTCTGATTCCGATCAAGACTGGATCACGAATGATGCAAAGCGTGAACGGTGTAACAAGGTGCTGGCCGCCCCTAGCCGGGTGGAGCTGCCCAATCAGGCTAGTGAAGCGCCAGTTGCGCGCTCCTGATAAGCAAGTGTAATAACCAAGTGGAGAGTGATGGACACCAGCTATATGAATCTCCTCCTCCTCCTCTAAAGCTTGGTCTTGGAATCTCCGAAAAACGACTTCACCTTTGATTTGAATCTCAGAATCACCTTCAACTCTTACCTACTTTCCAACACCCCCCAAGATTGACAAGATACATAGATCTTTACCTCACATCCTCCCATTTCTCATCTTTATACTTCATTTTGGTGTTCACACCTCTCCAACTCTCCTTAGATGGCGGTTTCGTTCTATCCACTCCTACTCCACTCACACGTCTATACCATATCGCTGTCTCAGCCCACTCGCAGATCTAGTAGACCCAGTACGAGGAAATCAAAACCCGTACTGTAAGCCAGTCGACATCTGATTTGCGAGACCGTAGTGGCAAGGCAAAAGAAAAAGAAGCCATGTCAATCGAAATTGTCCCGCTGGCTGAGCCCGATATTCCGGGTACCGTAGACTGTGTGCAGAGTACCTTTGCAGATGATCCTTATTTCCGGTGGGCATTCGACGCGTCCAAGGTACGAGCCACCAGACTCCTTTCTCTGCACATATAAGCGCTTCCCAAAGTGATAGGGAACAACGGAATGCACATCCAAGTCACGTTTCCGATGTTCTGAGCTTCCGAAACCCCCCATAAAGTAACCATCGCGTTTCCTTTAGTTCAAAGCCGAGCGAAACGCAGCTTCGATCGCAGCCCACCTTCAATTCAGCATCAACTGCGGCTACCCCGTTTACATTGCGAAAGTAAGCCGCGCAGCAAGCGACCTGAAATCCAACCACGAGATCCGCCTAGCTCCAGGAACCGTCGTCGGATTCAGCTGGTGGACTCCACCCGAAGCATTCTCTCTCCCACAACCATGGTTCGTCTGGGCGCAAGAATGGCTCCTTTCCTTCCGACAGCTCATGTTCAACATCCGATTCGCCGGCCGCGGAGGCTTAGATGTTCGCCGGTACTGGCTCTGGAAGAAGAGCCAGAAGGACGCGATGGACGACCTCTGGACCGGGCGCGAAGGCTACTATTACTGTAGCCTGCTGGGTGTCAGCTCGCAGGTTCGTGGAATGGGAGTTGGGAGACGGCTTATGGATGTCATTCTGCAAAAGGCGGATGAGGAGGGTGTCTCTTGCTACCTGGAAAGCTCGAAGGGGTATCCCAATATTGCCATCTATGAGAAGATGGGATTTGAGCTCTGCAATGAGATCAAGTGCGATGATAGCGGCAATGTTTGCAAGGTACGTCTTTCGTGGACTAAAACTTCTTTTGGCGACTGACTAGAGCGGCTTCAGCTGTATGGCATGACTCGCCTACCCAAGATCAAATCTTGATTTTACGACTGACGAAGTGACGTGGATGATTGTTTTTTTTTTTCTTTTTCTTTTTTTTTTTCGGTGTAAGCGTAAGGAGATTGGGAAATTGAAATTGATCACATAGCAAGGAATTGCGAGATTCGTATCGACTAACTTCAGATGACTTTCGGTTTTACTTGTTTTGAATAGTTACTAAATTGAATTTTTGACATTTCATTCAGCTTAACTTTAAGATCTGCATTTTCGTACTTCATTCAACGGCCAAGCACAATTTTCAGTATCTACGGTAGATGGTCTTCGTTCTAGTACATGGATTCAATTTACAGTCGCTGAAATTGGGATTAGAATCACAGATCTACTAGATCGACGCACCGCATACCCCAGCGCTTAAAACCAACAATTAAAATGTTTCCTGAACCAACCAATTTAAACACTAATGTACGTGACGAGCGACTTCACTTTTTCTGCATGCGCAAATCACTTTTTCACATCTACTGTACTACCGAGTTTACTCCAGAAACTTCCCTGTCAAACATGCTTTCATGGCGATCCACCCCCGACCGGCGCCAAATGACCACCTCTGGTAACTGGTGCAAACCAGACTCATTGCCATGTTCAGCAAGAAATCTCCATCCAGCTTGGTCGGGTTATTTACTCCGGGCGCGTACTCCCTGCGAAGATTATTTGCGCCCCCAAAGCTCCCCGCTCGGCCATGGTTTTTCCCTGGATGCCATGGTTTTGACGATGAAATCGTGGTAGTGGTATGGCCTGCCGAGACATAAAAGGGCATCTTTGCCCCTTGAGATTCATTCATTCCAGAGCTTCAGTGTATCCAACGAGCAGTCCTCTCTAGTCTCTTCCTTCTGCCTTTTTCTTTGTCGCAACATTATTTTCATCTTGCATGCATTCTGTGATCGAACATACTTTATCTATACTTTACCTGCCTATATCTCCCACAATCATGCCTTCAACTTATCAAGTTCCTCCCTATAGTATGACATCCTTCCCGTTCATGGGATGCGACATACCACAATATATCATACCGACCCAAGATCCCGATCATCACAAATCAGATCTTTATCGTCTTCTTTCTGAATGACATCCTCTACATACCAACATTTGAATCAACTCGGCAATTCCCTTGCCACCCTCGACCCAGGGTAGTTCCTGTTTCAACCAAGATCGAGCTCATTGGTGTGAGTTGCCCACGCCCACGACCACGCCCACGCCAATTTCAATTTCAATGGTAAGAATGAGTGAAAGAAAAACTCAATTAAGACGTCCGCTCATCGTCTGCCTTTCAAGATACCAACAAAGACTGCAATCAATACATGGAAGAATAGGTAAGTTGAAGGTAAGGGCCTGTCCAGGGTAAGTCAGGTTATTCATGTTCCACGACGAAAACACTTTTGCTCATCGCACCTCGATCAACGAACCTCGAGAATCTTGAGCGACTATCAAACTCGCCATATGATGAAATCTACATGCCCAGTTGTTGTCTGCGGTGCCTTCCACCGGTAGGTACAGAATTCAGCGCATGTGGTCCACTAAATTGAATAGAAGCTGATCATCTCATAATTTCCATCTATCTCTTTTATGCGAAACTCTCGAGATACAAGCCTGTGACGAGCAAGGGAATGGGAACTTGAAGAGGACATCAAAAGGTTCAATTTTTTACTTCTCCATCGCATTATTGTCGCTAATCATGCACATGTGCATCAGGCTCCAGGATGCTGGCCTTGCCGAACTACACCGAGATTTCCCACTGAATCTCAGACATTGATGCCCATGTCAATTGTCAATGGGGACCTGGTTCCTTATTTCTTCTTGATGACATCTGGAACAAAGAGGCCCACGGTGGATTAATACGGGTAAAGAACTTTCCCGTCCTTATTTCACCCCGTTTGAAGTAAGTCTGACTGGAGCATTGAATTTAGTGATAACGCGTTGATCACCCACGTCGATCGAATCGTGTTCGGACTTGGAGGGTGGGAGAGAGTTTGGAATTGATGCAGGCTAGAGGCCTCGGATTCCTTGGTTCGGGTGTTCGGCCCAATGATCTACTTCCTGTTTTTGTTTACTTTTCCTGTTGTGTCGATGGCTCCTTTTCTTTCAATTTTTCTTTTTTTTTCTTTCATTTATCATTTCTTTTGTATGTGTCCGGTCTTGACATTTGATCTGAGATCACATTTGTTTTTTGTTTTTGTTTTTTTCTTCTTCATTTTCATTTTCTTGTGCATATTGAAATCTCTTCGTCTTTTTTCTTCGTCTTTTTTCCTATGGTCTTTTCTTTGTCTTTCTTCCTATGGTCTTTTTTCTTTACATTTTTTGCATTTTCTTTCGACCTCAAGAACTGCCATCCCTTGAAGGCAATATTGAGATATTGTTAGGTTCTCATCAAATCCTGACAAATGGAAAGGAATAAAATTCTTTCTGAGCTTCGTTTATTCAAAAGTCCGAATGCTCTAGCGCTTCAAGTGTCATTCTTCTTTAGCTACTTTCGCCTCGCACATGTACCTAGTACAGAGCGCCGCTATGCTCGCTGTACTGTAGTAGCCTAGCAGGACACAGCTGCGGATTCTGAATTCGTGTATCCTAAGTCGATGAATGTCTCGTAATTCCAATAATCCGCCTGGGTCCCCTCTCCATCCACTGTGGCATTCCCTGTGAACTTCGCGGTCCAATAAGCGCTACCCCGAGTATACTTTTTCCATGCAGCAAGGCCAGTCTCAAGTATTTTCGCACGCGACGCTAGTGTGTTGGCGATTTCGGTCTGGATGGACCACTCGCCCACAAATGTCGGGAACTTTCCGTCTCCAGCAGAGCTAATGGCATCTGTGCAGATAAGTCCCGTCACATTGCTAGAACTCGCTGCTCGACCTTCAAAATAATAATTGTGAATGTCAAATACCAGATTTGTTCCGGCGGTGAAATTGGAAGACCAATATGCTTCACCCTTGAAACTGCCTTGGAACATCACTGGGATGCCACTGTTCACAGCCTCAACCTTGGCGATCACTTCATGGATATAGTTTGCCAAGTATGTGGCACCATTATCGGTAAGGCAATATGGTGTTCCGAACAGAGACAGATCTTCAACGTCGACAGGCTCATTTATAGGCTCCAAAGTATACGACTCTGGAAAGTTCGAATTCTGGATGAAAGAAATGGCCGCATCAACAGCTTCCAAGGAATATTTGAGAGCAGTTTGATTGTTGAACCAGCCGTAATGTCCTTCGGCCTCGCCAAAAGGGAAGCCATTCACGCCACCGGGAAGCGAGTGGATATCGATAATGATGTGCATGCCATACTTGTTGATAGCATACGAGGAAATGCTGGAAAGGAAGGATTGTTGGTTGCCATGATACAACTGTGATCCGGGGACATAAACCCAAGCCGCATATGTAGTTGGGATGCGCAGGACGTTCACGCCAGCCGCACCTAGGATGTCAATGTCGGCGGTGGTGATCCAAGTGGCATATCGGCGTTCCAGGATCGGTCCACATAGTGTGCCCTGATAGGCACAAAGACCCCATTCGTCCACAGCACCTCCAGAGTACTGGGCCCACCAATTAGTGTCAATGGTTGATTCCTGCTCAAGCCAACCACCTAAGTTGGCACCGACAGCACTGAAGGTCGTCCAATCGAGGTAACTGGTTGACGCGGCAGGACGACAAAGAGCAAGGCCTGCTAGCAGGGGTTGCAATATGATGGAGTGTATGGCTCTCATTCTTTCAAAATTTAATCAACAATATAGATGAAGGGTTCTTGTGGTTTATCGGTTTTGGGGGCTGACGATTCTCATTCTGCTGGCACCTTGTCATCTTATATACCCCTTCGGGGACTCTGTGAAAGGCGAGGAACGTCAATGGCAAAAATGGATCCACTATAGAAGATCGGCTCTGCAGATTTGATGAAGACCCTTTTTTCATACCCCAAGTTTCATGTTGCGGAGAATTCCTGGAGAACCCCGCGCGGTAAACTACCAGGGCCAGGGTCAAGAAAACTAAATTGGCTCTTCCACAATCCAGCAAGTCTTGGAGCTTGGAAGACGCAACAAACCCATTTTCCTTTTCGCCTTCTCGGCCCATCTTGTCACGAATTGGTGCCTAGAGTATGGTCGTGATCAGCGCCCTGAATATCAGCTGAAGTAGCCGCCAGTAGAATAGAGTAATAGGCTAAGAAGCGAGTGGGTCGCTGAGGGGGTGGGGGTGGGGGTGGATTCAAATTGGTCTCGATATCGTAGCGTCAATCCAATCGGTATATTGCCAATATCGCTAAGAGCCCTGCGTGCTTCACATGGGAAAGCAAATCATCTCGCTTAAAGGATCAACTTTTGGAGTAGACGAGGCCCGAGAACATAGAGTAGTACGTCGGGATGTGGAGAGTGTTAGTTAGTACATGTAAAACAGTTCGTGCACGCGACAACATGTGCCCAGGTGGCTCATACACCTCGAAGATTTTGAATTTTCAAAATAATGTCACTGAATATCGGCTGGATATGACCCGAATGACTAGGGTATTCTAGTCCCGTTGGAGGAGCCTCCGTGCCAATATTGCTACCTTGGCTTGAAAGGTGCGCGACGGCTCACTCCGAGGACCCTCTGCGGGGTGCTGCGAGAAACAGCCTTATTCTCAAGTGCTAGTGAATGCTCGGTTTTATGATATCCCCATCAATCAAGTGAATACGAAGGGCCTCAGGTATTTAAGATGTGACCTCTCCGTGATTTTCGCAACTCGGCTCACTCCATTTCTTCACTGAACTCAAAATTACCAGGCTTTTGCCCGGCCCCATCTCTTATACTCTTTCTACTCAGCCTTATCTTATTTCAGACTCACATCGTCATGGCAAAAGAAATTTCTGATACGCAAATCGAAAATGCGAATCAGGGCCGGACCAGTCCATCTGATCTTGGGCCTGACCCAGGGACGATTCGAGGACGAGCGATTCAACAACAAGAACATAATCGGGGATACATAGCAACCCTTCAAAAAGATCCCTGGCTCTTGTTCTGGATCGGAGTCATGCTGTGGACTCTGATCGTGCGGGGATTCGAGAACCAGTCCTCTGGCTCTGTGATTAGTATCCCTGATTTCAAGCAACGATTCGGTCAACTTCAAGATGGAGAGTATTTCATTGAGACCAAGTGGCAGTCGGCCCTGAGCGGGGGCTCAAATGCGGCTGCCATTGTGGGCTCATGGGCTGCCTCCTACTTTGCCGACATATATGGGGCCAAACCTATAATTCTGGCATCAGCAGCCATCAACATCGCATCGGTTGGTGTCGAATTTTCTACCACGTCAATCGGAATGTTCTTTGGGGGCAAGATGATGAACTTTGTCGCCATTGGCGCATTTCTCAATATTTGCACAGCATATGTTGCCGACGTTTCACCTCTCGCCATTCGGTCCTCTGTCATCGGGTTTTGCAATCTATCCCAATGTATCGGGCCCTTTGTCTCCGCAATCATGTCTTACTACACATCTTCATGGGACAACTCTTGGTCCTGGAAGTCTTTGATCTGCGCTCAATGGGCGTTCGCTGTTGTTGGGCTTATCGGACAAATCTTCATGCCCGAGTCCCCTGTCTACCTCGTTAGGCGGGGAAAGCTCGAGCAAGCCCGAAAATCCCTCAATCGGCTTTACTCAGACCCTTGCGATGCCGAAGGCCATTTGCAACGGATCAAGTTAACCCTCGAGGAAGCCGAGACGCAAAATTCCGCCTCATACAGCGACTGCTTTCGCGGGACCAATCTTCGTCGCACGATGATTGCCATCATGGTCTTCTTAGCTGAACCAATGTCAGGACTCGGATTCGTATCGAATTATGGTGCTTTAATGTACCAGTATCTGGGAATAGGGGATCGACAATCTTTCATGATTCAAATCGGTGCTCAAATTCTTTCAATGTCCGGGGCCACGATTTCATTTCTCATTGGCGATATGTTTGGCCGGAGACCCATGTACCTTGGTGGCTGCATTGGACTGGCCCTGTTACTACTTTGCATGGGGATTGCAGGGTCGGTAAACACCAATGCCGCCACTACTGCCGCAGTAGGCTTCTACACCATGTATAATTTCTTTTATAATGCCGGTGTGGGATCCAATGTCTATACTATCGCAGGAGAGGTACCCACTTCGGCCCTCCGGACTAAGACGCTTGCCGTGGCTCTGTCAATCTCAGCAGCAGTAAACACCATGTGGTCCTTTGTCGCGCCCTACATGTTCAACCCAGGATATGGTGGACTCAAAGCCAAAATCGGCTTTGTTTTCGGTGCCTTCATGCTTTTATTCGCTGTTATGGCATTTTTCTTTGTTCCGGAGACTCGCCAACGCACTTATGAGGAGCTTGATGAACTTTTCATGAATCGTGTACCGACTCGAGAGTTCCGTAAATATGTTACCTTGGCAGAGCAACGAGCTGCAGAAGCTTACAAAGTAACGGAGAAAATGACGGATATTGCTCAGGATTGAGTAGGGCTTGGAAAGGAAGAGAGAAGCCCATCTATTGAATTGTCTATAGTCCCTAAGCTTTAACTACCCAACAATCCATCACAGATATTCCCGAATCTTTACGAACATTGTGTAATATTTAGGTCTTGAAAATTATTTTTTTTCATGTCCGATCTCCAACCATGGGAAATGATAGCGAGAATACGTCTCCACGGCCGTTGAAACACTGGGAAGCCCCACAACAGGCAGCCATCACCGGTTGAACTTTCAAAGCAGCCAATCAGAATCAAGCAAAGCGACAAGCTTTGACTAGCGAGAAAAACAGTGAATCGGATGCCGATTCTTTGTCCACGTTGCTATTTCTGGATGGAAAATTTGAATCTTTTTCGTATCGCGATATGTTTATCCGAATTGGTCCTTTCAAACCCATGCTCATCCTTGTCGCATCCTTTGTAGTGTAAGAAGTAGAAGAGTGAACGTGATTCATGTCAGCTCCGGGTAAGATCCGCAGTGGCGGATCAGCAAGAGGGGAAATCAAGCGAAACTGGCGTGGTCGAATCAAAGCGATTGTTTCCTGTCGGTGCACATCTCCCGACATAAGAGGAGAAGCGGATCAACCAATGGCTTGGTCCGGTCGAGCCGTAAATTGTCGAGCATACTAGTAGTAAGACATTGATCAGATTGCGAATATGAGCCATCATCCCGGCGCTGGCGTAAGCCTTTCATGTACCTTTTTATCTCGCATATCCCTGCTGATTCGTTCATTCACCATTTTCCACTTGCGCTTTCTTTTTTTCTTCTTTCCCCCGACCTTTTCATTGTCACCCGATCTTGAACTTTTCATCTCCTCTAGAACTCATCCCACGCTCTACGGAAAACGAACCCTCCCCACCATGCACTGACCACCGAACCCTGAACATCCGATCAACTATACAATCACAGCGCAGCGCACCACACTGCGCTTGGTCTTTACCCAATCGGCCTTCAATTCACAAGTCTTCTCAATTCAAAAGTCAAACACAGCATCTCGCTCAGTCTTTTCCCCATAAATTCTCACCATGGGCCTTACAAGAGCCGCCGTCATCGTTATCGTGCTGGCCGCCTGCTTAGCCATAACTGCCATGGGCGCAGCGCTTTTCCGCCGCTACAACCCACTTGGCGACACTGGGCTATCGGGAGATGCGTCCCATCAACAAAATCAATACATGCGCGCAGTACGACTACGAAATTACGGACACCTGAAGAGAGAGTCGCTGGGTGCTGTAAAAGACTTGGAATCGAGGTGTACGTTATGAGCTATTATTGGGTTGCTGACACGGCTCGCTAACTAAGACATTTTGCAGACACGACCGAGGAACTCTCCGGCCACTACCCTCAGTATGCAAGCGAGCCCAAAACTCCTTCGACAAATGTCGCATGAATGAAAAAGTGAAAAATCGCATATGAATTTATCAAAAATTGAAAAGGAAAAAAATTGAATCACGATCATGATTATGGATATTTTGGGGCGTTGAATTTGACTTGGAATAAATGGGTTGGGATCGAGGCTTCTGAACACGAGGATCAAAGACATGGCTAAATTGCCCACTTTTGAATCCTCGGCTTTCGGATCGAATCTGAAGTGTGGTTTTTTTTCGCGATCTCATTTTCGAGCGTTTTGTTGAATTGCATATTCTTTGTTCATCACCGAGTACATCAAATGCTGCTGGGTTTGTCGATTGTGTTGGAGTGTTTCATCTACTGAAAATGTATTATTGACTTTGCATGTTGATATGTTTAGCACAGATATCTCTAAACTACATTTTCCGATCCAAGTACGATCAAACTCGTTCCAATACTCTGATATTTCCACAAAATACTTCACCAATTTCTCCATCACACCACTTCATGCAGCAGGCTGTGAAACCTATGTCGGTTCCTAGATTCGAGTCTCAAAGTCTGGCTCAACGTGCAAATGACGTCAAAGGCACAATGAAATACGTGAAATCCATCATTTTGGAGCTCAAAATCACGTTTGAGTCTGCTGCAAACATTTTGCACTACTCGCAGATCATTTCGTTGTGGATGAGATGTCGGAACAGGTCGATACACCGCAACTACAGCCTCCGAATAGCCCCCTTTCACTAGCCTTATGGAACTTCACATCACAGTGGTTCCTAGTTCCACAGGGAACAGGCATCCTCGCCGTCATTCTCGCACGGCTGGACTACCAGTTCAACGGCCTCCAGATCCTGGCCAAAATCGTATGGATCTATACAATCGTCCTCTTCGGCTTGTGTCTGATAATCTACCTCCTCCGTGTCCACATCTACCCAAAACACGCTCTCCATGAACTGCGCACCAACCTCATAGAAACCTCTTGTCTCTCCTCCATCCCAATCGTCTACACCTCAATCCTCCAACTAGCCGTGCTCCAGTACGGAGACCGAGCCGGACTGGCAATCTACATCCTCTGGTGGAGAAACGCTGCAATCGCAACCATCGCCGCCCTCGGAATTCCCTACATCCAACTCAAGATCCAAGCACCCGGCGTGCAGCGTCTCCCCCCAGCTGTCCTCCTCCCCTTCATCGCAATCATCACCTCCGCCGCCGGCGCCGGAGTCATATCCCGACAAAGCCACGTTAGCCCCCGCCTCCAAGTCCCCGCCATAATAGTCGCGTACCTCCAGCTCGGCATCGGACTCGCCGTCGCAGCCAGCTACGCCGTCCTAGTCATGTTCCAACACTTCAACCAGGTACACTCGGTTGCAGAAAAGGTCTTCCAGGACATGATCCTCTGCGGGCCGTTCGGCCAGGGCGCATTCGCCCTCCAGGTCCTGGGCGAAGCCGTGGAGGAAAGCTTCGGGGCGTACCACCGCGGCAAGTTTCTGACGGCCAAAGCAGCCGATACGATCGGCGTGACGAGTCAGTTTCTCGGGCTTCTAACTTGGGGTTATGGTGTGTTTTGGTGGTGCTTTGCTATCCTTAGTATATGCCATACGCTCGGGGCTCAGCCGCGTGGGGGGCGGAAACCCCCTTTCAGTTTGGCGGCGTGGTCGATCATATTCCCTTGGGTGCGTCGAGCAACAATCTCACACAATCCTTCCTTCGGCTCCTTTTTTCTATATATAGAGCCGGGATACATACAGTGCTGACCGAGCTAATTTGACGCACGGCAGGGCGTTTTCACTAATGCGGCTGTGGAATTGGGGAAAATCATGGATTCGCCGGCTTTTGCTGTCGTTTCCACTGGGCTTTTGCTCATCATGCTGGTGATGTGGATTTTCAATCAGGTGTTGACTTTGCGCGGGATTCTCACCGGTCGCATTTTGGGTGTTGAGCATTGGAGGGAAAGAGAACAAAGTCTAGATTCGTTCAGGGGTGGAGACAAGGATGCCTGAGGGGTCGAGGATGTGGCAGCCTTGCGAGTCGGGGAGACAACCAGATCTTTGGATCTTCCTTCCCCGCTCCGGTGGCCATTGACCAGGTTGCACGGAGTACACCGTACTCGTGTACTGGTAAGTCCAAATTCCGCGTACTCGTGTACTCCTGACTGGTGAGTTGTGACTCTCCGTACTCTTATACAGAAAATTTCCATTTCAGCCGGACCCAACGGGTTAAGCCGCTTGGGGCTGTTTCGTGCAAAGGAAACCCTCTGATTGACCAGAGCGGGCTCAGCCAAGCAACCAGCTCCACATCTTCACAAAATGAATACGCCCGAGGGCCGAGGCGCAGCGTGTTCTAACTTCCAATACGCTCTCAAGCTTGCGGTCAGGCATAAGGCACAAACAAAGAAATTACCAGGGTGTCGAGAGCTAGCTGAGTACCGCAACTCTGATTCGCAGGGCTGAAACGTGCTGTCATTTTTTGGCCCCAGAATCCCATGCATTACATGACGACAGCGATTTGGTTTCGCAGAGTTTCCCTCATTCGGTCGTATTTGGGTGGCCTAAAGCTTCCAAAAAACCCCCTGTGTGCGGAGCCAGTTTGTTGTTAAACTTCTGAGCTCCATCAACCCCGTTTCTATTTGCTGGCAGTGCCCTCATCAGGAAATGTTAGCGTAATCGGTCGGACTCTGGAACTTCAAGTTCCCGATTGCCCCCACATGGTTCGTGCGCGCAAGCAAATGATACGAGTACGGGCCAAGGCCATTGGTACTTAGCAACCTTTATTTTTATTCCGTTTGTGTTTGGGGAATCAAAGATGCGTTGAGTCGGTGAAGAAAAAATAAATAAAACCCATCCTCTTTTTCCTTGGAATATCCCCTACATGATCTCAGTACCTCATTTATACTTCTGATCACCTTGCTTCCCAGATCATTGCACATGTGAGAGGAATCACCTATAGCCTATCAGCCATGATCTTCAAAATGCGGGAAGCCATTATGAGCTCAGGCTCTGTAGTCTATGACAGCGACACAGCAAGTGAGGAACGGTATGTACATGCCCCGCTATTGGCCTCTTGAATCGCCAAAAAAAAAACATTGGTGGGAAAGAGGGAGAGAAAAAATGGTTTCTAATGCTATTCAGACCTCCATCACAACCCGCACGAACCAAGATTCATGCAAATTTCCAAGTGGCCCGCCCGGCCCCAAAATCATCACTCAGATTGGCACCAAAGCTCCTTTTACAAATTCAACAAATCGCCTCCAATCACCGTCCAGTACCAGTCATGGAAATATGGCAACCGCCTTTCCGCAAATCAAAGCTTACTCGGGGATTTCCCCAGCGACCTAAGTTAAGGTCCGGCGACATCTACGCCACAACCAATGAACCCTATTTTATGGATACCAATGCCCTTCGGGCACATTCTACCAACTCCGCCTCGCAGGACGAGAGCGATGGGAGCTGTACGCCGCACAGGGACATCGTTGCGGCCCTGTGCCAATGTGCATCGTCGAGCGCTGAGACGCCGACTTCGTCTATTCACTATCGCGATGCGCGGTCTTGTTGGCAGGGCAGCGCGGGCGTTGCAGGGGTGGAGAAGACGCCATGTTACCGGTTCACTATTAAGAATGAGCAAGATGGAAACCAGGATGCTGGAAACCTTGGAAGAATGATCTTGCAATTCGAGAAGCGCATTTCGACGGGCAAAGAGAATGGGCCTGAGTCGGAGCAGTTTGTTTTGTTTCTTATTGATCGGACGGCGAAGAGAAAAAGTCGTCTGGCTACGATGACGAGGAGCGGCGTGGAGATTCTGGTGCGGAAGAGCTCTGTCATGGAGCATCTGCAAATATGTATGGATTTGACTGATCCTGTGCCGAATACCAGCGGCGCCAGTGCCCACGAGGCATTGGAGACATGGTTGTATACGCAAGTTCTTACGCTGGGCGTGTGCGTTGCCCAACAAGCGGGCTGGAATTTCCTGGACATATAAGCCCCCAGGGGGGGGGTGGATTGATTTATCACGACTTTAATGATACCAAATAGACTTGAAATCCTATTTAGCGGCTACTATACTATCAATACTTTGCTCAAGCTCTTTAATACGTAGAAATACCCTCTTCCAGAGCTTTAATCTGCAGTGCCAAAAGACGCGAATAGTATCTGCACAGCGCCAGATTGCCACCCATAAACCAGAACCCGGGGTGTCCGCTGCGCTGCCACATGGTTCGGAACTCGCCCTCGCCATTCAGTCCCCACACATCACCAACGCGATCCGCGACCTCATCACCGAAGATGATGCGCGCTTGAGTCCTCATATTTTGGTACCCCGTCGCAAAAACAATCTCATCCGCTTCCAGCTCAGACCCGTCCGCGAACCGAATTCCATGCGCCAGAATCTCGCTGATCTCTTGTCCCTGCTTGACCTTCACTTTGCCATCCACAATCAACTGGCTCCCGCCAACATCAATATAGTAGCCGCCTCCACGCTGGAAATACTTCATCATAAGACCTGAATCCATGGGACCACGGTCAACCTCGAAGCCGGCCTTCGCCAGCCCTTCAAGCGTCTTTGCATCATTCAGATTCACGGCCTTTGTGACCTTCGTCTGTTGCAATTTGAATAACTCGGGCGGCACACTCATCAGATACGTATCGGCATCCTCGGTGGGCGGGGCCGCTTCATCATAAAGGCCCTTGAGGGCAATCTCGGTGATAGAGTTCGATGAGACGATGCACGTCGAGCTCCGCTGCACCATCGTAACATCATAACCCTTCTCATAGTAATCCTGGGCAATGTCGTGACCGGAGTTACAAGATCCAACCACAATAGCCTTCTTGCCCTTTGAACCCTCCTTTGCACCAGGGAACTCGGAGCTGTGGCAGATTTGATTGCCTTGGAAGCTTTCCATTCCCTTGAAGGTCGGCAGATTCTTCTTGCCAGAGTGGCCGGTGGCCTGGATTACGTGGCGCGGATGGAAAGTGCGTGTCTCTGTTGAACCGTCTGCTTTAGTGCGTTGCACGACAACGGTCCATTGCTTCGTCTTCTCATCCCAGGATGTGGACTTCAGATCGGTCCGGACCCAGACGTTTAGCTCAAGCAATTTGACATATGACTCGAAGAACTCGGCCAATTTATCTTTCGGTGTGAAGATCGGCCAGTTAGATGGGAAGGGGAGGTATGGCATGTGGTCGTACCAGACTGGGTCATGGAGCACTAGTTGGTGATAGCGATGGCGCCAGCTATCTCCAATTCGATCTTCTTGGTCAATGACTAGGGTATCGACGTTGAGCATCTTAAGACGTGCGGCTGCCGTGAGACCTCCTTGGCCAGCACCTATAACGGACACAAGTTTTAGCACCCGGGGTCCAAACATTTGAGCGATGTAGTAGAGATGCGTTAATACATACCCACAATTAATACCGCAGGATCTCTCCCTTCATAGTCCGCATCCGCAGTACGTCGGTCCTGCCAGTTCGTTCGACCCTGATACGCTCCATGCTGCACACCGACCGGTCTGCGGCCATTGACCAATTCCCCGTGGCTAGTGATCTCACTAAGTGTCGTGAAAACAGTGAAAATCTTCCACTCCTCTCCCTGCTGCGCAAGTCGCACAAGGCCCCGACCGTTTCCGAAGCCAGTAGTCACCTTGAGAAAGAACTCAATCCCATGGACCTCACCAAAGGCATCAATGGGTCCAGTATGGGGTGCCTTAAACGGCGAAGAGTGATCGATTTCAAATTCGATTGCCGAGGGGCTTTCAACAGCAAACTTCGACAGGGCCTCGGCACCTTTCAAAGTCCGGAATTCCCATGAGAGACAGAGATGATCACGCCAGTAACTGTTTTCGATGAACAACGAGGCAATGCCAGTGGTATCTTTTTTCGCAATGCTATCATTGAGCTTCTCGATCAGGGCGCTGGCGATATTCGCGGGGTTTTCAGGCGTGCTTGTGCTTGTCTTTGGAAGAATACCGAGCGGGATATCACAAGAGCCGGGCTCCACTCTATAGCGTGAGGGGAGCTGGAGCTGTGTCTCTCCGTCAATGGCCGTCATATTTGAGAATTGCAGATTTTTTGGGTCCGGAGAGGTGAAGGGAGGAGGAAAATACTTTTTTGGGGTCGGTCAGAAGTAAAATGCTACTAGAAACCCCGCACATAGAGGCCAAGTGACATTTCCAACCCCACCTTTCAGGGTGACCCCTGTGGAGTTTTGCTTACAGAATCTTAAGGGGTGTTACAGATACTTATTGAGTTTTTGAAGAATTTAGATTGAAATGCTATGTGTTGGAATGTAAGCTACTTAGAAATTTTCGATTTATTGTTGGCTGTTAACCTCAAGTGCTCGATTAGCGTAAGTTCCGGCCCCTGCCCCGCGTATAGAAGCTCTTGGGTTGCGACTTCCCCGGAACACCCCGCTGCCCCACCAATCTGATCTACCTTGATTTAACCCCTTTTGGTACTCGATTGGTCCGGAAAAAGGTGTGTGCGTCAAGATTCAAGAGAACTCAATGTTTGAATAGTCATCTCTTTCAAAGGGTCAAATGTACTGCCCAAGCCCGAATTCTGAGACCATTTGGTGCAGAGCTGCGGTTAGACGTTTATAAGAACGATGTTGACAACAAAGAGAGATAGAGGAAATCCCCTCTTTTAACTAATATTCCTAAGGTCAGATACTTGAGCGACTATTGCGTGTGATCTTTGCCCCAGTATTTCGTCGGTTGATAGCTAAAAAATTAAGATTAAAGTAGGCACTCAGAAGTGAGCTCAACATTTATCTAAAGTACTAATCAGGTATTGAGTAGATACTCTTCTCCAGTATCGAGTATATACCCATCTTTTAGTATCCAGTACGTAGTTTGTACACTTTGAGGTTGGGTATCCCCAGGGCTATTACATAGGCCCCCTGCCTACCTGTGGTGGACCTAGATAGTAGAAACATGGCTGGAACTTGGACTGCGGGCCGCTCTCTGCTTGTAAAAACAATACTGTTTGGTTTCAATGTTTCTTAGTTTTAGAAACGGGGTCTCAATTTTACCGGTTCAGTGCAATGAACGTCGGCTCGACTGGGAGTAACCCGAAATACCTCCAAGGTCAGTTCACTTTACTCGGGACTAGGCATACCTAGGGTTGTTGCCGATCATTCGGTGCCGGGTATTATTTGTGTTATTTGCCGTCAAATGTAGCCGAAGATCTATTCTATCAATGATTAAAGTTAAATATCCACAAGTACGACAGAGACTTTGACGATCATCCAGATGTCCGCACTTAATACCATGCACATGTGGACCAGACATGGATCCGAGTATCCCGAGTTCCGAGATCCGAGCCACACTACAGAGTACACTATTTAGATTTCAACTCTAAAACAACCCCCACATTACCAAGGTTGGATATGAAAGAATCCCTACAGAGAAATATGCTCCGAGTTCGCTATCATTGTGTTACACCGCTGATCTGGGTATGTATCCACTCTACTGGCTAGCTGGGGATTATGTGATGAATGTTTTCGCAAGTACCTTAGTAGGAAAGGGGTGGACTTGCCAGGAGCCGCGAACTTTCAAGCTTGGAATAGTCTGAGCCCCCGAGCCCCCGAGCCCCCGAGCCTCCGAGATGGATCTATAGCAAACGTTGGTAGGTTCAAGCTGTGAAGTCCAGTCTAGACCATGACTTCACGACTTATACCAATCATGTTCAAATATGAGGCGTTGTTATGGCGATACTAGCAGTCCTGATTTGTACTTAAACTCTCTCTCTCTCCTTGCCGGTTTGAATTTTGTTTTCCACGCTTCGCCTTTTCTGAACTCTACAATCTCCACTTGCTTTCACTCTTGACAATCATCCCACCAATCATCTCAAAATGGTTTCTCACCACGGCATCCATCATGTCCACAAGACTCCGATCCAGGATCTCCCCCATATGAACTTCCGCTCGTATGTTGAAGCCCTTAAGCAGGACAACGATCTCGTGGAAATCGACCGAGAAATCGACCCCGATCTCGAATGTGGTGCCATCATCCGCAAGGTCTGCGAGACCGACGACAAAGCGCCGCTTTTCAACAACCTGAAGGGAGCTCGCGATGGTCTCTTCCGTATCCTCGGCGCACCCAACTCGCTTCGATCAGGCAAGGACAAGTACGGACGACTTGCTCGCCACCTGGCTCTTCCTCCCTCGTCCGGCATGAAGGAGATCTTGGACAAGATGCTTTCCGCGAAGCATGCTCAACCGATTCCCCCGAATATCGTCAAGACTGGCTCCTGCAAAGAGAACGTGCTGAACACCGAAGAGTTTGACCTGACGAAACTTCCGGTCCCTCTTTTGCACCAGGCCGATGGTGGAAAGTATATCCAGACCTACGGTATGCACGTCATATCTTCACCGGAGAAGGATTGGACAAATTGGTCTATTGCCCGTGCTATGGTTTATGACAAAGACCACTTGGCTGGTTTGGTCATCCCGCCTCAGCATGTTTGGCAGATGCAACAGAAGTGGAAGGCTATTGGCAAGGACGTGCCTTGGGCCCTTTGCTTCGGTGTTCCCCCTGCCGCCATCATGGCCTCTAGTATGCCATTACCTGATGGCTGTACTGAAGCTGGCTATATTGGCGCTATGACTGGCCACGCTATTGACGTGGTCAAGTGTGAGACTAACGACCTCTATGTCCCGGCGAACGCTGAGATCGTTCTTGAGGGTACTATGTCAATCACTGAGACTGGCCCTGAAGGACCATTCGGAGAGATGCATGGGTATGATATCTCTTTTCTTCAAAACGGATTCTGAACAGAGACTAATCCCTTCTTTTCTTCTCCAGTTATGTTTTCCCTGGAGATACCCACCCTTGCCCTCTCTATAAGGTGAACAAGATCACCTACCGGAACGGTGCTATCCTCCCAGTCTCTAACTGTGGCCGCCTTACCGATGAGACCGTGAGTCGAATCTTTTTAAGAATTCTAGATTTGCTATTAATGATCTAACTTTTTGTTCTTTGATATAGCATACGATGATCGGACCCCTTGCGGCTGCCGAAATTCACCAGCTCTGTAAGGACGCATGTCTTCCTGTTAAGGAGGCCATGTCCCCTTTCGAATCCCAAGTAACCTGGGTTGTGCTTCAGATTGACGGCGCCAAGCTCCGTCAGATGAAGACCACCTCGGAGGAACTTTGCAGGAAGATTGGTGATTTGATATTCAACCACAAGGCTGGCTATACTATCCATCGCCTGCTTCTCGTCGGTGATGATATCGATGTATATGACTGGAAGGATGTCATCTGGGCATTCTGCACTCGCTGTCGTCCCAGCCTCGACGAGTACTTTTACGATGACGTCCGCGGATTCCCTCTGATTCCGTACATGTCGCATGGAAACGGTTCCCCTATCCAGGGTGGCAAGGTTGTTTCCGACGCTTTGATGCCTACTGAGTACACCACTGGACCTGATTGGCAGGCTGCTGACTTCAAGAACTCGTACCCCGAGGCCATAAAAGCCAAGGTGAACGCTGAGTGGGCTTCTATGGGCTTCAAGGCTGATCACTGAGAATCTCGCATTGTGTTTATATAAAAATCGTCTGTCAACAGCGGTCAATCTTTTATTCTGTCAACTGTCAATTTTAACAAATTCGGGCCTTCGGGAGAATACGCTAGATTATGTACGTTTGATATTGAGATTTCATCCGGTTAATATTTCCCAGCGTTGCTTTGATACTACTAGGTATGTACTCACATGTGCAGCAACTTCCCAAGCCGAATGGTGGAGAAATTGATATGAAAATACAACTACATAATGTGGAACTTTGGAATCAATTGATATTTGAAATATAAATATTGTAAGGGGTAACGCAACGCCGGCAGTCTGAGTAGTACAGACGGGTCGATTTGAATGCAGAGAGGAAGTATTTCAGTAGCTAGCCCACTCTACGGTTGCAAATGTTTTCATGAGCATGGGGGACATGCGTTGTTAAGATCTTCAGGAACAGACTTGACCCCAACATTGAAAATATGCTGTCTGTATTGTGTCGAACCAACATTTGAAGGGGACATCTGGATGATTCTTCTAAGTATCCGAATCCGAGCTAGACATAGTACTAATTAACTAGTATGCTTACTACTGAGTTCCCCTGCAGGCTTCATTCAAACATTTGAACCCACTAAGTCTATTCCCTATCTAATTCTTCCTGCTTTTTCAGCAGCAAATAGAGGGCAAACGCCCAACTACAATACATATATATCCGTACTACCAGGCGTATCCTTAGTATGTAGACACTTTATAGTTCAAATGTTGAAAGGTTTGCCTGTACACAGGATATACATATTAAATACATAATTTCGCGCATATCCTTAGTAAATCTCGTATTAAAACCAAAGGATTTTATGTATATGAATGTATATTAATGCTGCACGTATCCTGAGTAAATCCTTTATAGTTGAAATTTAAAGGGTTTATCAGTACACAGGATGTACATATCAAATACATAATTTCGCGCATATCCTTAATAAATCCTTTGTAGAAACCAAGGATTATATGTATTTGGATGTATATTAATGCTGTGCATGTCCTTAGTAAAACCTTTATTAAAACCAAGGGTTGTTACAAGTTATAAGAATGTATATCAATACTGCGTCTATCCTTAATAAATTCTTGACAGTTGAAAGCTTTGCCTGTACACAGGATATACATATTAGATACATAATTTCGCGCATGTCCTCAGTAAATTCTTTATCGAAAAAAAGGGCTGTATGTTCCCAATACGTGAATTTTTGCTTCATAGCGCATTAAACGGATTCGCTTTACATGAACCAGCATCATTGGTCTAGTGGTAGAATTCGTCGTTGCCATCGACGAGGCCCGTGTTCGATTCACGGATGATGCAGTTTCTTTTTCTTTTTTTTTCTATCTCCAATGTTAATCATATCCGGCCTATCCGGCTGCATGGTTTTCTCTATTTTTGTCTTGCCCCTTAATCTACCGGCGAACTTGCACCGAAACAAATATTGAGCTATTGGACGCTAGCGATCCTACTAGCATACTACATAGCGCTTGACTCTGTACTCCGTACCTGCAGCTGTTACACCAGTGATCTTCTCTGTTCAAAAACCACTTGTGGTTCTAGACCCCTATTAATAAATACGTACTAGTATGCCGGTAGCCAAGGCAAACAACCGCCGAGGTTCCGCTCACAGTCGTCGTAAGCCCGCTCGTATTGGAGAGACGCGTTCCCGGAGCCACTTATTCGACCCTTTAGTCTACCTTGGCAGAGGGCAAAAGGACTCGGATGTTGCCACAATGGAGACCTTGAAATCCCTCGGAGTATATTAAGCTTAGACTTTCGCCCAATCTGCGCCTCGCGGGGAAACCTCGCGTGTCTCTCGTTATCCGCCCCTGGGATCATCCTGCGATCATCCGCGTTCCAGCATTGATCCAAATAAATCAACAATGCTGGAGCCCCGACTGACTATATGAAATAATAATTCACCAATGCAGGTGTTCGCCATGAATCGTGGATCCAGACGCCAATGGCTGGGTTTCGCCCTGGCGTTATTCATTATACTCCTGCTCTACCGCTCATTAAACAAATCCCATGCCCAATCAACTATAACTGAAAATATTGACTATGCGGATGGTCCGGCTCCAATCCCAGATGTCCCCACGCCGGATTTGTTCGAAAATCCCGACTTTCCCGTCGAACACACAGACACACCATCACACGAATCTTTCTGGAGCCGGTTGCCCATACGACATCCTGCCGCACATGCCTTCCCTCGTGTACCTACCCGATCGCGCTCCGATAAACCCCAAATCCAATCAGACGAATCGAACTTCTCGCAAATCCTGACCTGGTTCCAGAAGAGCAGACAGGCAGCTGTCAAGGAGGCCTTTACACGATGCTGGGATTCTTATAAATCGCTTGCATGGCAGACCGATGAACTTGCGCCCATGAGCGGTTCGCCGAATAATGGACTAGGTGGCTGGGGTCTGACGCTGGTGGATAACCTGGACACGTTGTGGATTATGGATATGCGGGCGGAGTTCAAGGAAGCCGTTGCGACCGTTGTCGAGACCAATTTCGAGGACACCCAGTCGTCCGAAATTAATACCCACGAAATCAATATTCGAATTCTGGGTGGTCTACTCTCCGCATACGATCTAAGCGTCGATCGGCGATTGCTGAACAAGGCGATCGAGGTTGGTGACATGCTTTATGCGGCGTTCGACACCCCGAATCGCATGCCGATCACCCACTGGGATCTGCACCGGGCCGCACGGCAAGAGGAGCAGTTTGCCGAAGAGGTCGTCTCTGCTTCAGAACTAGGCTCCTTCATCCTTGAATTCACGAGACTGTCGCAATTGACTGGCAATCCCAAATACTTCAACTCGGCACACACGGTCATGGACAGACTTGGCCAGCTGCAGGACTTGACCAAGCTCGCGGGAATGTGGCCTGTGGTTCTGAACGCTCGGACGGAGATCTTCGACAGCGAACTCTTCACTTTGGGCGCTGAAGTTGATTCCCTGTATAAAACACTGGCCAAGGCAGACATGTTAACTGGAGGTCAATTCCCCGTTTATCGCAAGATGTACGAGAGATCGACACTGACCGCCGCTGGACACAGTCTATTCCGTCCCATGACTCCCCATGAAAAGGACATTCTCGTGCCAGGATCAATTCGCGTGATGATGACTCAAAATGGCAAACCACGCACCCAATTAGAAGGGCAGGTCCACCACCGTGCTTGTTTCACGGGCGGCATGTTTGCATTGGGAAGTGCTCTTTTCAGAATTCCGACCCATCTCAAAATTGCAAATAAGCTGGTTGATGGCTGCACTTGGGCTGCTCAGTCCATGCCTCTAGGGATCATGCCCGAGGTATACGAGACCGTACCCTGTGCCTCTCAAAACGAATGTCCTTGGAACGAGTGGTACTGGAAGCAGGAGATCTGGAAAAACGTGAATGCCAGTCCAGAACCGGACCCAGACATGAATATTGATACCTATATCCATGAGCACCACCTACCGAAGGGAATCATTTCCATCCCTGATACTCGCTACAATTTAAGGCCGGAGATCATTGAGAGCATGCTCACACTTTATCGTGTCTCCGCCCGCGAGGATCTCCTCGATACTGCCTGGGAGATGTTCGAATCCATCCAAAACACCACTGAAATCATCAATGGCAACGCTGCCCTTGCCGACGTCACACTTTTGACGGAAGAACCCATTCATCTTGACTCTATGGAGAGCTTCTGGATGTCACAAACCTTGAAATACTTCTATCTCATGTTCAGCGCGCCGGACGCCCTGAGCCTAGATGAGTATGTCTTCAACTCCGCAGGTCATCCTCTCCGGCTGCCCGAGCCGGAGTGGAGTCTTTAAATCCCCACTCTTTATATATTTTCTTACTTACTCGGTTTACTCTTACGACTGTAAGATGCATGTACATAGCGTTGGTGTTATTATACAATTTTCCGGAATTTTTTTTTTTTTTGCATTCCTTTCCTGCATCAAAGCTTAGGTTACATCAACAGAAGAATTCGGCCAAGTCATGATCTGCCCGCGCTTTTTGCCTTTTTCGGAGATACTATCATATCTCCGGTTGCGCCATTGCCGACCCGACACAATATTCCGAGAAAACTTTCCCCTTTCACCATATTCTAGCATTAGCCTATGTGGAGAAAAGGAAATTTGCAGTATGGGGACTATGGATCCACGAGATATACCGATATCAGAAGAGGCTGGTCCGAATAGTATAAACACTTTTGGCGAAAACGAGACCCCCGGGAAATCCGGGGAGAAAGCCGGCGATAATGATTTACCCCCCACCGAGCCATTGACGAAGCCCAATGCTTGGAAATACATCATTGATGCTCTACTATGGACACCGTCTTGGTGTAGATGGCATCCAGACAATCCGCCCAAATTTGGGTTACCACTCAATTTCCTTTTTGCCTTTGCTGGAACATTTACGGTATGTTCTAGACTCCTGGGACATCTGAAGAAAAGCCGATCCTCACAAATTGTGCCATCACTAAAGAACAACTTAACTGATGCTGTCTTGTAGGTTGCCAATCTTTACTATGCACAGCCTCTTTTGGATACCCTTGCTACCTATTTTGATGTATCCCATGAACGAGCATCTCTGGTTCCTACCTGCAGCCAGGCTGGGTATGCAACAGGGTTGATTCTTCTCTGTCCCTTGGGAGATTTGGTCCGGAGAAGACCATTTGTTCTTCTCCTAACATTTATAACAGCTACTCTATGGATCGGTTTATGCATCACAAAGTCTTTCAATGTGTTTCTTGCCATTAACTACCTTTCTTCGGTTGCCACCGTGACACCGGTAAGCAAACAATCCTTATCGACGGGGCTCACGTCTCCCGTCATGAACTTTTAATACCTTGATATATGTTCTTACCATTTATACAGCAAATCATGCTTCCCCTGGTAGGAGACCTTGCGCCACCCGCCCGACGCGCCACGGCACTATCAATCGTGTCCTCGGGACTCGTATTAGGCCTACTATTCGCCCGGCTTCTCGCCGGCATAATCGCCGCATACTCATCGTGGCGAAACATCTACTGGCTATCCCTCGCACTCCAATACGCAATCTTCATCCTCCTTTGGGCCTTCATGCCCGACTACCCCCGAACCAACACCGACATCTCGTACTTCAAAGTCCTAACCTCCATCGTGCAACTATTCATCACTTCCCCCGTCCTCGTATACGCCACATTCATGGGCTTCTTCCTATCAGCAACCTTCACTAGCTTCTGGACAACGCTCACCTTCCTCTTATCCGGCGCACCGTACCACTACAACACAGTCACGATCGGACTTTTCTCGCTAGCGGGCCTAACACCATTTTTCCTGGGTCCCTTCTACTCTCGATACGTCATCGATAAATTCGTCACTCATGTCTCCATTCTTTTGAGCTTGACCATCCTGCTGATTGGAATATGCATCGGCACGTATACTGGCACTTTCACGGTCGCGGGCCCTATCATTCAACCGGCTCTCCAGGATTTCGGGCTGCAAATGACCCAGATTTCAAACCGGGTGGCCATATATAGCATTGCGCCGAAGGCGCGCAGTCGGGTTAATACGGCTTATATGATTGGGGTTTTCTGTGGTCAGCTTATGGGGACTGCGGTTGGAAATAGAGTGTATGAGCAAAGTGGGTGGATTATAAGTGGGTCTGTCAGTGTGATCTTCGTTGCGGTATCGTATGCAATTTTGATGCTACGGGGGCCGGCTGAGACGGGCTGGGTGGGATGGAGTGGTGGGATGCGGATCCGGAGGGTTGAAGTGCAATAAGTGATGACGGAATCGGTAAATGCACATGTGAAAAATGTGGAGTACATATCCTCCGTGTGTAGACTTGATAGATATAATACAAGCAGAGTGGAATTAAGGAAGCCTGTGTATACTAGGCACGGCTGAATGGTCTATGAAAATCCGAGCCATCTTTATACATCAAAGCTGTGGGGGATCGAATGTGCCGGCATCAAACGAAGGGAGATCCCAGAAGTTCAAATCCTCCAATCCCATGCCAATCAGCTTGGTATAAGTTAGCCTGGTTTCCTTCTTTTTAAAAAATAAAAATAAAAATAGAGGCGGGCAGAATAAAGACTCACCATAAACTCCGAGCTTAAGCTGGAGCCCAATGTACTCTCGGGTGTCCAAATGTTTGTGTCGCCGATCCCATTTTGCAAAAGCCCATCTTCAGCAACCCGGGCCTCAAGGAGATATTGTTCAAGCAGAGTACGGCATGTCTGCATACTATCAACAAATGCGTCACGGGTATGAGACCAATCGTCTGGCCGCTCGCGGCGTAAGACTTGAATTTGTGCCAGTACCCCTGCTAGCAAGCAGTACCGCTTCATACTAGGAATACCCGCTTCCAGACTTTTATAAAGGTGAACTTGTATACGTTCCAGTGCCTGAATAAGTGGAATCCGAGCAGCCTGCGCAAGCTGGTCCACAGCGGTCTGAGTGAGTGCGATAGTGCCTTCTGGCTGGGCAGCAAATTCGTCTTCGAGTTGAACCATAAGTTCCGACGAGATCACAATAATGACGTCCAGGGATAGATACATTTTGAATAGCCCCGAGCCTGAGAATGAAAGTCGCTGTAGGTCTTGATAGGGATGCTGGTCTGTATCCGCAGTACCCTCCGGAACATCTCCATACGAAGCCATGATGAGCGCGGAGTCAAGACTGAGTTTTCGCGCGAGGTAGAAACGCGGATCTTTCGCGGCCTGGATTGTGAAGGGTCGATAGACATTTACTAAGAAGCGGCGGAGAAGGGTATCCATTAGTCGGTAGTGAAATTGGGTCGGTCGAAAATTCGATCGTTTGGTATTCATCATATGAGCGCCGAATAGCGAGCTCATTTCTTTGCACGCGGATGTAAGTACGCTGCCTAGTTGGAGTGCCGTTTCATAAACCTGCTCGCGGCCGCACTCATTGATCGTTCTTGCAATTTGCAAGCGTGTTGGGAGAGACTGCAGAAGCATAATCTGCAACGAGGAGTCTGTGAAGAAATCTCGAAGCTGTATGGGAGGCAGGACTGTGATTGAAGGGTCGAGATCCTCGTCGTCTACATTGGCTGGGGGTTGAGTGTCGTAGTCTGCTTCAGCAAGCAATGGTGGCATTGCGGCATCGATGGCTAGTTGGGCATTGAGCTCGAGTATAGTGGCCCATATCCGGCGACGCATTTCAGCATCGAAGACCGACACCGTTGGGAAATGGCGGGGGTCGCGATGCAGTCCCTGGCCAACTGCTTGTCGTAGCAGTGTTCCAGCCGACATCCAATTAGACTCCTTGTCCATCGCATAGGACTGGCGGCAAATAAGCAGAAGACAGTACACCTGTAGTCCTTCCAGGTTGCAAACCTCCTTTGTAAACGGACCAGATAGCCACCACTGAGCTGCATAAACCCACCGCTGGATCGGCATACCGAGCTCATTTAGTGGTCCAGGCTTGCAGTGGAAGATGGACCCGATAGCAAGGATCAAAAGAAGTTTAAGAACAAATCCCTTTGAAGCTAATTGTGAATCCACCCAAAAGCGTTCGTATTCCTGATAGAAGGTTGGAATATGCAGCACGCGGTATATCATTCCAAGGGTGCGTAAGTAATGCTGGACGAGCTCATTGCATATGTCTCTTGGAGGCAAGTCACTGAGCAGGCCCGGCGCAGGATCAACCAAACGCGGGGCCTGCCGATTCTTGATGTGATACCTTAGTTTGCGAACTTCCGCATGAGCCTTACTGATTGCATCTTGTTCGCCATCTGCAAAGTTAGTCGCACTGCGCACTTGGCGCAAAAGACGGAACTGCCAACGTTAATCAACGAAACGTACTAAAACCCACTTTTCAAAGACAATCGACTCACCTGTTGAAATACTAGAGCCCAATGCGTTGTACCAAAGAGCTTCACCCTTTCATGGTCGTTCTTAATACGAGGAGCTAAAGGCGAGATCAAGGTTTGTGGCTGCTCCGGCCCACCAGACGGTCCAGACCTACCAACCTCAGGATGAACAATTGCTCCACTTGATGGCTGGGAACTTGCATCCAAGCAACGGCCTGTACTGCCATTAATTCCTTCCTGTTCCAGATCCTGTACGCGATCCTTCAGCGCTCGAATACTGCGTTCAAGTTGCGCTATTCGAGCACGGTCGGCCGAAGCTTGGCCAGCACCAGCGCGAGAGGAGGCGCGTCTCTCGTCGGAATGCGAATCACTTGTCAGAGAAGGCTCCACTCTAGCGTCTAAAGCCGCTTTTCCCTCGTCGACGTATACACAGTTCATTGGGGGGTGGGACTTGATACAGGGACCACATGGCATTTCCCGGTCGCATCGAACCTTGCGGCGTCGACATTGCTCGCAGGACAGCGCGGGTCTTCGGCGTTTTCGTGGGTTTGGCTGTGAACCTTCTTTATCGCTCATGATTAGCGATTCAATGCCAGAAATATTGCTATGAGACTGGTGAGATCTCGACAGCCTTGTTGGTAATACGTTGCTCGTGTTAGCTTCGCGGAATTCCGGCGAATTCCGGTAAATTGCGGCAATTGGCGGGGAATTCAAATAAACACCACTCGCTCATCACATGAGTGATGATTGGTGGCCTCATCACATTATCCGTCCAACATTTGAATATTATGATGATCCTGACATCAAGTATTGGTCATTAATTACTAGCGTTTTCTGGGCATTATCCTTTGCTTTTGTTCATGTTTGAGAAAGACGTTGATTTTGATGTCAGGGGTATGATGTCTATCCATTATGTTCATGCGAGCCAGTATATGTATAGTTACCCATTGCCTCCAGGGCTAGCCCGCCCGTTACCCATACCCAAAACACCAAAAGACCCAAAGAAAGCAGAAAGAAATCTGATAGTATGTACATGTATAGTAAAGAAAATTTATCCGCCAAAGGACATGGCACGTTTTCGATTCGGTCTTTGTCGAATTCCAGCTTCGCGGCTCTTGCGTCCCATGCGACCCAAGGCCATCGTTTCGAGCGTATAAGGCTTTCCGCCCCAAAGAATGTTGTTGCCCTTCTTCTGTTGAAGAGGGGGGATCCAAAAGTGTGTCACAGCAGCGCCGATAATCATGCAGCCGCTAAAAACAAAAAGAACAATGCCGTGGTGGCGAGTTGATACGTCTCCGAGACCCCCGCCGAACTTGTAGTAGGTGGAGAAGACTTGGACGAGAATGGAGCCCAGCTTGCCACCGGCGGCACTGATTCCGTAGCAGGTGGCACGGTATCGAGTTGGGAAAATCTCGGCTGGGATCATGTAAGTGGTCGCATTGGGACCTGTACGATATGTATTAGTTAAATGTCAATCTTTTGAAAGGAATTGCAGGGGTGAACATACCAAAGTTGAAAAGGAGCTGGCCGATAATGTATAACGTAACCGAAACAAACGGGTTGTTGATGAGACAAACGAATATGCTGCCCAGTGCGATGAACAGCACTGATAGACAAAGGAATGTGTATTTTTGTAGGGCGACCCGTTCGATGCGATGGGCGAAAATAATGAGCAGGAGACCACCGACAAAGCTACCAATATTCAAAATCACCAAGGCGCGAATGGAAGTCTGGAAGAACATGTCGTAGACGCTAGCTCCGGCTCGAGAATCGGTCATCCAGTATGGTTCTGATTTTGAGATATAAAGTTGACCCCATGTTTTAGCAAGGAACTGCGGGCTGGCCAAACTGATGCCATAGAAACCAAAGTCCATTAGCAGCCAGGCAATAGTGGTACCCGCCAAACTGCGCCAGTTGCCTTCAGTCCAGAAGTATCGGACGATATCGGATTTTGCGAGTCGCCAGTGTGAGTTAAGTGTTGCCGGTGGCAGACTGGTATATTCTTCGTCTTCGTGGATAGAGGAACTGGCAAGTGAAGAAATTGGCGGGAGTTGGATCGGACTGCTGACAATCGAAGTCATATTGCCGAAGCCCTGGGCATCGAATCCTGGAGTAAAGGAAGGCTCGCTAAAGAGGGTTGTTGCGTCGAATTCCGCGGTAACTGGGTCATCGTCGATTTCGACTAGGTAGCGGGGGCTCTCCGGAATGGCGAATCGGAAAAGAATCGCAATGGCACCTGGAACAACACCGATGCCCAGGACCCATCGCCACATGCTATCGACACTGCGAGTGATATCGTCGCTGTTGCTGTTTCTGCCGACTGCGATCACGATCAGTGAAACCAGGTTTCCTGCGATTTGGCCCAGAGGCTGCATGAAGAAGACACTGGCCATCATGCGGGCGCGGTGCTTTGTCGGAGCAAATCTTTGCGATTGTTAGTTATCTGCATACGATTATTGCGACCAAGACGATACGCACTCTGATGTGATGACAGCACTGAGGGGGTAGTCCGCTCCAACACCGATGCCGACACAGACTCTCCACCAGATCAGCCATGTGAAGATGCTCATACTGCCGTTCTTGCCCTCGGAGGACATGACGACACCGAGAGTCGCGGTGATCAGCAGCACCAGTTCAACACCGTACATCTTCTTTCGACCATTTTTGTCCGCCAAAAATCCAAATAGCAACATGCCGAGTAGGGTACCTGCCAAAGTTGCAATGTTGATGCAGGTAAGACGGATTGTCGAGTTGTCGTCTTTCCAATATACGTAGGAAATCATCGGAAGGGCCATGTTACTGGCAAAGAGCTATTGATGAAAGCCGTTAGCTGCCCAAATTCTTTGTGTTTCTTCTCATGTTGGTGTTGGTTCATAATTGCGGTACTCACCGTGTAACCATCCAAGAAAAAACCCAGACCTGCGACTAATACCACGATCCATTGATATCCTTGTCGGTCGATCGTATCATAGATCTGTCGCATACGGACATATCGATCCTAAACATTCCAGACTGTCAGAGACACGGCTTCCATTTCCCGACCAAGAAAGCTTACCTGTTCATGATCGAAATCCCGCGCTCGGTCGGTCTTGTATAACCGGGCGTGAAACTTGCCCATGTTGAGCTGTTGATTCCTCAGGATCAAGTGAACTGCAAAAAGACATCTGAAGAGAATTGCAGGAAGCACAGGCGATAATATGTAAACTCTCCCACATGCAGTGCGGGGCCAATCGGACTCTCACAATGAGCGAGCGGACAGACCCCTGTTCGATCTAATGCACTTGTTAAAAGGACTAAAAGAGGATCGCTCCACTTTCCACCCTTGACGAATCAGACCCTTCACATTGCTCCACGTGCGGGACTCGAGAAGACTGAGACGCTGTTGCGGGAGCCCCACATTGCTTGGATTCCACGCTTGACTTGACCACGTTTGGCTAAAAGCCGCAACACAATCACTCGCCTTGTCTATTTGACTTTGGAAAAGTGGAAATCAAAGGGAAACTAGAATGGAATTGTGTTAATTACATGGCTGAAAAAGATTAAAAAGAAAAGAAAAAAAAAAGAAAAGAGAGAAAGAGCACGTAAGTCTAAGGCAAATCAGATTCTCGTAACGGAGTATATGGTATCACAGTATCACACTAACACACTAACACTAAAAATCACACAATGTACGCCTCACGCCATAGAACCCCGCCATGCAAATAATTTATACACCGAAATTAATGTGTAATAAAAAACGAAAGAAAAAAGAAAAAAAAAAGTACTTGAATCATCCAATCGTTAGCTCCGTGGAGAGCAGCTGGCAAAAGCTCTTGCAATCTAGGAACCAAATAAGCGACCGTTCGGATATGTCGGGACTTTTACCAACGTACCATCATCATCCAGGAACTGGATCGTTAAATTTCGCATTTTCATCAAAATATCGAAATTGGGGTCCAACTCGATTATCACTGGCCGCCCGGCCTTTTTCGGGGGTTTGACATTTGCGACGCAGTTCACTAGGAGGTTCTTTGATTAGCTCTGAAAGAAACCCTTCACAATTTAATCCATCACACTTACATGGAATGGACACGTATCGTTTAAGTTCTTTGCGCTGAGAGTTTGCAAAGAATAGCATAACCCGTTTGCCGTTGTGGCCGCGGAGGATCCGGAGATTTTGGCTGATGCATTCTTCCCCGCGGCCCTTGGATTTGGCCTCGGCCATCCCCCCAATAAACATCATCTTGGAGCAAAGAAGCAGCTCTTGAAATTGAACGCAGTCTAACACCCTGGTTAGCCGGATTATCCTTTAGTGTGCCTGGTTGCCTAGGGGTGGCAAATCTCTTCCCGGTCGCGTACCTTCCCAATTTTCGAATTTATATGATAGTTGAGTCATAAAGATAACCTGTGCGGTCTGCACGGTCTGGTGTTCGAGGAATGAAATTCGAAGAGGGTATTCTGCGGTGTCTTTCGGATGCTCGAGATGGGGAACTGGTAATTTTGTGTTGGAGACTGTAAAGAGATAGCAAAAAAACCCCTCAATTAGTCCCTGCATGAAGCGCAAAATATTGTTTTTCATCCCCCTTAAACTTACACGCGTGAATAAATGGAGCTTGTTGACCGAGACCTCCCCCGAGCTCAAGACACTTTAGAGCTCCTGTCGAGTCTTTACAGACATCGATGAAGGTATAGCGTAGCTTGAACAATTGGCCATTCTTGACAAATGATCTGCAAGATCGATTAGATCGCGTTCAGGAAAAGGAGGGTTGCTTGGTGGGGGGTTTAGGAAGCAAGCTTAACGGACATTGTCATATGTGGATTCAGCTCAAGTCGTATCACATCTTCATACAGTTGCCATGACTGTTTCCTTGAGCCGGGGGAGGTCACAGGGCTCTGGAAGAGGATACTGGTGGAGGCGGACGACACGGTGGATGTTGAGACCGTGCTTTGACGGCGCGAAGAGGTGCTTGCCCACTCCTGAAATTCTGGCGAAGCAAACGGGTTCATGGCCGCTAACCTCTCTCACTTTCCTCGGGAGTTTTGAGGGAACAAGGGAATATCACATCTGTCAACTAGATCCCATATCAAATGAATCGTAACATTTGAACCATGACATATTCAGACGAGGCCGAACAATGGATATATGAAAGAGCGTGATAAGCGCTGCACTCGCATTGAAAGCGGGTCTAGGAAAGGTCAACGTGCTGAAATGGCTGGCTCAGAGATCTTCCCGCACCACGGGTCCACTTCCAAACGTATCCCTTTCCCATGTGGCATTAAAGCATCCGATTCAATGTCGGGAATTCCAAGAGCCATACCGAGTACACTGTAACCACTTTTACTGGTACAGGTAAATTGCATCTGAACATGGTCCGTCGCAGGAATTCCATTGGCATCCTTTCAACCTCTTTCCTATGTTTCCCGACTCAACTGCCATTTTTTTAGATTTGGGTTTACAGATCCCACGGATCTTCCTTTGGACCTGAAAATTCATCACGGATTTCTCCCGCATTCTCGAAAAGATCTGGAACAAAATTCATGCCGATCGACACGTGTGGTCATAGCTTTGACTGCGCAAGGAGGCTCCCACAAGGCATCCTAGAAGAGGGGCCATGAATCGATCGATAATAATAAGTTTTGAGGCATGTGCACGCAGCACGAGCACTAGATCCAAAAAAAAAACTCAGCCTAGCTCATCTGCCCTCGTAAAACCGTTGTTGCCCCGTCAAGTCTCATGATGTCAAAATATCATGGAATATTCTTCATCCATAGGGTTCATACCCGACCAGGGTACAAGATCGAACCACGTATTCCAAAAATGTCGTATCTTGGCGTGACAAAGCTCCCAGTCACATTTCCACAAACACACCAGGATTATTCTCATCTCCACCATAGCAAAATATCTCTCAATCCACGTGCGCGGCGTCGCCCCGAAAAGTCAGAGTCCGTCCGCCTTATCGCCAAGTTCTCTCAGCCACCGGGCCGGAACAAACTTGCATTTTGTATGAAAACGATCTGGATGCTCAAAGACCGACATGCGCATCAAGTTAACTACTTGCCATCCAGGGACTGCATATCCACATGCCGGAATGGGGTGTTCTGTCCGGCGCCACATGGGACCCGGAAGAACGGGGGTTGAGAGACGCATGAACACTGCATCCACCAGGATCAACTCAGACAGCCACGGTTTTCCGGGCGATCCTCTCGTGTCGTACCAAAGTAGCTAGCTATTGATCTTTTAGCTGTTGGGGAAAAAAAGAAAAAACCGTTTAGCAATCTATCTTGTTCTTGCCATCTCCAACGCCGTGGCTGCGGTGGTTGTGGTGTCCCCACAAATGCCGAGAGTATGTAGGCATGTTTCACCGAGAAGGTCGGAGCACTGCTAGTTTGAAGTCTAGCCTCTGTAGCTTTCAGTTTTGATTAATGATGAGTCTCATACCCCGTAATGTCGGCTGAATTGCATTGTTCAACTGTTTCGCATGGCTTGCTTCGGAGACCGGTCTCGGTTCTGTTAGCTCATCAAGTCCGCCACTCCCCTTAATATTGGTGGCACCAGGAACGTCTGAAGTATGAGATTCTTGGCGAGAATTGATGGTATTTTGGGCCGGGCCTTGCATGTGTGGAAGCATATGCATCATGTAGGAATGGATTTCTGGTTCACAAAAACGTTGCTAGAAATCAATTTCAAATGGGAGGTCCTCAAGTTTCAACAATATCCGACGGGGAAAGGGGGCGTAATCAAAATCAACCAGTATACTCAAGTGCTGATTAATGTTCATCTTTTTATTTCACCACTTGGGGTAAGCTCTAGGCTCCCCCGGACAAGGCTTGGACCTCGGGATTTCATGGGGGGTGCCTACGGAGTATATTCCCGCGTTGAAGTGTCAGTGCTCAATTTGTGGCGGATTTAGCTATCTGGTTGGCAGGGCAGCGTTGATACCTGCTGGTAGGTCAACATTTGTGACAACGTCTTTCTGCACTGGGCATTAATTTAGCATCTATGGATGCACAGGTTTCTTCTAAGGTTCAAACCACCATATCCTCGAAAATAATCAATGCATGGCTCAGTAAATTCCGAATTCGTGCAATTCGGTACCTATATTTTATCTGGACTAACTTGATATCGTGTTGAGTAGGAACTCAAAAGATAGACGACATGAAGCGGTGAGAGGCAGATTGATATTTAAAAAAATATTCAACCCTGGAAGGACCAGTCTCAGCAAATTTAATAGTACAGATCCTTCCGGCTAGGATTGTAAAGTACTTCATGCGTAGTAGTGATAGGTCTCCGCCTGTCGACATGGCACGAAGAATATAGTGTTTGACGGAGAATTCAATCGTCATCCCGTAGTATTGATAAGTCTCTGCCTGTCGACATGGCGCGAAGAATATAGTGTTCGACCGAGAATTCAATCGTCGTCCCGGTCTGATTCATCTTCACCATCCGACTCGTAATCAGATTCAGTCTCCTCTTCAAAGTAGTCCGAATATTCTGATTCCTCTTCCACCTCGAAATCTTCTTCGTCAGTTTCCACTAGGTCTGGCATCATGCCCCGCATGAAACGTTCATCTGCCTCTATGTCTTCGTCGTAAGTGTTATTTTGGAATTCTGCGGTATAAGCTCGGAATAGAAGATTTTCTCGGTTTGCCCTCTCTTGCTGCCGGTGTAACTCTCGCTGTGATTGATAAAGCATCTCACGCAATTGACGGTTGGTCTCTTCCTCCTTTCGTATCTTTTCGTAACGCTTCCGACCCTCTTTAAGCATGCGGTCCATTTCGGCGCGTACCTGACACTCCTGGAGTGACTCTTCCATCAAATGCAACAATGCGCGATCTGCATCGCGCTTCGCTTTTTTCCGGGATGGCTCTCCCGCATGAGGAATATCTGGATCGCGAGTAAGGCCGTTATCACTGAGGTTTTTGGTGTTAGTGGTAGACGCTGGCTTGGTCGAGATACCCCCAGTCTGACAAATCGTCGCTTTCTGGGCACTCATTTTTCAGGAGGGAGGATGCGAGGAGAGCTGGGTTTGGTTGGCGAGTCAATCGTGGGGGCTTGGAAGTAAGGGAGAGTGTGCTTTGTTCAAAGTTAGCTCCGGTGTCGAGGGCGGCGTGTTCAACCGGGGGAATGCCTAACAGTCACTGAAGAGACTCACCTCCAAGTTAATTCAACTGGGTGCTGATGAAATTCAGGAATGGTTGAAGCGGTGAAGTTGAGATTGGACGTGTACTAATCAATCCACAATGGCAGAGACAAGCAGGTAGTGAGTTTATAACAAACAAACATTTGTATGTCACGCGGTCACATGCACATCAAGCTCTCAGTATAAAAAATCAAGACAATCAAACTTTCACTCTAGTTTTTAATCCCCTTTGTTACTTGCGTACTTCAATGCTATGACAATGTGCTCCCCCTTCCGCTATCACATGCCCGTGCCTGTTTCTATTGAGTCTCGTTTCTTTCCTTCTCTTCTTCCCTTCTTCCATTCCATCTTTATTTGTGACTTCCCCACGAAATATTGCTTCCTTTTGGTCTTCCAAATAAGAGCAGAAGATCGAGTGCTTGGTTTCACTTCTCATAAATGCTAGTACATTTAAGAATTGACTTTGCCTTGACCATGTTTCAAATTACGCGTTGTCTACGGATTCCATTTCAAGATGTCCTCCCACAATCCAAGGGCCTGTGAATCGATTCAAAGGTACGACAATCACACATTTCTACCAAGCTTCGATGTCCCCACAGCTGTCACCCATCACCTCTGACTTCCTTATCTTCCCATTCATACCTACATTCACCTTTGCGGATTCACCGTCTCAAAAATCGCCGGTCCCCACTCGGTAAATGTCTTCCGACCTCAGATACGTCTACTTTATTCTAGCCGGCGGACCTCTGTTTTGAAAACCCACCATAAAAAACCGGAATTTACAGTGCCTGGCTTGGTTCGTTACTACAGGCGACTTTGCTACTCGCGGGTTGAGAAAACCTTGCCGATTGGGGCATGAAATATGCCGTTATCATAGCAGATGACGGTACGCAGTGCACATTATGATCAAAATCAAGCACAAGTACCAAGAAACAAAGGGGATTAATCTAAAAACAACAAATTAAGAATGACTCGGGCATCTATTCCCAAGAATGATTTGTAGCTGATCTTTTCGAGATCTTCACCAAGCCAGTCTTTGGTCTCGCCGTATTCCGATTCAAAGCCACAGCTTCAAAGGAGACTAATGGCGCGATAGTCAAGCACTTGAGGACAAAGCAGCAGATACGGTCACCAAGAAAGTGTATGAATTGGCCAACTTGCGAGGCGAGATCTTCATTCAAATGTTACCTCAACTGTGGTTGATGGCACCTGGGAGTTTACTATGCACATAATTCGCACGTGTGGTAAGTGCCAACCCGATGGCCGAGAAGAAATATGTCCGCAATGCACCGTTTGATATCATTCAATGTTGGCATTCTCAACTTTCTTGCCGCCAAGATTCCATTGGAAAATACCTTCAGTACTGCCTTAGCGTCTTCGTTGATTCCTCCGGTACGTCTGCTAGGCAGACGCATGGACTCTGACATGGATAGAACTCCCCTCCTTCACACCCGAGTCTCCGCTTCCGTTCCCGTTTCCGCCCCCGTTCTTGCCCTCGTCAGAGGCAAAGGTGTCCGAGCACTTGAGGTGACCACACCGTCCACACGCACTGACTACGAGACCGATGTAGTAATCGGATATTTTGATCGACTATGCTACAGGTGGCGAACTAGTTTAAGACAATTATCAGTTCACCGAGTGTTCCAATGCTCGAAATGCCAAGGTTCTAATGAACATATATCCACATGCATGGATAACGCGAGTCACCGTCCTGAACATTTGAACCTGACGCGATCCATTTTGCGACCACAACAACTGAACGAGAACTGTGGTTGAATCTACATGAGCGCACATACATCTACCTAAGGAGAAAATGGATATGTACCAGGTACTCCTATTCCGAGTTAGCAGCACTTGAGTTGATGAAGTTCTCTGGCTTCATGATATCATGTCGGACTTAACGGACCTAAGACACGGATCTAAGTTGCATCTTAGATCCGTCCCGCACTCGTAGACCACGGTGGGACCTATCAAGTGTTGAAGTTTTCAAGAAACGCGACTATAAATGAAATAAAGACCCCTGTTGCTTGTTTCTATAAACTCAATTGAACACCCAGGTTATCAAGAGAGTCAATTTCGGGATATTTAAGATGCCAATCCTCGCAGGAAAGCAGATTACCCAGAATGGATTGGGATTGATGCGTAAGAACTAATCACACCCTCAATTCAGAACAAAACAAAGACTTACATCTAGATAGGCCTTACATGGAAAGATGATGTAACTCCCGACGAAAAAGCCTTCAAGATCCTAAAAGCTGCCCTGGCCGCCGGCGTCAATGTCTGGAACGGAGCCGATTTCTACGGCACACCTGACTGCAACTCCCTCCACCTCATGAGCCGCTACTTCACCATCTACCCCGAAGATGCAGACAAGGTTGTTCTCACAATAAAAAGTGGTGTCGCCGACATGCGCACCTTCAGAATGGACGGCTCAGCAGCCGCAGTCCGCAACTACGTGAATCGCGCAAACCAAATCCTCGACGGAAAGAAAAAAATCGACATCTTCGGCTGCGGCCGTGTAGATCAGAACGTCCCCATCGAAGAAACAGTCGGTGCCCTCGCAGAGCTAGTGAAGGAAGGAAAAATTGGCGCAATTCAATTGAGCGAAGTGAGTTCCGACACGATTCGCCGCGCGGCAAAGATCACCAAAATCGATATGGTCGAGGCGGAGATTAGCCTGTGGGCTACGGATGTCTTTGAAAATGGCGTCGCGGAGACATGTGCGGAGCTGGGGATTGTGATGGTTGCGCATACACCTCTCGGGGCGGGTATGCTTACGGGCCAGATCAAGAGTCTGGATGATATGCCTGCGAATGATTATCATCGGTTCTTCCCGCGCTTCCAGCCTGAGAACTTTGATACCAATTTGAAGCTTGTTGATAGGATCAAGGATATTGCAGAGGAGAAGGGGTGTACAGCGGCTCAGTTGGCGCTTTCTTGGATTAAGGCTCAGAGTGATCGGGCTGGGATGCCGGTCTTTGTTCCTGTGGCTGGTGCGAGGTCGGAGGAGAGAGTGCGGGAGAATGCGACCAATATCCAGCTCTCTGATGCTGACATGAAGACTATTCAATCTATTCTGGATAGTTTCCCTGTTGCGGGGCATAGATACCCCCCAGCGGCTGCAAAACTGACCGAGTACTAATTATTAGTTGACATACTTGGAAGATCCCATTTATGGGGATCATGTGTACTACATATTCAAAATCAACTTTGTCTGCAACCTTACATGTACTATTGATTCATCCGCCCGAGTCAAAAACTAGCCTTGCGGATTCAGATATTGTATTATTACTACTATTATTGGACCAAGATAGCTTATTGAATTTGACATCAAGACAAAGAGCTGCGACTACACATAATATCCCATAAGAGTGAAAACATCATGTCTCAAAAAATGCATACAAAGAAACCTCAAGTGTTTGGAAGCTTAGAAGGAAGACCTCAAGTGACGCATCTAGTAAAATTTAACCTGTAGGCCCTTGCAGGAGGCATGGGGAAGTGAACCCGCACGAAATATATGTAATGGTATATATGATACAAACTTGGAACTGATCCACTGGGAGAACGACACGATCGAAAAACGAATGACTCCTTTACAGAGCAATAGCGAGGCCCAACAGACCAGCAACACCGGCAAAGCTCATAGCGACACCCGCAGTTGCAACAGCCGCGCCTCCGGTGGATGTAGCAGTCGAAGGGTGGGTAGAAGCAGTAGCCGTCTTAGAAGCAGCAGCGGCGCGAGAAGCAGAGGCAGACCCAGAGGTGACAGAGCCACCGGCAACGGCCTTTGTCTGGGTAGCAGTCGCGGCGGCAGTATCGGCAGCAGAAGTAGTAGCAGGCGAGGCATCCTCAGTGGCTGTCGTACCATCGTCAGACGCGGTGGTGACAGCGGCAAAGTTCACGGCAAAGTTGTCATCGGAGGAAGCCCAGGCCTTCACGCTGCTGGGGAGAGCATTATACCAGGCTGGGTAGGTACCAGCTTCGATCTGGCTGATGATGATGGAGCGCGAGGCGGGGTCCTCGATTTCCGAGTACCAGGAATCTGGGATGGCGGTTTCCAGGACTGTGAGGATGGAGTTGGGGATTCCGTCGACGGTGGCATCGGCATCGGGTGTGTCGGTGGGGACGGGGCTGGCCAAGGCCAAGGCCGATGTGAGGGAGAGAACGGCAGCGAGTGTCTTGAAGAGCATTTTGAAGGGTGTTTTTGTTGTAAAGACTGTGGATTAATTTGGGAATGATTGCGTTAGGGGTAACTACTTGGCTCTTGGACAGGGAAGTACGTGAAGATATAAGGTGTGCCTTGGCAAGCCAGTCGGCAAAAATCGCCCTTTTTTTTCCCAGTCTTTGTCACTTTGTCAGGGTCTTTCCAGATTGCGGAGGCTCTTCACTCTTTCAGGGTTCATAAGCCTCCACTTATTGAAAACACTATCGCTAGGCCCGAAGCCTAGACTCCTTGTGACCAATTCCCTAGCCAATCAAACATCCCGTCTTCGAATCAAGCTCGCTTAGACTTTGCCCCTGATTTCACATCCAATTAAAATGAGCTCTTTCGATCCCCGTTCAACGCCATGATTCAGAATAATTTCGTTGTTATTCCCGATGCAGACTATGCGACATAATAAGCTAAAATTGGCACACATGTCGGGAGCCCCTGGACCGATTCTCCGACATTCCTTGGTTCAGACGTCAGATAAGCAATTTTGGCGCTGCCTCTCCCAGACCCTTGCAAGCCACTTGTATTCATCTCCTAATTAAAAATGGCTACAGGGTCACATTATTCACACCGTTTACAAGCGCCCCATGAGCAAGCGCACTCTGAAGAATCAGATCAACAAAGGGCCCTTCGTGAGCAGGCGGGTAAACAATAGGCTCCTCAAAATCATCACTCGTATCCTCCCGGAACAGCGTGAGAAGCGCCTTCGGCGGCCAGTCTCTAGGCTGGAAATCACAGTATATCTCGTACTCCCCCGAATCAAATGGGATTCCTCGCTCCGTCGAGATGTCGTCATCGTGTTTTTGTCTATCGGGCAAAATAACATAAGCGGTCGCGCTCGGAGGAATGATCAACTGCATGCAAAATTTGCCAGGGCCGGCCAAATGCCAATTGCATGTGATCAGGCCGAACGGACTATCGTAAGTGGTCTTTGCAGACGTGATGCCGCCTCCAGGCACGGGTCGAACGAGGAACCGTTTCCAGCCGAGCTCTGTGGGGCTGAGTCCACCAACGGTTTGATGAAGCCAGTTGACGATTGAGCCCAGGGCATAGTGGTTGAAGCTGGTCATTGTTCCAGGGTTGATGCTCCCATCAGGAAGCATGCTGTTCCATCTTTCCCAGATGGTTGTTGCACCCATGGTGACGGGGTACAGCCAGGAGGGGCATTCTTGCTCGAGGAGCATGCGATATGCGATCTCGGACTTGCCTACCATAGTCAATGCATGGGTGACAAGGGGAGTGCCGGCAAATCCTGTGGACACGCGGAATCGTGCAAAGCGGACGCGTCGTACCAAGCGTTCTCCGGCAACCTTGACTTGCTCTGAATTCTGGAAGAGTTTGAAAACGATGGCTAGAGAGAGGGCAGTCTGCGTATCACAGGCAACATAGCCAGCCGGCGTGATATATTTCCTCTGGAAAAGTTCCTTCAATTTCAGGTAATCTGATGTGTAACGGTCCTTGTCGTCTTGGTGTCCCAAAATAGTGGCCACCTTACTCATGACTTCGGTGCTGTGGACGAGGTATGCATCGGCAACGAGAACTCCATCCGTGGCTCCATTTCCAGCGTCATCGGGTGGAGCAGAGGGGTCCAGCCAGTCTGCATGCTGCCATAACGAATCTGACCACAGACCATCCGATCCACGCCTGACTCCTTTGTCAAGCCATGACTTCATGCTTTCGTACTGTGTGTCGAGTATCTTTGCATCGCCCGTGAATCTGTAGAGGTCCCAGGGCACCAATACTGCCGCATCTCCCCACACAGCCTGCGGAGGACGAGGCGGCGTATTGAAACACACATCCGGTACGATCATAGGTGGAACACCGTTTCCTTTTTTCTGCTCAACGGCAAGATCTTTCAGCCAATCTCCCAAGATTCCTCCAGTGTGGTACAAGTACGATGCTGAGGGACAAAATGCCTGAATGTCTCCAGTCCATCCCAGTCTTTCATCACGCTGCGGGCAGTCCGTTGGAATTGACAAGAAATTCCCGCGCATTCCCCACACTGCATTCTCATGCAATTTATTGACCAACTCGTTGGAGCATGTGAAACGCCCAAGTCTCTTCATATCAGTATGCATAACCAAGGCCGTCAGACTCAAGTTTGACAGCGGACAGACATCATCTTCGGGCGCCCAACCGTCGATCTGTACATATCGAAAGCCATGGAATGTAAAACTGGGCGACCAATTCACGAGCTCCTTGCCCGAGCACAGGATAGTATCAGTGCATTTGGCATTTCGAAGAGGGCGCATACACAGCTCGCCGTTTTCGAGGACTTCGGCATGTTTGAAAGAGATGATGTCGCCTTCCGGTTTGTTGAGCGATCGAATCCATAGCTTGCCCACAAGGTTTTGGCCAAAGTCAACCAAGAGCTTGCCACTGGGACTCCTCAGTATTTCTTTAGGGACAATGGACTCTGTAATTTGAACTGGAGGACTCTCTGGTATGACCAGCTCCTCGGTGGGGAATGGCAAGACGCGCACAGGTGTCCATCCTGACTCTTGAGAGTTGTAGTCGGTCGTACTCCAGCCGGGCTGTTCCTGCGCCATGTCATAAACTTCACCATCATAGATTTCGCTGCTGAGGATCGGGCCGACATTCCATTCCCAAGTCTCATCCGATATCACAGTAAGCCGTTCTGCGGTGTCCTTGAACGTGATTTCCAACTGCGCTAGGAGCCCGAGATCCTTGCCAAAGACAAAGCGGCCCTCACGCCAAAGCCGAGATGCATACCACCCCTCGCCCAACTCGACAGCAATGACATTATCGCTTGCTACAAGTGCTGTGACATCATGAACATGGAAGTTAAGTCTTTCGTTGTAGCTGGTCCAACCCGGAGCCATCTCGTCCTCGCTAATGGGGGCTCCGTTTATGAAAGCTTTGTAAACGCCATGTGCGGTGATATAAAGTCTTGCAGCTTCAACTTCACCTCGATCTGCTGGAATGTCAAACGTTTTGCGAAAACGGGATGGGCGAATGGGCTCGTCGTTTTGAACAAGTACAGAACTGGAAATCATCTGCGCGACCCACTCGTCTCTTGACAACAACGATGCCTCAACCGTCGCCCACATAGACCATGGCGTAGGGCTGTATGATGAGATGCCGGCTGTCGTGTACGCTCTTACCCTCACAGAAGCACTTTCTCTGGACCGCAATGGCTCTTCTGGCCACTCAAGTAACAGAGACTGTTCGCTCATGGCAGAGTAAAACTTGGTCTCCCCGCCTCGGAGAATTTGCATATCATACTTTTTCTGCTCCCACCCACGAATGGTTCTATCCCCATTCGCAAATCTCCAGGAAATTCGCGGAGTAGAATTGCCGGTTCCAAAACCATGTGTTCGTTGGTCGAAGGTTGGTGCCAAGCACACGATTCTCATAAGGGGGGTATTCATGTTGAATCAACTTTTGATGTTATGTGGGGGATGTTTTCAATGTTGTGAATCTGATCTGGCGGTAGACTGGATATTGACTATTTATTAATCTAGAATCGCGGGGTATCAGCTCAGCGGCTTACCTTGCTCGGGATCTTTATCCGCGGTATAAAGCGACCAATAAATGCCAAATTGATACAGCAACCGGCCTCCAGGTACCTTTGCGAGGCCAAAGCGGTTTCTCCACCACTCATCGATCATGGCCCACTTGGCGACCCGGTTTCAAAAGCCAATTCCGCCTCATCTTGGGCAATGACAAATTCTATACATCCAAATTTTTATGCCACCGACATGAGGCTCTTTCGTAAAGAGTCATTTTCACAAGAGACCCACGTACCCACCGAATTTAGTCTCGACTCTCAACTTTGGAACATTCTCTCCGGTCTTTTTCTCCGATCTCTCCACCTCCCTCCGCGGGCCCGCGGACCAACTGGAAGTATAAATGTAGCTTAGTCCTGGACTCCTGGGTAGAGAATAGATCATTCCACCTTCACCGACCACAAAGGCAACCAGGGGAACAAAAGCACCTGCACACTTCGCTTCGCCAAAAAAAAAGCGTTGTATCACATCACAAAAAGCCTAGCGCCACGCCGGTAAATCCTCTCAGAATGCCGCCCAAACATGTCGCCATCGTAACATGCAGCACCCGCATTCCCCGCCTCAATCCCACGATAACGAAATACGTCTATGACGTCCTCGCATCGGATCCAACAATCCCAACCCGTAAATCGACCTCGCCATCCAACCCCGAACCCCCATTCGATACCGATACCGACCCCCGGCATATCACTCTGACCATCCTCGACCTAGCCGCGCAGTCTCTCCCGCTTTACGACGAATCCGTGATCCCTGCTAGTCTCCCGCCCACAGACCCCACGCCACACTACTCCAAAGAACACACGCGCATCTGGTCACAGGTCGTCCGCCAATACGATGCCTTTATCTTTGTGACACCGCAATATAACTGGAGTATCCCGGCTAGTTTGAAAAATGCGCTCGATTACCTGTTCCACGAGTGGAAGGGTAAGCCGGCAGGGATTGTTACGTACGGGTCGCGTGGTGGAGGGAAGGCGGCGGATCACTTGCGGGGCGTGTTGAATGGCTTGAGGATGCGGGTCGTTGGGACTTCGGTCCCCTTGTCGGTCAAATTTACGGGGTTGCCTGTTGGGGTTTTATCGGAGGTCGAAGAGAGTGTTGAAATTGATGGACGCGATTTGGAGGGTTGGAAGGAAGCGGGTGTGGAAGGGATGATGAGGAATTTGGGAATGGAATTGGTTTGTGAGTTGGATAAGAATTGAGTGGAAATAGCGGTGAAGTCGGAATGTTTTGATTATCTTGATAGAGTGTACATACGAAAGTGTTGTGGTGATAATTTCTTTTTTTTTTCATGTACATCCGCGCTTGCTATCATCCGCATGTGAATATACGATGCATCACATCCAACATTACCAGCCTCGGATCGGAGCCTCACTTTTTTGGGGGGGAGAACAGGCCTCCCCACCTCTCCACTTCTCGTTTCTTATTTTCTCCCTTTTGCCTGGTAGGGGCGAGAAATTTTCAACGTGGAAGTACGCACTTCGCTCTGTATCATTCATTATGCCCGAAGCATCATTCATTGCCCCAATTGTTTTTTAGAAATCTTCTCGCTGATAGAATTTTAAATTTAGTAAAACCAAGTCAATAAACATACTCCGCGCAACTTAATTCTGACATTTGGAGATTATCCCGACTCCATGGTCTCGGGGTAGCCCCCCTACCAATCGCAAGTAAACTGGCTTTCTTCCTAGGCCCACCGGAAGACGCAAGCGATCAGTCCATTCTCTCTCAAGCTTGCAACACCCAGTACCGATACCAGCGGTGTGCAATCCATTGGCACATTTCTTGGCTCTCTTGACATTTGCAGGATACAAAGATTTGGTCCAAAACTTCTTACTGGTTGCGAGTGCCACATAGGCATACCCCTCGGTGTTATCGCATATAGATAACGGCCACTGGTTAAGATGCATACATCGGCATTAGAGAAGTATTTGACTGTCTTGGCGATACATCCGTACTAGATCTCAATACCTAATTAGGAGCCTTCAACAATCGACAAGACGGGACTGGCAAGTGCAGCCTCTGCAACAGTCCTGATGCATAGAGGTGAAGATAGTCGATGGGGTTGAACCTAAGGGATCCAATTCTGGAAGGGGCATCCAGTGCAGCGTAGGTCTTCAGGTTCAGCGTATGCAGGGTGTAAAGTCTGGCGGTGGTCACTCAAACTATGATTATTGCACTGGCGGCTGGCCTCCAGATGTCTATGAAACTAGTAGAGTAAGCACGCCGAACTTTGAGTGACTAACGCTAAACTTTTAGACACACCTAACGCTGAACATTTCAATGTTACATACTAGTATGTAGTGACCAACGCTGGTCTTTGAGTGATATAAACTATGTAGTAGGCTTACACCCATATTGACTACGAATTACCCCATACCAAGCCCATACTATGTTGATTTGCATAATTCAAACATTTGAATGTTGGTCAAGGCCGTATTTTGTGAAAGATGCAAAAATTTAGCGCACATTGTTCACCATCATCCTGCTACAAAGGGTAACACATCAGCCGCTGCTCTGTACGCTCAGCTTACTACCAGTTGACTAGTAAGTAGTGAAGCAAGCCTTCCCCAGCGGGCATTCGACCAATAGAACACGACAGTCTTAACCTTGGAAGGTATTGTTCTAAGGTTGGAAGATAAAAGCTACAATTGAAGAGCCTCAAAGGTTGCCAAGGATATAGAGATCAATCCTTTGTTTGCCTTTGAATTTTGTGTAGTCAAATGCTGTATTGTTTTCAGAGGAAAATTTGGAAATATGGGGACAGTGGAAGACGCGAAGATTACGGCCAGATCGAGTCAGATTTTGCGATCGGCGATCAGCACTTCAGGGTCCTTTTCCGTGCTAGTGCTCACGCAGAAATCGGATTCATGCCGCTTTTTCTCCGAGTAGAATTGAGCACGCCCTGAATCCACTTGATCCCAGTAAGCCATAAGTCAGTGATCATCCTCCAGCTAACTTTTTAGGAGTCAAGCTAACTCGTGAAGACTGTGTACCACGATTTAGCGAACACCTCCGCTCTTGACACTAACCGTTTTGGCTCTTAGTTGTTTGGTAACAGACTGGTTTGTCCCAATGTGTTCCACCAAAACCTAACCTTAAGCAGTGTTTATGACCGTATATGATACGATCTGGTATGGAAGACAACTAATGCGAGATGTGGCGCTGATCAACTGTCTAGTGGCGTGCAACAATAAGCTGTTCGTTCGGTAGTCGAAATAGCTAAAAGGGGGCTTTCGCCCTCGGGAAAAAACCTTGTGCAAAAATATCATCAATTCCAAAAAAAGACAAGCAGGGAACTTCAACATACACTTGAACATGTTGTACCCTACTTTGAAGTCGCTCGCCGTCGGGCTGGCGCTCGGCGCCAGCACCGTGCTGGCACAGGACTCTTCCACTTCACTCGTGAGCCGCCGCCTCACAGAGTATCTGATGCCCGCCGCCGCCGAGACGCACGAGTTTGCGCGCGTCCCGAACTCCAACTTCGTCCTGCTGACGCAGATGTCCGACAGTGAGCTCATCAAGATTGAGCTGGACGCAACCACCGAAGAGCCCATTGCCTTCCACGCCTTCCCGATGGGCATGAACAGCAGCTCCGAGCTCCACGGCGTGTGGCCCTCGACCGTCCACCCCGGCATGATGTGGCTATCCCTGCAGGGCGACAACAAGCTCATCCTCGTCGACCCCGGCAAGGACCTCTCCACCGCTCCTTCCATCATCCAGACCATCGACATCCCCGAGCCCGGCAACGGCCCACACTGCGTCTTCGAAATCGGCAACCGCGTCTGGGCCGGTCTCAAGGTCGCGTCCCCTCAAACCGGCCAGTTCTACGTCTTCTCGGCCGATGTCACCAACTCCACCGACAGCACCCTGTACGAGTGTCTCAACAGCCCCGTCTTCATCAAGGAGGAGCCTACCACCGGCCTGATCTACGTTACTCAGGATACCGATTCCTCCATCATGCGCATCAACGTCACCAGCGGCGAGACAAAGCAGATGCCCATTCCCGCCAGCGTGGGCAACAACGCCGTCGGAATGATCACCGCCTACGGCCCCATGAGCGGTGTGTGGTTCACTCTCGCCGGTAATGCTACTGGTGGCACTGGCACCTTTGGTCACATCGGATCGCTCGGCGAGTTGGAGTTCTTCCAGCTCCAGCACCCCATGCTCGGAGTTAATGCTGGTCTCCTGCATATTGCTGATGCGTCGACCGTTGCCGGTGGCCCGGCCTTGTGGCTCTTGTCCACCTCGCTTCTTAGCAACGATTCGCCCGATGCCCTTATCCGTGTCACTTTCAACGCCGCCATGACTGAGATTTCTGGTGAGGAGTACATCTCCATGCTCACTCAGAACGCTATGGTGCACCGTGTCTTGCCCATGGACTCTACTGTTTTAGTGTCCGAGCTCAACACTTTCACTCTCGCCCAGCTCACTTATAATAACACCATTGCTGGTCAATGGCTGCCAGCTGAGGCTGCCAGCAACACCACGGTCTACACCGAGGCCGGTTAAAAGTTTTCTTCTGTTGGAAAACTTATACATAGAATTGCATAGCCCCTTATATTAAACGCACATAGACACTTTATATACAACTAATCTAATCAAACATTGGATATTTAAAATTACATATGCTCATACAAGTCACGACATCTGGAAGAACATTTGAAGAGTCATTTGAAGAGTTGATAGAATATTGGCAGAATTTCATATATATTCATTGACACGAAAGAAACATTCAATGTTTGAAACAGTGGGACCAGCTGAAAGCCAAGACTTTGGTATCGAAACATTTCCAAGGTGGGAACCCTCAAGTGCTGACGAGCTCTGGAGACCAGATCGGGTAGCAAAATCCCCCGTAAACTGATGTAGTAGCTACAAGTATTGTCGCCGCGCGTGCGCGCGGCGATTGAACCTAAAGTCAATCAGAGTCCCCAGCTGTAGCATTGTCTTTGGACCCACTTTGGGCCTCTCAGCCAGTCAGGTGCTGCAAAAAAACACAGGTTCGCGCGTAGTAGAGGGCTTGACTACATAGTAGTATGAATTCAAAAATTGAGTGCAAAAGGGCATACCACCTTGCCAGAATCAGTCGCAGCGACCAGTGCCACCGTATTTACAATCACTACATGTATGTAACCTTGGAAACCATCCTCAAGTGCTCCAGGGCTTGCTTCATTTTGGTCAACTCCTTGGCGCCAATAATGTGTCGTGTTGATGCGTTCAGCGCCAAATTCGAGCTATAGACATCGGGGTCTATGGATTCGTCAGAAGCTCATCGAATGAGGAAAACGTCAACTGGTCGCTCCGCAATCTAGTTCTGTCGGAACCCTCAGCGTTGGAAGTTGCGCGTGGGAGTGTGTTGACTTCAAATATTTTTCTGGGTAGGCTAAGTTGATGGAATGCGAGTAAAAGTTTCAGAGTCTGGTTTCAAGGTGTTCTCGGTTCCAAGATTTCATTAAGAATAAACAATAGTATTTTTTGCATATTTGACAGTAGAATCGTATGTAGTATATGCATGTGCACAGTTAATCTACTTACCAGTCTGCATGCGTAAATGTAATTTGAAAATCAAACTGGAAACGCCATATTATATACTTTTCCGCCAAGTATTTACCAGAAATTATTTAATCGCGAGTCATGATATCGTGTCGCGAGATACCACTGCGCTCACACATAGCCCGGAAGATACCATCCGACTTATCGAACAACGCAAGCGGCGAATCCATCTCAGCGATCTGGCCCTGATCCATAACACAGATCCGATCGTAGTGAATGATCGTGCGAAGACGATGCGCAATACAGAGCAGAGTCTTACCCTGGAATCCCTGCGCCATGGTATGCTGGATCTTCTGATCAGTCTCGAAATCAACGGACGATGTCGCTTCGTCACAGACGATAATGCGTGCATCGCGAACCAGAGCTCGCGCGAGAGCCATGAGTTGGCGCTGACCGAGCGAGAAGTTCAGACCTTCTTCGTCGACAGGAGATTCGAGGGTCAGACGGTTGGCGGGTCGGGGCTTTGAGTCACTACCCGTGACTGGGGTTGTTGTTCCAGTTGCGGGCTGTTCGGGGAGATCGACCTCTGGCTCGGTGCCGAGAGTTTCCTCGCCGATGAGGTAGGCCCTGCGGAGAGCGGACCAGAGCTCCAGATCGGCGTGCTCGTTGAAGGGGTCAAGGTTTGAGCGAATGGTTCCTTTGAAGAGGGCTGGGTCTTGTGGGATAATGGCAAGGCGGGAACGAAGATCGGACAGGCCGATGGTTGAGATGTCGACTCCGTCGATTTGGATGGTGCCGCCGGACAACTCGGTCAGGCGGAACAATGCGGACATGATACTTGATTTTCCGGCACCGGTTCGGCCGACGATACCGATGCGCTCGCCTCCTTGCACGTCCATGCTGAGACCCTTCAGGACCAAAGGCAACTCTGCTCTGTATCGCATTCGGGTGTCCTTGAACTCGATGCGGCCCTTCTCGGGCCAGCTGGCAGGTACCTCGGCGAGGTGCAGAGGCGCTTCCTCTGCAAGCTCGGTGCCGTAGTAATGAAGACGCTCAGTCGCGTTCATGTCGTTTTCTACCTCGGCAAGTTGGCGAACGGTGAACTGGAGCATCTGCGCGATAGAGAGGATGTAAGACAGAATCAGGCCGGAAATACTGGGAGAAACGTTGAATCGGGAAGTGACAACCAAAACACCGATCACGAAGACTAGGCAGGTGGCTACACCGTCAAGTCGAACGCTGAGCCAACGCTGGTTGGAAAAGGTCAAGAAGTAGGCACCGTTCATCACGTCGATGGAGTCACGGATGCTTCGCTCGAACTGCTTTTCAACGCCATAGGCGCGGATACATGCCACACCAGTGATAGCTTCGCCGAATCGAGCATACACGCTCGATCGCAGAACGGCCTCGTGACGCTTCATTTCACGGGCAGATGCTCGGTAGTAGTTGGAGGCCAGAAGAAACAGAATGACCATGGGGACAAGGGCGATAACAAACTGATTACGGTTAGTGCATTTTCTACGAAGTGTTTGAGAATGTGATTGGGAAAACTCACGTAGTAGAAGAAGACGATGATCAAAACCATGACGGAAATAATCATGGTCATCGTCAATGCGTACATACGAATGGCATCAGACAGTTCATTATCCATGACTGCAACATCCTTCGAAAAGCGGTTGGTGATACGTCCAAGAGGAGTAGTGTCGAAGAATGACATTGGGGCGCGCAGAACACGAGTCATGGCACGTTGAAGCATCGTTCGGCTAGAGTTGGTACCGCATGTTGTCATATAAGTCGAGAACGTAAACATAATGAGGACAACACTAGTGGCCAATGCAGCGTAGATACCGATGTATGCGCCAGTCGAAAGATGAGGGTATTTGTCGTCGGTCCAGTACGAAAGCCACAAGCTGGTCCAAATATTGGCGACATTCGCAAGAGCAAGAAAGAACAGAATCGCGATAGCGTTAAAGTAGCTGCCGGATGCTCGAATATAGGCCTTCCATACACTCCAGCCTACAGATGATGTAGCCTTCTCTTCTTGCTGCATCATTGAGACGCCAGTGGGCTTTGCAGGCGCAGCTTTCTTGGTAGTTGCTTCTTGTGTTTCTTGCACCTTTTCGCCTGCTTCCTCGGTCTTTTCGGATTCTTCATTGGCGTCCTCTTGTCCGGATGTTGCCATGAGGCGCTGGAACAGCTCATTATCGCGCATGAGATTGTCGAATGTGTCAACTGCGTGAATTCGGCCTTCATCCATGACCACAATGCGATCGCATCGGTTCAAAACGTGAAGCTGGTGAGTCGCAAGAATTCTGCAGCGGTCCTTGAGTAGTCCGCAAATAGCCTTGTCCATGATGTGACGGCCAACATGAGCATCAACGGCAGAGAGGGGGTCATCCATGAGCACAAGCTCGGCGTTGAAATAAATGGCACGCGCAATGTTCAACCGTTGCTTCTGTCCACCGGAAACTGTGATACCACGCTCACCAATCTCGGTGGCATCACCGTTGGGTAGAATCTTCAGATCGGGGGCCAATGCACAGGCATCAATGACATCGTTGTACCAAGTCTCATCATACTCTTTGCCGAAAAGGATATTGTTGCGCACGGAAGTATTTTGGATCCAGGCGTACTGCGGGCAGAATGCACGAGTGGTACTCATTCGGACATGGCCCTCGGTAACACGCATATCACCAGCCAGGGCAGAGAGCAGAGAGGTTTTGCCACAGCCGACTGTTCCAATGACGGCCAATAGTTCATTACGTCCGATCTCGAGATTCACTCTTTGCAATTTGAATGGCTCTGCCGCTTCTTCCTTGTCGTTCTTTTCGTTGTCTTTGGCTGCCTCGAGGAGCTTGGCGGCCTTTTTGTCGACCTTGCCGGTGACGGGCTTCTCGTTCTCAGTTGGCAAACGCTCCCAGGTGAAAGACGCATTCTCGATTTCAATAGCATTGTGCATGTCTTCAATTTGTTTGATATCCTCCTTCTGCTCTTCTGCGAGCAAGAATTCTTGAATACGGGTCAGAGCAGTCATAGCATCACTGACCTGACCGAGGACCATGGGCAACATGTTGAGCGGCATACGCAAAGAGTTGAACAGGGCGAGGGAAGAGAAAATGTTGGCCGGATGGAGATTATGGCTTGTCAAAGCGTAGGTGATAAAGGCGAGCATGGAGGCGAAGACGGGAATAGACATGGATACACAGAGGATGGCATTGCGGACTGCGAGAAGCGTCTGGATGGAGCGAATCTCCTGGTTGCGAATTTCTTTCAAACGACCAAGGAAACTGCTTTCCCATCCAAAGAACTTGACAAATCGGACAGCCTGCAAAATTTCTTGTGTAAGAGATACACGTTGGTCGGTGACCTTGTTGATGGCCTTCCGGCGCTTCACTAAGAATCGAACTGCAAAGGTCAAGAAAGGAATTCCGAATACCAGCAGTGCGTATCCCGACAGGCAGCTGACACCAATGTTGACCAGGAGCAGAACCAGGGTCACAATGATCGAGATGGGAGCTGTCCAAGTCATGTGGAACATGCCAGCGGCAAGATTGATCCGGTCGACATCGATACTCATCAGGGCAATGATACGGCCGTTGCTCCATCCACGACCATCACCCGCCACTCCATTCTTATTTCCGGCAGCTTTGGGGTCTTCCGCTTTAGACTTGTCCTTAGGATCTTTTTTCAGAGCTTGGTCTCTGGCCGTCTCCAGTGCAGCTACCTCATCGTCACTTGCCTTTCCACCGGCTTTGGCACGCGCAGACAATTTCATTGCCTTGTTGAATACCAAGGAAATCAAAACTGCGCGCACTTGTCCGCCGACCATCTGACCTCGGTACAAGAATTGGTTCGTGCATAGACTCTGCAGGGCTTGGATCAAACTGATTCCGACGACAAAGCCCATACCCCGACCAATGTTCGGGGCGGGTGTTCCAGACTCTTTGGCATCCCAGGCCTCCGTGGCGAACTCAATCAGATATCGCGTCAAGTAGGGCGCGAAAACCAATAAAAGCGAACTGAAAAACTGACAAACACCGCCAAGCAAAAATTCAAATCGAAATGTGTCGTACAAAGCGGCGGTGAGTGGACGTTTACTGTTAGTTGCTGTACGACGTTCCAATGCGGCATCTAATCGACCTGCCAAGATATCGACAGTGCGTTCCGGGTTAACAGTCCAAACATCTTGAAGCTCAAGGGGGCGAAGATATCCAACCTAGACAAATCTTGTCAGTTATTTCACCCTTGGGGCTCTTCTACCAAAAACTTACTTTCATTAAAGGGGACATCCATTGGAAATAAACAACACTCAGGAAGGAGGCTCCATATTCTTTTGACACTGTTCGTTCCTCTGGGACAGGCGGCGGTGTGGACCATCGCAGAGGGTTAAGCCTCTTGTGCCATTTCTTCTTTTTTGTTGACTCTAACCCATTAAAATTCAGACTCGGGGGCTTTGTTTCATCTCCTGACGTTGATCTAGCACTTGCTGCCTCGGCCGGTGGCAGTTTTTCATCGATGACGACGACCTGAGGCGTCGGATCGGGTGTAGTCATGATGACCGCCGTATATCCTCCAACAACTCAACAATATGATGAAGCGTGAAAGGGGGGAAAACGATAAATCCCCAAGCTCAGGGATTTCCGAGAGCCGAGATCACCTATAAAAGAAATCTACACGGCTTTAAGGGCGTTAGCGCCGAGGCCAAAGTTGGTGGGGCCGATAAGCGGGATTCCAGGCTGAAACCGGAAAAAAGTCATGGAATTCCCCAGGTATGTGTAAAACAAAAGAACATTACATGTAGAACGAGTGCAAAGATGGGGTAATTAAGAAGATTCGGTGAGTCAATGGTGAGTCAGGCCCATATTTCCCTGAAACTCAGATTCAACTTTCAGGTTTATGATTCGGACATTTGAAATGCACGAAATCCTGTACATAAAATCATGACTCGAAAGTTTTCGGGAGAATGCAAGGTCCGAGGGTTGACATCGGATTTATGCCTATACATTATTATAATCCCTTTAATATCACAGTAGTAGTATTCTGGCTATAACCAATGGTTTCTAATGGTTTGGACTAGTAGATAACGGAAAGCAAAATTTCAAGCCTTTTCTAGCCGAGCTAGACCTGAACCCCGGAGACATTTGTTTTCTTGCCCTTCATCCCTAGAAACATAACCTCAATACACATCAACCTAGAACAACACACGATCTTGTCCAGATGCAAGATCGAGCACAGAGAACAGAGAAAGTACTGATTAATGCAAATCGGGGAATGCCAAAAGAAGACAAGCTCATCGTATTCGCATTCGCTTCTAACTCATCCATGGTTTTCCCCAGTGTATCGGGAATCGGGAAATTCGAGACTCCGTGTTCCGAGTTGGATAAAGTGCATTAGTAAGAATCGATCATTTGAGTCAAAAGAAGACGTCAAACAAGCCCCAATGCTTCCCCCTAAACCGCTTTGCGCGAAGCTTGCGAAGAAAAAACCCAGAGTGGGTCTCGGTTCATGGTCCTTAGGCCTCCAGTCACGGGGACGCGATAGATTGGGGAGTCCGGCATTGGGCCCCACATCCACCAAATCCGCCAGGAGACGCTGCCAAGCGCAACCAGCCGCAACTATTACTGTTTTTAGTTGGGACTTCGTTACTAGGTACTTGTACAAGTTGAGGAAAATATCCTTCGGAATTTCGCTGCATTTCGAAAGCTTTTGATTCGCTGCCGATAGCAACAACTTCTAGACCCTAGCCTATGTAGTAGATGGCCATATCAGCCTATCTTTACTAGCACCTATCTTCCTATCGTTACATCATGAGAAGGCAAAAAACTGCCGTCCGGAAAACTATCTATCAGTTTTGTGTGCTGGCAATGTCGAACTGCAGACGCATGCAAGTCGAGCATCAGGTCACCTGAACCACCGTGTATAGTAGGATCCTGGTCCTGGTCCTGGTCCTGGGCCTGGGCCCTCATTCGTAAATCAGCTAGGCTGATAATTCATCCCGATGTTGTCTCTAGCTCTTTAGTTCTCAATGCCAATTTTGACCTTCTTCTCCGGGGGAGGGATCACGTGGTCCTCAGCGCTACCCTTCAGGTTAGGGAGCTCAGTCACAGCTTGGTTGATGATGTCCAGAGCCTGCTTGATCTCCTCCTCGGTGATCACCAGCGGTGGGGCAAGTCGAATAATGTTCTGGTGGGTCGGCTTGGCCTAATGGTACCACGCAAATTAGCTTTCTTTTCATACTTGTAGATCTCTTGGAAACAACAACAGTCCTCTCTCTCAAAACTTACCAGCAAGCCCTTCTCCTTCATCAGCATGCACAGGTCCCAGGCAGTGTGGCCGTTGGTCTTGGACTCGTCAATGACGATGGCATTGAGAAGACCCTTTCCACGCACAGTCTGAATAAGCGGGGACTTGAGATCCTCCAGACCCTTGCGGAAGATATGGCCGAGTTCTTCAGCCCGCTCCACCATGTTTTCTTCACGAACCACCTCCAGGGCACGAATGGCTACAGCGCAACCTAATGGGTTACCGCCGTAGGTTGAACCGTGGGTACCAGCCTCGATTGTGAGCATGACGTCCTTGCTACCCAGCACACAGGAGACGGGGTACATGCCACCAGAAATGGCCTTACCCAAAAGGACCAAATCGGGCTTGATTCCGCTCCACTCGTGGCAAAGGAGCTTACCAGTGCGGGCAATACCAGTTTGAATCTCATCACAGATCAAGAGCACATTGTGCTTGTCGCACAGGGCACGGGCTTCCTGCAAGTAACTCTCGTCTGGGACGACAATACCAGCCTCACCCTGAATGGGCTCGACAAGGAAGGCCGCTAGGTTAGGTCCAGCCGCCTCAAAGGCCTCACGGAGGGCAGCCTTATCGTTGTAAGTGATAGGCTTCTCGGTGCCGGGGATGGTGCATCCGATACCAGGGAGGTAAGGGCCGTAATGTTCGCGCGATTCCGGGTCAGATGACAGTGAGATGGCGGCGAACTAATGCAAGGAACCAATCGGTCAGCCCCCAATTATGCATACGTCATGTTTCACGAACATGGGATTTCGGAGGGGTAACTTACTGTCCGACCGTGGAAGTTGTTTTCCGCACTCAGAACAATTGCCTGGTTCTCTGGGATACCTTTGATCTTGTAACCCCACTTCCGAGCAATCTTGATTCCTGTCTCCACGGCTTCGGCACCAGTGTTCATGGGCAGCACCATATCGAAGCCAAAGTAGCTAGTGACGAATTGAGCGAAGCGGGGGAAAACATCATTGTAGAACGCGCGCGAGCTTAGAGTAACCCGCGACGCTTGATCAACGAGGGCTGCAATCAATTTGGGGTGACAATGTCCTTGGTTGACGGCAGAGTAGGCAGAGAGGAAGTCAAGGTAGTGACGTCCTTCAGGATCCCACACCGAGGTACCCTGGGCGCGGGCAAAGACCACAGGCAATGGGTGGTAGTTGTGGGCAGCATACTCGGACTCTGTCTGAATAGCCTCACTGGTTGAAGCAGCGTGGTAGTGGGAGAAAGTCCCATTGGACCCGTTGGCAACCATAGTGGATTTTGCGGGGAAGAAGTGAATGGATGAGATAGGAACGGAAGGTCCACACTGAGTAAGAAAATGGGAATTGCAGTACAAGACTGAAAAAAAAGTGAGAAGGTTAAAGGAATTTGTTTAAAGAAGTAGATTGAATCTCCAATGAAAAAGAAAAAAGAGAAAGAAAGAAAAGGAAGCAAGGGGGACGAATACTTGTACTTTGGACCGTGGGATTGGACCGTGGCGTATAGATCCGCCGCTATTCCCCTAAGTGCAAGTGCTATTCCCTTAAGTGCAGGTTGTCGCGAGCTCTTTCATCCCTCCACCTCTGCTGTTCCCTAAGCGCAGGAATACACGAGCGGTCGCTCATTTTTGCTTCTGGTCTCCATCACATTACCTATCAGCATACTAATCTCTCCAATCAGCTTGTTCCTATTACCGGCCCGGCCATTGAATTCCCCGCGGTCGCTCTTTTTGCCCTGGTTGATGTCATGCTCGCCGTCGCGGCATCCACCATGCGAATCTAAGATCCCCTTGTGACCAGTAATCGTCGCGGGCTTGGCCCGAATGTCATAACTGCTAGCTTTTATTCGTCTCAAAACATGTCTTCTGTCAATACCCTTTCCCCGCGTCGCGCCGCTGGCACCCCGGCCGTCAAAATCCTCCTCCTCCTGATCGCCTTCCGCCTCGTCAATGCGCTCACCGTCCGAACATTCTTCCAACCCGATGAATTTTTCCAGTCGCTGGAACCAGCATGGCAGATCGCGTTTGGAACAGGCTTACAGGATAAAACTCAAGGGGCTTGGTTAACTTGGGTAGGTGTGGGAATTACAGGTCGCGCGCGTGTGCGACACGTCTCGGATAAGTGCTGATCAAGTTTTGATTAGGAATGGCAACACCGACTTCGATCCTCCCTCCACCCTCTCCTTTTCGCTGCAGTTTACAAAGCGACCGATGCGATTTCCTCGCTTTTTTGCACACCTTCGACGCGCGCCAACCTCCTGATCGCCGCCCCCAAGACCGTACAGGCCGTTCTGTCAGCTTTAGGTGATTACTACACTTGGAGACTCGCGAGTCGCATCTATGGAGAAGACTCCCGTGGCGCGTGGGCGGCTTTAATAGCCACTACGGTGAATCCTTGGCAATGGTTCTGCTCGACAAGAACTTTGTCCAATTGCCTGGAAACAACGCTTACGATTGTCGCGCTGGATCAGTGGCCGTGGCAATGGTCAGCTGGCTCCCCCGCCGCCGATAGCCGCAAGAATGGTGGGGAGAAGGCCAAGGCCCAGGATCGCCGAGTACTACTGAGCCTTCGCAAATGCCTGTCGCTAGCGGGCGTTGCCTGTATCCTCCGCCCAACTAACATTATAATTTGGATCACGTTGGCTGCACTCGCTTGGCTTCGGATCTCCTGGAGTCTGCGTGCGATTCTTGTGCGCGAGGTCCTTCTTTGCGGGTCTTTGATCTTAGGTTTCTCATCGGTGGCAGATCGCCTGTTCTATGGGATTTGGACATTTCCTCCCTTGCGCTTTCTATACTTTAATATTGCCCAGTCACTAGCAGTCTTCTACGGCCGTAATAATTGGCACTACTATGTGACCGAGGGCTACCCGCTTTTACTCACCACGCTGATTCCCTTTGCCGTGCCGGGTCTATATTCTACTTTGACCAAGCGAGTCTCAGCTTCTTCGCCCTCTGAAAAAGTACAGGCCACCACGCGTGTACACTTGGCAACAATATGTATATTGATGCCATGCGTACTGTCCCTTATTTCGCACAAAGAAGTTCGCTTCATCTACCCTCTACTCCCATCTCTCCATATCCTGGCCGCCCCTCGTCTAGTGCAATTCTTTTGGCCAGCTCTCGCATTCAGTTCTCATACCCTTCGCAGACTTTGCCTCCTATTTCTCCTCGTCATCAATGGGTTTATTGCGATATATACGACCGTATATCATGCCCCGGGGCCACTGGATGTGCTTAGCTATCTGCGTGGCCAATACGAGGGACATTCTTTGTCAAATAAGCATACATCTGGCTCAGAAAACAGATTAACGGCTGGGTTCTTGATGCCCTGTCACAGTACCCCATGGCGCTCTCATCTGGTTCATCCTATTCATGCGTGGGCACTTTCCTGTGAGCCTCCAGTCGATCTCAACGAGGCGCAAAAGGCTGTCTACCGTGATGAGGCCGACCAGTTCTATGACGACCCAACTCACTTCCTACAAGAGAACATGGCCGGTGGGCTGCGCTACCTACCAAGGCAACCAAGCTACGTAACTGGCTTACAATCCCCGAATCCAGACCTCCACGAATGGCCTGATTACCTTATATTCTTCGCCCAGCTGGAGCCCACCATGCGCAATCTTGTTCGCGGCTCGTATGATGAATGCTGGCGCACATGGAACACAGCCTGGCACGATGACTGGCGTCGCCGCGGTGACATTGTCGTGTGGTGCCTGGACCCCGCAGAGCAAGATGCCTGGCGTTCGCACAAAGCAGCGGTTCGTAATCAAAAGGACTGGATTTCCTTCCCTCCATCTTTTCTCACGTCCTTTCCTCCAGCCTCCTCGCTTTCTTCCGCATCCCTAATGCGATTTTTCAAGTCCCACTTCTCTTCAAACCTTTGGTCATGGAACAAACCTTCCTTGGTCGATAATTTCTTATCATATTTCCGATCAAGAGGTGGCAGTTGGCAACTCTCTCTCCCATCCTTCCCCTCGCTCTCCTCCCTTTCTTTCACATCTCTGCGGGGCTTTGTTGAGTCACATCTCTTCTCTTCGGGCACCTGGTCATGGGGCAAACCTTCCTTGGTGGATGATTTTCTATCATATTTCCGACCAAAGGATCCCAGCTGGCATGATCAGCTTCCACCTTGGCCTGAGTGGCTGGGAGGCCCTTCTAAGAGAAAGATCGATAAACGTGAGCGTGAGCTTTGGTCATAATTTAGGACCTTTGTGGTCGAGTCAAGGTTCCATTGTGAACTCGACACGGGTTGGTAAATGGAAAGACCCATATAATGTTTCTGCTACATATCTGGTTCGATTATCTAGCAAGTTCAACTTTTGTACATACTAATCTTTTACATTCTTTTGGGAAATTATATCCTTGTTATATACTACAGTACTCAAGTGCTTGTACTTCAAATGTTCGGAGATCGTAATAAATAGGCACCTATACTTACCCGCAGGTGGACTATATGTCTGCTGCAACTTGGGCAAGCTTTTGGTGCAACTCGGGCGTGACGTCATCGGTTATGACTGAGATTCTCAAATCCGATTGGCTGGAAATACTCAGATCCGTTCAAACAAGGTGTCAACCAAAATCCTGGGATAAGATTAATTTAATCCGTGTGTTAGTAGGCTCACATTAACTTTCGTCAAGATATCTGCGGATTTCTGTAGTGGCCCTCCTTGGGTCCGAAACAAAATCATGGCCGACAACAGCGGGATCCAGTCCATTCAATCGAGCAAAATCAATCACACCATGCAACGCACTGTCTACCTGTTTGGCCAACCTATTGCCCACTCCGTCTCGCCAGCCTTCCATAACACCATCTTCAAGAATGTCGGCTTGCCATGGCGTTATATCAGACTTGATTCAGAGGACATCGAGGATTTGAAGTGGCTCATGTGCCGGGAAGATTTCATCGGAGCAGCTGTCACAATGCCTAACAAAATATCGACGATGGACCATGTTGATATGCTGACTCCCGAAGCACAAACAATTGGATGCATCAACACAATATACATACGTCCGAATCCAGAAGGAGGTGAAAAGAAACAAATCTACATCGGTACAAACACAGACTGGATCGGCATCCAGCGGGCCCTCCTCAATGCGGATCCTGACCTTCCAAAACATCTGCCAAAGCTCCCGGCACTGGTAATCGGCGGAGGGGCAACTTGCAGATCTGCGATCTATGCTCTCACAGAGGGGCTCGGCTCTCAATTGGTTTATCTGGTCAATCGCGATCCTCAGGAGGCCAGAGCTGCTATCATGGCCCTAAAGCAAGCGGGTTTGCGTCAAGAAATCCGTTATTTGGAAAGCGTTGAAGATGCACAATCAATCATCGAGAAACCTATTGTGGTAATCAGTGCAGTGCCAGATATTCCGCCCAAAACCGAGCTTGAGCATACTGCCCGGGAAATTGCCACCTCGATTGTCCAATCCAACACTGGCCACACATCTCCTCGGTTATTTCTAGAAATGTGTTACACCCCTACGCCGATGACGTGGCTGGCGACTCTGGCGCAGCAACATGGTTGGAACATTATTGATGGACTTGATGTCATGGAACACCAGGCTATTGAGCAGTCCGTTCTATGGACTGAACGATCGCGCCAAAGCTTGCCCACGGGATTGGCGAACAAGGCAATCCGTGAAGCTCTTCAGCGATGATTCGACAGTTCAAGTTTGGGAACTGGTGTTGGTAGAATCATGGGCTGAAAATTGATGTCAATTCATGCTTGTTTCAGTTGTACGAGCCAGGTCGAGAATATGCGCTAGACCAGGAGACAGATTTCTTGAGAACATTTGAAGGTAGCTAGTAGGTACCTGGGCAAGATTTGAAGCACTTGAGGGTGAATGGATTTCACATGTGTACTTGGATTAATTGAATTCTCATTGCTCAAATGTACCGGTGAAGGAACTATCCAGTGATTTTTATCTACTCCTCAACTCAAAAAACCTACTAGTATCTTCCAGCTTTCGTTTCAACCATGGACCAAGTGGGGTCTAAGAGCACGCAAAATTTTTGGGTTAAGAGTACAAAAAACAATCTCGCGTGTGGACGAAAAACCCCTCCTTAACCCGCGCGCAGCCTCACAATGCTTTTACGCACCGCTGTGGTATTATCGGAGCGCGGTGTGGTAAAAATTAAGCATCACTTTTCCACCCTCTCTTCTGAGATTTTACCCACAATTTCTAGCGTTGGACAATGAATACGATTCTATGTTGCATTCGATGTTTGACGGGCTTCAATATTCAATTTCCGCTAATCGGTCTCGTGGTACTCCCGAAGTCCATCCAGATGTCGTCAAAGATATCGGTCCGAATGCACCTATGGACCTCGATAGAGTAAAACTATGGATTTCAATTATCAACCCTGCGCTTTTCTATCCAATATCTCATCTTGCCCAACTCTTCAAAGCTCTATTCTCGCTCAGACTCCCTACTGAGAATGTATTCCCGACGCTCAATATCCCATTCCGGAAGAACAACCGACAAAGGTAAAGGATCATTCTGCGGACCCTGGTAAATATCCGGATCGATTGTTCGAATCTTAGCATCTCTCGGCAAACGCAACTCCTCCTCATCTGGAAGACCTTGGCTTTCCATTGCGTTCATTTCGCTCAAAATCTCAGGTGTCGCCTGCTGGCGCAGCAAGGTCCAGAAATCTTCATCTGATAATTTCCAAAGCGCCTCTTCTTTCACACGGCCTGAATGAACCAGGTCTCTGATTATCGAACCGGTTCGCTTGTAAAGATTTGCCTGAGCCCGGTTAGACCACACGTCTCGGTCTGTGGCTTGGTATGCCCGAGCGAGAATAAGTGCGTGGTTTTGGTCCTCGAGGACAAGCAGGCGGTTATGAGAAGAGGCGGATGGGAATGCTTTCGTGGATTGATATATTTCTCTTACTTGGTTAAGGCTAAGTTTTTCGAAAGCTAGTGCGTCACGAAGAGCGTAATCGAGTCGATCGGCACAGAGGTGTGGTGCTGGCATTTCAACCAGCCGGAATAGATCTTCTTCGAGGGCCTTGAGATTACCAAAGCCATATTCTGTGAGAATATCAGGCAACTGTGTGGTTTTTAAAAATCTACTTTTGTGCACTTCGTGGTAGCTTTCTTCTCCGGGCTTGGATAGCGCGTCGTCAACGACATGGCTAAGGCTGGTATGGCTGATATCGTGCAGCAAGGCGGCAATCTGTTCTTCCACGCTGCCTCCTACGGTGCGCACTAGTAGAAAGGCACCGACTGAGTGCTCGAAGCGGGTGACTTTGGGCCCGAATCCGAGGAATGTAGTGACTCCGTGTTGACAGATACCCTTGAGGCGCAATAACTCTGGGCTTCGGAGGAGATGTATAAGTACGGTTTCGGTGATACTGTGTTCGCCGTATACTTGGTCTCTGATGAGAACATTTGTCTCGGAGACCGTTTCCATTGTTTGGAAAACCCCTGTCTTGACCTGTGACGCCATTGTTGAAAGGGAATGCTGCCGAATCGAGAAAGTCAAGCGCGGGGTAGAAATGTACCTAGTAGTCGATAACATTTGAACACTTAGCCTTAAAATCACTTTCAGCGAAAGGTTAAATGGATAAAGACACGCTAATATAACAATCAAGCTTGCCTCAAGTGCTATTTACAGTCCCTAAGTTATACAAGCGAATGCTAACCATAATATTCTCATCACTAAATTTCACCAGGGCAAGTACTCGAACTTCGAATACACTCAGTAGACTGCAAAGGAACACCAGTTGACGGGCTTGAAATGTAACTAACCTTGGAACTTTGAACCTGTGAACGATTTGGTAAATCACCAACTTGATGTCTTCCACGTGCACTTGAAAAGCGGAACAAGATTCAGATACTTCAATGTTTCCAAGGTTGTTGAACCTTCGGAAATCTCCGTGGAAATGACGCGCCCACTTCAACCTGGTATATTTTGTTCCCCGCATCCGTCATTGGAACCTTCCACCTCAAAGTGCTCCAAATCATCACAAACATCCACCTACAGATAAGGGCATGAATATAATACATACCAAATAAAACGAATTATGAGTGTCACAATCCACCCCAGGGAGCCCCCACCAATGGGCGAGCTGGCAACGATCATCCAAAAGTCCCTAGAATCCAACTTTACAACCGCCACAGCCCGCGTCGTCGAGTGTCCAGATCTCCGTCAACCCCCCTTCAACCTCGCCGCAGCCGGGCTCTCTGGAAACCCCTGTATCGCCGATATCGGCGGACAGCCCAACCTATTCCCTACCCCGAACCTCAACGCCACATACTCACTTCTATCGCTCGCGAAGGACATGCAGATGTCTCCCTCGGGGGGCTCTCTAATCGGCGCGGGCGCGGCCCCGTTCCAAGACCTTGGGCACAACGCCGAGCTCGCGCCGAATATAGCCTGGGCTTCGGAAGAGGATTCGACGCTTACACCGGATTTTGATCAACCGGATTCACTGCGGGTGATTAATAACACGCGAGTTATAGAGGTTAATCGGGAGGGCTTGTCGTCGTGTCAGCATGCGGATACTGCGAACTGTGCGCTGATGATGAATTTGTATGGGTCGACTGGGGAGGCGGGTCCGGTACTTAAGATCTCGGCGAGGGGGCGGGTCGGGGAATTGAATTTCACCAATTGTATACGGCTTGGGCTAAGGGAGTTCTATGGGGATTCAAATCCGATTAGTCTTGGTGGAGTATTTCTGCTTAAGGCTGGGAAGGCTAAGTTCCATGTTATGCCTGATTTCCCGAAGGAGTTACCCTTCCGTGATCGAGAGCAGCTGGAGAAAGAGTGGCTTACTTATCATGTGTTTGATGCGCCGGTTGTTTGTTTGACGGTGATGCATAGTGCTGATCCCGAGAATTTGGGGTTGCGGATGGAGCATACTCATTGCTTTGATGCTGAGGGTGGTCGCAAAGGTGGGCACTACCATTATGATGTTGCTGGGGAGGAAGAGGTGGAGTATGAGGCCTATTTTCACCCGGCTTCTATACTTTATAGGATTGATCAACCCCAGTGAACGTGAACGTCGAGAAGGTGAATGTCAAAAAATCAAGTTAGATTATATGCACATGTGTAACAACAACCTTGGTACTAACTAAATATCATACATTCAAATGTTCTCATATAAAAACCCTAGTCGCTATAAGCGATTGATTGCCCTCAAGCTTTGAGATTCAAACAATTTCCTTGTTAAACACAACTCAAATCCCGGCACATTGCATAGAACGAATAGTAGTCGGATTCCAGCTCTTTTTCCCGGGGTATTGACAGCCAATAATGGGAGAATAAACTTCCCCCGAATAGTCTGAGCAAGCATCATCCGAATAGGTCCAGCATTGACCAGACGTGATATAATATGACTGTGGATGCACAAGCGTAGATAGCCCACAGCTAGTGTAGCCGGCATTACCGCCATCCGCCCACCACTGACACCACGGATCAGAGCCATTGTCATCAGTGGGCAGATCTCCTCCACTCAAAACAAGACAGTCATCCGTTCTGTCGTAATTCCATCCTCCAACAAGATAGTAACCCTGATCGCCGGCATCACATTTAGGCTCGTAATAAATTGTGATCGACCAGGGCGTTGATGTCGATGCAGACGTGTCAGCTGTTGTTGTTACTGTTTTCGTTGTCATTGTTGACGTCTTTTTCGAGCTTGTCGAGCTTGTGGTGGATGTAGTTGATGACTTTGTGGATGTCTTGCTTGTGGTAGACGTAGTGGAAGTTGAGGTTGACTTTGTGGAGGTTGTTTTGGCCGCCGTCGTTGTCGATGACTCCTTGGAAGCTGTACTCGTAGTGACGGCACTGGCAGCTTTTGCGTCACAATTCGAGATACATTCAATTGAACTGCAATAAAGCGAAGTAGTACCACATTCACCATAAGATGAGCACTAATATTCACAGATGTTAGCTCACAGTTGGATATGATTTGATGAAGATGCATCACTTACACATTCGTTCAAAACACAAGGGTTTAGAGAAGCAAGATAGGACTCGGACATATTGGTAGGTCTTGCCGTTCCAGGCACCTGAGGCCCACATATGGCATGTGGAAGCGCAACAGGCATAGTAGGCAAGCCAGAGCTCAGACAAATAATCGCGCCCTGTTTGACATCGTTACATCCGTCCCAAGCCCATACGCCGGTGTTGTACTCGTCGATCTCAGCTATCGTGATGCCGAAGGCCGCGGCAATACTGGTACATGTTTCTCCAGCCTGGACAGCATAAGTGTAGCAGACGCCATCACTATCTGCTGTTGGTATAGTGCGCTTATCCAAAGATGTAAAATGGGGAGAGAGAAGACCACCTGGGAAATACGCGGCTGTGGCGGTCGATGCCAGCATAGCACCAAAGACCACCAAACAATTCAGTTGCATATACTTCATTTCAGCGTGCACAAGTGCCCATTGACTGCCAGTTCACGAGTGCTCTCAAGTCCCAGGGCTGATTCCAGTGGGTCTTTATATACTACAGCAGCTGCATACATTATAGCAAAACATTGCGTTCTCATTCAATTAATGGCATTCTGAAATTCCCAATGTTTGGTTAGGATCGTATGACATTAAAATCATTCACACCCTGAGGATTAAGCACAAAGGCAGTGCCATTATTAGGCCTAGCAGCTGCATTTAAGCAAGCAAGGATTCGATTTTCCGAGGGATGAACAAAGAAGCGGTTGCATATAGCCCCTTCTCACGCTTTGTTAGTCCGCCATATTGTGGTAGTCTGATTTACCTAAAATGAGCCTCAATAGAGTCCATACAACCGTAAATGGGTGTCAATAGGGGCAATGAAGGATTTCTTCCCCGTCAAGATTCGTCATATCTGATCTTGGCACCAAATTTCCAGTGGAGTTCTTTTTGTCCTTGCTGTCCTCGAGATGTGAAAGAGAAGCAATCTCTATTGGGGTACAGATTAGGCTTAGCGCGCAATCCACGTGGTTTGTCTCGAATTGTGATGCCTGAGAGCCTGAGGCGATAATATTCTTTTTTGGGGTTTGTTTGTTTTTGCTTTGCTCTCCTCGTTCTCCTTCCAAAGTCCTCTCGTCATTTCAAAACAAATCAAGCGAGGCTGAAATGTTGAGGAAAGTGGCTGAGCACAATGGAGGGGAATCGATGGGATCGCAGAATCTCCAGCATCCAATCATCGTGGCGCATTGCCACCCAATCTACTGTAAACGTGTCAATCCGATCGACCGCGATGCACAACTCATTGGGAAAGTTAACGACGCTTTACCCCGCTTTGACCTGCACCTCAATTCCAATCGCTTCTACGCATTCGCTGCGCCACATTTACGATTCTCAAACCAAAGTGTGTGACAAGAGCGGCAGGAATACATGGGTACCTTGTTATCTCCGATGGCTCTGGCATTGGATATCTGCGTCCTGCTTCTATTCAATCCCAGTGAGTTGGAGGATTGGAATTGGCCGGCTGGTTCATAAATGGATCTTTTACGTGATTGTTGTTTTATGAAAAAGCGGTAAGTAACTGTTCTATTTCTCCATGAGGGTGAAGCTTGTTTGTCTTGGCGCCGAATGTTGACTCCATTCTGGTCGGGAGCTTCCGGCAGCTTACACTGCATCGCATACACACTGCAGTCGTATTATGCAAAGTGCAATGCTTAATGTCAATATAAGCCACTCTGTGATAACTGAGCCACATTTCAGACTGAGAAGAAGACCGAATTAGATACACAGAATATCGTTGGTGAATTCTGCGATGGCCAGGGACAGAAAAATACCCCTCCACCGCTAGACCCTTGGGCCTGTAGCTCTAGCAAAAGGTAGAATGGACTAGTAGCTCTTTTGCCCCACTTCAACTCCAAAATACCAAAATATCCCGCTAGATAATCCCCTTGATTGGTGCCTACCACAGCCACAAAACCCCTGCTCCTGATGTAATGACTGACGTGTACTTCGTACTCCGCAAGTGAGAGCTCTCAGCTGGTGGCGCCTTCAGAGAGCTTCCACGCTACTGTACGGAGCGGTACCAGCCTATTCCTGACCGTGTACGTTTCGGGTGTTTTACCTCCAAGGCGCCTATCGCAATTGGAAGGTCCCATTAACCACAAGCCACAAACCAATCATCAATTCTGAGTATGGTGATGGTGAAACAGTGAGGTGGCACTCCGTAGTGGCTGGGGTGATTGGCCCGCTTGCGCGCTACGCTCTATGCCCCTCCTATATGAACCCCTCTTCTCCCTCTTCCTTTGAACTTTCTTCTTCATCCTCTACAACTTTCACTCCCTCACCTCACTTTCAAATTTCCTCTATTCACAATGGGTTGGTTCGATAGTGAGTCTCCCAACAATACGCAACCCTTCTTGTCCGCCATGGATCTCCGCTTACCTCTTACCTTGAATAGACGACTCCGAGCAGGCTGATGCCGCTAACCAGTGGGACAACACTGATGAGCACCACGAGGCCTCTTTCTCCCACGAGCTCCTTGCCGGTGCCGCCAGCTTCGCCGCTGCCCGCGCCTACGAGAACCACGTTGCCCAGAACGGTATGTACCCCCATCCCCCTTTACCCCGCATACGAACCTGCCTGACCTTTCATGTGATATTATTAGGCGCTCCCCCCAACCACGCCATGGCCAAGGAGCTGATGGCTGGATTCGCCGGTGCTTTCATCGACCGCGAGGTCGAGACCAAGGGTCTGGACTTCGTTGACCGTGAGCGCGCTAAGCGCCACGCCAACCAGCAGATCGAGGAGGTCAACGTTGAGGAGTTCAACTACAACTAGAAGGGCACATGTCCTATGTGATCACGAATCTTTGAGAACACCATGACAATTCAATTGATTGAAATGAACAAGTAAAGCGTCGTAGAGGTGACTTATAAGTAACTCCACTGATCTTGGCGGAGAGCTGTTTTGAACTTCACATCAGAAACGGATGATTTAGTCAAGTAGTAGCATCCAAGAATTCATACCAATCGGCACCACAACCATCCATGGATGGCATGCTCAAGTGCTCCAAGATACCCACATGATAGTGTTGGCTATGATGTCCATTTCTTCCAACCCAACTCACCTACTTCAGGGTCCCTTGTACGCCAGCACGTGCAATTGTACATAGAGTTTGAATTACAGTGGACCTCGTGAGCAACCTCGTAGTTCCGACAATAGATTCGGAGACTTATTGTGTTTCTTAGTATACATATGTGTGTTCCAATTCAATCCATGTTCCATTATCGAGCTCGCGAGTAGCTCGGGACTTCAAACGATGCTTCCATGCACATTGTATTTCTTGACCGAGTATGTTTATATACACATCATAATCTAGATAACATTATCGACAGATCTAGAAGCTTCAGAAGCCACACCCTGAATGTGCATTTTGGTGATACTGCCGGGGGTGGAAATTCTCTCCTCGAACTGATCATGCTTTGCATACAGATCACCTCTTTCAATGCCCTCAAGGGAGTGATTCTTGGTCTCTGGAATCAGGAAGGTGACAAGAGTGGTGAGGAACATAATCCCAGAGAACAGGCCGAGGACGCCGGACAGACCGATTGCATCTTCAACCGTACCAAATGCAAACGCTGTCAGAATTGCGCCACATTTACCAGCAGCGGCAGAAATTCCATGCGCCGTGCCGCGAACTCGTGTTGGGAATACCTCTGCAGGGATCAGGAAAGTAGTCACATTGGGCCCAACTGTGAGCATGAACTGGGAAATCGCGAAAATGACCATCAAACCTCCAGTGGAGGTGTGAGTGCCGGGAGAGCTGATTCCGGCCCAGATGGCATAGAGAACGCACACTGTCCCGCATGCGAATAGTTGTTGGCGAACACGACCAATGCGATCGGGGAGGAAAATACCAACGTAAAATCCAGGAAGATAGCCCTGTTGAAGAATTAGCGAAAACTGAACCTTTCTGGGTCTTGACTGAACATTGCCTACCGCAGCCTGGACAATTATGTTCCCGATGGCAGTGTTGTAAAGGGTCTTCCATGGGGTATCTCCCGTGGCATATCCAATTCTGGCCAGGATAACACTCTGGTTGAGGTTGATACCGTAGTATGCGATATCACTTCAACTTGTCAGCGGGCATATTCATGAATTTCCAACGAGAGCAGACTTACAAGAGAAACCAGGAGGCTGCAGTTGCAAAGAGAGCCCTTGCATGCCTCCACTGTCCGAAATATTCTCGGAAGTCGCGCCACTGCTGCTTCAAGCCTCGCTTTTGACCTGTATTCTCATCACATACATCTGTTCCAATGTTAGAATTGCCTGCAGTATGTTTCTCAGTGGTACTAACATTGTTTATATGGCAAAGTCTCGGCGATGGTCAAACGGGCATAGAGTGTAAAAATAGCAGGAATGATACCAATCCCCAGAAGTAATCGCCACACCCACTCCAGGTGTTGTATATTTTCTGCAACCGCGCTCTCAAAGGCTTTGAGTAGGACTAAGAAGACGATGCTGGCGGCAATGTTCCCGAGGCCAATATTGGAGAAGACAACCAGTACCTGAACCGCCCGACTGCCAAATGGTGAGTTCTCGGCTGCCAATGAAGAGGATAGCGGATAGTCTATCACCTGTTAGAGCTCAATTGTTTCCAAAGATTGTAGTTTCGAGGGTGTTATTTACCTGCTCCAATTCCAATTCCTGTCAAAACGCGGAATACCGTTACCCAGGCAGTTATTGACCGTGTGGACATACCCTTCCATGGCAACAAAATGACCAACAGGGTTCCAAAGATAGTCAATAGCAACTCCTTTCCATATATTTTGTGGCGACCCCAGGTATCGCTAAGCACACCAAAAAGGAGTTGGCCAACCACCATGCCCAGACTGAGGCCTCCTTTGATGACGTCGCTGTCAATTGTGGCAACTTTGCCATCTGGGAAATAAAGATACCCGAGAATTGGAACAACTTATAAATGTCAGTTGATGAACAACAATGAATGGATAGAAGAGTATAAAAATCATACCAAGTCCAATTGTCAAGTTGAGATAGCCATCTGCAAAGAACCCAACCCCCGCGGTGATCATGAACCGCACCTTTGCTCCTAAAGAGGCCATTGAAGTGAGATATGTACAAATAAGGACTCAAAGAAAGGTCAGATAGCGAATGAGTAGTCCCACTTGAGTTAGAGGTGAATGGCGATCTTGACTCTCAGGGTTGTGCTGTCAGGCCTGCATCCTGGCCTCTGAAAAGATCGAGATTGTGTCGAACGGTTATATACTTCATACATTGAGCGTTGTCACTTTTGAAGCAAGATGTTTGTTACCGGCAAGAAGTACCGTAGGTCCTAGATCCCCCGGAATCTGAATTGTAAGGTTGGAGGTACAAAAAACCCCATATTCAATGAGAATGAAGAGATCCACCACGGGCTTCGGCAACGTGCAAAAAACCAAGCAGATCGGGAAGAATAATTGTGGATCTGCCAGTCATTGGCTGCGACAACCCCCACGTGCTGTCGGCAACTCGCCGTGCAAGTAAGCTTATAAGTCAACATCGGTGCGAAGTCCTATGGTGTTTTTTTGTCCTGTGATTTCCCTCCACTGAGCAACATCGGTCTAGACACATGAAATATCAGACTCATTGCGTGTCCGGTTGGTGCACTTGATAAGACTGATACGGTGATCTGTGATCTTATCTTCTTATCTCCCGGTAAAATCAATTTCCGGCCGCGGAATGGACGAAATGGACGCGCTGCCATCACCGCCGGCTGTGAATGCCTTGCGTGAATCATTCGGTGATCGCAAACCACCGGATATTACTCGTAAAATCACGGCCTGTGTTGCATGCCGAAAACAAAAGGTGAGGAACAACTTCCTGATTCGAGCCTTCTTGACAATAACAGATGCTAATGGGCTATTTGTTCAGATAAAATGTCACATGCGAGATGGCCAAGCGCCGTGTTCTCGGTGCAAGAAAAGAGGTTTACCATGCACAGTTAACAGAAGTTTGCAGACGTTACTGGAAGAAGACGTGACGTGAGATTCTCCACCACAACTCCAAATCAAGAGAATTCGCACGCTAAATCCTCGCAGATGGAAAGGTGCTATGGTTCGCAAAATCCGGCGACTTGAAGAAGCCATTTCCCAGATTGCAAACAAAGTCGATATACCTGAATTAAAATCACAACATGCGGAAATACAAGAGTCATTGAGCCCTCCCCCGGTGGACTTGACTAATGCAGAACCAGCGGTATTCAGTCCGGAGTATCAGCCCCAGGCTCAGCCTCAAGCTCCACCTCAACAAAGAGACGATCGTGAATTACCTCGGACCTGGGAAGTTGTCATGGATCCAAGAGGTGGCCCGGCTTCTATCCCAGCTTCATGTCTTTCAGATAGCTCAAGGGGCGCACCGCCGAATGGTCTACCCAACGCACGCCAGCCGGACTTGATATCCACGGGTCTAATTACCCTACGACAGGCATTAGCTTTGTTTGAAGAATATCATCTACGGCTCGATCACTTTCTTTATCGAATACTGGGTGACCATATCAGCTTGGACTCGGTCAGGGTGGCATCCCCTTTGTTGACTGCAGCAGTCTGCACAGTTGGAGCCCTTCATTCACAATCATTGGGCCAACTGTTCGACGTGTGCTATAATGAGTTCAAGAACCTGGTTTCTGCGCAGATGTTCTCTCAAACTGCCAATGCGGATGACATCAGGGGCCTGTGTATCGGAGCATTTTGGTTACATGAACTATCATGGGCACTGATTGGAAATGGTATGTTTTCCTTCAAAACCTGGTGACAAGAACGAATGAGTCTAACATTAATAGCTGTGCGGGTCGCATCCGACATTCATCTCCACGGTGGCATCTATAAAGCTCTCAAGGGCGATCGAGAAGGCTATCTACAGGTTCGGTTATATTATCTTGTATATGTCTGCGATCACCATTTCTCTATCGCATATGGCCGACCCCCAATGTCTCACGAAGGATTCATCATCAAATCTGCATCTCGCATGCTACAAAACGAGCATGCGACCGAAGATGATGCCCGACTCATTAGTCAGGTTCAGGAATGGTCAATACTAGGACAAGTGTTTGACACATTTGGCGTGGACGTGGACACAGCTATCGCGCCGCAAGCAATACCCCAACTCCGTCGGTACTCTATCGCATTGGATACATGGCTTGCAGATTGGAACGAGAGCTTTGGAGCGAATCGAAACGTGGGAAACTATCCCCAAAAGGGCGTGGGCTTTCACTTCCACTTTGCGAAATTGTATCTCTGCTCACATGCATTCCGGGGCATGCCTGCGACCGAAAACCTGACGGAATGGTTCACGCCCGAGTTGGAAGAGATCGCCAATACCGGCGCACTCTCAGCCATGTCCATTCTTCGTGTGATTGTTTCCGATGCGGAATTCCGATCATTCATGAACGGATTACCTCTTTATTTTGACACCATGCTTGCTTTTGCAGTCGTTTTCTTGCTCAAAGTTGCTACTAAATATGCGACTGTCATTCGGATCGACACATCTAAGATCTTGTCTCTGGTCGCGCAGACTGTGGCCGCATTGCGAGAAATTACTCAGACTATGCATCGACAACATTTGCTTGTTGTTATTGCAGAAGGTCTGGGTAGATTGTTGTCCAGATGCCAAGTACCACCTCAAACGTCTACAGAAGTCATGTATCATCATCCTTCCCCGATGGTGGATCCAAATCATCAATTCGATATGGCTTGGATGGAAAACATGGCGAGCTTTGATTTCCAGACACATTTTCCTGATCTCGATGAGTGGTGGCTGCACTATAGCACCTCCATGGCCCCCCACGCACAGCGCCTTTAAACCACCACCCAGGAAGCCACTAATATAATATAATGAATGCTATGAAATTCATCTACATTTGTATTTTGATGCATACACAACTGATGGCTACTATACTGGCTTCTTTTTTCTCTCCAAAGTGGGAGTTTTCATCTTGACTCAAACATAGAAGAAAGATTCTAGCCACAAAAGGAAATTGAGGAAGCTTCCAAGTGAAGTCAAGCAGACCAGTTAAGAACAAGATCAAAGATATCATAGTTCCGCCAGCTCTTTCCAGTTACCAATTGCCTACTCACTGGCTTAGACATGAGCACTGGAATTTGCTGTTCACTCAAACCTCCATGTGATCTCAAGGGATGATCTTTCAGTTGCGAGAGATCGTGATCTGACTTTTTGCTCCCCACCACAGCATGAGACTTTGAGATCACAACAATGTCAGCCTCTCGATCAAATGGCATATCGTATTTCTCGGCTGCTTCTTCTCGACTAAGCACCTCTTCGATATCTGGGAGCGACTTGCAAAAGGACAGCATGGATTGAAGCTTGGTGATGTCCTTCAAATAGACACGCACAAATGATCCAAGCGCACCATGGTGTCGCACAAAGGGATCCGTGATAGGACAGATAACACGAGTAGCATTGAGACCAAAGTTTGCGTTGAGAGCCTCCTCAAGGAAAAGGACATTCGGTTCCCCCCGCTCATTCGACTTTTGGTTCATCCCATGATCACCAGTGACGCCAACGATTGGTGCCAATTCGATCAGTTTTCGCAGACGCTCGTCAATAGCACCCATGAACTCATCTGCTTCCTTGCTTCCTGGGGCATGTTTGTGTTGGATATAGTCCGAGAGAGTCAGATACAAAAAGTCTGATCTTCTCTCTTGAAGAAGCTTGATTCCTGCATCCAAGACAAATAATGATAGCTCGCCAGAGTATTGACTTGGCCCCAACTGGCCTAGCCACTCTTCGACATTCTCAATTCCATTGTCCTCGAGTGTGCAGTCTGCGACGCGCTCGGCAGAAAAGCAAATCGCGCCTTTCAGACCATGCCCGATGATCTTGCGAAGTTTGTCCTTGGCTGTGATGGCGCCAACTCGTACACCTCTCTGAAACATTTGTTCGAGCAGAGTGGAGCCCCGAAGTAAAGAGTCATCTGTGATCATCTTTTCCTCGCCGGTTTCTCGGTCAAGGAAGAAGTTTCCTGCAATCCCGTGGAAAGATGGGGGTGCACCGGTGATAATGGAGACATTGTTGGGGTTGGTGAATGAGGGCATGCAGCTTTTAGCTGGAGCGTGAAACCCCTCCTCTACAAGTTTTTTGAACGTGGGAAGAAGCCCTCTCCTGAATCCTGATTCCAGGTACTCTGGGTCGAATCCATCGACGCAAATCACCACCGTAGTCTGGGTCGGGAGGTTATATTCCCTCGAATGCAACGTAAACTTGCTTCTGGAATCTGGAATTTCTTTAGTGATTGACGCGGTCAAAGAATTGTATTCTCACACTCACCAAGCAGACAGTGGTAAGCAATTTCCTCGTACGCTTCGAGGGGAGATACTACACAGTCCGGGTCCTTGGCCAGGTCATCCCATCGTCTGACCGCAAGCTTAGCTTGCAGCCAAGGATCTTTCTGTGCTTCGAGTACCTCCAGATCAGTGAATCCTCCACCCTGAGTCTCATCAGTAAATGTCTATGAAGTCAACCTAACACAGAGTTTCCAAGGTTCATACCTGAAAGCGCAAAGTCCGCTTGCTAGTCTCACTCAAACCGTCATGGTAGGCCTTATCGGTGGCAACAAGATACCTCTTAGCCATGACATGTGCACCAACCAACTGGCACACTCTCTCGCTGAATCCAATTTGACGCAGATAAGACTCGCCCAGAATCTCATGGCTCATGCGGCCAACATACTGCCCATCCGGGGCAATCATCTTACCCATTTTCTCGGCGGCGGGAATAAAGCGCCCGACATCGTGTAACAATGCAGCAAGGATGACCTCCGGATCATTGGCGTACTCCGCAGATCGAGTGGCAAGATGCGCACATTGAAGTGAGTGTTCCAGCTGGGTCACTCGTTCTCCGAGGTAATCTCCCTGGCCTTGGGCATGAAGAAAATCAAAGAGGGTCTTGATTGTAGCCCTAGCATGATCTTCGACAGATTGAAGATAATCTGGAGTTTGAGCAACTGGCATCTTGAGGTTCATCGTGACTTTTGATAGCTATTTGGATGCAGATGTACTTTCGTTATTCAATAGCAGTGGTGATGTCTCAATGACTCGACCACTCAGCGCCTTCTGATAGCAAATATGTATCGCGCAAGGCAGGAAGTCCGTAGTTGACCAAATTTCTAGATACACGTGCAAATCAAGAGAATATGATTCATCGGCCCCTCACTTTGATGTGTTGCATTTGCACGAATGATGTGCAGCTTATTTGTCGGTGCGAAGCCCGACGGTCTGTGCGGGTGCAACGGATCGGCACGAACGCCTATGGTAAGTAACTGTTACCCGTGGACGGAGCCACAGTGGGCAGAAGTCGAACCAAAGGACCCCGGAATAACGGCGAAGGGAACTTAGACCATCATTTGGTCCGGATGAGCACGTTTCTCAATCAAATGGGATCGGTCGGAACATGCGCTTTCAAATGCCGGTCCATTTTCCCCTTAGTAACTTTGGAGATATTTAAGCAATGTCCCAATCGCCTTTACACATGTGGTCTTTAATACAAGCATTTCGTTGACCCCACAACATCTGCATCATTACTTCAACATGAATCCTCTTACTCCAGAGCAGGTGGCCTCCTACCACAATAACGGGTTCCTTCTTTTACGTGTCAATGAGCACCAGCTAGTCGACCCAACAGCCCTGAAACAGTGGACCGAGGAGATTCGAGCCTGGCCCCGCGTCAAGGGCAAATGGATGCCTTATGACGAAATCAACATCAATGGTGAGCGCCAGCTCATGCGTACCGAGCGCTTCATCGACTTCCACCCGCAATACAAGGAGCTCGTCTGCGGCGACAAGCTAGCCGAGATTCTCAAGGCCGTCTCCGGTGATGTAAATACACAAAGCAACCCCAAGATGTTGATACTCGTATCCGTTCCTAACGCCATTCAGGACATGCTCCTCTTCAAAGACAAGATCAACTACAAGCAACCCGGCGGGAACGGCTTCCAGGCTCACCTCGATGCACCTGCCTACGACCACATCGGCCGCATCGAGCACGTAACTGCGAACGTAGCCATTGACGCCGCCACCCTCGAGAATGGATGTTTGGAGGTAGTGCCTGGATCGCACAAGATGGACGTGGAGTTCGAGCACAGTGGCCGGATCAAGCACTCGTGGGAAGCTGCGCATGAGTGGATCACCATCCCATTGGATCCTGGTGACATGCTAATCTTTGGCTCGCATCTTGCGCATCGCTCGGCGGAGAATAAGACGGATAAGAGCCGGTCTAGTCTCTATGCGACTTTCCATTCGAAGAGTGATGGTTTGGATTTGCGAGAGAAGTACTATAAGCATCGGATGGAGAATTTCCCCCCGGAACATGGTGAGTTTGCCATCAATACAGGATAGAATACAGGATTGAGGATCTGTCTTTGCTGACGAGATTTTAGAGCGTGTGGCAGGGAAGGATTATTCGGCTGGTTATCGGACGTATGGCTTTGCGGCTCCGTTCACTCGGGCGGGTCAAACTGTTGCTGTTCCTGTTGTGCCAGCTGTCTCGGCTGTTCCTGTCGTGCCTTAGGAGTCATAGTAATTGGCCGGGGCAATTGTAGAAATTTATCTGGGAGTTGTGTCTCTCGAAGTCGCTTTCACTTGTTTGATTTCCAATTTATTGTCTGGTTTCTGTAGAAGAAGCGGTCAACTGGTATTCAAATTGTAGTATTTGTGGAAGTAATGCCTGCTACCACAGAAAATATTCTATTTTCAATTTTATAACTGGGCAAAAAGACCACCTGGGCACCTCCGGAAAATATTTGAAGAGGTTGTGACTGTGGGTCATGTATAACAACAAGTAAATCTGTACATTGCAAAGTGGAAAGATTAAACACTTTCCCCGAAAATGAAATATTCACCAAAGCAAAGAACATCAGATCATGCACTCCTTTAGCCGGCAAGATCCGGCACAACAATATCTCCAACCATGACCGTCCAGCGGTCTTGAGAATCCAAATCCAATGCTTCGTCCTGCTCCTTGGAAAGGGCCGCATATTTACCAAAATTCACTTTCCCATCCATCTTCCTTGTCTTTGCAAGAGTTGAGAATGGCTCGTCACGCCGCTGTCCTGTGAACTGGTCGACACAGACCATCTGGCAGCGTTGACAATCATCCAAAACATCCATCCGAAGCTGGCCTGGTCCAATTCGTAAAGAATCCCAGTGATCCTCAATGTACGGTTGCTCTACATCGCCTATCTGAGCAAGTCTTTCGGCGACGACGATATTCCCACGGAATACATCGGCGGAAACTGCTTTGCCTGCACCGGTGCCTTGCTTGCCTCCTGATTTGATGACTTCGTTCAAGCGATTGACAGATGAGCGCGAGACAACTAGGATTGGCATCTCATTGGATAGTAAAAGAGGGCTTCGTCCGTTATCCCCGACTGGGGGCGGGAGGTCGGGTGGGAATGAGCCTGGCATGATAAGCTTGCGGAACTTGCTCTTCCATGTGTTGTTGGACAGACGACTCGGTCGAGAGAATCGGTTGGCCGTTTGACTGGGGAATCGAGCCAGTGTGCATGGTACACCGAGGAAGTCGGAGAAGATTGCTGACACCACTGGTGAGGCATAAGCATGCAAAGAGACTTGGTCGCCGCATACCACAGAACGCTTTGTGGTATTTGGGCACAACGACGTGGATATGAGGGTTGTATCCTCCCACCCGAGAGATATCTCGAGACTCACAGAGTCGGCCATGACACCACAGGTGATACGGAGAACCCCACGGTCTAGATCAATCGAAGGCCTGATTAATGCCATCCGTGGGTACTTTTTCTGGTTCAATGCTGCGCCAGTTCCTTGGTGAATCAGACACCACTCTCTGTCCCATGCTAGTCCTTCTCTTCTCACTTCCCATCGCTTACCCTCGGGGATTTTGAACGCCCCACAACTCTTGATTGGGAAGACCGAAAGGCTTTCAACGTATAAGTGGCGGCTGGCCGAATCATGCTCCGCAGGTGAGTTCACAGACACAACTGGTGGAGCATTCTCCACATAGAACTCCGCAATAAAGTCGAGCAAAGAATCAATGTCTTTCATATTTGTCATTGCACCAATGCTGACTCGCAAGACACCAGTGGGCCGGCCATCCACAATATCGTTGTCATCACCGCAGCGAAACCCTGTCGTATAAAGACCACGCATTTCAGCACTCGACCATCCAAGAGATGAGGCCGTACCACCGGGATTGCAAACTGAGCCAGTCCGGATTTGAATGTTCTGCACAGTAGCCAATTTCTCTACTTCCGTTTTGGGAATCCACTCGCCTTGGCTGTTTCTTAGATTGAAGGCCACAATGGGACCTTGAGTGAGTGGGCATCCGTATTTGGCCGAACTGGGCTGATATACTTGACAAACGTGCGTCTCGTTCCAATGTGATAGCACGGACAGACGATCGTAGAGGCGCTTAGCTAAAAATGCGGTGTGCGAAGAAATATTTGCCATCGAGCCGTACAAACGTTCATGGGTATCCATGGCAGCGTCTAGAGCGATGATATTGTGGAATGGCAGGGTACCATCCTCCAGTCGCTCGTGCAGCGAAGTTTCCTTTTTGGCATGCCACTGAGTACCAGCCGCTACAACCATGTCAACGGTGCCTCCGCCAAAGTACTTGCGTCTTTCAAAGACGCGGGCGGCGCTCTTGCGGACAATCAAGGCACCCAAGTCTGGAAATCCGAAGATTTTGTAGAAGCTCAGCGCCGTGAAGTCCGGGGCTACAGAGCTCACGTCTAATGGTGAAGTTGTTAATAGCGAGGCGGCGTCGAGCAGCGTATACGCATTTGATCCGTGGACGGCAGCAGCCGAGCGGACCTCCTTACACCATCTCAGTGGAAGGCGACGACCGTTCAGATTTGACTGTGCGGGGTAGGCAAAAAGTTGGGGTGCTTTTGACTGGGTGGTACCCAATTCTGAGATCCAATCATCTACCTTGTCATCCCCTTGCAGACATTCGTGGCCAAGATCCGCAAATTCTCGCACCCCAACTAAGCTAGTATGGGCATCAACGTGATAGCCATACCAAAACCCTCGGTGGTCGGAATCTCGAATCGAATCCGCCACGAGCTTAATAGCCGCCGTTGCATTTGCAACAAATACCAAATCGTATTCATCTGGATCGGCATTGAAAAAACGGAGAACCCTGAGTCGAATATTGTCCGCGCGTTGGGTGGTGAGCTGCGACGATTGTGACATGGAATGGGGGTTTCCAAAGAGATTTGAGGTCATGTCTCGCGAAAAAGCCTCGATCGTGGACTTGGCATATATTGTTGTTCCCGCATGGTCCAAGTAAGTCGTTTCTGTAGTTTGTGGTAGATGACAATTAGTAAAAACCTCATAGTATATCAATTCAAGGAAGGGGCGACATACCATTCAATAACGGATATTCTTGTTCACGGATCGTATCCACGTCCGCAGAGTAGCCATGGCAGTAAACCGTCTTAGGCGGATCCGCAGCCGCAGGTGCATTGTAGGTCTGGGCCATCTTTGATGAAAGACGAACACTATGCCAGCGGATTTTGCCATTTATAAAAGAACGAGCGTCCCCGCGGGAAGCAGGAAGCTTGCGGGCGTACGCGGGTGACCTTTTGCGACTCATCCGCATGTATGATGCAGAAACCCCACTTGGAGATCTCCGCGAACCAAACTGTATATCTTTAGGCTAAGCCTAAAATTGGCCACCAATTAGTTTTAAACATGACATCTAAACGGTTCAAAAGCAATAGAAAAATGATTCCAGAAATAGATGATAGGTTTGTATAACCACCATTCAAAAGCAGGAGAGGTAAGATTGTATCAAGAGGGAGTACAGGAGACAATGTAAATGGGCAAGAATCGCGTACCTTTCAAGAATCCGATAACCTTGCAAGAGGGAGACCGGAGACACGGAGCGACGGGGGACTCCGATGGAGCTGTTTAATGGGATCAATAAAGATGTTCTCCTGAATGAAAAAAAAAAAGATTGAAGGCAATTGGCAAGGGTATCCCATTGCTCTTATAGCCCGAAAAGATACGCTAGTGAAGCTGAGATCGTAAATGATTAGACCCATTACTAGTAATCAAGTAAACCAACTCGATGTGCAGTCATGGACCAAGACCGGAAGGAGCCCAACGAGATTGGCACTTCTGAAAGGTACCTGGAGACTACAAAACCATGTGACAGCGGACCCTGAGCCGGGGAACCGCGCGCGATCAATTCTTAATATGCCTTGACCGAGTATGTCCATGCACAAATCATACATGTAATCTCAGGCGTATCTTGTCAGACTGAGAAGGGCCGTGGTTCGTGGTTGTGGGTACCAGCGGGGTTCGAGCTCAAGACTTGAGTGGGCTCTTGACTTCTTGAGCAGCAAAGAGTTGCAAAAACAATATGTGCAGGTCAAATATTGAAGTCTAGTTAATAACCCCGAGTGCCGGAGCCAACCAGAGTCCAGAGTTCATCACGTACGAATGTCATTCTACGCTATCTTGCACTCTAGCCCGTCGAGGATGCCGTGAGAAAATAGTCAAATTCTCCTGCAGCAGGTACATACATCGAGACATCGACTACACGAGCCTTGAGTGGCCCGAGACTCAAGAGCCTGTCATGTGTCAGCTTACCCGCCCGGTTCGGTCTTATTATCCACACTGTTAGAATTGACTAAACTTGCCTAAAAATATGGTTGAAGAATTGGGGCCATTGGGGCCATTGTCACTTCTCAGCCACGGCCCCCAACTTTCCTGAACAATGGCATTGTAGCTAATCTTGGAAAGGAAAGAAAAAAGACGGAAGGAAAAGAAGTCCTTCCCGGGACCCGCATTTATTATTGAAAGGCATCGATCGCGATGATCGGGACGGTGGGGCCTCGTGCAGATGGACAACAATAGCGCTGTTGGCATTGGGGGCATTGGGGGCATTGGGGGAATTTCGCTTATGGATCAGAACAGACTCCTACCCGACCCTGCACGTCGGGTAAAGTACTTAGATACACGATACAAACCGCACATATTGCTTTTTTCCCCCTCGAATCCTGCGAGGGGAAAAACTGGGTTCAGTATAAACCACGGATTCAGAGTCGCATACACGAGCTAAAGATCGACACACTACGGGACTCATGTTCACAAGACCTAGATGAAAAGAACTTAGTTTCAAGCTATCGCAACCTAGCGATCAACACTAAAGTGCAATAGTATTCGCACGATCGTGGAGCCAGCTCAGGTTCGGCTACTATGACCTACAGATCAACACGAGATTGCAACCATGGTTGTCCACACGGCTGAGATAGAATGAACTTAGATTCAGCTGCCGTGTCATAGACTAGATGGATCAACATCAATGATACTGCAGCCATTCAATGGTTTGACAGGTTAGCGGTGGAACGAGCCTTCTATGATCCGTTCCATCCATCCTTATCCATGACGTTCATTATTTGCATTGATCACCTTCAAGGTTACAAGGGCACAGGATTATGTGAGATCATTGCCAAGAATCGGTTAAACTGTGGTGTGGATTTTCCCAGTCCATTTATGCACATAGAATCGAGACAGCCTTGGCAGTGGCTGCTCGGGCAAGTTTGAGCGCTGCGCTCACGCATAATATAGTACAAGTGTGATGAAAACGGCGCAAAATCAAAGATATAACTCCTAACCCAAACCCCGGCAATGTTCATACAGATGCTGCTGCCGAGAACCTCTATTAGAAGTAGGCAAGTTGACACTGAAAGAAATGGGTAACAGGGTAACTCGCAATTGGACAAGAAATTATGAAGCGTATGTCCAGTTCGGATCTCCTGTTTACCGCTTGGGCCACTGGCGCCAGCCACGACCATGACCTCTCTGTAGAAAAGCGTTAGATTTGCCATAATGAATAAAGCCGGTGAATCGCTTACCTGCTTCCACAAACGGATCAACTCCGGCATCTCCACCATCGCCTTGCGACGATCCTCGAGTCTGGCCTCCATTGTGCGCTCCCACTTGTGACCCTTGACCTTCTGGCCAATACCGGTACCCTTGATACGCAGACCGCGTTCGGCCAAGCGTGCAGCCTTGTATTCTGTCGACTTGATACCAGGAGGAAGGAGCTCTTCGACTTTGTATTGCGCAGCCAATTTCACGAGATCGGCCTGTTGTCGTAGCCCGTATCGCGGACCGAGCCACTTGCCGGTGCGGAAGATCTTTTGGGGCAGGAATGGGTTGCGAGCTTCGGGGTTGTTGTACAAAAGGGCCTTTGTAGGAGAAAAGGCCTCCGGATCAGGCTTGTGAGCTCCCTTGGCATCACGGTCGGGGGTGTACGGTGAGGGAAGGGTTTGTTCGGTGCTTTCACCCTCGGGGGGAGTTTGACGAGGCGAAACGAGCGCAGAGTAAATTTGTGGAGGATAACGGGCAAAGAAGTTGCGGAGGCGAATGGGCAAATTGCCCACAGAACCCACGTTTACAGACATGGTGGGCAGTTGAATTGAAGAAGGTGTTGATGTTTAATGTGATTAAAAGCTGAGAGAACGAAATCCCGAGATTGGCAGCCTTGGCGCCTTGGCGCCTTGCAGCCTTGCAGCCTTGCAGCCTTGCCGGCGCAGCATTCAATGTTACTAGTAACTTGAACTTTAACTCATTTACGCCTCAGGCGCCAAGGCGCCAAGGCATCAGTTTCTCCTTCAGCTTTTCCAATTGTTCTGCTTTCAGCCCCGTCTGTATCTCTTACAGCAACGCATTGTTATCAACGCCTGTGTTCTATTCATACTGTCACAGGCTTTTTTGAAACTTGAAAATATTTATCCTCTGCGTGTGAAATTTGTGTGCGCATCTCAACCCACACCAACTCAGGCCCATTATGGCGGATTACCACTATGGAGGCTCAGAAGAAGAGAACGTGGAGCTTCGAGGTCTAGAAGCAGAGCTGGTATGCATCACAACGCGTCCCAAGCTGGGGCAACTAATTGAATGATGTTTATTGTCCCTCACTAACATTTTCTCTAGGTCGAGGACCCGGATAACTTTGAAACGTGGGAGAAGCTTGTGCGCGCCGCGGAGGCTCTAGAGGGTGGCATCAATCGCAACTCCAACCCCCAGGCTATCACCACCGCACGCCATGCCTACGATCGATTTCTTGCGAAGTTCCCCCTTCTCTTCGGATACTGGAAGAAGTATGCCGATATGGAGTTCTCCATCACTGGCACAGAAGCCGCGGAAATGGTACGTTGTCTTCGCGTTGGCTTTTTTTAGTCCCATCAACCCCCCTCCCTTACTCCAGGTCCACAAGAGGCTGATTTTTACTGATTATTCATCAGGTCTACGAGAGAGGTGTTGCCAGTATTTCTCCATCAGTTGATCTATGGACCAATTACTGCGGTTTCAAGGCTGAGACTTCACACGATGCCGAAATTATTCGAGAGTGAGTACAACAAAGCTGATTTCCTTCCCCTCCCCTGTAACTGTTACCAATGCAGCTCGCGAATACCTGGGACTATATATGGCGTGAAGCGTGAAAATATGCTGGATAAGCAATTCCATTATTGATGATGGGTGAGACACCGTCGCCTGACCACCCGGATTCAAGTGGTGTATATTTCTCACCCATGGCTTCATCCAGGCTGCTTTCCTTCTCTTGATCACAAGACATGATTTCTTCTCTCTCATTTGCCCGGATACCAAGACCAAAGGACCGGTGTTCTCGAAACACTTGATGCCTCCCCCATTGCTCACCCATCGTTGATTTTCTTGGATCTGTCACCTCAACGACAGAGATGACCATGATGTTTGCCACGCATTTCTTCCTCTCCCCTCCCATCTCCCAAGGTTCCCCCCAACCTGATTGTTCAAGAATCTGTTTGCTGACCTGCAATTCTCAACAGGCTTTTTGAGCGTGGTGCCAACAGTGTAGGCCTAGATTTCCTGGCGCATCCCTTCTGGGACAAGTACATTGAATACGAGGAGCGCGTGGAGGCTCAAGACAAGATTTTTTCCATCCTTAGCCGTGTTATTCACATTCCCATGCACCAGTACGCACGATACTTTGAGCGCTATCGTCAACTAGCGCAGAATCGTCCACTGGCCGAACTCGCATCTTCAGAAGTGATGTCTCAATTCCGTGCTGAGCTAGAGGCTGCGTCATCTCAGGTTCCCCCTGGGGCTAAGGCCGATGCTGAGATCGATCGTGATCTCCGGTTGCGCGTTGATAACTACCATCTCGAGGTGTTCTCCAAGACTCAGACAGAAACCACAAAGCGGTGGACCTACGAATCGGAGATCAAGCGCCCTTACTTCCATGTGACGGAGTTGGACGAGGGACAGTTGACCAACTGGAAAAAGTACCTTGACTTTGAGGAATCCGAAGGTTCTTACTCTCGTATCCAATTCCTGTACGAGCGCTGTCTTGTGACATGTGCCCACTACGAAGAATTCTGGCTTCGCTATGCCCGATGGATGACCGCCCAGGCCGGCAAGGAAGAAGAGGCACGCATCGTTTACCAACGTGCTAGTGGTCTTTACGTCCCAATTTCGCACCCTGCTATCCGTTTGCAGTATGCTTACTTTGAAGAGATGTCGGGTCGCACTGATGTCGCTAAGGATATCCACCACGCTATTCTTTTCTGTCTACCTAGCCATGTTGAGACCATCATCTCTCTGGCCAACATCTCCCGTCGCCATGGCGACTTGGAAGCTGCCATTGAGGTCTACAAGTCTCAGCTAGATTCTCCGCAGGTCGAAATGGCCACCAAAGCTGCCCTTGTTGCCGAATGGGCCCGTCTCCTGTGGAAGATCAAGGGCACTCCCGATGATGCCCGCAAGGTGTTCCAAGAAAACCAGCAGTATTACCTTGACAGTCGTCCCTTCTGGGCTAGTTATCTGATGTTTGAGATTGATCAGCCTACCAGCGCTTCATCCGAGTCGATCCAGTACGAGCGCATTAAGCAGGTCGTTTCCGATGTGCGGTCTAAGAGTACTTTGCTCCCAGAGATAGTAAAGGAACTAGTTCGGATCTACATGGCCTACCTTCTGGAGCGAGGCACCAAAGATATTGCGAAGGAGTACATGACCCTGGATCGTGAGGTTCATGGGCCACCATCGGTTGCTGCTCCCCGAACTGGTGGTACAGTTGCAGTCCCACCTACTCCTGCTGATGGACAACCCACTCCTATCCCCACATTGTCTCAGCCTGTACCCGAACAGGCAGCTTCAGGACAAGACCAAACATACGCATACTACCAGCAGAACCCCGCCAACGGCCAACCCGTTGCTTAATGCCTCCCACATGTTTACGACTCCTTGCGAAGGTCCTTATCCACCGCTTCTACTTTTTTACGGTGTCATATTGGTATCCGATGTACCGGGGTGGGTATTCCCTTCTTTGTAGCACCATGCTATTGCCGACACCTGGGCAATCTTTCTCTTTCACAGTTTCGTTTCTAGGTTTCTTAGCGATTTTTGACTCCCCGAAAGGCTTCTTTGTGCAGGTTGGGTCTTCTTTACAATCAATCTGTAACCATTTCTAACTGAGATTCGTAATTTACTATTTCCATTCAGTTACTCCAGTCATGCAATATTAAGCTTTGTGCATGTAGATACGCATACTGGCTTGCAGAATAACTGGCCGCTGTAAAGGTCGCCATCCTAAACATTTTGATAGTACTCATTGAAGCACTTGCTGAAGATTTATATACTAGTAATGTTGACCTTGATGTGGAGAACTGCGCACTTAGTGTTAAGAGGTCACCGTATAAATTCGATATGCGGCACCTTTAGATTCAAGCAAGTCTTCCATTTATCACTTTATCCTCACTGCGCGACGATGGACGACATCGAGATGAATGGTTTTAATGGAGCTCCCCCAGCACCTCCAGCTCCTCCGCCTGATCTCATTGAGCGTCCCCCATCCCCTCCACCACCACCTCCCGAGGACTCTGGTGCTCCTCCGCCGCCGCCGCCAGAGAGTGCAGCCCCTCCCCCTCCTCCAGATGACAGACCACCCGCGCCACCTGTTGAGACAATCAAGAAAAAGCAAGGATGGGGATCAAAGCGACCAGCTGCGGCGCCATTAAGTGTGGAGGATCTCATCCGCAAGAAGAAGGAAGCCGAAGCTGCAGCCGCAAAGGTACTATTTTGTCTTAAAGCGAAAGATTCGCGACGAGATACTTTTTTTTGATCTGTTTCTAACCCTACCTCTCAAATTTAGCCCAAATTCCTATCCAAAGCACAGCGCGAGAAACTGGCACTAGAAAAGCGAGCGAAGGAGGTAGAGGCTGAACGACAAGCCAAGGCACAGACAAATGGCTCCAATGGTGCTGGTTCCATATCCCAAGCACCACGAAACTCGTACAACGATCCGGACAGTGATTCCAGAAGTATAAGTGGCGGGGTCCCAACAGGACCACGGGCAATGCGCGTGGATGCTCCGTCGGGGCCAGCTTCTATGCGGGGCCGCAAGGTCGATATGAACCCCCCTCCCCCTCCGCCGAAGGGAGGAAAGAAGTCACAGGGGGACAAGCGTCCTACAAAGCAAGACGAAGCTTTGACGGAAGCCGAATTAATCAAGAAACGATATATGGGGGCGGAGCAAACATCAAGCTTCTCAGCGCAAAAGAAGCGCAAGCGCACCACAGACAAAAAGTTCAACTTCGAATGGAACACCGAGGAGGATACAAGTGGTGATTACAACCCTTTATATCAACAGCGGCAGGAGGCAAACTTTTTCGGACGAGGCCGTTTGGCTGGATTTGGAGACGATATTGCGGATAACCTGACGCGCAAATATGCGCAGGCAATCCAAGAGCGGGATCGCGAATCTGGAGGTCTGCGCGCGAAGGAAATGCTGGATATGGAGCGCCGTCGTCGTGAAGAGAGCACACGTCACCAGCTTGACAAGCACTGGAGCGAGAAGGAGCTGAGTCATATGCGCGAGCGTGACTGGCGTATCTTCAAGGAAGATTTCAACATTGCCACTAGAGGTGGTAGTGTGCCTAACCCGATGCGCTCCTGGAAAGAAAGTCTGCTCCCTCCGCGCTTGCTGGAACTTATTGATCGTGTTGGTTACAAGGAACCCACTGCCATTCAACGTGCTGCCGTTCCCATCGCCATGCAATCGCGTGATCTTATCGGTGTTGCCGTGACAGGTTCCGGTAAGACTGCTGCATTTTTGTTGCCACTTCTTGTCTACATCTCCGAATTGCCCCGTCTTGATGAGTTTGAGTGGCGCAAGAACGATGGACCCTATGCTATTGTTCTAGCTCCTACTCGTGAACTGGCCCAGCAGATTGAGATTGAAGCGAAGAAATTCACACAACCTCTTGGTTTCAATGTTGTCAGTATTGTTGGTGGTCATTCACTTGAAGAACAAGCTTACAGCCTACGCGATGGTGCGGAAATCATCATTGCTACCCCCGGTCGTCTGGTAGATTGTATTGAGCGAAGAATGCTGGTTCTGAGTCAATGTTGCTACGTGATTATGGATGAAGCAGATCGTATGATCGATCTAGGTTTTGAAGAGCCTGTCAACAAAATCCTTGACGCTCTTCCCGTCACCAATGAAAAGCCTGATACCGAAGAAGCCGAGAACCCGCAAAGTATGAGCCAGCATCTCGGAGGCCGTGACAGGTATCGTCAAACTATGATGTACACGGCCACTATGCCGGCAGCTGTCGAGCGTATTGCTCGCAAGTACTTGCGGCGCCCTGCCATCATCACTATCGGAGGTGTTGGTGAGGCCGTCGACACAGTCGAGCAGCGCGTGGAAATGGTTTCTGGCGAAGACAAGCGGAAGAAGCGTCTTGCCGAGATTCTCACATCTGGCGAATTCCGGCCTCCCATTATCGTTTTCGTCAACATCAAGCGAAACTGTGATGCCATTGCGCGAGAAATTAAGCACATGGGCTTCTCATCCGTTACTCTGCACGGTTCGAAAACACAGGATCAGCGTGAGGCTGCCCTTGCCTCCGTCCGCAACGGGTCAACGGAAGTTTTGGTCGCAACTGACCTTGCTGGACGTGGTATTGATGTTCCAGACGTGTCCCTCGTTGTCAACTTCAACATGGCCACATCGATCGAGAGCTACACTCACAGAATTGGTCGTACCGGTCGTGCAGGAAAGAGTGGTATCGCCATTACATTCCTCGGCAGTGAAGATTCCGACGTTATGTATGTTCCAATATTCCCACTTTTCCTCGTGTCTTTTAAATCGATACTAACCAAATTATCAGGTACGACCTCAAGCAGATGCTCATCAAGTCACCTATTTCTCGTGTTCCTGAGGAGCTACGGAAGCACGAAGCTGCGCAGTCCAGGCCTCATCGTGGTCCTGGAAAGAAGATTGAGGATAGTTCAGGGTTTGGTGGAAAGGGCGGCTGGGCTTAAATACCCTAAGGGCCGGGGTGCAGCCCTATCACGATGCGGAGTTCTTTGTAATATTATCAGTTGGATACCATACTTCTGTTCTAGTGAAACTATTGGGCTTTTCTTTGTAAAATTTTTGCATGCACATGTGTCATACCTATTACTAGTGGGTATTGATATTACCAAATATTGAACTTCTAAACTCTGCAACAATGCAGGATTGAACTACGGAGGGCCACTCGGTACCATAGAGGATCCCATACCGATTACGTAGCTATCATCCAGTCTCAATCCATTTATACCATTTGAGATATGTACAAGCTTGTTTTCTTCTCGTGATCTTATTTACTACTCATAAACGTTCCACATATAGCATGGATGTAGCCAATTGTGGCTACATCAGATAGAAGAAAGAAAAGAAACACCACCACTTTTGACCTAACGACAGTTCTTACCCCTAAGATCCTGGAATCCCGCAGCCTCAAGGTCATTCTCGATCAGTCCAGGAAGAGCAATATGATGCAACGTGACTTCCTTGTTACTTTTCCTGATAGCCTCCGCAGACGGGGGCGTCCAAGTCCCCCGCAAGATTTGATTAACAGCCTGGCTAAGGAACGATGCGTTCTCCGTATACGTAATGAAGCCCGCCGCAATCGAGATATAGAAGATTCCGGGGTAGTCCTGATCATAGAAGCGGAGGTACAGAGGACGCTCGGCGTCAGCAGCAGCCAGGGAGTCGTATTCGCCTGCTTCGCAGCCTTCGGGAAGATAGGAAGAATCGGTTGACCAGCCTGTTGCTGCGACGAACATTTTCGGTTTGAGGACTGTGCCGTCTGTGAGAGTGACAGTGTCGCCGTCGATAAGCTTGATGCTGCAGCCGTTGTGTATCTTGAATTGGCCGTTCTTGTATGCGGGGACCAGATGAGATCGAAGTATGTAGCCGACTTTTGCGGATGCACCTTCGTCTGCGAGTTGGTGGTGTTAATCAGAAATTCAGATTAGTTTTATAGAACTGGTGGAAAGGGGACTGACGGAATGGGGGTTGCCATTCTGGGACACCTTGAATTAGGGCCCAGATGAAATGGATCAAGTATAAGATGGAGTCTACGACGAAGATTGGAAGGACTCGGTATAAGACTCGGCAGAAATGGAGATCCGTCCATCCGAATCTCCAGAGTGATGGCCACCACATATCTGGGGCACCCCTGTAACTGCGTTAGCTTTATGCATTGGATGCTCAGGATTCAGTCAATAGTGTACCAGTGAGCGGAGCGTGCGACCACGTGAACGTTCGTTGCATTTTGAGTGAGACAAGCTTGTTGGATGATATCCATGGCGGAGGGACCTGCTCCAACAATCAAAACATCAGAGGTAGGGATCTCCTTGGCCTCGCGAATGTTATTGTTGTGTATGATAGGGAATGTTGCTGTTTCCTGGCCCGGGAACTTGGGCATATAAGGATACATGTTATGTCCACTGAGTAGTACCAGTTAGCAAGCCTTCCACGTGAAAATAAAACGGAAATCAAAAAAGGCAATAGGTCCATACGTGCAGACAAGTACACTTCGAGTGTAAACAGTGCGAGAGACGGAATTCTCCAATCCCTCTACCAAGGGCCGGAGTTCAACTTTGTGAAGCATTGGCTTGACCATCTCCACGTGCACCACGTCATGCTGCCATAATACATGTTGCTTGAGGTGGAATTCTTGGAAATATGCTTCACAGAACTCCGCAACTTGGTCTCTCGATGCCCGTCTCTGAGGCTCTCGTCGAGGAAATTTAACACCGTGGCACTCATATTCAACGACCAAGTCTTGAAGAGTCGAGTATTCCGGGATATGGCCTGTCCAGATACCACCTGGACCTGCCTGACGGTCCACGGCTAGAACAGAAAGTGGAGGGTCATCTCTTAACAGATTTCTAAGAGATACCATGCCTGGAACTTTTGTTAGAGAGTAGGCCGGGAATATTTCTTGTCACGATTCTCTCGCCATAAGTGATTTCTCTCCTTACCAGAAGGACCAGCACCGATAATCAGAGCATCGATGGGATTTTCTACCGAAGTACCAGCATCACCAGCAGCTACTTTCTCGACAGTGTTGGGCAGTGATATCTTCATGGTGGCAGTTTGTTTTAACTCTTGCTGTTTGCCCAAGTGCTGTGAGGTTCCAAGGTTTTCCAACTTTCGACACAACAGATGTCGATTGTGCCTCTAATTTTTTTTTAGCGTTGGAAAGGAACACCACCACATATGTCAAGTGCAAGATTCACAAAAGTGCGATTTCCAAATTCCGATGCATCTCGCATTGACATCAAGAAAAAAGTCCAAGTGGAGCAAGACAATCCGAATCCCCACATGGAAGCAAAAGTACTTGCAGACTTTCCCACTTGGGCAATGTATGCGACCTTCAGGGAAAAAGAATGGCGCAACGCCGCGCGACGCCGAGAGACGCCGTGCGACGCTAAGATAACCAAAGGTCGTATTTACGCGAATCAAGGTTTGGGGAAATTATATGCGGAAACTGCAGACCGATAAGCCTACAACCTAAAACATTGCACTTCAGGGGTGACTTCCATTGCTTCTGTCTCTTTTTGAGAACAACTCATCTTCTGGTACAATGCCGGAGACCAGTTGCTTGATTCTCTAAAGCTTTTGTTCTTCTGAAAAAAAAGGGTTCCCAACACTTTTGCCACGGCCCTCATTCATCATGGCTTTGGTCCCAGACAGGGATGACGCGACCGTACTGGCGGCGCTGGGTCACAAAGAAGAGCTGGACCGTCAGTTCACGCCTTTTTCTATGGCGGCTAATGCTATCATTACTGCCAGTGCTTGGGTAAGTTGAACAGCCAAGAGATCTTAAGATGTTCAGACTCCATATCTTTATTCCCCGAATCCCCGCCGTCATCTCCCATCCCTTGGAACCCGTGGGCCCTTAACATTAACTCGCGGCAGACGGCGATCATCGGAACCTTTATCACCTCCATTTATAATGGCGGTGCTGCTGGGTTAATATATGCATGGTATGATCCAATCTGTCTTTCAATTGAATGTAAAACACATCTGCTAATACCCACCAGGATCGTGGATAATTTCTTTTTCCTCTTCATTGCGTTGTCCATGGCCGAGTTGACCTCGGCCATGCCAACTGCTGCGGGGGTTTACCACTGGTCGGCAGCATTGGCTGGTCCCAAATACTCCCGACCAGTTGGATTTTTAACTGGATACTTTAATATGCTTGGATGGACGCTCGGACTGGCCTCATTATATTCGGTCGCCGGCCTCGAAGTCACGGGGTTATATCAGCTCTACCATCCCGAGTACGTCAGTCAACCGTGGCATGTATTCGTGGTATTTGTCGTTCTTAACTGGTCCTTTGCGGCCTTTATTCAATTTGGCAACAAGATCTTGCCATATTATACTAAAATCGGGTGTACGTCATTGGGAAGTATACATTCTTCGCTAAGAAGCACGCTAATTCAAGCCACAGTATTCGTCAACGTCGGCGCTTGGTTCACCATCATCGTCTGCCTTGCTGTTCTTCCAAAGTCGCATTCAACTAGCTCGTTCGTATGGACCGATTACACGAATTCGACGGGCTGGCCAACGGGCATGAGCTTCATTCTTGGACTCGTTGCCCCGGCCTTCTCGATCGGCACGATTGATAGCTCAACGCACATGGCGGAAGAAGTCCCCAACCCATCAAAGAACATTGCTAAGACAGTAATGATACAATGGTTCGGTTCTTTTGCAATGTAAGTTGATTATTGTCTCCTCTTTTCAATTATCCTTGTTCGTCTTGCTAATATGTATACTGTAACAGGGGTTTCTGCTTATTGATCGCCCTCTTCTATGCAGCGGGTAATCTAGACACCATCATGACTGCCTCCGAGGATAATTTCCCCGTCGCAGGGATCATGAAAATTGCCTTTGGTGATACAAGATCAGCCTTCGCTTGCGGCCTTGTGATCTTCATCGCCGCTATCCCCGGCTGTATCGGTGCCCAAATTGCGACCGTGCGGTGCGTGTGGGCGTTTGCCCGCGACGGGGCCCTACCGTTCTCTGATTTTTTCTCCAAGGTTGACGAGCAAAACGTCATGCCGGCGAGAGCTAATATCCTAATCAGTAAGCCCATCAAAATCCCAGTGACGTACTGGATCGCTAATTTTTGTTTTTCTTTTTTTCTAGCGCTGATCAGTACTGCGCTGGGAGCTCTCTACGTTGCTTCGACAGTGGCGTTTAATGCCCTCGTAGCTTCGTATGCCGTCATGTCTTCTACTTCCTACGGTATTGCTATCGCCGTTCACTTTTTTACCGGGCGCAAGAGAGCCGCACCGGGCTGGTTCTATCTCGGAGATGGGATCGTGGGTTACGCCGTGAACGCGATTGCGCTGATCTACATCTTCGTTTCAAATATCTTCTTCTGCTTGCCTTATGACCGCCCGCCGGTTACAGCGGCATCTATGAACTACACATCGCTTGTGTCGTACGGCATGGCTATCCTGGTCGTGATTTGGTGGTTTATTGGCGGCAACAGAATCTACAAAGGGCCGACCTTGTCGTCGGAGACCTACGAGGTTCTGGAGAGGCTTGCGGATTCCAGAGGCACGGATTCTGCAGGAACGATTGAGAATGTGCGATCAACTGGGAAAACCGAAGCTTGATACTAGTATCGACAGATGGAACCTTGTATTTTCCATCGCTAAACATGTTCGCTTCGTAAAATGGTGTATAGTACCGAAATGGGTGGTGTCATAGCATATATGAAAGATCAATAATAGATAAAAAAGATCACAATCATCAAAAGAGAACAATGTCTTGAGGATAATTCTCCAGGAATATATCCCATCTTTCCGTTGCACCAGACTCCCAATATGCGTGCATGGCCTGGCGGGCGGTCTCTACGTTCCCCATTCCAAAAGATTCCATCTTCGCTATCCTCTGCTCGATAATATTTCTCTGAACGGGATCATCAGTCTCGCATCCGACCGTGAAAACCGGCCACAAGGTCAAGATGTTGGACGATGATTCCCGCGGAATCATCTGAATCGTCTCAATAATCATATGAACCGCATAAACAGCCTTGGTGTGGTGTTTGGGCAGATCCTGAACCCGGCGATACAAATGAAGCAGGGCCGTATACAGGAACGCTCGGTGGATACACTGCATCTCGGCCGCTCGTTTCCGTGTGGCCGGATTCTCGTGGTTGACCAAAGCGGGATGCGCCGTCCGGTTATATAGCGAATAGATCAAATTCTCCATATCGCGAATCTCATCCATACTCTCTTCGCCCAGCTGCGTGTCGACCTCCTCGTCTTCGGAATCGTCATTCACAACCGTAACGCGTGTCTTCTTGTCATGGATTCGCGCCATCCGTCCAATTTTCGAAATGATCGGTATCAGATCTAGTGAGTAGCCTGTCCATTCGTCGATGTAGGTGTCGTCGTCATTGGAAGACCAGTATCGGTCGCCGGTATTGGAGCTCTCCCGGAGACCGGAGACACCCGCAAAAATGTCTAGTAGCGCGTACCACTTTATCACGAAAGTTTCCATGGGTGTTTTGGTCTCCTCGTCAGTGGTGGATTGGAAGGCGGAAAGAATTAACTTGTTTGCGCCCGTGAGATGTATTCGCCATGTGCTTAGATCGCCGGATATTACGTCTGATGTGCATAGAGCGAGCGCGGTGCTGATGGTTTCCAGTTTGCCGGCTTGTGTGGGATCGAGCATTGCCCGTCTTAAGCCGTTAAGTGCAGCATTGGTGAACTTTGCGATGCTGCTTTCCATTTGGATTGGCATATCCTCGTGTCGACGGGCATAGTGAGAACAAGCACAGGCGAGGAAGGCGTTTAGAAGATGTGGATTTGACATGGCAGATTGGAGAAGATCTTCTCGAAGAGGATTCCCTGTTAATGAAAGGGGGAAGATCACATCGGCCGTGGTATTGATATAGTGGTGGAGAAAAAAGCGGCTTTCGGGTGAAGCGCTGAGCTGTGCAGGGTTGCTGGAGAGGGCATAATGGATTCGCTGCTGGAAAGGAGAGATATCTTGGTAATCGGGTAGTCCGTATGGGTCTGTGTTTGATTGCGCGCGCTTGTTGAAAGGATATCGTCGAGCCAGCGATTGCGAAAGTGTGGTGACTTGGTTTGGGTCAATCTTGTCCTCTCCTTCATTTTCCTCTGCAATATAGATGACATCTCCAGCGGAATTAATCTCGCTAGGAATAAATCGGGAATTTGCCCTGCTGGCCAATTCTATTGAATAATTAGTGCCTAGGTCCAGGACACTGGCGCCCATGGGCATTTGTCTGTCATATGCCCATTCGCCGGAGCTTGCGCTCGAGTTGGACAGTGTCGAGGGTCTCCGATCGGGCGGCGATTCCTGCGAAGAGGAGGAAACGCCAGAAGAGGCGTTCTGTGCATCGGGCGGACTTTGAGAATCGCTCTGAGATTCACTCTGTCGACGGTTTTTGAACGGTCTCCCGCCCGTCCACGAGAGCTTGAACTCATATTTGCACTTTTCCGGTCGGTGTTTACACCTAATGCAAGTGGGCTTGCCCTCGTCACACTGCAAGGCGATATGATTAGCGGGAATGAATCTCTTTGTTCTGCACTCCCCCCTGTCAAACCCGGGGGACTGGGAAGAATCCCTGTTACCTTAATTCTCCTCCTTTTGCACTCCACGCACCCCGTTCTCATTTTGGAGTGGGGGCGGATCGACCGAGTGGCTGTGTGGCCCTCGGGCACACCCGTGGAATCCATGGGGAAATCACACGGAGCATCGACTGGCGGAAGCGGATTGTAATTGTCATGGGGGAAAAATGGTAAATCCTGTAACTTCGACTTTCCAGGTGAATTCCCGATTTCCCGATTCTCGATTATCTAACATGAATTTCGTTGATTCTGGAACGGCAAGTTGCGCCCAGAACTTCGAAGCTAGCATTTGAAGTGGAAAGGATAATCGGATCATAGACCAATCAGACCTGAAGCGAGCGGGGGAGCTGCATGATTCGATAAGATGCTAAGCACGGTCATTGGTGTGGATAATTGAGGCAAATCCTGATGATGGTGATATCATTGGCTTTCCCTTCTTTTTGGCCCTTTTTTCTCTCTCTTTTCTTTTTCTCCGAGACTTTTTTGAAGAGTCTCACTGGAAGTCTGGAAGTCTGAGAGTCTGAGCGTCTGAGACCCGAGGATCGTAGCCGAGATCACATCTTCATCCAAGGTTCGTTGCCATATTTTTGGGTAAAAGCACATTAATAATCCCCCGTGGAATCCCGGGATCCTGCGATCCTTCCGCTCCTTGTTTCCGATGTTCCCAAGTGTGGTCTCCCAAAAACCATCATCTGGTATTATTGTTGCTTTTTTTCTCCTGTTCATATTATAGAAGCCACCGGTCATGGTCATGTGATCAAATCCGGGGTGGACTCAACTGAGTCCTCACATTTGGAGTCTCAGATGCAAAAGTCAAGTCACATCTGCCTCTCTAGGCTAATCTCCGTAGATGCAACAGTGCCATGACACCAAGCTAGACATACCATTGACGTTGTATGTCAGAATTAGTGTCGAAGATCAGTGAGAGAAGAAGCTAGTGGGCAACGGACCTTATAAGCGGCCCCCTCAAGGCTAAAGGGTTGAAAGGGTTGAAAAGAGTTCCCACCTCCCTGAAAAGGGGATTTCCTTTACCTCAAATGTTCCTCCATTCACAACTTCGCATTCATGCTCGCTTGTGCCACTATACAACACATGCATGTCCAGTCCTTTCTAATAGCTTACGAATGCACACGGTCGCACTCAAGTACCCCTTTCGGGTTAGCTTCGAGGCTCCGCAGAATCGCAACGAGGTATACCTCCAAGGGAATGTTTTCCTGTGAGAATTAAAGGCCATCTATTTGATCAATATGTACCAAACATTAGTACATACATGACAACTTTGGAAATGATCTATCATCTATTAATCTATAAATGAGCTCACATCGGAGGCACTCATCTCACATCCCAGGTAATTATGTATATATTCTTCAAATTGGTAAAACCAATTTCCCAGATTGCTGCAACGCATCTCGCCAGCACATACCACCTTGTCTACTACTAGTAGTATCCATAATTCCCCAAACTTCCTGAATAATCTCCCATTGTCGCCGGAAATTTCCCAGATTGTATCGCTGGACATTCTCCCACCACTCCATCCACGGCGTGCGGTCAACAGCTTCGCATGCAGCAATAAAGCCAGGCCAGGACATCGGGGCTGTATACTTTTGGCTTTGTATATCGTGTTCTTTCCTCTGTTCCGCTATATTGAGATTTTTCCAGACATTAAACGCTTGCCTCTGCGGGCTTATTAGAGGATGATTTTCAATAGCACGATAATACAATATTAAGACAGCGCTGTGGAATGCGCAGGCTTGACGACGGATTATCTCGAGCATACGTATATCGACCCCAGAGTCGGCTAGATGACAGTCGTCTTTTGCTAAACTCCAATCCAGTAGCCTGGTCCTTAGGTCGTCACGGGCATCCCTAAGGGAGATGGGGATGTGTTGCTTGTCGCATAGTTGAAGGGCTTCGGAGACTTGACACGTCAGGTGTAGAAGATTGCCCAAAAGGGGAGTTATTCCGTATATGTATTCGATGTGGATATCATTGTCACTGAATAGAGCCTTCTCGGGACGCCACTCAGCTGCGGTCGGGGTCATCTGGAGTTCCTTCGATGTAGTTCTTCCCAGGAGAGTAAGGAAGTTGCATATACTATTGACCTGCTGGCTTGGGCTTTCGATGGCCTTGGGCTCGTGACATTGTCGTAGCTGTCTGCAGCCTTTCAGGTGGATTGGAAAATCGGAATCCTCACCCGTTATAGTCTAAATTGTTAGACAATTTGCTTCCTATCTGAAGGCATCACCAAACAACTCACATCAATAGTCACCAATGACAGCATTGCCGTCAATTGTATAGTGTATAAATGTGAATCATCGGTGTCGATGAGCGCCGTGTTCAGGGCATATAGTGCCTTTGAGCGATGTTGAAAGCCCAGACAATTGAACCTTTCAGACCCACCAGTGAGATTTCGAAGATGAAATGCCGCTGATGAGAGTATTCCATGAAAAATGGCAGTCGACGCCGCAGATGAAGGCCCAGCATTCTGGATGACAAAGAGATCAGGACACCCTTCAAGGGCAAACGGAAGATAAGTGGTTCGCCAAGGGTTTTCAGCATGCCAGACCGGTTGAAGAAGAGCAGCCACATGATCTTTGTAATGGTATAATAGAAGCGATATTTCTGGGTTTTGGAACAGAGGTAGCGACAATTCAAAGTGAGGCTTGATCATGCGTGTTGGTTCCATGGTGATTTCGCCATAGTCGTCAGCATTTATGGCAGATTCATTGGAGGTGGTGCGAGTTTTGAAAATAGAGAATGAACCCATACATAACGTCTCAGATGACGCATCGATATTATCGAGAGCCGATAATATTTTGTCGAGCTCATCATCTGGGATGTAAATTGAGCTGGATCGATCTATGAACATGTATGAGCGCATGAATATAGTGTGTACTTCGCAATCATGAAAACCTTGGTAATGTTCTGAGATCACTTACCGAGAACAATGCTCCTGCGATGAATCTCCCCGCAACTCTCACGCTTGTCTGTGACCCAGTGCAAATTTACACCATAGCCAGCGCATTTTAACCCAGATCGCTCGCAGATACCGCATCCGCTATCTTGACGTTCATCGCATTTGATCTTCCGAGACCTGCAGGTCCAACATCTGCAATGTGTAAGCCGAGAGACTAATCAGCATATATCACGCAAAATCCAGACCCACGTACCCTGTATAGGTTACAGTTCTCGGTCTCTTCGGACGTGCAAGTCTAGTGGACCGCGAGCGGGGTTTGTTCGGGTGGGGAGATCGGGACTTGATCAGGTCCATCGCGGGAGGATGGAGAGGATTGGTAGCTGTATGTCCTTTGAAGGTGCCAAAGGTACCGACATATCGGAAAGCAACTTAGGAGAGAGGGTAATTGATTGATTGGGTGTATCATGCTCTATCGCGCTCTTGCTCGCAGCCTTTAGTCGTCATCGGCTTATCTTGATAACGGTTGATACCAAGTTGTGCGGGCAGGAGCTAGCGATGATTGGCGCTTGATACCACTGAACATCATATGGGAATCGTTTGAATGGCCTATAAGTACAGGTCCACAGGACCTTACGAGAGTCATATATCCAGACCCAAATCTTGATCATTCACAAGATGCATCTCGCTTTCCCTCCCCCCGCGAAAAAGGAATCCAACTCTCCGACAGGCTTCAAACCTTTAGCCAAACCATCACCAAACGACCATCCACATAGTTCATCCGAAAGAGCAAAATCTCCCGCTTGGCCATTGAAACATCTTACTTCTTTAAGATCAATACTTCCAACCTATAAGTTTTAGGGTACGAACTAGCTCCTCTGACATTTGTGCAAGGACTCTATCTTGTTCTAACAACATTCGAGTAGGAATTTAAGCTAGCATTCGAGGGATCGGCGTATTAAAGGTTCTGATGGTCTCATTTATCAGATCAATGGTCTGAGTAGATCATTATAGACCCACTATGACCATCAACACCTCAGGCATGGTTATGAATGCAGAAAACTGGGAATATCTTCCAAGATTTGAAGACTACCAAATACATCATATGTTTTCTACTTCAATGTTCCAACTTACCTAAATCATACCATGCACATGTGTACTAGGTACCCGTGGGCGCAGTCTCGAGGTCAGAGCTGGAGCTTACCTACATACTAGCACTAGTATGTGTCTACATAAGGTATAAATGATATAGCGGATAAGTGGACCTCAAGTGCTTGGTGCTAAAATTCTAATTAAACCATGCCAACAAATTTTATACAAACTACTCTCTACTATCTACACAACTCACTTATTACCAACATGCTGTTATACATGGCTCTCCTACCAACCATCATTCTCGACCCAGCTCTTGGGTACTGGTGCCTTGAGGCCACGGCTTTCCCTCAAATACTTCTCAATCCAAACTTCCATCTTCTCCAAAATATTCCTCTCGGGTTTCCCTTCCTCGCCAATTTCAAACACTCCCTCTTTACACCAGACACTCCAGGATCCCATCAATCCTGCCATAAGAACATCCGTTCCCAATCGATCTCCCACAACCGCGATCTCACTCGGCGAACTAATTACTTCCCGCTCCTGGAACCACTGCACAACCTCATCTCCGCAGAATGGCTTCTTGTCTGTGCCAGCCGGCAGCCTGAAAACAGGTATTTGGAGATGCGCAAGTTGGCTTTCTAACGACTCCACTTCTGAGTCGTAGTTTGGATGGCTGCCGGCACGGTTAGAGACGATGAGAATCGAGTGCGGGTTCTTGGTTTGATTGAAGGGGCTTGTGGGGGAGTTTCGGAGCTCGGCGAGTTTGGTAAGAATCTTGGGAGGGAAGGTGGTTGTCTTTGCGGGGCAGAGGGTGTTGTCTTTGTCTAGGACAAGGGCGCGAATTGTCGGGATTTTGGGTGGTTGTTCTTGTTGCTTTTCGGTGGTAGTAGATTGGGAGGATGACCGGGATGGGTTGACGAGGTGAGAGTCCAGGTCTTCGGGGATATGAGTGAATGTTGGGATTGTGAGATGTGGGAGGAATTGTGAGGGTTGTTTGAGGAGTGTTTGAACGGCGTGGTTGAAGCCGCGGAGGTTGGAGTTGGGTGAGCCGGCCATTGTGGAAGTGTTCCTCCGGTATCTGTGGCTTGTAGACTTGGAGTTGAATTTGGATCTGATTATCCGTTTCAATGATTTTGTATATTTTCAGCAGTTGCTATTGCTATTGTGCTGCCATGAGTGTGGGGTTGTGAGAAGTGTATGTTGATCCGCGATCTGGAATTTTGTAAGGAAGAAACACCCAAAGCGGAAAGGAGGAAGCTTAGCCGCAAAACTCACCTCGCGACCTCCGCCATCTCCACCACCGCTTCATCATCCCGACCACCACCACCACCGCTTTGCTCGCCTGGGTTTGAAACAACGAGCCTGTTAACACATCGAACCTTGCGACCGTCTTCGACGTACCTCTTCACCAATCCTCCCAACTCGACTCCCCTCCCCGCGTCGCACATTCCGTCAAGATGGGCAAGCTCACTAGCACCATCGGTATCCCAATCAAGCTTTTGAACGAGGCTCAGGTATGTTCCAATTTTTCCCAAAAAGTCATCTTGCTCGTTTGCGGGGGAGCACCCCGAGCTTGGGGGAGACTTGATTCTGTCGGGGTACTAACAATGTCGTTCTCAGGGCCATGTCGTAACACTCGAGATTACATCGGGCGTTGTCTACCGAGGGAAGCTCTTGGAAGGTGCGTGAAATTGTTTGCTACTGTACAAAATGGGGTGACGGAGCAAGTCAGGTCTTCAATGGATGACAGCGCTGGCTTAAACCCTTCAATGCCACGAACACACCGCTAACCTTTCTCTCTCACATAGCCGAGGACAACATGAACATCCAGCTCAAGGATATTACCGTTACCGCTCGCGACGGTCGTGTCTCCCATCTCGACCAGGTTTACATTCGTGGAAGTCATGTGCGATTCTTCATTGTGCCGGATATGTTGAGGTATGTTTCGTCGGGTTATCACCAGACCTTTATCAGTTATTTTTCAAACAAGGCCATCGCATTTTTGTCCAAAATGGGTCATCACCAAAATATCGCTTGTTGAATTATCCGCTAACTTCAACCTCACATAGAAACGCTCCTATGTTCCGCTCACGAGGCCAGCGCGGTCGTGGTGTTGGTCTGGCCCGTGGTAAGGCCACCGTTCAGCGTGCGCGTGCTGGCGGCCGTGGTCGGTAAATTATTGATGCATGAAGATAGTACAAGAGCACAAGTTCAAAGACCTGGCGGATTCTAGTGGTTGGCGTTCGTCTTTCGTGTTTTATTTGGTTCGTTATGGGAAAAAGAATTCTCAGGCTTTCTTTTTATCTTGCTGGGTCTGGGATATTGGCATATCCTAATATCCCCAATTGACTCGTGTATCTCTCACGAATGAATACCGGGCGCATATATTATACATGGATCCTGAGGAGATTGGTTGCTGTGGCGTGCCCATAGCACATATCATCACTGTAGATTCTCTTAAAAGCAGTTGGATCAGCTTGGAGAAAAGAATGAGAAGACGAAAAGACACAAAAAATGACCATGACTCTGCTTCATTGCGACAATACTACCTACTAGGTAGTACGCGATGGAGTGAAGTCAAGTCATGTGAATTAAATCATTAGATCTTACCTAGTACTGTAGTAAGTACGTGGGCAAATAGACACTCGGACACGACGCGATCTCTCCGCAACTTTTTCCCATCCATGCGGGGGACCAATTCTCGACTCCTACACACACCTCCGTCCTCCAGCCATTGTTATCTCAAGTACTTTCTAACATCCAAAGATACACGCTTCCACTCAAACAAACCAAAGAATAGCACCTACAGCCCCAAGCAGCCCTCTCGCCTTCCGCCATGGCTTCCACAGCTTCCCCCGCAACCCCCTCCAAGCCGCAAGTCAAACAAATCACCAACCCACGTCGCCTCCTAATCCTCTCCCCACCCACGCAATCAGTCTCCATAATTCCACCTCTCCTCCAAGATCTCACCGATGTCCCAGTTCGAGACCCCCCGCAACAGGAGCAATCCCCTGCTGCCGCCACAACCTCATCATCCACCCCGCCCCAAGATGGTGATCCCGCACCACTCGACACAACAACCTCATTCGCAGGATACACATCCCACAGCCCACTTCGCCTAAGCACAAAGTACTACTCAGCCGAGATCCCAATATGGGTCGACGAGGTCCCCTTAGCCTCCCCCGAAAACGAGACAACAGCACCAGCGGCCGACGACGTGGTTGATGTACGACAATGGCGCACAGAATTCCTCAGTGACGAAGCCGAGATCGTCCGTGATGCTGTCGGCGCGCTTCTGGTTTGCGTTAAGAACCCTAGCGAGACGGACCCGAGCCCTGGCTCTGATCCACTATCGCGCGCCGATGTGCGCGCGCTGGTGGATCTTATGTCTCATATTGGGGCTGTGAAGGAGCGCATTGATGAGGAGCGTGGGGGGATGGGTATGGGTGATGATGTTCCTGGAGTGTTTGTTCTTGTTGGGGCACCGAAGAGTGCGGCGCCGGGGTCTACGTCCATTTCCTCTCGAGGTGGTGATTCTGACGAGATGGGACTGGGACTTGATGACGAAGATTTGGGCATTGCGGATGTGCCATTATCTGCTGCTTGGTGGGAGGATACTCTGCTCGATTCAGGGTGTATTGGATGGGAAGTTGTGGAGTGGGATCCCAAGGCGAAGGGTGGTGAGGAGACGAGGAATAAGTTTGGAGGTATGTTGTATTTGTTATTTTACAACTGCCACCTTTTGAATTCGATGAATTGGTATGTCTTCTCGGATTGAAGCTAATTTTGCTAAAGAATACGAGGGCATGCCGCGCATCAAAGAAGTGCTAGAAACGCATGATTGGAGCACTCCTGGGGCCTCGCGTGATCCTGATGCTGACCAGGAGCTGGATCTTGATTCTGAAGATGATCTTGAGACTGGCTTGCTAGGTGGTAGCAAGTCATTCACTCGCGGTTTTGGACATGAGGTTCATGAGCTGGAGCGTGAGATGTTTGGTTTGCGCATGGCAATTCAAAACGGTGGTGGCGATGGTGAAGACGGGGATTTTGCCGAATTCGGCGACTTCGAGGATGGGGATGATGAGGATGATGAAATCAAGGTCGAGTCTATGGAAGGATTGATGATGCGTGTGCAGGCGATCAAAGGTAAGTTTCGTAATCCTGCTTGGATGGCGCATGTTTATACTTACAAAATCATAGATATGAGCGCCGATTTACCGGAGAATGAGCGTAAAAAGTTCGCTGCGAAAGCCATTAATGATCTCATGCGAGAACTATAAAGCAATTGCATATTCATAATGCACCAAAGGGTAGTTTCATTACCTATAAGAATACCTAACAAGTATCATTGAGTCATCTTCAATTATTACTATGTAACCATGCTTTTTCTGTCCAAGCCAAGCCTGAGCTGGCCGGACATGTTAACTCTATACAATTAAAAGGCAATATTCCCGAAATTCACCCCCACAATTAGTGTCGAAAGACATCATCTCACAAACCACTCAAACCGACTGCAATCGGCTTCCATTCCTGCCCAAGAACCCTTGAGCCTCTAATCAGCACGCTGCTTACCCCGAAGAACCTTGCGACGCTGCGCAATCATGTGCGAGTAAAGAATATAAGAACCAGGCACATAGACAGCCAGAATAGCCACAAGCCCCCAGAAAAGCAACGGACTCACATCCGCAGCCGGACCCAGCGACAGATAAAGAAGCACACATTCACTCGAGATTCCAATGGGGTAAAGCACGTAGAAAGTGTTATACCGCAACCAAGTCCACCACTTGGGCACCTCGTTCCCGGAAAGCGTTATGGCAAAGAATCCGTACCGAATTATCTCCGTAATTCCCCACGCAGTCACACATCCCAGGTACGCATAGTCGCCCAGCTGGGTAGTAGATGCAGCGCCGACAACCTGACCGCCGAACGGAACCATGATGCCCCAGACGAGAACCAGACGGCTGGCAACCTGCATTGCGGTTGTGAAGAAGGGGGCGCGCACAAGCCTGAGCAGACTGTGCAGGATTTCGAGGGTGGCAATGGATTGCGTCGCGAGGAGGTATGGGGAGAAGGTTTGGGGGAAGATGGAGTGGAGCGTGTTGCTGGCGAAGTGGCCGGGAACTAAGGAGGCTGTGTAGCCGACGCAGAAGGCCCATGTTGCGAGATTGAAAGCATTGTAGAGGAAAAGGTAGGCTCTTGTGATGCCCGACGGACCGGAGGAGCGCGATTTAGGCGCAGAGGAGGACGAGGCCATTACGACGATTTGATACTTTAGTATCCTGCAGCCGAGAGATGTGAAGATGGAGATTTTTTGGTGGATCAATGGAGATTTTGAAGAAATCTTCCAAGATCAGTGCTGGATTTTCAGCAAACGGTCAATTGACGGTGTGCAAGCAGTCGTAAGTGGGCGCATATGCAATAGGCGTTGAGTTGTTGAATGTTGGGTTGAATCGAAAAAGGAACCTCGGGACGTTACGTAAGCGGTTCTAGAAGACCCCTCGAAGCCTTTCCTTAAGGGTGGGGAGGAGATCACGATTCTGGGGGTGTTTCTTTGCCAAGTCCGATCACTTGGATCTTTGAAAGGGCTGCAGCTGCCAGATCAGTGATTGGTGTGCAAAGTCTTTGTTCCCTTCTCTCGCGGCCGAATCTATGCCGGAAGATGTGTGGCTGTCGGTCGGGACCAAGGTAGCTCGACTGCATTGGGAATAGTCACAGGAAACTAAAGAGCCTAGTGCCAAAACCTGAGGACTAGTTCCAGAGAACCGCAGGGACTATGGGCCATACGGAAGGCTTCCTTCAAAGCCCTGTGTTCTTCTGGACAGGAAGCTAGACTCGATATTGCTATGAGGCGTTATCACGACTTCACTTTTGGTTGGCAAGGACCACTTGGGGGCCACTTGCGGGCCACTAGGGACTGACGCTAAGAAAGCACTTTTAGTGGGAAGGGAAAAAAAGCAAACATTGCCGGGCGCCCTCTTTCCGCATCTCTGGCGAATGAGTGAGGAGTCTGAGGACCACTGAAAGGTTGTATATTCAGAAAATTTCAAATGTTGAAGGCAACCAGTCGTCAGCGCATATCATCACTCATGACCCAAGCCACTTGATATTCCCCAATATTAACCGATGCTCAGATGTCAGCTCCCGAGGTCTGATCCACACCTACTAGTACCACCTGGTTAAGCAGAATGATTTCATGTTGCACACCCCTCTTGAACGGAGTCCGACTTGTTGTACAGGCTTATGCAACGTGATATCATGGAGTAACTGCTAACTGAGGATGATGTCGTCCTGCATTTGACAAAGGTACCTCATTTGTAGATAGAGTCATGCCATTAGTACTTGGAATATCTCGAAGTTCAAATCGACTAGCTCCGGCTTAAATAGCCATAGTAGGCAAGAGATTTGAAGGACCATAATCTGCATAAGTAGTGTATGTGGGGTTCTGCACAAGCCTGAGTCCTGACCACAAGAGTCTATTAAAGCGGTTTTTGGCTTAGAGAAACGAAGGACGCCAAGCCGGTAAGTGACACGTATTTTCAGTACGGGAGGAGAATGACATCAGAGGCTGTGAAATGTGGAAATTCCACCATGATGTCATGGCTGTCACACGGTGTCATGATTGGCCGATGATCATCGGGGCCAACCACTTCACACGCAAGACTAGGAGGAAGCCACCAGAGGCACGAATGCTCCCCATCTGCTATATAAACAAAAGAGGTGGCTACGCTTCATGCGGAAGTTGATGGTTTTCTTTTTGGATGGTTTCCAACTACCCTGGACCCTCAATGCTCTTCCAATTGATGATTTTCCATGTGCTAACACTTGGGGGAAATGAATGAATCTACTTCAATTGCTTAGGTTCTCCCTTTATTTCTGTTGCCCACCCAAACATCGTCATCGGTGACAGCATAATCGCTCGTGTCTTAGCCCGATACCCCAAACAACAAACTACCCCCCTCTCTCTATCACGATTTCACGCCATATGACTGGAGTATGCCCACGGAGTCCAGGGTGCTCCGGTACGTCAGATTCCTCGGGATTCATGCAACATACCAACACCAGATACTGGAGTACAAGGGGCAGCAAAACAAGGTAATTTCGTGGTGGTTTGCAACACATGGTCGCGGTCTCCGAGGGCCCAGACCTGCCCTTAAAACCCTCCTGTCCGGTTGCAGTGCAATGCATTGATTTCTGTCCGTACGAAATGTGTACTCCGTATACACGAGACTTGAAAGTCAAGAGACGAAATGGAGCCCGGATTATTTCCCTCCTCCCCGGCGATTGGTACAGCTGCCCGACAAGTACCCCCCTTCTTCCTGCGGACCATTGCCGACCTATCAATTTTCTCTTTCTTTTTTTCCCTTGCTTTTTTGCTTTTTTTTCGTCTATTTTTCTCTTTTTTTTTATCCTTTCTCGGCCTGCCTTGTTCGTCTCACCAGATAACTCTTCAACCGTTCAAAGTGGAGAGAGGAATTTTCACGCTATTGAAAGACCCGTTCGATGAATCAATTCATCAAGAGAAAGATTTGGTCCACGTGCGGCTCGGAACATACAACCAAACCAGTCGACCGAAAGATCAGTGACGTGCCCTGTGCTGAGATCGGCACTCCCGATGATGTCGTTTCTCGGCTACTTGCCCCTTCCGCTGCCAGATCTCTTACCGCAAGGTTAGACTGCTTTGGGGGTTATGGGGTTTTTGGAGAGAGTTTTTTTTTGGGGGGAGAGGGGACATGGGTTTTTTCCCTGGCTTCCCTGTCACCTTCTCGTTCAGGTATTATTGAATGTTATAGGTTGGATCTTTTCTCGATGATTCTCCACTTATGCACTGATTTGGTACACAGATTCTCACTGGTGGAAAGGGAGAGAGGGATGATCTCATGCCGTTGCTCGGGACCCGGTGGAGCGAGGCCCGGGTTTTTCGTTATTCGCTGGTTTCACACTGCATTCTGAAAATGACCATTGATCCAGTGATGAATTCCAGCTTGCCCTTGTTTATAGCATGAGGCTGGGCATATCGGATCAAAGGCAGAGTTTTTTTTACTAATTTTTTTATATCCAATCTAGAGGCGAAAGTGGGTGGGGGGCAAAAATAGGTGGGGAAAACTTCCCCCCATCCAACTTGAAGGGGATCACAAGATTTGGATTACAAGGATTGTCCTTTTTTTTCTCTCTGGATATACTAACATGAACTGGGGGCTTCCAAAGCTATGACTAAAACCCACAGGTCTTGATACATCTGAGGAAATTTCTAATCTTCATACATGCACCTTTGTGTAACATGTACTCAGTCAAGTAAATTGAGCCTTGCGGGGGATTGAACAAGACCACATCAGAGACTAAAAAGATTGAGTTTAGTTTGATATAGAAAGCTTCAAGTTTTTCTTATTGACAATTTTGCGAGTAAATATATGGGTTTTTTTTAGAGTATTGAAGTATTTCCATTACCCAATATTACCAGAGAAATCCCGAAAATCCCAAATCAACATAGATTGCACGGGAAACGGTACACTTGCCTCTCCACTCGTTCCTGCCGGCCATAATTACCCATTACCCACCTAAACGTTTCTCCGCCCTCTTCTCGCTAACCTTCTTTCTCACCTCACTCTTCTCCTCTTGGTAAACTTTCGAAACCATTCCCCCCAAGTACGAACTTGAAATCTAGCATTCACTGCTGGAGGAAGGGCTACAATCTCAATAGCTGAAACTTCCAAGATAAAAGGTAGCGTAAGCTCAAAGCCTCCTCCCCCCGTTCTGCCCCTCCTTTTTTTAGGAACCTGGCCAATATCCCCCTCATCCACCTAACACCTACACGCGATACCCGATTGATCGTCACTTGCATTCTGGGATTTTTTATTATTTTTATTTTTATTTTTTTCGTTTTTCGTTTTTCGATTATCAATTCCGGCAATTTTGGTTATCAAATTTCTGCCCCTGTTGCGCTGTTGGAGTGGGACCCTGGGGCTTTTTTTTTTGTGCAGCTCGTTGATTGAAGCCCCGCCGTGCACTCGCTGGCAGTATATGGTGGATGGGCCCGTCAACTATTCTTCTTCCCCCTCCTCTCCTCGATCTTCACTTTTCCTCCCTTCACTCAACCCTCTTGTTCCTCCGGCTTCGGCTCACGGTATCGCTCAGTAAGCTGCCACTATTCCTACCTCCATTCGTCCGTGGTGAATCATTCTGTCGGGGTTCCCTTTGAACTCGGAGGTCCACCCCCGCCACAACGTGATAGCCCTGGTTCCTGTGATCTGTGGCTCCCATGATCCCTGCCCGCGCGTGCATATGCCTAGATCCAACGCTCGCCCGTGCCCTTTTGCTTCTTCCACCTTGCCCTCATTTGGTCCTTCCCCTCAATCTGTAATACTTCGGGCTTGTAAGGCGATACCCCTCCTGTGGGCTTGCTATCTTTTTTCTTTGTTTTTTTTTCTCGGGGAAGGAGGCGTTGTACTTTGGGTATTTCTGGCTTTTCGTGGCTTGTTCTATTTGTCACATTCACTATCACATTGACCTGCGCACCCACTTGAAGATTCCCAGAACATACGGGCTGACTATAAAATCTTCAGATCTGTCCAGTCGTTTATCAAGACTGACTACCGGATCGGGCGACTGTTCGATCTTATCGTGACGATCCGTGCTGTGGACTTAGGTTGATCCTATCTACTTCACATCCCTTGAACACATAATAATCATGGCGCCTACCGAGCACACGAAGGTCCAGGAGCCGGTATGTCGAATCTGCACCCTACAAATCAGCAACGTGAAAACTGACACGCGACCAGAAGAAGGAGGGTCCTCCTCAGCTTTCAGATGTCGCCGATATCCTCGACGAGGGCACCTTTGAGCAGATCCTGGAAATGGATGATGATGATGAGCGTGATTTCAGCAAGGGCATTGTCTATGGCTTCTTTGACCAAGCCAAGACCACCTTTGAAAAAATGGAGAAGGCTGTGTAAGTGACTGAAGATGCTTTATAGACCCGGAGTGCAGGTAGCCTAACGTCTTTCAAACTCGAACAGCAAGGATGAGGACTTGGATGAGCTTTCATCTCTTGGTCACTTTTTGAAAGGCTCCTCGGCCACTCTGGGTATGACACACGTTAAGGACGGCTGTGAAAAGATCCAGCACTATGGAGCCCGCAAAGATGAGACTGGTTCTACATCAGAGCCCGATGATAAGGTTTCGCTCAAGAAGATTGATACTACTGTGAAGGATGTGAAGATTGCATACGCTAAGGTCGAACGATTCCTGCGCCGATACTACGGTGAGGAGCTTAAGCCCGAAGAAGAAAAGAAGGAGGAGAAGGAGGAAAAGGAAGAGAAGAAGGAGGAGGAGAAGGTGGAACAGAAGGAAGACGTGAAGAAGGATGAGAAGAAGGAGGACCCCAAGGACAAAGAGCCCAAGAAAGCCTAGGTATCAGGCTTTACGGTTTGCTCCCCTTTCTTATCTTTTTATCTTTTTTTTTTTTTTTTTTAGCGACGGATGGAGCATTGCAATGGCCTTTATTTTTTCATGTCTTGTTTCTGGCTTCTTGACGTACATACAAACCCCCCCCCAAACCCCCCACGCCTCTAGCTCCAGTTTAATCTGGAAGCACTTGTGTGGACACTACCCGCAAGTGCAGGCGAGATTGCGACAGTGCATTTCCCCACAGCTGAGGGAACAGAAGAGTTATCGAGATACGGGAATCCGAGTGCTCCTACCTGGCTATGTTGCTTGCATATCTTGATCTCCCAAGATCCATGATCTGGATGAGACAGAACTGGCAGAAAAATCACTTCTGCTTGCATCCGAATCTGTATTGTATTGGCTCGGCAATCTCGGTATAAGAGCAGAGAGGCCTGAAGACCTGAAAGACTCAGTTATGTGGCTTGTGGCTTGCACACTTCGTAAGATCTAAACACATGTACCGGAGAACCCACCTTACCGCGAGATTGACCGATCAAAACGCCCTGGTCCACAATCCCCGGTCTTCAATGTTGTCGATTGGTGCCTCAGAAACCTTCCTTCAGCCACATGCGTGGGACTGGAGTCGGTCGATAAGCTTGAATCAACGGCCCAATCGATCAAAATCCGGGGAATGTGGCGCACCACCTGCCGCATGATCGTCTATTTTTCCCACTTGTTTGTCGATCGTGAAGATCCATTGTGAAGATAAGATGAATAAAAATCGTTGGTGAGATGAAGTTTTTGTTTGTCCCATGGCCGGATGTGTGGTGTGGTGGTTATTAGTATTTACTTCATACCATTCGCCAACTGGTTCAGCCTTGTTGTTGCTCCGCTTCACTCATATTTCATCAACCCCACGATGTATCCCAGTTGAAAAGGACATTTTTCCTCCAATTAAAATCATACTTTAGTAAATCCCATGACTGAAATTTTTCCAACATTTGACGGTTTTCCTTAATATTCCAATCCTACTAGGCATGATAGAAGAGAGGGGGAAAATGAGAAAAGTGGCTTGACCCACTCCACACCCTGCTCAGTTCCTGCAACATTAAACATTTGAACATGGATGAAATCTTTGCAACCTTGGAACAAACCACGATTTAAAGTAATGGAGTACTGATATCCTCCCTTCTTTATAGGTAAGCTGCATTGAAAATCCAGCCTCTTGTATTTCTACCTCTCTCCCCCTCTCCCTCTCTTCCGCTTGCCCACACCTACATTTAAAAACGGGCAATCGGGAATCTGCATGAGCGGGTTCCCGGCTGAAAGGCCCGTGTGATGTATACGTTCGCTAGATGGATGGATACGGATGCAGTCTTGAGCTTGCCGTCGGCCCACGGGTGCTGTCTCCTTCTTTATTCGGCCTTGGTCTTTATTATCTACCCCCGACTTATGTACATGGCTTCCAACGTTGACCAGGTGTACCAACGGGGAATTTTCTACTTATAGGCGGCTTGTTACTAGGTATGATGGAGGCGGGAAAGGAAAGCTTATTGAAAGCTTCAAAGAGACCTCGGGATAGGGTTGTCAGGTCTAGACCTTCTGATATCCATGGATCTTGCTACTTCCAATGGCGAACAGTAAATCAAGATGCGATTACATGCAAGTCATTTTGATGTACGGAGTTATGCAATGTCATGCGATGCAGCACACAGACACCGGGGAAATGCAGAGTTAGGATCAGATACCTTATGTACAGCAGACGGGCATCTGGAGAATATAACCGGGGAACACCTTATGTAGTAGGTGCCCAATACCTATCATTAATGTATTTACATATCATCCACGGACGCTACCTACCTGCGAGTAATAGATTCATAAATCCTGGAGCCATTCTACTACGTAGAAGGTGCTTACATGTATAAGCCATGTCCACGGGTCCTAAATACCAATTAGTAGGGGTTAAATCATAAAGCCCAACGCCAACTAACGGCCAACGGTAGCCGGGTACCAACCATCCGTTTTGAAGGGTAACTGAAGCAACTTAAGATCCAATGAGGCTAAAAGAATAAACACTTAGGGGTATAAGTGAGATGGACTCTAAGGTTGGGGGGGGGGGAAAGCTCCGTTCCAACATTTGAAGATTGTAGGGTATCTAGGAGCTTAGGTGAAGGGCTGCGTTACCTTACCTCAGTCATACTTCTATCAATTCCTCCTCTCCGTATTTGATAATCTTTCTAGCTGCCATTGGTCTTTTCTTTTATGATCATTATTAGCAAACAAATATACCAGTAAGTAGATGTATGTCTGGACGATATACCTAGCGGAAGAGGGGGATGCCTAGGTGGTGTCTGTAACACGGCCTTGGGCTTGAGCGTTGGATATCGATTATATTGATGATTTTGTCAATGAATCAATGTGTATGATAGATCTGGATATTGAATGATTCGTCCACGTTGTTTGCCAGTGAAATTGACACTCAAACCTTTCAACGTTCACAATCACGTTTGGTTCGTCACCTTCCCTGATTCTTATTCCCCGTTACACTTTATGCCTCCTTCCTTCCTATCCGCATATTGCATATGGATGCTCTTACTCTATTCCTCACTCGCACAAACGAAACATTGAACAAAAGCAACCGAAGATCGAGTCAAAGTCCCGATCTTCTGCAACGCAATACTACCCACGGTCCACGGAGTAGACTCTTTTTTCTCCGCAAAAACGACGCATGCAGGTGCACGCATTGATGAAAACGCATCGACGGATTCTCATCCGATCCAACGAAAGAAAAGCAGGCTGGCTGTTTTCTATATCGGTGAGATTAAATATGGGGTGCGTTTTCAGGGAGGCGGCTTGCTGCGTCACACTGCATGGTTGACGAGTCTTCTTGTCTGCGGCTGTGGGTAGGTACATGAAACTGCTCACTCTGGTTTTGTCTTTGAGTTTGATTTCTTTTAATTTTCGATCTGTCAGGTAATACTCGGGATTTGATACAGGTACTCTATCTACAATGTGACTTCGTGCGATGTGGATTTTGATCGGCAATTAGCGGTTATTGCGCTTTGATATGTGACCTGGTGAGATTAGTTAGTACCTCCTATCGTATAGGTAGGAGGGGTTTTTGCTTTTTATTTGTTCACTTTGTAGCCTTTGTGGCTTCAAGGGGGGAATAAGAGACCATCTGACATGTCTATATTATCCGTTCTTACTCGTCCAATTTGTCTGAATTGATTGCTCCCGGAATCAGACGTATACAAACTAACCTCGAAATCTCCTCTTCTTATGCATGCGAGTTCAAAGTTATTGCTCTCTGTCTCGGATAGCAGACTCGAGCTCGAACACCTCCAGTGCTTTCTGCAGCTGATCTCTGCTACGCTCAGTCCTCGACATTCACCCTGAACCCTGATCGTGACTCAATCCCATGGTCTGCCTTCTTTGACAAGCGGAATGTGCCGTACCTTATTCAGCCCTGGAGGTGAAGAAAAGAAATGCCAAATCTCTCCCCATCTACCATGATCGACACTAACATGCTACCCATGTGCATCCAACTTCTTATAGATTATCCATATCTTTAACCGACCCCTAACGATTCCTCCTCCCTACCCCTACCCGTGCGTTGTTACCTTACAAAAATATATCATCGGGGCTCTGATCTGACGTGACCCGGGGTTGGATATCAACAGTGCGTGAGACTATGTACACAATCAACCAGGTGCATTGTACAACCATCCTACCGGGACCCGTGGACAACAGAGAAAAAATCAAGCCACGGATCTTGCAGACGCACATCATGTAGTCTTGGATCATTGCAATTCCCCGAATACAGCAAGAGAGACAGTTTGAGCTTAACTTTGAATGAATAATTTCCGTAAAGAACATATGCATGGTTGATTTTGACTTCCATTGTTTGTGTATTCCAAGGTTCTTCCCCATCCAACCACTCAAGGTCCCATAATTAATGTCTCGGGCCCTGCAAACAGACGCCTGTCATGGAAGTAGACCCTGTATCATTGTCTCAACTCCTCCGACTCGACTGACTTCCTTGTCTGCTAGGGCCTTGCTTACCCACTTAACCGATTGCACATTGCCTGCTTGCTTGATTGTCCATCCCCCTTTCGTTGGTCTGCTTCGTCCCGGTGTCAAAGATCTGATTGTATTGATCTCTCGGGAGCAGCCGTGCAGATTACATTCGGCAACTGTTGACCGTTGAATCGACACACCGTTGGATTGTTGGTGATTGATTGATCCATCAATGATATAAAGCCTTGCCTTGGGAAGTATTAATTTCGATGCTTCATTCAACTCGACATCTTTTACTTTCTCTTTTCACCCTCCACAGCTCTTAGGCCAACTCGTGTTCGAGTCTTTCCAATATTCTTCGTTTCCTCGTGTCCAGGTCTATATACACTGTGCAAGCCTCTTCGACCTTGCACTTAACTCGCATTAGAACCTACTCCTCGTGCAAGCCTCCGGAGACTTTGAATAAAATCATCAACAACCATCCAAAATGCCACCAGTTGGTCCCCGAGTCTCAAAGGAGGAATTCATCCAAGCCTTGGGCCTAAACCCTCACGACCCACAGCATGAACAGTATTACCGTGCCATGCGAGTAAGTTCCCAGTCCTACTCCTCTCCGTGTCTATATACAATTTCTCTTTCCAAACACCTACCTACCTCACTTGATACGTATCACACGCAATGAATCCCATACATGATATCCACCTGGAAGTCTATACTAGTATATAACATTCAAGCTCAACTTTCTAACTTGGGACATCTTCAGGACGAAGCAATCATGGTCTACAACCGCATGAATCAAGACACCTCCCACCTCCTCGACAGCGTCCGCAGCGATCCAAACACTCGCCCACCATTCTTCTGGCACCACATCCTACCCGACCACCAGCGCTGGGCCATCATGGAAATCTGGCGCAACGCCGGCCCTCTCACTCGTCCCCTGTTCGACCGTGGCTCTACTAATAGCGAGTACGGACCGAACTGGGTGGCTGGGTGGTTACTTTACAGTGTGTTTCGGTCGCGTGATGTGAGAAACAATCGGAATCGGAGGAAGGGGGAGACGAATGGGGTTGTTGATGCCGGTAAGAATTCTTTATCCCGAGGTCATTTCTGTGGCATTTTTTTCGAGGTGGCTTGCATTCATAAGGCTTTGGGAATCAGGCGCTAATGTGGGTTTTCTTGCTTTAGATAAAAGACCCAGACAGGTTGAGGATACGGCGCCGAAGAAAGGGTACTATGACCCTGTGCGTAATGGGACGCTATAGATTGTTTTAGTCCCGGTCTTGGCCTTGGTGTAGTGCTATTTGAGCGTTTGTATGCATTTCTTCGTGGATCTCTCAAGTTTTGATTCAATGTTCCTTCTTTCACATGTATTTGCATAATATTCGAGGTTTGAAATATTGAAATGCTATGGAGTATCAACAAAAGAATGATGGGTAAACTCGCTGTAAACAGATGCCTTTTCCGTATATGTAGTAGGTTCATATGTTAGATCTGTAGACCAACCTCGAGTCCGTATCAATCGCTATTCTTCTCTTTACTATCTTTCTTCTCTTCGTCTCCCCGATCCGACCTCAACGCCTCGGTAACCCTCCCATCTTGCTCATCAACCCGCTCATTCCACTCCGCATCATACTCCGCCGCGATCCCCTTGATTTCCCTCCTCAAAGTCTTCCCCTCATCGATGAGCGTCTCCCAAAGCTGCAAATCAACATTGTGGAGCTGGTACAACTTCTTCTGCCTCGCACTGACCGTAAAGTCCAAGGCAGACTTATACGAGATCTCCCGATTGTGATACAAGAACCACAAGTAACCACCCATCAGCGTCGACAAACTGACCAGATAGGTAACCGGCTCCATGGTATCCCAACCCAGGTCGGTCTCAAACGTCAACTTATACACGCTATACCACCACACGGAAAGTATTCCAAACCCGCCAATTGCCACTCGCTGCGCACCACGCTGTGCCAACTCATCACATTCATGCTTAATCTCCGCGATCTTTTGAATCCGCCGCGAAAGCTTTCGCATCCGCATCCGTAGGAAATACGTCCGTTCGTTGAACGATGGAACCGTCACGCGGATCTGGCCCTTCCCACTGGGCGCGCCCTCTATCGAAACGATAAATTCGCGGGTACGCGCTGCGTCACGAATGAAGTCGCCCACTTCAGTGGCTTGAGACCACCGCACGAAACGTTGCGGTCTGCCGTTCAATGGATCCAAGCTTGAGTCTGTTTTCCGCGCGTAGATGAAGTCATCTTCCTCGTGGGGTTGACGTCGGCTTGTGGGTGATGTGCCGGTTGGGTGTTCTGTTTCAACGTCGCGCACGTGGTCAGTTTCGTCGCTGATGTGTTTTTTCGGTCTAATGGCGTTGTCTTCGTGTTGGAGGGCTATGAAGGAGATGGTGGGTGGGCGTAGGGTTTCGTCTTTGGCTGTAATTGGGGGGATCTCGGCTTGGATAAGCTTTTCTAGGTAGGAGAGGGGTTGTTGGGGGTGAACTAGGATTGCAATAGGCTCGGTTCCTGAATCGCTGTGAGCTTAGATTCGAGATTGTGATATGAGCGTTTCTCCCGGGTGCCTCTTACCATTGTTATCGTCGCCTTTCGTGTCGAGGGTCTTGAGGGGAATGATCAGTTTGAACAATCGTGATGGAGTGGTCAACATCTTTCCTAAACACGTTGATAGACAAATTAGTACGGTGCTCGTGGGAGGATCGTCATTATAGGGGTATGTAGGCTGGTACCTTTTGACATATCCTCTGCCCATTTGGCCTTCTTTTGATTGACGCCTAGCTTTGGCCGGGTGTCTTTCTTGTCGTCTTTAACCTCCAATGCCTCCAGTAACTCTTCCATCCTTTCATTGTCGCCAATCTTCTCGACGTAATTTGCTTTTCTCAAGAAGCGTGTTTGAGTTCCCCGGAAAGGCAATCCAAAAGCATTGTGACCATTGATTCCCAGCGTCGGGGCCCAGCCAGCTCTGGCGAGAGTATTAGGCCTTTGCCCCTGGCCGTTCTGTCCCGTGACAGTCGACGCCCAAAGCCCAGACGAACATGATCGTACCCCACGCGACCAACCACGGTTCGCCGCCTGCGACAACAATGGAGCAGAACCTTTCGTTATTAGGCGCATGGCGATGTATTCCAATCTTGGTATGTGCCCAGAAGAAAGATTTTATTCGGAATCGAGGAGGTCACTAGAAGGTGTAGTGGACGAAGGGTATAGCGGTCAACCCATGACGCAGGGGACGTGTCACGAGATAGTGGGGTTAGATCTGGAGAAGATGTGGAAAAAGGCTAGAATGCTGGCATTGTAGCTAGGATGATCCAGGTACATCATCTAGAGCTCTGCTCATTTCCTTGTCTTTGGACAACAAATGACGTCAAGGGCTTTCGGCGACGTGGCTGCGTCACGTGCGTGGCTGTGCTGGATAAAGTGCTCGATGTGGGTCTTAGAACACTTAGTATTCCTCCACAAGAGCTTCAATATTGGACGAACTAGTAATTAAACACCACAGGGAATGTTTCATAAAGATTTACTTGAAGGTCGAAGCACTTGGGTTTTGAGCTATTAGAATGAGCAGACCATGACAATAACAAGCCTGTGCAAAATCAATCTATACATGCTAACCAATTCCATAACCTTCAAGTAGTGGCGGACATAGCGCTGTATGTATATATTTTCCAACATTGAAATCTTGGATGGTGGTCCTTGACATCTGGACATCAATCAACTCCCTTAGATCAATTGATCGGAAGTTCACTTGATTACCTACTACCTACTACTAAGCACTTGAGTAAATTAGCTTCCCCGACCGGGTTTATTTAATTCTTCTCGTATTTGATGTTTCTGACCTTCGGTAATAGCGGTTGTTCTGGTGTATGACATCACCAGATAGCTTAAATCCTATGGATAGAGATGCAGAATGGGCATCCCTATGTCATACAGGCTCGTACTCGTAACATCGCTAGACATTATACAACCCATAAGAAATAGCAAAAAGTCTGTCGAGAGACCATCAGCGATGAGTCTGATCATACTACCTTGCGAATCTCAATGCTATTGCATGATCACCATCTGAGCCATTCACTCGTATACCTACCGACCCCGTCAGAAACGGAAGTGGTCTTAACAAAAATGTAATATTTCTTACTGTCAGCACTTCAGTCTTCAGAGCCTTGGAGCCTCCAGACTGTTATTCAAACAAACTTTGAGTGATATTTACTAACTATAACATTCAAAGATTGATTCTAGTACCCCAAAATGCCATTCGGCTCGCTCTCAGTCTCCAATGCGGCTATTCCACAATATGCTCCTCCGTATCATGTCGTAGAAAATCGTTGCGACTTTACAAGTGAAAACGTCCTCACAGTTACCTACCAAACATCCTTACAATGTGTACGCCATCTAGTACCCAATATGCTAGAGCTCGACGACGAGCCACAGGTATCAGTAATGATTGTGGAGCACAAAATGACGTCCTTCGGTCCATACAACGAGTACGTCCATTCAGTCAAAGTCAAATACAACGGCGACACATTCGACTATTTTCTTTCTCTCATCTTGGACAATGAAGCGCCGATTCTCTGCGGCCGCGAACAATTCGGGTTTCCCAAAAAGTTAGGCAACGTTACGTTAGCGTCAAAAAATGGATCGACAATTATTAGGGGCTACGTGGAGAGACCTGCAGGCCAAAAGATTCTTGAAGTTGATTTTCAGCCTGAACACAGAGTGAAGGGAAAGATGGAGACTGCCATCCAGGGATTGAATTTGCGAGTCATCCCTTCGGCGGTTCCGGGTCACAGTCCGTCTGTTAAGGAACTGGTACCAGTGGATATCATCATGGAGGCAAGTGAGGTCTGGCAAGGCGCTGGATCTATCTGCTTCCCGGAGCCGTCACGATTCGATCCAATGCACGAAGTCAAGGTTCTTCGATATGGAACAGCGACTCTCCTGCGGAATGCGTCCCTTGTGATTCCCCTGCCGGCAAAAGTGTTCCAGCTATAATGATATAACTCGAGCTCATACTGTGAATGCGTGTGGTTCATTCGACGTTCTCAATATTTTCAATTTTTATTTAATCGGAGGTATCTGAGTGTTTAAATCTCAGATTTATACTGTGATTTGTGTACCGGGAATCAATTATTGGTACCAAAAATATCCCGAGGTTCTTGCCTGTAAGAATAGCCCACAAATTTCCCATCTGCATGTGGGCACTGATCAGGGTTTAATTCACGTTTTTTACTGAACATTGTAGACCAGAAATCTTTAAAACTTCATAACCCAAGTCTTGGAGCGAAAGGACAGACAAAAAAAGAATAAGCATTTATCTGATGCACTTTGATATAACTCGAAACTAAGGAAACAGCCACACGATCAAATAAAAAAACAATCATTGACCTCCACATCGCCAATGTGTCAATCACAAAGGTATACCTTTGTATGTAAGAACCATCATCTCTATGCATCATTAGTCCATCGCTTGAACACAGTATCGAGACCAAAGAAACAACAAAAAAAAAGAACATTCGTAAGCATAGCATCACAGTCGCACACTTTTCCATCTATCAATAGACAACCTTGGAAGAAAAATGCTTCAAAGATAATTGGAATGCTCATGCAGAATAGAAAGCCATGTCATAAATCGTAGTCGTAAGTCGTGAAATCCACCATCCACCCGTCCATACCGATCTCTCGCGAGACTTGATAACCCATGCATTGAGCCGAGCTACCACATAACCAACCATGTAAGCTTCTTAAACCCCCTTGCATATACTACCTGACAATATACTGCCTCAAACCAATCAATATCCCAACCACTGATCCATCCATTACATCTCTACCCCAGATCAGATCACATCTCTCTCGCATAATCAACCATCCCAATCAAAGAGACAGGTCTCGTCGAACTCGCCTCAGACCCAGACCCAGAACTCGATCCCAGCCCGGAATCCAGCCCCAAATTCATCTGCAGCTCCCGGTCCAACCGCATCATCCGCTCAGGACTACTCCCGCCACTGCTCCAACTGCCCCCACAAGCACTACTACTAGTGCTTCCCTCCGTATCGTCATCGTCTCTCGCCTTCCGACCCGTCCCGATGGCAACGGGAATCCCCTGCACGGCGCCGCCGTGCGTCCGCGCAGAATGACCGGCAGGAATCATGCCATCGCTGACGGAGAAGTTGCGGCAGATGAGGTATGCGCGCATGGCGGCACTCTCGCGGGCGAGAACCTCCGAGGCACATGCGCTTTCTGTTTGGTATTCGCGGTTGTTTACCCGGACTACGCAGGTGAAGCCCAGGCCTGAGCCTGTTTGGGAGGGATAGGCTTCGTAGGAGGGCTCTTGCCAGCGGCGGCGACGGCAAAGGCCTGGTTTGTAATTGTTAGCTTGGGTTTTTTGGCAGGGGGTTTTTCTTGTTGGATGGGCCAATATGGGCGCAAAGGATTGGGTGTTTTGTTTTTTGATTGGATCAACATTTGAATATTGTGTTCAAGATTGTTTCATGTTCCGTTTTTGGATAGGGTATGCATGTCATCTCAGGTCACAACTTGATGTTCCTGGATATATACCCGGAATTGGAAGGGGAAATATAGCCAGGGTCAAGCCGTTGAGCTGGGTCGAATTCAATGGTGCATTGACATAGGGGCAAGATGCAATGGAAGATCCGATGCAGGTGCAAGTGTAATCGATGCAGGAGGATATGACGACGAAGCAAGAGAATATTGAGAATCTTGGGAAAACTTACTTGCCAGGTAAAGAATATAGTACATTTTCTTTTCTTTCTGTCTCTCTGTTGTTTCTTTTTCACACCGGTAACAGGATCAAATCAGTCGACTGAATCCAGTCCAATCCGAGTTCAAGCTTGAGCTCCAAGAAGGGAAAGTAGCACGGGAACCAGCGTCGAAGCCCTGTCAACTTTTCAACGGAAGTAAGGCAGCTACCCTGACAGCATTGAGTGGATTGGTGGTGAACGGGAGCGGGTAGGGCTGAGATGAGGCTGGGCTAGTTCCAAGATATGTGATATGCGGATTATGATGCCCAACGCCGTTGGATAAGAGTGGATTTGTTGGCAACTGCAACTGCAACTGCTGTTTCTCAAGGTGGATGCTTCGGCTTCGGTGGGTTTTCTTTCCAATTTTAATTTTAATTTGGGTATTTTTTCCCTTCTTTCTCTCCCTTGAGTTGTTGATCTCGTCACAATTTTTTTGGGTTCAGGAATTTGGGCTTAATGTTGGGCGGGAATGCTTTGTGAGAGAAGGAGATGTGAGAAAGGATTGAAAGAGAATGGGATCCCAAAAAAAAAGAGATCAAAGAGACATTGGAAGAGGCCACGCCACATATACGTTCTATACAAATACAGGTTTTTGGCGTACGAAAGAAGCAGACGGAAAGGAAACGAAAATCTGATTTTTTTTTTCTATTTTATCTAAGAGAAAAAAGTCAATGATAGACGACTTGCTGTTTTGCCATATACTTTCTAAACAGGTGGGGCTTACCGTGGACCGTATACAGTAAAAACCGAAGGGGAGACAAGTTGCAATTAAGACCGCGTACAGTAATTTTAGAAAGAGATAGTATGGATTACTTTACTAGCTACTGGCACTAGTCAAGTTACTCATGTGGTTTTTTGCCTCCCTACTCTATCCTGTGCAGAAGGATCAGACACCGTCGTCTCAGTAGTCGCCGAGAGGAAAGGAAACCAGAAAGATAAAAATCCATAATAAAAAGGGGAAGGCGTTTTCCAAAGCCAATATTTCAGTAACGTTGTAAGACGGTCCAAGTAAATAACACAGTGAAAATTTTTCTAGTTCAATTCCTCCTTCTTTCAAGGTCCGGGGATCCGTGACATACACCAACTCATTCATGAAACACCGAGAATGGTTAGGCAAAGAGGCAAAAAGTCCGCAATTGATTGCTCTAGTGGGTTACCCTAGGTCAATTTCTTAATTTCCCAATTTCTCATAGAATTGGGTGTATTTATTTCAGTTCATTTTCTGAAAAGTGCCTGATGCGCTGGCATAGCTGTTCGCCAGTCGAATCAAGCCGAGTCGAGGTTCCGGGGTCCGTTGTGGGCTTAGGTTCCCCCGCCTGCAATTCGCCGATCGAAGAAAGACAGAGATTGGTAAAATAAATGAAAGAGAGATGGAAATAGAAGAAGTGTAAAAAGAAAAGCGAATATTGAAACAAGAAAAATTGGCTACATAGTAGGATAGAGGGTTCCCCTGAGCTCTAGTCAACATCAAGTCCAAAGTCATTTCGGAGCCTGAAAAAAGAGGGGACATGGTAATACAGGGCCTCGGAGGCTGCAAATGACTGAAGCTGCATAACATGGAACATGGAACTTCATTTCGTCAACTTTTTTGACTTTCTCTTTTGGTCATGCCCCGCAGTAGACGCTGTAGTATGAAGGAGGCAATTTGCCGCTGAGTCTTAGACTCTTAGAGAAGCGCTCTGTCGTGATTGGCGCCAAGAATTCATGTTGTGCAGAACGCGGCTGGGGGTAATGGAGACTGTAGGATCAGAGAAATAGAAAAGAAAATACCAAAAGCAACTAAGAAAAAAAAAACAATATCATATACAAGACTGAAAAAGAAAAACAGGATGATTCCAGACTCCCAATGCACGCCCCCTTGAGAATAGTTTCATCAAAGTTACTCGACAGGCATCGGATGCACTGATGAGTTGGCAAACTGCAGTGGGGAGTTGATTTATCTGTCGCGTATTGTACCTTTGCCGTGTTGGGCCTCGTGCAGATTATGTTCCAACAAACAATCGGGATCGTCGGGTCCTTGATGCTTCCTATTTCAGAGTTTTGACTATGGAGCAAAAGTCCTGAACGTGCAAATCGGAAATCCAAATAATTCGTGAAATTGATCAATTGTACTTTGCTCAAATCGAATCTACTTCTCCGAGTCCGACGTTGCACTCCGTGACAAGTCCATTCGGCATTTTTACTCCGAAGTCCCTTGCGTAAGAAGTCCCATCTCACTACTGGAGCTAAAACTCGCGTGGCTTCCCTATCGGAGAAAACACAAACCCGTGGTCTTTGCTTCATCCGGTCGACTAGTTTTTTTTTCTGATCAAGGTTTCTCGGGAAACACGCTTCTGATCTGTTCTATCATGCTTCCCCTCTAATCTTACCGAAATGCCGCACAGCTGGCATTTCATTCAAGGAGGAGGGGAAAAGACCCCGTCAGATGACACCACATCACCTCCCACGCCCCTCCCGGCCACTAAGGCTGAATGGGTCGGGCTTCACACCAGAGCCGCATGGCATCGGCATTGTGGTGCGGGATTCCAAAAAGAGGATGAAGTGTCTCGAGCCGGTCGCCTCTTTCATACACATTACCCTCGCGGATCGGATTCGAGCGCCAAGAGAAAGCAGATGAGGCCATCGGGTTCGATGTACAGCTCGAGTCCGTGCGATAATGGTTATGCTGCATGGCGCTCAAGCCCGCAAGTACGTAGCAGGTGTGGTAAGCATCGGGGTGTCTTCGTGTCACAGTTAGCGAACCCGTCATGTTTTTTCGGCGGCGATTCGGGATCCGAGGGGCAAATACTCACTTTCCTGGTTTATCGCGAAGACCGCCCGTGTGAGCCTGGCAGCATCCGAGAATATAGCGAGATAATCCCTCGCGGCTGAAAAGATGCCCCACGGTCGTGGCGGGTGGCCCATTACCCTGTGGCTTACCATCTAAAGCAGACTGAAGCAATGGCCAGCATCCGCCAACCCAGTGGCTATAACATCCATCGACTAATTTATTGGTTCTGCCTGAGAACCCGCCTTCAGGCGCATACTGACGCGCAGATAGCCATGCCAGTAACATAGGAACATTCATATGTCTAGAACGGGTCAGTGACGTGCTCAATATGTGCATCGGGGAACATCATGTCTATCATCGTACCTGGTGATAGTCTCTTCCGGAGGGCCCAGGAGGGCCAGACAGGCCAACGCGCAGTACGCATATGCTCCATGTGCTTCTACGCCTGGGCTTCCGGAGATGCCGCCCTCGTATGTTTGGCCTATATACAGAGGCAAATGAGTCAGTGCAAGGAGGACCCAATGGATAGAACCGGCTTCTTACATCGCGACATATATTGGGCAAGGCCATCGGTCAAGTTCTGTAATCCAGCCTGCCGGGCTTCGCAATTTGGGGGCAATTCAACTGGCAGATCGAGCAAAGAGAGAATGGCCATGACGCAGTATCCACCACTGCACGGGCACAAGAATTAGAGTCTAGATCTGGCATCGGGCGCATGGGATTCTTACCGTACATCCCTTTCCCCGCCTTCACAGACGCGAAAGCTTCCATCGGCTTGTTTCAACCGGCCTAGCCATTGCCACCTGTGAATTGGTCAGATGCACGTACACAAAAACAAGGTTCCTCGCTTCTGCTAGAATGACAACTCACATTGCTTGCCGATCAATCAATGCAAATGCATCTTCACCCCCGACAATTGCAAGTGATAGAACAGCTGCATAGCTCCCAGCCAAGTGGGATACTTGGCCACGACCGCCACCAAAACCACCGGTAGTGTTCTGTGCGGGTCGCAGTGTGTTGAACAGTCTGCACGAGTTTTAGTCAAAGAAATTTTTATTCTTTCTGTGTCTTTTTTTTTCTTCTCCTTTCAATTTTAATTTTAATTTTTCTTTTTTTCTCCATGTCATGCCAGTGATATACAACCCAGGCGGGAAGACTCCTTGACAGACAAAAGGAAAGAAAAGATCCCTAGGAGGCAAAAAAAAGCAAAACAATATAATTGAACAAGGGGCAAAAGCAGTTGAAGTAAAAATGATAGCTTACCGTTCTCGGAATCGAGTGGGATCTTCTCCCATCAGGAACAAAGACGCTAGACCCCAATATGCCATCCATGGACGGCTGGCGTCCAAGGACATAAAGCCCCCAGGGTAGTCTTCGAGAGAATCATAGGCAAAGGTTACATGTGAATCACGCTGGAATGCAGGCACTCCGCATGCATTAAAGGGGCCCGATTGACTACTTTGGATGCCCTTAAGGAAAGGCAGGCACTTTTCAAGTGTCGCGTCCTGCAGATCGGTGGTATCTGTCACGAGCGGGTCGCGGATGGACGGCGGCTGCGTGAACAAGTCTGGGACCCCCGGCCGTGCTGCTTGGCTGGCCATCTTTTCGGCTGATGTCAGTGACTTTGTCTGACGGAGTAAGCCCGGTCGCTTCTGGTTGGTAGATTTGGAGGATTGCGTTGGTGGGGGTTTGGTGGCACTGGAATTGCTGGATTGGAAGCGAACTTTGCGTCTAGGCTTTGCTGCGATGATGGGCGGCATGGGCTTTAAAAGCTTCAGAACTTGTCAAGACGAACAAAGAAAATTGGATATAGAAGTCAACGCTGTATGGAGTGGTTTGTGGTTGGCTTTCAATGAAGTTTTTCGTTATTATTGTTCAAACGGAGAAGATTGACGTTGCTATTGTTCTCCCCACTTTAATTTTTCCTTTTTTTCCCCTTTGATCGCGCGGGGTTCCCATGTTCCCACCAAAATCCGCTGTATCTACTGTCATATTCTGATCCTAGTCTATTTTCTTAATCCCTGGTCCTTGATCCAAACTCAATGAAGCTAAAGCACTCTGAAACCCAAAAAGCAACAACACACCACCCACTTTTTTTTGTTAAAAAAAAAACGGGGTCGTTTAGACGTTCTCGTGGCCCCGAGGTGCGTCATGCCAGCGTGCAGAGGCTATTGAATCCTCCGCATCTGCATGTCAGAGGCCCCCAGATACCTCCATAGCCAATGGTCGTGATGAACCGTGATGTGATATATCCAATTCCCCTCCAAAATTGGCTGCACGCGACGGTGGCTGGTGAAGCGTGCATATAATCCTCTTAACATCCGCAGTGGCGGTTCCTTTGCTTTCTCTTTCCTCCCTTGCTGGTTGCATGTGCCTTCCCTCTTTCTCGGTCCTCTCCAACCTTGGAACGCCATCCGTGCGGGTTGGGCTCACAAGTTGATCAAGTTGACCTGTCAAGGATCTCGGTCTCGTTCCAGCTCCAAGGGGGAGGGGGAGATTTGATTTCAGGGTTCACGGAGATTCTCCATATCGAAATTCCATTTTTGGCGTCTTTTGGAGAGGTAGTCTCCAATTTTCTTTTTGCTTTTTTTTTTTTTTTTCCCTCTTGTTCTCTATTTCAAGTAGATCGACATGGGCCAACGGAAATCCCTGCTCTTACCTGCTGCATGGTCAGCCCCCACAGCGATGCCTAGCACTCAATAGGAATGGTGGCACCTAGGGAGGAACCTTGGAAGATACGAATCAGAGGGGCCGTTTGCTGCACTCTAGTTCATGATTGGACTAAAGCAGGAGGGACTTGACTATCTTGAGCATCACGATCCGATGTCAGATCATCCGAGAGCACGGTCCTAGAAATTTCTTATTGCCACAGACATTGGCAGTTACCACACACGTAACTCCGCGGTTTTCCATTTTTTCCGTTCCAATTCCTCTTTCTTTGGTGTTTTTGGACTCCACTGATCTCCCGTTCCGACTGTCCTTCCCGTGTGTCTCGCCCACGCCTTTTACCCAAGTCCGCTCAATTCCGTGGGCGCCGCCGGATCCGACCAAGAGAGGAAAAGTGTAAACATCCAATATTCTTTACCTGTATATGAGGTGATCCATGATGAATAGAATAAGAAATGAGATAAGAATCATGAATCCCAGTCATCACCCTATATAAGAATCTCATCCCCCAGTTGAATTTTGGTGTTGTTTTTCCCCCGGGTTTTTTTCTATGTAAGAAGGGTAAACCTTGTCGGTATTTCTTGGTTTAAGAAAGGCAGACTCCGTAATCTAGTGATTCAACCAACGCACAGTCCATGATCATGGGACTTGGCAATTCGAGGGGGAGAGGAGAATGTACTCCGACTAGAGAAGAAAAAAAGGAAAAAAAAGAAAAAAAACTCTACTAGTTTCAACAAAAACCACAATAGGATGCAAGCGCGTGGAAGTAGGAAACCAGCCATTCCCCACTCTCCACCACGATAACTCCCCTAGCGCATCTCTCTGCTCACCGCTGCTTTGTCCCCCCCACCGCCTCTGCTTCTTCGCCTTTCCCCCCCAAAATGACTGTGTCACTCTCGTTCTGAAGAAGGCCTTTTCATCCAGGCTGGTCCTTTTTCTCCCCCTTCTTCTCCTTTTTTACTCATCTTGAAGTTTCGGCATCAGCACAATGTCGAATCACGATCTATCAAATGACGGCCTCATCGGCGTCGAGTACGATTCCAGAGGTTATCTACAGCAAACATGGCCCGTGGCGGTCGAACAACACCCCCCACGGTCAGACGAAACCCATGATTTAACGCCGCTCCAAACCAGCGGTCACCCTATGGAACAGTCGGTGGCCCAGGATCCCAACCTTATGGTCGACTGGCACTACCATCAACACTTGCAACAGACCCCTCACCATCACCATCTATCTTATTCGCCCGAGGACCCTTCGTCAGCGCCCCAATTTACATCCGCTAGCTATGGCATGGCCATTCAGTCGTCACCGGTGGATCTGATGACTGGCCCTCAGGGCCAGATGAGCGCCGGCCTACTCGATGGGCCATATTTGCCGTTATCGGCTCCAGTCGACATGGTGCCATTCACCTATCACGACTTCCAGCACGATTTGATGGGTTTCTCCAGCGGACTTCCGGAAATTTCATATGCCCCGCACCCAGTCTTGGAGAGTAGCTCGCCTACCGATACCTACCTTGAGGTCCGTTCCCTCTCGAGTAGCGACAATGGATGGAGCACGGTGGACCACCGTCGCTCGCTTGATTTCGGCTTCGCCGAGCAAGGTGTCTTCGTCAACCCCACCCAGACCCTTCACGATCGCAGTCTTTCCGAGTCCTCATATTCAACCTCATACGGCAGCTTTGTTGATATCGCCCACCCAATTAGTTCACCTGGATCTGAAGGCCACATGGATTTGCCGTACAACCATAACCCTGCTCTGAGCTTCTCTGGAACTCCCCCCATAAGTAATGCACTGGTGCACCATGGGCATTCTTCCCCAGGCTCTCGTTCACCCTCTGCCGTCAGTCCTAGTGCTATGGTCCGCCCAATTCCTGTCCCCATCAAGAAGTCTACCTCTCCCAGCCGCTCTTCTGGCTCTCATTCATCAGCCTCTCCCCCCAGTCGGAAACCCTCGAGGAAGAGCCCTATTGCGGCTAAGAACTCCGAGACCAAGGTGCGCAAGCAATCTCAAACCGGCAAGCCCGAGACCGAGAAGCGCGTAGGCAAGCGGAAGGGCCCTCTTAAGCCCGACCAGCGGAAGCAAGCGAGCGAAATCCGCAAGTTGCGTGCTTGCTTGCGCTGCAAGTTCTTGAAGAAGACCTGCGACAAGGGCGAGCCCTGTGCCGGTTGCCAACCGTCCCATGCTCGGTTATGGCAGGTGCCTTGCACGCGCATTGATATCAAGGAGATTGGTTATTTCATGAAGGATTGGAAGGCGGATTACGAGCGTCACATTACAATGGGATTCTCCGTTGGCAACATTAAAGGATTCTCAGACCAGGAGCGTACCCTGTTCATCACACACGGCTATGGGCAGATGCTGCCCATCAAGGCCCGCGAGGTCTACGTCCGCGACGAGCAGTGCTTTACCATTGATTGGGTCGAGTCGATGCACCGTGAGCCAACACAATATGAAGTCGAGACCGCCAAACTCTCTGCTGGCATGGAGGGTATCTCGCACGCGACATTGTCCGACTACCTGGACCGCCATATCGACGGCAATGGTACCTTCGAGAAGTTTGTTGACGACTACTTTGAGGGCACGCCGTTCTTGACCCAAATGCTCAAGACTGCCTTCCGTTACTACTACCGCACCAAGTTGCCTGTCATCCGGAAAGCCTTGAAGCTCATCATTGCTTACAACTTGACTCTGCATGTTACCATGGTTGAAGGTCTTGGTGACGATGATGAGTTCATGGGTCAGATTTCGGAAGCTTCCTCTAAGTTCCGTGGCAAGATCATGGCTCCCGTGATGATCAACTTCCAGATCAAGTGTGCCATGGCCAGCATGTGGCGTGAGCTCCAGAAAGATGTCCTGGAGGAGCTCTCCTCGCTCTACTCCAGTGTGTACAGTGGTGAGAAGTTGAAGAACTGGCCCACCATCTTCATCCTGGCCTCCATTCTTTTGGCCGTGTGGGAGGAGATGCAGTTCGACCAACACTACCGTACCCCGGATCAGGCTGCCGTCGACAAGTTCTGCACTGATATGGAGACCACTCCCGTGGGTGTCATTGTCGGACTCTTCCAAGCCATCTCACAGAAGCTGCCTCCTTTCACCGAGTGGGACTCGCAAAAACACCACCAACTTCTATACTCCAACCCCGATGTGTGCAATACTATGACTGAGGTCCGCCAACATGTTGAGCAACATGGTAAGCATAACTTCCGATCTCACTTCTACCCTTGTCCCTCCCATACTAACCTATTGCTCAGAAAACTACCTCCGTGGTCGCTCCGGCCTGGAATTCAACCGTAACGACTTTGACTGCCTGTCCAACAAATTTGTTTCCCGTCTTGTTATTCGCGCGAACTAAATGACCCGATGCGCATGCGCATGATGATGATGTTTTTTACACGACTACCTGTTTTCAACAGCGAGTTACACTCCAGCGATTTGTTTCTTTACTGCGCCAAGATGACCTGGATGAACCATATGCGAAATACGTCGTAACGATGCGCAAGCGTATCCCCTCACTCTTTATGATTTGACCCCCCTGTCTGTACCTGACTCCTAGTGAGAAGGACCTGTGTTTTGATTTGCATCTTTCGGTTCCTGGGAACCGCCTTTCTTTATTTCCTTTATTTCCTTTTCTTTTTCTGTCGAAGATTTTTTTCTTTCTGAGCCTCGTTCTGTGTTTTTACTCTGTTTTTTTTTTTTGTGGTATAACCTTTCTCGCATAGCTTCCAGCGATGAACGAGGATCATGAACTTTATGAACTGTGGACGGCCGTGTGTTATTCTCGTTTTATTTATTGCCTTTATTACTTTTTTTGTTTCTTGTTTCGTTCAACCCTGATGTGACAGGACTTGGATTTCGCTGAGGGTGAAATTCCAGAAAAGCATGGGCTGTGTGCAGTCCAAGTGGTTGCATTCCTGTGGTTTATGTCTCTCTTCGGGATTGTTGATTTTGTCTTTTTGGATCCGGAGTCGCCGAAAATGGAAACGGTGGCTAACAAGCAGTGGATTTTTTTCCGCCCTTGAGCAAATCGCGGGATCGTGTCTATATAACCTTTCATTAGCGATACCAATTTTTTTCCTCTTATGAAAAAAAACCGTTGAAGTTAGACTTTGGTCAATCAATAGTAGAGCATACTATATAAGAATAACGTTTATTGTAAATGTTGGAATTTGAGTGGAGTTTGTAGATCATTTGCCGTTGCCGGATGCATCACCTGACTGGCTAAGTATAGTAAAAAAAAGGGGGGCGTAAGAGGTCGGTGTCTCCATAGTGAAGGAAATCCCGTAGTTATCTGGGTAACTGGGTACCTCGATAGCCGCTAGACTCCATTTTCAGGTTCCACCCCCTCTTTTGGCGATAAGGCCTCACACGTCATCGAGAGGAACACGGGAAATCACTTGGAGGCATAATGAGAAAAGAAAACTCTTTCTATAGAGGGATTTAATTTAGCGTGAAATTTCTACAAATTCTATTTCTATCTCAAATTAAAGAAGAGAAAAACCCGGGAACAAGATTTTCCCGTTACTACTGGTGGCGTCAATGACCTGTTCCTAACTTCCTTGACTCATCCGGCACCCGGCATCCAGGCTTCTAGTGCTTTCCCATTTGCTATCGCGTCACTTGTCTTTCTTAGTCAGATAACTCGCCCCTCTCCGCCTCAAAGTAGTACTTAATCCCCTCTTTCTCTCCCCTTTCACGTCTCTCTCTTCTCAACACACTCACCCCGTGAAACCCCTTCCTTCTCTTCGACTACGTCTCTACCAACTCTTGTCATAAATCCAAACCAATCTCCATCGCCATCATGCAGATCTTTGTTAAGACTCGTAAGTTTCACCCTCTCTTCAGATCCTCAACTTCTTATGCTGGTGCCTGGCTCCCGCCACCGCAAGTCTTGTCGCGTTGCCCCCTTACATTTGACTGACCGCTCTTTCTTATAGTGACCGGCAAGACCATCACCCTTGAGGTTGAGTCCAGCGACACCATCGATAACGTCAAGTCCAAGATCCAGGATAAGGAGGGCATTCCCCCAGACCAGCAACGTCTCATCTTCGCTGGTAAGCAGCTGGAGGACGGACGTACCCTGTCGGACTACAACATTCAGAAGGAGTCCACCCTCCACTTGGTCCTCCGCCTCCGTGGTGGTATGCAGATCTTCGTCAAGACCCTGACTGGCAAGACCATCACTCTGGAGGTCGAGTCCAGCGACACCATCGACAATGTCAAGTCCAAGATCCAGGATAAGGAGGGCATTCCTCCTGACCAGCAGCGTCTGATCTTTGCCGGCAAGCAGCTCGAGGATGGCCGCACCCTCTCCGACTACAACATTCAGAAAGAATCTACCCTCCACTTGGTCCTGCGTCTTCGTGGTGGTATGCAGATCTTCGTCAAGACACTTACTGGAAAGACTATCACCCTGGAGGTCGAGTCTTCAGACACTATCGACAATGTGAAGAGCAAGATTCAAGATAAGGAGGGTATCCCCCCAGACCAGCAGCGTCTCATCTTCGCTGGCAAGCAACTTGAAGACGGTCGCACACTTTCCGATTACAACATTCAGAAGGAGTCTACTCTGCACTTGGTTCTCCGTCTCCGTGGTGGTATGCAGATTTTCGTCAAGACACTCACTGGCAAGACCATTACACTGGAAGTGGAGTCTTCTGATACCATCGACAACGTGAAGAGCAAGATCCAAGACAAGGAGGGTATTCCCCCAGACCAGCAGCGTCTCATCTTTGCTGGTAAGCAGCTGGAGGATGGTCGCACTCTGTCCGACTACAATATCCAGAAGGAGTCTACTCTCCACCTGGTCCTCCGTCTGCGTGGTGGGCAGTAAGCCACTATTGTTACCTTTTTATGATTTCTATTAAGATGGGTCCTATATGACCTCCATGGCGTTCGGTCGGGCTTTGAAGCTGAGGCTTCTTTCCTTTTTCTCTTTCTCCTTTTACTCAACGAATTACACGGGCTTTCTTTTACCTCACCCTAGCTTAGCTGGTGTTTCTACCTCAATTACCCAATGGATTCGTTTTGGCTAAATTAGCCGCTTTGGATATCTTTACTTTTTGGTTCCGCTGTAAAACGAATTGGCGCTCGTATTCACTTTCTTGCCACTGCGTAGTTTATGGTAGAAAAAAAACTTGTTCTCGTGACTGACGCCACCCGTGTACATTCTCATGTGGCCAGACTTTGGAACTCCACCCGATTTGCCTCCGCAACAAGGCACGAGTGGCTGCTTATCTTATCTTATCTTGTCTCTTTCAAGGTTATCGCAATCGACAACCACCTTTGCCCAGATCCTACTAGTAGTATGCACCAAAGTTTTATAAATAAAATACTCCCCCTGGCCATTGAAAATTGGAATGCTCAATCTTTGCAAAGTGAATGGTAAACTGATATCGAACCAGGTGGCTGGTGTACACCCGTGGAGCGTTACTCGACAAAAGCGGGGAAGCTGAGCCCGTCGGGGGCAGTGCTTGGCTGGATTCGGCAAGTGGACTATACCACTTGGAACATTAAAACCGCAATTGAGTTGAACCGACCTCCTGGGGTCGGTCTATTGGTCCTAACATTTGAACCCATGTATATATTGTTCGGTTAAAACTACGACAAATCTATGTCCCAATTCCACTGCTGGGGTACTTGCGGTATTTTGGTACCTGATGTTGGAACAAGGATATGAAAGCACCATAACCTCAATTCAAAACCACAACTAAGGAGACGCCGTGTTATGATAAAATGGTAATGGGCATGCATTTCTATCAAAGACTCTCCGCTGATCCTAATCCTGTCGAGCAATCAGGTGACCTAATGGGGGGTCATCTGACACCCCGTTAGGGCAGATACTAACATCTAGAACCATTTTATCAGTGCAGAGTAAAGATGGAAACATGCCCAGGTTGATAGCTAAGAGCCCCTCTTGCATCTGCATTCATGTCATGATCATCGAACTTCCGGGTATTTTTCCAAACCGTTTCGCGGATGTCTTTGGGATTGCGAGATGGGATCGTTCATCGTTCCGATGAAGTGCGCCGCTTCAGACTTTTATCGTCGGTAATGTCTATGAAAATCAGAATCTGACGTCCAAGCGAATCGTTGTCGGCTGCCCGTAGCGAGTTGTTCAAGTGAATGGAAAGTGATGAGACGACTCGGCAACCATCAAGGGCACGGTAATCACGGATGAATAGAACGAGACAAGAGCCATATAGTCATATAGCCAGGAAAGTTGCTATTATGGCCAACAGAGAGAAAAGGAAGGAAAGAAAGAAAGGAAGGAAGATCGGAAGAGGAAGATAATTTGTACGGAGGTTGCAGGAAGGTATTAGACTTCCTAAGACCAGTCAAGCAACAGGCATGTGGGTACTAGCATTCTACGTATATTTGGACTTATCAGTATTTTCTGGTGCAGTCACTTACTCTGAAGACTTACGCTTATCTATCTCGATCTTTCGAGCTGTTTGGTGCAATGAAATGATATGAGATCACCAATATCCAGGTGTGGCTGCTGGTTCTAAACAAAAAGCTTTGAATGCCGCATGCCCGGCGAAATAGATTGAGTTGATTCAATGTTATGAGCCATAGAGCTGTAAGGATGCTGAGACAAGCATTTCAGCTTATATTGGCATGAGGTCAATCCCTGATTTTCGCCAACTACTATTTTCATGGCCATCTCCGAAGAAAAATGGGTCTTCACTTTTTATGGAAGAACCTCCCGAGAGTTCAAATCTTGGAAGCTCTGGAAATTCACCTAACGCACTTTGAGAGTGTTGAATTGGCGAGATCAAGAAGTCATTTGAAGCATTGGAAGTGAACCAAGCGTTTGAACACAAATTAAAGAGAATACCAGGCGTTCCAAGATTATACACTATGCACCTGAGATAATTACTAGACAACTGAGAATTAGAAAGACTGAAAACCCATCAGGTACCAAGCCCCCAAAAGTACCACAAGGGGGGAAATTTCAGGGTCGAATACAGGTTCACACAAGGACGGCATCGAGGGGCACGGTGCTACCCAGACAAGGTCACTTTGTTTGTTATCCTCGGTTGTTGCGGACACTCATGCATACATGGATGTACTCATATCGGGTTTCGAGTTGCTATTAATCGACTAGACTGGTCGAATAGTAGGTACAGACTAAATAGACTAGAATGAGATTTCGCCTACGACATTGAATTGACGTTAGTAATCAATCCAAAGGCCGAGTCAGATATCTGATATATCGGAACTCACAATCGATGCTAACATTGACTCGTACAACTTCGGAGTCTAAAACTATGTCATCGGGTCAGAATCTTGTGATACCTAATAGTAGGTAATCTAGATATTTCAAGAATCTGTTCAAATGTTCCAAGTGAGTTGATTGATACCTGCATCGTACCATGATTAGCGAGAGAAACCTCGCCGTGAATCATGCGGGGACAACTTGCCCAAGATGCAAGTTGTGAGACCCCGCATCAAGCCATACTTAGTGGAACCATCGTATATGTCGCCGATCATGAAAAACACCGAGATTTTTGCGACAAAATCCCTCGTTTCTTAGACTTCGAGTTGCTTGACGATGTTACTCGATTGCTGCAAAGTGAAGAAATTGAAAAGATTTCTCTGAATTGGTTGTTCTGTACATATTGTCGACTAGAAAGAATGCACGTAACATCGGTTAAAGTATGGCCTGAGGCCTGGGCTCGTTCCGATACACAATGCCGTTATTACCCCATACCCTTTCCAGATTAGATTTCAGCCTCTTCGACCTCCTGCATCGAGCTTTGATCTTACATGCATCAATTCCCGACTACTGTGTTTGCTCAGTCGACCTGTCAGTGTCCGCGTTGTAAACATGCAACTCAAGGGTCTGGAAGTAACCCGGCCGTTTATCGGGCGATTGACCAATCAAATGCTCAGACTCCTAGTTTCTCCCACGGGAACATCGAAGCTCCACAACACAACGCTTGGACAACTCTTTCCGAAGAGCAAACTAAACTAATTTTGCACAAACAATGCAAATTTCGTGACGATCATTTCTGCATGGTGCAGGTATTCATCTTCTTTTACCCCCGCGAATGGAGCCAGGAATGCGACCCCCATGGCCGATCCCGCCACCCCCGGGAATTCAACGGAGTTTTACCACTGCACAACAAACGTCGAGACTCACGGACAGCCCATCGGTCACTTTCAAGCTCGGGGAAACCGGCACGCTATGACATACCCTAGAATCTAGTACCTCAATTACCAGGGTCCATCTCAAGGTATAAGAAGTACCGGCCCTGGCAGTGCCCATGAGAAATAATCCAGGTACAACGACCAAAGCCGTGATCTTTCTCCCAGCAAACCCAACTGGCTCTGAAGAAAAGGCCTGGAGCCATGGTTCGATCTACGGGTGTTTTAGCTAGTGCTTGGCTATTTCAAGCTGCCTATGGAGCTACCTTGACTCACGCAGCAAGCACCACCGCTAGCACGGCATCCTCTCAATTCACTGTCCCCGCTGCAGCTGATGTAGGAGCCAACCTCATTGCCAATATCGATGATCCGCAGGCAATCAACGCGCAGTCTGCCTGTCCTGGCTACAAGGCATCGGACGTCCACCAGGATTCCAATGGATTGACGGCTACCTTGAAGTTAGCTGGCAAGGCATGCAACGCATATGGAACCGACGTGGACTTATTGGATCTATCGGTTAAGTATCTTGCAACAGATCGGTTGAATGTTCAAATTACACCGACGTATCTGAGCTCTTCGAACTCTTCGTGGTTTTTGCTTCCCGAGGATCTGGTGCCCCATGCCAAGGCTGATAAACAAGGGACATCTGAAGCACTGAATGACTTCGAGATCTCATGGACCAATGAACCATCTTTTGGTCTCAAGGTGACTCGCAAGTCTAATAAGGATGTGCTATTTGATACTACTGGCTCTACCTTGGTGTTTGAAAATCAATTTATTGAATTTGTCACCGCGTTGCCCAGTGACTACAACCTTTACGGAATCGGCGAGCATATTCAGCAATTGCGACTTCTGGAGAATGCAACACTCACCCTTTATGCTTCAGATACTGGAGACCCAATTGATGGGTCAGTTATTTCCGTGGCTTCCTGGTTGTTGGGATTGTGGCTGACTTGCGCGTATACAGTAACATCTATGGATCTCATCCTTTCTACCTCGACACCCGCTACTACGAGGTCGATGGGAAGGGTAGCCACACCCTGGTATCCAGTGATGACGCTGATCAGTCCAAGGACTATGTTTCCTATTCACACGGTGTGTTTATGAGAAACGCTCACGGCCAAGAAGTCCTTACTCGCTCGGAAAGTCTCGTTTGGCGTGCCATCGGTGGTAGTATTGACTTGACTTTCTACGCTGGACCAACCCAAGCAGACGTCACCAGAGACTACCAAATCAGTACCATTGGTCTTCCAGCGATGCAGCAGTACTTCGCATTTGGCTACCACCAGTGTCGCTGGGGATACCAGAACTGGTCTGTCATGGATTCTGTCTTGTCCAACTTTGAGAGATTTGAAATTCCCTTGGAGACTCTCTGGTGAGCCCGTCTAACCTTCAGTAAATTCATCTCCACCAGCGTCAATCTAACTCTGGCATAGGAACGATATTGATTACATGAAGACCTATCGCGATTTTGATAACGACCCAATTCGTTTCGGCTATACCGAGGGCGAGGAGTTCCTACAGAAACTACACGATGGTGGCCGTCACTATGTTCCCATTGTCGATTCTGCTATTTACGTGCCGAACCCCAATAACGCGTCTGATGCGTATGTTCTATCTTCGCCGCTCTCCAAACAAGGCTAACGTTCACAGATATGAACCTTATACTCGCGGCGCTGAGGACAGTGTCTTCTTGACTAACCCCGATGGAAGCAGTTATATCGGTGCTGTCTGGCCTGGATACACAGTTTTCCCTGATTGGCACAATCCCAAGGCCCGTGCTTACTGGGCAAATGAACTTGTTCTCTGGCACCAAAAGATTGCCTTTGACGGAATTTGGATTGACATGAGCGAAGTCTCATCTTTCTGCGTTGGAAGCTGCGGAAGCAACAATCTGACCTTGAACCCGGTCCACCCTTCGTTCTCACTCCCGGGAGAAGCGGGAAATATTATTTTCGATTATCCCGAAGGATTCAATATCTCGAATGCGACCGAAGCTGCATCCGCCATTGCAGGTTCTTCGAGCCAGGCTGCTGCTGCTGCAAGCACTGCCGGAACCGAATCAACCACAACGACGCCTTACCTTCGCACTACTCCTACCCCGGGCAAGCGCGATATCAACTACCCCCCGTACGTCATCAATCACGATCAGACAGGCCATGACTTGGCTGTCCACGCTGTCTCTCCGAATGCCACACACGTTGACGGTGTTTCGGAATATGATGTGCACAATCTTTGGGGCTACCAAATCCTAAACGCCACTTACCAGGGTCTACTCGCGGTGAACTCGGTTAAGCGGCCATTCATCATTGGCCGTTCAACGTTCGCAGGAGCCGGCAAATGGGCAGGTCACTGGGGTGGTGATAACGCTTCCAAGTGGGCATATATGTTTTTCTCTATCCCGCAGGCACTGTCGTTCTCCCTCTTCGGTATCCCCATGTTCGGCGTGGACACCTGCGGCTTCAATGGAAACAGTGACGAGGAGCTCTGCAACCGCTGGATGCAACTTTCCGCATTCTTCCCCTTCTACCGCAACCACAACGAGCTCTCAACTATCGGCCAGGAACCGTACCAATGGGCCTCTGTCATTGATGCATCCAAGTCAGCCATGAAGATCCGTTATGCCATCCTTCCTTACTTCTACACCCTTTTCCACCTGGCCCACACCACCGGCTCGACGGTCATGCGCGCTCTGGCCTGGGAATTCCCCACTGATCCCTCCCTGGCTACCGTCGACACCCAGTTCTTGCTGGGGCCCTCCATCATGGTGATTCCCGTTCTCGAGCCGCAAGTCGATTACGTCCGCGGAGTCTTCCCCGGTGTCAAGCAGGGTGAGATCTGGTATGATTGGTACAACCACACTGCCGTTGATGCCCAGCCAGGAGTGAACACCACTATCTCCGCTCCTCTTGGCCACATCCCTGTGTTTGTTCGTGGCGGCAGCATCATTCCCATGCAGGAACCCGCTCTGACTACCCGCGACGCCCGCAACTCTCCATGGTCACTTCTGACATCTCTTGATGGAAGCCAGTCTGCCTCGGGACAACTGTACCTTGATGACGGAGAGAGTGTTACTCCCAGTGCTACACTCAGTGTCTCCTTCACGGCTTCCCAGTCTGGTATCTCGGCTATTTCTCATGGAAACTGGAAAGACACAAACCAGCTTGCCAATGTCACCGTGTCGGGCTTGAAACTCCCACACGCGGGTTTCAGTACCGGTAAGGGATCTGTGGCTCTCACCTTGAATGGCAAGAAGGTCTCGTCGGCGTCGGCCATTTACAATGCCGATTTGCACATCTTGTCTATTACCGGCCTGCAATCTCTGTTCAAGGGCGGCGCTTGGGACCAAAACTGGGTGTTAAAGTGGTAGGCCTGCGCGTCGTTGGTTATTATGAAAACGACATCTTGTCTGCTATCCAGAATTTACCAGGTTTCAGGTTTCAGAATTCAGGATCATAGATTCAGAATTGTGGTCCCAGTGGATCTGAATTTACAGGCTTACGTGAGATCTAAAAACTGAATGAAAGCGCCCAAGAGATTGAATCGAATCGATTGATCTATGCAGTCCAAGACTTCTCACCCTTAAGCTAAAAGCCAAAATAGGATGTAACGAAAAATATCAATAAAAAATGGTAAACGAGTCCCGTGTCGATCGACATCGGTGTAAGTTACAAGTTCCAGCCACTCCCAATCAAACAATCGACATCCAGCCCCCATTGCAACCCCGTGCATGACCCTGAAATCTTAACAATTAGCGCGTTCCTCCTGTTTAACAATCTGCCAATTCAGCCCGAAGATCTTGCAGCCTGTTCCTGGCCATCGGGGACCCCGCCTATCACATGTGTGGCCCGCTGTGAACCCTGCATAATCAAATCCGGAATTGAGATTCAGCGAATTGCGTCCTCTACTTGTACTGGGGGAATGTGTCACTTTGTCTGGTTGCAGGATAATCCTTACCTCATATACTAGTGGGTAGGGCACATGTCACTCAATGGGCACTATTGATCACACAAGATGTATCCGGGACATGGTTATTGGTAGTCTGGCTTTGAAGGCTGAATACCCCCTTTTTATCGCATATAATCCATCTCAGTCCCCTGCTCGAATTGATTTCTGGTGAAGGGTTGGTAGTCACGAATTCTTTTGGTTACATAGCATTTACGCTAGTTTCTCCCGGTCGCTACTACGTTACTGTATTCGTTGGTCGATCCATTCCACAGTGCTTGATCCTTCTTTATTCCCGATGGATCTAAATTTGCTCGATTCAAATGTTTAGCTTGTTTCAAATCAACATAACGAAACAAATTCGATATAAAAGATCTCCTTCATCACTATTATTCCAATTCATAGGGCGGAATACTTGACCATCTATATTACATTCGACATGTCTCTCTGGCGTTTTTTGGGACTCGCCAGCTTAGCCGGCTCGGCCATCGCAGCGACTCCGGCACAATGGCGTACTCGATCTATCTACTTTATGCTTACTGATCGGTTTGCACGCACCGATAACTCGATAACTGCTACTTGCGACACGGATGTTGGGGTATGTTTATTTCAATTTTGAATTTTGAATTTTCAATAGATACTCTTCGGTTGAAGTAGACAAACTGATTTTCCATGCAGATATATTGTGGCGGGACTTGGCAGGGAATCATCAACCAGGTAAGTAAACCTTGAAATCCCCAATGTCAGATCTTTTGATTGAAAATGGTGATTTCCAAAACTCATGGGCTAATAACATCAAAAGTTGGATTATATCCAAGGAATGGGGTTCACTGCCATCTGGATCACACCGGTCACCGAGCAACTCTCCCAACATACGGCGGACGGGGAGGCATACCACGGGTACTGGCAACAGGACATGTAAGTAACTTCCGAATCAACATTGAACATTTGAACATTCTATGTTTGTGGAGTATCGCCCTTTGATGCTCGCGACGCGGCGCGTTTTCGACTAACAGCGCAAAGTTATTCCGTCAACTCCAACTACGGCACCGCCGATAATCTCAAATCTCTTGCTTCAGCTCTCCATGATCGCAACATGTATCTCATGGTCGATGTTGTGACCAACCACATGGTAAGTCTCCGGAATGACGCGAAAAAAAGAAATGAAAGACCAATGTCAAGTTTCCCCACTGACTGTGTCTATCTGGCATAGGGCTATGCAGGGGCTGGAAATACGGTGGATTATAGCGTCTTCAACCCGTTTGATTCAGAGGATTACTTCCACTCCTACTGCGAGATTGCCGACTACAGTAACTTGACTATGGTGGAGAAGTGCTGGGAAGGAGATACGACTGTATCTTTGCCTGATCTCAACACTGAATCTACCACCGTGCAAAATATCTGGAACAACTGGATCACGGACCTCGTTTCCAATTACTCTAGTAAGAGCGACCCATGGACAGAATCAAAGACTTCAATTACTGACAAGGGGTCGTGATAGTCGACGGTCTGCGCATAGACTCGGTCATGGAAGTCCAGAAAGATTTCTGGGCCGGTTTCGAAACTGCCGCCGGCGTCTATTGTGTGGGTGAGGTGGACAACGGCGATCCGACCCTAGTCTGCCCGTACCAAGAAGTCATGGATGGTGTTCTCGACTACCCAATGTAAGTGAATAGCGAGCTACAGCTTGGAGTGACTAATGGCCTGACAATAATCAGGTACTACCCTCTTCTTCGAGCCTTCGAATCAACTAGTGGAAGCATCAGTGCTCTCTACGACATGATCAACACTGTGAAACCCGACTGCTCCGATTCAACGCTTCTAGGAACTTTCATTGAGAACCACGATAACCCCCGCTTTGCCTCGTACACGGAAGACATGTCTTTGGCCAAGAACGTCGCCACTTTCACCATCATGTCGGATGGTATACCGATCATATATGCTGGACAAGAACAACACTATAACGGCGGGGGTGATCCCTATAATCGTGAAGCTGTTTGGCTGTCGGGTTACAATACCAGTAGCGAGTTGTATACGCTCATTGCGCAAGCGAATGCTATTCGAAATAAGGCCATCTACCAGGCAGAGGATTACATCACTTACAAGGTCAGTATCCTCAAACTTACCCCACTCCTTAACAAGCAAGAGCCTTGGCCTACGTCTTGGAATGGTAGCTGCGCACTAGCGAAGCAAGAACTAATATGGGTGTGCGTTCTTAGAATTACCCAATCTACCAAGATGATAATACCTTGGCAATGCGTAAGGGCTATGACGGCACGCAAACCATCACCGTTCTTTCTAATGCCGGCGAGGGTGGAAGCAAATACACACTCTCCCTGTCCGGTACGGGCTTTGTGGCTGGCTTGGCTGTTACTGAGATCTTCACCTGTTCAAGTCTTACTGTTGACGATAGTGGTGTAGTTGCTGTTCCTATGAGTGGCGGAGAGCCTCGGATCCTGTACCCTAGTTCCGAGCTCAGTGGATCCACTCTTTGCTCGTAGGATTGGACTTTGTATATGCATTATCAGTGGCTTATTGAGTTTGGATTTGTTTTGGGTTAGTTTCGGGCGCAAAGTAATATATGCAATATCCAATATCCGCGAATAAACGAATGTAGCCCAAGAAGCCTTCGCCCACAATCCACGATGCACTCTCGACATTCCCGAGGACAGGGCATTTCCCGACCAAGGTTGAGAACGAAAAGAAGTTTTTTAGAAAGAAGAGGAAAAGAGTCTTTTTTGATCACTCCGAGACGACACGGAGTAATGAAACTGTGCAACAAAAATCGAGAAGGAAAAAAAAAAGCGTGCCCTTTCCCATCCAAAATAGATATTTACTAAGAAACCCAACAATCGATCCCACAAGAACATGATAACATGATAACGCAAATAATCCAACTCAACCTAGACACCCCCTCCAGAAAAGAAAAAAAAAGAAAAGATTACTTAATAATCATGAAGAGCCCTTGGCACCAGGCCAATGGGCATAGCTCCACCCATAACGGGCGCAGAATGCTGCTGAAACAGCGCAGGGCCCGAAAATCCCCCCTGGCCGGCCCCATAACCGGGCTGCATCATCTGATCAAAAACGGCATACCCGTCAACAGGCTCCATTCCACCCGCCACCGCCGCAGGAATAAGCTGAGTCAGATCTAAACCCTCCGTGCTCCGAGGGAACATGGCACTCTTCAGAGCTGCTGGCGAAGACTGGTGATCAGCCGTCGCGGCTTCAGAGTATCGGCGCTGCACTTCGCCGACGATGAAGGCGATGCGGTAGGAGAGATGATCGCTGCTTGGAGCGAGGTGGAGGAGGAACGCGCGGACTTGGTCGATTAGTGGATCTGATGGGTTGTAGTCGCAGAGTGTAAGGGCGGCGTAGCCGAGAATGTAGTAGACGTGGTCTATTAAGCCGGGGGCCGCGGAGAAGCGGGTTTGCATTGAACGGGAGATTATTAGGCGGGCGTTGTTGCAGATTTCGGTTATCAGGCGGTCGGAATCTTGGATTCGGGTTGCTGTTCTGTGGAGGAGGAGTTGGCAGAACCAGATGCTTAGCTCGAGGGTTGATTGGCCTTCGCTTGCTGGAGGGTGTTTTTGTTAGTGGGTTTGAAAGTGATAGAGGATACAGGGTGGTAGACATACAAAGGAGATGTGCCCATTCCATTTTCCAGCGTTCGAGTTCTTCGTACTCGACTTCGGCAAATTGAAGGCGCTGGGGTGTATTTTGGAGCTTGAGGGTAATTCGATATAAGGAGATCTCGGCGACGATTCGTCCGTCTTCGGGGGTGGCTCTAGGGTGGTCTAGGATGCGAGAACAGTGGTCGAAAAATTGAGGTTGCACGTTGACTGTGCGTCCGTAGCCGAGTGCAGAACTGGGGGTATCGGTTAATATGATGGTCACGTCAATGGTAGATGGAGGGGGTTTAGACTGACTGTAAATGAGTAAGACAGAAGGTGTTCCATAGACGCATTTGAGGGAGCATCTCGCCGGGTAGAACACCTTTGGCTGGGGGGCTGTGTAGAAAGTTGAATGAATTCAAAGCATGATTGATTGAGATCCCGCTCAACAACCAGGCATCCATGAAACCCTCTTTATGGCCAGAGGTAGGATATAGACAGAGGAGGGCAAGGGCTTGAAGCAAGTCGTTGGTCAGGGGAGATTTTCTCCACATGGTTTTTGTGACAGCATGTTGCACTTGAAGTGCGATGTCATGAGTAGTATTTGGAGGCATTCCCGGTAGATATCGGGAAGCTAACAGACAAGCAGTATTGAAAAGCAAGGGATTTGTCCGCTGAATATTTGATGAGTGATCTATAGAGACCCAAGGGCTAAAATAATCCACGAAGCTGAAGATGGCTAGTTAGAATCTAAAAAGGCAGCCAACAAGCGTTTTTTTTTTTTTTTGGCAGGGACTCACAGTTCAATCAGTTTCAATGATAATTTAGCATCTACAATCCCCTGGGACACAACATCACCCAGGAGATCACCTTCGGCAGGGAACTGATCCCTCTCGCCGAAGCATTCGACTTGTAAATCCCGAATGAATTGGACTGGTTTCAAAGTAAATCCCGGCGCACTATCGGTTGAGCCGTCTATACTGTTATTTCGCGACGGAAAATTGGGAGTGCTAATGGCGGGTGGCTGGTTCACCATTTGGCGCATTAGGTGAATCATCTCGCCCATGCCACGCTCTAAAGATACAAGCCGTTCCTCGATGGAAGGAATGGCAGCATTGGCATCGGACCAGGTAGACGCACCGTCCTGATATCGATCGGGAGTTTCGGGCAGCTCACATTCGAGCCTTTACAAGAAGTAATTAGCTTGACGCGCTCTGAATTCTTAATTATTTCCATCTTGGAGCAGGCTTCCATGTTGCATTGGGTTGCATTGGGTTACTTCAAGTAGATGCCGAGTGGGTGGAGATCCAGGATTCGGAAATCCCGGACCAAAGGAGAGGAAAAAAAAGGCACAAACCTAAGCGAGAGACAGCGGCGACATGCGTGGCCACGGGGATCAAGATCGCAGCGAGTTTTCAGCTTGCGACATGTATTGCAAGCCGTCATTGATCGACGAATTCGGCCACGGGGACGAGAATCTTGGCCGACCGAGTCAAGTCGGTGGCCGTCATCCGTGGCGGCGATGCTTTTCGTCTCCCACGACGAAGCGCTATGAGAAGGTTCTGTTCGCGTCATTGCACTGAACTGAAGTGGAGAATTAATCGTGGAACATTTGATCTGTATATTTTCTTTTGGAGGAGCGAGTGAGATTGAGAATAGGAGTTATGAGGGGGAGGAGAGGTCGGGATGTGGCGAGAGGAAATAAGATCTGAGATCAGTAATTGGACCCTTGCCAAGAGGTTTCAAGTTCAACGAAGATCATTCAAAGGAAAGGTGGAGAGGCGAAGGCTTATAACAGATAGCAAAAGAAAGAGAGAGACAAGAGCAGCCAATTGCGACAAGCCGCTCACTACTGACGATATCTTGGACTCCGCCAGCTGCGCAGGTACGTGATCCACTTGACGCGGACCTGGGGTAATCTCCAAGGCATCCACCAATCTTAAAACGTCTGGGTGAGCTTCTAGAAACAGTGCGATGGCCGTGCCTGCTTCTAGGCGAGAGGGGGTGATGAATTTACCCCCCTTGACCCCCTGTTCACGCCGATGAAAAGCGACAACGTTCTTTCCGGGAGAGGGGTTAGAGTCTTGAGAGGAGGCTAGTTAGAATGTGGCACCATTCTCGATCTGATCGACAGAAACTCTTATCATGGATTGTGTTTTCCTCTTATTCCACCCCCCTGATCTACCAGTCTTATTGTGGATTTTTTTTTTCTCTTAGAGGATTTACATAGGATAGCGGATATCTCCGAACCCGTCCCCCCCCCATCGATATCAAGGCATTACTCCAATGTATTATCCTATCCAAAAAGGTAGTGGAATCATGCAAAGTGGGGTTGATATCATATCATGGTGGATACAAGCATGTGCAATTGTTTTTCGGTCCAGTCATTTGTGCTAGAATAATCTGGGATTGTCTAGGATTAGGAGCAGGTTCAAAAGCAATGCGACTCTGTAACTTTCTAGACCCGGCTAACACCGGCTGGCTAACCGGTTACTGCATAGGCCCCCCAGGCTAGTGTTATCCTTAGCGACTTGTCAATTAGATCCAAGTCTAGCCTGCATTTGCCTATGGACGGGAAACGTGGAAACCCGCCCCAATTGTTAGAGTCCAAAACTTTTTTAAAACGTGAAAAATTAAAATTAAAAATTCCGCTGTCGCCGCGTGGAAAAAAAGAAAAAAAAAAAGGTGGCCATGTTCTCTTATCAGGTTCCCGCCCCCAGCCGCTGCATTTAGATGAACTCGATATGAGACCAGATCGTGGTAAATCAACCCAGGGCGTTTGGTTTTTCGCCTTCCCTTTAATCGCGCATTTTCGAAATTGCTGTTGGGCAAATAGAACATGACAGCCGAGGCTCATTTACCATGTCCCCACTCTCGAGGTCCACTTTGGTTGCTGGCTTTGGGTTAATATACGGATAACTCCTCCTGCAGACAGGTTAGTGTAAGCCACTTTTAGGAATAGCGGCACTTTTGTGTTCGATTTCGGGAACAGACAAGAAGCGGTCTGCAGTTCGACAGATATGTTGGTGGCTTATCTTGTTCGTTTGCGCTCACGCTCAACTCTGGGGTAAATTTTACCGCCCATCAAATTGAGGAGAAGGGTAATAGAGAAGGAGGGGGCGTTGGATAAGTTCAGGAAGGATTTGGCTGCATATGCCGAAAGTGGTAGGTGTCGTTGTACCCCATATGTACCCATAATCGCCATGATCCATTTCTCTCGGGGTGCCGTCCGTCGCCGCTTAATAGGGCGGGAAAATTTCGTGCTCTTTTTCTGCGATCACGCCAAGCCAGGTGGTGATGGCCCAAGAGAGGTCAAGCAATGCCTAGTGGCAAGCAATAAATGCCCTAGTAAGCGGCCATCGCTCAGTCGTATCCGGGTTCGTGTTAGTGTATAGTCGAGAATGAGATGGAAGTCTGGATCTCAAGGCCCACCCTGGCGGTGGATCCAAACAAATGACGGAAAGGTTAGCCTTGGGGTCCAATGGTTGATTCTGAAAGGCGCAAGGATCACACAAAGAACAACTTGGGAAATATGGGAACACCCAACATGGGACATTCGAGGATTCTCACAGATGCCCCGGGCGCGCTTATGCAGGCCATAATTTGAATCAACTTGACAATGTTGCAGCCAAGTAAACTTAAGTCCAGCATGATCGGACCAATCGCGGTGCATCCATATCGGGCTTTGTTCCAGTCATGATCAACACGGGTGGAAGATCCCCCGTGGTTGGACGGGGGCTTTGAAGGCCAATTTATTATTGGCGGATAAGATATTTTCCTTTCCGCTTTGTGTTCACGCTGCATGACACTGCATGGCTCGAGAAAAAACAATCCTGCTTCCATGCATTGAGTTCGCGGGTTGGTGCAAGCCACTCGTAATCCACTGACGAAACCAATTTCCCGAGTCGCCCATTGACCTCTTGGATTGGTCGCTGTGAACAAAGAAGTTTTCTTCCCTGGCAGATAAGCAAAGTTCCAAGGCGTAGCGTAAGAAGCGGGTCAACCCGTCCGATGTTCCGAATAACGCATGTCTCGAAATCTCAGAGATAAGGCGTTATCATCCTTGGTTGCCGATGGAAAGCGACGCTGCCAGTCATATCACTCCGGTTGTCATCATTTTCATGCAATCAGGATTTTGATGGCGCAGCTCGCTTCGATGCTGGGCTGAACCTGAGGTCACTGTACATTGGCTTCTTGCCTTTTCAGGGTCGTACGCCCGACTTTCCTGGGACGGGGGAGATAGCAAACTCGCGCTTGTACCTACTAGTTAGCGAAGAGCCGGCATCCGATTTCATTTCGCCTTGACCTGTACGTATCTCAATTCAGTTCGGGTGCCATTCAAGTAGGTTGTTCACATGTGATTTCAATCCACACAACAAAGAATTAGGGACATTGCGTCAATCCAAGATTCGTGTTCGTCATAGCTTTTTGAACCTGAGAACGCTCGAAGGCTCCAATGTGCAAGTAAATGCACAGGTACATACCTCTCAACTTGCTTCTCATTCTGTAAGTGATAATTCTTGTTCTCAAAACAACAGACTCTGCGCAGCAGCTAACCAATTGGGAACCTGGGCAGTTTCTCAAGATTGCGGACCGCCAGCCGGCCTCGAGACTATGTATTCCTGCAATGTGAACAAACTTCAACATTTCTGGGAGTGAAACATGGGTTCAAACCTTGGGAACATTGAGTTTCGACATTATACACGACGGCATCAACATTCAATGTTTGGACCTTTGAAGGCTAGATGCTTCCAGAATTCAATTTTTTGTGGCGGCTCATTGGGGGTTCCAACCTTCAGCATCCTGTTTTGAAAACCACCGATGCAAAGATGTGTCCATTGTATCTTGCCTATGAGACGATACTCTTCTCAAGCTAGAAGTTTCGCTTGCATCGCCTCTGGAGTCTTCTACCGTCTAAGATGAGCGACAGCTCATCAAAGGCCGATCAGAGGTCGGGGGGGTTGCGTTAGGTAGTCAATCTCTGGACAATCAGGACCATCGGGGCGCAAGCATCCATGGCATGTGCTTTGCAACGAAAGTCAAAAAGCAAGCAGCCTCGTTGCAGGTGCATCTCAGGACATCTGAAAGTTTGACGTATGCCTCTCATGAAGAATGTGTTGTTATCTCGTTTGAAGTGCGTGAGTACATCAAGGGCTGTTCCCGGGAAAACCCCTGGGCCACGCATTTATCAGATCCAAGATGGTCAACGCAAGATATTTAAATCCGACAGTTTCTGAAGAATATGCATCTCGTGACAAGAGCAATAAACGAAAAACCGGCAATGGGTGAACTAAATTTAATCAGGGGCCCATAGCGTTGGAGGCTGTTTGAAATCCAAGGCCGACACCGGAGACCGAGGCGGGAGGCAGATTGATGCAGTAGGAAAGACACTGCATTGGTCGAGTTTGCACACTAACTGTGACTCATCTCGCTTTGACAAAAGCAGTTAGAACAACGCTACCTTGCCATCGGCTAAACCGTCATATCAACTCACAGATGCTCACTGGTCAATACTCTAATCTGGCAGGTCAAGGGTGGGTCTTTGTTCTTTATTCCGTCCTTCTATCTGTATCCAGGTCCGATGACCGGGGACGAATTGATGCCAACTCCCGGGGAGAATCAGCCTGCAGCAGTGATGTGAATACCGATCATATGCTGTAGCCTGTCACTTGCCAAACACGGTAAGCAATTGATAATGCCAGCCTTCATTCATAGAATTGTTGCTGTCCAAATATGATGACTAGGACTGTCTTATCAGCACTTGAGAAGGTACTTCCAACTGCCACGAGAATATAATACCTCCCAGACTTTTGACGATTAGTACATTATCACTCAAAGAGAGGAAAATGAGAATCTGAAATCTCTGTAACCAGATATAGAGGGGTGAAAGAAGGAATACCTCGCAGTGATGAAAGAGAGGGACAGAGAAACAGAAAGATAGAGATGACTCGTGTTTGTTTGCTGACAAATGTTAACTAAGTAACTAAATATGGAGTACTTCAACTTGCCTCAAGTTCAGCATAAGTTATAATACCCAGTAGCTCTGGGAATGATTGATCAAACGAGTCGGTCAACTCGGGAGTACTGCTAAAAAGGTTGAGAAAAAAACCCGGCAGGAACAAAAAAAAAACACAGCACACTGCTGCTCAAAGAGTGATGATCTGGTTGGAAAGAGTAAAGGAAAGATTAAGCGTACTTGTTGAGTGGGGGGGGGGAAGCTGTTATCTGATGAGAAATCTTTACCAAAACGAACTATACAGCTACTAATGCATACACGGACACAACACTTGATCTAGGCAATCGTAAAATAAAAGAGGATTACACCAAGCAACGCTAAGACTCAACACTAGTCTCCAGGAGAGAAAGCCACAATCATTCTGCATGCATGATACATTACCCCAATAGGAAATTCCACAGAACATGGTCTTTCCTTCCAGAAGGGTGCAAATTTCCAATTCCCCGACGCCACGATATCCAAGTCTGTGGCAGATGGCGTTTTCTGCATGCATAGCCCGTCGGGATTTGCTTTATGACATTTCATGAAGGGGGGGCTGCACATTTGCCATCCGGTGTAACCTTGAAACGTGAAGCCTGGAGACCAAATTGCGGTCTGGATATCAATAAATTTTAACATCCACCTGGGCACATATGATATAGCTTTCTGGTAGGTTTTAGGAAGTTGACAATCTCAAATCTTGTTTTTCCTTTGTAAACCCTTGCATAATGAGTAGAGTGTTTGTCAAAACTGTAACTTGGCAGCAGAATGTCAAGTGGCAGGAGCACGATATCATGTTTCCTGCACTTCGTACTTCGTGGCGTTTGAAACCACTAGCGTCCGTGTAGCTGTCACCTCTGTAAGTGAAATGCTTACTCAAGAGAAACTATGCCCAAAAAACACCCTCCAAACGAGAGTCTAGTACTCTTCATTCCCATATTGTATTTTTTTCGAGTTCCCCAGTTTGAGTGTAGTACGGGCCCGGAGTACGGAGCACATACTCCGCACACAAGTTAGCTCCAGAAGTGGAATCCTCCACCAAACACATCACGCTTACTGCATTGGGAACGCTCCGTGCTTACTCCATTTTCAAGACCAACACCATTTGGACTCACTTGGTAAAGTCTGGAAAAGTTGCAAGATTGTTCGGCAGGATTTCCAGAAGAAAGAAAAAATACCAATAGCCCGGGAAATTGTCCGTACTGAAGCGGCATTGGCCAGCTCACCCGGCACTATTGAATTCGCTAGGTTGAACGGTGGGTCCAGTCCGTCGATCATCGAATTGATTGACCGAAAGAATTCAATAGTGCAATCCAACGCGATCCAACTTTTTTGACATGGATGTTCTCCGCATTAGTCTGGACAGAGTACGGAGTACCGTATTGAACGATCCCTTCATACGCCTGACGCCTATCTTTAGGTCAGATCACCTGTCCACTCTGTAACCTAATCCACCTAAAAGGAAGGAGACAAATATCCAAGGGTTACATGATCGACATCTGCAGAGAAACACCTAAAAACAAGAGGAACCCATACTTAGGTATGATGTGCTCCATAATGCGAGGGCCAAAAGCAAAAACGAACATGTCAACTTTTTATCTCTCCGCGTATTCCCAAAATAAATCCGAAAAACAATAGAAATTGCCCCAATGAGAAGAGAAGAAAAAAAAGAAAAAAAAGCAAAGCAAATGAGATTGACAGTCTATTGGCCTACCTAAACTCACCGACGAACACCTTCACGAACGCCTCGATCTGCACGCGATCGCCACTGATGGCGCCGGGACCTCAGCTCTGACATGAGATACATCACATTGCCCAAAAATGACAGCTCCGACGCAAAGCCTCCGGGAAATCCCCCAGGATTCAGATCAGAACCGAACCGAACCTTGAAATAAAAACCAAAAGCAACGTGACGCTTCTGACGCCTCTTGCAGTCCTTCCAGCGGCTGTGACACCCCATCGTGCACAACGGACGTCATGAACTGAATTGAGTTTCACCGCTATATGACCGGTCATGTACAACATTTTTCTTCTCAAGTGCCCGCCTTGCGCATGGTGTGCTGTTACCAAGGGTATTGGCTGGTTCGCACTAGTAATCTTTCCATGTATGCTGATTTGATGAATGATCTATTCCCTGTCGCCCTCGCGCGTCAGGAAACTTTTCCCTTGTACATGTATGTGGTTCATGGGCCCTGCAATGTGATGGCGGCTTGCATGGCCATACAACCTAACCGCGCCCCATGTTAGGCTATCACTTACTTCCTTTTCGAGAATAGATCATTGGAGGCCTTGGTTCTTCTTCGTTGACGAGGCTGTGTGCAGTTGGTTGCAGACCTTTTTATCTGTCTTTGAATTTGGACCCGTCAATTCAATGCGGATGGTGTCTCCGAATTGGAGATATTTTCAGACTAACAGACTTGACATGTGCATAATGCGTTATAGATGCACATATTACGTTTTCAGTTTACTCCTAATGATCCTGCTCGGATCTACTAGTACATGGATGCAACTGTAAGTTTGAGCATGCGTACTCCATTCCCGCATGCATGTTGCTCTTCTTTTTGTCATGTCGGGCATATCGTCTCTTCAACATAATGTTTGGTTTGGATGTTAGGTATTTGGAATGCCTGTGGCCCGCAAGGAAGAACCACACCGTATACTCCGTCTACGGGTACCACAAATCAATTGGTTCAATCCCAATGCCAATCAAATTGCTTTTTATCGTATTTCGCCTCGTCTGATTTCACTAATTTCTAGGACCTTTCTTGGCATGTAACAATCCACGTTTTATCCAGCCACAGCCCCGAACCCAAAGGCAATTGTCTCAAAGCTTAGAGCAGAAAAAAGAAACCACATCAAAAAGAAAAGGATAATGAGAAGAAAAAAAAAAGAAAACAATCTGCGGCTCAGCGTACCATCGCCACTGAATTGAAATCCACCTCGCCCGACACTAACCTCCAAGACAGCGGCCTTGCAAGCCCCCAACCCGAAACCCCCGAGATTACTCCATGTGGCAGCAGATTGACTCTCTGCTGGTTCTAGTAAACGGCACGGGGCAATGGGCAACAAAGCCTCCCAATTTCCCTCGAAACCAAACAATGAGACAATGGCGAGCAAGATACTTGTTTGATCTGAACTTTATCGGCCATGGCGTTTTTCGTTTGCCCTGCTATAGTGGGACTTGACTCGGGCGAAAGCGACCAAACCCAAACAATGGGCGTTTGGATTTCTTACACGGTTTTTAGCTTGAATTTACTATGTAACTAGAAATTACATAGCGCCCTGCAGAACAGACCCCATGGTAAGACATTCAAGAACTGAAATTTCAGACCTGTAAAAACTTAGATGGTAAACCCTTGATTTTGACGCTTTTTTGACAGGCGTCAAAAGTTATTTTCTGTCCAGTGCAGGACAGGGCTCGGTAGGTGGTTTCCGGCTGATAACCGCGCGGACAAACCAAACCTTGGTACATACTAAGCGCTGTCGAAAAGGGTAGATAGTCCGGTAGTAAGCTAGGTAGTAAACGGTAGTAAACGGTAGTAAACACATAAGCACTTATGTATAATTTGTATTACCATACATTTCTTACTTTTTTTCTGTCGAGTTAACTTCGACGTCATGGGTGGACGACAGCAAATGAGCGGGTACAAAATCTCGATCGCAAATGTTTAATTATTAAATTTTCAGGTCTGGCATCTGGGTCAAGTGGGTCAAATGGCAGGTCAGAGAGACGGAAGACAATATTTGATTAATATTTGATTAATATTAGGGAGATGAATCCTGGAACCATGGTAAAAGTTGGAAGGAACCCAATATTGAGTCAATTCATAAAGGAAATTAGGCAAGGTACTACTAGTAGGTGATAAGTGATAGGCTTATTCGGCATGCAAGTATTTTCCGGGATTTACTAAGGTACTGTACATCGCATTTCTTATGCGTGTAACAAAAAGGGACCTTCATGCGGAACACATGGGTATTGTTGGGAAAAGAAAACCCACAAGTCCAGATGTCCAGCTGAGCTCTGAGCTGAACCTCGTTCTCGGCTTGATTCTCTCCATCATTCAGCTCAGCACTAAGGGGGCCGAGGTGATCAGCAGTTCGATTTGCGTAAATAAGTGGTTCCCTATGCCGCTTAGTCGTAAGGCATGGTCCACGTTTCCCGTCATGCGTGTAATACGAGATCGTCAAGTATTTCCAGGTGGGGGAAGTGATGTACAATCCCCATCCATCCTATGGACATGGACTCCTATTTCCCCACCCACCAGGCAGGAATCAGGGATGAGGAGAAGGGGAAATAAAATTGCAAAATTGGAAAATTGATGAGGGGAAGGGGGTGAAAAAAACTGGAATTAAGAAAAGATGATCCTTTCCCTCAAGAATTGTAAAATAAAAAAGAATAATGAATAGCCGATATAGCCGATGGAACACCTGGTAATGCAATTTCAAATGTAAGTCTCGTGGTCTGACGCGACAGAAGAAGCACACGATGGATTGCGACGCGATGCGATACGCTGTGTGCGAGTTGCAGTGTGACAGATGATATTGAGGCCGAGTCCGATGATAATAAATTCCCGTAAAATCAATCCCAAATCCAAATACCCCTTTGCCGTAATAGCCCGCTTGGTAAATAACATATTCCATCAGATAAAAAGGGTATCAAGAAATGATATCTGCAAGGTTCCCCTGCCCCATGACATATGGGGGCCGTATGGTAAGATAAAAGCCAAAAAAAATAAAGCAAATCCAGCAATCCAGCAATCCAGCAATCTCGAAATCCGCAAAAGAAGAAAACAAAGAAATAAAAAATAGAGATAAAAAATGGTGAAAATAAAAAAGACATAGGAGAAGAGTATAATGCCAGTCTATCTCCAGCCCGTGACTCGTAAAAAATGAAAATAAGAGGAAATCTTCCGGTCGTGATGTGATGTGATGGGAATCAACGCTTGTGTCGATGCCGTGTATCGTTGCGTGCAGTCGGTAATAAAAGGAAATAAGAGGCCGTTAAAGTGAAACCAAGATGATGGTGTGGTATATGGGTGCGTAGGTTAGAAGTCGATAGACTTAGACACCTTCGACATCGCTGAAGGGTGAATGCCGTGAGTCGTCACCTGCGCCTCGTATCTGATTCCGTAAAGCAGGAAGTTGTCGCCGCCGAGCATTAATGAACCAATTGCTGATCTAAAAGGGAAAATTGTAAGTCAAGATGGAAACAAAGTGGGATTCACAATCAGGGTCCTCCTACCTGACTGATTGAAAGACCAGTTCTCGTCATGAACATCTGCTTATCCTCCTCACTGGGATAAGGATGATCCAAATGCTCATGAAACCAAGCTCGCAAGATATCAGTCACAGGCTTTGGCAAGTTTCCGCGACGTCTCTTGTTCTTTGAATCGACCTGTTCTCCCATGATTCCGAAATTGGCCTGTTGATGTTGAGGATGCCCCATCATGGGTGGCGACATCTGCTCTACTTCTCCCGGGTATGCCATCGGGTGCCCATAAGGCGGCTGCGGATGCATCATAGGTGCACCGTACTGCTCTGCGGTTCTGCGGTCGACCATCTGTGGGGGTATGGGGACGGGTTGTTGCTGCTGCTGCTGCGGTGGACCAGGACGTGCGTATTCTTGTACGTAGGGATCGGAACGTGGCGCCATTCTGCTGTCTGGATAGCCATTTCTGTCTGGCATGGATCCTCCTAGGTCTCGAATGGGGGGCAGGATAGGACTGGGTCCTCGTGCGGAGCTTTCGCCGAGTCGCATAGATAGGTGGTCGCCCATCGGCCGGGATGGGTGTTCGCCGGTGCGTGTAGTGTATTCATGTTGTTGGTGGTGTTGTGGTTCTCCGTAGGATTTGGGTGACTGGTTGGTAGGATAGCCAGGGATAGATCGAGGGTCAGCCATCTCATGGCCGGATCCCGGGCGATCTTGTGATTGGGGTCGGGTGTTATGGTAGATAGAAGAATCGATCTCGTCATGCAGGTGAGGTGGAAGAAGCTATACAGCACATGTTAGTATACAGTAATTTTTTAATTTTTTTTTGGTTAGGTTGGTTAGGTGGGGGTGTTGGTCTGTAACCGTATTTCGGGGATGTACTGACCTCGCGGAATGATGGGAGTTGCTGAGAATGACCAGCCGAGGGCCGGCTTGCGTATGAAATGGCCATGTCGGTATCCTCGTCCAACTCGCGGGACTGGGACATAGACGGGTATATAGAGTAGGGGTATAAAGGTGACTTGAAAGCTAGACAGAGAAACAAAAAAGAAACAAGAGCCGTTCAAGTAACTATACAGGATGCACGGTTAGCAACAGGGTTCGTGGAGGGCCTATGTATAGAAAAGAGCATAAAAGGAATAATTTTCAAATGCAAAATCCGCAAAAAGTAAGGATGGAAGGGTAATAAAAAGAAAGATGGAAGAGCAGAAGAGACTCACTTGGGGAAACTGGGCTGAATTTACGTTGACATGGCAGAGCCAAGATCATGCAAGGTGGGAATGAGAGGCGGGAGTGTAGAAGGAAATGGGGACTTTTAGGATCTCCAAATAATGCAGGGCACCGTACATTTTAAAATAAATCCAAAAAGACCCAGCTGTTACATGTCCATGGAAAGGGAAGAACAGGGGGGGTCCAGAAAAATGACGATCGTGGGCAAGCAAGTGGGTACATTTGGGAGCCACAAACTACTCCACTGCTTTCCGTGTTCAAGGCATGCAGAGCGGAGAAGAGGGGTGCAAATCGTAGTCAAGCGTATGGAGCAATCCTTAAGGTTGTCCTTGACAGATAGTGCCAAGGATCTCTGGTTCCTGTCAACCTGGAAATAGTCTGACTTTTAGTGCCAGGATCTATCAGGTGGCGGCCAGGAACTGTTTCCCCCCGGTTTCCACGCTAGTATTGATGTTTTCTACATTTAATTGGATTTTTGTTTTTTCTTTTCTCCAAATTGATTTTTGGATTTGGAGTCAGATTGTTGACCAAAATAAAGGAAACATCAAAAACCCCGAATTCTGGTTATATCCCCTTAAACTTCTTCCCCAAACATGGATGATACATGTTTGGTGTGGAAGAAGATCCGATCTCAGATTTCGGGGATGTTTGGGTTTGGAACTAGTACTTTTGAGAAATAAAATGAATCTAAATAAATCTAAATAAACCCAGAAAAGTCTTTAAAAAAGGCTTTTTTTAAAAAAAAGTATTGATTAAAGAGAGAAAAAAAAAGCAGATCAGATCAATCGGTAAGGTCCGGAATTTCACATAGATCCAGTTATCGATACATACCATAGGAGCCACAGCAGGGGGGGGGGAAACAACTGAACAGGGCATTTAAGAAAAAAAAAGAAAAAAGAAAAAAAAAGGAAGTGGAGAGCGGCATTCTACTAAAATGTTCCTGAGTCAAGCTGAACTTAATTAATTCAAATACTGGAAAGAAGAACCCATAGATTGCTTTTTGTTCAGTGGGGAACGAACACACAACCAGGAAAGCAGAAGCAGAAGCAGAAGCAGAAGCAGAAGCAGAAAAGCGAAAGTAAAAAAAAAGAAAAGAAAAATCTAAAAACTAAAAACCAAAACTAAATTGATTTTCTCTAATGTATGTGGAACAGAAATCCTCGTATGGTAACGAAAAAGAAATCAAAAAAGAACAAGTGGATCATCAAAACCATTAAAAGCAGAGTTCCGAAGTTCAAGGGAAAGATCGCCGCTTTTTCTCTGCCTGGGGAGGTTCCACTTCTAGTGTCAGCCATCGTGACCTACCACTGGTTACCGATCGCGACTCATCCCGAGGAGGAGCTTATCCCGGACTGTGGGTTTTGGGTTACCGTAATGGTCAAAATCTGCTTGAATTCTAAAGACTATTGCTTTTTTTTTGGCTCCTGGGGAGATCCTATGCATTTTCCTGATCTTCTAATCTGTTTACCCTTAGGGAAATCCAATTTGTTGGTTCGGGGGAGAGGAACAGAGGTGGCATGACGGTCCTCCTCGGCTCGATCCCACTTCTGAGCCTCTGATCGGTGGGCACGGAGATCGATCGACCACAAAGGGAGAGTGCAGGCTAGAGGGGGGGGGGTTGGTATCCATGGTGTCTTTTCTTGGCAACCCGGACAGGGATGGGTAGATCGCCTAGGGGTTCTTCAAATCGACTCCACTTCCTTCGAGATGAACCATACAGAGTGTGGCGCAACCAGATCCACTGGCTCTTCTGTCTTCCTCTCCCGTACGTCAGATCACCCAGGAGAATCCGCTTGGATCCATCCATGACGCGACGCTTTGGTGGGAAAAAAAATAGTGACAAAAAGAAAACATGAGGGTACCAATTGACAAACATACCAAGTACAGATAATCACCTGGTGAGGTGATGTTGGTTTTTCCCCCATCCTAGGTGAGGATGATGCAGCTGATTGTTCTCAAGAGTGAGCAAGTAAGCATCATGCATATGATATCTCAAGTTTGTTTTCTCGAATTTTTTTTTTTTTTGTTTCTTTTTTTTGTTTTCATGTCTGTTTTCATTTCTTTTTTGGCTTTCTGACTTGATCCGCTAGGGATGGTGGGGAAAAAGGAAAACCTAGTGTGGTAGACTGACGTGTGTTAATAGAGAGAAGAGGCGTCTGGTCCCCCCGGGATTTGATTACCCCTCGATGTGACAGAACTCTCTCGTGGTTCTTCTCTAGCGTATTTAGCGTCGGTCACTTTTTCCCGATCGCTGATTACCACTCGGATTTGATATGTGATGCGGCTCGCGTGTCGCCTATAACTACTAACCAAACCAACACGGAGAGAAAAAGAAAAGAAAAAGAAAAAGGACAGAAATTCTGAAAAGGTTTATCCACTTCATGATCCACATTGGGCTGACAATAATGGCGCAAGAAAAGTCCAGCTCCAAAATGCCATCGGAGATCCTCTCAAGTGGGGCGGGGAAATGGGCCGACCACTTGACCTCATGGTTATAGGCTGTCCGCGGAGCTAGTCATCTCTCATGTTTCCTGGTCATGCCCCTCCCGAAAACCAGCGGTTGGATCTTTTGGGCGACATGATTGCAACCAAGGTCAAACAGCAGGATTCAAATCACTTTATTCCCCCGGTTCCCTAAATTTAATCACCTACGTTTCGGGACGGCTGAAGATCCCTGTCAAAAAAAAAAAAAAAAAAGAGTCATCAATGTGACACCCAAATCCTCGGTACTTGAGATGTGCACGACATTTCGGACCTGTTCCGTTTTGTTCGGTTAGACATCCTTCGAACCACTATACACATCGACCACGCCAACAAACTCTGATAGACCATGTTTTAACCTGTCTTAGCTGAACAAGGCAATCCCCCCGGAGCTTAATCAGTGAGTTAGCCATGGGACGCCACAAAACGCGATTAAACCAGGCCGTCAAAAACGCAAAATGGGCTAAGATTCTGGTGATCCACTTAAATCCAAACCCGATCTCACACTTCCCCCTTTTCGGAACCGGAAACTTGTGGAATTCGGATCCAGCCTCGTCTTTCCCACGAGGCCCTTGGATCTGGATCTGGATCTGCCTTGATTCTCACATGATTCGCCCATCATTCAAGGGCGAGATCAACATTTCCGATCTTGGGCTTTCTTTTCAGAACCTCCCATTCTGGATCTTTCGAAGGCGTCTTTCTTTTTTTATATCAGATTCTTATCAAGATACCATATTCCGACCTCTAGATCTTACCTTTGACCCCCCCTCTGCGATACTGCGTACATGAAGTGAAACACAGAAAAAGAAAAGAAACAAAACAAAAGTGACAAAGAAATTTGGCCGCAGTTTCTCCACTTGTGGAGGTCCCTGCCACCCCCAGGCACGGCAAATGAGAAAGGGGAAAAATGAGGGAAGAAAAAGAAAAAAAGATCCAAAAAGATCAAAAATAAGAGAAAAGAAATTCATCCAAAAATGTGTTGACAGATCGTCACATTCGTAAGAATCCGATCCGAGATCGTGCATAAAATGGAGTATGCAGATCATCCAATCGTGCAGTTTCGGGGAATGGAGGAAATTACAGCGTACTACGTAACGTGATGCAGGAATTTGTCATGCAACCTGATGGTCCCGGTACTTGGGTCAACTTGGCTTGGGTTTGTGTCCCAACGTGATGAAAAAGTAATGGAAGTCAACATGGGCGCATTTTTAAGTCAGGAACCTTAATTGCAATAGAAGAAGAAATATTTAAAAAAATATAAAATTACAAGTACAGATTTTAATAATTTTGAAAATCAAAATTTAGAATTTTGCCAAGATCCGCCATTCAATAGTTTGTCTGTTCGTTCCTAGTCCTGGTTCCCTGGTTCTATTTCCACGTCCTTTGTTCTCTCTGATGCAATTTTCTTTAGTCTTTCCGGGTACCCGGGTCAATGTCAAACTTTTGGGAGATTGAAATCACAACTGCATCGATCGCCCCAGCAAACATATCTGCAATCTGGAATGTGAGCGTGGCGTTTAGCACGATCATCCAGTAAGATGTAAGCAATTATACATAATTCATTAATGCAATACGGATCATTTCAAGTCCGGGGATGGTGGGCGGCTGTCAGCCTGTCATTTCCAATCCGGAGCTAAATTCCAAGGTTATCGTCCCAGCCTCCTGGTTTCTGGGATTTCTGGGATGATCCGCTCGCAGCAACCTTGGAAACCTTATAGACAATATAACATCTTTAGCTCCACACTCTTTCAATCTGTATTCACTTTGGCCTTCTCTATTGAAAATGTGATTTTTTTTCCTTCAGTTCTATAATATCTTTTTTTAAAAAATTCCACATTCTACTTGATGTTCAAACTTTCCATTGTTTCGGAAATAGTGTAACAACCCCATTGAATCTAAATCACCTTGACCTTGACCGTACTTTGTTCCTCATTTGAGCATGTGGTTACATGACTCGGGTGAGTTACTTCGCTACGTGCCAGTCGTTATGCAGCGATCGACTTCAAGGTGTCAGTCCCACCCACCAACGACCGTGCAGTCATGCTTAGCAATGATCGATCAGATCAGCCCCTGCAGAACTCCCTAAATTATTAGGCCTCCCTATCCCACCCTAGGTTGTGCCCAACCATCACTAGCTCCGTCAAGTCTGACTGTTGCCGAAAAAAAAAAGAAATAAAAGGAAAATGTTTGCCTCATATACCAGCAAGGGTCTCCCCAACAATCTGAGGTCGTATCCCTGTCGGCCCGGTAACTCATTTGACATTGTATCGGGCCGCGGGTGCGACCTCCGCCCTACGGCCCCGTGGAGCAGCCCCTGACGTATGTGGTAGTAGTGCAGCGTCAGATCACATTCCTGTGGTGGATATGTCGGTCTGTCCGAATGGTCATTATTGCACTTCATACTCCGTACATAAGTACATATTTCGAATTTCGACAGGGTTTTATAGGTAGTTGCTTTGTTCGTACCTAATTGCTAAGGCAAACATGTTCGAACGTGGGATTCGAAATACCTAAGCGCTTTCATTCAGTATAGAGCCCATTTATTTTAGTTTGGCCTGATCATGCAGGTGAATAGTTTGAGTGGACGGTTAAATCCAAAACATGGGTATTAAGTACCGGAGTACAACCCGTTTTCATCCCCGCGCTTGAGAATATTCGATATCTGAATGTTTGGCCACCTAGTGCACGGATCCTTGCAACGGCGCGTGAATCATGAAAGTTGATGAATATGTAGGTTGCCACATCTGTTCGGATTCAAGCCAATCCGACTATTGACTGAGTCTGAGCCAGATGTCGGTGAGTTCAAACGTTGCTTGATACCTTGCTAGGCAAGCGGGATATGGAAAACCCTCGCGGCTGGATTATTCATCTTGCATTTCTCTATTCAACTAGTCAATTATCATTGAGCTCTACATAGCCACAAAAATGGATTTTCGTTTTCCAATGGCCAATAATAGAATGACAAATCAAAAACCATAAATAGAAAGAAACTCGGTGAAGTCCAGTCCAACATGGGATGTGATTTAGGGCTGCATCCCACTGAAGAAAGAACATCTAATATCATCTGCCATGCAGACGGCTCCATAATGCTTCAACCATGTACATATGTATTTGGCCCAGTATCGTTTTCATGTGATCCAAGTTTTAAAGCTTCTCCTGCATGTGGTTGCTAGTATCATCTTCTCCGCTATCTCCGCCATTATATTATGCAACACACCTGGGCAAATGCGACATGATATCGTCTTCCTTGCTTGTTATCGGAGAAGAAGTGTAAGCTCCAATATTTGAATCTTGGAACGAACTTGAACATTCAAATTTGGAGTCGCCAACAAAAGGGTTATAAATATATGAACGACAGCCACCTGCGCATGAGGGCCCACACATGGATCAATACCCAGCCTGAACCCAACGCTAACGAGAATATTTTACCATTCAGTCTGGAAAATTCCAAGGTATCTGTCTAGATGATATTGTTTAAACGTTCATATCTATGAATGTAAGTGAGACTTTGGAGCTTTAATGTATATGTAGACAGCAAGCGATGGACCCGGCGACGCTTGTTCGATTTTGAATATCCAGACGTGTGTCTGTTCTGTCTGTGCGCAAAGTGCTAAGACGGCTTCATATCCAGGAAGATGGGCTAAACCGCCACACACATGTGCACTTCTTTGCTTGAAACTTTGCACTCAAGTATGTACTGTTAAATCGACACTTCAGTTGACGTGACTGAGATCCCACATGTGCACGGGTTGCTGGACCCAACGTTGGAACTGCGCCTTCAAATGTTAAGCTCAACCTTCAATCTGAAGCTTGGGCAGTAGGAATGCACATGTGAAGTTTGACTGGAGAAATAAATATGTATAATTTGAATGATTCAGGATCTAGGTCAACTAGCTAGAAGTGCATGCACTAATTTCAAATGTTGAATATTTTCAAGATAAGTGTTCAATATTTGAGTCTCAAAATTTGCCCAGATGTTGAACAGGTTCCAAGGCTGTTTACAAAGTTGCTCAAAATTTCTTTGAAGTACTGGCCACCTTCCAGACATCAAAGAGTTGACACTTCAATGTTCGAAAATTTCCAGGTAGGTACCTCGGGAGCCTTTGGAGGTTTATCATTTGAAGCCTTCAACCTGGATCCTCGTGATGAATTCATGGATATATCCATCTATAGAGACATCTGGAGGTAGGTAAGCTTTATGTATCAATTGATGTAGATTGATTACATATTGATGTACATCAAACTAAGCCTCCAAAGCTCTGATTTGTAACTCAGAGCCTCCAGCTTGGGCGGAGGAGCCTCGGGACAAAATGTGATAATCTCATTATTAGTAGAATCTTGAGAACACATTAAAAACTCAAGATATATAGGTCTAGACTTTGGAGGGCAACACAAGCTGAATGGAGAAGGGAAAGTTATAAAGTGATCGGTACCAACTAGTTGTGGGAGTTCCAACCGACTTCTTGGGGAAATGTTGGAAAGGAAAAGTTGGATTTCAATCTCAAAGATATGACATTATCCAATTCATTCGCGTTGAGATTAGGGTTCTCAATAGGGGGCTAATTATTTATATCAATAGAGTAATCAGAAGTTCAAACATTTGGGCTTGATTTTCTCTGCCACGCGAGTCGCCAATAATTCCACACCGCTTTTTGGAATGTAACAAGGCTACGCGCGTGCCGTGACGCCAAGACCAACCGGGATTGGCCCAGTTCCCCTGCCCCTAAGGAAACTTGCGTGTAAGTAACACCAATAATTTATAGCTGATTTCCTGATGCGGCTAGACAGTTGATGCTGAGATAATCCCCGCAATGATGTAATAACGAACCAACTGTTTAAGTAGTAACTAGCTGGTCGCAGAGAAATTGATTAGTATCAAACTTCTGCAAATCAACCCAGTCATGGCCTCAATTATCGCCCCTCAGATTGCCTTCCGTGCCGCCCGTGTTGCGCCTCGTCCTGCCTCATGGGCCAGTTTTGCTGCCTTAGCCCGTACTCAGCCGGCCCTCCGTCGGACATTCGCGGCTTCTGCCCAGGAACAGCCGCGGCTGCGTCTGGGCTCAACTGGTATAATGAAGCAGGCAAAAGTTAGAAACAATCGCTAATACTATATCGCAGCCCCCAATTTCAAAGCAGTGACCACCAAGGGAGAAATTGACTTCCACGAGTTCATCGGAAACAATTGGGCCATCCTCTTTTCCCACCCAGCCGACTTCACCCCGGTCTGTACAACGGAATTGGGTGCCTTTGCGAAGCTGAAGAATGAATTCGAGAAGCGTGGCGTGAAGATGATTGGTCTGGTGAGGTTTCCTAAAATATTTTGATCCGGCATTTTCTAACTAACATATTCCTTTCTGCTAGAGCGCCAATGACATCGGATCCCACGGCGAATGGATCAAGGATATCAACGAGGTCGCCTCTACCGACGTGCAGTTCCCTATCATTGCCGACGCGGACCGCAAGGTGGCTTTCCTTTACGATATGATTGACCAGCAGGATTTGGACAACATTAGCGAAAAGGGCATCGCGTTCACTATCCGCTCCGTTTTCATCATCGACCCCAGCAAGAAGATCCGTCTGACTATGATGTACCCTGCTTCGACTGGCCGCAACTCCGCTGAGGTTTTGCGTGTCATTGACTCTTTGCAGACAGGCGATAAGAAGGGAGTCACCACCCCGATTGACTGGCAAGTGGGCGACGACGTGATCGTTCCCCCATCGGTCTCGACTCCTGACGCGAAGAAGAAGTTTGGCGAGATTCGAGAGGTCAAGCCTTACCTGCGCTACACCAAATTTTAGGAACTCGCGATAATGCGATGGTATTTTGTGGAACAATTGAACGTGTTTTAAACCTCCAGATTGTGTTTTCCCCCTTCAGAACATCCCGATACCTAAGAGATTCCTGAAGAGATTCCTGGCGATGGAGCTCAAAAACCTCTTATTTTCACAGAAACTCTAATCATGCGAAATCAATGTCCTTGTGTCTATCACAAAAAACAATAGCTTCCCTAGGGGACATCACTGAAGATTTTAGGTAGCTGCGTCACCTGCACGTGGACAGTCCACTATTCGACAGTCAGCGCAAACTTGAAGTTTGTGTATAAATGTAAGTCTACACCACGCTAACTATCCCCTTTGATATATCGACTTCAGATTTTAATCGGAGAAACATCGGATAGAATCTTGGAAGCGGTTCACCATAGCCACAGTGGCTATCGCTGTTCTTCCCCTGACTCTGTGATCTGGGGAAGGGATCGACACAAATAACCTTGGAAATTCCCCGCTCCGCCAGGAACAAACCCCCCATTGGCCCACTGACAACGCGTAGATAATCCACCTATAACGGGATTGAAATGTTTGTTCACGCTATCACCTCGCTTATGCACGCGAACTCCCCCTCAGCCTATACATAGTAACGATCTACTCCGAGAGGTTCGCCAGAACCTGATTTATGCATGACACATGGGCTTGCCAAATACCTGCCCCTCGGCCATTCTTGCCCGTGGGGGGTTATTTATACATAATATGTGTATATCCCTGAATCAAGCCGAACTCAAATCCGTGTGACTTTCTGTCCTTCCTGAAAAGTCGCACAGGACGGCAACCCGAGTCTGATCAGCTGTTGTTACCCGTACGCCAAAGCCCCACGGTACGCCATGACTCGCTGGTCCCATCTGGCTCTCGTGCCTCTGTTACCCCAGTTGCTTGCCGCAGCACACGGTACAGATGGAGAAGCTGACCCCGTACAACTGGGCCCACGCGCCGATGCCGATTACTCCTCGCCGCCGTCTTATCCTGCCCCGCATGGAGGCTGGGTGTCTGACTGGTCAGATGCTTACGAGAAGGCGTACCAGGTCGTCAGCAACATGACACTGGCCGAGAAGGTGAACCTTACCACCGGGACGGGGTTCTACATGGGACCTTGCGTCGGCCAGACAGGAAGTGCGCCTCGATTCGGCATCCCGAATATCTGCTTTCAAGATGGCCCCTTGGGAATCCGGGCGACAGACCATATCACGGCATTCCCGGCTGGACTCACTGTTGGGGCGACATTCAATAAGGAGTTGATGTATAACCGCGGCGTTGGGATTGGTGAGGAGGCGCGAGGAAAGGGTGTCAATGTTCAACTTGGGCCAGTGGTTGGTCCTCTCGGGCGGAAGCCTCGAGGGGGTCGGAACTGGGAAGGCTTTGGTGCGGACCCGACTCTTCAAGCTATTGGAGGTGCTCAGACTATCAAGGGCATGCAGAGTACCGGCGTCATCGCGACACTGAAGCACTTTATTGGATACGAACAGGAGATGTATCGGATGAGCAGCGTCATTACAAAGGGCTACTCGTCTAACATTGATGATCGCACTCTTCACGAGCTTTATCTGTGGCCTTTTGCGGAGGGTGTTCGCGCCGGCGTGGGTTCAATGATGACTGCATATAACGATGTAAGTCCCCCCGCCTTCTTGTTTGCAAACCCAGTTTAACCCCTTCCAGGTAAATAGCTCCGCCTGCAGCCAGAACAGCAAGCTACTGAACAACATCCTCAAAAACGAGCTTGGTTTCCAAGGCTTCGTTATGACGGACTGGCTGGGTCACTATAGTGGTGTGGGATCCGCTCTTGCGGGCCTTGACATGGCTATGCCAGGTGATGGTGCCGTGCCTTTGTTTGGTGACAGTTATTGGGCTCATGCTTTATCTCGATCCGTTCTCAATGGCAGTGTTCCGATGGACCGCCTCAACGATATGGTACGTTATGACATCGCCTCGTAGGTATCGCACACTAACATTTGTTCTTGCGGAGGTGACTCGAATCGTGGCAACGTGGTACAAATTCGGCCAAGATGATGACTATCCTCTACCTAATTTCTCAGCAAACACCGGTGACGCGACTGGGGAGCTCTACCCTGGTGCTCTCTTTTCTCCCAGCGGAGTCGTCAACCAATTTGTTGATGTCGAGGGAGACCACAACATTACTGCCCGAGCTGTTGCGCGCGAGGCCATTACACTTCTCAAGAACGAAGACGATGTACTTCCGTTAAGCCGAAATGATTCGCTTAAAATATTTGGCACCGATGCTGGGGCAAACTCTGGTGGGTTGAACTCATGCACCGACCAAAGCTGCGACAACGGTGTCTTGACCATGGGATGGGGCAGTGGTTCTGCAAGCCTACCATATCTCATCACACCCCAAGAGGCTATTGCAAATGTTTCCCAGAATTCCACATTCTACATCACAGACACTTTCCCGTCCGATGTCACAGCCAGTGCCGATGATATTGCATTGGTCTTCATCAACTCGGACTCAGGTGAGAACTCGTACACCGTCGACGGTAACCCCGGAGACCGACTTGTCGCTGGCCTGAACGCCTGGCACAGCGGCGATGACTTGGTCAAGGCAGCAGCGGAGAAATTTTCTAATGTTGTCGTGATAATTCACACGGTCGGCCAAATCTTGATGGAGGAGTGGATTGAGCTGGACTCCGTCAAGGCTGTTCTGGTGGCCCATCTCCCGGGCCAGGAAGCAGGCGACTCACTCGTGGACGTGCTTTTTGGAGACTACAGCCCAAGCGGCCACATGCCGTACACGATCCCAAAGAGTGAATCCGACTATCCAGATAGTGTAAGTATCATCGACCAACCATTAGGCCAGATTCAGGACACTTTCACCGAAGGTATTTATGTCGACTATCGTCATTTCCTCCAAGCCAACATCACTCCGCGGTACCCCTTCGGCCATGGACTGTCATATACTACATTCAATTTCTCGAGCCCTTCACTATCGGTAGTCACGGCACTCGACAGTACCTATCCTCCTGCAAGGCCCACGCAAGGAGCCACGCCAACGTATAATGACTCCATTCCCAACGCCTCTGAAGTCGCATGGTCATCAGCCAGCTTTACTCGGATTTGGCGCTATCTTTACCCATACCTCGATGACCCTCAGTCAATCACTGCTTCGGACACGTATCCTTATCCGGATGGCTACAATACAACACAGCAGCCCGCTGTACGTGCCGGTGGTGGCCAGGGTGGTAACCCTGCCCTGTATGACATCGCATTCTCGATCGATGTCACAGTCACAAACACGGGAAGCCGAGGAGGAAAGGCTGTAGCCCAGTTGTACGTTGAGCTTCCTTCGAGCCTGGGTCTCGACACACCATCCCGACAATTGCGTCAGTTTGAGAAGACCGAGGAGTTGGCCGCTGGTGAGAGCGAGACATTGACACTTGAGATTACTCGTAAGGATCTCAGTGTCTGGGATGTGGTTGTACAGGACTGGATGGCCCCTGTTAATGGAGACGGGGTCAATATCTGGATTGGTCAAAGTGTTGCTGATCTTCCAGTGCTTTGCTCAGTTGGTACAGGGTGCTCCGTTTCTTGAGTCCCCGCCCTTCTCTTATATTCATGCAAACGGCATGTCGCCTCCATATGTACCTAGGTGATTTATTTAACAAGTATATGCAAACTTTTGGTCAAGTCAAGCTCCTCGCTACCTATTCCCCCGGAGTCTGAATATCTTCAACTATGGGCTGTTTCTCACGGTTCAACCCAGTGACGGTCTCAACGTGCTCCTCTCTCAGCTTAATCCTCAAAATGAATAGAGAGAACACGACACCCAAGGCCGACATGCAAGTATTCAAAATCCACATATTCCGCATACTCCACGAAAATGCTTCTTGCACAGCCAGCAGCTGCACGGGGTTCTGAATATTCTTAATTTTTTCGATATTAGCCGCGGCAGAGTCACCCGTCATCTGGTTTGCCAAAGTTTCTGACATGCCAGTAGCCAAAAGAGACGCCTTCCTTTCTACCATGCTGTTCTGAAACACGACGCCACCGATGACGATTGAGCATGCCGTAGCCATGTTGCGGATGAAGCCCAGGGTAGCTGTGGCTGTCGCTGTATCCTCCTGAGATACCATGGCCTGTAGAGCAATGATGGGTGTTTGGAAAAGTAGTCCGGCGCCATATCCGCTGATGAGCTGGTAGCCGACGATCTCTCCTAGGGAGGAAGATGGGCCCAATCGAATGAACAATCCGTTTCCGATGGTCATCAGTACAAGACCCATCCAGATGAGTTCACGGTATCTTCCGGTGCGGTGAATCACCAAGCCGGTCACAATGCCCGAAAGAGCCTCGGCAAGAACGAGGGGGAGAATCAGGACACCAGATCGCATTGGGGATGCCCCCTTTACAGATTGCAGGTAGAGGGGAATGTAGTATTCTCCTGCGATGAAGACCTACATAGTCCATGTTAGTGCCGGTCTGGCTCAAAGAATTGAACAAATTTGACTTACAAAACCATGCGCCCACCCGACAGCCAAGGTAGCAACGTTCGAAATGTGAGAGAAAATGTCGAGCGGCATAAGGGGATACTTTGCAAGTCGCTTCTCGCTGTAGATGAAAAGCAGAGAGCACAAACTTCCAAATACGATCAGACAGATGACCTGTGGGGAGCTCCAAGCAAAAGTTTCGCCACCAAAGTCCAGACCCAGCAGAAGCATCAGGGTCAAACCTAAGACCGACAGGCTTCCGAACCAATCGATCGCTTTGAACCCATCTGCCATGTTGGTCTTGGGATTGTGCACATCCAGATAGAAGAATAGAAGAATGAACGCAATACCCGAGATCGGGGGGTTGATCCAGAAGCTCCATCTCCACGTAACATACTCAGAGAATGCACCACCAAGCAGCGGACCGATGCCACCAGCCAAAGCCCACATAACCTCCATCAAACCAAGATAGAGACTCCGATGACTGATCAAAGTATTAGCGTCCCATATATGCAATTTTGTGGAGCCATGTCAGGGATAATCAGTAGCACCTACCGGACACTAAACAAATCAGAAATAATAATCGTGTTGAGCTGCAGAAGCCCACCACCCGCAATACCCTGCAGCGCACGACCAGCAATCAACATCTGCATATTGACCGCAGCAGCACAGACAATTGAGCTGACAAAGAAGAAAGCGACAGCAATGAGCAAAATCATCTTGCGTCCCCAAATATCAGACAGTTTAGCCCAGATACAGGATCCAGCCGCATTAGCCAAAAGATATGCTCCACCAATCCAAGTGTATCCCGCAGCAGAGTGGAATTTGGCTGCAATGGTGGGAATAGCAGTCGCGATAATTGTCTGGTCGAGCGCAGCGACGAACATGGATAACTAGGGGTGCTGTTTAGTCCGGGGAAACCAAGACCCTGAAGGGAAAAAATTCGTGCCGAGAAGATTTCTTACAGAAAGAGCCAGCATGATTGCCGTGATGCGCACTTTTCCCCGCACAGGCGGGGAGTCGACGAATTCCATATCCAAGGCCATTTGACCTGATGTTTTTGGGGCTTTGTTTCGTTGCCAGTTGGGAGCTTGAGGGTCTAGAGAAAGAAAATGTTTTTCAAGCCCCGGATTTTCCCCCGCCGGAGTGTTATACCCGCTGCTTGCGGCTGGACCCGCCTGCCTCTAGACGGCATAAAGTCTTGGAAATGAGTCATTCGTAAATCGAATGTACTTACATACAAATATTCTTGTTTCTCTTATGCAGTAAGACGCTCATCTTACCCTATATGGACTCCGCAAATTGACCTATCGGCATTCTGTAAAGTTACTGTAAAGCGACGAAGGCTGTATCGCGTAAATACAGAGCGAGGACGTGAGGACTCTGGGCCTAGGAGTCAACTGGTTTGACATGATCCGCTTCAATGTTTGTACTGCACAATCCGATAGAAATCGTGTCAATCGTGATCTTAACACTACTAGTAGTATCTCTTACCAAAATGCCAACTAGAATCGCCCCCACACGACACCTGCTTGGCATTCCTCCCCCTCCAACCTCGTGCATCATCCATGTGGCAGATCAGCAAGGAGAGAACACCTGCCAAAGTTCAAATCAACCTCACCTCATCTCCAAAGCAAGCCTGAAGCCATAACTAACCCTCCTTTCTGAAATAAGAAATACTTCAACCAATAAAAAATGCCATGGACTCAAAAGGGCGACTACTGGGAAACCCCCCTAGACGTCCACGAACAATTCTTCAATAAAATCAAAGACCTCACAATCCCTACCGGCCGCGAAGGATGGATGATAATGCTCACTGCAGTCCTATGCCCCCCATCAAAAAGAAGAACAAGCATACTAGACCTCGGACTTGAACTCCGCGACGCCTGGAAAGCTCTTCGATTTCAGCACCCAGGAATCGCAACCGAGCTCGATCCATCCGGCAAGAACAAGCGATACTATCCGCCCCGAAACGAAGAAGAGCTAGAAGCCTGGGCCAATAACACGTTCCGCATACTGGAAAACGTCCCCTCGGCATACGAGGTGCTTCACGGGGACAAAGTGCAGATCGCACCCCCACACGTCAACTGCTTCTGGATCCCCGCCACCAAGGAAGTAGCACTTCTTTCATCACACTGGCGCTGGGATGCCCGCGGCTCCTTATGGGTCCTCCGCGATCTCCTCTCCGAACTAGCCTTATCACGCAGCTCACCACGAGAAACCAAGGCCCTCTCTCCATTTTGGTTCAGTGCCCATGCAGCGCGGCCCAACTTGGCTCCGTCTCTCGACGAACTGGTCCGTATGCCCGCCAAGCAAGACTGGAATCCAGACTGGGAAGTACAGGCCACGGCGCTGCATGCCGATAGCGTACCGCGTGACGGCACGCCTGCATTCAGCATATCAGCGGACCCGCAAGACGGGACCATGACCATGCCGGGCAAGACGACGAGGCTGGAGGTGGTGTACTCGGCTACAGAGACGGCGGACATACTAGCTGCAATTCGCGCGCGGGGGCTAACCGTTGCGCCGGCCGTGCATGCGTCTGTGATCGAAGAGGCGGTGCGGCTGAATCCGGGATCTGCGGCGTCGCGGTTCGTTTCATATGGGATTTTTGATCTGCGGAGGTATTGTCCGCCGCTGAGTAATACGTCTGTGGAAGCGGTTTCGCATCGCGTGCTGGGATTACCGTTGAACGTGCCGACGGCTGGATCGTGGGATGAGTTGGCGGAGACGCTTAAGAAGTACTATGGGCGGTCGTGGATGGATGAGAGTGGTGGGCTTTTTGTGCGGAGGGTGTTTGTTGAGCAGATGCTTGATAAGATGGGTCATTCGGATGTTGTTGTTTCGGAGCCCTATTTTAATAGTTTGGGTGTTGTGGATGAGTATTTGGGGCGGAGGTTTGGGGATTTGGGGGTTGAACATGTGGAATTTTTGGATACGAATGTTACGCGGGCTTTGGTGATTCATTGCTTTACGTGGAAGGAGGAGTTACATGTCAGCTTGGGGCACAATGAGGCCTTTTATGAGGATGAATTTGTGGAGGATTATCTGTTGGCTGTCAGGGAGAATGTTTTGGAGAATTTGGGGCTGGGGACTGAGAGGAGCATTGAATGATTCATCAATTGAGTTCTAAGTGTTCGAGAAGTATTATTCGAGTCTAGACTTCGGGTACAATCAAGATTCAAGATTCAAGATTTAAGATCCAGTAATCGTATGTACTACGTACTATATACTTGGAAGTATTGAATCTGCGGGTGAAATACTCCAGATCTGCAGATTGACGTCATGCATTTTTAAGCTCACGATCCACCGGAAATAAAGATCGAGATCACTACAAGGTAACTTAGCTTGTATTTTCTCCGATCCCGATCCCGATCCTCTATATTTATTCAAAAAAAAAATCTGCCCCTCATCAGCTTGTCACCTAACTATCTCACTACCTCCACACCAAAGTGACCGAATAAGCAATGCCATCCTCACCACCAAAGGTAGTCCTATACTGGCACCGAACAGACCTCCGCCTCCACGACTCCCCTGCCCTCCACGCCGCCCTCGCCCTAAAGCCCTCAATCTTCATCCCCGTCTGGACCTGGGACCCCCACTACGTGTACCGCTCCCGCGTAGGCCCAAACCGCTGGCGCTTCCTGCTAGAATGCCAAAGCGACCTCTCAACCGCCTACGCGAAGCTCAACGCCAAGCAAAAACTCTGGGTCGTGCGCGAAGCGCCACAGACCGTGCTCCCAAAACTCTGGAAAGCATGGGGCGTAACACATCTAGTCTTCGAACGGGATACAGATCCCTACGCAAAGGCGCGGGACGAGCAGGTCCTGCGCTTGGCCAACGAGGCCGGCGTAGAGGTTATCACGCGCATGGGGCGGAACCTGTTCGATCCCGACGAGCTGGCGGCGAAGAACGGCGGTAAGGCGACGATGAGCATGACGCAGGTGGAAAAGGCTGCGGAGAAGATTAATGGCGGACAGCCTGATAAGCCGCTGGAGGTGCCTGCGGGCGTGCCTGACCCGTGGGAGTGGGAGAAGATGAAGCTGGATGGGACCTCGGGTGCAAGGCAGGATGATAGGGTAGAGGCGGAGCCGGACTTGAATGCGGAGCATCGGAGTAGCAAGGATGAGCAGTATGCGGGGATTATGGGGCCGAGGGGCGATTTTGGGGTTGCGACGCTGGAGGAACTGGGGATTGCTGCTTCGAGTGTTAGTACGCCGCATCGGGGTGGTGAGAGTGAGGCGTTGAAGTTGCTGGCGACGTCTATTAAGAATGAGGAATATATTGGTCGGTTTGAGAAGCCTAATACGTCGCCTGCGGACTTTGAGCCACAGTCCACGACGCTGCTTTCACCGCATCTTCATTTTGGGTCGCTCTCTGTGCGCAAGTTTTGGTGGGATGTGCAGGATGTGCTTAGCAAGCGCAAGGCGCAGAAGAAGCCCGTATCGTCGATCCCTACTAATCTTCCTGGCCAGCTGCTATTTCGGGATATGTACTTTGCTGCACAGGCAGCTGTGGGTCCTGCCTTTGCGACGACATATGGGAATCCTGTTGTCAGATTGATCGACTGGCATTTGCAGTCTAAGAATTTGGACGTGGAAGATGGGGATTCAGAGAAAGATGAGACGGATACACGGAAATATACTGTTGATTCAGCCGAGGCAGAAGAATGGTTTATTCGGTGGAAGGAAGGGCGCACGGGATTTCCCTGGATCGACGCCCTCATGCGGCAGTTGAGGCAGGAGGGGTGGATACATCACCTCGGCAGACATAGTGTTGCCTGTTTTCTGACGCGTGGAGGCTGCTACGTGAGCTGGGAGCGAGGCGCAGAGGTTTTCGAAGAGCTTCTGATCGATCGTGAGTCTGCCCTGAATCCTGATCGCCGATAGGTTCTCCACCCGCCAGAATATTTTCCCGCAAATATTATGTCGGCTGATGCCTAGTGCGAAATGCAGCTACCTACTGACCATTATGATGTTAAAAATAGACGAGACAGCTTGCAATGTGGGAAATTGGATGTGGCTTTCCTGCACCGCTTTCTTCGCGCAGTTTTACCGCTGCTATTCACCGATTGCGTTCGGGAAAAAGTGGGATCCGGAAGGTCACCTTGTTCGCCGGTATTGTCCCGAGCTGGAGCAGTTTGATAAGAAGTATATTTACGAGCCGTGGAAAGCGCCTATTGCCGACCAGAAGAAGTGGGGGTGTCGTGTTACGGGGGATGGAAGTGGTTCTTCGGAGGATGGAAAGACGTATCCGAAGCCGATGTTTGATTTCGATCGACGTAGGCAAATATGTCTGGATAGTATGAAAAACGGGTATGACGTTGGATTGCACGGAGCAGATAAAGAGGTCATGAATGGGTCTTGGACGAAAAAGTTTGACATGAATGATGAGAAGCCCAAGAAACGCCAGAAAACAGAAAAATGAACGATATATAGTGAGAAACAATGAGAACAGGATCCGCAACGTCGAATCTCTTAAGCGAGTTATCATTGTATATGACTCCTGTAGAATAAACGACCTGGGTAAATGACCTCAAATTCGTGTATCGTAACTCCGAATGCCCTATGTGATATACATTACAAAACGTTAAGATGGTTTACCAGAAGAAAGAGTAAACAAAGATCAGAATGGTGGCGACAGTGGCGACCGTGTACTGGAGTTCGAACCAAGCAGCCTGACCACCGAAAGCGATCTTCTTGCTCTTGCTAGTCGGGTGGGCTACTCCAGTCTTCGGGTCGCGTTTCAAGAGGTCTTCACGCTCCGGCATAGAGGGAGGGTCAATGGCGTAGGATACCGGAGTCCACAGAGATGTGCAGATGAAAAGGAAGGTCAGTGGGGGCCAGAAGGCGTGTGTGATCAAGCAGATAATGACACCCTTGAAGCCGCTGGCCACGGCGAAGCAACGGTAGGAGGAGATTACCACTGCAACGAGGGTGACATAGACGAAGGCAAAGTGGAAGAGTGCCATGTAGTTGAAGAGAATGACGCGGAGACGAACAAAGATGTTCTTTCGGGTCTTAGGGTCACGCTCGTTGAGAGTCGAGCCTAGGGAACCAGTAGGCTTGAAGGCCTGGGTTTGACCACCAAGCCACTTAGGCAGCATAAAGGAGCGAACGATACAGATGGCAATGTAAGGAGACATCCATAGCTGGTAACGAGAACCACGCTGACCGGTATTATAACCAGCGGGAATAAACAGCGCAAACTCGCACAGACGGTTACTAAGAGTCGCCGCGAAACAAGCCCAGATAAGCCAATGAAGCTCATCCTGGTTAGCGTAAGCAACAAGTTGCTTACCCCATAAGAGAATGACAGGGATTGCGAACAGAGAAGCGGTCAGAAGGAGCGTATACAAACTCAAGGTGGCGTAGAGGAATCCAGAGAAACGTTGAGCGAAGCTCATCTGACGGACAGCGTCACCCCAGAGACAGAACTTCAGCTTAAAAGCCGTATCCACAGTTCCGATGGCCCATCGAGTACGCTGCTTCAAGTGACCACCAAAGTCTTCGGGAACAGTACCGTACTGCAGCGGCTCGTGAATGTAAGCGGTTTTCCAACCTTTGCCAAGCATCAAAGTCGATGTTGCGACATCCTCTGCCAAGGAGCCAAGAGGGAAGTTGCCAATCTCTTCCAAGGCCTCCCGACGCACGACGTAACCCGAGCCAGTACACCACGCCACGTTGAGCGCGTCCTTGATTGGTTCAATAACATGCACGAAGAAGTCCAGACTCTGGGCGAGGGGATCAGACGCAGGGGTATTGTAAAAGAGCTGCGGAGGGCATGCAAGGGCCATCTTAGGATCCACCAACAAGTGGGGGAGGATTGCGCGAAGCCATTCTTGTTCGGGAATCTGTCAAATATTAGTTTATGCGCCAAGGCTAAGATAATGCTTGACTGGCTAATATTGATGCCAATAATCTTGGAGGAAAGATAAGAAAAAAAATATATCAAGAATTGATGACTTACCATATCAGCGTCCAGCGCAGCCATGAATTGGCCTGCACCTCCGGGTAGGGTATGCACCTGGTCCAGACCATAGTTCAAGTTACCAGCCTTGAAGTGGTGCGGCTTTCCGGGAATCTTCTCTCGTGCCATATAGTAGACGTTCGGGTGGGTTGACGAGAGTTGTATGACAGACTCCTCCAGAGTTGCGGATTTGGCGTCATCAAGTATAATCACCCGGAATCGGTCTTGCGGGTAATCTTGGTCAAGGGTACCCCGAACAGTGTCGAGGACCACCTCGTCATCCTCACCACAGCAAGTCACAAAGACGTCCACGGTCGGGCAGTCGTTTCCAGTCAAGCGGAGCTTTGCTCGGCCTCGCTTTTTCAAAGCGAGCATTGTCCAACAGTTGTGCATAAGTGAGGGAATCGCGACGGCAATCTCAATGGCGACAAAGACCCAAGCACCAGCATAGCTGACTCCGGCGGCATTTTGTGCCTGAATGATACAGTAGATTCGCAGGCCGAGATAGAACAGATAGATTCCGGTGTTACCAAATGTGAGGAAGGGAGTCAAGAAGAAGACCCAGCGCTTCCATCCTTTCCAGGTGTCGGCGTCGTCGCGATCACTGATGCGGGCAATGGATGAGGAACCGGTCTGCACCCATTCCTTGGAGAAACCTGGTGAGGCGGGTGTGTTGACCAGTGGGGCCAAACTCTGAGCGCTTTGCTGGACCGGTGTGTTTTGATACTGTTCAACAATTGAGTCTATTAGTTTGCCGGTTTTTGCTAGCGACCGGATCTAAACGCGAGGTCTACCTACCAGAGTTGGTGATGTGGAACGAGAGTCATATGGGGTATTTGCCCAGGTCTCGGGAATATCCGAGGTTCTGGGTGTAGGCTGAAGCCAGCCCTGGGAGGCATACTCGGGTGGACTGTATCGGGGACTGGCGGTATGGCCGGCTCGGTATGGAACTCTCGGTCTCGGAGAAGGAATATCTTGAAACTCAAAGTCGAAAGTGCTTGGACTGGTGGGATTGACACCTCGATACCCATTACCTCCCTGAAGTGTGGTCATCTCCTCTTCCTCGGGGCCATAGAGGTTGGCCGTATGCCCGTTCATGTTGGGCGATCACGCCGGGAGCAAAGATTTGAAGAATGCGCTAGGATCGAACTGGGAGGTATAGATAAGGTGGAAGGTATGTCGGGGTTAATTTTTTTTTTTTGTTTGGAGACAAAGACCTGAGACAGGTCGGCTTAATAGAAAAAACGAATGTGATCAAAAAGAAAGAGAATGAAGCTGGGGGAGTTGGGAGAAGATGACTGGGGTCGGTAAAATTGGAGTGAGAAGATCCCAAAACGCTCTTATCATTGGGGGGACTGGGAGTGCATATTGCGGAAAAGAAGGGAGGCTTAGGTGAATCGCATGTGGATTCACCGACCAATCGGGGAAACCAGATTGCTCTTTGCGTTTTACTACATGGGACCCGTACTCGGACCTGGACCAGTTATTCTAAATCCTGCTTTTCTGCTTTAATCTGAATCATACATTGCTGATCCAGTATAAATTAGTGGGAATAATATAACAATACACCTGTATGCTACCCTAACCCGCGTGGCTTCCTGAAGCAAAAAAAGAAAAGCCATCCGCTTTCGTCATGATTGCCCGGTCTATTGAAGTACCAAGTTAGGGCTGCTTGAATTCACCAAAAAAAAAAAATCTCGTTCCTGATCCACTCAACGTTGTGATTTCTATTTTTTGTGTGACCAATCCAAGAGGTTGCCTTGTCCGGATCCGTGGTCTTTCGGTGGAGTTTTTTTCCACGTAGAAGACAAGAAAAAAAAAAAGAGAGAAAAAAGTCTGAAATTATCGATTTTATTGATTTATCGATTTACTGTGATCTATTGGGCTTGTGCATCAATTTTGCCGATCGAGATGTGTTCTCCAGCCACAAAGCACACGATAGCTTTTCGAGTGATAGAGATCAGCCTACTGTGAGTGGTTGCGTGACAATATGAAGCGGAACCCATGTGTGTATCGTAACCGCATTCGGCGTAGCACGTACGCAGGGGGCAAATGCGTGGCGGTAAGACCCACTTGGACCCGGTTTTTCCCTTCTTCCTTGGCTCTTTTTAGCCCTTTTTGCCCTGCACTAATCGCACTAATCGGACTAAAGGGACCTAGGGATGACTAAGAAGCACTAAAGAAGCCTAACCCGAGACCAAAATAGATGAAAATAAATGAAAAAAGGCCTGAAAAACCGATGATTTCACTGATTTGACTGAAATTGAAGTCATTTCCAGCAAAGAAAGTAACAGTCACTGTCCGGTTCCCGCTTTTAGTACCTGCCGCTAAACTCAATCCGGTTGTCCCCCCATCCATCGATAACAACTCTGAATCCCCATTCAACTCCTAGTCGCGTTGCTCTTTTTTTTCTTTTTTCTTCTTTTTTTTTTTTTGGGCTGTTAGCGCTTTCCTTTGTCAAGGACACTCATACACACATCATGGCTCTAACATTGCTTGTTAACGCCATTCTTCTCGCTATCCCTCTCGGAGGTTCCGTGGGAACCCTGGTCGGAATCGACGCTCACCTTGCCGCGACCGGTCAAAAACCACTGTTCAGTAGCGACGGAGACTCGGATTCGGGCTCGGGATCTGGAGGCAGCTCAGGCAATTCGGGAAGCACAGGCGGTGGTTCAGGAGGCAGCGGCAGCGTCACCAACAACGGTCTCACCAACACCTTATACTGCGAATCCTCATGGGGTATCTCTCCACCATCTCAGGGAGAACAATTTACACGTGAGTGACTTCTTCTTCCGTTCTTCCCCAGCTTTGTGGTCCTATCCACATTCCGATCGCTGATCACCCTCCCGTGAACCCTGCTGATCGATCATTTTTACAGTCAACCCCAATCAGTGGGGTGTTACCGACACCACAGTAGGCGCTTTGTGTATGAATGTAAGCTCCTGACCTGTTTCAGCCTGGTTTCGAATCTTGAGCTAACCCCAACCCATCAGGTCACAACATACAACAATGAGACCTACCCGACCAAGACCACTGCACCGGACTGGTCAGTGACTTGGAAATTCAACGCCGGTCCCGAGACTCAACCTGTGCATGCTTTCCCCAATATCCAAGTCGAAGATGTACTGCCTGTGGTGTTGGAGGATATCACCGACATTGACTTTGCTCTTCACTGGACCTACGGTGTGGGCGACGCCATTGTGGCCTCCACGGACCTAACAGCCCTTACCGCCGAAGACCTTGAATGCAACGTCGCCGTCGATATGTTCTTTGACAGTGACAAGGCCACAGCTCAGAACAGTACCACTGCCTCATTCGAAGTCATGGTGTGGTTTGCGCGATTTGGTGCTTCGTCTGATCCCATCGGCTATTCAGACGGTATTGTTACAAACCATACCATCAACGGGACTACATTGTGAGTCCACCTGTCATCCGTATCCCTTGAAGTCTTGTTTACTGACCCTATCTTTTCTTTCTACAGCGGGCTCTACAGTGGTCAGAACAGCAACAGCCAAAATGTATTGACGTGGATTGCATCAGAGACTACAGAAGAGTTTGAGGGTGATCTGTACCCATTGATCACAGATCTCTATTCTTTATCTGGAAGTACTTATCCGTCTAAGGCGGACTACATGGGTATCTTCCAGTTCGGAACCGAGGCTTTCTCGGCTGCGAGTAACGTCACTTTCGGAGTGACAGAGTTGTCTATTGATATCAAGTCATGAAAGGGTTAATGGTTGACCCTCTGTACAAATCACATTTAATATGCATTACTTACGAATTATTGAAGCCTTTCATATCATGAACAATTTTCAAATGCGTTGTGTTCCGCGAAGCTAGTTGGCGCAGAAGTCGTTGCATGTGTACTAGTAGTATGAAAGAAAAGGCCAAAAAGTGAGGTTTATTTCCTACCACGCCGCGCTCCGATAATACCACAGCGGTACCACGGCAGTGCTCAAACCCCTTGCAAGGCTGCGCGCGTGCTAAGGAGGGGGTTTTCGCCCCAAGGTCCGCACGCGAGATTATTTTTGTACTCTTAAGCCAAACATTTTGCGTGTCCTTTATGACTCACATTTCTTTACACTACTAGTAAGTATATTACAATATTCAACAGCCAAATCTCTTGCTCTGTGATTCCATTGAAACTCGGGACCAAAAAGACCTCGGCCCAATACTCATACCACCTTCAAAATGGAGCACATCCAAGCGTACGACCTCTCCGTCTTCCCATACTCCAACGAAAATCATGGCGGAAACCCAACCACAATCTTCCTCGGCGCAAACGACCTAACCTCAGAAGAAATGAAGGCCCTTGCCAAAAAGGCCGGCCACGAATGCGGCTTCGTATTCCCAGCTGCTTCATCCCCAGCTCCAACCCACTACACAATGCGCTACTTTGTCCCAAACCACGAAATGGAAATGTGCGGCCACGCCACCGTCGGCGCCATCTGGCTTCTACACCAACTAGGCAAACTAACCACTCACCTTCCCAACGATCTCATCCGCATATCCACCTTATCAGGCATCGTCGACGCAAAGATTCTCCCCAGCGCCTCCGAATCTCTACAATCCAGCACCATCCTCATATCCCAACCCAAAGGCACAACCCAAGACCTACATCCCGCCCACACCCCCTCGATCCTCTCCAGCCTCGGCCTCACCCAGACCGACCTCGCAAGAGGCCTCTCAATCCAGAACGCGCGCACCTCACGCACAAAAACCCTCATCCCGCTGAAAAGCCGCGAGATCCTGCAAAACCTGCGCCCGGACCCGGAAGCCATCGTGCGCGTGTGCGAGAGCGTCGACTCAACGGGTTTGTATCCGTACGTTGTACTCGATGCCGCGGAGCAGCTTCTCGAGGCAAGACAGTTTCCCAGATCGGCAGGGTACGTTGAGGATCCGGCGACGGGGATTGCGGCCGCGGCTTTGGTGTTCGGGCTCGTCGGGAGTGGGAGTGGGATCGTCGCGGAGAAACCTGTTCGTGTGAGACAAGGGTGGGCTATGGGGAAGGCATCGGAGATTCGGGTCTGTCTTAGACAGGGTGGGGAGGGGGAGGGGGTGGTGGGGTGCTGGATAACTGGGCAGGTGCGATGGCGATCAGGTTGAGTAGTTCGGGAAATAGTTCGGAGAATACGGTTCCAAGGTTTTCGGGCAAATGAGCCGTAGAAATGATTTTTTGTAGGTATAGACTATAGTATGTACAACCGAGTGTAGGGCTGTTTAGAAATCGCATTCGCATTTGAAATTTTCGTCTTGATTCTTGATTCCTCTTTTCTTGGCAACATGGTGTGATTCAATCGTTGATTCGGAACAACTCAGGTGCTGTGTTGCAGGCTAAGCGAGGGAATCGATATACTCGCGCCCGTTGTCTCGTGGGCCGTGGCCACTAAGTCCGGGGTAGCGTCAAGTTCAACAACCCCTGATTCTTGAGTCCCCAGTTCCGCTCCGACGTGGTGTTCTTCCCTTCCATCGCTAACATGATATCGCACACTCGCTTCTGCAATGGCTACATGAAGGAGTCACCTACCCAGACCAATTTATGCGATCGCAAACTAATCCGATCGATAAATATCGGACTGTCACTACACTTAGTAAACAGCAGACGATCTTTACCCAGGATAAGTTATCTTGAGGGGGCCCGGGTCTCCGACGGAGCAAAATGGATTGAAAGAAGACTAATGCCGCTATTGCCGGCAATCGATGCAGAGATGGCTTATCGACGGGCTTGAATGACACTTTTTGAGGGGTATTAGTGGCGCATCAGCCGATGCTTGTTCCCCTTTGCCGAGCGTTGGCGTGCATCGGCTTCACTGCGCCTATCGTGGCCTGTCGGGGAAATGAGGCCGTGCGGGGATACGATGTATGCGATTGGACCATCTACCTAGTTTCTACGGCAACACGAGAGAAGTCGATTCTTCAACGGTCGAGGTCTGTGTGTTAGCTTTGTGAAGGGTGACCCTATTGGAGGAAAAGGATGCTCGGTTGCCGTGCGATAGGCTATTGCTACGTAGCACACGCCTTTTCAGGTACCGATAGAACTAGCATGTACTAGTACTAGTCAAGTTACTCAAGCTTGAGCATATAAAGGGGAGAGAGATTGGCCATGTATAGTCGACCGCAGCGTTCACCTAGTGCGGGGTTATTTGTAGAAAATTGAAATTGGAAGCCTGAGTGCGTTCCAGAACACAATGTTGCCGCGCTCGTTTATCGGGGGTCTCACGACTCTTTCCCTTGCCGTTGCTGTTGCGGCGAAAGGTGGCCAACACCAGATCCTCAAGAGGACCAGCGATGCGACTACAGGGGAGCTGCATGACTTCCAGGTCTCTCCGCCTGTTCTGACCGCATCTGCAAACTCGGAGGGGAAGAACGAGTATGGATGTGTTGTCACGAAGACGCTTATGGATTATGATTTCGCGAGTAGCTATGGCAGTCCTTATGTTGGTGAGTGCACGCAGACATTAGTTGGAAATCTTGAAAATCAAGGAAATAGCTGACAAAAATGGATAGGATTCTATACACCCCCTGACTGCGACTTCAATAGAGTGGTGATGGAATTCAGCTTGACATCGAAGGGCAGGTAAGTCTTTTAGTCCAGCACCAGCGTGGAGCTTTACAAGTAATAGTTTATTCACAATCCTTCAGACAGTATGATCGTCTCGCTATCATGTACTTCAATTCAACGGAAATCTGGAGAACATCCACCGCTGAGCCAACGACTGATGGAATCTATTACACATACACAAAGGAAATGCACCAATACCTGCCTCTATGGAAGGAGCCCCAAAAGCTCATCTTTGATTTGGGCAACATTGTCAACTCGGAATACACTGGAATTCTGAACACTACCTTGACAGCCACCTTCTTCACAGTCCCAGATACCCCTGCTGCAGCCGACAAGATTTTGCCAATTTCTCGCCTGCTTGGAGCTAGCAATGAGAGCAGTGTAGCAGTGCTGCCCGGTGAAGAGACTGCTGTCTCTTACACTCTACCCCGGAACCTTAAGCGAGCAGTGGTCAGTATCTCTGCTTGTGGACAGGCAGATGAGGAGTTCTGGTACCAGAACACTTTGTCATCTGATACCGATACCTTTGAGGATGTTTCCGGTGCCTTGTATGGCGATGGACCGTGGCGCGAGGTTCAGGTCCTTATCGATGGAATGCTTGCTGGTGTCTCGTGGCCATTCCCAGTCGTCTTCACTGGCGGTATGTGGCTAATATATTCTGAATAACCCCGACACTGCTAATTTATTCAAACAGGTATCGTCCCGGGATTTTGGAAGCCGATCGTTGGAATTGATGCATTCGATCTACGTGAACATGAAATTGACATTACTCGTAAGTTCGCTGGAATTTTCGATAATACTACGGAACAAAGAAATCTAAATTTATACATCCAGCTTTCATTCCCTACCTCTCCGATGGAAAGCCTCACACCTTTGATCTGATCGTCGTCAGCGTCAACGACAACGGTGGGGAATACGCCACCATTGCGAACACTACCACCGATTCCTGGTATGTGACTGGAAAGATCTTCTTGTTCGAAGATGAGGAAGGCCATATCACCACCGGCTCCATGCCAGTCATCAAAGACCCGCTTCCCTCTCTGCAAATCACGCGCGCGATCACAACCAATTCAACCGGCGCGAACGAGACTCTCACAGAGACAACCACAGCAAAGCGAACACTGCTCATCACCAGCAACCTAAAGACCTCCAGCGGAGAAAAGGAAGTTTCTTGGAGCCAGGACATTTCTTACGAAAACTTCAACCAGCTTACAGACTACGGTTGGTACCAAAGCACGACCCAAAAGACCACTGGAACGGACAAGACAGGGTCCAGCATTGGATACTCTCTTTCATATGAGTACCCAATCAACTGCGACTGGTGGTACTTTGAATCAGGCGAAGAACTTGGCATCTACGGAAACATCAGCCGGTCGCTCACTTTTGATGTCCTGGGCCCGGCCGTGTTTCCCAATGGTGTTCAGGCGTCGGTTCTGGATACTTCGGCTTCAAAGAGCACATCTGGGCTTTCGGGTGTCAAAGAAGCCTTTGTTAGTGCTAGCCTTGGCTCGAGTCTGCGGACTTCGCAATCGGCTACTGCATCCTACTTGAGTGATACCTTGGCTACAACCGATTCGGTTTATAACTTTGGAAGCCTCAACCAGACCATGAGCTTCCAGGGTCTTTCATATGATGGGAGTGTTGAGATCTATACTCGGAATGTCGGTGTTGTGAACAACACCATCACTCACGATCAAACGCTCTTCGAAGTGGGAAAATAGATGTTCCCATCAAAGAGATAGGTTGATACACATTAACAAGCCACATGTAAATATTGCCATTGAACCAGCTCCCATGCATTTTTGGAATTTGAGTTTAGATTAGTGAAACAAATGTTACTCTCTCCTCAAAGACTCAAGTTCCATGCTAGCTTATTTTCAAGGTTATTTGAACAATGGATGGCCGGCTCTTTCAACTTTGAACGCCCATTCAAAGGTGCCCATGCATTTCTCAAGAAACTTATCGACGATTCTTTCAACCTTGAAAGCGTTTTCTCCACATGCATCCTTTGATGTAACAGTAACTGGTAGCTACCTAGATTTAATTATATCGCAATCTTGAATCAATTCCTCCATGGCGTTGAAATCCAATCTCAAGTTCTCCTAATCGGGTTCCAGTCATTGATAGGTACAGTTCAATTTGGGCTTCTTGCAAATAGCGAAAGACACATACCAGGCGATGAACAGACAAAGAAACTTCGGATGTTCGGAAATTCAACCCTAGCCTTTGGATTCTGTACTTGACTTTGAGAACCATATTCAACATTTTCGTCTTCTTTGCTTTGAAGGCTGTAGAGAACCCTTTCATCTGATCTATTTGTAGATGCTTTGATGCATCGACATTCAACCAACCTTGGAGAGCCTCTCGATGCTTTAACCAGACAAGATGCTGTTGGATTGCTTAAGTATCTTGTCCTGGCAACCTCAAGAGGCTTTTCTTCATGACTATACTCTTCATTTTCTGTTCACAAGACTCATTTTGTACTGCAATCCCAACGCATTATATACCTACCTCCTATATTGGACAGATATTCAATATCAAGCATGCCTCCAGACGTAACGAGACCTGGGAAAAGACACAGACAGTCTGTTTTCACGGAAGATCTACCATCAGCAAAAAGAGTACGAGAAAATCCTGTTACCACTGGTAAAGACCAGGTCCCACCAAAGAAAACGAAAGCTCGAGTCGAGCCTTCTGGTAAAGCGCCGGTTAAGACTTTGCCGGTTGCCGATGGCACGGCTAAAGCGAAACCAAAGAAAAAGAAGTTCGATGCCAATCCAGTGGTTGACGCACTCAGGAAGGCCGTGGTGATCACTGGTGGCAAGAAAAAATCCCAAGGTAAAAGAAAAGAAGCTGGAGCTGGGCCTGGGCCTCTTTTCAAGACTGGGGCGCTCCCAGCGCCAGGTGCGGTTCCAAAAGGAGTGGTCAAGAAAGGCGACGATATCTTTGAGCCGGGTGCGCTTGAAAAAGCACTGGAAAAGATGAAAAAGGAAGGAGAAGAGCAGGATTCTCCGCCTACTCCGCCAGAAGTTAAACCTCTCCAGATTGTGACAAAGATTGACGATGTTCATAAGGGTATTAGAGACAAGGAGGTTGGAAAATTCACAATCGAGTTTCTTTTTCTATCAGAGGCGGACAATGGTGACATAGACAATCACACTGTTGCTAGGCTTACTTTCAAGGACATTGAAAAGGAAGACTCTGAGTATGCAAATGCTGGAACCAGGGGCGTGGTGATTGACTGGGCAGCCAAAACGGGTGCCAAAAACGCTACGTATAACGCTGGCGAACTGGAGGTGAAACCCTTCTCGTATGAGGGCATGCACAATAAGGGGGTATTTAGCTTTGATATCCCAATCAAACCTGACACGGTCAAGACAGTGCAGCATTTCCTGAATGTCCTACTTAGTCATACTTTCATCCCATGTGCATTTAATGTCACATCGCGAGGTCTGTTGGGCTGCAAGGATTTCCAGTGAGTTTTTATTTCCTTTAATCTTTGGGCATCAATCTGTTTCATTTGGGTTATGTACACACACGTGTGCATTGAACCACATATATTTCGAGGCCCAATGATACATATGTATCCATTCAAATGTTAATGGCCATACATACTTGTAACATTGAATCAATACATTGATGTACTACATATGTATGTATCAATTGATGTCTACAGCTTACATACTAACTCGTCAAATCACTATATAGGTCTCAATATGTCTATCGTCTGAATCAAGCTAACATCCTCAACATCCCGGATGCTGACGCTGCTGTGGTTTACGGTCATTTCAATCTCAATTACAGAAAGAGAAATCCGAAGACGAAAAAAAACCCTTGCGGTTATGCTGTATTCAACTCTGTTTATTTTGGGAAGCATGTGAAAATTGAACATGTCGATTATATGGCAGAACGTGAGTCACTCAAATATCATTGCTCTTTAATTTTCACTACACTGCAAGTTGTGAAATCAGACTGACCATGACGGTTTTCTGTCTCCGAACAGGTAAATACTTCAACCAACTGGAAGACGAGGCAGCAGCAGGTGTAGACCCACATACTAGCAAAATCTCGGATGCAGACTCCGAGGAGCATGCTCTTCCAGGTCCTGGTCCTCCTGCATCTCCAGTCATTCCCCCTCCAGGTCCCGCTCCTCCTGCAGTCCCTGTTCCTGTGCCAGTCATCCCTCCACCAGCCCCTCTTCCTCCGGCCCCTGTTCCCCCAGCCCCTGTTCCTGGCGATGGCGGCCATCATCGCTCTATAAGTCAATGGGCTAAAGAAAAAAGGACCGAACTCAAGGGTACCGGGACTAAAATTAAGCGGAAATTTCAAGATAAAAAGAAACGGTGGGAAGACCGAAGAAAACAAGGGGGAGCTGGAGCCTAACGTTCCAAAGAAAAGAGTCGTTTGCATAAAGGTAATGAAAGATCCTCCAGATGTCCTCTACTTTGAACCACCATGGAGTACATGTGGAGCTGGTATGTATAGTATGTACTGACACAATCTATTGGTGATAGGTTTTATATCTGGATAGGTAGTCTGTACCTCATGTGTTCTGGTTTTTGTAATTGACTGAATCTTTGGAGTATCATGGAGATGTCCACATAGAGCTGTGTTTTTTGTTGGCGATTTTCACTTGCTGGGTACTCAGAATGGACTCAAGCCCTATGCATGTGCTGGTTGGATAGCTAGTGTTTTGGATTCGAATGATGAGTATCTTTCAGTATGTATTCTACAGGGCTCCAGGGCCACTACCTACACTTGAGTACTACCTAGGTACCCCGACCGAGGGACTAGCACATACTACAGAACGTCCACCTGGGCACATGGATGTGCATAGAACTACACCAATAGTTCGGAAAAGACATGTCTCAAAAGAATCAAGTTCACTATACACAGGGCTTATGAGAGAGGTAAGGGGAAATAGGCAGAGACAAAAGAGAAAAGACAAGACATAATAATAGTAGAACAACGCCATGAGAAGAAAACATGGGAAAATTGGTACACCTGGGTGAGAGTTGAGGGGTCCAAAGATTATCATATAGATGGGATAACCACCTGACATGAATTTAACCCCCCGTAATGGCGAAACCGCCGTCTAGAAAAAGGGGGTCATTGCGTCTTCTTCCTTTTTTTCTGATTTTGTTTTTATTATTGTGTGATACGAACACTTTTACCGATCGACCTCACCGAACACCAAATCCATGGTACCTAAAAGAAAACATAAACGTTAAAAAAGGCCATGACGAAGTAGGTTTGGGCGAAAACTTACCAATGATAGCGACAGCATCGGCCAACAGGTGACCACGGGAAACCTGGTCAAAGCCACCCAAGTGCGCGAAACCGGGGGCACGGATCTTGCAGCGGTAAGGGCGCTCACTTCCGTCACTGACTAGGTAGACACCCATCTCTCCCTTGGGGGCCTCAATGGCCGAGTAAGTCTCACCTGGGGGCACTGAGTAACCCTTGGTGAAGAGAAGGAAGTGGTGGATCAAAGCCTCCATGTTCTCCTTCATGGCAGCGCGAGGGGGCGGGGAAATCTTGTAGTCCTCCACACGGACGGGACCAGCAGGCATCTTGTTCAGGCACTGGTGGATGATACGGAGGGACTGGCGGAATTCCTCCATACGGCACAGGTAACGATCGTAACAGTCACCATTGACACCGACGGGGACGTCGAACTCGACCTGGTCGTAGGCATCATATGGCTGCGACTTGCGGATATCCCATGGAACACCGGAACCACGGAGCATAACACCAGTGAAACTCATGTTCAGCGCATCAGCAGCGTTGACAACACCGACACCCTGGGTACGAGCCTTCCAGATACGGTTGTCGGTAAGCAGCTCCTCGGTCTCGTCGATACGGTCACCAAACTGGGTAGCCCACTGGTAGATATCGTCGAGAAGACCAAGGGGCAGATCCTGTGACACACCACCGGGGCGGACATAGGCAGCGTGAAGACGGGCACCGGAAACACGCTCATAGAATTCCTAGATCGCAACGAAATCTTGGGTTAGCGAATGTTCTACCTTGTGTACCCCAATTACAACCCATTGGAGATGGTGGCACTAACCATGAGCTTCTCACGCTCCTCGAAACCCCACAAGAAAGGTGTCAAAGCACCAACATCCATGGCGTGGGAAAGGACGGACATGAGGTGGTTAAGAATACGAGTCATCTCGCCAAACAGAACCCGAATCCACTTAGCACGGTCCGGAATCTCAACGTTCAACAGCTTTTCGACAGCCAGAGCAAAGCACTGCTCGTTGGTCATCATGGAGACATAATCCAATCGGTCAAAGTAAGGCAGAGCCTGCATGTAAGTCTTGTACTCGATCAACTTCTCGGTACCACGGTGCAGCAGACCGACGTGGGGATCGGCGCGGACAATCTCCTCGCCATTGAGTTCCAGAATCAATCGCAACACACCGTGAGCAGCGGGATGCTGAGGACCGAAGTTGACTGTGTAGTGACGGATCTTGCGGTTGATACCCTGCGCCTCGGACTCGAGAGCAGCGGCATCGGGGTTCTCGGGAAGCCCCTTGTTGGCCAGGGAAGTGAAGGTCGGGTCAGTCGGAACTAGCCGTGTGGCCTGGTAGCTGGTAGCCGCGGCATGTTGACGAGGAACGGTAGTGGTTATCGAGCGGGATCGAGGCACAGATGTGTTAAAGGAAGTGGAGGGGCGGAGGCAGAGTCTTTTGGGCGCATTGCTCGCCAGGCGAGCGAAAGAGACGGCCATGGAGGTGATTTGGAGGGGAGATGGACCAATTGAGGAAAAGACGGAACGAGCTCCTCAATCCAGGCGCATCCAACAAGGCAAAGTGGATGCTCTCAGCTACTGCGGGAAAGGAACCTGGCAATAATGAAGATAGAGGTCGCGCTCCAGTTTTGGCATAGTCACGTGAACGAGCTGTCGGGTCATCAGCCCAATTCTGGTTGGTTGACAGAACATTTCATAAGTTTCCACTATGAAAGCACCGGATGCGGAGTAATAAACGGTAATTTTGGAAATTGCTCTGTTTTACTACTGCCTGAGGCACTCAAACCAGAAAATCACCTCAAGAAATTATTCTTATCGCCGATCTGCCAAATTTCAATCTTCACCTTCACAGTCCAACCCCACCCTTTACACACAATGGCGCCTCTTGTTCCGTCGCAGGAGGAGCTGCAGCGTCGCCGTGTAAGTACTACAGACAAATTACTTTTTTTCTTGATAGTTCGCAGCACTAATCGTTTCTAGATCATCGGCATCAATGCAGAGACTGTTACCAACATCCCCTCCACAGACTTCCCTGGCCATTGGCCCGGAGAATCGCACGGATGGGCTCTTGATCAGTTCAAGAATGTATGTTATTACCTTGTTCAGTGCAAAAAAGAGAGAGCTATGCTTATAAAGCCCCACGACAGGACTTCAAGGTCGAATACCACCGCAATGACCCGTACGAGGCCTCATTCTCGTTGATTGGACTCGATGCTGCCGTCGCCAATGCATTCCGCCGTATTTTGATGGCCGAAATCCCTACCCTGGCTATTGAAACCGTCTACGTTCACAACAACACCTCTGTCATCCAAGATGAGGTTCTTGCGCAGCGTCTCGGACTCATCCCGCTCACGGGCTCTGTGGAGGGAATCAATTGGATGCACTGGGAGCAGAAGCCCCCCGGAGACGACGGATCCGCGCCCCCCGAGCTCACTGACTTCAACACCGTCGTGATGCAACTTGATGTCGAGTGCACCCTAAACACCGATGTTGCCGACGATGAGACGGATCCCCGCAAGCTTTACAACAACGCTCACGTTTATGCTAAGCATCTCACCTTCACCCCTGTGGGTCGTCAGGATCAGTTCTTTGTTGGTGACGGTGCAATCCGCGCTGTTCAGCCCGATATCCTCATCGCCAAGATGCGCCCCGGTCAAAAAATTGAGATGGAGTTGCACTGTGTTAAGGGTATTGGTGCCGACCACGCCAAATTCTCCCCCGTCGCAACTGCGACCTACCGTCTCATGCCGGACATCCAGATTCTGCGCCCCATTATTGGCGAGGATGCGAAGAAGTTCGCCAAGTGCTTCCCCAAGGGCGTCATTGGCCTTGAGACCATTACTTCCGCGGAGGCTTCGCGTGCTGGAAGCGGATATGAGGGACGAGCTGGTGAGCAGAAGGCTATTGTGGAGAATGCTTTCAACGATACCGTCAGCCGAGAGTGTCTGCGTCACGAAGAATTCCAGGGCAAGGTCAAGCTGGGACGTATCCGGGATCACTTTATCTTCAATGTGGAGAGCTCTGGCCAGTTCGAGAGTGATACTCTTTTCCTGGAATCCGTCAAGGTTTTGAAGTTGAAATGCGCTCGTTGGAAGCGCGGTTTGAATGATCTGATGGCATAAAGCCTTGGATACATTCATTCCACGGCGGCTTTCTTACATAATGCATTTGACTGGCGTTGGCATGTTTTAATTGGCTTCGTTTGAGCTGTACATTTACGAAAAGTTCGGTCTAAAAGTTGGTCTTACGAGACCGGAGTCCGGATCCCATGGTTGTTAGAGCAGAAGGCTGGCAGCTAACTGTCTTTTAATTCTAAGAGTTAAGCTGAAACTAGACATATGATCATGGCATTGTAAACCCTGCTTTGTCGAAAGGGACAAGTAGAAAACCTATCCCTTATTTAAAGTGAAGCCGGTATCGGAAATCAATCGTGTATGCTGGATCGCTGACTGCAATTTCCTGGCCATCTTCCATGAGTTCACTCAGTTTCAATTGTAAGTTTGGTCTTGAGTGCTCCTCCAACTGAGGAGGGAACCGCTGGTAAAGTGTCCTTTCCTCTGTTCGGAGGCTTGGCTTCTTCAACTGAGCTTCAGCCTTCTCGCCGAGGCTTTCAATGAAGTCGCCTAATGTCATGCTCGCGTCAACGTCCATCTTACGAGCAAGGTTACCACACACGGGGCAATCATCCTTCTTCTCTGCATTAAACGTGTAGGTGTAAACGCCTTCTTCGCCAGCATACATCATGTAGTTATCCAGATAAGGGTTTGACGAGGTTGCAATTTTGAACACCTCAGATGTTGTTGATGCTGCAATGACAGCATTAGTCGATGCGATGGCGGGAATAATGTTCTTGACTACTCCTTGAGTCATCTGAAAGGTCACGCCGTGGATGTGAAAATGCTGGGATCGTTGCAAAGCCTCATTATAAACCCAGGAAATGTGCTCCATATCATCGCTATCAAAAGTGTCGTCCTTGCGCTTCTCTTGCCAGGCAATCTGATGTGCCCATTCGATGCAATGCTGGGGCTGTCGAGGGATGGTAGCAATGGTACAGAGAGGCACAGCAGGTCGAGGGGCATGCATATCCAGCTGGCACTCAATGCATGATGTAAGGGTTGGCAGAATTACACGGGCTTGTCCCTTGAAACCTAATTTCTCAGTTAATATACGTCTTCAAAAAGATAGAGTTAAAACCAGAATGAGATGCCAACCTTCAGTTCCACCATCGATTAGAGGTATGAGGCTTTCGGGATTTTCCATGTCGACCATCCCGACCAGAGTGGAATTGATCCAGCGGCGAGCCTCAATGCTGTCAAGGCCGCAGATGATGATCTTGAATTGCAAATAGTAATCCTCATCTTTATCCTGGATCTTTCCAACATAAGGTGTGATGCTGACTCCTTTTACTCTCTTCTCGACAAAGGCAGCAGCAACCTCTGCCTTAGGCTTCCCTATATCAGCCTGACGAAATAAGAATTGTCGGTTAAGATTCGAGATATCAATAGTGTCTGGCGGTCTGATATTAGAAATGGAATTCCGACAAAATTGAGTGAACGAACTTACCCATATCAATAACATGAATATTTTTAAACCCTGATAGTGCAAGGTTTTTTAGAATTTCACAGCCTAGTCCACCGGCTCCGCTAACTTGGTGTTAGTTATTGACATTGCCTTGGATTGATATAATTAAGCAGGACGAACATCACCCTATAGTCATCATTAGTACCATTCGACATATTTTTGCCAGAGAAGTTATCTTACAGGATTTTGGAGGCTTCGAGCGTAGTGATCGTATCCTCTCCTGGTTCCCAGTCCTCATCACAGAAAGGCCCCGGCTTAGATAGGACCTTGTACAAGTGGTTCCTGTGCTGGGTGTGAGTATGGTTGTACTATGGCGCGTATATGTGCAGACCTGAACCAAACTTACCATCTGGCTTTCTCAGCTGGATACCCAACAGCAGGGCCAACCATTTTGGGGGAGGGGGGGAGAAGAGCTTAATCAAGCAGTTGGCTGAGCGTGAGTTGATTAGGCCTTATTATGCTCACAGGGTTAAGACGGTTTCTCAATGTTAAGTTGCGGTTCGAGGTGTAATTTTTCGCAGGGAGGTATTTCCCGATGCCAGGAACTCGAATAAGCACAGTTTTCGATATGACTCTGTGTAGACGCAAGTTGTGTTGATGGAGGGGAATGGAAAGATGCGGTGTTTGATGAGGCAGGCCGCGTAGAGCACGTGACAGTCCCGCCGCATACAAGATATTCAGGATCTCAATAATTATGAATTACTCATCTCTTCAACAACTCACAGTCACCATGGACGGGCTTTTGACGGCAATTAAAACCGTCAAGCGGGACTCGGACCATTCATTGGCAGCTGTTGAATCAAGACGACATCTCAGCGATGCCCCCATAAAACCCACTATTAGCCTGGCATTGGATGAAGATCTAACTCCGAATCGGATTATAGATGTGCTAAAATCCCAACCTTCCTCAGAGCAAGTCTCTGCGGTTTTAGCTGCACTCGATCCATTCAGCAATTCCAAAATCTCCGGACTTGACATTCGGGTCGCTGGTTCTGTATCAGCTCAGATCCTCCAGATTTTAGTCAGCACCACAATTCCGGACCACTGGACATCCGTTGTGGGAAATGGCAAGAAAGTCAAAAACTCAAGAATAAGAGCTGCTTTCCTACGGTGCTTTAGCAACGTTGCTGGTATTAGCTCCCTTGTTGCTCGCCTTCGATATCTCATCGCATCAGCCCGAGCATCTTCCCATCAGACCGAAGGTTCAGGCAGTCATGCTGCTATTGAGGACATTTTATCTGTTCTTGCTGCTTTATTGGAACCTAAGGATTTTCTGTTTCGTCTTTATGGTGACACTTTATCTCTTTACGACAATAATACGCGGCAAAAAGTCTCGTGGAATGAACTGCTATCTCTCGTTGCCTCCGGCAAGATTATGTCCACGGCAGCCGAAGCGCTTACTGTAGCCAGTGAAATCCAATCATCTTCAATAAAATGGCTTGGAGATGGCTCTCGTTATACATCATGGCTTGGTTCCAATATTTCCCATTTCATATCAAAGCTTGATACCAACGACGAAAGCGGCTCGTCGTTCATAGCCTCTTTAACTGAACGAGCTCTTAGCCTGGGTTATTCATGTCAGCATTTCTTGCGAACTTTGTCCAAGCATTCACGGCTAATTTTCTAACAGCTTTCTTGGTCCCTGAGATTTACGCAAACATTCTCCAAGACCCATCATTCTCCATAAAATTCAACTTGCTTGTTGATCGGCTCAGGCTATCAGCCCAGCTCACTGTCCTTCAAATCATCCTCATGGATTTACCTATCAGATATCGATCGATTCGCTCATGTGACTACCCCAGTGATCCAAGGACATGCACAGATATTGTGACTGGAGCAGCAAAGTTTTTATCCCTGGTCATCGGTGATAGGTCACACTTCAAAGAAGAAATCTCAGACTGGCTCACGACGGGCCGATTTGCAGCTGTCTTCCCGGTTGGGATCAACCGAACTATTGTCGCAACTTACGACAATGAAAATAGTAATTCCATCTCATGGTTCAACATTTTCTGTTTTCATATACTGACTACGCACAAGGTGCACTCAAAACCCTGATCATTCGCAGCCTTGAACACTTCGGAGAGAAGTTTGTTATCAATCGCAATAGTGATCGTGAGCATGATGGTCTGTTCGATCCTTGTCCGCTCATATATTGGCTTTTATACTGACAAAAAAAACTAGCCAATGCCCAAATCATTCTCCTGGCAGCAGGCCGACTGCATCGAATTGACCCTTCTCAAGTCAAGGAAATTGGTCGCTCAGGGGCATTCCTGAACGCAATATCCAATCGACTTGCCGCATCATCTAATAGAGCACGGCTCATGGGTATGATCGTTGGAACGGGCATGTCTGAACTTGTCGAGGAGCCAGGAAAGTCGATGAAGTTTGATATTGAAGAAATGCAGAGCGCCGAAACTCAGTGGTATCTGAGTTTGATAAAAGCTCAAGATGATGTCGGATCTTTTGAGTCCATCAAATCTTTATTCAACCCAGTGGAATCCCCAGCTGCCCCTTCGAATACCAAAGATCTCAAATCGCGCTCTGGTCCTCAGAAAATACTAGAGGTCATTAGCGATGATGAGGATGAGAATGGCGAATCGGAAGACGAAGACCTCATTCCATATGAGAAGCCTGACGACGACGCAGAAGACGACGATGAGGACGCAACGCTAGTTCAGCGAAACAAGCCAACAGCACCTGTGTAAGTCATCCGAGAACTTCGCACTAGACCTATCTAACATCTCCCAGGTACATTCGTGACCTGGTCACATATCTCCGAGACAACGAAAATGTCGAACGTTATCACCTAGCTATCACGACAGCGCCGAGTCTGATCCGTCGTAAGATAGGATTTGGCAGCGAGCTTGCTGAGCACGTTGAGGAGCTAGCACTAACAATCGTCGGCCTCCAAAACGACAACAAGCATCCCCAATTTCACGAAGCCCGACTCCAGAGTATGATTGCCTTGATTGTCTCACAGCCCCTCAAAATGGGTCGTTGGTTCACAGCGTTCTTCTTTGAGGGAGACTTATCCCAAGTTCAGCGATCTGCCATTCTCACAGCCCTTGGATTGAGTGCTCGCGAAGTCTCCGGCAATGGAGAAGATGATGCTAAAACGTTGGGCCTCCCTGCTTTGCAGGACACCTCGTTCCCATCTCAACGTCTTGCGCCAGCGTTAGATGCTAAGCTCCGAGAGTCTAAAGATTCCCCTATCGCAGCGCTCACTAGAGAAATGTCAAAAGCTTCACTGCAGCCAATGGCTGCTATTGCTGCTGATGAAATGACGGGGCCAAACGCTCTCAAAGTACGCACATTCTCGACCCGCATGCAAGTTGAGAAGAAGCGACAACAACGTGATGCTCAGCGACAGAAAGCTGTTGCGAAGGATCTTTACAGGGTTCTTGCCGAGGGATTCTTCTACCCCCTTACCAGTCGATTTAACGTGATGATGCTCCAATTTTCCTCGTACGTATAACTTCATCGTTCTTCTCTGGGAGTATTCCAATTCCGCTAACCCTCATCCAATAACAGCTCATCAGTCTCATCGCACAACCCATTCATAATCCCCCACATCCTTACCCTCTTCCTCCAGACTCTCTCTCTTATCCTATCGACTTCCGGTCCATATTCTACGTTTTTGCCTGGCCTTACACACGACACCCTCTCGCTTCTCATGTCACTACACACAAGTCCCATGTCCAGTGATCCGACAATCACTGCTGCCCTCCTTACCTTGTTTCTTGCAACCGTAGACCTGAACATTGCTTCGGGATCGAACGGTGAAGAGCGTCTTGTCACCGAGTGCGCAAGTCAGGTTATTGAATTACGTGAGTGGGCTTCTCAAGTGTTTGATAATACACCTGCGGTTCCGAGAAGAGTGCATTCAAATGCACCTGTCGATACCCAGGATCAGGTGCGAACTCTAGCTGCGGGCGTGATGATTCGGATTGGGGAGATTACAGAGCGGTATCAAGGTCGATTGATGGGCGTCAATTCCGGATTCAAGTATTGAGGTACTTACTACCTCCGGGCCTAGGTAGAGTTTATCTAGAACGAATATGTGAATTCATGGATTTACACCTGGGCAGACATCTGCTCGTTTCAAGTTTCCTAGTAAACAACTTCAGGTCGTTCCATGAATACTAGTAAATCACAATTTTTCTCGCTCCAATATGCTGCTCGGGCTTTTGCCTAGTATACAGCGCATGTTGAGGACAGTGCCACCATATCTTGTGCTTTTGACGTCCATGAGATCAGTATACCGTCGAAGAAGAAGATATGTCCTTCAATTAACTTCCTCGTACTGACTCAAAGAAATGAAAGATGGCATCAGGGATCGGCTGGTTATGCTTTTCAATAAGCCCCGATTGATCTCAATACGACAAGGGACACGTCTCCTGTGTTCTTGGGCACCAGTCGGGCTTTGCAGGTGACGTGTAGGCTTTGACTAAACTTCCTGCTTTGCGGGAAACATTCTGTGACAGTCTAGATCTTCCGTGGACTTAAAAGAAGTGGGAACTCGGATTCGGGTATTTTTTGTGTTTGTCTTTCATAGATATCGTGGAAGAGACATTTTCGGCGTATCTATCTTCACCGTTGTCCTCAATTTCAAGCCTTGTTTGGCCTTTGCATGTCGTTTTGGTGGAAAAGCCCTGTTGTTGTGAAACACCCTAGCTCATCTTCAAATGTTCGCGGGGGCGAAGGTAGAGGATCCATGGATGGTGTTAAATATAGGGAGGGACGGGGACATGAAGACTGGAAAAGAACAGATGGGACAGAAAGCACCTATCAGTCGGGGCGGTCCTTCGACCAACAGAATGTACTTACTAGCACTTACTAGAAGTACAAATCAAACCTATGAAGTTAACCCCATTAGACTCAGTTGACAGCGAAGATGTTTGAATATAAAAAAATGGTATCATTGGAATAACTACCCAGAACAAACGCTAGATCTGAGGTGAATGCGGTAAAAGAGACTACTCCACCTTTGCGAAGCTCTGCTTCTCAATAGCAGCGTCCATCATACGATCGCCGCTAACAATGCCGGTCGTACAGATGATGATCTTCCGGCGTGGTGCCTCCTGGGCCGCGATGAAGCGCAGTGCAGCAATCTCCGTGAAGGTAATACCACCCAGGAAGAAGACATACACAACCTTCGTAGCATTGTTACCGCTAAGAGTCTGGCGGGCCCGAACAGCCTTGTCATCGCCCTTCTGAACGATGCTGAATGTGGATCCACGAGCACTCTTGACCACATCTTCAAAGCCAAGCCAGCCGGGCGAGGCAGTGCTAGCGTTATTTATGGAAGCTGCGGGTGATCCACCTTTAATCAGGGATAAGATGTATGGTTTTTGCAAGACGCACTGGACCAGTCTCACACTGAGTGGGGCAAATCCACTGTAGACGTAAGAGATGTCGTTGGGGTCTTTCTCGCTCACTTCTTCGATGACCAGGCGTAGGTTCTTCCGCAGGTATCCGTAGTTGGTCTTTGTGCCAGCCTGGGATCCAGAAGTGGGGAGAAGCATAGTTGTTGCCGAAGATCGAGGCTGGAGGAGCTCCATTTTTTCCAGAGCCCAGAAGGTTAGGAGGTGCTGGTGCCCGTATGCCTGAACGACTTGGCGCTTGAAGTTTTCGAGGTCCTTGGGACGAAGGCCTCCGGCCATGCAAGATTCTAGACACAAGAGCCGAAGCACATTCTTCAGGGGAGCATCACGGGCGATAAGCTCTTCGATTGTCTCGTGTTGATATGTGGGGTCGGCTCCTGCGGCATTGTTTTGTTGTACCTCCAGGATCTTCCGGAAGGTCTCGGAGCGGGTCAAGCGCATGATCTCTTCTGCAAGATTGGTGTGGGTTCGGAGAGATTGGTGTTCTAGCTGGTAGGTGGGTAACTTATTGACAAATTCCCGGAGCTCGTTTGTTGTCTTTGCTGTATGGCGGCTTTCATATTCTGTTTCTAAGCGACGAGCGACCTTGTTCAGGATGTCGCCCACGATTGCAAAGTTTGCATCGCGCAGTTGATTGAACAGCTGATCCGATGCATCAAGTTGAATCTTCCTCTTCATTCCTGGCTTTCCCTGCTGAGGTGTCTTGGATGACTCTTGAGTCTGAGGCGCAGGCCCCTGTCCCACAATGCTGGTGTCAACATCAGCTTGGTTGTTCTTGATGCCCACGTATTCATCAATCAGGCCTTCGTAGGTGAGTTGTGTTAAAAGAGGAGTACCAAAATCCACGTCGCGGTCAATGATGATCAGGTTTTCTGTGTTCGCGCTGGGGAGTAGCCCTCGTGCAGACGGATCAGCCAATCCAGAGCTTTCTTCTGCATCGAGCTCTTTGCGCATTCGCAGCAAAAGATCTGCCAAGCGACGCGCATTGTCACCTTTTCCGACAATGCGAGGGAAATATCCGTGTCTCTGCTGGATGCCCATCAATGCCTTGGCCGAATGGAAAATACAGCCTGGGTCTTTGTTCTGTAGCTATTGTTAGAACTAGTCCAACCGCGTCGAGGGTAAAATGCCTACCAAGTAAAGATCGCCGAAGGCACTATCCAGTTCCAGCGACAGGACATCTTGCTCTAGTGGCAAGAAATAAAGCGGAAACTCAGCGATATTGACATCGCCAGTGATTCCAGCTTCTTCCAAAACAGCATTGCTCACCAGAGTCCGCCGAGGTGTAAAGAAGATGGAGAACTCATGCTCCACGTTTCCATTGTTTTGCAAGCGTTTAATTTGTTCTAAAAATGATTGTTAGCCTACTCTGATGACCTTCGATCGACGTTTCACTTGAAATGAAAGCCAATTATATAGGCTTGCTTTTTGCTGTCATTCTAGGGAACTTGAAAAAAAAGTATTCGCCGAGTAGAAATCGATCTGCGAAGATCTGATAATGTCCCAAAAAAAATAAAGGTGTATAGCAAGATAGCAAGGAGATAATTGCAAAATAAAAAAGTAAAAGTAAACGCCATACAAGACACCTACCTGCCACAATGCGCACATGCTGCGCCTTCTCACCGCGGATGAGGAATACGACATTTCGCTGAGACGAGTCGATGTTTGCATTTTCCAGCAGAAACACACGATCTACGCCGTATTCCTGTAACACGGAGAATTTGACGAACAGGCCGACTGGACCGGCCAGCTCCTGACTGATAACGAGGTTCTTCTTGCCCCGAGCCTACATGCCATTAGAAAAGGCTGGGGGACGGAGGGGGTTGATACTCACGCCCTCAAGCAGGGCCAGCAGGTCCCTGCGGGCCTTGTCTCTGCAGTAGTCGGCATCTCCCTGAGGTGCCATCGCTCCAAGAAAGAAAAGGAGGCTGTGAGCTCAGGCAACAACGTCAACACCAAAAATAACGCGGGGATGGCGAAGTTGCCGCTTGTGGCTTAGCTCCGCTGACTCAAGATGATTGCCTGTCTCTGTACTGTAAGAGACCCTAGATTGCCACCACATCTTCGAGGATTTGTGTGTGTACTGCACGGTAATACAATGACAAATATTACAGACCGGTCTCGACTGCCTGAAGCTCCCCTGATCACTTCTTGACGTTTTGAATCTTTATTTCCTATTTCACTCGCTGTGTTTCTTTCTCTCCGATTGACGTGCCTGCCTTATCTTAATCATTCCAATTACCTTCTTTCACTTCCTCTATTCTGTCTCTCAAAATACCAGCAGAATCAAAATAACCCTCCACCTCCCCCACCATGGGCTTCTTCAAGAAATCCGATAAGAACGATGGCGACGATGACAACAACCGACGTGCCCTGTTCGGCTCTCGCAAGAACAAGAGTCCCGCACAGAACTCGAATCCCTACGCCCAGCCCATTCCCACCGACCCCTACACCAAGGCCAAGATAAACGCCGGTGTGGCACCCATGCCCGACCAACATGGCGCCAACGGGCCCCACAGCATCCCCTCGGACAACAAGTACTCTGCCTACACTCCCAATGCCTACGGCAACCAAGGCGGATACGGCAGTGATCGTTTCGGCAGTGGTAGTGCTGGCGCTGGCGCCGGAGCTTCATCCCGGTACGGTTCCGGTGGCTACGGAGGACTAGGCAGCTCGGATCCTAACGATCCCTCCGCAGGCGATGCGGCGCGCAATGAACTATTCGGCGGCGCTCAGGACCGCGCCCAGCGTCCCGGTGGTGCTGCGCCGCCTCCTTACAGTGAGGGCGGAGCACAGAGTGGACAGAGCGGACAGCCGTCCTACGGTGGCGGCAGCAACGAGTACAGCATGTCCAAGTTTGAAGACCGCCAGCTGACAGCAGAGGAAGAGGAGGAAGAGTCCGTGCAGGCGACAAAGCAGGAGATGCGCCACGTGAAACAGGGAGATGTTTCATCGACCCGGAACGCCCTCCGTGTGGCGGCCCAGGCCGAGGAGACCGGTCGTACTACGCTGGCTCGTCTGGGTGCCCAGGGCGAGTTGGTGCACGGTGCGGAGCAGAGCTTGGACATGGCCACGGTTGAGGGACGTATTGCCGAGGAGAAGGCGCGGGAGCTGAAGACGCTGAACAAGAGCATGTTCGCTGTGCATGTGTCCAATCCGTTTACTAGCGCTTCGCGCCGTCGGGACCGTGACGAGCGCATTCTTAACACGCATCGTGATGAGCGTGATGCTCGCGACGGTACTCGGGCGGAGGCGTTCCAGACTAATGCCCGGATGGATAAAATGTTCCGTGATATTGATCGCGATGCCAACAAGCAGGGCAAGCCGAAGAAGGCTAGCGTGACTGAGCGTGCCAAGTACCAGTTCGAGGCCGATAGTGAAGATGAGGCTTTGGAGGATGAGATTGAGCAGAACTTGGATCTTCTCAGTGGTGCCGCCGGTCGGCTGAACGGTTTGGCCAAGGCTACTGGTCGTGAGCTTGATGAGCAGAACCGCCACTTGGAGCGTATTACGGGCAAGGTGAGTTTCATCACTTTTACGGACTATATGGTTCAGATGCTAATTTACTTCTTTACAGAGCGACTTTGTCGACGATCAAATTGCCATGAACCGGGCCAAGCTCGATCGGATCCGTTAAGCTCGCTTGTTACGAGTAGAGCTTGGATATGCCTGGTGCTGTGCAGCTCAATAATCATCGACTTTTCACTCATTGCGAAATAACAACAAATGCCGGCGTTTGGGACTGGCTTTTTTCCCCCATTCCTGCATCTGGATATTGGCGGGATCTCGAGACGGCGATCTAGACTATGGATTTAGTAGTATCATAATTCTATCTTCTTCTTTGTGCATAATTAAAGCCTATCTTGCCGTTATTGGACTAGTCATTATATCTCATCGATTCTTTAATCCAAAACTCCTTCCCAATCCCGTTTCTAACTCTACATTGTTACAAAGAATCAGTTGAATATAATCTCAATTTGCCTTGAGCGCTCAATTGTGGATTAGACAATAATCTTTACTATAGCGACTGTAGAGCGGAACTAACCCCAGCAAGGCCCCTAATACCATAGGCCAACCCGCCAGGGTCAAACCGAAAATAAAGTGTCAAACAGATGGAGCGCTTTCGCACCAATGCCACGGGTATCACATCCAACACCAACCCAATTGCACAACACAACCGGTGCAATCCTCGAAACGCAGACCCGGTGGAAACAGAGGGCGACCCTCAAACGAACAACCAAAATGATGATGAAAAAAAGAAAAGGTGAAAAGGTGAAAAAAGGTCCAATCCAACCAACCGGAAGGAGGGTAAAACATGATTTGATCGCGGTGCACGCGCGAGAAATATGAAGGTTAAAAATGGTAAAATCTAACATGCAAGGACATATGCAAGTAGAGAAGAAGAGAAAATTAGAAGAATGTCTGCAGCGATAGGCAAGACAGACAGGCACAAAAAGAAAAGAAAAGTGCACGCAAAAGAAGAGAAGATCCAGAAAAGAAAAGGAGAACGCATCGAATCATCACAAGCCCATGGTATCGAAAACAAAAACAACAGGTGACTCCCAGTGTCTAGCGAAAGAATTGAAAAGAAACAACCAGGAACGCAAACCAGCCGGAACCTCTATGGTCATAACGTGATAAACAATGACAAATGAAAAATGAAAATGCGTCAAAAATGGCTCGGCCCTTCCCATGAGGCCCTTGTACCTTATCCCATTGTAAAAAGAAAACCCTGAATTCGAATGATTCTTTTCCCCGGGTATAGTATGTGTATGTGTTTGTGACTCCCGACGCCCTGAGATATAGCGTATAATGAAAAAGGAGAAATGATAAATGAGATGCACGGTGTTGTACAAGGCGGAGCGAGCGGTGCGAGTGAAGATCGATTCCAGAACCAAGACTGTTGATCGATCTGGAGAAAGAAGACTCGGCCGATGCAGGAGGGGTGGGGTTGTGTAGTCGAGATTGATGGATGGATGGGGTGGGTTTTTTGTTGGAAGGGGTATCTGGCGCGTTTGGTTGTGTCGCGCAGAGCCAGTGGGGAAGGGGTAGAGCTCTCAAAAAGACTTGATTGGAAGAATCAGAATCATTTGAGCACAGGATAGAAGGTCGTTGCGTGTTCGAGTGAATTTTGCTATTTTACTCGTCTTCATCAGGGGAGCCGCTGTCCTTCTCGCCCTTGTGCACCTTCTTATGGCGACGCAAGTTGGAGACGACGGAGAAGTGTCGGCCACAGCCAGCCACATCGCACGCGAAAGCTGTAGGACCGTGTTAGTTTATGGGTTTCTTCAAAGCAACAGATCAGATGGGAAAGAAGAAAAAACTTACGCTTCTCGCCAGTGTGGCTGTACATGTGTGTTTGCAAGGATGACGGACGCGTGAAGCGCTTGTCGCAGACCTTGCACTTGTGCTTCTTTTGCGTGTTGGAGGGCATCTTGGAGCTGAATTGGCTCATCATGGACTGGGGGCCGGCGGGTGCGCTTCCAGCCAACAGGCTAGTTGGTCGGGGGAGAGTGCGCGACTCGTAGGACTCGGATGTGCTCGAGCTGTAGTCGGTCACGGAGGAATCCACGGAGCCCACGGAAGCGCTGTAGTAGGGGTAGTTTCCACCTGAGGAAATGGAGGAGGCGGAGGAGTGTGTTGAGGGGAAACCGTAGGAATCGGTGGAACCGCGGCCACCGCGAGGACCGTAGATGTTGCGGGGGGTCAAATCCTGGCTGAGGGCGACCATTCCTCTGCTAGCGTCGAGCGCGTCTCCAAATGTAGGAGCGCCTGGTGGAGCTTGAGAAGAACCGACACGAGCATCTCTGGAAATTTCACGCGTCAGAAATGAATTTTTGGGAGGGGTTTCTTTTTGTGTTTGTTTTTTTTTTTGTTTTTTTGTTTTTTGTTGTTTGCTTTGCTTTGCTTTGCTTTGCTTTGCTTTGCTTTGCTTTGCTTTGCTTTGCTTTGCTTTGCTTTGCTTTCAAGTGGATGGAAAATGGCTTGGGGAAGAGTTGAAAACTTACGTATGGGACATGCGACGGGCATCCTGGGTCTGCTGCGAAGGGTGAATTGGGGCATAGCTGACTGGCGCATAGGTTGGGGGCGCGAAACTGCTCATGGGAGGAGCTGTGGTGTAGGTAGGAGCCTGCTCGAAACCAGTGCGCGGTACATCATGTTGCATGGCCATGACCTCTGGACCGTAGCCGGTCGCGGCGTATTGGTTGCCAGGTACCATTGATGGAGCTGAAACGGGGATGTTGGGGTAAGGCATGGACATGGCTGCTGAGCGGCCGACTTCCTCTGACTTGCCGGGGATGGCGATGTTGGCACTGTTGCCCATGGATGTCGCATAGACAGGGGGAGTGGAGTGGGAGGTGGTATGCGCGGTTGCCCAAGGGTCTGTGAATTGTGGTGGATTGTGGTGGTAGACATTGTCGAAGCTCATGCCGCCATACTGGCGGTTCTGGTTTTCAATGACCATCGTCATGGAGAATAGGGTCGCGTAGGTTCGCGAGCCGAATGTGCGGATTGGATTTGGGGGATTTGTTTTGTTTTGGTTGTCGATCCAAAGGTAGAGTAGGTTTGGGAGATGCCAACTGATCGACTTGATGCGAGATCTGGGTAAGAGAAGTTGGGTAGAGGTAGAAAGCAGAAAGTGATAAACCTGAAGATCAGATTACTTTAATGCAAAAAATTTAAAAAAGAATAAAAGGTGGAAGGGAAATAATAGAAACAGTCTGGGGAAGGGGATCGGCGAAGCTTAAGAAGGGACAGTATAGTGCACGATACACTCCAGTGCCACTGACGACGTCCCTCGGGGACGGTTGCAGATCGTTTGGAAATAATACGTGTAATTTTACTCATGGGCTCCATTCAATCCATAATCTCAAATAATTCAAAAAAAAAAAAAGGATTTTGTCTTTTTTCTGATTTTACTATTTTATTCTTTTCTTATTTTTCTTATTTTTATCTTGCAGGATTGGACTGCTTTAGTGTGTAAAGTGGACTCCATGAACGGGAACCAGTTCCTCGGACCCTCTTGGGTTTATTCGGTCTCCGTTTTGTAGTTTTCCATATATCAAGTAAGAGATGTGTATAATATAATTTCAAACATTTAAAAAAAAAAGAATACTACTCTGACCCTTTTTTTTTAGCAATGTCTTTCCTAAATTAGGCTGAGGAATGGAAGATCTAGAGAAATCCTTAATCGACGCGACTGCAAGAATGCACGTTCAACCCCTAAGCACAATGTACTCGAGAGAGATATCTCTCCGGGATCGGACGAGGGAAACTGGAGCCAAATTAAAATTAAAAGCAAGAATCATGGGGCCCAAAAAGCAGTCGGTGACCTCAGCTCTTTTTTTTTTTTTCTGGTTCTATAATATTTTCTTTTATTTCCAGGGGAAAAAAGGGAAAAAAAAGAAAGTGGGTTTGTTAAGTGACGGAGTATATAGGAGAAAAAAAAACCACTTTGGTCAGGGAATGTCCCGCACAGACTAAAGTCCACCTGTGCCGTGTCTATGGAGACGCATAGACGCGCTAGGCAGTATAAGGCAAAAATGGTGGAAAAAGAAAAGGGACGCCAAGAAATAACCTCACGATGCAGCGACCAAGGTTCGCCCTGTGGTGTTTCAAAGTAGCGGGGAAAAAAAGTGGTAGATCCCAACGATACGTCAAAGGGTATACCCGTTCCGGGGGGAGTTTGATGCTTTTAGCATTCAAGTTGATTAAAAAGATATAACCAGAGATCAATATTTTCAGAAAGTCATGGCTTTTCTTTCTGATTCATGTATTTGTTCTCTCTGTATTTGGGTGGATTTTTTTTTTATCTTTTTTTCCCCATGTAAATGATGAGTCCAAAGGCAAATTCCGCTTTGGGAGGGGAAGCACGATGCATTGAAGCTTGAACCCCTTCTCGGGTTAGGGTTGGCCACTGGGCCATGGCTCTTTCTCAGCCAAACCCAAATGTGGGAAACGACCCACGGGGACCTGATCTGGAACCCATCATGATTGGAGCAACAGAGTTGGGAGGCAAAAAAGCACTTGAGAAGAAGGGGGGGGAAGTTGTGACGATTTCCCCCAAAGGCGTTTTTTGACACGGGCCAGAGAAGGTTTAGCGCAGTCAAGACCTTACATTGAAGAGATCCAAATGGACTGATTTGGCTTTGGGGGGGGTTTTGGCTTTATTGGCGTGACTTGATTCGCTTTCCTTTTTGAAGATGAATTTTGATAAATTTTGATAAAATCCATTAAATCCGTTAAATTCATTATGCTGCAAAACTAGGTTTACAATGTAAACTCCCCCCCCAACTCGAATTATCGAATCAATAGCCTGTACATTATTGACGCCTGCATTCTGATCCATTCTAATCCAACATTGAATTTTTCCCATTCTCTGTACTACTGGGAAATGGTTCGAGGAATTTTCTCGAGTTTTAATTCTGCAAATGTTGCAAAATTTCCAAACTTTTAAACAAGAATGGGCATGATGACGTTTCAAATGGGAACTTCTTTGGTGCGTAGCCTTACCTCATACCTTCAATATTTCAACCGTGTGGAGGATATATCTACGCCAAATAAAATAAAATAAAATAAAAACATCCAGAAAAGAGAGGCAAAACGAAATGAAAAAAAAAAAAAAGAAATACACGGACTTTCTCCGATCCGCTACAATAAAAAAGATATCTCCCGTTACACTGTTGTAAGGAGAGAGAAAAGGCAGATGACGGAATGCCGGATTTTTCTCCTGGAGGTATTCCGGCTCCTACACTATTTGCCGGAGCCATGCGACCCGTAAAAGGGTCGGGAAAAAGAAAGGGGACCGGCACAGGCACAGCGAGTCATTCCTCGTATTTTGCTATCACATTTTGCTTTTGCTTTTCTTTTTTTCTTTTTGTCTTTTCCATTTATGCAAGCCATGGCCCTCGTTGTAACTCCAGCTGAACATCGACGTCAGAGGGGGTACATCCCACCATGGAGAAAAAGGATATTAGCGGCGGCTCCTGCAATAGCGCGGCAGATGTGAACCTCTGGGCTACAATCAGACACATCATACTTACTCGCTTTTACTCTTTCTTTTCTTTTCTTTTTCTTTTTCTTTTTCTTTTCTTTTCGTTTGCAAATACTCCGTACCTGAAGTTTTTTACGTTAGTCCAAAGTATGGGCTTAATATCCCCACGTCCACAGTGGAACCAGTCGAATGCACCCCGTGGCAACGGAGCGATGTTGGAGTAAAAGTCAATGCCCAACAGGTCCCCGAGGGAAATCCCCGAACCCAAACCGCTAAGCTTCGTGATCACAAGGGATCTGAGGTGTAGCCGAGGGAGGCTGAAGGGATCTTTTTTTCTTTTCCACTCCCGAGAACTAACTTCGAACCATACCCCTTTTGAATCTTATGGCTACTCAAAAAAAAAAAGAAAGAAAAAAAAAGAAGTACCGAGTGGTTAAACTGATCCCCCAGGTTGTACATCCCATAGAGTTTTGGTACAACCCTTGATCCCCGACAAACAGAGAAAAAAAAGTTCGCCTCAGGAATCACAGGAACAAGCCACCACGCCACCAGTGGAGAGCTATCGGAAATCACCCTTGATGGTCAGAACCATGGGCCATTCCAAAAATCATGTGGTGGCTTCCGACGCCTTTGCCATTGGCCTCTCCGCATTTCCGAACATCCCAAGGACAAATGGCTTAATATTTCCATGGTCGTGATAAGTTTTCCAGAAATGCAAATGTAAAAAGTTGCAAATCATACAGGTTCAGGTGGACGGATCAAATTTGCCGAATGCGGTAATTCTGAATATCAGCCATGGGTCCAACGTGTTGTTCCTCGATGGCGACCGTGGGTCCTTCACCAATCCCGAACCCAACCACATGGAACCCTCAATTGGAGTAAGTTGGTGTACAATTAGGGATCTCAAACGACTCCAATACATGGAAAAGCGAAATTCTACTTTTGAGATTGACCCAAGCAAAAAAAGATTGTAGAACCATTGAAAACTAATAATTTTAATATTGCGATCAACTCTACAACCTAATAGTTTGTTTATTGAAGGGGGCTGTGTTTCTCTTTGTACACTATTTTCCCTATTTTCACTACTCTTACTATTAACCAGAGTGGTTCTTTGCAATCCCATCTACTTCGTACTAGTGGCACTACGGGAAGGGGTATAGAGGGGCAGGAGGGGGGGAGATCGATTTCCCACCACGCTAGGATGGATATGGGTTGTGTACAAAAGGATACTTGCAGGAAAGATGTGGGCAAGTTCCTCTAGGGTCTGGCCGAAGCAGCCGATGAATCTAGACAGACTGTCGGGTTGAAGCGCCTCAACGCGCTTGGGGAGATTATTGTCCCCCCCCCTTTGATCCGTTTTCTTTCGTGGCTTTTTGTCAATGCGCGAACTGAATGAAAACAAGCACCGCCCTTTCAGCCATCCCGTGTCTGGCCCACTCGACACCTCACCGGTAGGAATTACTGGACGGATTGCATCATTTTGGATAGGAGAGATTTCTTGTTTCTTGTTTTTTCTTCTTTTTTTCTGTCATGTTTTTTTCTCCTTCTCGAAGCGACGTTGAAGACGGGGGGGCAAGGAAAAGCATGGAGCAAAAGGAGGCGGTGTCCATGGTTGGATGTGGACAATAGTTACTTCACTTACGAAGCCTATCGATATTTGAATTGAATATTGAATATACTCTGTAATGGAGTCACTATATGTCTCAAACAATCTGACATCTCTCTAAACCTAAATATGCAAGTATAAGAGACCGTTAGGGCCATCCACAGCCATGGGTTTTTGATACGGAGAGAGCCGGATAGGCAGGGTTATAGGGGATGATCAAATGTCAATCCACAAAGTGTATCTTTGTCTTGAAACTTTGTATTTGCTTTTTTTGGGGAACTTTTTTTTCATTTCGATTTTGATTTCAATTTCAATTTTCTTTCCTTTTTTTTTTCTTTTTTCTTCTTCTTGTCAACCCCAAAAAATACCTCCCCAAAGAGGCCCATGCCAAACAACACGGGAGGTTGGTGGGGACTTGGCAAATCGTGTAAGTTGCCATGTCAATTCCAACTGACCGCTTTTCTCTCCTACTAAACCAAAACAGGAACAGCGCACTCCGTAGCACGGCTCACTTTCTCATGACGCGTCTCAAATTCAATGGGAATCCCAAACTCCCCGGTGCACACAAGGGCCAAGGCCAAGCCACCAAAAACTCCCGGCTATCCTGCCTTCAACAGCCATAAGCTTCCCGAGAAACGCGCTGAAAAATTAATTCACCCTCCAAAAAGGGCGGTCAACATTCATCACGTCCCTTCCCGCTGAATTGTCGGAGAAATGTTTCCCATGGCTTGAATGGAGAGAATATGCGGGACACCCCGGAATGGGGGGAGGGGTCGAGCATGCGACAACAAAACTGCTGGGCATACGACATTGTACTCCAGGGGATTTTGGGCGGATTGCGTGGCTAATTTTGAACCATGAAGATGTGAAG